CGAGCATCCTCGGTCGTTTCGAGCGTCAGCTCACAGGCATCGTCGGCAGTTGGTTCCGCGTCTGCTTCAGTTTCTGCAAGTTTGAGTGTTTCGGCAGGAGCGTCAATCTCGACTTCCTCGAAGCTCTCAACTTCCTCTTCGAGCGTTCGAGACTCAACAGTTTCATCCGCTCCTTCGCAATCGTCTACCAGCAGAGTCACGTCTTCGTCGTCCTCTGTTATCACGAGCTCTCGTTCGACCTCCGTCGCTGCGTCCCCATCAAGCTCTGCTATCTCTAGCTCTCGTTCGACCTCCATCGCTGTTCCATCGTCCTCTTCTAAGGCAGCAGGTACTACTACGGCTTCGACTAGCGCCTCCCCTATTATCTTGCCAACTGGAGGCACTGGTATTGATCTTCCGGTGACCAGCATTCTTGGAAGTGTTAGCTCCGATCTCGGAGACCTGTCTAGCGCGGCAAGTAGCATTGTCAGCACAATCCTGTCTGATGTCACCGAGCTTCCTGGAGCCACTGTTCTCCCCGGAGCAGCAAGTAGCATTGTCAGCGTGATTCTTCCTGGTGTCACTGACCTCCCCGGAGTCACCAGTGCTCCCGTAGCTGCAAGCAGCATCGTTAGCGAAATCCTCTCTGATGTAACCGAGCTCCCTGGAGCCACAGGCCTTCCAGGAACGGCAAGCAGCATTGTCAGCGAGGTTATCTCCGTTGTCACTGATGTCCCTGTAGTAACCGGTCTTCCCGGAACTGCAAGCAGCATCGTCAGCGAAATTCTTTCTGATGCCACTGAGCTTCCTGGAGCCACTGGTGTCCCTACTGGTGTCACAGGTCTTCCAGAAACAGCAAGCAGCATTCTGAGCGAAGTCATCTCCCAGGTGACTGATCTTCCAGCAGTATCCGAGCTTCCTGCTACTGTCAGCAGTATCGTTGCACCTATCATCACCGATGTTACAGAGCTACCTTCAACAGTGACAAGCATCATTGGGGGTGTTGAGTCCCAAATCACTGATCTTCCTGGAGCGACTGGTCTCTCGTCCATTCTCGACGGCACAATCCCTGAAGCGACTCAGCTGCCTTCTGTCATCTCGTCCGTTCTCGATGGCACAATCCCTGAAGCGACTCAACTACCCTCTGATGTCTCCAGTGCGATTGCTCCTGAAGTCACCCAAGTTTCGTCGCTTCTCAGCCAAATCGTCAGCTCCGTCATCCCTGAGGTAACATCAGTCGTAGACAACACTGGCGACAAGGCCTCATCAGTCCTTTCGGCTATCCCCTCCATCATTACTCCCGCAGTAGACGGTACTGGTGATATCGTCAGCCAGGTTGGAGACGCCGCCAGCGACATCGGTGGGGCTGCTGGAACTGCCGCAAGCACCATCCTGACTGATTTGCCTTCCGCTGTTGCCACTGGAGTAGTTGAGCCTATCGTATCTGGAGTCAGTCAAGGTGCTGAGGGAGCTGTTTCGATCATCACGAGCGTCGTCGATACTGCCGCCACAGCTGTCAGTCAGGTCGGCTCAGCAGTGACTTCTTTGGTTCCTGCTGTCGCGACTGGTCTTGGAAACACAGTCAGCGGTGTGACTGATGGTCTCGGCAATGTTCTCGGTGGCGGGTCTGGCTCGAATGCTGCTGCATCCGACCCTGCGCCTACCACTCTCATTACTAGAACCTCAACTTCGTCAACTTCGGCTTCTTTTACCTCCACCGCAAAGGCCACATCCACTGGCATCGTTGCAGGAGCCGCTAACGGAATCGGCAACGCAGTCGGTATCTGAACATCGTTCGGTCGATAAAATATAGAATCATGCTTGAATTTCTTTTGTTGGTTTTTTTGCATTCTTGTGGGGTGTTTGGTTGTTTTCTGGATCGCACACACGGAAGACACGGTATGGATGAGGGCTATAATCAGGCGGTAACCGTCGGACAGCATATGGGTTCTTGGTCTGATCTCTTTAGTATGATATAATGTTGATAGCTTTCTCATTGGATAATTTTCTTACAAGCATCTGTATCACGGCAAATCGTGAAACACGACTGATTTGAATCAGAGGGAATCGTATCTCTTATCAGCTCATGAGATCTGTCCTAGTCAAGTCCATACGCAACGGATAGTCAAGGTGGGGACTTGCTTGTGACTAGATAGCAGCGTAGACTCTTGTGTATTGTATGGATACATACAGGGTCAAGTAAATGCAATTCGATCACAAAAGAAAGGACATAGATCTGTAAGTCCCTATGATTGACCTTTGGTCTTGCGTCTTTGGTTAACGCAAAGTGATAAGACGCGAGCAAGCAGATCAACAAGCATGATACTGTAACATCGACCTGGTGTCATCGTCTTCGTGGGTCTGATATCGTTGTGCAAAAGATCATCTCCGACTCGAAGGTACGACACGTCATTGGAGCAAGAAAGTGTAACCCGTGATGTCTTTGTCGCGATGAAAGTGGGCAGAAAGTCTGACCTTTTGGTTTTATACCATGAATCTTGAAGCGGAATCTTGACTGGACGTGATGGATAAGCTGGATATTGACTTGCGGTCCAAGTTCTGCAAAAGACTAGACTCTCCCCGCATATTTGGTCTATACGAGCATGATCCATGACAGATCTGTATCAGGTCTGTGTAAGTCACACAGGCAATAGAGGCAACTATTGAAGTCTACAATCTTCAGTCCAAAAGGCCATCATGGTTGCCATGATGTGCAAGTATGTCTGCTTGGTCACAATGTCTTCGCAACACCACATGACTACATCAAGGTACAGACGTTTGCAGCAACACTGTTGTCAGGGGGAGGGGAAGATAGAGAACAAGAGGTCCGTGACTCGTCACCTTCGACTCTGCTCGTTGGGTCATCGCGTTGTGGCTGGTGATTGTTCGTCGCAAAGAGGTGACTAGAAGATCAGGGAAGCATCATCGACCTGCGTGCTTCTCTTGGTGTTGATTGAAGCCTGGGAGTCACAAGAATATACCATGACGAACAGTGACTGCCAAGATGAGATTTGACAGAGAAGCTGCTCGGATGTGATGAAGAGATATATGGAATCCAAGGTCAGATACACATATATAGATGTGGAATAGAGCGGCATCACCTGGGTGATATGATTGATTCATGGCCTGCGCAGTTGCTTCTTTGTATCGACTAGATTTCTCCTTTAATCATGTGTAGAATTGTAACAGCTCCGTGGACGAAGATAATTGCTTTTGAAGTTTGAGATATTTTTTGCTCAGGTTTATGGAGGGTTAGGAATATCTGCTTCCCCTAAAAAAGACATCTAGGTACAAAACTTCGCAGCAGATGTATGCAAATCATCAACCATATCCCACTCCTGTTATACACGAAGATGATCAGAGGTAGCCGCAGATATAGGATACTTAAAAGTACCCTCCAGGACTTGCAAGTCCCGCGGTTCGTCCTCGGACTGATTTGCTATTCAGCAGACAGTTCCTCTCAAGCATATCTCCAAAGTCTATGCTCGACTTCTACATCTCAATGTTGAATTTATCGTTCTCGGCGAAAACAAAGCTTGCTGCTTTTCGACAAAAAGGCCACACTCAAAAATCGCAAGCTTCGGCAATAAGTTGTGCCAGCTCTTCCAAGTACTTTTGATCTTCGACATCAAAGCCGTTTTTCACAGCACAGTCGACGTCAATGATAGCAACGACCTAACCCCCAAGAATCAGTAAACAAAAAAAAAACCTCGACCATCGTCTCCAGAAAAAAAAGCTATGCACTTACCTTGCCCTCTTGCACAATCGGCACCACAATCTCAGACATACTCGCAGCATCACAAGCAATATGGCCCGGAAACTCCTCCACATCCCCCACCAACTGCGTCTGTTGTGTAGAAGCAGCAGTGCCACAAACACCTCTGCCAAAGCGAATGGTCTGACATGCCACTTTACCTTGGAAGGGGCCGAGGATGAGTTGGCGTATTGGAGCAGAAGGATCGAGGACGTAGAAGCCGGCCCAGTTTGTTTTGTTGGAAGGGGAGGGGAGGGCGTGGAGGGCGTGCCAGATTAGGGATGCGGCGTTGGAGAGGTTGCTAGAAGGGGTGTTATGGGATGATGGTTTGGGGTGGGTGAGTGGGTGATGGGAAGCTTACCAGACCTATGGCTTGTTGTCAGTCTGTTTACTTTTTCGCTTTATATTCGTCGATATATGGAAATTGGGGTGTGAGGAGAAGGGAACGCTTGTGTGAACATAAAGTTGCATAGGAATGCTCAAGTATGACCTTTCTTGTGCTTTGAGAGGTAATAGTTTCCCCCAAAGAATGCACATCTTTCTTTTGCTTTTGGAGATGAGGGATTGGAGAAGAACAGGAAAAAAGAAAGAAAAACTTACCCAGTTTCTCTGGTCATAGAATAATCCTCGTGCCTGTTCCAGCACCTGTGTATACGCTTCCTGCTTGCTCATATTGGAGACAAAGTTGGACGCGTCGGCATGCACCTGTAAGAAAAGAACACCCACGCCATCAACACAACCAACCTCTTTTCTCAAATTTCTCGCTTCAACAAATTCCTACTTACCATTATCTTTTATGCTTTTTTGCTTCGATCAAATTTCTCCCTCTTTCCGACTTGGTTAATGGTATAGTCATGCGACAGAGAATCGCGCGAAATGTCAAGGGAAGAAAAATGTCATGTGGTCGGGCACTCCGCAATTTGCTCGGACCATCTCACAGAAAAGACACACACATCACGTAAGACGATTCCTTGTGGAAGATGGAAGAGGAAGGAGGAAGAAGGAGCACGCCATTTTGTGATTTTTCGACTCGCAAGCTACCTTTGCAGGATTTGACATTCACCGCGATGGGATGTTGCACTCTAGCTATAGAGGGTCATCGCAGGTTGGCGACTTGGTCCGGGTGACCGCGACTAGCCGATACTTGTGATTTTGGCCATGTCGGGTTTGTTGAGCTTTGTGACCCTGCCCTTGAACATATCTCTGTTCGACGGTCATTCGAGAGATGGCTGGTATGTAGAAACTGCCATGTATTTCGGCTGATGAAAACGACATGACAAATACATGCTTCAAGAAAAATCTCTATGGAATTGACAATGACGTTGTCGTTGCAGAACACGGCCTTCTAATGCTTCTCATCCATGCTCTTTCTTCCCGTCAACACACCCCCTCCAGAAGCATCCTGTCTCCTCTGCCTCCTCCTCCCAGCAACCTCATTAGCCCACTCCTGAATCTGGAACACCCAGCCACCAGCCACCAAGACACCACTAACCACATTAACCAACCTCACCAAAAGATTCAAAAATCCACCCCACTCCTCGGCAATCGTCAACATCAAAGGCTCGATATCGAACTTTACAAAGATGCCCGGAACTTGGCGCTCAGAGACTATATGAGATTGCTCGGTGACGGCGTATTGATTTGTAAAGATGGTGTTGCGGGGGAGATTGAGTCTTGCGGTTGCTTCGTCGCCGCTGCTGAGGGGGATTGCGGAGGAGGCGTATTTGGAGAGGGCTGCAGGGTTGTCGGTGTAGACTGTGGGCACGACGGAGAGGTAGTATTGGAATTTCTCAAAGTGTTGATCGGTGGTTGTGCGGGTGTTGTCGAGGGGGTTGTCGAGGCCTGGGTAAAAGGGTCCGAAACTCAGTTCGTTGATTTGGTGGGAAAAGTTGAATGCTGTGTCATGTCAGTCAGTAGGAATTCAGTGCGGGATAGGAGATGTGTCCAAGACTTACATTGATGATCCAAGTGTTGGCCAAACTCCATGTATCCGTGGCCACGAGCGGTGATGTGGAAGTCACCTTGGACCTTGTTGAGCTCGAGACTGCCATAGACACGACACGAGTCTGCTGTCGCACCTCTTCCCAATCGGGGCGTCTTTGCAAATTTCTTCTTCTTGTGCGCGGCACCCAGATAATCATGTACATCCTCCTCTTGATAGTCCGGGCCTCCTCTTTCGGCAGCGCTTCCGCCAAGGTGATGGGCACCCTTTGTGTTTTGCCAATGCGACCACATGGTAGGGTTGCGTGAGAGGGTTTGACTAGCCATGATGCGATCGCCAGAGGCATCCTGGACGTTGATGTGCAGGTCGTCGCACTTCATGGCGACGACGACGTCGAGGTTGAGCTGCAGGTTGTGCGAGATGCCCTTTTCCACACTAAACGTGTGGTGTGTTTCGCCGACATACCATCGTCGCACCTCGGTCACTGCCAGCAGGAACGAGGCAAAGGCGAGGAAGAGCGTCCACACTCCTCCATTCTGCGTCTTGGTCTGGTATGACGGTTTCGTCTTGGCTGTGCGCAGCTTCGGGTCAGTGACAATTCCGACAAGACGAAGAGACTCTGGCCACACGTACGAAAGGCGTCGAAGGCCTTTACCACAGACGTCGTCTTCGACTCCCCAAACGCTCCCTCATCGAGGCCACTTTCGGAAAAGCCGTTCATGCTGCTGATGAAGACTTGCTTGACATGTGAAAGAGAGCGAATAGAAGGCCACCTTGCTGTACCTGTCCCTGACATGTTTCACCCCACATTTCGAAACCTAACTTCTCCGCAATCCGTTCGAAGAAGCTCCCGACCTCGCTCTGTCTATTCATCATCCGTCATCTATCGACTATCATCGCTTAAAAATCATCCATCTATCCTGATATCATTGTCATTCAGTCCACGGCCACCTCCGATAGACACGCCATCGAAACAGGAAGCTCACCTCAGCAATCGCTCGCGTGTGTGCCCTGGAACGCTTTGACTTGCGCATCATCCGGACTAACGCACCATTTAATCATCACAAAACAAAGATAAAAGCCTCGGTGAACAGATAAGACCCCAACTGCATCATCAAGTCATAGATTTCGTGAAATTTATAAGGACCCTCTGTTGTACCTCTAATCGCTCCATTGCCTGTTCTACACTGCCACATTTCCACAAGCATGTTGGTCAGATCCGCCATTGCTGCCAGTGCCCTTATGGCATCTGGTGTGACTGCCTGGAACAAAGGTAGTAAAACTTCTTGCCTCCAACCCTGTGATCTCATCTCTGACTCTTCCACTCCCAGATGTCCACCAACAGATTGGCTACAGCGCAGAGCAACTCCTGACCCCAGCCACAAAGTCAATCCTCCACCACATCTTGGAGCCCAAGTACAACGGCAGCATCGGCCTCGCCGCCTCATGGGCAGACGACTATGCCCACACCACCGAAGGTGCTTTCAGCTACCAATGGCATTGGATCGACTCGGCCGACAACCCACCCTATTACTGCAACGTCTATTACAACCGTGACTGCACCAAAGGCGGCTGTGTGGTCTCAGCAATCGCAAACCAGACCCAGATCTTGAAGAGTTGTATCAGCAAGGTGAAGAAGGGCGAGCTTGTGCATGGTGAGGATTTGCAGTGTTCGTATGCGCTAAAGTGGGTTGCGCATTTCTTGGGTGATATCGCGCAGCCTTTGCATGCGTCGGGTGTTGCAGCTGGTGGTAACGGTCTCGATGTTGTGTTCGGAAACCATTCCACCGAGCTGCATGCTGTGAGTAGTTTTTCTGTCATTGTGCCCATCCATTGCCAGAGCCAACACTGACACGCTCCAACAGGTCTGGGATGGATGGATCGTCTATGCTGACGCAAACGTGACAAGCTTCCCCAACACAACCATTCAACCCTTCTTCAAGGATCTCGTCTCTCGCATCCACAAAGACGACTTTTCCATTCCCACTGCAGAGTGGATTGCTTGTAGCGATCCTTCCACACCACTGGAATGTGCTCTCAGCTGGGCTCGCGATAGTAATGCCTTGACCTGCGATTACGTCTACTCGCAAGCTTTTAACGGCACCAATCTGGCTACCAGTGGGTACGCCACTGGTGCTTATCCCATTGTAGAGGTGCAGATGAGCAAGGCCATCTTAAGATTGGGTACTTGGCTGAACAAGTTGGTTGCTGGCAATTATGACCATGGAAGGAATGTTGTGTTGCAGACGAACCCCAGTTGGTTGTTGGGTCCTGATGGTGGCGAGTAAGGCGTCGCGTAGTTTGAGCTCGTAGCTCGATGAGGCCTCATTAATGGCTGTCATACGGAGTGGATCTCCAGTGTATATAAGTTTGCAGCTGTCGTGCAAGGCACCGTGTTTCATCTCTCGTGCTTGTCGGCTGAATAGACGCTGTCCAGAACACCATAACGTCCAGAGAGTTCCGAAGGCATCGTGATAGTCGCAATCACGGGCCCATCCCAATGTGAATCTGCACGCCTGTCTTTGGGTCGTGCCATCTCAATATCGATTATCTCGTACTCCTCGTGTTCAGAAGGTCCTGCGACGACCACGGCTGGCACACCTCGGTACGCGGCAACCTGGCGTTCGACATCCTCACTTCCTGAAGAGGCTTTGCTGCTGAGTGCATCCATCCAGGTCTTTACCAGAGGTCGCAGTGTCGCCAGTGAGAGGGCAATAATGCCAATACCTGCTTCTATAGCTGCGAGGATTACCACCCGTGGAAGCTTTGCCGCTGTGTTGAGCTGGTATCTGCCGCCACGAATGAATGGGATGCGTACAATGGACACAATACTGCCCAAAGCGGCCAATGAGAGAAGAAAGCAGACAGATATCTTTGCTCGTGGGGGCATCCTGGTCTTCAAAACAAGGCTCACGGTGGTGAGTACGAAGATCCAGTCCGTCGCTGCTGTCAAAGCTCCGCTAAAGTAGCTGATAGGTCCCATGACCGAGTCCCAGTCGAGGCAATTTTCGTGTATGAAGATGTTGGATGGGACGCCGCATTGAAAGATTGTCAGAAAGATGACTGTCGTCATGACAGCAATGTAAACAGTGATGGAGATCAGTATAGTACGCTTTTGCCATGTCTCCTGAACAATTCGATAAAAGAACAAGGCGGCAGAGAATTTGATAAATATCTCGGTCACGTTCCAGACTGTGATGCCAGAGATTGAGAGCTGCTTCCAGTCAGTAACCTTTTCAGGCACAACTTCATTTTGATGCTGACCTTTGCAAGCTGTCGTGCCGCAGAGCTCGCTTCAATTCCATCGACGGCTTGTGTTGCTCCCATCAAGATGAGAATGATGCAATTGCCGGTATACAGAAAAAAGGCAAAACAGAGCAGCCTGTCGTCCCAGCCGAAAGACTTGATGAGGAAGCCTCGTACGTAGACTCTCAAAGACAGCGCAATGCCCGTGAGCAAAAACATCACACTACCCACAACAATGGTAGATATTGGATCAAGTCCATAATCGTCGACGTCGGGATGCATCTTGACCCCCGTGCAACCTCGACTTGCCTTGCAAGCATCAGGCCTGACCGTGTAAGAGGAAAGGGAGTTGGAGGTTCTGATCAGTACGGTTGGGCGGGCGGCAAAAAGCTTATGATTCTTCTGCTTGAACGCAAAAGGGAAAAATAAGGTTGGTGGGTGGAGTTCAGGTATTTGGCGGAAATGATGATGCGATGCGGAGCCGGCTGCACTCGGACCTCTTTACAGGCACCTAGGCCCTATATATTATCTGTCATTGCTCTTTGGGAGATTTGCATTTGCAGTGACAGCTTGACGAGCGTGTATTGCTACCTATGCAAATAGCAGATATAGACGTTTTCTCGATGGAAATAATGCTCGTTCGAGTGCGGGCAAGCTCGAAACAGCAACCCGTTTACCAGTTCCACGTGAGATGATCACTTGTTTCTCAGCTGCCCCGAGCAAAACCGATCAGCGGTGCGGACGTATCGATTTTCGCCTTTGTGCATCACGGGCCGGTCGTCATCGACGTGACACAACTACTTCAAGTCACTCGTCGCCTCACACTACAGGTCGTTGATCGGCCTCACCCGCTGGCAGGATGCCTCATCGTTAATGGTCTCCATCCTGTCGTTTGAGCTGTCAGAAACCTCAGGGTGTTTGTTATCAAACGGGCGGGACGGATCGGTCAACGTGAACGCGAACGCTCCGTGGCCTCGGTCTTAGATTGCTCAAAGTTGTCGGCTAATTCGGTTACAAAACGGACAGCGCTTACGTGTCTGATCTATCCTAATTACACCATTCAAGCAGTATGACTGAATAAAAGTCTGGGCCCTCAAGTCGTGGGAGAATTGGGAACATTGAAGATGTGCAGACAAGCTTTTGCTTTACAAATCTAGATGAGGCTGAAAGGCGAGCACGAGTCGAGCGTGGGAGCGTGCTGCTCGGCTGTTGGAGAGGCACATCTAAACAGGAGGTGCCTCGGGCGCAAGGGAGTTCTCAGACCACAAGTCCTTTGTTCGTCCTACACAATATCCGCTCTCAATTATGTGTTTTCCATCACACATCTTAGCTAAGGAACATCGGGCCTCTGAACGAACCGACGGCTCGTATTTCTCGCATGTTGGAAGTCGTTACGATCACAGCATCGGGAAGGCTTGGTCAGTTGAGATGGCCGCGGTTTGCGTTCACTCTTCAGTCCTAGGTAGCGAAAACTGGGTTCGTTCACAGCTTGCCATGGCCGTCGCGTGATGGGCAAACGAATACTTTCACCACGTGCATATTTTGTTCGAGCTTCTTGCTATCGCGACAGCAGTTCTGGTCTTACCATATCGCGAGCAAGTCCGCTCAGGTATCTGATGCTATGTCGAACCATGACAGCCATCATGTTAAACTTTCACGATAACCTTAGATTGAGATTGGCGTGATGCCCTGCGTCGTGGGTACGTGATTTTGGACCAGGTCAAGCTTCAGATGCTGGACGGCCACCCGCATACCCTTACGCTGTTCATGCAAGACATGAAGGCTGTAAGACCTTGCTTTTGCTGCTACCCTCGTTTGTACTCGGGTAGTATGAGAGCTTTGGTGAAAAAAAGTGGAAGGAGTCATTCATCCCGGAGATCGTACTGATACGGTCGACGGCGACTATGGCTTTAGGCTTGGCCATGAGCATCCGCAGCGAAGAAGATAAGCTGCGAGATACCAGTGGCGGCTCGAAATGGCGGTCAGCAGGACATGCCGTGCAGCGACTTTTGGCGGATTGATCTGATTGCTGCTGCAAGGGCCCTTCGACTCCGCTCTTCGCTCTTGCGACGTCTCGACTTGCAATTTCTGATGCTTTCAATCAAACAGCAAGGTGACTGATGGAATCAAAGGACAGGCGATTGATCAGGGTGAACGCCTGTGTGTCTACCTTGGTGGATGTAAGGAAGTGGGGTCAGCTGGATCCGGTCGAAGATCGATTGGGCCGCGACCATCTCTCGTCATCGCCATGTGCTTGAATCACTACCTTTGTCTCATCTGTCACTCGTGGAAAGGCAAGAACACTGCAGAGACTGAAACCATCTGTGTATAAGAATCAGAATTACACTTTTATCAACACTCTGGTCGAGCTCGCTATGGCACAGCCTGTTAAAATCCAGAGTTCAGTACACGGAGAGATCGTGGGCGGGGTGGATTGCGAGCTAAGATATAGTTTGAGTAACAACGTGCGCGAATCAAACACGAGGACGCGCTCCAAGAATGGACTAAATGGATCTGGGGAGCAAAAGCAAGGTGATTTGGAGAGCAAAAAGAGACAGATGTTGCTGCAACTGCGAGTTTTGGCCAGCCGCAATGTCAGGAAACGGCGTCCCGAAACGGCTCTCACCAATCACATCTTGTGACTAGGGTTGCGCCTGCGGAACGGGTGGCTGGTGGTAAAGGCAGAGTCCTGATACTACCCCTCTTTATACCCTCGCACTCCCACTTTCATTTCTGGGCGATCCTCCTTCTTATCCACCGCGCATAACTATACACTCCCCAATTACACTCAGGTACTTTTGAACACAAACGCGCAACAAACACCTTGGTCAAACGAAAGACTATCACCGACAGGCTGATCAACGCGCGTGCCTGGTAGGGCTGGCGCACAACTGACTCTCTCGCTCAAGTCACACTGATAGCGTCTTGCGCTCTTGTCTCTCGACTCTTGACCGCTGCGCCCGTTCATGACCCATTCGCCCACTTCTCTCTCATATATCCTCTCTTCTTGGAAACACATACCACAATCTATCTTGTGCCCTCGTCGTCGAACTCGAAAGCTTATCAGTACCCGTTATCTTAACTCCGTCGACGCGATACCGCCGCCATAGCATGAGCACGACTATTACTCGCCCCATCTACGAATCGCACCCCTCGGTCGACGCGTCTATGGAAGATTTTGAGTTCCGCGCAAACTCCCCTGAATTCTTGCGGCCTGATGCGCATGCGCGCATCCATTTCATGAGCCCGACTGCTTCAGACTACTCCGAGGCAGCAACCGAACCCGATATCAACGGAGGTTGGTCGCCGCCCGCCTGGAGGAAGGCAGGAAGTGGCTGGTTCAAGCATCACCTCCAGCAGACCGGTCTCATGTCGCCCTATGGGAGCAGGGAGTGCAGTCCGGAAGAATACAGGAAGGGGTTAACGCCGTACGATGATGACGATGAAGACATCTTGGTTGCAGCAGGAATTCCTCTTCCCGTCAGTCCATTGAAGGGCAGAAGCCCAGAACCTAGTTACAGTCCTACCGTTGCCACAGTCCTCAAGCAGGATGCGGACAAGAGGAGGCAGATGAACCAATCGCAGAAGGAAGGCGATCAGCCATGGCCGGACAAGCACGATAACTGTACGCATCGTCGTGTGATTCAACTGATCATGACGGCTGACCAGGATGGTAGATATCCGTTTTTCCGTTCGAGCAGACGTGCAACAGCGCACAGAACCCATCGAAGCAGTCATAGCCCACTTCCGCAAAGTTTGGGGTCGCTTTACCAAGAATCGATACACTACGTTCCTCTCATTGATATCAGCTTTGTTCATACTGACCCTCACTCGCGCCTTGTTTTCAGAACCCGTGACTGGACCTACCCCTGATCTCGTCAAAGTCGCCGGACTCGCCAAGTCCTTTGAACCTCTGATGTACTACAGTGAGAACGGCCACAGCCAGGTCGTACAGCTGGGAGAGACCGGCGTCGCTGTATGGGATTTGGGTGAGAGCGTTCGCTCAACCAACATGACCTCAGGTCCCATCATCGTGCGCGAACTCGACTCGCTTTCGGACAGTCTCAAGAATCTCGCTCATGAGTTGACCCGCTTCTTCGCTGGTGTCGACGGTGACATTGACAGCATCCTCATCGTCATGGAGTGGGCGCAGAGAGAGCTCACCAAGCTCAATACCTTGCCGGCATCTCACATGTCGCTGGCCTTCTCGAATTTGCACTCTCTGCTATCGCGAGTCGGTCTACTGGAAGATCACCGCACCGGAGAGCAGACTGCAGTCGGTAGGATTGTCGCTGAGCTCTTCGGCCGTACGGCACCACAAGTCACTCGAGCCACACTCCAACGCACCTTCACCGACTTCCTTGGCGTACTCGAGGAGAGCATCAACAACGAGCTGACTGCAAGCATGAGCTTGTTCGCCCATTTTGAGGCCATCGACCGCCAGTTCCTCAATCTGCAGCGCGTCGTCATCCGTGAAACCGACGCACAAGAGCGGGAGGAGAATGAGATGCTGGCCTCTTTGTGGGCCCGAGTCATTGGGGTGAATGCTTCGCGACTCAAAAAGTTCGAGAAGAACAAACAGCTTCTCTCGTCGCTGCGCGAACGCACCATCCAGAACAAGCACGTCCTTGTCGACCACAATGGCCGTCTGCTACAGCTCAAGAGCAACCTCGAGATCCTACGCAAGAAGCTGGTCTCGCCGCTAGTCAGAGGCAATGGAACAAGTACCCTCACTGTCGATGAACAAATCAAGGGCCTGGAAGGTACATACCTCAGTCTTCGGGCCACAAGAGAAGCGCAGAAGAGCAGGCTGTACGAGATCATTCACGATGCAGGTACGAGGAGGATTGGCATTGTGAGAGGTCTAGATGAGGGATATGCTATCGAAGGTCATTGAATGACATCAGTTCAGTGATTTTTTCTGACTGCGTTCTTGCGATGGCGTCGATGGCGTATCAAGAGGTCCAGGTGTTACATAGGAGAAGCATCAGAGCTGATGCGCTGGGATGGGCTGGTATACACGGAGGAGTTCATGTCTTTCCTTGTTTTCTTTGATCTCCAGGTATGGTACAGTCTTTTGGGTATGTCTTTTTTCCTTGGGATAGTCTTCTTCTTCATCACGACACTGGTTATCACACCGCTTGAATCGTTGTGGTTGCCATGGATTCATGTTCCTAATGCAGCACTTACTTCTAATGTCACAACCACAATATTTCGAGATTTGTATACTCGTAGGCGCTGGATGATAGTGAAAATGCATGTTCCAGAAGACTCACGAAACAACACATGTGGTGCCATGCAAGAGGTCGCCTATCATGCATGCAGGGACTTGATACACGCAGTCACTGAGTGACTTGTACTGCGAGACCTGTGCATGGCTGACATTGTTGTGAGACCGGAATCACAAAATTGCAGCCCGAGCAGTGGTGGTGGTGTTACCGCAGCATGAGCTTGGAAGAGTTACTTACCACAGAGCTTGGAGCTTGCGGTATCAACCCACTCCGTCAGAACTCACCAGCGACATGACACGTCTCAGTCTCTGGGTGGTCGTTTGCACCTGAGAAATTTCTTCCATCTCTGTCAACACGAGATCCACTCAAGATATCGTGTTTCAAAAAAGATGCGACGTGCCGGATATAAGATGGGGAAAGCAAGGTGCTCTAAGCAAATTTAGGTTTAGACACACCAACTGCACAGCCTCAATGACTTCATTTTCGATATCAAAGCTCCCCTTTCAACAACCGCAAAGCGAAAGTTGTTCGGTAGGAAATCGCGCCAAAGCCCTTGTACGACACCCTTTCTCTTGGTTCCTCTGTCACTTCTGCGCCGCTCTTCATCTTGCAGCACAACCATCTTGCCCAATTGTTCCGCTGCAAGCGCGCTCTGTGCTGCGCCTCCACCACGCTTCCATTCCTCTTGGCTTGAACAGTGCCAGCGGGTTTCATTGATTCCACAACGGGATCTTTTCCACGATTTAGCTATCACCACAGCTCGCATCATAGAATAGGGTTTCCTTCGATCTAACGAGTCCGGTGACCTGCCAGCCTTCTTATCCAGCTAACACTGCCATCATCTTCCCACCTGTTTTTTCTTCTTCCTTCCCACAAGATATGAGTGAGTGAATCCCATCCGGCCCTTCCCATTGCCAATTGCCCATCAATCTGTCCTAGTACAGAGGAAGGCTGATCCACCCTGCCTCGATCCGATACCGAAACACTCGGTCCCCACTTGGCGCACCGCTGACAGAAGGGTGCGATATAAAGACAAGATCAAGTCCAAGTTTGGACGCGCCGCAAGAACTTCGACTGGAGATTCACGCACCTCGATGGATCGCAGCTCAAACCATGGCGCCAATGGCGACGCCGACGAGAACACTCCCCTTGTCAACGAGGGCAACTCGGGCAAGAAGGGCTTCCGCAATCGCCTGGCTTCATACCGCGAGGACGACAGAGCCTGGGTCAGCTACCCTATGGGCTTCCTCTACATCACATGGGCTGTCCTCGCCAGCAACTATGTCAACGTCCTGCTCGTCTTCGTGCCAGCCGGCATCATCCTTGGAGCTCTGGGCATGAACCCTACTGCTGTGTTCGTCGTCAACTTCCTCGCCATTGTCCCTCTTGCTGCTCTCTTGAGTTTCGCTACCGAAGAGCTCAGTGTCAAGCTGGGCCAGACCCTTGGTGGTCTCATGAACGCGACTTTTGGTAACGCCGTTGAACTGATCGTATGTCGAACTCGAGCGTGCGCTTGTTCCTAGCTTAAGCTGACCAACCACGTCCAGGTCTCGATTGTCGCTCTTCAGAAGGGTGAGATCCGTATCGTCCAAGCCAGTATGCTCGGCAGTATCCTCTCAAACATCCTCCTCGTGCTGGGCTGCTGTTTCCTCGCAGGTGGCTGGAACCACCACGAGCAGAGCTTCAACTCCACCGTTGCCTCGACCATGTCCTCGCTCATGGCTGTCGCATCTGCCTCGTTGATCATCCCGGCCACTCTCTACGCTGCTCTAGCCAACTCCAAGGAGCACACCGATGACAATATCCTGATCCTCTCCCACGGAACTGCCATCATCATGCTCATTCTGTACTGTCTCTACTTGTTCTTCCAGCTCAAGACCCACGCCGATCTGTTTGATGAGGAGCAACAAGACGGAGAGGAGGACAAGGAGCCCGAAGTTCTGAAGCCCATCCCCGCAGGTATCGCACTTGTTCTCGTCACTCTCCTCGTCGCTGTCTGTGCCGAATACCTGGTCGACTCGATTGATGCCATTGTTCAAGAGGCGCACATTTCAAAGACATTCATCGGTCTTATTCTCTTGCCAATTGTCGGAAACGCAGCAGAGCACGTCACGGCCTGCGTCGTTGCATACAAGAACAAGATGGACCTCGCCATTGGAGTCGCCATTGGATCATCGCTCCAGATCGCTCTCTTCGTTACTCCTTTCCTTGTCATTCTTGGGTGGGCCATGGGACAACCCATGACTCTCCATTTCCAGATGTTCGAGACGGTCGTCTTCTTCGTCAGTGTTCTCGTGGTCAACTACCTGATTGCCGACGGCAAGAGCAACTACTTGGAAGGCGCCATGTGTGTTGGTACTTACATCATTGTTGCCTTGGCCATGTGGGTCTACCCTGACGATGCTGGCGACCCGGTCTCTGGCCCTCCTAAGCTTTTCTAAGTGAGCCTTGACCGTCAAAACTCTGTCGAGTCTCTGGAGCGCAAAAGAAATTTTGAAATTCCGGAGACAGCTACCGCAGAGTGTCCTATGAAAGAATACAGGCGGAACAGCAAGAGCTCATGACCACGGGGAGATTGTGGACTTTTGGTAAAATTTGGCGGTGTGAGGTATTCACTCTGCTTGAAGCAGAAGCGATTTCTCTCTTGTGCATATCTAGATCATTGAACATCCTTTGTAACAGCAAATCAAGCAGGCAGTGCCTTTATTTGATGGACAGTGCCTATTGTGTGTGTAAGATGTGACAGCTTTTGAAATGACGGAATGATGGTGACTGGAAGTGCGAGCCAGTGGTCAGCTTCCCCAGAAAAACGACCCCGCCGGCTCCTGCCTCATTCGGCCCAAAAAGTTCCCCTTGTTGGAATCTCACCAGCATATGCAAAGCCCGCATACAGCTTGTTGAGGTTCCGGGCCTGTTGAAGTACTCGTTCTAGAAGGTGCTTTCCCCTGGTCCGTCACCGCGCGACTTCCCCTCAAGAAAGCACATTGCAGTGAGGTTGCATCTCTCCCGCGACGAATGCCTGCAAGTCACGTAGCTCAACTCTGGATACTCCTCTAGACTCGCCAAGTAATACGGCGTAAGCAGAAGCTACTGCTATCACCCGGCGGGGAAGACCAAGCTCTATATCTGGACTCTCGTCCCACCAGGACCTGACAGCGTAAAGTCAGTCGAGTCGATCACCACACACGGTCCAAAGACCATGGCGCCGCCATCTCGCAAGACAAAGTCCAGCTTCTGGCCCAACTTCATCTACGATGCCTGGTTGTGGACCTTCTCGGTCCTTGTCGACCTCTTCTTCCGTGAGGTGCACCCTCGCAGTTCATGGAAGGTTCCTCGTAATGGTCCCGTCATCATTGTCGCCGCACCGCACGCCAATCAATTCGTCGACCCCCTGATCCTGATGCGTGTCCTGCGTATGGACGCATACCGTCGCGTGTGCTGGCTCATCGCCGAGAAATCAATGAAGAGGAGGTTTATTGGCTGGGGGGCGAAGATGGTCGGCTCTGTGCCTGTTGGCCGTGCGTTGGACTCGAAGAAGCCGGCCAAGGGGAGAATATACCTGCCTGATCCTGAGAGTGACCCGACACTGGTCAGAGGCCTTGACACGGACTTTGAGAACAAGGACATCTACATGGTCGGAGGACTGCTTGCGTTGCCGAGCTTCGACAACAAGTTTGCGAACACGGAGATCAAGGAGATCCTGAGCCCGACAGAGATTCGTCTGAAGAAGCCCTTCAGCGGTAATGTCGCCCTGCGTCAGTTGACTGGTCAGGAAATCAAGGATACAAAGGCCGACGCAAAGTTAACAAAAGGCTTCGAGGGCACAAAGTTCGAGGTCGCTCCTCACGTCGACCAGGGCGAAGTCTACTCTTCAGTATTCAAGAAGCTGCACGAGGGCGGCTGTATCGGTATCTTCCCTGAGGGAGGCAGTCACGACAGGACCGAATTGCTGCCACTGAAAGGTATGTACCACTTCGACCACCATAGAGCTTGACTAATTGCTTCCAGCCGGTGTTGCTATCATGGCTCTTGGTGCGCTCGCAGAAGACCCCAACTGTGGTGTCAAGATCGTGCCCTGTGGCATGAACTACTTTCACGCCCACAAGTTTCGTTCAAGAGCCGTCGTTGAATTCGGCACGCCCGTCGAGATTCCAAACGAACTGGTTGAAATGTATAAGAATGGACAAAAGCGTGAAGCTGTCGGCCAAGTCTTGGAAACGGTCTATCAAGCTCTCGTCTCAGTCACGGTTACTAGTCCTGACTACGACACTCTGATGGTATGCTCCTGTCTGATCGGGGTCGAAGCAACTGCTTACTGACATCGCACAGCTCATCCAAGCTGTTAGACGCTTGTATAACCCAAAGGGCAAGAAGCTCCCCCTCCCCATGATTGTCGAGCTCAACAGACGCCTTGTCAAAGGTTACACAACCTACAAGGATGATCCTCGTATTGTCAACTTGAAGAAGTCCATTTTGGCCTACAACAAGGAATTGATGATGCTCAACATCCGTGACCATCAAGTCAGCTACGCCAAATTCTCCATCATCAAGGTCATTCTCACACTGTTCTACCGACTTGGCAAACTACTGGTTTTAGCCGTTGCAGTCCTCCCAGGTCTTGTACTGTTCGCTCCTGTTTTCATCACCGGAAAGGTCTACTCGATCAAGAAGTCTCGCGAGGCCCTAGCAGCATCGACAGTCAAGATCCAAGGACGCGATGTCATGGCTACTTGGAAGTTGCTTGTTTCCTTGGTCGTCGCTCCTTTGTTATACAATATCTACAACATCATCCTGGCTATCTGGACGCACTATAACCGCATCGGGGGCCGCGTACCGAACTGGGTCCCGCTCTGGGCAGTCTTTGCTTTCGGATACATTCTCTTCCCTGCCATTACCTTTGCCGCTCTCAGATTCGGTGAAGTTGGTATGGACATTGCAAAGTCACTACGACCTCTCATACTCTCGCTGGGCCCGTGGTCAGGCAACACATTGGTCAAGCTGAGAGCCAAACGTGCCTCGCTGGCCGAACAAGTAACAGAAGTCATCAACGAGCTTGGACCAGAGCTCTACCCAGACTTTGACCACAACCGCATCATCTCCGACCCCAGCCACCCACTCTCGCCCTCATACTCTTCACCCGAGACACCTCGATCCCGTCGCAGCTCTGAATACGACCGCATGTCCATGACCTCTCCCGATCTCACTTCCTTCTTCTCCCGTACCGGCGCCAGCCTCGACCCCAACAGCGCACAATCCAGCTCCCATCTCCCTCGCAACGAATCCTTTGGAAACATTGGCGGCTTTGGCTTTTTCTCCTCGCGACCACATACGCCTAATCGCTCGAGAAGTCGCAATCGCAGTCGTACGAGTAGTGATGGTGGCTTTGGTATGACGGCGATGAAACCAATGACTACGATTGATAGTAAAGGTGGGTACGAGGAAGTCACGGGAAAGATCAGGGATGCTATGAAGGTGAGGGGTAGGAGGAGAGGCACTGAGGATGCTAGTGCTGTTGTCGACGGATGGGATATGGGTGATGATGAAGAAACCGTGGATGAAACTGAGGACAAGAAGGTTGTCTGAGGACACCATACCTCACTCCGTTTTTTCTTTCGCATCGGATTGCTTGTCTTTTCAATGTCGTTTTGCAATTTTCCACAAAGATACCAGGCCGTTTGTCTTGCGGCACTTTAGTACATGTAGACCAGCTCTCTCCCCCATCAGCAAGATACAAAATCTCTACAATACCAACCAACTTAAACCCTCAAAAAACCATAAACCACGACTAAAAAAGGGGGCCTCAATTCACACTATTGACACAATATCCACGAGACGTTGCACAGTTTCTTTTTTTCCCCTCCCCTCTTTAGCAAACATTATCGGATAAGTACCTGTTTACTTATTAATCACTGGCTGGGATTTCTGTAAGGTTAAAAAAAAAAAAAGGATCTGTTTTTTTTCCCCTTGACCCAAATTGTGGGTCATTAATTTAGGTGAGGGTAGATGGTATAAATAACACACCTGAAAGAACTATTTTCCTTTTTTTGAGTATCGTGTGGAGAGAAGAATAACGGGGGTTGGAGAAGAAGCTTAGAAACTTGAAGCTATATAGAGCAAAAAAGTCAAAAAGAGGTATAAAAGTACAGCTAGGAAAAAAAAAAACAAGACGTATGCTTTTCCCCATGGTATCGTGTTTTTGGCGTCCGTAAACTCCCAAAGAAAAGGAAAAGAAAAAAAAAACCGCCGTGTTTGGGGGAGAAAAAGGCAAGAAACGCAAAAACAAGCAAAAGTGACTTGCTGTGGCCGAGACGTCGATCTCTCTCTCTCACTCCATAGCTGCCAGTGAATCGCGCACGGTGGACCAAAACTAAGCGTCCACCATTTCATCATCACTGTCCCCATCGGCATCAGCATCTTCGTCCTCCTCGTCTCCCTCCACCTGCTCTTCCTCTTCCTCCTCCATCTCCCTCGGTCTCGCATCAACAGTACCCCTCCCATCATACCCATTCCCAACTCCCATTTCCATCTCCACGTCTTCCTCCCCCTCGGCATCCTCATCCTCCTCCTCATCATCCTCAACAGCATGTTCAGGAACCTCCACCCTGCCCAAAAACTTCGGCCTTGTAAACACTGCCCCGTTGTTCTCATCCACGAGATCCTCAATAGCGCGTTCATGTTCCGAAGATATCTGTCGTTGTATCTCGTCTTCTTCTTGGGTTGATGGCGCTACTTGCATTTCATCCAACTTGCTGCGGGCGCGACGTGCTGCATTGGTAGGGCGACCGCGAGGCGTGGTTGTGGGCAAGGGAGTGGCTTCCTCGAGGCTGGTTGCGCGTCGCATGGCGGAAGGGGTGGGTTTGCTGCGGGTGCGGCTGCCCATTGGACGGCCGGGTCTGCGGCGGGTGGAGTAGCCGGGGATGGGTGGGAAGATTTCGAAGCGGGAGGCGGGGATGTTGTCGTCGGTGTAGGTGGAGCCACGGCGGACGGATGAGGAGTCGGAAGTGGAGGGTTGGGAGGTTGGAACTTCTTGGGTTGTGCCGTTTGTCGGCTCGGGCTGGGGTTGTGATTGAGATTTGCGAGGGGAGCGGCGGGGAGATCCTTTGGTGAACGATGGTTGGGGTGTTAGTGTTGACGAAGGGGCTTTTCGACTAGCCTTGGGAGAGACATTATCGCCGTTTATGGTCTCAGGATCAGGAGTCGAAGTGCCGTTAACTTGAGCCTGTTGCACGCCTTCTTCGGGCTGCACCGCCTGGAGATCCTCAGGCTCGTCGCGGCGGGCTTTGGTCTGAATAGGACCATTGGCTTCCTCGCCAACTTGGAAGTAGCTTGTGGGTTTTCCCATCATGTAAGGAGCCCAGTGCAGCTTGTCGGGATCAATCCTGATGTGACGTTTCTTGTCATGCTTTTCCAGATACTCTGCCATATAAGACCAATCACAACGCAAAGCGTACTTGTGTGAGCTGGTATCCTTGACGATGGCGCGAAGAGCTTCTAGGGACGAAATGACATCGTCGATAGTCATACCAGTCGCACGGGCTATGCTGGAGAAAGTAATGTCGTAGGAGCCTCGAGGCGCTTCCTTGTAGCCAAGAAGTAGTCTGCACATGACACCACGCCAGTATGAACGGTAAGAAACAAGACCCAGGTCGGATAGCGGCTTCTCGGGCGAGCCGGTTCTACCCTCTCTCCGAGTCAAAAGATAGGAAAATTCGATGAGGGTACGACCAAAGCCGTGGCGCTGATGAACCGGGAAGACCAGGATACAAGAAACATTGTTGCCTGGCGAGTCAGTAGAGTTGGCACCCGAATTGGCTTGAGCATCCTCAATTCTCGGCTCGGGGCCAATGTTAATTGAAGCGCGAGGATCAGCAGGCGCCGACCAATCTCTCTTCTCCTTGGAAAAGTATCCGACAAAGTGGCAACCAAACTCGTCATTCTCTGTCATGACATAGAAGAGGAAGGGCTCAACATCATAGTACAGAGTCTTGGAACCGAGAAATAGCTTGGCGAGAAGACAGAGGTTTTGGCAGTAGAGAGGACTACGGCGACCGTCGACCTCGAAGAAGGATATACTCTTCTTGTTGCCGTCGGCATCAATGATGTCGTCGCGGTAGATTTCGTCGCCAGGGGGATGTTTGTGTGGGCACTTGAGCTTGTGTCTGAAGGCCACGTAGGAGGAGCTCATATACTTGAGACAGAACTCGCAAATACACAAGATGGGATTGCGGTTGTACTCCTCGGGATAGGGCGCTGCGTGCAATGTCTCAATTTCCCAGCCGCCAAAGTGGATATACTTAATCTTAGTAGGTAATCCGGATGTCTTCGATCTGGATGGCATTTCGACTGGTCTGGCTTCCTGTTCGGCTTTTCTAGCTTCATCAGCTTGACGTCGTGATTCATCAAATAGATCACGATCATTTTGCTGAGGAAATGTTTTTGTTGTGTCAGCTTCTGCGTCGGTAAGGATACCGCCAAAGGGTTTTCCCTGTACTGTATCCACTTCGCGGTCAGGAAAGGGGTAGTAAGGATTGTCGTAAAGTGTTGTGGCGACGGCAGGGTAGTGTGAGGAAGTGGTGACCTCCTCTACCTCTTGGACCTCCTTATGCGCGCCGCTCTTTCTCTTTCGATTACCCATCAATGCTCGACGCGCTCTGTCACGTTCGCGCCTACGTGCTTTCCGTTGTGCGTTGACCTGAATGCCTTCCAACTTGGCTGCGCTGATGGGAATGGCGACAACAAGACTTTTGTGGTTTTCGTCGGATACTTCGATGGAGATGATACGCGCGTTTGTGCTTGACTGCGGTTGTTTTCGAAGTCGAGTTGCGCGTGTGGTTGTAGACTTTTCACTTTCTGCCGAGCCACTACTTCGTGTCGTCGCCTGCTCCTTCACTTGATCCCGCGGCGTTACGTTGATAGTAGTTCGACTTTCTGATGCCGTCGACCGTCTTCTTTTCCGTGACGTTGCTCTCGGTGTTGGTTCGTCGGTCTCGGCAGACGAGTTCTTGCGTTTCCTAAGAGAGCGCGAGCCATCCATCGGGTCGTCGTCGAGTATCAAATTGTTAAAGACTGAATGTGAGTTTGGTTTGATGCCACCTCTAGCGGCAGGCAAGAGATCACGAGCTAATTTTGGTACAGAAGATCGACGTTGAGAGCCATCGTTGATGGTCATCCTGTCGACCCCCTGCTGAAGGTGAAACCCATTCTCTACGCAGTCTTGACAAAACCAGGTGTGTGAATTCTTTTCTATAATTGTTGATCCATGTTAGCAAAGGAGTATAATGCATAGTGGAGAAGTCACAAAAGTCAACGTACCTTGATCGGAGCTAAGCGAATTAGCGTTTCTGGCGCACTGCTTGTGAGCTGCAGGCATCAAGTCAGCGTTCCAGGACCCTGACAAAGCTTGACGTTTGACATGATATAAAACTTACAATGATCCCCACAATGACCACATTCGAGATATTCTTCGTACTCGTCGCTCGGGTCGTTTTCTTCGTCCTGGCCACAATACCTGCCAAGCCGAAATCAGCAATCCGTCAAAATGGTTTCATTAATGCGACATACACGCATGTAGAATCTGTGACAACATCTTGGTCTTGCTCTTGAGCAGTGTCGCTTTCTTTATCCCAGGGAGCTTGTGTCGCAGCAGATTCTTCTGACGAGTCGGAATCGTTGTCGCCGTCCGAAGCAGAATCGTCATCCTCACTGGTCTCCGCGTCGCGACTTTTTCTGGCTCTTGATGTCCTAGTCCTTGTGGGAGCTCTTTTGACAGCGCCAACAATCTCGCTCTCGTCATCATCGGGGTCGGCTTCAGCGTCGGCATCTACGTCGTCGTCGTCGTCGTCGTCATCGTCGTCATCGTCGTCTTCTTCGTCTTCATCCTGGTCTTCGGGGACATCATTTTGAAGGCTAGGCGACTGGGTTTCGGGCATGTCGAGATCATCTTCCTCGCCCTCTGCATCTACGCTACTACTGCGCATGATGCTGTGTGGCTATGAGGAATCGCAACTTGTTGCAGGGGGTGTGTGGATCGGTCTTCGCGCAAGACGAGTCGAAGTGTCCTAGAGCCAGGCACGTCTAGACTATGCTTGTAGAGTGCATCGAGAGCGCACGAGATGGTATGCTGTTGAAGCCTTGGCGTTCTAGCAGACAGGAGCCGGCGCAAGTCGAACGGGCAGGCTTCAGGTGGCGCGGCAAGCTGATACGGTTGATAGACAGATGAAGGATATCCGACTGGGCAAAGAACACGTAAAGACGCGGTATTGATAGAAGGTGACGGTGACGTGGAGTTTGTGGTGGAGCTTGGACGGTGAGGCTGAGGTCGATGCGGCGGCGAGGTAGACGGCAGGAGCGATGGCTGGTAGACACAAAGAGCGACTTCTTCGGCAGATGCGTGTAGAGCGACAACAGATTCAGCGAGTATAGTGAGGTAGAGGAGAGTGTCGAATTGATGTGAGATTACTGGGCTTCCATTCACCCCCAGCCTTCTTGTTGTTAGCAGCAGCTTGTGGAGAAGTCGCAAGCTCGACGGCCCAATTGCCGCTTTTGCGCTTATTCTGCGGCCAAACCCCCCATCATCCAGCGCCAAGCCATAGCTGGTCATCAATCGCGGGTGCTGTATCGACGACGAGGGTGCGAACGGGCAAAATACGCAAACACAACTACCACGATGGGTGTCCCCTTTGAAGCTCTATTGCCTTATGGCATCTGTCTTGCCGTACGCGATTGTCCGAGTCTCACTACCCACCCTCATCACTAACAAGATCACGTCCAGTTCTTCGGCATCACCGGCGCCGGTCTCTCCAAGATCAGAAACATCCAGAACGGAGGCAAGCGCGCCAGACACTCCGTCGACCAATGGGACAGACAGAGTGCGCATATTCCTCTCTCTTCGCGACCACCAACACTCCAGAAATGCTGACCCGACTCTCTCACCCGTAGTGATGGACCGCGACCGTCGTCTCACAGGCTGGCTCAGAGGCCAAGTCGACCGCCCAATCGCCCCCGCTGGCTTCGAATACAGCAATGGATGGAGAGTATGTGTCAAGCCATCTCCTACGAGACAACTGGACGCTAACACACGTCCCAGGTCGAGAAGAACTTGCACTAGACGCTACAATTCCACCAGCAATACCCCCCCCCCCCCCCCCNNCGTCTTCGTCTTCTGTACACTTTCTCCGCGGCGCTCAGTTATACTACACTTTCCGAATACCAATTTTGTTCACTCTACCTATGCTTGGAGACTTCATCACAGTACGACGTATTATAGGAAAAGAGACGGCCACATATACATACAGAAACGGGCTATGACATTGTCCAGACAAGTTCAATATATTTGAAGTCTACAAAGCTAAGTTTGCCTCGACGAACCGGCGAGTCTTGGTTAAAGCCATCAATGAATCGGCCAAGTCCCAGTAAGTCACACATGCTACAAGAAAGCAGGAGTTAGGTACAGTTCGACCTCACACCATGCATCCTCAGCTCTCTCCCCAAGTTCTATTCTTTCGACACATCCATATTTGCGCCCTTGCAATGTTTTAGGAACCTGGTTATTACTGCAAACACACGGTAGTGTCGACTCTGCTAGGGGGACCCTGTCTCTCCATACCCACACCAGTACCAGTCGTCCCAGCTTGCCGGCCAGATCCCCCATGTGTCCTTCTTGATCTGTGTTAAAATGCCTTGGGCCTTCGGTAGTCAAAATTTCAAGTGGGTGTCTGCGTGCCTCCTAAGCAGTCAATCTTTGGACTCTTGCATTGAGATGCGCTCTGAGATGCGCTCTAAGATCTGGGGACTCCTTAGTCTGAACCTTTCTACCGGACACGAAGACGATGTCTTTGGTAGGGAAAAATCACTAGGCGCTGACAAGCGATCACAAGCGATCACAATACGCTCAAAGAAGTTGGAACATAGATTATCTGCATTTTTCTATTCGTTCCAAGAAAAAAGAATATAGAACTAAAGCTAAACAGGAAACGCCGATTGATACACGTAGGTACTCACGTTAAAGACAAAAAGGAAAAGAGGTCAGTCGCAACTAAATATTTACACAAGTCGTTTCTGCAAGGAAAAAAGAATCTACTGGCCGGGAGAGACGAGCAGACCATCCTTGTGAGAGTTGTGGTGCCAGCCACCGGCGAGCGCCTCACCACCCTGTGCCTTTGCGTGGTCTGCAATACGTGCCTCCAGCTCGGGGCGGAAGTGACGGATCAGACCCTGGATAGGCCAGGCAAAGGCCTCACCCAGAGCGCAAATGGTGTGACCCTCGACCTGCTTGGTGAGCTCTTGCATCATGTCAATCTCACGAGCGCGGGCTTGACCCTTCTCGAAACGGTGCATGATTTGCTCGGTCCACTTGGAACCCTCACGGCAAGGGGTGCATTGACCGCAAGACTCGTGGTGGTAGAACTTGGAAAGACGGGAGATGGCGCGGACGATATCAGTGCTTTGGTCCATGACGATAACGGCGGCGGTACCGAGACCGGACTGCGAGTCCTTGAGGGCGTCGAAATCCATGAGCTGGTCGTCGCAAACCTTCTTGGGGAGAATAGGAGTGGAGGAACCACCGGGGATGACGGCCTTGAGGTTGTCCCAGCCACCGATGACACCACCGCAGTGCTTATCAATCAGCTCGCGGAGAGGGATGGACATCTCCTCCTCGACGGTGCAAGGGTTGTTGACGTGACCAGAGATGCAGAAGAGCTTGGTACCAGCGTTACGCTCGCGACCGAAGGAGTTGAACCAGCTGCCACCACGACGGATGATGGTGGGAGCAACGGCAATAGTCTCGACGTTGGCGACGGTCGAAGGGCAACCGAAGAGACCGACGGCGGCAGGGAATGGGGGCTTCAGGCGAGGCTTTCCGGGCTTGCCCTCGAGGGACTCGATAAGGGAGGTCTCCTCACCGCAGACGTAGGCACCCATACCACGGTGGATGTAGATGTCGAAGTCGTAGCCGGAGCCACAGGCGTTCTTTCCGATAAGACCAGCTTGGTAGGCCTCCTGAATGGCACGCTGGAGGACGGTGGCCTCGTGGTAGAACTCGCCACGGATGTAAATGTAGGCGGCGGTGCAGTTCATGGCGCGACCGGCAACCAGACATCCCTCGAGCAGCTTGTGGGGGTCCTTGCGCATAATCTCACGGTCCTTGCAGGTTCCGGGCTCACCCTCATCGGCGTTGACGACCAGGTAGCGGGGCTTGGTGTCCTTGTCCCAGTCCTTGAAGTTCATGAAGGACCACTTCATACCAGAGGGGAAACCAGCTCCACCACGGCCACGGAGACCAGAGGCCTTGATCTCGGAGATGATCTGTACCAATCATGTCAGCGAGCATTCCGATTGACCATGTACGCGTGGCAATGCTTACCCAGTCATGGCCCTTGTTGATAATCTCCTTGGTCTTGTGCCAGTCGCCGTACTTCATGGCGCTCTTGAGGTCGGCTCCATGGTGGCCGTAGAGGTTCTGGAAGATACGATCCTGGTCCTGGAGTCCACGCTTGTGCTGGACTGGGGGAGCGTCCTGGACGGTAGCGAGGCCACGGGCGGACGTGGTGAGTCTCGAGGTGGTGGCGTTGGCCGACGGCACGACACGGTGCGATGCCGCCGATGTGATTGCTGATGTGGCGCGCGACATGTTGTTGATGTGTGTAGAGATTGAATTCACAGTCGCCGACCGTGAAGACAAGACGGGTTTCTGGGAGGCGTAGGTGAAGGGTGCACGATGCTCGTGGCCAAGTCCATGACATCCAAGACTTGACCGGCGTGAGAATTTGAGCCAATCAGACGCCGCCATTTGACCTGGCTGACTTTGGCCAATCACACCAGGAACTTTACTCCGTCCTTTCTTGCTTCTTTATCATCTTGTCTATCACCAAACTCTCTCTCTGTTTTCCACTCCTGTCTGCCAGACATTGTTACGGCTACTTTCGCTTTTTCGTCATGCGGATCTGCGAGCAGACTGTAACGAGTGCACAAGCTTTCACAATCTGAACCGGATCCAATTAAAGGCGCGCCTTCCTTATTTGTCTGAATTCACCGCGCATGTTCACGATCCACGCCCAATGGAACTCTATCACATATCATCGTCTGAGATGCGCAGTCCTAGATGCTTACTCGTACAGTTTCTCCCGGCTCTATGCTTGAGTCTACAAGCTTGTCATCTCGCGAACCGGACCAATGATCCAAACCGATCTACCAGACCGCCGACATGACATGGCTGCAAAACTGTATAAGTGTTCGCCAAGTATACTCCGGAAAGTCTAAGGCATAACAATAATCCTACAATAAGAACTCCATACCTATCCGGGAAAAAGCTACACGTAGGTTCAACCGCTCTCGAATGGGACAACGCGTGACCCATAATAAGCGTGAACGATCGCCTCATACACCTACCAAGCCCGGCCTTGAAGGATTCTTTAAACACTTGGCTCTGCAACATCGTCGCACCGGCATGACTCTGAAGGAGTCAAGTCACCGGTTTGGTACTACATCACTACGATCGACCAACATTTCGTTCTTGTTACCGGGGCATGAATCGTCATGTCACATCATTGAGTTTTCATAGTGCCGTGTCGGGTGTCGACATAAATAGGTAACCATCTTCTCTCTTCTTTCGACTTGGCTTGTTCTCTCACCACAAAACATCGATATTCATCACAGCCACGATGTTCTCCACCTCACTCGCTGCCATCTTTGCGCTTATTTCTGTCCAGCAAGCTCTGGCACAATCCTGCTCCAACTACACGTCCACCAACCCTCACGGCGGTGGCATCTACACATCGACAAGTAGCCGTACCTACGTCATCAGCCAAGGTGTCGACTGCAATTCTACGCAAGGCTGCGTCGTCCCATGGGGCGGTTATCTGACCGAAGGTCGTACCGTAAACGTTTCCGATCAGTCCTCATGGGACTCGATTTTCAAGACCATCTCCTCAGTCGTCGACATTGACTTTGCGGAATCCAAAACCTATCAGATTGCCGCTAACGGCTCGACATCGACCATTCCCAATGGCACAGCAGGCTATGTCGGCTTCACGCCCTTCCTCCTTTGCACCACTGGAAGACTGTCTGGCTGCGGGAGTAGCAACCTAGAGGATGTAACTGTGATGGCGTGTACACCAAAGCTTTTGTCTAGCGGCATGCCGGATGGAACGATTGGTCAGGTCACTACCGATGCCCAGAGTGCTGCGGCACTGACTTGCAATCCGTCCAACACAACACAGGCGAGGAATGGAAACTATACTGGCGGTTGCTCATCTACGGAAGACCAAACTGGTGCTGCTAGTTCGGTGAGCGGTGCTTCTCTTCTACTCCTGTCCAGTGCTCTTCTTGTGACTTTCATGGGGCTCTAGAGTAGTTGCTGATCCTCCTATACGATAACATTGTATCAACATCTCATCATACATCACTCCTGCAAGACTCGATTGCTTCACTCTCCAGATGTCTCTCATATATACGTGCCCAGACTCACAGACCCAAAATTCTCTGCCCAGCAACACCATACCAACACAACCCCAATACTGCCCCCATCAAGACCGCCAAAGCCGGTGGAATCCTAAACCAAGCAGACCCCGAATACGTCACAGCAGCCACAACCACCCACCAAGGATCATTAGCCAGACTCTTACCTCTCCCAGCATCCGGAGTCAAATAACCAATTTCCCACAATCGATACACAGCTGTAAACACCAATCCCACAGCCGTAGCATTGATTCCTCTCAATACACTCGCCACCGCCGCTTTCGTCCTCAATTTCTGCCATATCCCTGCTACTCCTACACTTAGCGTCAAGCCTGGAACGAAGATGCCGAAGAAGCCTAACATGGCACCCACGAATCCAGTGACCCCTGCAGACTTAACCCCCAAAGCCCCCAGATAAACCGCAAAGTTGAAGTTCGGCCCTGGAAATGCTTGGATAATAGCCAACCCGATCAAAAAGTCTCTAGATGATACCCAGCCAGGTTGAACTGTGTACTCGCGTAAGAGAGGGATTACTACAGGGCCGCCGCCAAAGATTATGGTGCCGGCGAGGTACATGTTTGTGAAGAGGTTTAGAACGACGGGAGGAGGAGAGATGACGCCGCGGAGGGGTAGGAAGAGGGCGAAGGAAGCGAAGAAGATGATGATTATGGCGAGGCTGGGGTAGAGGGAGAAGGTGTAGGTGTGGTCTTGGTGGTCCGGCGTCTGTAAGGTGATTTCGTTGGCGGTTTCTGTGTTTGTGACCGAGGTTTTGGAGGGTGGATCTTGGGTGCTTGGTGTTGCAGTGCGTCTTTGAGAGGATTCTGAGGCTGTCATGTTTTGTAGTGGGATGCTTGACGTAGTCGTGTCTTCAAGGTTCTCCTCAGCAGCACGTTGGAGGTTGGTACGTTTCTGTCGTTGTTTGGCAAGAAGTTTGTTGATGGCTCGGCTGAGGTACAGATCCCAGATTACGGCTATCACACCACCGATACCTACTAGGGCAGGAAAATACCATAGAGCGGTATAGCAAAGTCCTGCACATGCACCAAAGATGACCAAGATGCGAGATAGTGGATCAGTGATGGCCTTTGTGCCCAGCTTTCGATGACTGTTAGTCAGTGAACTTCACCACATCATAGGAGGAGTCAAGAATTACCTGCACAGCTGCGAGAGCGATTATGCCGACAGTCGAGGCATTAAGACCAGAAAGCAAACCATACACAGGACCAGGAAGAACCTCTCCAATCTTGCCTACACCGATCGAAAGTAAGAACATACCCAGCGCTCCAGGAAGACTCCAGAGGAAAAAGGCAAAGATGGCACACACTAGACCAGCATGATACATGACGAGATTGAACAACATCTTTGTACTCGCCGGTCCAGGCAATGCTTGTGAAACAGCAAAGACTTCATGATACTGATAGATGTCAGTCGTCCCGATCTCAACAATTTGAATCAATCAGAACTCACAGTCTGGTCGCTGACCCAAGCAGCATAGCCGCCCTTGCTTTCAACAAACCGCTGATGCAGAATTTGGAAATGTACGGGCGGGCCTCCAAAAGAAGTGAAGCCTAGATCCCATGTCCTCATAAAAACATCTGCAAGACGGAACAGCAAATGTTGCGTGTTTGGCTTGCAAGCATTGGTCTCATCTCGTTGATGTTCGTAGACGGAATGGAAGCTGAAAGGCATATAATCAGGCCTCAGGTAACCGATTGCTTTATGGATGGAAGAGTGCATGTTTGCATCCAATTGTCACCGAGAACTGGATTGACGCATAGTGAAGAAAAGACCATAAGTCGCATCTGAGAAGATGTCGTTTGTTCTTGGCCGAAGCACATCTCGGCCTCGAGGTTGAGTTAAGGAAGGGGGCGTTGCTTGGGCCAATCATTCGTGATGGAGATGATGGAATTGGTAGAGAACGTCTGCAAGAATCTATCCAACAGCATAACGGTACAGCGTTGTCTCATCTGGTCGTGTTGGAGACATGCAAGATAGGCAGATTCTGTCTTCTGTATATAGTGATCGAAAGTTCCTCGACTCGTGTGAAATATTAGACGAGCCAGGATCAGCTCCTGTAGGCTCGAATCAATGTTGGTCCAAAGGCATGACCGCATACTCGATATTGAGACTCCACAGTGGGGCAGATTTAACCCCGCATCTAAGACCATATCAACCTTGAGTCTCCCCAGCTCTTCACCACAAGCTGCAACACGTTCCATCGCAATGCAATTGAGTTGCGTTACTCTGGTCAAGACAAAAAATGCCGGCACCAAAGAATCCTCCCTTCAGAGCAGAGCAGCTAGGTTCGCTCAAGCGTCCCGACAACCTTCTGGCTGCCCGCCGTGACGTACACGAGCACAGAGCAACCGAAGACTCATTGCCTGCCATCGAGGATCAAGCTATCAAGGATATCGTCAAGATACAACAAGACTGTGGGATCCACGCTCTGAGTGATGGAGAATATCGCCGTCACATGTTCTGGGGAACATTCTTCCCGTCTCTCAAAGGCTTCACCGAGATCCAAGGCCCGGATGCAGACATCTTCAGACCATATGTTCCTGATATTGCTGCTTTTCTCGAGGTAGACCATGTACCTGGTGAGACCGTTATCTGTGATGGAAAGATCGAACACACTGGAAGGAGCAGTTACATCGAGCAATTTGAGTACATGAAGAGCATTGTGTCCAAAGAGCAGTGGGGTCACATCAAGCTCACACTCGCTGCTCCTAACTGGTGAGCAGTTCGTATTCCGCACATCTACAGTTCAGTTTTGCTGATGAGATGATGCGAACCAGGTATCACTTGAGATACAAGACTGGACAGGCTTACCCCAAGGAAGTCTATGCCAATGATCAGGAGTACTTTGCCGACATTGCAAAGGCATACCAGACCGAACTTCAAATTCTCTACGACGCAGGATTGAGAAACGCTCAAGTCGACGACCCAAACCTCGCCTGTACGTATCAATGAGCCATTTGCATATAATACAGGACATATGGCTGACTGCTCGATCTCGTCAGACTTCTGCTCCGAGGCCATGCTCGAGGGCTGGAAGAAGGACAAGTCAAACACTCAGACTGCCGATGAACTCTTCGATAGCTACATCTCCTTCTACAACGACTGCTTCAAGCGTCCCGCAGACATGCATCTCGGAATTCATCTCTGCCGTGGTAACTTTGTAAATTCGCGCCACTTCAGCGAAGGAGGATACGACCGTATCGCAACAAAGCTGTTCCAAAATCTGAACGTCAGCACCTACTACCTCGAATACGACACCCCTCGCGCTGGAGGTTTCGGGCCATTGAAGCAGCTGCCTAAGGACAAATTCGTCGTCCTGGGCGTTGTCACCAGCAAATTCCCTAAACTCGAGAATAAGAAGGAGATGGTAGATAGAGTTTACAAGGCTGCTGATTTTGTGGCAGAGGGAAGCGGAGAGAGTAGAGAGCAGGCATTGCAGAGGATTGGTGTCAGCCCGCAATGTGGATTTGCTAGCCACAGTGAGGGTAATTTGTTGACTTATGATGACATGATTGAGAAGTTGAAGTTGGTTAGAGCGATTGCTGATGAGGTTTGGCCGGGTGAGCCTTAGAATACCATTGGTCTGTCAGTATTTGGTACATATCGCGCTTGGAATCTCGAAATCAAAGTTTTGCGAAGAGATGTGATTGCAAAGGGAACAGTCAAAGTCGTGTTGCGAACATAGCACGTGTCGCAACTGCGACCGGTTGAGCTTGGACCCTCGTGTTGTTCTCGTGGTAGGAGCATGGTCATCACGTCCTGTCTTTAACCTACGAGTAGCTTTCTATTCTGCCTTTGCGATCACTCAAACCGCTCAACTCAACGGCCCTTTTCACTGAAGCATGTCGGAGCCTCCACACGGGATCAGGCTCGACTGCCTTGCAAGCGGTTGATGAGCATCAGTCTTGGCGCACGGCTCGTCCTTAACCAATCAACATGCTCCTCTACCCCTCGTGCAAGAGTATCACTTCGACCCTCGGAGGCGAAATCGCATTCAATCTGCTGCTTCATGCATAATGACTGACTTCGTCACGGAAACATGAGAAGTCCGCGGGTAACGCATCGCCCCCGGGACATGGGCTCCATTGTATAAGTAGCAATGCGAGTACCCGAAGGTAAGTCAGTGGGTGATCTGCTGTGACATTACCTCCACATCATGCTGTTACTTTCACGTCTTGCTGCTCTGGCTGCTATCAGTAGCCTTGCTACCGCTGCTCCGACAAGTACCAGTGGCTCTTCCGCGGTCAATACCACGACTTGTGGTGGTCAAACATATGTCTATCAAGAATTGGCTGGATACGGCTATGTTGCTGGCAACGCGAGAGATAAGTTTGGTGATACCCTCGGAGGCTTAGGTTCTTCGATCGTCGTTGATCAGAGTACTTGGAAGAAGTGTAATCAATCCTACACTGGCACCTTGTGGGCATTACCTGGTAAATATTCATCTATTGAGACAGGTCTTGCAATGACCATCTTGCTAATCTGAGATAAACAGACAGAGGATGGAACACCCAAGGAACCCTTAACTTCCAGAACCGCGTCCACAAGTTTGCGATCACATTGTCTCCGAACTCCACCGCGACAGTTGATTCACCGTCAGGTCCGAATCTGGACCTCCAGTACCTGGATACCGTGCTGTTTACTGATCCCAACGGTACTCCCGTGACTGGTCTGGACCCAGATGCTCAAGGCCCATACCTTCAATTCCCAGGCTTCCCGGATCTACCAGCCACTACCTACACAGGTGATGGATTTGGTGGCAATGGCACAGGAGGCCATCATGTGTCCGTGGACTCTGAAGGCTTGACCCTGAATCCTGATGGCTCGTTTTGGGTTTCTGACGAGTATGGTCCATATGTCTACAAGTTCTCGGCTGAAGGCAAGATGCTCAGTGCAATCAGACCACCGAATGCAGTGATCCCTCTTCGCAATGGAACAGAGAGTTTCAGCGCTGACTCTGCTCCGGTATACAACCCTGACTTTGAAGTAACACCCGAGGATCCTACCTCAGGACGAGCCAACAACCAAGGCTTAGAAGGTCTTACCGCATCTCCTGATGGCAAACATCTCTACGCACTACTCCAGAGCGCTTTGGACCAAGAAGGAGGCTTGAAGAAGAAGAACCGCAGATATACACGCTTACTTCAGTATTCTCTGGCCTCAAACTCATCCACACCAGTATATGAAGCCGAATACGTTGTTCCGCTCCCTCTCTATGGAGATGACAACTCCGTGGCTGGACAATCAGAGATTCACTTCCTCTCGTCCACCCAATTCTTCATCTTGGCCAGAGACTCCAACGCCGGCCACGGACAAGACAACAGCCAAAGTATATACCGCCACATCGACGTCTTTGACATTTCGTCAGCTACGAACATCAAGTCCAGCACCAATGATGCCTTCAACGCATCCATCGCCTCCACAAAAGGAGTGCTGAATAAGAAGATCACGCCAGCTACATACTGCTCCTTCTTGGATTTTAACGTCAACTCTCAGTTGAACAGATTTGGTGTGCATAATGGAGGTGCCCAAGACTCTGGATTGCTGAATGAGAAGTGGGAGTCCATCGCTACTGCTCCTGTTAACCCTGGCTCTGGCGATGGCGAGTACTTTGTATTTTCGCTGAGCGATAATGATTTCATTACGCAAGATGGTAATTGTCACTCTTTCTTCGGAGATTAGTAATAGATGCTAACATGGAATGAATATAGGATACATGAACTTTGGCAACTACAAATACTCAGATGCCTCGGATTACAATCTCGACAACCAGGCTCTGGTCTTCAAAGTCCAATTGCCAGAAGGCGTGACACCACGATGAAGCAAGACAGCTAGAACATAGTGACAAGTCCAACTCGAATCGCAGGCCATATCAAAAATTAGCCTTAGAAGCTAGATCTGTATGATTCGTCCTCAGCACGCAAAGAGATAAATAAAGTTCAATGCTCTACGCCAGTTTGATGCCCGTGAGTATCGGAAGTTCGTGAACTGGCGAGCTATCATCCGCAGATACTATGTGACGGATGTGACACTAAGCGGCTGTCTTCTTGTTCTTACCTTTCGAGCCGCCTATGCTGAGCGGCATGCACAGGAAGCGCCGTCTCAAAGTGGCACATCTCTACCAAGCCACCGAAATCACAGCTTCGAAGCGCCTGACAAGAAGTGATCAGGTCAATGACTCCACTTGCTTTTTGGTGATAATTAGGAACGCAGTCTCTTTTTCCGATACTAGGGACAAAATATCGATAACGAGCCATCACAGCGGAGGTGAGATTCATTGACCTGGACATCGCCTTTCGCTTCGTCTTCTAGCCTCGGTAAAGGATTGACAAATCATACTCGTCCGTATGATCACCTCAGAGTGGTTCTAAGGAATCGGCTTTGAGTATCTGGTGCTCAAGAATGCTCTAGGGACCGAAGTCGATGCTTTTATATCCTTCCAGAGCGTGACAGGCTACCTGGAAACATTGTCAAGAGAGGCTTGGCAAATGTCACCGATCGTGTCATACTGACTGCAGTATAAGCAGGAATCCGAGACACATTTGGTTGGACGAAATAGAAGAACGATATTCTGCTGCTTCCCAACTTTGACAAAGGATGATGATCGGGCATGGCTTGTATCCCCATTGCTATAGGTAGTTTTGCTTACACGCGTGTTCATTTCCGACTTTGTATGTCCTTCCAAGTGCAAAAGACAGTATCAACCACGCTCAGATCCAAGTCCTGTCCATCTTCCGTGCAAAGAATCACTAAAGCGAGGTCTCCCGACCAACATAATGTCGCCGACTTCATCTATCTTGTGTAGGTTTCGAGAGTATCAGGTGGCTAATCTATAGCCATTTCACAAATCACCGGATGAACTATCGGTATTTTTAAAAGTGACTGGCTATCAATATGATGCAAGATTGTAGCTTGGGTGTAACAGATAGATGTCAAAGGCATATCGAAAATCAATCCATTAACACTGGAATGCATCTGATAAAAAAAAAAAACACAGCCCCAGCTCAGACTCACTGACTTCTCTCACAAACCAACAGAGGAAGAGTGGAACGAACATCATGGCCCGGTTTCTCCTCAAGTCTCCAGATATCCAGGAAGGTAGACTTCAACAAGGAAGAGCGAGTCATCAGGTCTCCAACCCTTTTTCTTATCACCTACGTCCCCCCCACTTGCTCGTCTTCGAAACTAGCAAGCATACCTTCAAGTTTACTGACATGAAGAAATCAGCCAGGACCTAGATACACGGACTTGTCTTCTTCCTCTCTCTCGGTCGCTCCCCCTCTCTTCACTTTTTAATGCCGACAAGAAGTCTAGCCACAAACACATTCTGATACCGGCAATGTCGTCTAGATGTGTCAGACATGATAGCTGGTTGTGGAAGCAGTATCAAAGGAGCGGAGAATACTTGACTTTTATATGCTGTTCAACAAGTGCTCTTCCAAGAACTGCAAGTAGACAACATCTTAGTTACCACAACTATCATTGATTCGCGCTGTTCAAGAGCAAAAAAGTAAAAGCTTCACACAAAAGTTGATTGAAAGCAGATTGTCACGAAAAGAGAATCAAACTACCTCTAGGCAATTATATACTACAATATATCCCTTCCAGTCCTGATTCAAACATTGTATAGATCTGATATCACTCAACAAACCTCAGGCTATATGATATAAAAGTAGGCGACCATAGTTTTACTCTCTTCTTTCTCTCTCGAACAGCCAAAACCCCCCCAGCCATGGCTGACAGACTGGTACTGTAAGCGCGGCATTGTTCTCTGCGCCCTATCGTGTTCAGAAAGAAAGGCTTCAAGAGAGATAAAATTGGGAGAGTCATCAAGTCACCAAGTCACTCTCCACATTATCACTTCTGCTCCAAGGCGCAAAACACTAGAGCTCTCTAGACCTTAGGAGCTAATGTAGTCAGAAGAGTTTCGAGCGTCACTGACCTGTGTTGCTTCTTCTTCTCTCGCTCTTTCCACGTCTTCTGGCTGATCCGAAAGTTCAGCAGTGGTCACAATAGCATCTGTATCGGTTCCCCACACTAGCTAGGGCCGCTGTCTCAAGATAGACTATTAGATAATCAGACGCTTCCCTTTTATACTCTTCGTACTTTACACAAAGCGAAAAGTAGATTCGATAGGATAGTGGAAAGATGGTGATGGGAAATAGACTCAGATTATGCAAAAAGGCTTTGATGATGCTGTAATGCTAGTGCTGCTGTTATGTCATGCTGCATGATATGATGCGACAATGTGTGATGTGCTGCTATGCTCGAGATATGCCTCGCTCTTTGCCAATGGTACTCCAGCTCAGAGGGAAGAGGAAAAGAACCCCAAAAAACCCCCCAAAAAAACCAAAAAAAAACGCCCAATACCCAAGACTCTTACTGATAAAGAAATGCCAAGAGATGCCTTTTTTTCTAATGCATGATACTCTGCCTCCACCTGTCAATCAAATCTCTCTGCTTCACCATATTGGGGTCGTGCATCCCGCCTGCTGCTTGCATCTGAGCCATGTGAGCATAAGCCTGTTGCTGTTGCTGCAAAGGCATCATCTGCTGCTGTTGCATAGGCATCTGCATCTGTGCATAGCCTGGCATAGGATACGCCATCACATTTCCGAATTGCGCCGTTGGTTGCATGAATGGAGGGGGAGCATAGCCATAGCCAGGCATACCCCCGGCAGCCATGTGGGCGGGGTACATGATGGGTGCTTGTTGTGGTTGCAGGGTGTTGGGGTCGAAGTATTGAGGTACTGCGCCGGTGGACTTTGAAGATAGGAGGGGTGGGGCGAGTTGGGGTGCTAGGTGGGGTGGCATGCCGCTGGTAAGACGGTTGTAGGAGGTCGAGCGTGCGGCGTTGCGTTCACGGAGCTTTCGTCTCGCTTCTTCTTCTGCGCGTGCGGCGTCGGCGAGGAGGGAGCCAGCTGCGGGAGCATTGTGTGTGCGGGGCAGGGTTTCGAGAGCGACAGGATGAGCGGCGAGGAGGTTGGCGAGAGAGGACGAGGAGCGGAGGAGAGGAGGGCGGACTGTGCGGACGGATGGTGGGTCAGAGGTGTCTCCTCGTTTGGCCTCTGCTTCACGCTCACGTTGAAGACGTGCTCGTCGCTGTCCGAGTGTTTCGTCTTCGGGCTCATGTGTCTTGGCTTTCGCACCTGTGATGCCGCCGAAAGTGCTGAGGATGTCTTCGGAAAAGGCAGTAGACTTGCGTTTGTCAAAGTCTGCAACATCGCCCAGTGCAGTATTGAGCATTTTTTCTTGCTTCAGACGTCGCAGACGCTGTCCGAGTGGCTCATTAGAATTCTCGTCCTCTTCATTCGAGTCTTCTCCTGGCAGTGGAACTGCTTCCGGCGGTGGCATCGCAGCTTCCCGGCGTTGTCTTTCCATTTCTTGGCGGATTTGGCGTGCTTCTGCGGCAGGTACGCCCTTGAGACGGAAGCGACGACTGCTCAATGGCTCGTTGTCTTCGAACTCACGCTTCTCCATCAATCCCAACGGTCGGTCCCAGTCAGATTCGTCTTGCTTGCCTCTGTTGATCAGGCCGCCTTTCGTAGGGTACAAAACACCCAGAGGGACGTCTTCATCTTCTTCATCCATATCAGGGCCTGGGTCTTCCCAAGCGAGTTTGGCGCGTCCATGCTTTTGCTTCTTGTTTTTCTCTACCTGTTTGACGGCGTCCATCTGAAGTAGCGTACTCTGCATGCCATTGGGGAAGGCGTCCGCAGCGGCCCGATTACGAGACTTTTGATGAGCTTTGCGGGTTTGCAACTCAGCCAGCAAAGTGGTCGGCTGGGCAAAGAAGGGCATCTTCATGTCCTGCTCATCGTTGTAGATGCTCTGTTTGTCGGCCTCTACATCTCCATCCTCGTGCGTGTATTCTGGCTGTGGAGACCGTTCTGCTGGCTCCTCGATGTCGAGGTTGCCAAAGTGCACGCTAGCAGGTCGCGACTTGGCAAACTCAGTAGCGGTGTCTCCGCCATCATTCATGTCCAGATCAGTCATCAGACTCATCTTGCTGTTTCTCTTTTTCAATTTCTTGCCATCCGACTTGCCAAAGTCAGTGAGTACAGTCATCATGCTGTTGCGCTTAGACATGAGGGGCTTATCAACGGTGCCAGCGCTCAGCGATCTGTCGTGTCCTGATCTGTCTGCATTGTCATCCGAAGCCAGATCCAGCTTGGAGAGTGTGGCGCTACGACGATTGGCAGGACGTTCTTGAGCATAGTAATCCTGACTGACGGTGCCAGCAAAAGGATGATCAGTGAACACGTTGACAGGGGCGTTGACAGATGCAGCAAGGATGCTGTCGAGGGTAGCCACAGCTGAGGCAGATTGAATTTTGACTTCGGTAGGTGGCCTTTGGCCATCGTTGTCGAAGAAGACAGATGCTCTCAGTTGAGGAGGCAGATTGGCAGTGCTCATTCGACTGGCCTGAAGGTCCATCATGCTTCGGCGGTGTTGGTTGATTTGAGGAGAAGAATTATTTGACTGTGCAGCACCCTCTTCAGCATCTTGATCGCCAAGATCGAGAGAAGGTAGCCAGGGGGCACTCTGTCTCGAGGCAGCGGGCATAGCACTCAGGACCTGGGAACGACGTTGTGCTTGTTGGTTGGCTGCGGGCAGCTGAGACAGACGTTTGGGCAGATTCAACAAGCGAGGAACCGGGGCAGGGTAGTAGACCATTCCATCGTTAGGTGGCGGTTGTGCATAAGACATTGGGCGGGCATACGACATGGGACGAGGTTGACGAGGCGCTCGAGACACGCGTTGCTGCGGGTTATCCTGGCCTTCTTCTTGGATGGTGGGCGAGTAATGCACGCCGTCAAAGTCCTTGAAGAGAGATTTGGCATCACGGAAAGTGTCTCCTGTCTGTGGACGATCTGGAGGGTTCTGAACAAAGTCGTTGTACCCATCTTGGTCGGCGGCCTGTTGGTACAGATCGTGTGCTTCTTGTTGCCACTGTTCCTCCTGGCTAGCCTTGTGTTGATGGGTGTAGTGTCGAGGGATCTGACGGTCGTCTTGCGAGTAGTGACTTTGCTGATCGGCTTGGGAGTAGTGGCTTTGTTGGTCTGGCTGAGAGTAGCGGCTTTGCTGGTCTGGCTGAGAGTAGTGGCTTTGTTGGTCTGGCTGAGAGTAATGGCTCTGCTGGTCTGGCTGGGAGTAGTGACTCTGCTGGTCGCGAGAGTACAGACTCGGATCGTCGTAGTCTTGGTTGGCGTCATGGTCGGGGTCGCTGTGTCCTCTGCTTGCCTTTTCCCACTCTTGATGTTGGGGCTCAGGGGTCTTGTCTGCGTCGTGGTTGCGTCTGTCTTCCTCGTCAAGCATCTCCATGTCTTCGATGGTCGGGGCGAGCGAGTAGTGTGAGGGCTGGCGGCGGGGACTCGAGTACGAGGTGGGCGATGCGAGGGGAGAGTCGAGCGGACGGCCCTCCTGGACGGGTTCGGGCATGCCAGAGGGGCGGTGGAAACTGCTTACTCGTGAGACGGTGGGACTGGTGATGTAGCCTCCGGGCGAGTAGCCTCCCCAGCGAGCCTGCGTGTTGACGTCGACGATCGAGTTGGCGTAGCTGCTGGTCGAGTGGTTGCGGCTCCGCGTGCTGAGGACCTTGTCGATGCTCTTCTGCCGCCCTTCACGTGCAGCGCCGTGGGTGGAGGACGAGGCCGGCGACTCGGAGGCAATGCTGATGCTGCTCGACCGTAATGACGCCCGGTCCTGTTCCTGTTTCATCCTGCGAATCTCGTCGCCAATATCTGATCCCCCCTGACTCATTTCTTCTGCCGATTGCTCGAGGCGCTCGACATTCTTGATGTATGCTCCCTGCAGGCTTTCCAGGCCGGGAGACGGGTGTTGTAGCGATACTTGTTCCGCCGACGCCGTGCGCAACAGTGCATTTGCTGTTCCCCGTGGCGGTGCAGAATACATGGCGTCCCTGTACGAAGTAGATCTCGGCCCTATCCACGAAACTCATCTGCCATGCGCTGCTGCTGGACACACTTTCGTTGGGCACTTGGAGAGAATGAGAGAGGGCAGAGAAATGTGACACAGCAGTCGCCCAAGACCTCTTTCGTTTGCTTAAACCCTGTCCCAGACGCCATCAAAAAGCAGCCATGCGCGCCGCGTCGACAAGCCTCTCCTTGCAACCGGTCGATTCGAAAAAGCTTGGCTTGATACCTTGGTTGGAGGTATTTTTAGCTGTTCAAGCCGCATTCCCGCACCTCGAATCTGTGCTATTTCCAGTCCTTCTCCTGGGATTGTCATGTTGTTTGCCCATCACTTGCCCCTCCTTACATGACTCCATTCTGTTCTCTCGTCTCAAACAACATCTCCAGATTCCAGCCATCGTCACGTCCAGGCCGTTGAAGAACAACGTTCAGAAAAGCAAGCATCCACCAAGGTCATACACGCGAAACAGCCATTTTCTCTTGGCGCACGCAGCTTCCATCTTCTTCCGCCGAACCTTCTTTCCATTCTTCTTGCTTGCCCAATCGACTTTCGCTGCCTGCTTATCTGTCATCTATGCATATCTGCAAGCATCCTTCAGAAAAACGCCGGCATCCATGACTTGTCGATATTGCATCCAAGCAACGCTGTTCTCTGATGACTGCGGCACTTTTTGATCACAAGTCGCTAGTTGGTGTTCCCACGATATTGATGGATGCCACGTTGGGTCCCACTTCCTGACCTCGAGGATAACGACGTCAACCCACAACAAGCCATGCTTGCCCACCTTTTCTCGGAATGCAAGCACTCGTAAACCACGTGGGAGCTCCACTTGACCAACATCTTAGCAATGCTTACTACTGAGGAATGCGGTAGGTCTTCAGCCTCATTTCTTACTCTTTTTCCTTCATACCTATCTCGGCTCTCCTCAAAGAAATCACTGCAGTAACATCAGGCTCGGTCCGGACACGGCATGTAGCTTGTAAGCTCATCTCTGCTTATCGCTTGGAAATAAATCCTTCTCGGCCTGTTGGCAGATCATGAGGTGCGGCCAAGTTTCGCCGACCTGTAGGATCTTTGGTACGAATTATACAACACTGCATAGGCGACTTCGGTATTGTTTATCCAGATCTTGAAGATGATATCGATGTGATGTTACCGAGGATTATCTACTTAGAGTAGAAGATATCACACACGAACGCATGTCCAAGCCCTAGTCATGTGTCGTGTGCTCCACTGTCATCTTTCTGCGCGCGAAGACTTGTCGCCTGTGAAAGTGCAATGGTTTCCATAACTAGCAGAAGTAGTCTTGCGGAGGCCACGAGGCATCCTGCTCTCCCGAGATACAATATTGTAGAGCTAAAATTCCGCTGTCTCGGTTGCAGAATGGCTGACAATCAAGTGTTTCTTGTATATCTTATCAGATGCAATCAACAGCATCAACAAAGTCTTTTTTCTATTGATTATCAGATCCAAACACGCCATGGCGGACAGCGCCTAAATTATATTGCCCAGATGTCTCAATCTCCGCTCTTTCGGTCTTTTGATCATCCGTCTCTTTCTCATGCGAACGACATCATCCCACGTTCAAGTTTTACTCTGGCACAGGCATCTCCATCACTTTTTCTGTATCGCACGGGAAAGGATTTAACCACACACTCACCTCCGCGTCTTCCTCTTTCGGCCCGTGAAACCTTATCTCGTACCTTTTTCCATCCGACCTATTTTTTTCTTGGATACGTCACAAGCAGCCGAAAGACAAGTATAAGGAGAAAAGCTTGTAGACCAATAATTTCGACCAACTTTTTGGCATATTTCATCGCGTCAAAACTGACCTTTGCCCTCCTGGCTTCTGCTTTTCATGTCTCCACGAGTCGTGTGCAGCAATTATGGCGGGAAAACATGAGCACAGTCGACATGCTGACACAACGGCTTTTACGGATTATGGAGAAGGCGAGGTTGCTGGTGGTGTGAATGATGTGTTTGGGGAAGAGGAACATCATCAGGTAAGACTTTTACAACTTTTCTCGGTTTTCTCGTCCTATCCAACGCTGTGTCAAATATAAAAAATCTGGCTGCTCTTCTGGAAACCGACTTGGACGGAGTTTATAAAGGGCAAGGAAGTTGTGACAGAAACATGGATATATGATGCCAAATCCGAAATCGATACAAGACCAAAATTGGATATACTGGAGACCCGACCCCAAACATGTAAAAATCACAGTGGAATTTACGACACAGCAAAGTCGCTAAAGGCTTCGTGGAAGCATGGGCGCAACCAAAATATGACAGGAGGAGTTGCATAGCGAGAACAGCACCACTTCGAGCCACGATATTTTATACACAAGAATACACCAGATACCATCTCTTGTGTGCTGGTCTGTTATACGAGATGTCACAAGGACGAAGCAACATCAATCAGGGAGCATTGTCTGACAAACCAACTGGACACCGAGTCGATACGAAGAACATGTGTTCTCTCTACACAATCTGCTCGCTCTCCACCGCCATAAGGCTGAAGTCGGTTTGACACCTCAGCACGGTGACAATTAACAACCCTCTCCAATGGCACAATTCCTCTCCATGTCTTGTCCGCTCGTGTCCTTTCTTGTCACAGTGTCAGCTTGTCCTCTACCACTGGCTAACACCTTCTCGCCCACAGATCAAATACAAAACTCTCTCCTGGCCCCTCGTCTCCATCCTCATGATAGCAGAGATCGTCAGCAACGGTATGCTCTCTCTCCCCTCCAGTCTCGCAACCATCGGCCTCGTCCCTGGTCTCGTCGTTATAATTTTCCTCGGCATTTTCGCCACCTACACTTCCTGGCTTCTCGTCAAATTCAAGCTTCGTCATCCTCAAGTACACAATATGGGTGATGCAGGCCATATCCTCGCTGGTAGAGTGGGCAAAGAAGTGCTTGGTGCTGGAACGGTCATTTTTGCGGTTTTTGCTACGGGAGGACAGTTGCTTGCTGGTCAGATTGCGTTGAGCAGTTTGAGTGGGGAGAGGTTGTGTCCTGTGTTGGGGGCGGTGGTGTTTGCGGTGCCGACTCTGGTTGGCAGTTTTCCGCGTACGTTGGAGAGGTTGGGGTGGTTAAGTGTGCCTAGTGTGGTGTGCATTGCTGTTGCAGGTATCGTGGGGATGGTAGGTGCTGGATTGGAACCAGAGGAGGGAAGACGTGTAAGAGTTGTTGAAAGCCCGAGTTTCTATACTGCGTTTAGCAGTGTGACGAATCCCGTTTTTGCCTACGCTGGACACTTCATGTAAGTCTTGCACTTACTTCTCCTGTATCCACGCCCTTTGCATCAAGATCCATGCTGATACAATTCAAAGGTTCTTCATCCTCATGTCCGAAATGAAAACCCCCACCGACGCAATGAAAGCAGCCTACACACTCCAAACCTTTGCAACAACCTACTACGCCATCTTCGCCGCAATAACCTACATCTACATTGGCTCCACCGTAACCTCACCCTCCTTTTCCTCTCTACCCTCTACCTACCAAAAAGCAGCCTATGCAATCGCAATCCCAAATTTTCTCATCGCAGGCTGTTTGTACGCACACACGGCTGCTAAATTGGTGTTTGTACGATTGTTTCGGGGCACGAAGCATATGCACTCTCATACCTATCTTGGCTGGACTACTTGGATGTTGCTTGTGGTGGTTATGAATGTTTTGGCTTTTGTGCTTGCGGTTGGGGTGCCGGTGTTTAATTATTTGATTGGACTCGCGGCGAGTCTGTTTGCGGCGTGGTATACATATGGTATCGCGGGTTGCTTTTGGCTGCATGATGTTTACCACGATCATGGTGGTGTTCGAGGGTGGAAGGCGAGATCTTTTCAGGCTGCGTTGGCGGTCGCGACGTTCTTTGCTGGGGGCTTTGTTTGTGTTGCTGGGTTGTATGTTAACATTCGAGGGATCATTGAGGCGTATCAGAGTGGTGAGGTTAGCAGACCTTTCAGTTGTTAGATCTTGCAATCTCGAACCCGTCTTGATTTAAAGTCAGGACTGGTCGGAGCGGCCTTAGAAGTAGCTTGTGACTCTGCATCCGGTAGCTTGCTCGGGACACACTCAACGAAGTTGCTGATCATGGACACAACTTGTCTCTCAGAGTAAGGTCGATACTGATGCCAGAAGACATGGAGCCTAGACGGAAGAGGAAGTAGGGGGGTAGATACGTGACTTCCATAGCACTCTCACAGTCCCACCTCTACACGTTAAGCCTTGTCCGATATTATCCTTCCAAAAAAAAACGGGACTTGTCAGGATCAATAAAACAAAGCGATAGACCTACGCACCTGTCAGTCTGCTTCTCTCTGGCTGTATAACTGTGCCGTATGGTGCGTGGATATAAGGCTCAATGGAGAACGTTACCTCAAGATCACCTTGGTGTCGGTGTCACTCTTCTCTTCCTGTACATAGAATGACATGTTGATTTTGCGACCTCTTTACGAACTCATAAGCTACGCAGATACTTAGTAAAGAGTTAGTAGACTCGGACTGTCCGACCAACACCAGTAATGTTTTGACCGCGGAAGACAATTCACGTTTCCCAAAGGTCTGGCAGTTGGACTACAAGTCGATATAACAAGAGCTGTGCTACTAACGGGACATGGTTAGACCACTCATATCTCGTCGTCTCTGTGTATTCTGCTCCAGTACATCTCTTCAGACGTTCCCGTACAGTCACGAAGACCGATGAGACCTATGATGTCGAAGATGAACTCAATCTTGGTCTACTGAATCATCATGGCTTTTCGTTAGGACCGTGAAGCCTATATCGCCTGTTCAAGAATCGATTAGAGTGACCTCTTGATGCGAAGTGGTTATGAGCCTGGGCCAAGAGCAAGAAGCCGCAGGTCCATGACTTCCTTCTATCTATTGAATTTTTCGAGATATTCTCTGTATACTATGCGCAAGACTGCTGTAGCACCTCTGAAAATTAGGCACGAAATCGTCACATTTGTCAAAGGCTCACTGACCTTGGTAGCTCCTTCTTTTCCTATTGCCTCATCTTAGAGACCTCAACATTCCTGTACCCTCGCGAGACCTCTTGCTCAGACTTCATCGCTGCTTTCTTCGGGGATCGATCACTTGGTCGAAGCGATTGATAGTAGCTTGGAGATGGCGTTCTCATTGAACTGTCGTTGGCCGATAAAATTACCTTGATGCTGCTACTCAGGGCAGCCGGACTCGGAAAGGATGATGAGAATACAATCCAGGTGTATCGCCAATAGATATAGACGTCAGTGTTATGGCAATGCACACATCTGCTTGGACACTTGTCGGGTATGTCTTAGGCAAGGAGCCAAATGACATCTACCGCTACTAGAGGGGCAAGAGATCTCGTTCTTGCTATGCTGGTTCACAAATCTTGGTAAGCTAGCATAAAGACAGATGCACCGAATATGTCGTTATTCTGTCGTACATGCAGGGCGACACGATTTACCGGAGGTAATATGCAGTGACGGAACTAGGCAGGTGATTGAGAAGACTATCCCAGAGTTGGCGCCTGGTTCTTCCCTTCAACAAGATACCGGCTCCGCGGGTGTTATGCTCTTCGTACCCTTGTGAGTGCTGCAGGAGGTATGATCTGACAAATGTCAAGATTCGACAGGGCAGGTTGATCTACGACACATCACAGCCACTGTGGATCGATACAACAGAACTCGGAGACACCGAGATATGTACCCCCATCGCCCGGGATTTAGACAGACACATCCAACCTGACTCATGATACTGGCGATCTGCCGTAGTACATAAGGTTTTGGCCCGACCAACCTTGTTTGCGATTGCCGAATTGACACTTTTGAGGTCTCCATCTTGTACACAAGATCTGCACTGCGGGTGAACCGTCGGATGAAAGGGGTCCAATCCGCTTGCATGGAGGCCAGCGTCAAACAAAAGTCAGAGATTGCGAAGGTTTGATTGAAAACTTTTTCTTATGCATGTGTGTGTCGTGCAGCAACCGTGTACCCACCTAACCACACTGTCCCGAGGCCCAACTTGAAGATCCATTTGTAGACATGGCGACCGAGCCGTGTGGCCTGCATGTCAGAGGTTCGCTGACTCGAGATACCCCTAATGATTTTACTTCCAACGCTCGTCCAGGTCAGTGGAATTGGTACCCAGCCCTATTGTCTCCTGGACACTTCGTTGAGTACGCAATCTCATGCCCTCTCTTGAGCCGTCTGTACCCTGCGAGTACATTGCCAAGTTGAGTATGTCGAGCTTATGCTGCAGGTACGAAGGGGCATGAGCTCGTTGGCCCTTGCGTCCATGAGGTTTTCCAAGGAAGATCGGATCTGGGTGTTTATCAAGTACGGAGGAGAAATTGAACTCGACAACCGCATTTTCCACTCCCGCGAAGATGAAGGGTGAGGTCGGTGATGGCGATGAGAGATTGTAGACGGATCCCTCAGCACTGCGACGCATCCAGCTATTCGGTCCTCTCCATGTCGAGTTGACGTATCTATCTCGAGGATTGATGAATAAGTTCCAGTCTCCAGTGGCAGAATCATTGGTATCTGAGGATCCGGCATAGTCGTATAGGCTACCTCCAGACATGCGGAGATCGAACATCTTGAGTAATCCATGGCGTGAAGCACCGGCTACGACACGATCTCTGCCTCGGGACAAGAGAGAATAGATGGCGGCATCGTCTGTGGGGTCGTGATAGACAGCTGTAGATGGTGACGGCGATCGCATGTCGTGCAGTCTCACGATACCATCATAGCCACCACTGAGGAAAAGATTGCCATCACGACCACCGTTGCTGTCCAATACATGCTCGATGGGATATATCGAAGAAACTCTGACTGTCTCTGGTTCATCCGCACTTCCGGCAAGACCTATTCTCCGCACGGGCTCTTCTACAATGCCTTCTGGACGGATTTCAAAGATGTTGATGGGTGCCATAGATGGCCCTAATCCAATGGCCAAGCGACCGGGACTCAAGAACTTGGTCGACCAGATTCGACAACCTTTTCGACTTTGGGGTGTAGCATCAATCTCACTAACGGGCGCGATTTTGAGCTGCATAGAGTCCACTTGATATAGTGCAACCTTGGAGTCTGATAGATTGGCAGCTAGGTGCTGTGGTTGATTCTGGGAGCTTTCGAAATCCATCGATAAAGACATGGACCGTACTGAGACGCCGTTCGTGACATAATACGTCTTGATGACACTTCCTTCCGAGACAGGCGGCATTTCTAGCAGCTGCAAGTCTCCATTGGCGGTTCCGATGATGATTTGTTCGCTGCTGTCGATATTCTTGCGTTCCTGTTGAGTTTTTGGCCTAAGAATTTTTATGCTGGTGATGTCGTCACGGCCTTCGACACTGCTCAGAGGCTTGTAGGTCCACCACCGCACCCGCGTACCGTTGTTTTCGAATTTCTCCTGTTTGTCTCGAGGTGATGCGCTGCGATATGCGTCTTCGGTTGCTGCATCTCTCACCTTGACACGTACAACCAACTCTGCGCCAGCGCTCCAAGCAACAACTTGTCGTCGATCTGTCCAGCAATTCTCGACAAAGTGCTCGTAGCTATCGACAGCGGGTTGAAATCCCATAGTCTGGCCTCCCGGTCGTTTCCATTTCTTGATTGGCTGCCCACTGGGCAGGGCGATGGCATCACCTGATGGTCCGAGATATGTTGCGAGGAACGCCCGACGTTGCCAATTACGCGATAACGTAGTAAGTGAATGCGCAGCATCTCGCCAGTGTATTGAAGGACTCAACGATGGAAAGTGAGTTTGTGTAAATGTTCGCCAACCCTCTTTCTCGACAAATTCATGTAGAGACCTTGACGTCCTTGATAGATGGCCGACCGAGGTGGCGGGACAATGTGACACAACTTGATTGAGAAGTTCTGTTGGCAGATCGATCAGCGTAGTCGTAGGTGACCTCTGGTCTTTCAGCCGCACACTAAGCTGCTGTTTCTTGAGGTTCATTGCGATCGTTGTTTTCTCTAGAATTCACAGAGTGGATTGACGTAATCATATATAATTTTGGTAAGAACCAATCATCTTATCTCTTGGCGCTTGCCCGGTCCAACGTGTGGTACGCTCAGAGTCATCCTATCTCTGACTCGTCGAATGACCCCGCTCACTTGTGAGCTCCTTGATTCTTTCGAGCGCGACTTGTATTCCTTCTCGTTGACTCATCGACATTTACCTCCTCGATTGCATCTATTGGTCGCTCAACAGTATGCTGGCCTCTGTAGTCTCGGGAGGAGTCGTCGTCTACGTTCTATGTGTCGCTCTCTATCGCCACCTCATCTCGCCATTGTCCAAGATATCAGCAGCTCATTGGTCCTCACCACTGAGTCCTGCCTGGATACTCTGGACACGATGGCGCGGTCGAGAAAATACGACCGTCCTCGCAGCTCATGAACGGCTTGGACCTCTAGTTCGACTCGGGCCTAACGAAATAAGCGTGAATTGTGTGGACGGAGGCATTAGAACAGCAAGTATCCATGTTCCATCCTGCATAACGTAGACGGTCAATACAGAGACCACACTGAGCCCATGTTCGTTTTTGCGAACGTTACAGCGTGGTTGCGAAACGGAAGAGCCTCCATAGCTGCTTCAGGAGAGCTTCTTGTGAGCTTCAACGTTGCTTCACTGTCTCTTCATGGCTTGCTCTCAAGTGTGCAGAAGTCTCTCGCATATCTACGGCACAGTCTCGGAAACGATACTCAAACGAAACGATCACGGGTAGTCCCTCATCTATACGTTCGTCTGGCTGAAGCTCCCCACATCCCTCGAGTATACGAGCCAGGACACTCGGAGTCCTGTCGCGTTGCATGGTATAGACTCGCAATTTCACCTTTAGGAGAGGCGCACTGCGAATGCAGTCTCTCAAGGATTGACACTCCAAGGACTTCAAAGCAGGAGGGCAAAAATGAAGGAACAATGAAGCAAAGGCAAGGTAACAGTAAAAATACCATGGAGCTCTCACAAGTGACTGCAGGGACACTTTTCCTCCACCATCACTCTTGGCAGAAGACCTCTGGAGCTCAGCGTGGCACTTCTGACTACGTCTCTTCGGTTCCTTGGCTTTGCATTGCTAACAGAATGTCTTCAAGGTGTACACCGGAGGCTTTGAAAAAGGCGATTGGTGCTCCAGCGCATTCTCGGCGTACGGCGGAGTGCACAACATGTTCTCAATGGAGAAGCGGGATGCTCACTCAGCGCGCAAGCGCATGATTAGCAACGTCTACGCCAAATCATCGCTACAAGCCTCGCCGGCGCTCCGCGAAATCAGCGAGACGATACTTTATGGTCGGATGCTTCCCAGGATCGCCGCCGCGCCTGAAACTGTCCTGGAGGCTTATGAGCTCTTCTCCGCCGTAACTCTGGACGTTGTAATTGCATACATCTTTGGCCTCGAGCAAGGGTCGAACTTCACTGACCATCCCGAGCTCGGTGCAAAGTGGCTTCACGACTATAAGAGCCGTCAACCATACCTCTTCTGGGTCCAGGAGATGCCCAATGTGTTCCAACTCTTCTCAAATCTTGGTCTTGGCCAATGGTTCGTTCCAGATTGGGTCGGTCGAAAGAGCCTAGACATCGAAGAACAACGCCTGGAGTGGTGCGATGCTGCCGAGGCCGCAATACTGTCGGGAAAGGCTGCAGAGTCTGCGCGTCATGATGCTACTGTCTATGGTCAAATGCGAAGCATGCTTAAGAGGCACGAGGAAGGGGAGGCTGGAACAAAGGAGAAGGACACAAATCAGCTCAGCCGACAGCAAAGGCTGGATCTCGCCTCTGAGATGTTGGACCATCTTGCCGCTGGATTCGACACGTCCGGGATCACGCTGACCTACTTGGCATGGGAGTTTAGTCGTCCATGCAACGCCGCGATACAGACAGCGTTGCGGAGGGAACTGCTCACGCTGAGTCCTGCGACGCAGAGCGTATCGGCCGGATCTATTCCATCTTCGAAAGACATCGACGACCTACCACTGCTTCATGCAGTCGTGATAGAGACTTTGCGACTTCACGCGGCAATTCCAGGAGGGCAGCCCCGAATGACACCAGCAAACACAACATTGGGTCCACCAGGTGCCGAAGTCCACGGCATTCCAGCCGGAGTACGAGTTGTCTCAGCGGCGCACTCGGTCCACCGAAATACCGAAGTCTTCCCCGAACCAGGCCGCTGGCGTCCCGAGCGTTGGCTTGACGAGAAAGGCTGTGTGGATGGTGGTGGCGACAGATCTCGATGGTTTTTGGCGTTCGGGTCTGCAGGACGAATGTGTGTTGGAAAGAATATGGCGATGTATGAGATGAAGGGAATTGTGGCGGCCATATGGTCTAACTTTGAGACGACAATAGTTGATGATGCTGGCATGGAGCATGTGGATGGTTATCTTGCTGAGCCGCGGGGCTCTTCAGATGGCAGTTTTCTACGTTTGCGTTGTGGAAAGATCTGAATCAAAAATCGTCGTGATCATGGTGACGAGCAGCGGCAGCCACCAGCCCTTTAATTTCCGCGGTCGAGCCGTTCCCGATCTGTGTGCCAATCTCTGGAACCAAACTTCCTTCATGTCTCGCTGTCTTGTGTGCCGAAGTCTGCTACTGTGAAGATGCACATTGTCTGTTAAGGAGCGCCCTAAACCACGGATAAGAAGCCGCAGCATGCGTTCCCGCTGGATGCGACCGACAAGACAAACAAGCTTGTACAGTTCTACGGCCTCAAAAGGCTTGGTAAATTGGTCGCGAGAGGCGTGACAAGGTTCTGTGGAGAGTTGGAAGTACGCGCCGGGAGACGACGGTTCGTGACGCGCACGAGTAAATCTATCAAAGGACCCTGACAGGAGGGCACCTTGGAATGGTCATTACTCGCGTGAGTTCCTTGCCCGCTCAGCTGACCAGCATTAAGATTGTTCAACAGAAGCCGACCTTCCTTGTCAAACAGACCGGCGCATAGCTTACAGTCGCATTCTACGACATGAGGACGCAAGTGGACTAGTCGAGGCTCGTGACCCTTACGAGGGCAGAAGATTCAGACTGGGAGCCGAATGGGGACGGTCGAAGCTGGCTGCACACCAAATACGCGACGCACCCACCATCAGTGGCTAGATAGTGGTATCCCGAATCGTGTCACAGAGCTTGGGAGAATGCCGACCTGTGCTCCCCGCCATACTGAAAGGAGTCTTGACTCAAGTACGCGTGTGTCGTGCGTGACGTTTGGGCTGTTCGGACGGGCCGTGAATCCAGTCCATTGTCTCTTCCGCGAGCTACAACTTGTCCACGCGTTATTCTTCGACTGGTAGGTGACGTCGCCGGCACGGCACGAAAAAGACTGGCATAGAAAGTGCTGGTGCACAGCACCAATACGGCTACGAGGATAGGGTTTTCGTATCATGTAGCATAGACTCTGGTAAACTCATAAAGTCAATTCTGCTGTGCAACTGCACGCGCAAGCCACAACAGCGAGACTCGGCCAGTGTCATATGACGACCACATGCATAAGAGGCTGATTTCGGAACCCGGGTGCCACGTGTGCGTCCATTTTCCAAAGACGAACAAAGACAGGCGCTTCCACAAGAGGCATGTCCGAAGACGAGCGCATCCTAATCGGTCCTTGAAGATGATAGCGTCAACGTAATATGCCTCTGCTATTCGACGGAGGATCACGGCCATGATGGATTCAAGACACGAGGGTCTCTTTGAACCTCGAGGCTGGAAGGATCACGAGTAATGATCCGCTCTGTCTTCCAGAAAACGGTTGGTGTCTCCGTCTTCGGCGAAGCTTGTCGAAGGGAGTGAAGGAAGGCACGCCCTGAGAGATTGGCAACGTAGAATTGTCGCAGAATCGACGATAATGAGACATTTCGTGACACCTGTTTGGTGGAAATTCTGATTCTTGTGATGGTGTTCGTGTGCAGATAAAAAGGTCAAACGCTAGACTCCACCAGAAGTTCTCCACGGCCGAGATCATTGGCAGGTTTGACTTGGAAGCGCGACGACTACCGTTTGCGCTTCTGAGGATTTTAAGGTTCTGCCGAACGGCAGCGAAGTGCGCAATAGTTGATTCAGCAGGCATGGACATTTCTCCTTTCTGCAAGGCTACTGAAGGAAATAGCGTTCAAGACATCTACAGGGCTGTGCTAGAAGGATGAGAGAAAGATTCCCGAACGCGATAGCCGGTCGAAGAACACGGCTTGGCGACCGAGGTCCAGGAAAGAACTGAGCTGGCGAGCGAGAGTCACACAAAGCAAGCACGTATCGCATGAGATGCACAACTGCACGCGTTTCGGTCAGAACCTTCTTTTCCCCCCTTCACGCGTGCGATGTGTCTGACTTCCTGGCTCGGAGTAACGTTAACACAGGACCGTCGAAAGGCTACAATGCCTTTGAGCTCGATGGACTTGGCCTACCAGGGCTGTCGTCGTACACGCTTGCGTTGGGCGACTCTCTGAACCTCAGGAGTACTGCGGCTGTGCCTTTCGACAGCCACAATTGAATAACTGAGAATTCGAGCTTAGACCCCAAGCGTGTATGATGCTGCTGTCTTCTGCAGCGCGCAAAGCAATGATTGTTTCGGATGGAGGTACGAATGTAGATGCCGTTATTGGAGTGCATAAATCATGCTGTCCAATTAGAATGGCGCTGGTTGACACCTCGAAATCTGAGACCGCGACGTGCGCCTTCTGGTCTTCGAGATTGTCCTTCGGACGCAGACAGGTGGCTCCTCGCGATGTGAGTCTCTGCGGGACCCTCAGCGATCGAGTCGACGGCTTACTGAGCACCTTGCAAGCCAACAGCCTGGAGTGAGTGCCCTGCATCCTGCATGAACTGCAGATGTGACGGGTTCTGCATATCAATATCTGAATCGAGCACGACCTGACTCGCTGTATGACATGCGTGATTGTGGAGAAAGTCCCGATTCGGCCTCGCTTCCAACAGTCTTGTCTCTAAAATAGTCTTGTGTGCATCTTGCCTGTAAGAAGAGTTGGGGACATATGCATACACACTGGAAATAGCAAATAGTTGTCGGTGAGCACACTGCGCGTTTCTTATGCGATGTTCATGCATGAGCGGTGATAGCGAGAGCGGTACATACATAGAAGACACAAGACCCAATGAGCTCCTGATAGTCGCTTAAGCATACATGCAGGCCTTTCCGGGTTAGCCTCGAGCACTAACCGGTGGAATAATCTACCGATCTGGCAGGGCCCATGATGTGACTCGGCCTGCCCGTCAACACAATAGCTGTGACTATCTTTCAATAGAGTGATGTTTTGAGAAGAGATAGAGACGGTTTGGGGCAAAAGCCATGGCGGGCAAGACCACTTTAAGCAGTCGGTCAAATGCACGTCAGTCAGGGCACTGTTCGGAAGGTTTTTGTCAAAGCCACGTGGAGATTTGAGTAAGAGATGTCTCTGACCGTTGATTTTCTTTGCGAAACCCGAGACGAATAGAAATCATGATAATCCCTGGCTTACAGCTGCAGGTCTGCAAGCCAAAATGCCACGCGACTGCGCGCGTCCGCGAGGAAACGTGGCGCCCTGTGTTCAGTATGTCGACGTCCTTTGACAGGGGACAGGTTCATCTCTAAGGGCCTTGATGCACGACCTTCCGATTGACGGCGATGGCGAGTGTCGCTTGGGTGCACTGCGGGCTGCACAAAAGGCTCGTTGCATAACTCTTCCAGCAAGCGACGGGTTGTCCGGTTGCGACGAGGTGAGAGCGAGACAGTGAGACAGAGAGGCCGAGCGCAAAGGGATGTAGTTGACAGGTCAGGATGCAAAGACCGGACAGCGCGGTGCTAAACGGCCATGTCTTGCATGGCACACAGACGTGATGGCGCCGCACCTTGGCAAGGAGGCGCGGAGAGAAAATGAACACAAGAGGGTTGAAGCTCATATCAATGCGGTAAGCCATCCTGTCATGGGCAGCGGGAGAGGGCAATCCATATCGCCGTCCCACCTTGACAGCAGGAGCTCCCGCGCATCCCGGCAAGATTCCCGAGAGAAATGCGATTAATTGACCAGGCCCTGACGATATTCGTACACGCGATATACATATACGGGAGGGAAGCAGCAGCAGCAGGTGAGACAGGAACAAGGACGGGCGAGGCGCGCGCGGCGCGTGTTCTTTTTATGCTTGCATGTGAGGGAGTGATGAGCGACCAAGGGGTGCTGCGCGGTGCTGTGAGGCTACTTGGGTTGCTTCTGGGGGGCAGTTTTGAAGGAACATGCCACCACGGCTGGGAAGCTGGTCTTGTTGGAGCATTGATTGAAATGATCGCAATCTCCCTTCTCATTTCACCAACCACCAGCCAAACTCCAGGTCCGCCCATTGATTTTTGTGTTTAAGGCTGACAAACCCGTTATCCTCATCTGGAACAGAAGCCGCCACACAGTCATAAGGCAAGACTTTGATCGCGACAGAATCTGCCTAGTCTCAGGTCTGAGACAGTGGTTTTGGTCAGTTCTCAAAGACATCCGGTGACCGTGTTCGACTCGGCATTGGGGGATTTATTATATGGGTGCACTGAAGCCTTCCCGGGACGCTTGCAAGGACTCGGGACTTTGAATCTTTGGTAGCGCATCGAGCGAAAAAGACATCGTTCGCGGGAGCACTGTGACTTTGAGCCAGTCAGATCGTCGACCAGCGCCCAGGGCCGGTACTTTTCCAAAACATCACACACGGTTAGTGCTTTTCGCTGCTGAAGTTACCATCCCATCCAAGTACTCATCGCGGCGCAGAGAGAGAAATACCATTAGGCATCCGCCATTTCTTTCAGCCCTTATTTTATTTTTTGGTCCATCTTGCATCGACGACCATCACCCCTCGGCGCTGCCACCATTTCCACCTGTTCGCGACGGTTGCCCCTCCCGCACGCGTGCGAACCACGGCTTCCTCACGCCGCATTAACTGCCTGTACCGCAGAACTTGACTTGTCGATCCAGAAAGCTCTTGAAAGCTTTTGCGTACGTACGAGTACACCGTACCGCAGCACTCGACTCAGCTTGTCCTTTGCACAGGCCAGTTGACTTCGCTTTTATCACCTTGCATCCACGGATCTCTTCCGCTGGCTCGTCCCGGTTACAGCCCTCAGCCATAGGCCACCCGCAACCATCCCTCGTAGTCGATCGAGAAGACGTGCGATTAACAAATTACTCTGTCAGGGTTTTGTTCTTTGGTCCTGGCATCATCATCTGCAAGCCTTCCATAAGGTTGCCGACCCGCTCTTGAACGTCTGATAGCTTCTACCACTTTGACGCCGCATACTGTTGCTGCACCGGAGGAAGGATCACGCGAACCGTTTCTTCGCCTGGCTGGATGCGACTTTTCCCATTCTAACGTTTACGGACTTCCAACCACCACGACAGACGACCACAACATCTCGCAACTTACATTACTGCGCATGGAAACTTGTGAGGCACATCCAACAACACTGAGACAGTCCTTCTCCGCGTGCTTCACGAACTTTTCATCTCCCCGCGCTGCGCGCTTGATGCCCGACAAGGACCATCTCTGCCTGTCCGAATTTCATACGTCAGAATCAATTAAACGCGACGCATCCGCCAGACGCGTCTCACCCAACCAGATCAGTCACCGGATACTCGAACCTGCTCAGACTGAAGCAGAGAGAGTGGTTATTCGCTCCTTCCCGCACTTTTCGTCACAGCATTATTCAACCGGGTGCTCCCGACTCTTCTCATCAGTCCAGGCCAGGTCTCACAAGGACAATCTGCTAGGTCGTCTTGAGAGCGCGGTTTTGTCGGAGAGCATCTCACATGCTGCTTTCTGATGAACTACTCATATCAATATCCTCCAGAGCAACCACCCTCCAGCAATCGAGCGCTGGATAGGTAAGGCTGCCAACAATCGCGCCAAGTCCCCAAGCTGCGATACATCTATTTTACCACGGTTTGACAGACAAAACTAACCATGTTGTCCCACAGCGGCGATTATGAACTGGTGGTTCGCCAACAACCAAAGGAAGCCCTCGTTACCCAACCGGGCAAAGAGAAAAGTAAGCATCCAACATGCATGTGCGTAAACTTGGAGCGTGATTGCTGATCTCGGCTCCCTACACAGACAGAAAACCAGTCGATCCTCCACCGATTATCGAGCTGAGAGTGACGTCCAATGCGGATCCCGGAAAGTACGTACATGGTCGCTGTATGACGCATCCTTGCAGAACTAACAGTCTCGTGCAGACAATTCTTACAAAGTCCATATCTATTCATGCAATGTACTCTCCAGGTGGATCAGCAGTCCAGCTCGAGTGAGCACTCCCCATCCCAAGTCGTCCCTGGTCAAGAGATTACCGGCCAGAGCGTCTCATCACTACACAGACTCAAGGACATCAACAACGAAGGTAGGCGTACGAGAGGAACTTGGCTGCAAAGTACTTTAGCTGACCACGCGCGGCTTAGATGGCGGCTTCTTCGTGTTTGGAGACATCTCGATCAAGTTATTGGGGAAGCATAGGCTCAACTTCAGCCTTTTCGAGCTGCGAAAGTACGTGGTGGACGGTTCGTGATCTCGACAGCTATTGACATTTGACAGGGATACTGGCGAGGTAGTCTTTCTTCGATCCATCACGTCGGAGCCCTTCGATGTCGTGCAGCAAAAGCAATGGCGCGGGCTCGTGGAGTCCACGCATCTGTCTAGGACCTTCTCAGACCAGGGTGTACGACTACGACTGCGCAAAGAGAACCGCAGCATAGCTGGGTATGGCGTCTTTGGGCACGAGAGTGAGCATGCGACGCTAACCACCGGCCACAGTTCCAAGCGCACCTTCCCCTACTCTCCTCGCAGCAGCACACAGGCGGGACCCTCTTCAACTTTTGGCTACGACGATGATCCGAACAAGAGACACCGCCCCAACGAACACGCCCAGCAACAAGCCTACTCGATGACTGAAAGAGCCCCTCTTGCATCCTACGATCCTCGACCGGCCCCGCAGAACATGGCCCCAACACCCTACAACATGCAGCAACAAGCTCTGCTCCAGTCGCCGCAAACCTCCTACGGCTCTCGCACACCTTCTGCTCCACGTGGCTGGCCGCACTCCCAGATCTTCAACCCTACTCACGGCTCCACATCTGCGCCAGCAAGGTTCCCCGAAGGTGCTGTTGAAACCGCACAGGGTATTACTCACAGCCCTGGAGCTGTAGGGTATGCATTGCAGCCTGCTCCGTCTATGGGACACGACTCCGGCCCTTTCCCACGAAGGAGCACTGATTCTTACATGTCTGTCTCACATCAGCATCCGCAAACAAGCCCAACTACCCCCTTTCAAGGTCCAGGAGCTCCCATGTTCATTCCTACCAGCAGCAGCATCCCAGGACAGTCGGCGTACACTAGTGAACACGACCCGGCCTCCATGGTCAGACAGCACACTCAAGCTCAATCTGTCGCAAGTCCTGCCTCGTCCACGAGATCTGGTATGATTCAAGCAGCGCCCGCTTACTCCATGCAACCTCAATCGCTGCCCCACCAGACTTATGGCGCCATGCCGGAGAACCCATCCTTCGAATATCAGTTTCGACAACCCGCCTACCCACCGCAATCACTTTTGCAACAACCCTCAAGCAACCCAAATCATGAAATTGGCCGCCATGCACAGTCCTTAGGTACGCCCATCGATATGCGGACTACACAGCTGCCCAGTCCGTACATGCAGCAGCAGTCGCATCAGAATCTGGCCATTCGCCCGCAGCACCCTGGAGAGTCGTACGGCTCGACACATCAGCCCCAGCCGTACCCACCGGAGCTGGCAGGGCACCCGTATCAAGCACCTGGGCAAGTACCCTATCCTCCCAATCAGGCACCCGACCCCTCTCGACCGTACTAGGAGACGGACAAAATACCACGATCAGACTTTGACGCAAGGCGAGACTCTCTACATGAAGGCAAAACAAAACACGACTACAAGCATCGTCCCGCGGACACGGGATAGAGAATAACGACCATGCTGGACCACATCCAAACACGTTTCAAGATACAATGAATGAGCTGGACACTTGTACAGAGCTGTGATCTTTACGAAGGCACATACGAACAAAAACACTACAAACACGAAATCCAAGATACCCGCGCACACCTACACCTACACCAATCTTCAACAACGCCATATACCCGCGCAGACTTGGCTGCGTATGCTTTTTCGTTTTCTTTTCTAATCACTGATCATTCCTAGCGAGGAGTCCTGGAAGGCACCTTGGGGACGGAATATCCATCGGCTGGCTTGGGTCTTTCTTCTGTGGTTTCCTTTATGTATTACTGCCGATGGCATTGCACAGGACATCACATGGCTGGAAACCCTGTCTTTTTACCAACGTTGATTACCCCTTCCGTGTACTCTTTTGTACTGTTTCCCTTGTTTTGTTGTATACATATACCCCTCTGTCAGAATAGAATTGTTGTGATTTCTGTTTTATGCAACTCCAAGCAACACGCATCGTGCCTGCCGTTTGCGCTTCGTGCATGCCACTCGGCGAGCTGTTGACTCATGCTCGCACTTGTCGTCGCAACACCGTGGCGACCGTGACATCCCAACGAGCATTGCACTTACCTCATTCTACTCTATGAGCATGTCCACTGTCGTCACCGCAGGCTGACCTTTTGAGATCGCGAAAGCTTCGAAGCGATCTCAAATACTTTTGGAAGTAAAGTTTGCGCCGACATGAGCCGGAGCGCATCCCGGCAGAGACCCACGTACTGGCCCGTACCGCGACAGCGCTCAAATCGGCACGGTCAGCACCTGTACGTAACTTTCAAGAGATGGTGCTGACCGAAGGGGGGGGGCAAGCATTGGCATCTTCTCAACCGCATCAAACCCGTATCTAATCACTGATAGATGTTCGTCAGTTTCAGTTGACTCACGCGCTCATTGGGGGTGATTTTGGAGAGCGTGAATCTTCGACTACGAAATCCCCGCGCAGTGCGTGCATTTACACACCTTCAAGTGTCGATGCTGAATCGGAGAATAGGCGCCGTGCATTTGGACAACTGTAAGCGTGACAGAACTTTAGCACTTAGGTCATGAGATCTGGCGGTGCCGGCTTGGTGCCTGGGCTCCGCTCTCTCTTGTCGCCGCCCTCGCCACAAGGCTAGAAATGTCTGGCCGACGACAACGACCAGCCTCATACGGTCTTGCCTGTTCGGTACCTCGAGTGCCGGCATACGGCCACGACTACTGCCGAGCCAAAGTTGCGACCAGAACAATGTCTTGGTAATGTTATTCCCTTGCCCTACCTGACGTCGGTATGCGCGGTTGCGTGGAGTTTACGACGCCGCAAGGAGCATTTGAGTTCGGTTTCTATAGACCCTGACCCTGAATCAACGACGTCGCCGTCGAAGCCGTTCATACCGCGATAGTTATTGCGATGGAAGCACATTTGAGACCTACCATTTCCCTTAATGAGCGGCGAGTGCGAGGAAACGTCCATACCGTTTGGTGGCTGCTTCCGGCTCAACCTCCTCATTGAGGTCATCGAGGCGTTCATCGTGGCGTCTCCGGCGTGCCCGCCTCGACCCTCACCGTTTACTTACCTTTTCACATCGCGCACGCCGTTCCTGTCTGGCCATTTCTGATCAGGCGCGCGCTTAGGACTGCCTATTCTGCGACTTTTGTCTCGAATCCAGATTAGCCGCGGGCACAGCGACGCCGGATCGACGCAACGTCGATTGGATATTGTCAACATCTGTGCAATATGGTATGACGAGGAACAGAACCACTCCTCCTTTCTGCCCCGAACCACTCCGATCTGAACATCACTACGTGCGTAACTGAGGAGTCTTTCATCATCACCATCATTCCACCCATAGCTCGGCGGCTCGTTGTGGTATAACAGGCCGACACTACTGAGCTTTACCAGACAGCTGGGAACACACAATTAATATCGCGGCTATCTGACTATGAATAGCGAATCAGCAATAATCGATCTGGGATGACCGGTCCACCGTAGCAACAGTGCTTCAATATCAACACCCCCATCAACACAGACCCCGAGTGTCGGATCAATGTGGAGACCGAAGCCCGAGCAAGGACGACGTCAATGACGATTTCTTGGAACCTCGCTAGGTAATGCGAGAACGAGCTGGGAATATCGAGCGTTGCCTGTATGGATCAGGACGACGAACGACTATGATTGTTTGCGAACGACTGCCACAACTGTGGACTGACTCGAACTGCTCCAGGGGCTTAGAGCGTACCGTGCCCCCTTGCACTGACTCCAGACGAGGTACCCAGGCGCAGAAGATGTTCGCGACAGTCCAGAGCCGTACTCAAGGTCTTGTAGACGTGTAATCGCTCCAGGTAAGGCTGCTCGATAAGACGGCCACGCAAGAAGCCCTCGATACGCGCCATTCTCTTCGGAAAGCAGCTACGCCCCTCGATGCTGGCTAGCTAGCTGCACAAGAGATGCCATACAACAAGCACAGTTAGCTGGGGCTCATTCCGATCGCGGCTGAGAACGGGAGAGCTCTAAAATTACGCACCGAACATTTCGACGATCATCCACTATGGATCGGTGAGGTCGGACCGCTATGTACAGCGCGAGACGAAGCCAACACATTTCGACTATCTCCCAAAGTCTGCTCTGAGTCGACAACCTAGCGAGATCACGAATATGCACGTCGATATTCTGCATGAACTACATCTCGTGACATGTACATCATGTGGACGGGAAACTGCCCTTTAGAGGTCACATACTATAGAGCCTTCTACCGGCTCTTAGTATGACTATCTGCATGCCCTGCTTCGCTATGTCTACGAATCTCCGGAAACACTACCTGCGCGGTCATATGACAAGCAACTATTGGTGCAGGGTCATACAGAAATCCAACTTGCTCGGGTCCTGTAATATCTACACTCATTCATTTGATTCACAGGCACTGTCTCGAGAGAGAGCGGCTCGATATGGTCATCTGTACCATGGTAGGTTGTTCGTCTCAGTCAATGACAGCAAGCGCTGCAACTGTTTTGCAAGACCTCCTTGTGCGGAGATATCTGTAAGCTTTAAGGTCTTGTGTCGAAACCACCCCCTATCTGCTTTCGTGCATGTCTGTGATTTGCTGCCTAGAAGTTTCACATTGCATTCATCTCAACCATATCATCTGTGTCTTTCTTCGTCCATGCTATCATCTGTGTCTTTCTTTGACATTTCTACGTTCCTCTCATGCGCCTGATTTGTCCTTGTTACGTATGCTCATTGCCAACTCCTTTCGGTATAAGGCTTGATCGTCCACATGGTATTGGGACAGTTACTTTCCAGTTTACACACAGGCTGGCAATGAAGTTCCCTTGCGATATACCTTCCTTAACTGGCAGTACTTTTCGTGGTCTCATCTTGTTTCTATCTCTACCTACTAAGTAAGATCTTACTGCTGGTTTAGTACTTGTGTCAAAGGCAGGGCTGCTGCTTCGGTAGACTTTTGCAAAAGGCTGTGGTTTCTTGGATATTCCCTGAGGATATCGGATCTCACATTGTAGCTGACTGTGCTTTCACGGATAGTTCTCATGCAACATGATCGGTATTCAAGTGTGGTTTGTAGTTTGGTTACTTTGAGTGGTGTATGTGGACAGGGTGGTAGCTTCGACGACTTTCTGGGAACGATGACGAGTTCAAAATGGCTCCAGAGTTAATACACTCTGCTCTATAAGCTATATAAGAGTATATTACCACCAACTGCGGACTGCACAATCTCAATGGGCGAGATTGTAATTTTTGTGTTTGCCCATTTTTGTGACCAAGTAGCCAGGGTGATCCCGTTAGCAAGCACTTTTCGCATCGATATAGCTCTAGCTTGTCGACCATTGGTTCTAATGACTGTCTACTTGACGATTAATAGTATCATAATAGGCTTTAGACGAGTTTGAAGGATTGGCGTAATTAACACACTAGGGACCTCGTAGTAATCGAGTATGCGCTTCAAAATTGTCCATTTAAAGAAGTGGACTAGTAAGCATGGAAAGAGCTATTACAATCATTCGCGAAGTCCAGGCTAAGAAAATCAGGCGTGATATAAATTCAGTATGGTCTATAGTAATCGCTTGGTATAGGAAGCTCACCTTAAGAGAAATTGTCAGATGTGTTCTAAAGCTAGTCGCGAGACCTGATGGAACAGTCAGAGACAGGGTGATACTTCTTGACATGGACAGACACCTGAACCTTTAGACTGGAACTTGGCGAAAGATCTTTGGACAAGGGTGTGATCTCCGTCATGGATACAGTGGAGTGATGAGATATAGATATACGATGGCTGATTCCAGCACAAGTGGGCATGAGTAGGATGTACCTTGTCAGTTGTTGAGAACAGTGACGAATGCCTGTGCAAAACACTCGTTGACAGTAGTCAACGCGATATGGACGAGTCTCGCGCTTCGCGTTCGGAATCTACCAAGGAGCAGCGATGCCAACGTCGCCGTGGCTATCGTGCTTGGCGGAGCTCCATTGTTAGTAACGCGTCCGGCAGGAATACTCGGGATGAACATGCTTCGCCGTTCGCGCGACGAGCGACAGCCGCGACACTCATACACAAAGGCGCCAAGAATGATCTGTCTTTGAGCGTCCCGAAGACGGAACACAACTCGTCGATGGTGTTGTAGGTCGCGATCCCTCACCTTCTCCGTGACGAAAAGTGCGTGCGACTCCAAGCGGACACCCGAGCGAGATCGCGATCCCCTCGGAGAAGTGCGAGGTCTTGGACAACACATCAGAGGGTCATTGCATGTTCTGGTCGGCCTTTGGTTCATGGTGGATTACCACCGACAGCGAGCTGGAGGATGACCACACGATGCTTGCATACCACCGAAAACCATAGCATCCACAAAGACGACCCTGTTTGTCTCGACCAGTTGACTCACTCTGGTGATTAGCATGTTCCTCTTCAAAAACGTCCGCAGGTGTCCGGCAAAGTTCACGCAAAACGCCGTTCGCAGTGTGGAGTTCGTCGCGTAGGGCTTCGAACCACGACTTGGGAACTCTCACTCCTCATGCGGCTGAGCTGAACGTCTCGCACCCATACAAGGACTGTATAGTCGAAACATTTTCGAGCTTCTCCAGGTCGTGATGATATCAAGCGATTGAGCATGATTTAACGTCGCGGTATAGGAAAATGCTCTCTATGAAGTCAGCGACTCGAAAGTACCACAACACATCTCGCGACTTCATGGAAATTCTGTCGAGCTGTGAACACAAGCTCGATATAGTTTGAATGTATTGACTGCAGATGCGCTCTAGACCTGCTGCTCGTACACTCATCTTATGTCGATACGCCACATACCACAGGGACAAGATCGTGCTCAGGAGTCGTGGAAAGTGGAATGATAGATCTGCTAAAATAAGCAAACTTCAGGCTCGAGGCTTGGGCCGGCGAGGTCTAGGTGAGTCGGACAGAAGCTTCGTCCTGACCGAGAATCAGACTTCGTCGTTGGGACCTCACGACACTCAACCGACTCCTGAGCAAAGCACGTGTGGGCAACGAGCACTCTTGAAATGGTCAACATTGTCACAGAAATGTTGTCAAGCAACACAATCAGAGGTCGCATAAAGCCAGTGATACAATACCAACCTTATTGATACCCTATCGAGATCTCAAATACGTAACCGAGTATTTGGATCTGGGCAGACACGAATCGTGCCCTACTGCGTATGACAGTGCGGATAATACGGAAGTAAAGGTTTGATGCCTCAATGCTTGTTGTTGCCGAGTAGCATTGTTATGATGCCAAGCGATAGACACCTGCTTCTTCGAGCAGTAAAGGTAAAGGCTGACGCCTTCCAAGCAGACCCAGTATGAAACACAGAGCTGAAGTCAAACAATGCTCGAGTCTGTATACATGTCTCGCGTATGCGCGAACGTACGAAGTCATGTTAGAATGTGCCGTTTGCCTGGACTGACACACGAACGCCGTCACCGGGGGAAAGTGTCGACCTTCTGGCGAATGAGAGTTAGAAAGCCGGAAGACCGAAGGCCAGTATGTGAGACAGTGTCTCGCAAGAGCCGAGAGGTCAACGGCCGTATACGATCAGGGCCTTTGGTCCGTATCGATGCGCGGAAGTACTCTCGTCGCGTTAAAGATTGGCCAGAAGGGTCGACAGGAAGAAGCAACTTGAAGGCGGCCGCATGAGAATGGGTCTTCGCAGAAAGATCGTATGATATGGAGCAGGGGGCACCAGCCATCTACAGAAAACCCGTGGCAGGGACTGTTGAAGCACACGGACGTTACCGGCGAGCAGTTGCAGCGGTCGGCGGGACTGTTGACAAGGCGAAACACATGGTAATCGCAGCTCGAGGAGTACGGATGAATTCTCTACACAGCTGCTTGGCAACGCCAACCTGAGGTGAGCACAAGAGGCAAGCCGGCAGACATGATGTAAAGCTTCACAGCAACGATTACGCCGAATGTCTCAGACGAAGAAGATGCCCTGACGGTCTCACCTTCCCCGCGATCGAGCAGGATCAACAAGCCAAGGATAGTGATTGACAAGTCGTACTCGGGAGAAAGATGACAGAAACACTCGATCTATCGAATTGGCGTGTTCAAGTCGCATGCTGAATCGAGCGCCTTGTCGAACCACGAGCCTGGAAAAAATCGAGCTCAGTGGAGCCTTGGTCTGTTCCGTGCGCGCCGGATCGACGCCCACGAAGCCCGACCCTGGAGATCATCAACGGTGCTTGGTAGGAAAGCCCACAGATTGAGAGGCATGCTTCACTCGTCTGGCCCAATGTATAACGAGCCGACAGCGCACTAGACAAAGGGCCTTACTAGTTGGTGTACGATGAATCCTCGTCAAGCAGATATAGATAGCATGAACTTGTGCCTCATAGACAATCAACGAGCATACCACGACTAAGCCATGAACCCAGGGGGCGTTACTACTTCGGGTACCTTGATGCATCCGTGCATATCATGCTTGGCAACTGGTTGCGCAACGACAACGAAGATTTCATCTTCGTTTCCAACCCCCTCGGACCGCTATCCGTTGCTTATTCTCGTTGACGAACTGTCGAAACCAACGATGGGTCGATGGAAGAAGATCCAGACTACCGGATGATGTAGACGAACAACGTGGCTAATCATAGTACAAGAGCGGTGCCTACAGTGCATCAAACAGACGAATGCCAGAAGACAAGCAAATCACGGGTTGACAAGCCACTCCGCAGTATTCAATAGTCTGATGGCTCGGCCTTCTCAGATTCGAGGGGACAGGCTTGGACGCCGCGAGCTCTTGCCAAAACAAGGAGGAAATAACACAGTAAAGCCGGATCGAGGGTTCCAGCGACTGAGACATCGTGAAGGACTCGACCGTGGACGCGGCCGCGGCGTTCTACAACCGACGAATTTACACTTCCGGCAGTGGGCAGGGACCTTCTCTAACTTTCGAGCACTGATGTCAAGCGCCCAGACCTGGTATGCCAAATGCCTACAGCCACGAATAGATACCCATCCAGAGCAAGTATATATGTAGGCTTCATCTTCCTCCATAGCATTCTTTTTCATCATCAGCATCTCAATCATTCTCTCAGATCCAACACTCTCTTTAACAGATCTCTTACCCAATACACTCTCTACAGAGCAATCAACCACCAACTTTACCATTCTCTAACACCCAATCACCAATCACACTTCTGATTAGTTGATCAAAATGCGCACTGCCGCGACTTTCCTCTCGGCTGCAGCCCTTACCGGTCTCGCAGCCGCTTCTCCTGCTCCTCAGCAGCTTGACTTCGACCAGCTTGCTGCTGCTCCCACTGTCCAGACTGCTCCCGTTCTGAACGGTGTCTCCAACCAGACTGTCACCATCAGCAGCGCCGCCATAGCTCAGTCCATCTCTGCTGCTGTCAGCACCCAGGCTACTGCAGTCTCATCTGCTCCCGCTCAGGTTGTCAACAAGCGCAACCTTGACAAGCGTACTTCCGGCGTCTACAACTGGTGGAACTGCTTGTTCTGGGGCACTCAGTGCGGAAACGATGCCCCTGCCACCACCTCCACCTCCAGTACTGTCAAGCCTACCAGCACCAGTACCAGCAGCACCAAGACCTCATCTTCGGTCGCCGCCAGCGCTACTGCTTCTGCTGGCTCTTTCTGGTTGAAGGATGCCAACAACAAGTATCTCGGATGCTCTTCCGGTAACGACGGTGTCGCCAGCTACGTCGCCAGCCAGGCTTCTGCTGTTGCATTCACCATTGACAGCAAGACTGGATACCTTTACCAGGCCGGTGCTGCTCTCGCTGCCAACCGTGGTACCAGCGCCAACCCTGAGTGGACCTACTTCAGCACTTTCACCACTCAGTACAGCTTCATCACCTGCTCGCAGAACACTGCTCAAACTTGGTTGGAGTGCAAGGCCAACGGTGTCTTCCAGCAAGCCATGACCTGCAACAACGACGGCAAGCTTTACTTCGCTCCCACTATCCCTGCTGCCTGCGCCTGGGTCCCTCTCTACTACGTTCCCTGTACTACCCCTTCTTCTTCCTCCTCTTCCCAGATTGCATCCACCAGCTCTTCTTCGGTTGTGAGATCTAGCTCCAGCTTCGTTGCCAGCTCTAGCTCTGCTTCCAGCTCTAGCTCTGTCCTCAGCTCAAGCTCGTCCTCGGCTGCCGCTTCATCTTCATCCTCCGCTGCCAGCTCCACCTCTTCCGGCTCTGCCACTATCAACACTGTCTCTGGCACCACCTCTTCCACCACTGCTTGCCCCACCACTCCTGAGGACGGTACTTACTGCGGTTTCATCAACCCTGAGGACCCTTGCGCTCCTCAGCCCGATGGTTACGGCCCAAAGGTCACCCCTGACACTGACGATGCCTTCGTTTCTTACGCTCCTTTCCACAGCATGGCCTCTGCCGCCCCTACTGTCGTCCCTAGCAACAACGGAGCCGGCAACGCTTACCAGCAGACCTTCAAGGACCTGAGCGGTTCATCCAGCGCCAACTCTTACCTTGGTCTTTACACCTTGACTTCCTACAGCCCTGCCGACTGTGCTGCTCACTGCGACACCACCGCTCTTTGCACTGCCTTCAACATCTACATTGAGCGCGACCCCAGCCAGAACCCCACCAAGAACGACTCCACTGCTCCTACCGTCTGGGGATACTGGTGCCCTCAACCCTCTAGCATCACCAACTTCAAGTGCACCCTCTGGGGCAGCAACCTCGATGCTTCTACTGCTACCAACCAGGGCGGATACCGCGAAGACTTCCACGTTGTGATCGCTGGTTCCAACGGATACGATGCTACCAACACCACTCTTCCTCCTCCCGTTGTTGACACCGTCGACAACTCGACCTCCACCGCTGTTGTTTCATCCATTCTCTCCACCGTCACCGCTGTTTCAAGCTCCAGCTCCAGCTCCAGCATCTCCAGCTCGGCTTCGTCGGTTTCTGCCTCCGCTTCTTCTTCGGCCATCAAGTCTTCCAGCACCTCATCCTCAGCTGTTGCAACTCCCACTGCTACCACCCCCAAGGGACCTACCTGGTCCTCTCCCAAGACCTGCGGTGGCAAGGCCATCAACGCTCCCAACTACTGGATGGGCTCCAAGTTCTTCCCCGGCCCCTTCAACCCTCAGGTCTGCGCCGATTACGCCTCGTACCAGCACGTCCTCAACAAGAAGTCTGCCATCGCTGCCGGCCAGTCCTACTTCACCCCTTGCAACAGCTTCAACGCCTACTACCTCCACAAGAACGGTATCCCTCACGGTACCTACTGTGCTCTGTACGATGCTAGCATCTCCACCAGCTACGCTACCTACACCGGTGGCTGGTCTGGCAGCAACAAGTACGACTGCAGACAGTCATACCAGTACACTCGCCAGACTCTTGACCAGGGTCGTTGCTAAACGGCTTCAAGACAATCATTTCTTCACGAGGAGTTGCAAAACGATATAGATAGCGCGCGCGCACATTGGGATTTCTTTTCTTTTTTTCTTTCGATCTTTAGAGTCTGATTTGATGCCACGATGCGAACCCAACACGATCAGTCCTTACATGTTCTGTATTTACCAGCAAGGTGTTTTTGATTTTCTTTTTCTTTTCTTTCACATAGACAGTTTTTTACACATCTCACAAAACCAAATTTCCTACAAACAACATTACTCTCTCTCATCTGTTCTGTCTCATCTCCTGTCTGACTCTAGAACAACCAGTGGCTTGCTGGACTGCCTCGCTTCCAGCCTTTCCCTGGAAGCGTGGTGCCATGTCTCAGTGCCACACGTCGTAGAATTCAATAGAAGCAACGGCGAAGGAAGTTAACCCTGCAACGGTTTGCGCCAGCCTTATGAGAAAGCGCTCGGACTTTCCAAGACCCGCTTCACAAACACGAAGGCTGGGGAAAGACAAGAGATGTTTTGGAAGATGTGAGATGTCTCGAAGCCTTTTACTCTGTCATTCCGTTTCATGCTGTGGCAAAAAGGGGTGTGTCACGATGCCCTTATGGAGGCGAAGCTGGAGTGCTTTTGTCAGGAGCCCAGTTGCAGGATTTCATTGCTTTGTGCTTGTCTGCTTCGGAAATCGCTTTGAACCACCAGTATCTGTTGACTTCATCTTTTCTGCTAAGAAGATCGTAGTAGGTCTGGTATATGCCGCCTTCGGACAAAGCTCTAGCTTGAACGCACTCGCGAAATACGAGTCTGTCTTGTTGCATGGTAGCTGTGTTTGTGGTCGCATAGTTAAAGGATGCGCTCGAGCTGTGAGTGCTTGGTCGAGGTTCGTGGGTAAGGAAGCGAGGATATGCTGCAGCGAACTGGAGGGGTACCATTTCTGCCCAACCCAAGTCGATGACACTGCGGCTATCAGCAAGTATCCCATCGCTTCCATGTTTGAATAACGAACCCCTGAACATCGTAGTGCTCATCTACAATGATGTTGTTGGGCGAGAGATCACCATGGACAAGCACACGAGGTGCATGGTCAAGCTCGGAAATCCAGTACTTCTCAAAGAGGACCATTTGCTCGATGCAACTTAAGAAGTCACCACCACTATATCTTCCTTCTTTCGCTCGCACTATCTTGCGCTGCATTTTTGCGGTGATCTCATCCCTTACTGAAGTTCCTAACAGTGATGTAAGCTCTTGGATTGTTCTCTCCAAAAAAAAAAAAACATGAGACGAAACAACAGGCGAAACACTCCATTCCTACCTTCCTCTTGAACACGCAGAAGATTCGGAGTGATATTCGCAATAGTCTTGATCACCTCGTTTCTTTCGTTTCTTGCCTTCAGGATAGTATCACTCCATACTAATGGCTCTCCCTCCACCCCAAGCACACGAATGGACTACCTATAAGTTCATTCCCTGTCTCGGAAAAGGAAACGACCTTTGCGAAGTGTTCTATCTGAAGTTGCTCAATCTCTTGTCGGTATTTCAGCTCGTATGACAGGAGGTAGGACGAAGATTCTCCACCATCGTGAAAGACGCGCATAGCGACTTTCCTGCCTGTGTCATCTTCCAAAGCAAAAACATCGCATTGGCCACCGCGGTACGGATTACACTCTGTACCTTGAATAAAGACGCATGACAGACATGGAGGGTTTGGCGTCGCGGAGGGTGTTTGCTGACAGACTTGACGACGTATTGCGGCAGTATTTGGTGGATACATGGCAGGATGAAATGTATGCAAAAACAAAGACGACTGCCCTGCTGGCTTTGGGTTGGCAAAAGGCAGACACAAAACGTACAGCAGCAGGGATTCCCACGTGGTCACCCAGCGCGGAGTAGCTTATTGACGCGTCTGTCGAGCGTCAATAAGCTACTCCGCGCTGTCTGGCTCGACCATACCGATTTCATGGTCGACGGAATTATCAAGGCCACCCTATCCGCCGCTCAAGACGCTCTAGATCTCGCCATCACAGAAACACAGTTCCACGAATCGCCGTGTAGAGACGCACAACCTCCACTTCGCCTTTGGCTACCGAGGCTCATACGCAAGCTACGAGATTCGCTATACTACTTCACCTTGACAGCCTCGTTGGAAGTCTTGGAAGAGTGGGCTTCCTCTCATACTTTTCTGACACACTTTGCCGATGATGAAAAACAAGCAAGGTAAGGTGCACCGTCAAAGGATTGTTATGATGACGAGTCCTGGCAAGAGTGGTATCTTATGCTTTATATCCACCATGAAAAATGGGTATATGCTTCTGATATTATTCACACTCCGCCATAAAGCCTGGTGGGATGGTTGGAAGAGTTATTTGTTGCCTGCCATTCAGGGTTACTGTACGACTAGAATCTCTGCCATGAGCGTTTACCATGGCCAGATTGTTCGGTGCAAAGCAGGCAGGAAAGGACATGGCTTTTGTTCTAATGTAGATGACGACAACTCCTTCCTCACATATCATCTTCTTGGCTCTTGCTGGGAACACAAGACACACCACCCGTGAAATCTTCATTCTAGTTTGTCACTGCCAAATGTCCAAATTGTATGGCTGTTTGACTGTGACTCTCGCTCCTCGTCGTCAAGCTCCCGCGTGTGACGAACTCCGCAGTAAAGCCTCAAGGACGCTTCGTCTGCCAGAGCAAAGCGGAAACTCAGACTGATGATATCGTCTCGTCATCAGATGTGTAGCAGTGTAATGCTCGAGTTGAGATATGTGTCTATGCAATGCTACGAGACGGTGTCGAGACACGTGGGTGGGCTATGTTCGCGCTCTGGCTCTATTAACCTTGATACCCCGAGACCTGTGCCGAGGGTGCCTCTCTTGTCTCTTCAATTGCTGAATTCGTTGGTAAGCTGGTGCTCTCTGCAGCTGACTGACTTTCAAGACCACAAAATATGACTGGACTCATGTTGATTCGTCTTGCAAGCTTGTGCGTTCAGTTCTGCGGCTTCCAAGCCACAACCTCTTCATCCTCTTCTTCTTCGCCCAGCATCTCCAATCCTTCCACAACTCTTCTGTTGCCCTGCTCGTCGCAGTCCAAGCCACAAGCTTTCAATACAGCCCATCTAACAGCTTCAATACCAATTTTTGCACCTCCTCCCCAGCCTTGCAGGCCTTTGATCTGTTTCTCTGCCGATGCGGCAAGGATGTCTCTCTTCTTCTGTCTCTGGCCAAGATCTAATTCCTTCAGTTGCTCCTCAACCTCTTCATAGACTTTATCCAATTTCTTGACCAACCTCGTTAGCTTTTCCGCACCCGGGCTCTTACTATCCACCATAACAATCCTGTCAACCTTTGACAAAATAATCTGATAAGCAATCCCATTATCTTCAAAATGCTTCAACAGCACGAGATCCCTCGCCTTGACACCATGTAAAGCATCAATAAGAATAAAGACTTTTCGCAATTGCTTTCTCTTTTCGAAAAACTTGTTGATTTCCGGTCCCCATTCTTGTCGTGAATGATAACCATATCCAGGTGTGTCGACTACAATGAGTGCTCCACTGCTCAATTGTTTGATTGCGTCTTTGGCTGCTATATCTCTCACCACGCCTCCGACCCCAAAGGCGTTGAGTGTTTTTGTGTGTCCGGCTTTTCCACTCACACGTACAATCTTTTCTTTCGGACGACCAAACACGGCATTCAGCAGAGAGGACTTTCCAACGTTTGAGCGCCCGACAAAACACACTTCTGGATATGGCGAGCGAGGGATTTGAGAGAATTTGGCGGCTGTCCAGAGGTGCAGGGGTGGTGTGGCAGGGTTTTGGAAGTAGCGGGTTGCGTAGGTCTGTTGAATGGGAGTTGGAGGTGTGGAGATGTGGTAGCGTTGGAGGGCGATGGGTTTGGGTGGTATGATTTCCTCAGTGGCCTTTTGTGTAGGAGGTGGAGAGGGCTTTGGCTTGGGGGATTGCGTGGTTGGTTTCGAGGGCATTGCGTATCGGGCTCGCGGCGGCGGTGGTGTGGTTGTGGTGGCTGTTGTTGAGGTCGTTGTGGTGCTGGTGTGGCGTAGACCTAGTATGCGACTGCGAGCGACGTGCGCGAGGCATCTTCGCCGTATCGTCGAATCCATATTGGGAGAAATTATTGAAGAGGTTACGTTTCGAGAAAACTTGCACTGGACGAAAGAATGTTAGAGAAGCTGCTTGCTGGTCCAAGCTCGCGTCTCGAATTATTTCACCTTGATGGGAAGTCGTCAATAACCGACATGCATCAGACACCTCGCCATCACTTGACCTCGCAAGGGAGCTCCGACAAAAGACACGATGCTTTAACCAATACACTTTATATGGCGAAAGTGCACAAGATATGTTGCAACACCTTCAGAACATGATACAATTTGTTCCAAAACTTCCCCTAATGCTGCTCCATGGCGAGTCCTCTAATTTTCCCTCTTCATGCTCATAGGTATCCATTATGCTCATGATTTCCTCCATTCTTCTAATGCGTTTGCCCATTGAATAACTCCTTGTCCATATACTCGAGAAAGGTAATAGCATGTAAATCCTGACATCAAGCCATCTTGATCTTAAGTTGGGCGGAGACCAGAGCTGTTCATACCCAAGCGTGGGCTGACGCCTCCGTTGCGCTCTCTTCTCATCGTACGAAGTTGGGACTCGATCTGTCGGCGCTGCTCTTGTTCCGCCTAGCAAGTTGGTCAGCTCTCTACCCGCACCTATCGTGAACAGACATGTACTCACCCTCAACAACTTAACGCCCTCGGCTCTCGTCTCTCTCATCATCTTCTTGAATTCGTTTCTCAGAACCATCGTGCTGGTTGTCTCCCTTCCGGCTCCCATCTCTGGTGTGCCTCCTGGACTTCTGACACCGAGCCATCTGACCCTTTCGTCGCTGAGCTGCAACTCCAACTCATTCATCTTCTCTCGAAGCATGTCAATCACACCTTCGAGCTTTTCGCGCTCCTTCTCCATCTCGACCGTCTCACGCGTCAGCTCCTGGAAGTCGGTTGCCATATCGGCAAGCTCCTTCTCCAGCACGCGCATGCGACCATCATCGCGAGAGCCAGACGCTTGTATCTCGCGCAGGGTGATGATTTCTCCCTCGAGTGACTTTGCCCGTGATTCTGCATTCTGGTGCAGTCCAAGCATTTCTGCCATCTGACTTTCATGCTGACCCTTGTCATGTCTCAGCTGCTCAAGCTCTGTAAGCATACTCTTTGACTTCTGTTCCAGCTCTTGGTATTCGGGGTGAGACGCCACTTCTCTGGCACGCTCGGATCGACTGCCGTATGCACCGTCCAATTCTGCCTTGGCCATTGCGAGCTCAGTCGTGAGGCGAATAATTTCTGCTTCGAGATCGTCCATTTCCTCAGACTTCAGAGCCAGGTTGGCCTCTGCAGTTTCTCTAGCTACCTTGGCTTGGTTTAGAGTTCCACTCAATTCTTCCAGACGGTCTTGGTGGTCGCTCTCCTTGTGTTGTGCTTCAATGATAGCGATACGTGCTTCGTCTTCATGCTCAGAGATGCTATTCTCAAGCTCGACAATTTGGTCCTCGAGCTGTTCAACACGTTTTCTGTAAGATTCGACTTCTTCCAGTGCTTCGTGCTCACGCTCCTTGAGTTCTTCCAGTTCACTGGCACGAGCAGCATCTTCGCTGTCGGTCTTACCAGCAAGATCGCGTTGTTGCTCAATCTGGCGTCTGAGGATGCTGGTCTGATTCTCAAGATCATTGTGGCGGGCAAACAAGTGCTGGACCTTTGAGGTGAAGGCTTGAGGACTGAATGACTCGGACTTATTGTTCTCGAGCTCTTCACCGTCGAAGTCGACTTCTCTGTTGGCAGCAGCAGACTCTTTGGAAGACACGATACCCCAAAGACCTAGCATGGCAGCTTCGTGTTGTGCAGCTTTCTCAGCATGGTTGTTCGCCTTTGCATGGGCGTCGTCCAATTCTTTTGTAAGGGCTTGGTGAGAGTCTTGGAGGGTGGCAGAGTGTTGTAGCATATGGTCCACATTGTTGAGATTCTCCTCGAGGTAGTTGATCTGGTCTTGTGTTCCTTGGCCGGTGGGTTGTGGGGGCGGTTGAATGCCTTCGTAAGCAGAAAGGAAGGTGAATAGTTGATGGTTGACACCTCCCAGTCGCTGCTCAACAAGACTCTGGTCCTCCTTTGAGCCGGTCAGAGTATCTTCGCGTGACCGGACATTGTGTTTGTGTTCCTCGAGTAGGGCGAAAATGCCGTCTTGCAGTTGTTCAAGCTGGTTGTTAATGCGGACCGAGGGTTCGTCGTCTTCAGGATAGGCAGATGGAATGTCGTCTGGCGAGTTATCGATGCTGCCTTGACGGCCTTTCTTTGCCTGAGAGATGAGCGATCGCATCTGGCCGTTGAGAAATTGCAGCCTCGTGTTGACATCGTGCAAGTGGTCATTGTGCATGAGCGACTGTCCTTTTCCGGCCTCGCCGTGGGCGCTCTGGTCATAGTCCCGGATGTGAGGCAGACCGTCTGGCGCAAGGCGGTCGGCGGATTCGGCTTCCCGCTCGTGGTGGGCAGCTTGCAGCACGGCAGCTGTGTGACGCAGTAGCCTGCTCTCGATATACTGTCTGCGATTCTCCAGACCCACCAGAATTTGGACCAGCTCTTCGACCTTCTTCTCGCTTGTAGCCAGTTCATCGCTGGCTTGACCAATGCTGTCGCTCTTGACGCTTGACGAACTAAGTCTCCTGTCTCCCAGCAAGCTCTTTCTACGGCTTTGCGAGGGGCGACCCTTTTGCGAATACAGGCGATGTAGAGAGCGCGCTGCCTCACGGACTTTGCTTTCCAAGGCGAGTTTGCGGCGTGTACTCTCGATACGGCTATCGACCTTAGTCTTCTCTTTCTTGAGAGCGTCGACCTCTTCTATGGCCAGAATGTCGAAACGCGAGCTGTCGAACATGGCAGTCTCGACCAGGAGGTGTCGATGTAGCAAGTCGCCATTGGCAAACGAGTCGGCTCTCGGGGTGGGCGGTTGTTGCATATCTGAGGGACTGGTCAGAGAGGGATGGTGATGGCCATTCTGTTGCAGCACCGCCATGGCCTTCCAGTCTGTGTCGGTGTAGCCCGGCGTGCTCGGATCGAGAAATGATGTTCGCGGATAATCGTGGGCAGCGCTGAGGTCTTCGAATGCATCCGGCCGTGTGGATACCGGTGATTCTTGTGGGTGCATTGTAACTGCCATTGTCGTCGAGAGCGACGAGAGAAAGGGGGTCAAGGCGGGGTTGCTGGGCGTGTTGTGCTTTGTGGGAGTCGACCACCTGCACGATTGAACCTATACCTTTGCCAATTCTTCTACCAGTACGAACGTTGGACCGATCAAGCCTTCGTCACCAACATCAGGAAAGAGCGAAGAAGAAGACTTTGGGACATGCCGGCACCTTCATGAATTTGTGCTGAGCTGAGATTACTTTGGCAACTGCTCCACAGGGGAGAGCCACTCAGATCACTCCCGTTGCGCCGATCAATTCTCTTCTAGAAGCAAATCACCCCCTGCTCCTAGACCCCCGACTCGTCCGATACTTCTCGACTACCGGTAGCCTTTGTCAACAGGAGGCTGTCTTGTTCAACAGTTCACATGTTTGACATTCAAGAGCCTCATCCGCTCCGTCTGCATTCACAAACAGTCCTCGGTGAATCTTATGTCGAAGCAACTCGATTCATGGACCCTGACCACTGACTCAGGTCTTCTCGACGACCCCGACATATTATTTAAACATGTTTGTCCGGAAAGTTGCATGAACACGATCTGATGCCTTTGGGTATATGCAGAAACTTGAAAAGTACATCATGACAAGTTTGACGACACCGAGTGTGTCGTAACGACGTCTCGAAACCTGTGCGTGAGCACAGAGATCACTGCTCGTTGCAACGAACAAATCATAGCATGAAGTCCTTTCCGACCGCGACAAGCATCCCTCGCTACTTCAGACGAATTTTTTCATACCGAAAGACTCGTAAATCAACCATGTATACCTAGGTGGATACCACAGGCCATACAGTTGCGCGTGGCTATTGGGAGGCCTTACTCTGGCTCAGATCAGGGTCGCACATTCACCACCAGACGAGACATCGAAAAGTAACCTCGCACGTTCGACAGCGACACTGCGTCCCCTCCACAACCAACAGAAAGTACTTATCTATTGACAGTGCTGACAAGACGGTTCAACACGATTACACAATAATGCTTTGAACATGCTCAATAAATATGCGGGTGAGAATGTGAGAGTCAGCTGCGGGCAATATCCAAGCATCCAAGATGCGCTGGCAACAAGCCACAAATTGGACAATGTCGGTGGCCTTACTTCGATACCATCACAGCTCTCGGCCGAAGACCAGAGCAAGCTCAGTGGAGAGTTGACGCTATTAGGAAAAAGTCTCGCTGCGATTTGAGAGAACAAGCGGTGAGAAACGAGATCGGGAAGTCGGGCGTTCTTTTCAAGCTTCGCAAGACAACACAGCGCGCTCTCCAGCAACCACAACTCAGCTTCAACATCTTTGACAGCGTGAAAGTTCCGGTTAGAAAGTGTGATGAGCACTCGCAGGTGTGTGATGTCGCGCTGGTCCGCTGGACATGACGAGGCCCAGCAAGTTTATTTGCATGGTTCCAAAAATGCACAAGACACGCGAGGGCTTGGGTGATTGACAGGCCCGCGATAGATTGTTGGTTACGCCATCAACTTACCGCCCAGCAAACCATTCGTCGGGGAGCATCGGTACAACTTTGGCAAAATGACTCTCTGATGATCAAAGCAGGTTTGTGCAGGCACGGGCGCTCACCACCAATGCACATGCTGGCCAACCACACACAGAATCCGTACTCCTGACTATCACCGACAATCCGCACGCGTCTGTAGACGATCTCTTCGTCACATCAATGCTGCAAACCATCGCTGTTTCGACCAATATGATGCTTCGACATCCCTGTCCGGCAAAATTGCTTGCTGGCGCTTGCAGAAACCCCGCTTGCCGGCCTGATCTCTGGTCTCGCATATGTAAACCCGCTTGCTGCCCAACTCGTTTCTGCCTTTCTCCTCCAACGATACCCAATCCGCTCCTCTCTACTATATCCTTGGCACCTCCTGTCTCTCGTGCTTTTGCACATTGTTTTGCTCAAAGAGAACATCTCAAATCTCAAGTACACAATCAAGTGTAACAGGCTTTATATTTGAGCCAGTTTACCAAACTTCCAGGATGACATATCGCACCCGCGAGGAATATTTGGACAGGTATTGACCCAAGTCTCACTGTTTGTTTTGCTTTTTACCACACCTGGATGTTTGCCCAACCGGGCTTTTTGCAAATTTTTTTTCTTTGCGTCTTGCTTTGCTTTTACACATTGGGAGCCAGCCTTTTTAGGAAACCATTTGGATTATCCCCAGGACCATTTATCATACCCGAGATTTCATACCCAAAGGAAGCCCAACCGGATCGGATGGACCATTTCAAATCCCAATCAAGGACATACCAGGATTACTGTAGCACAACATATGTTTCGGAACCGGGTAGGTACTTGAGAGCTCGGACTTTCTCTCATCGGCCACCTTCTATCCAGGACACCAATGTTACAGCTTGCTTGCTACAGTGATAGCTCTGTTGTCAGTCATCTTAAATGAAGAAGGCTTGACTTGAGTTTGTTTGTAGCGATGCTTCTGTTACAGCCTTTCCGTTACCAAGCGTGGTTCTTTCCATTGTTCGCGAAACTACCCAGCCAGGCCTGGAAGCCGTCATATAGTCCATTGGCGAGATACTAACCGAACCCCTTGGAACCCTTGGAACCCTCACCGTATTGTTGGATCATTTCGAATACTCATGTTCGTATGCATGTCGACTTGCTCCTGTCACTCTAGCCGTCCATGGTTTCTCCGATAACGTATACGATCATGACGCCAAAGCCTCTTTCGTAGGAGCGATCTTGAATAATCCAGACGTTGTCTATCACCTCTGATATGTATCGAGTGGAGCTCAGCATCTGCTTGCCGCATCCTGGATAACTATCAGGGCTTGATTGGCTAGCGTACACACTGTTTCCATACCTTGATCTTACCTAGGACATCGGAGTACACATGACGATGCCCCTTATCAGTGTTCTCATTGACGATCCATCGCATTACCATCGAAACGCTCATCTGGCCCCGTACAAAATCTCTCCGCCATGGATCTAGGCTTGCTGTCCAACGGATGACTAACTGGTTTGTAGTCGGCCACCCTGTTCTAGTGACCGACGATAGCTGACACTCATAGGCCGCTACTTTTTCCCTTTCTTAATCACTCAAACTTTTTGCTCGTTTCATATTGAAGTACTGCCGCTGACTTCTGCTTCTGACTTAGCGACTGTCACTTCCTTCCCCCAACTTGCTCAAACTCGTTGTTCGCTTCACCATCTGAGATCTGCCATTGGAACTCGTCTGTGTGGGACACAACCTCTTTGACACCGCCAACATCCCCAGTGGACTCCTTGCATGACGGATCTAGCCAAAGCTCGGACTCAGGATTATTTTCGTGCGACTCAATGAGCTCGTACAGCATGGACCACAGCGCGTACTACTCGTCAGCATCACCGGAGACTAAGATGGAGCAAATCCCGGAGACCGATATCTATACCCCTTCCGGATGGACAGACGGCATGTTTATGGCACCAGCAGCTCCATTCTCGCCAGTCATGAGTGACACTGACCAGAGTACCTATACTCTTCCGGCATCGGACGCAAGCTTCACATCCCTCGGACCGTCAATGTCACACGAAGTGTCCTCGATAGACTCTTATCAACCAAATGTCTGGGCTCCTGAGCAATCAACTTACAATTTCTTTGCAGAGCCTGCTATGGCTGATATCGAGATGTTTGCTTTCCCTGCTCAAAGCATGGATGTTCCTCAACCCACTTTCAACACCTGGTATCCCGTGCCGGAGATCTCCGCTGAAGCGTACTTTCCCACGAACGCGCCAGGACAGAACTTTGCCGGGATGATCCCACAGACTGCCGGATTTGTAGGCAATCAAATGACCATGATCCCTTCCACCGGACATAACAACACGATCCCTCGTGCTGGTCACGTCAGGGTTGACAGCCTGTATGCTCAGGCTTGCCCACAAGATGTCGCAGTAAGTCACAACCGGATTGTATCGGATGCCCATATCCAGGATGCTGCTGGACCCCGCCGGATGACCGTGCCCGTGACCCTGAACGAGCCTGTACAGGTAGTTCCCATGCCAAAAATGGACCCAGACGTACCTTATGGAGCCCCAATTCAACAATACAGGACGGGATTTATTAACGGATCAAGCATGCCATTCAATGGACAACCTTGCGCTCAGATCTTGGGAAGCAACGTTTCAGTATCTTCCGTCGGTAGTGTCGCTCCTTCCGGATATGAAGACGTCCCTGGAAGTCCAGCATCGTCTACTGCGACCACTAGAACCAAAGCCGAGGACCACGATGGCCGTGCACGCACTGACCCTTTGTATTCCACCAGGCCTGGTAGAGACGGCAGCTATCACTGTCCATTCCTTGCATCCGAAGGATGTCAGCACAAGGCTACAAAGCTCAAGTGCAACTATGAGTGCGTGAGTCCTTCTGAGGTTACGAGCAACTTCTAACACCGTTGTCACAGCAAGTATATTGATTCGCATATTAAACCGTTCCGCTGCAAACACCACAACTGCAACAACAACCGGTTCTCCTCCACCGCTTGTCTTCTTCGCCATGAGCGCGAGGCTCACGGACTACACGGACATGGCAACAAGCCCTTCCTCTGCGAGTTCAAGGATTGTGACCGTTCAGGCCCGGACAATGGATTCCCCAGAGCTTACAACTTACTTGACCATATGAAGCGTGTGCACGGCTACCGCCCGGAAAAGGTCTCCAAAACACCTCCTGCCTCCAATGCCGGGCGAAATGCCGGGAAATCACGGGACAAGGTGAACAAGAGAAAGACCATGGGAGAAGTGGTCGACCAGAGAAGAGCATCTACAGTCAAGAAGGAGACTGCATCTCCAAGGCTTGCGCAGAAGCTTACCGTCGACTCTCGCACTGCCCACTGGCAGGCTCAGGTCAATATAATGCAGAGACGCTCCCGCCAATTTGGATGAATGAACGAGTGCAGCCCAGAACCCAGGATATAGATCAGGATATAGATCAGGATATAGATCAGGATATAGATCAGGATATAGATCAGGATATAGATCAGGATATAGATCAGGATATAGATCAGAATATAGATCAGGAACAGGACAGCCCTTCCATGGACGGAACACCCAAGCCCAAGGATGGAAGTACCGGACAGCCTCTCCCCGGACCATGATGGGACAGGAAGACCGAGCAGACGAACCGTCTGAGGACATTGGAAACCCACATCCCACCAGCGGATCAGTGAGAAGTGAAGGAGCCAAAAGGATTGAGGACAGAGATCGAGACACCGGTCTCTCTCAGATGGATGATGTAGAATCTCGGATTGGAACCATTTTCTCGGTGTCGACGACTAGACCTGGTTTGATACCAGCATCCGCTCGACTCGTTTTGCTTTACAACCAGCTTCTTGTTTGTTATCACTGCTTTTGTTGTTTTGCTTGTTGCTACTTTCAGGTTGGCCATGCTGCGTGCATCAGCTAGTGTAGCTGCTAGATAGATGCAATGTGCATATTTGTTTGATTCTTACGAAACTGTCCGAACACGGTCGCTGCGCTGCTTCGCTTACATGATGGAATGATGACTTATCAAAGTACTCATGCCACTCGCATGGGTGACAATTGCATCTGCAGCTTTTGTAGCACATGGTGGGTTGTATACATCAATCATCGAAGGAAGCGATCACGTCAATGAGACAGATCATGTGGTGGTCGGAAAGATTTGCCCAGGAGTCGCTTGACGTGGCCATTTTAGGTTGATGAGCAGGGTTCTGTCAAGCGAAAGTTTAAATTGGCAGCAGGACCTCGGTGCGAAGGTGTTTGGGGTCGAGCTTGCGAACGGAAGCTGCGTCATCCGAGGGCGAAACGAGAAATGGCGGCCGTCGGTCGCATGTGAAGTTCGATTCCAGTTTCGAGCCGGTGATAGGGAGAGAGAGAGAAAGTGGTGCTGTGCTCACAAATCATTAGTATGATAAATTACATGAAGCCTGTTTTGTCGCGATCCGTGTGTTTTGCTCCTTCACTTTCACTTTCCGCCTCTCACACCACTACCTCTACGTATATCAAGACTGCTCAAAGGTCTTTCTTCAACTTTCGCAAAGCTACTGCTGTATCAACGTCATCTGCGAACATGTCTTCCGCTACCTCTTTCCACGAGTTCAAGCCCCTTGACAGTATGTGCTCGAGTGTTGCGACTGCTAGAGATGCGACGTGACTGACAAGTGATGCGCAGAGAGAGGCCAGGTCTACGATCTGTCTCAGCTCAAGGGCAAGGTCGTCCTCGTTGTCAACACTGCCAGCAAGTGCGGTTTCACCCCTCAGTTCGAGGGTCTCGAGAAGCTCTACAAGGGTAAGCAAGCTCTCACTCTTTTCCCTGCATCTAGCGCATCAAGTCTCACACGTTCTCGCAGAACTCAAGGCCGCCCACCCCAACGACGTCGAGTTCCTCGGCTTCCCCTGCAACCAGTTCGGCTCTCAAGACCCCGGCAGCAACGACACCATCCAAGAGTTCTGCCAGCTCAACTACGGCGTCTCGTTCCCCGTCCTCGGCAAAACCGACGTCAATGGCGACAAGGCCGAGCCCGTCTTTGAGTGGATGAAGAGCGAGCAGCCCGGCCTCATGGGCTTGAAGAGAGTCAAGTGGAACTTTGAAAAGTTCTTGATTGGCAAGGATGGCAAGGTCAAGGGCAGATGGGCTTCCACCACCAAGCCCGAGAGCTTGAAGGCTCCTATCGAGGCTCAGCTCAAGGCTTAGAGTTCAGAGGACAACGAGCGAGAGGTCGACGAGGATGGCATTTGCATTACATGACTGCGCGGGAGGCGTAGCGCGAGTCTATCGAACAACCTGATACCCGTGTATTTTTCCATAACCAGACATGTTATCACGAGAATGATATAAAGACCAACTATGCTTTCTCAAGAATGAACTGTTCATGCCCATGTACGCTGCTCAGCGCTCAACAGTTGCTGACAAAGTGCAAAAATGTTAGATCTGCACTCTACACCTTGACACAGTCTCAAAGTTGGCCTGCCAGAGGCTGCAATCATCTGCTATACGAACTATTGGTATGCCAGATCGCCCAGCAAAGCGAACACGAGAATCCTCGGAGCCGGGGACATTCACCGCCCTCGAGCCGCCCGACTCCGTCCCATTCCCTGACTTTACAGCATCTATCTATACCACGACATAACACCATTAAATACATCATCGTCAGAGAGGTAAGCAGGATTTGATTTTTTTTTCCTCACATGCGGCGTGCAGTTCCCATGCCTCACCCCATTCCATGTCTCTGTGGTCAAAAGTACGCGTATCTGCTTCGATGAGCCCTTGTCGTGTCTTTTTCTTCTTCAGTGTCACATCAAGGAATCAAGATATCGGAAAGAAAATGAACACGGCCGTAAAGATTTCAAGTTCACATGGGGATTGTCATACATGTGAGGCAAGGGAGAAAATCACGTCGCACCCTTTCCCTTTTATATACATACCCACTCTCTGCCCTTGCCCTCAAAAGTGGTCTGACAAGCATCACAGTAAAATTGGCCCCCAAGCCCTTTTTTCGACAAAGGACAGAAACGAAAAAAGTCCCTTCCAACACACATATCTCAAATGTGGGGCAACAACATCCCGGTCCCCGGCGGTCTGAATACTCTTTCCGACAAATACAACACCCAAGATCAAGAACAAATGCTTCGCGCCGCCGCCATAAAAGGCAAGAACCTCCACATCGGCATCGTAGGAGCAGGTTTTTCTGGCCTTCGCGCCGCCGATATCCTCCTTTGCCACGGCCACCGCGTGACAATCCTCGAAGCACGTAATCGAGTAGGCGGCCGTGTAGGGCAATCCTCTTATCTCGGGCATACTGTAGACCTAGGACCGAATTGGATACATGGAACAGATGATAATCCGATTTTCGACATTGCCAAGAAGACGAATACACAATTGCATTACTGGGATGAGAAGCAGAGGATTTTGGGCACTGAGGGGCAAGGGGTGAGTAAAGAGGAGGCGGAGGAGTATGGCAGGATTATCTGGGAAGATGGATTGATATCAAAGGCTTTCGCGTACAGCAGAGAAAACACTGCTTCCATCCCTGCAGAAAAATCTCTGATGGATTTCTTTGCCGAAAAAGCAGAGGGTTTATTTACAGAGCTGGAGCAAGAAGAGGCAGAGAGGAAGAGAAGGACGCTTTTGCAGATTTGCGATTTTTGGGGTAGTTATGTGGGAAGTGCGACGGATAGGCAGAGTTTGAAGTTTTTCTGGTTGGAGGAGTGTATTGAGGGTGAAAATCCTTTTGTGGCAGGAACGTATACGAAGATTCTGGAGCATGTGGCTAGGCCTGCTCTTGAGGGGGCTGAGGTCAAGTATGAGGGTAAAGTCACAGCGATCCAGGGAAGGAAGAGCGAGGATGAAAAGGTCAAGGTGACGGTGAATGGAGGAGAAAGGTATGAGTTTGATGAAGTCGTCATGACGGCACCTTTGGGTTGGTTGAAGAGGAACAAGGATGTCTTTGTCAATGGCTTGACTCCTAGACTGGAGAAGGCCATCAATTCTATCGGCTATGGTGCTTTAGATAAAGTAAGTCTTCCATCTCTCAAATTTCACAAGCACACAACTGACGAACGGCAGATCTACATCACCTTCCCATCAGCCTTCTGGGAAGATTCCACCTCAGAACCCCAAGGCACTTCTTCCCTCCCAACAGCAAACACCTCAATCCCAAACGTAACGGCCACAACAACACCACTACATCAAACCTCCACTCCATCAACAACATCAAATTATCCAGGCTTCACCCACTGGCTGCGTCCAAATTACTCGACCTCCACAAACCCCGAAAAATGGGACCAACAAGCCATGAACCTCGCCGCCCTACCTTCACCTTCAGGCCACCCATCCCTCCTCTTCTACATCTACGGCTCCTGCTCCACTCATATAGCCTCCTTCGCCTCCCTCCCCCAACCATCTCGCGATGAGTCGCTTCTCGCCTTCCTCCACCCCTACATCTCCCTCCTCCCAAATTATTCACCCACTTCTCCTGCTTGTAAACCTTCTGCCGTATTGGCTACAGCATGGGCAGGTGACGAGCTTGCCGGCTACGGCAGTTATGCAAATTTCCAAGTTGGATTGGAGAATGGAGACGAGGATATTGAGGTTATGAGGAAGGGGATGCCGGAGCAGGGGATTTGGATTGCAGGTGAGCATACTGCGCCGTTTGTTGCGTTGGGGACGGCGACGGGTGCTTATTGGAGTGGTGAGAAGGTTGCGTTGAGGATCTTGGGAAAGGGTGCTGTTGATATTGGGAAGGACGGAAAGAGCGAGGAGCACAAGGAAGCTGAGAAGTGAAGCCTGATTTCTGGAATAGATATTCTCATGTCGCTTGGAAAGAGTCTCGGAGAATTATTCTGCAGACATGGTCTCGATCTGGCTATCACTTTGTTGTTTCAGGAGTTCCGCTGCAAGAGTAAGGACACAGCACTTCCAACAGAGTGTAGAAAGCTTCATACCTTGCGGATCTCTCTCTTCTTGTTTGGTGTATCCACATTCAATCTTCCATGCAAATCCTCCCTAGCATATACGCAATTCGTACTTGTACAATGAAATCTCCTTTAGGACAATTCCTTCCCATCTCTACAACTTTCCTTCGGTCTCCTCGACATATGCCTTCAGATGCTCGATCGTCACAACCTTGATGCCGTACTTCTTTCCAAATTCAATACACTCCTTTGCCCTCATCATATGCAGTCCTCCTCTTTCAGCTTTACCCTCAACCTCTGTACTCTCCTCGACAATCTCTGCAATAACACCCACATTGTTGACATCCCCCGCCAACCTCGCAAACTCCACCGCCGCCTCCGTATGTCCCTGCCTCTGCCTGACACCACCAGCCACAGCACGCAAAGGCACCACATGCCCCGGACGTCTAAAATCACCACTCTTGACCTCCTTGTTGGCGAGAAGTCTGCATGTCGTACTGCGATCGGTCGCGGAAATGCCAGTGGTGACGTTTTCAGAGGCGTCGATGGTGATGGTGTAGGCCGTGCGGTTTGGATCTGCGTTTGCGGTTGCGGAGACCATGGGGGGAAGGTCGAGACGGTCGGCTAGGCTGTTGGGGAGGGCGGCGCAGAGGTAGCCGCTTGTGTGGTGGATCATGAAGGAGGCTTTTGCGGGTGTGAGGGCTGAGGCGGCGATGATGAGGTCGCCTTCGTTTTCGCGGTGGGGGCTGTCGAGGACGAGGACGAATTCTCCGGCAGCTGTGCGGGAAGAGGTCTGTTAGTGGGTGTTGCAAGTTGGTCAAGAGCTGGATTGCATGTACCAAAGGCCTTGATGGCTGAGGGAATGTCGTCAAAGACGAGGTCGTCCGAGTAGTCTGCCATTGCTAATTATGTTCAATTGTATGAAGAGTGGAAGTCGCGATTGGAAAAGGAAGTCGCAGAGTGGTAGAGATGCGTCGGTGGTTGTCGAGCTATGTTGGCGCAAAAGTGGGAAGGTGCTCTGGGCTCTTCTTTCGCTGATGACTGTTCGACTTGCCCGAAACACGCCGCGCTCGCAAAGACGTGATTACTTGAGCAATTGGTAAGCGGCGTCCAATCTCAATTGTGGTATTCAAATTATGCTTTCAGATGGTAGTGAATCAAAGGCCAACGAGGTCTACTAGGTTACAAGATATGAGAAAGTAACTGTTACTCGTTCGAAGAAAGTATTGTACAGAGGTGACCTCGGTGAGCATTCCATGGTGGGGCAGTCGCAGCTCCTCCCACCTTTCCCTTCTTTCGCAAGAGCTGCCCAAAAACTGCCCGAAGCCCGAAAGCCCCGAGGTCCTGTGAACTTTGACCGTCTTCGGACAAAGACATGTAGACAAATCCGTATTAATTAACCATATTTTGCCATAATCCACTCCGTCTGCTCTCCTCCAAACTGAGACGATGTGGTGGCCCTCAATCTAATAGACTTATCGAGCATGCAAACAACAAGATGTCGCTCGACACTCATGCATCAAGACATCTTCCAGATAGAGGTATCTGTACCAACTATGGATAAGGTCCAAAGGCATATTTGACGACGAACCCCTCTAGAGCTCTCGAAAGAAAATCAACACCACGTTCACGACTTTTGATCGTTGCTTCTATCAGTTGATCCGCATAGAGCCATTTGTCTTCAACAGGAATTGAATTCTCGAAGCCGCTCGTTTTCCTGAGCGCCTCCTGCTGTATCCATTTCATACTGTCGTGACACATGGTTCGCGAAAAGAAGCGGAGTGTCAAAATTTTAGGCATTGTGTGTTCCTCGAGAAGGACACGTATCGTTTCTCGTCGTCCATATGTCTTGTCGTAACCAAGCGTGAGAAAGCGCAGTGTGTAGTATGTATTAGGCTCGGCGTCGGGCGTGTGTGTTTCATGACGAAGAATGCGGCGCGAATGTTGGTATGCATGAGCGCAAAAACTAGCATTGCGTATGAGTAACGGTAAAAGTGTCGACGCTTCTTTCTGCTCGGTGCGCCTCGATTCGACTTTAGCTACAACAACGGCTTCGACTGGCAGAGACTTGATGATAGCGTTCGTGTGGGTTTCCATGACCCAGCGTAGCTGTTTGTTGACCTGGTGGAGACTTGCCGCATCAGCGAAACTTCCAATCTCGAAGACTTGTAGAAGCAACTCATTCGGTAGTCCAAGCAGATGAGCCTTCATCTTGAATTGAGGTACAAGGGTGCAAAAGGCCGACCAGAGGACTGGAAAGGGTAGATCTCTCTGGTATAGATGAGTCATCCAACGGGTGCCAGGCACACTTGAGCAAGTTTCCGAGATTGCAGAGAGTAGAAATGGGCCTCAAATCGCATGGAGCGAATGGAAGGATCCTCTTAGTACCGCTCTTGTATCTTGAGCTAGACGAAACATGAGAGTTGAGACTCGAATGCTGATGGAGTACTTCGTTTGGTGAGTCGAGTAGTTGAGTAGCCATCTCTCGTAAGTTCTGTTCGGGGTGCTTTTATTGGGGCAGGTTTGAGTAAGATCTCGAGGCAGCTGCGATGACTTGGCAGCGGAGAGTGACTATTGAGACATTGGTTGTGACGACCAAGTCCACCTGTCCGACCGCGTCGCTCGAAGCAGACAGTCGAGAGTTATTCAAACTGTGAACAATTGAGTGCGCCTTGAAGACATGCTCAAAGGTTGAGCAAGGAGACAGTGATGTTGTCGTCCGAAGGTGCCAGACAGCACCGCAGCTACAGGAAGTGGGCGACAGGCATGTGCAATGAATATCTACTTCTCCTTCGTACACCAGCAGCAAAGCCAGATGAGCAATGGAAAATGATAGGAATGTTGAAGATAAGGAGGATCTGTTCTTATATGAAGGTCAGCAAGAGTTCGTCACGGAAGAACTGCTGAAGGGCATTTGAAAGAAAGAGCAAAGTCATTTCGATATCAGATCAATGCCATTGTCAATGGCGGTATCGTCAATGTCCAACTTGTGGCTACGTAGACCGTCGTGATAAATAGAATAAATCATCATTGAAATGACAATGCTCCTGGAGATTGTGCGAAGTTGAGGCTGCTTACCTGAAGAGTGAAAGGTGAGAAAGGATGGGTGTTTGAAGTAGCGTAGCACCGCAATGTTCTTTTTTAAAGTCAGCAAAGATCTTGTGAGCAAAGACTCAAGATAATGGAAGCATAGGTGAAGTGGATCAGACAAGACAGTCTCTGCAGTACTACCGGTCAAGGTAATTCGGACATATGCTTGTCATTGTGTTTGTTTTGAATCATCATGTGAAGTAAAGGGCGGAGGGAATCGAGCTGAACTTACGCTTTCGATGCGTGCAAGTCGCGAAGAGAGCAGAAAGTACTCATGTTGAGGGAGGAAGATCTAAAACTCGATTGTTAGTCACTGGCTGATGACGTGCAATGCTTGAACAAGAGTGAGAGAATGTGCATATATTCAGTTAGGCATGAATGGTATAAAATAAAAGGTTGTCTGCATGGATAACTCCGATAAGACTCGTCATCTAGGTGTTCATCATATGGCGGCCACAATGTGTAAAAAGAAAAGTGAGAGAAAGCAAATTCTGCATACCATTTGATATTTGTCCGTGCAACACGCATATCTCAGCAATGTTGAAGGAATAATGTTTTACAAAAGGCAAGCCCTCTTTATCATACGTGTCAGCCCAAGCTCTTGAAGACTGATTGTTGACGAAGAAAATGTGTTGTCGGAAAATCAGTGGACGAGGTTTTCTAGGCCTGTCACAGCGTTGGCATATCTGCTCATTTGGTTTGTAGTCGGAGCCCAGTGCCGCTTCATCACAAGGAGATGGTGTTGTTGGTGGAAGAATCGAATTACCTATTAACCAACTATGTTAGTAAGATTCAAGAGAAGAGCTTGTGTAAAAGTTGGGATATGTGTGTAAGACTCAGAAATAGCCATTTTATATCGGCACCGCCCCGAAGGGCTTGGTCGGTAATTTCCAGCGTATAAATACGTTCAAATGTTCATCAGAAGATAGGGAAAGGATGATGGGATGAGCGGAGGAAAAGATGCGCGTACCTTTTGGAGAGAGATCTCTTCAGTCGTCAATATTGTACGCGCTGAAGAGACCGCGTGCTGTACGCCTAGTGAAAGGGACAACATGGCGCGCAGTGTCTTGCACCGAGCGCGCAAGTGAGCGGAGTGTTGAGCAGCGCTTTGACTTGGCATCTGTTTTCAATCAGTCTTGTATGCTTCGACAAAAGCGTTTGAAGTGAAGAAAGATGAATTGTTTGTTGTGAGTTCAGACTGACGTGCTTGCAAAGGCGGTTTCAGTTCTCCGAAGAGATCAAAGACTCTAGTTTGATTGCGGTTTGGTTTTTTCATCAGGTTGGGGGAAGGAGTAAAGAAATTATGCGCTTACCATTCGACTTGCAACAGCAGCATTGAGGACTGTTTTGCGCTCTGCTGCCGCTGTTGTGGTGGAAAGAGAAGTTTGTGTAGAAAAGAGGTCTGGTTTTGTAGTGCAAGCTTGCGCTGAAGAATTTGAGCGGAGAAGGTCTGAGCGGCTTTACTTAGTAAGCGAAGCAGCCTTGGCGCTAGCTCGATTGCCTCGGGACACCCCTCACCCTGCCCATACCCGCAAGAGGACAATCATACCTTTACAGTCTTATCCAGCCAGTGTGAGCTTGCTGAGACCATGCGGCTGGCGACGTCTTATCTACAGGGTTGTTCTGATTCGCTGTTCGCCTAATACTCCGACGCCGTCGCTTTTCTGTGGTGGCTGAATCGGACACCGAGAGCAGGAAGGATTCGTCGTACGAGCTAGGCAGCACAAGGCATTTGATATGGTCCACCGCGACCAAGTAGATAAAGAGGTGCATTACCGCTCCATTGCTTTCAAGTAGCTTGTCATTGCCTAGTCGCTGCAACCACTTTCAACCTCGACACCACCGACAATGTCTTTCACGAAGCGATGCTGCGCCAGCGGCTCTCTCCATACCGGCATTCCTACTGGCACGACCTCCAAGCTCCACGATCTTGATGTCTACATCGCTTCACCTTCTCCCGAGAAGACACCCAAGGGTATCGTAGTCATTCTCCCAGATATCTTCGGATGGACCCTTCCAAACACTCGCATTCTAGCCGACAGCTTCGCAGCAAACGGCGACTTCCTAGTCATGCTCCCAGACTTCATGGACGGCAACGTTTTCCCACATGATCTGATAATCAGCATAAAAGCACTCGATGCTACAGGTCCTTTTGCTTGGATCACAAAAGGATATCATTTCATAAAGCTTCTCTGGCGTGGCTGGCCATTTCTCAAGAATGACAAGGCCCGCCTTGTTCGCCCACGTGTTTACAAGTTCTTCCGTGGTCTACAGTCCTCGCACCCCGATCTTCCAGTTGCAGCAGCAGGGTATTGCTGGGGTGGTCAGTGGGTTGTGGAGCTATGCATGAATGATGAGGACTGTGCTGTTGATGTAAAGCCATTTGTCGTCTGTGGGTTTACAGCTCATCCTTCGCGTTTGAAGATCCCCACGGACATTCATATGGTCTACTATCCCCTTTCTATCGCGGCAGCTGGTATCGATCAGCAGATTCCTGTCGTGAAAGCCAGGCAGATTGAAGACATCCTAAAAGCCAAAACGGCTAAGATGAAGGATATCGGTATTGAGCACGAATTTACCCTATACGAAGGTGTCCACCACGGGTTTGCTGTCAGAGCAGACGAGAATGAGGATCACGAACGCAAGTGTGGGAAGAAAGCAGAGGAGCAAGCTATCAGGTGGTTCACAAAGTGGTTTGAACGTGCTGGCGAAAGTGATTCCTTGTGATACATTACAGTTTCGACAAAGATAGCTGATATATACGAGCCGTCAACGATGGTCGGATACCATCCAGAGACAATGCACGTGATGTAGTGAACAAGGTCCGTGTAGAGACAGTAGAGAAGCAGAAGCATCGACTGGACGACGACAGCAAGACTGGGACCCATCACGTTCATCTGCAAGTCAGCAAGTACCAGACAGCGAGGATCATCAGTTTGATTCTCGTTGTGAGGTCAAGCCTGAGAGCTACTGCGCATGGGGCACCAGGGGTGATGTTCTACAACTACAGAATGGACAGATAAAGAGAGCTTATGATGAATTAAGAAGATGAATTCGTTGTGTGCTATTATACAGTATTACAACTTAAACCGTAATCATGTCTCTGTGCTCACCGCCAGCAGTCAGGTAGACCACTCGCCAATGTCACCGACCTCTATTATTCGGTGGAAGGCATAACCTGCGCGTGTAGAGGAGGAAGATAGACATCGGTCGAGGGCAAGTGTAGAAAAGATGACGTGAGGCTTTAGGTTGGAGGGTTCGAAGTCTGGCGCTCAGTGGCTAGCACGGCGCGACTTGAGGGTATCGCAAAAGTTGAAGAAAGAAGCAAATGAGCTTTGTTGCGCCAGTTCGTCATGTAAGCCGCTCAAGGACTTTGTCAACCATTCTAGTACTTGAGAATGATGTAACTGCGAACTGTGTCAGTAGGTACAAAGAAGCGCACATCGCGACGGTGACGTACAGGGCGTGAATGATGCCGGGAATGTAACCAAGAATGGTCAACAGGATGTTGATGAGGAGGTCAGCGCCGCAACCACGCTCAAGGAAGACACCGAGAGGAGGGAGGACGATGGCGATGATGATCTTGATGATATCGCTGAGAAGAGTCGGTCAGCACGCGTCGTCGCTTTGTGTTCCCACAGCTCTGTCCGCTGACCGGAGTCCGCGGAAGAGACAGAAAGTCGGAAACGTGGGAAGGGGTACTCACGATCCGGTGAAAGGCATGCTGGCGGTATTGGATTGGTTGTGTTTGGTGTTTGGTAGTGGATTGGATGTGGCTTGATTGAGTGGATTGCAAGTGCTTGATACCTGGGAGTAATCGATCAGGGCAGACGGCGTTTATGTACGCGACAGGGCGAGCCTGACAGCCCTTCGACGCAACACAGGAAATAAACGCCTCTGCGCAGTGATGTCACTAGCGCCATAAATTTCCGCCAAGCAGGAACTCACAGCGAACTTGACATCCATGGCAGCGCGCCAATTACGAATTTTCATCATTGCCTTTCGATGGTGAATCAGGTTATACTCTTCTATAATCGACTATTACATCAACATACCAGACGCTATCTTCTCAAAGCGACAACAAAAACATGCACATGCAAGGGGAAACTTGGAGGGCGCGCGTTCATGCTACTATTTCCAACTATTGGTTTTTACCATAGCTTCACCAGCCACTCTCCATGTCCGTAAGTGAACACGACCAATACGCTGCCGGATCCTGAGGTGCCGGCCAAGGCCGTCAGGCAGCTTTTGCTCTCCGACGGCATCCAGACTCCAGAGAGTTACGACGCTTCTCGGCAGTACATGCCTGTGTTTTCCTTGGACACCTTGGCTCGTAAGGCTGACCCTATCTTTGACGGCTTGCCGATTCGTGCGGCGTCCATAAGCCTCACGCCCGGGAGTCTCGAAATCCTCATGACACATATGAGCCACAGATGAGCCACAAATGACTGAGCCACAGATCTGCATCATGCACCACGTCACAGGGCAACTTGATTTGTATCATCTGTCCATCATGGTGCAGATGACGAGAGAAGTGTTGCAGAAGTCGAATGCAACCTCTACAACTTTCCTTTGCTGCCTTCCTTGATGCACACGCATCACCTAAACCATCTTTGGAATCATTGCTCTTCTACACCGAACATGCAGCATACCGACTACCGTAGTCGCTGGATGTAGCTCTGGCACTGGACATTCCTCTACTAGGGCACTCATCTGCGATGTCAGTGATTTAAGCGCTATTGCGCTCATGGTGTCCACTATAGCGCTGTCAAATTAAGTTATTGCAGACATGTGGCTATGCTCAGCTCAACGTTGAATCCCTGCAGTCAGTGTCTGTACTTACTTCTCGGACCTAAGGAACTACGAGAAACATGCTTCACCATTGAAACTGCCGTTAAAAATATGTAAGGTCACATAGGCTCCAGTCTTCTTTCATGAACACTATTGAAATCATTTCGAAGATGCAATGCCCTAGATGAACAATTGTTCTACATACCACGAGATTGGTGCGTGACAAGACACAGCTTCAGCAATAGAGGCCACCATCGTGCCCACGAAATCGATCCACAGATAAACTGTCTGCTTACGCATTGGTTGACTAAACTCTCATTTGCGAAGCGTCCAAACACCTACTGGAGACCTTTTTGGGAAGACCAGTAGGATCATTTACGCTATCATGTTATCCAAGCGGTCTCCGTGTGTGGAAAGACGCTACCACGACCACACACACTTGTATGGAGAAAGACCACACCATGTGACAGCAGAACGCTTGTCACGCAATCAGGCAGGAAGTTACTCGCAAGCTCGATGCGTTGGGTTGCGGTAGAACATCAATCCGGTTGCTGCCTGACTCTACAGACTGCGCCTGCCTACCTAGATCATGAGATGCATGCACCGCCACAGGTCTTCCATGCAAGCCAAGGCCAGTGGGTACCGGTAGCACTTTGGTATTCGTCGATTATGCTTATTTTCTCATCGAAGTTGGAGACCAAGATGCAAGCCTGATTATGCCTCCGTCAGGAATGTAAGAAAGTGGCGAGCTGAATAAGAAGGCGCGGGCACCCTCTTCAGCAAGGCGTAGTTGTTCTTGCTGCCTCAGGCTGACCGGTCAAGCAGAATGCGCCCGGCTGACGTCTGTTTGGCTACGCAAAAAAGGCAGCCCATTTTCATATTAGATACTGCTGTAAATATAATTCGTATTGCCACTTCTCGTCAGAGTTGCTCTCTCAATCCACCATCTGCCAGACTCAACAGACCGAAATCGTTAAAGGTCGAAGTCATGATATCTCTCTCAGCCGACGACGCCTTCGGTGATGCCGTTGTGTCGTGCTTGGTGTGAAAGCTGGTCGATAAGCTGATCGGGTGTCGAATACTCAGGCATGACGACCTAATGCAGCAATACACTTGACTATACCGCGTCCGACTGACATGATGAACAACTCAGCTGCTTACATGGTCTTAATTCGCGACCGTTGTACCCATGATCACTACGTAGCGAGGCGACCAGACCAGCTTTGCCAACACTCATACCGAATCGCATGACGCATACCATACCGGACTCGAACGTAGTGAGGCCCAATAGCCAGACCGACAGGAATCAAACTCGACCTTCTCCCATCGGCGGTTTTATGTCCAGCGAATTCCGAGACTCTTGGTGCCGGTCTATGGTCGCAAATGCTGCACACGAATATTCGGCAGCAGGGAGTGTTGGGCTTCCAAGGCATTCGAGAACCTGCAATCAGCATGGAGCAAACTGCCTTTTCGTAGGGCCTCAATGACTCGCTGCTGCTAATCCTGGCCAACATGATCTCGCGGAACCTGGAAGCGCAAATACAGAAGAAAATCTCTAGAGGTTGGCAGGCGCTGGCAGTGCAGCAAAAAGTCTGCTAGCCGCTTCTCGACACCTATTCGTCAGTGGGACACCCAAGGCAATCTGCAATTACCTAGGGTCGAAGTTTTCTTCTGGGCTCAAATTCACTCGGCTACAGTGGGCCAGAAGCAACCTGGAATTTAAGGTGGATGCACAGCCTTGCTTTGCTTCGAGTGTTTTCCCTTTACGATGAATGGTCTTCGTTGCTGCCGCCAACATAGACGCTGGGCAAAGGCACTCCACATGCAGAGCGTTTGCCTCAGGCGTGGCGTTTTCTTCCTTGCAAGTTTTATTTGTGTACAAGGCAGGTACATTTATTTGTCGCAGAGACGGTAGACCCTGAGCTGACAATACAATAGGGTGCGGAAGGTTTCAGCTAGGCGACGGAGTGAGCCGGTGCACGCCACAAGTTCGGGTCGGATGGCGGACGGCGATCTTCACAGCCACTGAAAATGCTGCATCAAGCTTTCTTTGGTGGAGCGGAGTGTCTGGGATGGCTCACGCACAAGGCAGCCGTCGAGGCACCGGACGGTCGACAGGCTTCCAGCTAACGCGTATATAATAGGAAGCGGTAATGCACGCTCGACTCAGCCTCGTGATACTTACGTGGATGGTCATAGAAGTGCCAACGCTGTCTTCTACGGTCTGTCGGCGACCGCGAACCCTCCTGCCGACATAGTCGTAAGTCTTGCTCTTGCCACCACTTGTCTTGGGCAGCAACAACTGTCGATACAAAGTCCGGTCTGGCTCTTGAGTGACTCCTTTCCATCAATTTTGGGCGCTCTTCCATCCAAGACATTCTATTCACCACAACATCCTTCTTTCCATCAACAGATCCATCACGACCATCACCCTACATTCTTCGATGGCAGTTTCCGAAGCAGTCCCCAAGTCTCCAAAAGAATCGCCTCTCATGTCGCCTGCGAAATCCTCAAGTCCCGCAAATGACTCAGACCCGCAGGATGTCTCTCAGACCAAGGATGGAAACGAAGAGCGAAGGAGTAGTTCTGTGATATTCTCTCCCTCGAGCTTCAAACCATTAAATCACCGCCGGACTGCACCTCAACACAATGATGCTGGAAAATTCGAGTGCAAAAACTGCCACCAGATTTTCGACCGCAAATGCGAATGGAAGTAAGTACCTATTCATGTCAATATTTTGGTTGCCCCAGTCCAGTGTAGAGGCGTGTCTTGTCGAACAGTCCCAGCCGTTACATCAGGATTGTGTGCTGCGGCTCAGAAGGCACGCCCAAGATCTCGGCTGACCAATCATTACTGACACCGACTCCGAACTTCCAGCACATCATGCTAACTCATCTTACAGCAAACACATGGACAAGCACGAGAGGCCATATAAGTGTGACAAACCGCAATGCGCCAAGCTGTTAGGATTTACTTACTCCGGCGGTCTTTTACGTCATGAACGGGAAGTGCATGGCATGCATGGCGGACCTAAAGAGCAACTATACTGTCCCATCAAACACTGCAAGCGACACACAGAACAGGGCTTCACACGACGTGAGAATCTGCAGGAGCATCTACGTAGGGTGCACAAGCTGCAAGATACGGAGAGTCTGGAAGCTGCTGCTCAAGATGCACCTACGCCTGGATCTGCTGCGTCAGATCATGACTCTGATGAGGAAAGCCGGTCGGTCAAACGCAAGCGTATGAGCATTGTAAGCCCGAGTGAGGAAGTACCCAAAGACGACGTCAGGACCCAGCTCAAGAAACTCCGGCTCGAAAACTACGAACTCAAGGCCGAGATCAAGACCATGTGGGAAAACCAACGTGCCGAGCTTGATGAGATGAAACAGCACATCAAACAACTCACGGTACAACAAAACGTGCAAATTCCGCGCTGGCGTCCGGACGGCACAGGATGACAGTCAGTGCGAATGACCGAATTGCTTACACGACAACGTCAGAAAGACGATAGCTCCAAAATGCGCTCTCACAACATTCTCGAGGATTTTGTTGGTCGACGAAATGTTACTATTCATACTCATCATAACAGTCACGAATCCTCGGAATATCGTACCATGTGCTAGACCAGCGTCCGAACACACTTTGGAAGACGCTGAAAACTGCATCCTGCAGGACTCGCTTGGCCTGAGGCGCAGTGCAGGCAGCAGTTGATGCAAGAATCCTTCATTGATCGACAGAAGCGGATAATTGCGACATAAGGCTGCACTTGATGAGAGCATCTTCAACCCAAGATCGAGGCGGGATATATCACCAATGGCTTCAGGACTCGGGAAAGAGCTAGTAACAATTTTAAACAATTTTAATAAACACGAGGGAAGATGATTGAGGAATACGAGCGCTCTTCGGAATGAAGTGATCAGCTTATCTCACTCTACCTTGCTTCTTGCTCCTTTCTTCTTCTTTTGTACGACTTTGTGGCTGCCTTAGGCAATGCACCCGTATATGATCACACACTTCTCTTTCCCTTCTCCTCTTTCGCTCGTATACATGACTGTGACCTGTCCTACCTGTGTACATTAATATCAACATAGCTGACACGGTCACAAGTTAAGTCTACAGGTAATACCTGCTTACTAATCAAACTAGAGCTATAATAACACGCCCCCTTCCCTTCTACACTCACCATCACAACCCAAAGTACGTTGAAGAAGTCGTCTTTTGCAGCAGATCGGCGAAAGCTGATGGCAACTGCAAACACATGTGAAAGTGAAAGCTTACGATCTTCCAGGTCGCCCGCGAACGAAGCGAGGAAGGTCGATGACGTGGTGTTGGAGTGTTGCTCTTTCGTTCTTCGTTGTCAGGAGGCGAGAGGTCTGGAAGGTGTTATTGAGAGGAGGGTTGTGGACCTGTGGTGATGCTCGCACTGCTTTCCGGGTTCATGGCATTGAAATGATGCTTTCCTGTCTTTCGTGATCAGGAGTCCGGTGAAGGGAGTGTGAGGAGGACGGTGAACCCGTGATGCTGCTTGCATTGCCTCTCGGATCCTTGATACCATGTTTAATTGTCGTCGCGAACAGGAAGTTGGAGGCTAGGATCTATTGCTGTGTGAGGCTTCATGGACCCGTGGTCTCTCGCCCAATTCTTTCTGGTGTGTTTCCCTGTACTTGCCATGAAGGGTCGCAAGCACGATGCATCGACGACACTTTGAGCGCATGGGGTGAGTCAGTGTTGATTGATCCAACTCTCATGTATGAGATGCTTCGCCGAGGCTCCCATTGATATCTAGTGTTACCCAATAGTCCTTTCTACCTTCAGTGCATCAGTTGACTGGATTTAGAATGAGAAGCAGAGATCATCTGAGCGCCGTGCTACTGATATGTCAAGTCAAAATTTACAACGTGACTAGAAATTCAGGAGTGTGTCAGGTCTCCACCATATGCATTTACCCTCAGACAATAGTTTTACCCTCCTTGTGGTTCTTGATGCCCTCAGCGATATCCTTGCCAAGTTTCTCGCCCACTCTGGCAAACATCTTGATCGCTTCCTTGATAACACGATCACTCGCACCGCCCAGATGAGGACACAAGTTCTCGAGGAAGTTCTCTCTGCCACCCTCTTCACTCAACATAGTGTGCCGTATGTTGTACGGACCTGTAAGGAGGCCGAAAGATCAGATACCGGAGCACCTTGAGATTGTTAGAATAGTTTACTGTGTGCATAGTTTTGTACAGCTTACCTTCCTGCAGAGTATAGACAGGCAAATCCGCACGTCTGCTCGTGGTGTTGAAATCTGGAGGTGCCATTGTAGATCGAAAATGATATTAGGTTTGCAGTACAAAAGTTGGAGTAACCAAACGTGAAGCATTTCGAAAGAGCAGCAGAGCCTACCTACTTATCAGCACAAAGCCGCTGGGATGTCATGATTTGGTCAGCATGGACATGGCAGGAGCGATTACATTCGACATAGTATCCGCAATTGTGATGTTTGAGACACTAGGGTGACTGGGGAAAGTGCGTCCATGTCATATCGGCACGCGGCTCATGCCTATCCTTTGCACGGTAGTCATTAAATAGAGCTGATTAAGGTATTGCTGCCTCCTTATTGCTAGTTCATAATCCGTAGTTTAGGTCTAAGCGGCAAATTGTCTGGTATGCACATGTAGAAGCAAAAGTGGTATATCGAATTTCGTCACCATGACGCAAATTGTCTTGTTGCGAGAAGAGCGATATTTCTCCATACAACGAGACATCGGCTTCTCCGATAATGTCTGTGTGGACAGTATCGGACTTTGACGGATACGGCGGTGCTGGTAGAAATCATGGTGAATTGAGCATGGCTGACAAACACAAGGATCTGCGGAGAAGTCTCGGACTTGAAACTCCGGTTACTATTTTTCACAAAAGACTACCTCGATTTATGCTTTAACCACATCAATTCATTGATTTATAGGTTTCCGATATGGAAAGGATTCATGTATACATCCACAAAAACGCCACGCTTAATGCCATTCCTTGATCATTTCACCAGATTCCGAACTTGTCTTTGCTACTTTTACCATCTACCCAGTCAAACAAACCAGAGCAGCCTCGAATTCGTCAACGATTCTTTCTTCAAGTTTGTTCTCAATATCCTTTGTAGCAGCGGTGGGCTTTTGTCGTGCCCATTCAGTCTCTCGCTCACCGACAGGCATGATGCGCTCACGCAGATTACGTCTGGTGCGAAGAATGGACTCGACTTGCTCTTTTGCGTTGGCACGATCGAACTCCAGGCTAGGGATCTCGGCGGCCGAAGCGCCAGAGCTTGCACCTACTGTTCTCAATCGCTCGAGGATGAGGGAGATGAGAGAAAGCGAATGAGTCTCGCTGGCCAGTCCAAGGGTCAGACATCCAGCATACGGATGACGTAGAGAAGGTTGTTTATTCTCCAGATCAGTCTCGGCACGGCGCACTTGAGCAGGGAAGCTGTTGATGAAAGCACCAATCTCGGCTGCGATCGGGGGGCCAACTGCCTCCAAAAGGTTCAAACACAAAGGAAGTATACCCTTGGACCAAATAGGGAAGACGCGGATAGGTTCGTCAAAGGGACCCTTGCCATTCATATTGCGAAGGTAGTGTGAGAGATTGGCAGATGAGAGACGAGATAGCACACCTTCGACAGCCATTTGCTCTGCGATGTATGTGACTGAGGAGAGCTCAAGCAAGAACAATATAGCAATCTCACCGTACACAGGATCGACCGAGTCAGGCGTCACAAGACGATCAGACCAGGAGTATAGACTTGTTGCATAGCGAAGAGTACCAGCATCCGCACAACCAGTAGCAATGGTGGAATGCGAAGAAGCGATTCCGGGTATGCGGAGAACGCTCTGAAGCAGAGCAGTGAGGAGCACAAAATCTGCTGGCTGCACCGAATCTGGGTTGGCGTGGACGTTACTGCACAGCGCCCTGAAATTCTTATGTACAGTACCCAGAATCTCGAGAGGGATGACAGGGACGACCGGAGCCGACCGCTTCTCTTTTTGAATAGGATTGTAGACTTGGGGTTGGAGTGCCAGGAAGAGGATGCGCAGCAAAGTGCGGTAGTAGTCGACATCTCGAGGGGTAGATGCAACCTCGAAGTCTTGATTCGACGTACGGACGATGTCCCAAGCTGTTGAGAGTAGGTCGCGAACAACTGGCTCTTTGGACTTGACAGAGGTCAACTTCTGCAGCAAGACAAAAGCCAGATCGGCGCGAGTCTGCGCAACGTTATCAAACAACGCAGCGGGGACTGAGACTTCCATGTTAGCTGAGAGAGACTTTTGAACGACCTTTGCAAGGTCTGTCTGTAGAGAGGGAATGTCTTCAGCAAATGTACCAAGCATTATGGCCAATGCCTTCCAGCTCTTGAGAAGGTGCACTTGAGCTTCGACCAACGACAGGTTGACATTGGCTCTTGCGACCTCTTCAACAAAGCCTTGGTTATTGCGACCGCTCCATGATGACTCGAAGCTCAACATACGATCAGCGGTTTCGCGATCATAGTAGTAGTCACGGCCGAACGCCGCTTGCTTGAGAGAAGTGCGCTTGAAGTTCTCAAGCTTGCATTGCGGGAATTTCGTAGCAAAATTCTTGGCCAAGTTCTTGTGAAGCGAATGATTGTAGGCATCTACAGCAACACCGCGGGTGCAGAGAAACTGTAGCTTCGTGGCAACATTCTTTGCAGTCGTCGTGTCGCCAAGCTGGCGGGCGTTGTGTAAATAGCGAGCAAGGATGTCGGAAGCATAAGATGCCATCTGGATCTCATTGGCATATCGAATGGTACTTTCCATATCAGCCTGCTTGTCATTTGGCACGACCTCGGCAAGCCAATCTGCTGCGCTCTTGAGGAAATCGGCGTGCTTGCCAATGCCGTGTGTTGCCCAGGCCCATTCGTCTTGTGCGCAGGCGACAAACTTGAGGATCGCCATTGCTCGTTTCGGTGAGATGGTCTTGATATTTGCTAGTTGGTCCAGAGCATGCTTCAACAATGCCCTACTGCCGGTAGATTCGCTCTTCGCATCCGCCTTCAGCCTATCACGCGGCGTAGTACCAGTGAGCAGGCATAGCGAAAGCCACTGCTGTTTGTTGCTAACGACCGCAGAGAACATTTCCCAGATTGTCACCTCTACACCGAGCTCCTGCAAAGGTTGGTCTAACTCTGCAAGGACAGTAAGGAAGCTTTTTGAAGCCTCCGGACTCAGGTGTCCGAGGAGAGAAGCCGGTTCTGAATCGGGTTGATTCAGCGTACGGACCATTGAAGTGAAGAGTTCGGCAACTGGAGCTTTGTAGGAATGTTGAGCCGCAAAAAGGCGGGCCAGGAGAGGTATAGACTGAAGCAGATTCTTGGTAAGATATCCAGCTTTGCGTTCAGTAAGCAAGCCGACGTTGAGTATGCTCGAGCAGAAGGATAAGGCTGCACGTGTCTGAAGCCTGATAGGACCTTCATTCTCCAGCGGTCCAGGATTAATAGAAGCGAGACCTGATGTAAGGATATTCAAGAGCGGATGGAAAGTTAGCGAATGGGGACTGTCTGCTAGATACACCTTGAGGAGATCTTCTGCAGCCTGCGCAAATACGCCAGTCAACTTTGAAGAGACAAGTTTGTTATCGTCCACGCTGTACGCAAAGTTGAGCACATCGGTAGCCGCATCTAAGATTCGTGTGCTGATCTCACACCTCTCCGATGGGAAGACAAACCTCCAGCTTGGGGAACTCTGCAACACATCAAGAAGGATACGCTGGAATGCGGCAAGGACTGCACTCGTGAGTTTTTCAGGCGTGGTTCCGACTGCATCAGCAGGGTCATCGAAGCGAGTCACTGCTTTCGTGCTTGACTTTCGTGAGACAGCACGCGTGGCGACGTCTTGAATCAACCTCTCACAGAGGCCAATACAAGCACGAAGCAAATCGTATTGTCCAATTGGGAGCTCTGTCGAACTAACAATAGCGGCAAGACCACCAACGTTGTCATCAACGGACAGAAGACGACTGCGCGTCAGAAGAGACCAGATTCTTTCCGGATAGATAGACACCACTGACTGCATGAACCGAACAATGTGCACCAAGAGGTACAATGACCCCTCCGATCCAGGTTGTTCGACTTGAGCATGGAGCTCTTCCTCAAACATCTGGAAGACAACCCTGACAATATCGTCATTTCTATCGAGACCGTAGCTCAAGCGGCCGAGAACATGCTTTGCGGCATTGATGTCGTCTGCCTTGATAGAAGCGTGTATTAGTGAGTCCACGAGCGCGATAATCTCAGCCGCGGCCTCTTTGTCGACGGGTCCAGATGCCAGCTCAATATGGCTTGCATTGGATAATCTAGTTGAAAGTAGCTTGCCAAAGTATTCCAAGGCAGAGTGGTCATGATGCCAACAGACAACATAGGGACTATTCTGATTCGCTAGGATACCGACAGTGCCGGCGGGAATCGTCAGGTCAGCCTTGGCTTGACCAGCATCTCTTCCTGACGTGAGGCGCATGTGATGACTTCTGCCGTCCCTTGGGACGAAAAGAGGGATATCCTCAAGAAGCTGGATATGGTTTTGCAGTTCGTCTTCACGATAGTTTTCATAACTTCTTTCGAAAGCTCTGGGCAGTATTTGGGTCAGCGTAGACATGTTTTCAAGAATGGCCAGGATCTCCGACTCGTGCCCATCGTTCGAGGCGTGACTCTGGCTAATCGAAAGCAGACAGTTGAGGAAAGGGCGAATCTCATAAGCATAGCGTTGTTTGACCTGGTCAAAGAACCGGCTACCCATACCGTCCGCCAGAAAAGCCTTGACGGGCTGTTTTGGATTGCGAGCTCGTGTTCGTGAGAGATTGGGAGGTACAGTGTCGTACGAAAGACTGGACAGAACAGCCTGGACAACATCCGGGCCGTACTGGAAGAGATGATATCCAGCCGAGATCAAGCTGAACAAGGACATTTTCCCACACGCAGCAACGTGAAGATCAAGATCGGCGCCAAAAGCCAACAACAAACACTCGTTCAATGCCGTGACCATCTCGAAAGCCTGCAAATCAGCAACTGCAGCATTGGCCATGAGCCCGATGACATCTTCTCCTCCGGCAGGATTAGCATTCAAGATGGCCTCGAGGGAGACTTCCGTCTTGCTCTTAGTCTTGTCGGCAGAGCCATCCTCGATCTGAGACTGAGTCTCAACGCGGCTTTCCATGACGGCACTGCGAAGACTCTGTGCGATAATACTCCAGGCAAGCATAGCTGGGCCAGCGTGCCGTAGTTGATTTCGAGCGGCGTCCAGAAAAGTGGATGTAACTACGCTGACGCAGGACTCGTCATCGATATAAGTTTTCCCAGGGAGCTGGGGGTAGGCTCCTGAGTCCGAGGCAGCAGCGACGTATTCGACAGTGGCAGTGACCTTCAGGATCTCCAGTGAAATGAGAGAAATCAAGCCTCGGATGACGATGACCAGATCCGAAGTCTCCGTGCTCTCAGGCAGATTGGAGAAGAAGTAGTCAGCGTGCATGAGAGAGAACCAATGCACAACCAGATCAGAGTCCGGGATGGTTTTCTGAGCATAAATATGGATGTACGCGAGGCGCAAGATCAGAACGAGCTGGATCAAGGTGGACTTCATGTAGGATTGGATAAGGTCATCGTCGTTTGTGACGGACGTGGGCCAAGTTTGCGGATTGAAGGATTCCAAGCTCGATCGAAGCGCGGCATGGCACTGTAAGAAGAAGGGTGAGTCGGAAGTAGTCTGAGCACGCCAGACAGCAAGGGCAGCCTGTTGCAGCGAGACTTTTGGTTTGAATGCAGCAGACTGCAGGTCCTGAGGTAGAGCGATACCAATGAGGAGTGCAGACAAGGCTAGGATGCTTGACTTTTCAGCGTAGAGAATGTTTAACAATCTCGGTCGTCTCTGCTCTTGGGTATCGAAGGTGGACTTCTGGTCTGATTCGGTGACGGGGTTGATGGACTGGCGGAAGTGGGCATTGGCAGCGGCGTTCTGAATTCCAAGTCGCTCATCCTGAGACCAGTCGGCCAGCATGCGCGAAGCAGAGCGTTGTTGCCATTCGAGCAGAACAAGTCTCAGGGCATCCGTCTCTTGAATCTTAGCTTCCTTTGACAACCACAAGGCATCCTCCTTGATTTGATTGATATCGTATTGACCAGCTTCGGAGGGAACGACGTTGATGGCGGCGGTCCTTGCGTCAAAGTCGGTCTTTGATTGTGTCGTGGGTGTGGTGAAGGGTGTGAGGGGAGCGCTCAAGATGGAGATGACGGTAGTATCCTGGAAAAAGGCGTCCAGTGTGGGAGATGAGGTGTGTGAATCGAGAGCGATGACTGCCCTATAGGCAGACTCCCATGATCTAGTAGGGTCAGTACAAGGAAGACGCGATGAGCAGCACAGGCGCATACAGAAGAGGCAGCTCGCGGGCCAGACATTTATCCAAAGCTGGGAAGTAGACGGCCGGAGGGGAGGGCACCATTGTGCGGACTGGTTTAGAGTATGAGCATACGCGCCGCTCCAGGAAGGTCGGAAGCTCGAATTGCGCGAAAGCTGAATAGACGAAATGATTGATCTTTGTCGATGGTCGAAAGATGCTTAGAGCTGCAAAGCGACACGCCAAGACAGACGACGAAACGCGACTTTGGAAGGGCAGGCGCAGACAGGAAGGCAGGAGCTTGAAGTCTGGGGAAAACAATGCCGACGGCCAATCAACGCTTGACTCATCGGCTGCGTGAGCTATTGATGCTTTTCTTTGGCACCAAATCACCCCTCCACTTTCCCTCTCTCTTCAATTGCCTGACAAGCAAGAGACAGCAACACGCGCAACATGTCCAATCTAGGCCTGGTCGACCACTCGCCCTTCAACGCCGAGCCCGCCGCTCCAATCCCTACCGCCTCCAATCTGATTCTCATCGACAACTACGATTCATTCACCTGGAACGTTTACCAATATCTGTGTCTCGAAGGTGCAAGCGTCACCGTCTACCGCAACGATGAAATCACCATCGACGAATTGATTGCCAAAAACCCCACCCAGCTGGTTGTCAGCCCTGGTCCTGGTCATCCCGAAACAGACTCCGGCGTCAGCAAAGATGCCATTCGTCACTTTGCTGGAAAGATTCCCATCTTCGGTGTGTGCATGGGCGAACAATGCATCTATTCTGTCTTTGGTGGCACCGTCGAGAAGACTGGCGAGATCCTCCACGGGAAAACTTCGCCTTTGCGACACGACGGCAAGGGTGTCTACGCAAACATCCCTCAGGACATTCCCGTTACCCGCTACCACTCGCTTGCTGGAACACACCCAACTCTCCCCGAATGTCTCGAAGTCTCTTCTTGGATTGCCGTTGGCCCCGACGGAGGAAAAGGTGTCATCATGGGCGTGCGCCACAAGGAATACGTTATCGAGGGTGTTCAATACCATCCTGAGAGTATCCTTACCGAAGAGGGTAGACTGCAGATCAAGAACTTCCTGTACATGCAGGGTGGTACCTGGGCTGAGAACGAGCGCCTACAGAAGGAGGCAAAGTCAAAAGCACAACCCGCAAAGTCCAATGGACAGCCAAAGGACAAGCAGACCAACATTCTCGAAAAGATTTTCGCCCGTCGCAAGGAATTGGTCGCTGCTCAGAAAGAGGTCCCTTCTCAAAGACCCGTCGATCTTCAAGCCGCCTACGATATGGACCTCTCGCCTCCTCTGATTTCCTTCGCCGATCGTCTCAAGCAGTCCCCTTACCAACTGTCGCTCATGGCCGAGATCAAGCGTGCTTCGCCTTCCAAAGGCATCATTTCTATCTCCACATGCGCCCCTGCACAGGCTCGCATCTACGCTTTGGCTGGCGCCAGTACAATCTCCGTCCTGACTGAGCCTGATTGGTTCAAGGGCAGCATTGACGACTTGAAGGCTGTACGTCAAGCTCTGGTTGGAATGCCCAATCGTCCTGCTGTCCTCCGTAAGGAATTCGTCTTCGATGAATACCAGATCTTGGAAGCCCGCTTGGCCGGTGCCGACACTGTTTTGCTCATCGTCAAGATGCTCGATATCGAAACACTCCACAGACTCTACAAGTACTCCCGATCTCTCGGTATGGAGCCTTTGGTGGAGGTCAACAATGAAGAGGAGATGAAAGTCGCTGTCGATATGGGCTCAAAAGTCATTGGTGTCAACAACCGCAACCTTACAAACTTCGAAGTCGATCTGGAAACAACCAGCCGTCTCATGTCACTTGTTCCCAAAGAGACTGTTGTTTGCGCTCTCAGTGGTATCGCTGGTCCACAAGACGTCACTCCCTACCAGAAGAACGGCGTCGGTGCCGTTCTTGTTGGTGAGGCTCTGATGCGTGCAAAAGACACAGCTCGGTTTATCTCTGAGCTTCTCGGTGGTAGCGTCAAGTCTGATCGTAAGGAAGCTAAGAAGTCACCTCTGGTGAAGATCTGTGGAACACGCACACCTGAGGCGGCCAAGGCTGCTGTGGAAGCTGGCGCAGACTTCATCGGCATCATCCTGGTTGAGGGTCGTAAGCGTTGCGTATCTAACGAGACTGCCATTCAGATATCGAAGGTTATTCACGAAACAGAGCGTGGCAGATTCAGTACAGAAGTTACCGCCGAGTCATCACCAGTTTCCGCAACGAATTACTTCGACCACACATCGGCACAAGTTCTAACACACCCGCGACATGCAAAGCTTGTCGGCGTGTTCCAAAACCAGCCTCTGCAATACATCCTAGCACAACAGAAGCTGCTTGGTCTTGACATCGTGCAATTGCATGGATCCGAGCCCATTGAATGGGCGTCGCTCATTCCTGTTCCCGTCATCCGCGCTTTCCATCCTGGTGATGCAGGCCTTGCTACTCGTGGCTATCACGCCTTACCTTTGGTCGACTCAGGTGCTGGTGGCTCCGGCGAGCAGGTGGATTTGAGCCAGGTCCAAGAGCTTCTACAGAAGGATAGTGGTCTAAGGATTATGCTCGCTGGTGGTCTCAACCCAAGCAATGTGAAGCAGATGTTCAGCAGTCTGGAAGCACATATAAGCCAGGTTGCGATATTGGATGTTAGCAGCGGGGTGGAAGAGAATGGTGAGCAGAGCCTTTCAAAAATTCGCGAGTTCGTTACTACCGTCAAGGCGGGCCCTTGATCGCATCATGGCGAGCTAATAGAACAAAATATCACATTGCCCCAGATTTGAACTAGTTTCGCAACCAGATTTGCTCACACCTACACTTCTCCGAGCCAAGAGTCCGCGATAATGTCTCTTTAGAAGCTCATGTTTGTTCGCAGCAGCGCCGTCGATCTGACATTCTATCTCAACTTGTAAAATGCTCTCGACAGCATGTATGATATCAGTGCGTAGTTCACAGTGGTATGCTTGAGCGTCGCTGCCTTGCTCATGAATGCTGGGGTCACTCGTAGCTGTTGGATTGCTTCGTCCCAATTCACTCTCCTAGAGCATCCAGGTCACACATTGGCGACTTCCTTCACTCTTGCCTCTGAGCCCATCTCTCCCGATTGAGCGCACCCGACAGGGAGGCACTATATAAGCTTTGCTCTAAGTCTTTCCTCCTTCTAGCTCACACCAACACCCAAACTTCTTCTTACCTTTGACGCTTCTTGAATTATCCCACAACCACCTCATACTCCTATCCTTCCTCAACATCTAAGACCTTATCATCACGTCGGAGTTATTCGACAGTTTCAGCCACGACTCACTCGGCATCCAGCCGCGCCTGGCGATCTTTGCTATTTGAACCGCTTCAAGATCTTAAGACTCCATCACCAACGTATCATCTAACAAGAACGACAGTCATTCGACAAGATGGCACCCAACAGGCTCAATAACTATTCGATCTGTTTCTCTGGCACCTTCGAGCACGCCGAAGCACAACTCAAAAAGTGGACAGAGGCCAATGGCGGATCCTACGAACGCCATATCTCGCCCTCAACCACTCACTTGATCGTCACCAAGGCCAACTGGCGCGCTCGTGTGCCTGAGGTGGAAGCTACACTCAAGGACAAGAGTGTCAAGATCGTTGACTACGAGTGGTTCGATGACAGGCTACGTCTGGGCGGCCGCGTCTCGGAGACCAAGTACCTCTGGACTACGATCGATGAAGAGGCTATCAAGCAGGAGGCCAAGGAAGCTAAGCTCGCCGAACGCGAGGAGAAGCGAGTTGCGAGGGACAAGGAAAAGAAGAAGAGGGACAGCAAGCGTATCGACTGGGGTGGTGCTCTACTGCAGCACACCAACGCCGTTGCAAGAGTCACGGATAGCGACTCCAGCGAGGATGATAGCGAAGACTCTTCGAAGCGCGAGCTCGCTGAAGAATTTGCTAAGGGAGCCAAGCAAGCAAAGAAGGATCTCATGAGCGATAACCACCACATCTACATGGATATAACTGGCTTTGTCTACGACATCTGTCTCACCAAGGCAATGGTCGAGCTCAGTCGTCTTGACAGAGCTTCCATCACCGTAAGTAACTCACTGGATGGAGGGAGCGCCTCTGACGGTCTCTCTCCTCACAGTGTCCATTGTTTCAATACTATCCTACCTCGAGACAGCCTTGCTAACCCTCCTTCTAGCTCTACGAGACCAACGCCAATCCTCACAGCTATGCTGTTGTTGTCAAGATGGCCGAGAAGGACCCTCAAGACCACGACACCACCACCGTTCAAGGCGTTAACTTCGCCACTGCCTTCAAGTGTTGGAGAGACAACTTCAAGACGCTTACTGGCAATGAGTGGAACAATCGCATCAAGAAATGTTCCGATCAACCTGCCCTGGCCCCTCTACCTCGTCCCAAGATCGCCATTTTTGCTCCCAGCAAGTCTTCGCCTCTTGGTAAGCTATCAAAGCTTACAAAGAAGGGCAAGGAAAACGAACAACAGCAGTCGGACGAGCCCACGGCTGAAGAGCTTCAGGAGCGTCTCAACACTGCCTTTGTCCGTCAAAAGTATCGCTACCGTCTCCCTTCCGAGGACAAGCCTCGTGGGACCATGCCTGACGGCTCTCACTACAAGCATCAGGACAACAAGGCCGTCTATGATCTCTTCGGCAAGACTGCTGACAGAGGCGTCGAGGCTATGAAGACCAAGGAGGAGGCCAAGGAAGAAGCCAAGAGACTGAAGAAGTTGGTCAACAGAAAGAAGAAGCCCATTGAGATTGTGATCATCGACAGTGATGACGAAGAAGAAGATAGTGAAGAAGACGAGGAAAGTGATGAGGATAAGGACATGGAGGGAGGAGAGGAACATGGCTATGTCGCCGTCAACGCTGTAGGCAGTGACGTCGAGACGAAGGTCGTCGACACCGCTGGACCTCCCATTGACCAAGACTTCGCCATGGTCGACGCCCCTGCTGCTCAGGTTTGATCGGTCCTTCGAGAACAGCGACTTGCCGGAGAAAAAGTTCTTGCATCCAATCGGGCCAGTATTTGAGGACGCAGCTGAGCAGAAGAGCGGCAACTACGTCTTGTACAATTTAGAGGAGAGCAGATTGCATCGGACATGCTGGAGATTTTGATACTCACGAGCGTGGAGTAGATACTGAGCATTACCATTTTCCTTTATACCAATCACATAACGAGTGCATCACTTCAGGAGCCTTCTGTGCCTTCTGTTCCGATCCCCATCTTAGGCCCACAGCTTGCTGCAGAGTTTCTGGTGGCGTTTACGGAGATGACTAGAAATTGACCATGTTCTTTTGCAGAAATATAGAGAAGCAAGAGAAGAAGACGCTCAATGTGATTGTTTGGCAGAAAGAGGCCAGGGGAAATATGTATAATGTCGAAAGAGGGATATTTTGTATGTTTCGGATCCTCTCTAGTTGCTTCTCTCGCCGCCCTTTGCAGCTCTCAGCTCATCCATCTTTGCGACGCGCTTCTTGAACTCTTCGTATTGGCACTTTTCGTACGAGTGTCTCTCGTTCTGTAGGAGTGTCAGAGCTATGTCCGGAAATAGAAATTTGATCGTGTTTAGGATAGGCGAGGGCGGAAAGAGGTCGATCGATAGAGCGGAGAGTCATACCTCGCACTTCCAGGGCAGGTAGTACTCGTTGTGTCGGCAGCGGTTCAGCGGGATCAAGAGGTGGGCGCAGGTGTCTCTGTATGGGATGGGGAGTCTGGCGTCGGACATTTCCTCGCGGGAGGCAGCTAGACAGAAACAATAACATCAGCACGCGTAGTCTATCATCACAATTGGCGAGTGCGGTCGTGAGATTGAATTGCGAGAGGAAGGCGTTTGCGCGCAAGTCGAATCGTGGTTGTCGCGGGCGCGATTGACGGTGTAGAATCGGGAGGACGTACTGGTCGAAGGACCACCTTCGAGGCCGACGGCATGCTTGATTGTTTCGGTGATGGCCATGGTTGTGATGTGTGGAATTGGAGAGTCTCGACTGGCAGCAGCTATTGCTATGGCCTTGGACGTCGGTCGGGTGAACGCCAAGAGCTTCGAGAGGGAGCCCGGAGCCGGGAGCCCGCAGCGGAGCGGAATTCGCAACGCGTCTCACGTCTTCCTCGTCAACCGTGTCTTCCTCGTGTGTCGCATTTCACATTTCACGCTGCATCGGAGCGTTGCTATTACCATCTGCAAATATTGACGACGCTTGCATGTGCTGAACGCCGGTCCCAGTGCAGCAATCACCCTGGCCAGCATTCACGCTAGACTGGCTTCAATCCACTGTCGCTCTTTCCCAACTCGACCCAGCGTCGCAAGCTTGCCCTGCTGCTTCAGCCACTCTCATTCGCGACTCCCCCCTCGTTCGTTGCGTAGCCGAGCATGACGGACAATCGCATCTACTCGGCTACCTACAGCAATGTTCCAGTCTATGAGTTCAACATCGAGGGCAACCATGTCATGCGTCGTCGCTCAGACAACTGGATCAATGCAACACACATTCTAAAAGTCGCAGACTTCGACAAGCCCACCCGCACCCGTATCCTCGAGAGGGAAGTCCAGAAAGGAACACATGAAAAAGTTCAAGGTGGATATGGCAAATACCAAGGCACATGGATCCCCCTACCTGAAGGTCGCAATCTGGCAGAGCGTAATCGAGTACTGGACAAGCTAAGACCCATCTTCGACTACGTCCCTGGCGACAGGAGTCCACCGCCTGCTCCTAAACACACAACTGCTGCTTCCAAGCCGCGTGCGAACAGGAAGCCCGTCAACAGAGCTCCTGTTCTGTCACACATCTCCGAGGATGTAGAGATGTACCACCACTCAGAGACGCCAGACAATGTCACGGTGGCCTCAGAATCATACATGGACGACTACAACTATCCGCCGGGCTCCCGTAAACGAAAGCATCCAGAGGACGACGTCTCGCTCGCTGACCAGCAACATCAACTCTGGGCCGAAGAGCTGCTCGACTACTTCATGCTGCTTGAACAACCAAATGATCCATTCCAACGCCCCCCTGTACCTCCGAACGACATCGACCTCGACCGACCGATTGATGAGAAGGGACACACTGCTATGCATTGGGCTGCTGCAATGGGAGATCTGGCTGTCGTGAAGGACCTTATTGGCCGTGGCGCGAACATCAATGCTTCCAGCAACAATGGTGAGACGCCATTGATGCGTGCTGTCATCTTCACAAACAACTACGACAAGAGCACAATGGACCGACTGGCTGGCTGGCTCGTCAACACCGTTCCTATGGTCGAGTGGTTTGGCAGCACTGTCTTTCACCACATTGCTGGCACAACATCTTCAAAGTCAAAGTATGCATGTGCTCGCTACTACCTCGATTGTATTCTTTCGAAGATGGCAGAAACATATACTCCTGGGGACATTGAGCATGTTCTGAACATCAAAGATCGTAACGGCGACACTGCCATTCACATTGCTGCCAGAAATGGTGCGAGGAAGTGTGTACGAAGCCTGATCGGCCGACATGCTTCAGTCACTATCCCCAACGACTTAGGCGAGACAGCAGATGATCTGATCATACAGCTAAATCGCCGCAGAAGAGACGGTCGTCATCGTGCCATGTCTTCATCGCCGTTCCAGATGGACCCCGCTATCCACCACAACCCAGCAGCTAACCTCGACCCAACTCTCGACACACCTTCCTCGAACAACCCACACCTTCCCACCGCGCCTAGCAACGCAGCCCTACCTACAAAACCTCATCACACTTCCGAGGCTGCCTCTGCACTAACGACACAAATCTTCCCACTTCTACAGTCAAAAGCAGACAAACTAGCCGCAGCCTTTGACGCCGAAATCAACGAACGCGAAACCGACGTCGCAGAAGCCGAACGCGTAGTCCAAGTCCGCACTGCAGAAATCGAAGCTCTAAAGAAACAATCAATGTCCCTCGCCATGAGCGATCAAGAAGATGAATTCGACTCTCGTCTCCAACGCTCCCTCAACAACTTGATCTTACAATGCGAAAGCCTGATTGAAGATGAGCAAGCCGCAGAACTCCAACACTTGTTCCGTCAAATCAGCCAGACACAGCATGGTGATATGGAAATGAATGAGTATAACGATGAAGGCATGGAGAAGTTGAATCTGTTGCTTTCTATCAAGAGGCTAAAGGAGCAGAGGTGTGGGTTGGTGCGTGATGTTGTTGCTTCTCAGGCGGAGGCTGGCCTGGGGGATCGACAGAAGGAGTATCGAAGACTGATTGTGGGGGCATTGGGGGTCAGGGATGAGGATGTTGATGGCATGTTGCCTGATATTGTCGGAGAGCTCGAGGAGTGGCAGGGTATGGATGGTGGTGTTGGTGCTGGTGCTGGGTGATTAACGTAAATGGGAAGCTACAGATGCACGATGGGATTGTTGAAGAAGGAGATGGACAGATGCGAAAATCCTTTTTGTGTATATGGGAAGGGCACTTTTTTCGTCAAAACGTTTTCACTTTTCCTTCACGGCAAACTCTTTCTCAAGGAATTGTACGAGAATACAAAAAAAAAAGAACTTTTCATACCTTTTCTTACTTTGTACGGCTGACTGCTTTTCTCTCTTCGTACTTTATGCTTGAAACGGCTTTGCTTCCGGATGGAATTGCCGTCCAGAGCGGACCTGTACATTATGCATCTTTCCACTAAGCCTTCTTCTTGCGACCTGACCTCTTCTCAGACTTTGGTTCCTGCTTCACCGTCTTGGCCTCTGTTTTCACAGTCACTTCCATGCTAGGCAGTTCCATTTCTTCATCTAGCACCAGTTCTCCTTGAACGATGCTCGCACCCAAAATGTCCTTCTTGTACACCTTCACATCTTGATCCTGCAACTCTGCTGCTACATCGTCGTCCTTGTCTGCCCCTATGTATATTGTGATGGTACTGGTGTCGAGCTTCGAAAGAGGGCCAGTAAGCGGGTTGGTACCCCCAGCTTGTCTTACAATCGCCATGACATCGTCCCAGCCTTTCTTGTATGCCAAACGCTGTATGGGTGTGACGTAGATGATCTCATCAGTGAAGATGGCAGTGCGATCATGATGACTAGTCGCTTTGAGTTCTTCGGGTAAGAAGTCGGAGGTTTCCAGCAACATGCCTGCGTCGACTGACCGCGAGACCCAGTCGTCCGTGACTATGGTCTTGCCCAGAGTCAGACTGTGAAGTAATTTCGGTGTCTTGAGAAGTTCTCCGTGACCGACACAGAGAAAGTTTGCAAGTTTGATATCCTCTGTCCGACTTGCACCTTGGGCTTTCAGGAACTTCATCAACTGACTCCTTTCATGTGTCTTAGTGTTCGAGAATATGATGATCGGAGCGTCGCCAGTATACTGGCGGCCAATCACCGAGGGTGAGCCAGACGGGGCCCTCTCGCTGTCAATGCTTTTGTGTCTATTCGAAACACGTCTGGAGATGGTATTTGGTGTCGGGTCTTCGTCTAAACTCTTTCTGCGCGAGGAATTGCGTGTAGGAGCAGATCCCGAGGGCGTTTCGAGGCCCTTACTTCTGCCCGAGCCGCGTTTTGAGGCGGTACCTGTCGGAGTTGCTTCGGTGGTGCTGACAGTCTCTCCGATGATTTTGGCTCGTTTGATTGACGAAGTGACCGAGGCAGATACCAAGACGGTCTTTCTCTTTCTACCAGGTCTATTCGTAGCGGTTTTCACTTCGCCGTGGGGTGAGATTGGACTGGGCGCAGCAGCAGCTGTGTCGTCGCCGTCTGTATTCTCTGCGGATGGCTGCTGCAGCAAGGCCGGGCTGGGCACAGTAATGGCAATATCATCAGCGTCCTCGGCCGTTGCAGGTTGGTTGTTGTTTGTGATCTGATCGTTGATGATGTCCATTGGCGAAGCCGTGCTCTCGGGTTCGTTGATGGCCGGCTCTACCGACGGTGGGATGGCCTGGGGCTCTGGTGAGGTTGTATCCTCCAGAGGCTCCTCGATCAAGGATTCCTCGTATAGCTGACTTGGAAAGGAACTGAGCCTCGACTTTTTCTTCGGAGGGGAATCAGGCGGTGGCACTTGCGAAGGAGGGTTGCTCCCGTTCAAATTTGACACCAGCGTGCCAACTTCTTCGACAGTGATGCTATCATTGACTGATAGAGTGCGCTGTGATGGTATACGGAATTGAAGTACCTCTGAAGGAGAGGTGTTTGGTAGCTCGCCGGTGTGGATATCCGGCAGCACGTCGACAGGGCCCTCGAAGCCATCTCCATTAGGGGCTGATTCTGATCGGGGCGACAGAGGCTCGTTCAAGGGTATACTTTCAGGAATAATCGACTCATGTTGCGACCTGATTCGGCGACGGTTGGGCGTTTCCTTTACTATTTGAGACTCACTGGTGACCGGACGAGGCGTTGGGCTCAGGTTCTCACGACTGGTTGAGAACATGTGCTGTGACTCCTCGGCTGACATATCACGACGGGCGTTCATCGGTGGTTGAACATCCTCATCGTCGGTGTCGTCGTCGGTATCATCATCGCCGCTGTCATCTTCCTCCTTGATTCTTTCACGCTTGATCTTGCGAGAATCGACTCCGGGGCCGGAAGACTCAACTTGTACATCCAAGCCGGTAGGATCAAACGAGACCTCGATACGAAATATTTTGTGCTCAAACTCAATCGCATCTCCGTTGCGTAAGAGGACGAAGTAGTGCCTGTCATCTGCCGAGAAGGGCAGACTCACGCGAGAGAGCAGCTGATGAGCAGGCGAGATTGGCACGATTTCTGTGTCCACTACATCCGAACTGAACTTGATCGCGCCTCCCTCGAATTCTGTCATGAGCTGATTAATTTACTGGAGTGGAAGTGGACAAAAGTATTCTTTGGTTGAGATGGTGGGGCAAATGGAATGGAAGACTTACCGAATTGACACACCCAGTCGTACCTAACCTGAGTCTTATCAAAGTATTTGGTGAGTTTCAAGGCGCCATTCGGGGCTTCCTCTACGAAGATCGTCTCGCGGGTAAGTGAATCAACTTCTTGTGACTGGCTAGCGATAGTCTTGCCATCAGAGCCAATCAATGTAAGAATCCAGGAGGCCATTGTAACCCATTTCTAGCTGAGGAAACAGGAGGGATGATGGTGCGGTCACGAGACGCGAAAAGAGTGTATGCAATCGCGTGACAGGGTGCGATTGATGGTGGGAGACGCGACGGAAATAAAATGGTGACGGAGTGAGTTGCCTGTGACGCGCGCATGTGAAAGAGCTTCCCCACACTTTCCGCCAGCACGGTTGGAGGGCACCCTGTTCAATCAATTTCTACTATGTCAAGCACAAAATGTTGCTGTGAATGTCTAGTATTTTGTTTTCAGTCTAGGTTCAAGCCTATGAGCCAGCTGAGTATCTAGATTACTATCTGGTCGTCGCCAAGTATGGGTTCTCGACGCGCTGACAGTAGCGGCACCGGTGAGTAATCAAATCCATGTCAGCAACCTTCAATGAAACCGCCCTCCAATGCTCACGCCAGCCCTTCTGTCCTCTTTGCGCCATGAGAGCACACCCTCTCTTGATATTGGTCCCGCTGGATCCGAATTGGAAGCTTAGATGGCTCTGTAGTTGCGTCGGCCTGCACAATATCAGCTCCGAGGGCCTCCTTGTATCGGAACTAGACATCGTTGAACAGAGATTTTGTGATATAATTTGCTGACCAGCAAGCAAAAGGTGGTTTTCCTGATGGCCAGAAGATCAGAAGAATGCCACGGAGTGGACTACAAAAGCTTTCGTACACATGTGAATGTACGGCATCAACCAGGAAGCAGCGACACCATCAAACACGACCAAGCATAGCGGGGAGTTTGAACGGCCGACAAGACAGATAGTTGGCTTCGACACGCCAGTGCACTCCAGACGGACGCCTTCCGGATGGCGGCTCCCTTCTCTGCGCCAATCGACATGTATCGGAGGCGATTCTGAGTTCGTCCGATTCAGTAGATAATCCCATGCTGAGACAAGGTTGTGGATATCTTGTGTATAGCTAGAGTCGGTGCTGTCCGGGAGAGCATCGCCGTGAAGATACGAGTTCCAACGCGAGGAGGAAGAGATGTCCAAACACTCTTACTCTTGCTTCTCCTCGACCTCGATCTTAGTATCATCATGTCTTTGGTAGAGATGGATCTGGTAACGCATGTTCTCCAGGTCAATAGGATATTTCAGATCCTCATCAGGCAGTCTGAACCATCTTGATTCGTCAGACAACAGCTTCTGCCACTGATTGGGTGCACCCTTCTCGGAATCCTTCTTTGGCGATAGCAAAGTGTGGTCAAGAAGCCATTGCATGGGGTACTTTTGCGAGGCTCCGTTGAGTGTGACGGTAGAATAGCTTCCGGGGCTATCTACCACGAGCAACAATGAACCAGGGCGCATATGAGCCGTCAAAGCGTACAGAAGCCTCTGAGTCTTGGCTACCGAAGCACTGTACAGCTCATTCAAAGTGAACATGATAGTGACGATATCGCTGTCCGCAATGAGATTCTTGATTCCTGCTGCATCGGTGTCCAACAGATCCTGTTGCTTGAAGCGCGTGCTGAATACCTCGGAGGGTAGTACAGCCTTGTTGGCAGCCTTTGCAGCAGCGGAAGCATAGTTTGACAAGAAGGGAGGAGTTATGACGCCTTGATGAAGGTCGTGCATGACCTTATCCCAGCTGGCAACATCAACACCGTGGATATCAAGCTTCGAGATGTTGGGCTGCGGTTCATCGTCAGCAGAAGGTGTATTGTCTCTGAGATATCTGAACCAGCCAGCTAAGCCCACAACCTCGGCACCTGCACCGCCACCTAGACAGAGGATGCTGAGAGGCTTAGATGAATCTGTGGTGATCTCCAGGGTCAATTGCTTTTCGAGCTGTTCAGACAGAGCTGATCCATCGTTGTTCGTCTCTTTGTTGGCTGATGGCTTGCGGTAGAGTAGGTCGGCTATCTCAGGAGAAAGATCGGAGAAAATTTGAGCATAACCCAATGCTCTGCTTGGACTCCATCTTGCAGCATAAGCCTCGAGGTAATCCTCTTTTCCGAATGCTGTGGCAAAGTCGCGGTTGAAGAGGTGACCTTTTACTTCTTGCAGAATGTCTTCAATCTCTGCGGGCGAACCCTTGTTACAAGCATCACGGAAGACATTCAGCAGAGACTGTTGAAGAGTGGTTGAAATAGCATTATCTTGTTGGTATCCTTTCTCGGTCGGGAGCGGGATAGGACCTTTATTCTGCTTGACGGCTTTCTGGCGCCTTTGTAGCGGCTGCCACGATGACTTGTCTCTAGGCATTCTGTTCGATATCTGTGAATTTGATGTTGATGTGCAAAGTAAAGATTTAGTTCGCAGAAGCTGCGAGAGCAGTGTCGCAAGGCAAGTGCAGCCGAGGCGCGCGTCATGCGCAGCCGAGCTACAGTTGCAGCACGAAGACCCCTGTACCATCGCTACCTGTTATCTTCGCTATATCATCTTAGAGCTCATTGTTGAAGACATCATGGCCGACGTAGATGACAAGGAAAAGGCCGAGAAGCTCGCTGCCGCGAAGAAGCGCGTACGTAGTCTTGAATCTCCGTCTATGCTCGTGTGCTCCTGAACTGATTGATTGAGCCAGTTCGAGGAGTTGAAGAAGAAGCAGAAAGGGAAGAAGGGCGGAAAGAAGAAGGCTGACAAGACTGATGCCACGGAAGAGAAGGAAGACACGGCCGCAGAGACTCCAGCAGACAACGAAGCACTAGATGCCGATACCGATGCCCCCGCGGAAGATAACCCCACCGAGGACACGCCTGTAGTCGCAGACACAGCAGAGGTTGTGAGCGAGGGGACAGGGGACGATAAGGCTGAAGAAGCGGCAGCGGAAGAGGCAGCCTCAGAAAGGCTGTCGCACGAGCGCAAGCCATCGCAATCCGAGCAATCCAGACAACGATCTGCCTCATTCAGACAGAACTCTGGCCTCACATCTCCTAGCCTGTCTAAATCACCTGCTCTTCCACCCATCAGCGCAGAAGACGAGGTTCAAGACATATACCGCAAGCAAGCTTCGCGCATTGAGGAGCTGGAGAAGGAGAACAAGGCTCATCAGGATACGCAATCCAAGCTGCAGAAGGCAGAGGATGAGCTGGAACAGCTGAGAGAAAGCAGTGGCGATGTCGCCGAACTCAAGACCAAGGCTGCCTTGGCTGACAAGCGCCACGATGAGATTGAGAAGCTGGTAAGAGACGGCCAAGGGGCTGCCGTATGCCGCAAAACTGACAGGCTATAGACATCCGACTTGTCGTCGGTGCAGCGACAGCTCTCACAGGCTCAACAGCAAGTGGCTGACAAGCGACGCAAATCGAATGCCAGTCCTTCGCGCGAAATCCAGGCACAACTAGCATCCAAAACGTCGACCATCGAGTCGCTGGAGCTGGAGTTGTCAAACCTGAGAAACCAATACAACATGTCGCAATCTTCGGTTTCGGCTCACGAAGCTACAATCAAAGAGCTGGAGCAACGGGCCACCACAGCAGAGCAGGCTGCCGAAACAGCACAGAAAGAGATCGAGACACTGAAGGAGACCATCAACAAGCCCGTGGAGACGGAGAAGAGCGAGGCTGAAGATCCAGTCGCTCTGCAAGCAAAGATTACAACTCTTGAATCCGACCTACGTACCGCTCACGCTTCTGCAGACACTGCAGCCAGTCGCGCTACTTCGCTTGAACAAAAGATCGAGACCTTGACCAAACTTCATAAGGACCAAGCAAACACTCACGATACTCAGATCAAGGATCTGACCTCCAGACTCGCTTCCCTGAGAACCTCCCAAACCTCCGCCGCCAACAACACAGACTCCATCGCCGACGACGCAATCGACATGGAGCGTGAACAATTACAACAGCGCATCCGCGACTTGGAAGCCGAAAATACAGATCTCCGCCGTGGTGTATGGCGTGACCAGAGAGCTGCGTTACAACCAGATATCAATGACGCCTCGCCAGGATATGAAGACGTCGATCTCAGCAACCCTTACGCGGCGCCCTCGTCTGCTCAACGCCCTTCTGCTCGTACAGGCAGCAGCTTCCAAGATGTGCTCCAGAGTGGCATCAACGCGTTTACTGGTGGCCAGAGAAAGCAATCGCTGGGTCTTTTGAGTGAAGAAGACTTTGACGAGGATTCATTCCGCGTCGCTCAGGAAGAAGAAGGCAAAAAGAGGATCGAGAGGATCCGAGAAGTCAAGCGAGGACTCGAGGATTGGAGGGGATGGCGTGTGGATCTCGTTGATCTGAGAGCTGGAGGTCTGGGTGGTGGTGCAGCTACTGGACCTATGTTCGAAGTCTGATCATGAGCATCAGTACAACAATTCATACACACGATTCTTAATGCTTACCTGTTTCTCGGACACACATCGACTCAACTCGAGCTTCTGTGTTCTCGTCTTCTCTTCCTTCCTCTTTTTTCCCTGATCTCTTCTTGATCTTCATCATGCCTTTTCTCATCCTCTGCCACGCCATCTCTACCACCTTTCCCCTCATCCGCACCTTCCATCACCCTATCCCCCAACTCCCTAGTCCTCCCATGCCCTCTCCTAACACTAAACCTAACCTTTGGTCTCCTCCCCTCCCTAAACCTCAACCCAAACACAACCACCAAACTCGAATCCTCAGGATCTCCACACACAATCTTCAACTCCAACACACTAGGGTGATAATCTTGTTTCCAATGCACATGTTTGGAAGGCTTTTTGCGAGGTTTTATGGTCGAGGAGCCTGAAGAAGACGTAGGAGAGGGAAGTGAGGAAGAAAGGTTCAAGGGCGAGGGAGGGCTGGAAGGAGGATCTGGGTGCGGATGAGGATAAGGGTTCAAGGTTGCTAGGGGAGGTGGTCTGTGGTGTTGTTTATTCTTTGGGTATGGTAGGAAGTAGGATGGCATTTTCGAGAAAGTTGGCAAGAAAAGAAGAGAGAGATGATGTGAGAGTAGCATTTTCGTCGTTATATGGGTGTTTTTATTGTTGCCACTGTTGTAAGTCATAAGGAAGTGTGAGGGTGCCGTGAGGGACCTTTTAATATATCCTCGTGCGGATCTGTTGCCTGCTGATAGAGTGTCTTGGATGTGGTATCTTTTGTGATTTCGTCACGTGGGATGGTGTTCACATGTATTGTTCCTCTAGGCATCATCACGGGAAGCTAAGAATAGCTTGAAGGAGCTGTAAGTAGATTTATTGTGGTTGCAAATGGACAAAGTATCATTTGCTATCTAGTCTACTCTAGGAAAACGGTAGGGGGGAATGATGTCGAGATTTGTTTAGACGTTCTTTGCAATCCAAGCTTCAAGCTCTGACTCGGACAAGCCCTTAATACCAAGGAGCTCGTTATCGTTCTTCTCGTCCCAGAGGTTGCCGTAGCCATCTCTGAAGATGGATACCTTGATAAAGTCGAACATGGCACCACCGACATTTCCACCCTCCTTGCTCAACTCGGCATAAGCGTTCTTCTCTAGCTCGCCGAGGTCAACATTCTCAGTCTCGGGCTTGAAGTCAGGCTTGGCCTTTTGTGCAATCTTCAATGCTTGATTCTGGCTGAGAGCGATGGTTTGAACATAGACACCACGGTTCTTGGTCTCTTCAGGGTGCTTGAGAACGCCGGCAACAGCCTTGCCGATGTCAGAGAGCAGAGTAAAGCTGTGACGGCTATCCCCGTTGTCGAAGATTTGAGTCTTGCCCTTGAGATTTGCGCCCAGACCTAGACCAAAGAACCAATCGACGAAAAGACCGTTGGTAATCAAAGTATAGCTGATCTGATCTTGCTTGGCACGAAGGTACTCTTGTGTCTTGACCTTGCCGCCGAAGACTGGAAGGGCAGCGACTTTCTCGTTGCCGACAATGTTGCTGCCGAATTCTGAGGGAATGAAGCGTTGAACACCAGCAGCGATGGCGGCGTCGATCAGAGCGGGCTGCTCTTCATGCTTAGGGATTGCTGAGACGAAAGCTTCTTGACCACGGAGGGCGGAGACGACTGAGTCTCGAGAAGAAAAGTCGACTTTGATGGTCTTGACTTCGGAGGGCAGGCTTGAGGTGTTGCCAGAAGCAGAAAGAACGGTGACCTCAAAGCCTTGGTTGACGAGCTCCCTGACAATGTGTGGGCCCAGGTTGCCAGTGGCACCTGCAATTGCGACCTTTGTGAAAGCCATTATTTGTATCTGTGTGGTTTTTGTGGTAGAATATGTGACTGGATGAGTGTAATCCGTGTGTCGCTTGTGTGGGTGGCTTGATGGAGATGTGAGATTGGTTTGTGTGATGAGCTTACCATACCTGCGAGGGACCTACCTATTATATACAATCATCTTGTCGTCTTGTCCAAGCACATCATGATACGCCATTCCGCTGGATGATTCAACATCAGCAGAGACATTGCTAAGCCAATATGAGCCCAGTCTTGCGCTCTCTAACCAAAAAAGTCAAAAGCCCAAGGCGTTGCGAGGTCCAGCGGCGCATTTCCGCCGCATTTTGTCAGCTTCGTCATGCGAATGCAGTGAGCAGATGGTGCAATGTTGTAAGCTGCCAAGTAGGACACAAAATACCGACTGTTTGGCCTTCAACATAGAATTAAGCCGAGAATCGGATTGAGAACGTATGCTTCGATGCGGTATAAGAAACCGACGAAGGTGTTTCTAAGAGCACCGGGACGCCTCGAAGACGGAACACCGACATAGACCCTGGAAAGTGGTTGCGACTGCTTTGTCAGCCATGCGAACCACAGTTGTCATCCACCACTACTGACACCTGACTGTCCTCCTGCCTAGCGATGGTCGTCTTAGTCGAGCACTTGACGCATGGCAGCTTGAAGGGCCTGGATAGCTCGCTGACCACATGTATTGCTTCGCTCGATCTGCAGCTCGGGGCATCATCATACGGCCGGGTACGAAGTCGCTAATTTTCCGAACCCTGAACTCAAAGTCGACTTCGTGCATCATGCTGAAACCAGTCTGTCAAGAGGCACGAGAATCATCTCTAGAAGTCGCGCCATGCGTTTCATTACTGCGAGATTCACATTCAATTGACCATGCTGATTTCAACTAGGTCTGTCCCAACTTCATATGCATGTCTGCAGGAAAAGGTTTAGCACGGAAATGGCCAACTACTTAAGCGATCGATCCTCTTGGGGACCCCACTTGAAGAAGGCTTCACGTCCTGAAACCGCCATGACCTTGGTGGATTGAGAAACAGGCCTCGGTAGGCTCGTGTCGGCTTTGCAAACGATCCTGCATCTACTCTTGTCTCTTTCTCTCGATAATTTGACACCCATTGACCTCACCGTCGCGCCTTCGAAACCTTTGCGATGTCTCTGTTCAGCCTCTTCGGTCGACGAAATGAAGCCTCGTCAGCATACGACCTAGTATCCGAAGACGAGGACAAGCTCCTCGATGATCTCACTCGGACGACTAAGGCTGAGCTAGAGAAGCTCAAGCAAGCGAATACCAATCTGAAGCGTGTATTGGGCATCTTTGCTGGTTTCTTCCTGGCATTCCTTGCACTCGTTGCGTTCAAGAGCTGGGAATCACACGAAGATAGTCTAATGTACCCTCGCATCCTGAGGTCGCCCGTACCACCTAGTGAGTACACATATCCGAGGCAACTTGAACTGTACTCGCTGACGATCACGCAGTGCCCATGAACGTCCAAACCTTCGAGCGCAACTCCCTTTACGCTTCCCGTCCCTCCGCCGAATCCGATGCAGCCTGGAACGCACTCCTGCCAGAGGGTCGCGGCTTTGTGTATGTGAAAGAGTCGGAGAAATACTCTCTCCCCCCTGGCGAAAAGACCTTCTATGGCGAGATATACTCCGTTTCCTTATTCCATCAGTTGCACTGCCTAGGGCAGCTGCGCAAGTACTACTGGTTATTGGTTGACGGAGTCAAGAGCAACAGCACAAGTCTGAGACCCATGGTAGATGGACTGCTGGGACCTTCGGGCGAGCATGTCTCGCATTGCTTCGACTACCTGAGACAGACGCTTCAATGTGCAGGTGACATGGCATTGGAGTGGCCAAGGAAAGAAGAGGACGGCAGCAGGTTTGCAGTGGATGGTTGGGTAAGTTTCTGATACCTTCGCTCTCGCTCATCCGCTAATCATACGTACAGGGCATCCCTCACGAATGCAGGAGCTGGGATCACATCGTCGATTACATGAAGGGCTCTTACTTTAATCTCTCGATGAACAGTGAGATCGCGCCCGATCATCCTATGCACAAGGATGGCATGGCCAAGTTATGATACTAGACAAGCACAGAAACGAAATATAAGAGAAGAAGCAGGCCTTCTTCTTGTACAGCGCAACATGATCACAACCCTCAATTTCAAGACAAGACAGTGCATGTTGCTACTGGATCATGCGGAGATGTGTTAGCAGTGAAATGCTCAGCACCTATACGCACTACCATCAGAGCAGCGGAGAAAACAACATGCAATTCAAATAATCATCAACAAAGAGAAACTCGCCTGACACTTGATGTAAAGAGAGAAGGTACGCCTACGCCGAGCACATCAGTCTTCAGAACGGTCATTGCAAAAACACAGCTCGATATGTCAAATATGCGCAGAAAGTGGATACGCACGAGATAACGCTGTCTTTCCGTTGTTTCCCTACGATCGTGATCTAGTATATTGTCGCATAGCTCAAGCAATATCTGCCAAATACACGCGAAGCGGTGGCGATGTTCCCAAAAACTTGATTCCCCTTTCCATCCATCTCATCTATACCTTCTATAATCCTCCATCATAACATCAAAACTCTCCGCTCCACGGTGCAAGGCTCATGACTGCTTGGTCCTTGTTACTACCAGTCAGCAGTATATCTGCGGGGGATACTAGGTCCAGAAGCCATGGCAGAAACTTCTCTGAGCTTGCGAATTTCAGCAAGACCCCTGACGAGACCTTGGTAGTCTGATGGTCCATCCATGGAGATACTGCTACCGGGTGATGTGTCCTCGTCGATATTCCACTCGCGACGTTCGATTGGATTCGCTTGCTCGAATGGCGACTCCAATGGCGATTCCAACGGCGAAGGCTGAGTTGTTGAGGTCGAAGACGTTGAGAGCAGTGACTTGATGGAGGCTTTCGAGTTTCTTCGTGTTTGTTGCCAGATGTTTGTGTTGAAATTGGTCAGGACCGATGGTGTTTTTTTGATGTCTTCGCCGGTCCAAGAGTGGAGTGTTTCGTTGGAGTTGTAACTCACGGAAGGTGGGTAGTAGAGATCAAGACCTTTCAATGTGGTTGGTCTTGGAGGAGGCAGAGGTGCGGCTTGGGTAGATGAAGTAGTAGAGTCGCCGTTTGAACCACAGAGCATGAGTGTGAAAAAGCTTCTTGCCACTTTCTCTGCGACTCTTTTGGTGACGCTGCTCGATGTGGAACTGTTGCTGTTGTTTGTGGAGACGCTTTCATCGCTCGAAGACCCGCGTTTGTCCATATCGATGAGGCTGGACAACATGTTGGGCATTCTGCGCATGCGATGAGGACTTTTGTCCCGACGCATTTTAGATAGACAGATGGAGCATCGCAAGACACGCTCTCCGACGAAGGGAAAGGGGTTTTGCTCAAATTCGGACTCATCAAATTCTTCGATGGAGCTTGCTCTTGTCTCGCGACCGATCTGGCAGGCCTCAGTCAAAGTCAGGGGTTCTATGGCTTCGAACCAGGGATCTTGAATGTGCAGGTTGCTGACTTCGAGATCTGTGAGGGCCTCCATTTTTGATATAGTTGATGGTTGGAAGCGTTGTTTGAGTTGTGAAGCAGTTTTTTGCGATCAGAGTAGATGAAAGGTGAGAAAGAGATAAGTCCGTCTATGGCGTATGAATTAGGTGAGTAAGAGGCGAGATGCAGAATCTTCTCGTGAACCATCTCTAAAACACTCATTCACATCTCTTTCGGCGTGGCTTGGCGTCCCAGTATAGGCAGAAGATTTGATATGCGGAGTCTCCTGTCATGCAGCGATGCAGTTGCCGAAAGCGGAGTGGTTACTCATACTGAGATGATCAAAATTATCTCTTCGGATCGATCAAGAGACTCACTTTTGTCATCTTATATCGACATGAAGCCCGACCTGTTTTCTCAACTGCCTCTTAAGGTGATTTTCATAGTCTGTAAACATCTGTCCATCCGCAGTGTTGTGTGCCTAGTACAGAAGATCAAATCTCTTTACTCCTCTCAAGATCTGGTGAACCATTTGGTCACGTATCTCCCCAGACACCGGAAACCAAGTGTCAAAAAATCCGAGTCGGGCTGAGTTTGTTCGTCTTTCGCACTGCTTAATCAGAGTCAGGATTATCACTCATCCACGATATCATACATACCATACTTCGCCTTTCACCTCGACGACGAATCCGACGAAGCATGCTCCCGAGCATCAACAAAATGGAGCCTGACTTGATGGCCAGATTACCTCATCCTCAAGCGCCACGAGGCGGATGACTTAGAAGTAATCCTCTTCTCGTGGACCGGTCTTGGGTCTTGCGAGCATACCTTCTCGCCGGCATGGTTGACGAGCTCATGGCACTCGATCGAGAAGCTTCTTTGCACCCAACAAGGTCTACGCAGATTTCCGCGGCCGCCCAGAAACACCTGGAATGAAATATACGCGGCAAATACCATGCCGAAAGCGGCTTTGGTTACGAGAGCCGCGACTACTCGTGCTCACTTTCCTAGGTACACACTCACGCGCTTGCGGCAATTGCGACTTCGTAAACCTGGGGTGGGTGGTCTTTGAGCAGCGTGCATACATGAGCAGAGACACAGAGTTGGGACTGAGGCATCAACTTTGACACGAATGGTTACTCGTGGGAGGAGAAGCTTCCCAGAGTGTATCCAAAGCCGATCTGGTCACGAGGTGCGGTGCGTCGGCTGTGGCTTCACCTCGGGGCTTTGTGTGTTCATAGAGTCGTGTCAAGGGGAGATTTTGCCAATCGATAGAAGTCTAAACAAATGCCAACGTGCAAACTGTGTTTCACCTCGCTTTTGCCGTTCCTCGTGTCAGTTTTTGTCGTCTAATTTCTGCCATCCGACACCGTTGTAGTCGCTCATAATCGGGGTCGTGGTGAGTCTCAGCTAGCTTGTCGCCAGGTCTTACACGTTGTGAAGTCTCGAGTCTGGCGCTGTATATATGATGCTGCTGAGGCCGGAAGATCTCTCGAAGTACAGTGCTGTGAGGCTCAGCTCCTTGCTCGCACTTCTGCACGACCCCATGAGGACTTTGACGCTGTAACGGCTTTCGCTGATACTTCTCCGTCCTTTTGGCTTGTGCCTGTCGAAGCTCGTCGAGAGCTCTCGTGCATCTCAGCTCTTTCTTATGGAGAAGTAATAGTTGCCTCTGATCTTCAATCGTGGTCCTGCCGTCGTCTCGATCTTTCTGAATTTGAATCCTCTGATGGTAAAGCTCTTTCTCTTGATTCAGAATGTCACTTAGCATTTCCTCCAATTCGCGTTCGTCTGCCGAGTCATCGTTTTCTGGCTCTGGACTGAACTCAACTCTTGACAGAGGCCGTTGGTGCTCTATCCTCAGTTGCGATTGCAACGAATGGATCTTGTGTTCCAATGCTTGACGTTGGTGTTCGTTAGTGATGTGGTCTTCTATCACGACTAGAAGATCTCCGAATAGAAGGTTGATAGCTTTACACGAAGGAGGTGCAGTCTCATCTAGTCGAATGGCCAACTCAAAGGCTCGGCGCGCGATCAGGGCATTCAAGACAGGAAACTCGACAAACCCCCTTCTAAGCCAGTGAACAAATTCTTCATCCCACAGGAGAAGAATGTCCCGATTCGTCTGAGCAATCCCGATGACATCTCGTTTGTACTGATCGAACTCGTTCAGACCAATGGCTTTGAGTCTTGGGGGCTCATTGTTGGCGAAGAACTCGGAGAGTCGTGCCTTGCGATTAATCTCCTCTGGCTGGTGGTCGACATATGCTCGTATGATTGCAAGAAACTCGGAGTACTTGATACCTCCGCGACTAAGACATTCTCTTTCGACTCTGGTGCGAAAGCTTTTAGGTACACTGCCATTTGAGCAGAGCCATGCTATGAATCGGTTCATGGTAAGAGAGTTGAACTCCACTGGCCTTAGACAATAGTTGTAAAGAATGTCATAGACTTCTAATTCCCATCGTCCGACTTCCATGGGTCTAAACGATTCCAGGATAGGAGGGCGCCATTTCCATTCATGGACGAATATGGTAAACGCATCTTCCGAATCTTCTGTGTGTCTTCGTGACACAGCCTCAAAGTCATCAATAACCAGATTGATTCCTCGTGCACTATCTTCAGGAAAGCCGCTACGTAGACCGTTTGGCTGATTGTCGTCTGAGGCCCAGTCCATTAATATTTCTGCAACTTCAACAACACGGAGGTCTCTGTTAGACATCAGACGATGACCATAAACGGATAGATGTTGGTCCTTGAAGTCCGGGTTGACATCTGGATTGAACACAGTCCCTTTTGGCGGATCCGGAAAATGAGCCTTTCGAGCCGTTATCGTCATGAGCCTTGCGTTGAGCTTCGACCTGGGAATCTTTGCTCGTTTCCCCATGTTTGCGAAGATGATGTGTTGTGCCGACAGTAGATAAGAAATGTGGTAGGTGTGAATAGAACGGCGGGCTTGTGCTAGTATGTACTGTTGGCAGCTTTGACAACTTTGCTCATGGAGATGTATACTAGCACTGTATCAAGGCAAGAATCTACATCAGGTGGTGACACCTCTGCAATCATACCATGGCTGGATTCAGCAGGATCATGGCAAAAGTCACGTAGTGTGGGTCGAGTTGCTGGTGTTTCTCCGTCATGAAAATTCGCGTTGACTAGCCAACACTCGGTCACGGCTTCCTCCATATTGAACAAGACCATCCATCTCGAAAGGGCAAGGTCGACTCACGGAACGTGCGACTTTCAAGTTCGACAAGATGTATCACATGGCGCCTGATTCCGATGCATTTGAGATGAGACAGAGACATGATCCTCCGAACGCACTCGATGCTGAGGGGGCGTTTTTACTATCGCAAGCGTGTCGAGGTGGGGGCTTCAATACCACTTTCCTCTGTCTATAACCACAGGAACTCTTGTGCATGATTATCTCTGAGACGACACAGTGCGCATTCAGTTGAAGTACCGATGGTCCCCTCTGTATCCGAAGCTATGTTTGTCGACTTCGTGGAAAAATTCGCTTTCTGCCTGGTGCTGCCTTAAGCTCAAGCCACCTGACCTCGATTGGGGCAAGCACCAGGCAGAACTTCGTCGCAGCCTCAATCATCTCGCGCAAGACAGCAACCGACCACGCACAATCTGGTCGCCACATGAGTCGCGACAAGGGTTGCACATGCTATATAACAAAGAACCATGTAGGTCAAAGGTAAGCTCAGTTCCGATCAGCGACACTTTAAGCACCAATCCTCATCCCCAATCAACACTTCAACCCTCACATCCTCATTTACAATATCCCATCTCCTCAATATGCCTTTGGGTGGAGCTTCCTTGTCAAGTCTCAGTGCATCAGAAAGACAGCAGGTCCTTGATACATTCAGAGACTCTGGAAACTCGACCACAGCTGCTGCAATAGTATGTTCGCTCCTTCTTCAGAAGAGAAAGCACACCGAAATGGAGAACGACGACCTCATCACTGGAGGTCCAACAATCAACCCCGAAATGGCTGCACCCAGCAGTCGTCTACGCAAGCGTGCTCGAGTCTCATATGTTGAGCCAGCCGAGTTCGATATTGAGAGCGACGCAGACTCCGGCTACAACTCAGACTCGTCGGTGGAGTGGGGTCCTCGCAGCAATGCAAAGCAGACTAAGACCAAATCTCATCGCAAGGAGAAGCCGACAAAGCCTGTGAAGCCTTTCCCCTTTTTGTCTTTGCCCACTGAGTTGCGCAATAAGATTTACTTTCTAGCATTGGAAGATCCCAATGGCATGGTGCTGGGTGAAGGCTGGCGTGCGCACCGCCGTGTTCCCGTACGTACTCAGCACTTCGGCCATGGAAACAAGGACCTGTATGCTGGTCTTTCCAATCTTACACCCTCCGAACCGTTGCCAGATGGTACCTTACCGGACTCAAAGGAGAGTCAACGCACCCTGATCCCCTCCATACTGGCGGTGAACAAACAGATATATGCCGAAGCCGCAGCCATCCTCTACGCACAACCTCTACACTTCATCAACACCGTCGCCCTGCACAGCTTCTTGGCACCTATGAGTGACCAGACTGCATCTCTTATCCGCAACATAACAGTGCATACATACGAGACCTGGGGTCGCGGAGTGCGAAAGGCAATGAACGTATCCGCGCTCACCCTCCTCCGCTCTTGCAAGAACATTGAACATCTACGTATTGAAGCTTTCCACCACTACTATTTTAGCTCAAGCATGTCTCCCAGAGAGTCAGGCGCTTGGCACGGTGCTTTGATGGCAAGACAGATGTATCGTGACGGATCCTTCTTTTTCGAAAGGTTGGGTGCCGCCAAGGCCTTGAAGGTTCTATACCTGCCAGAAATGCACAAAGAGATTTCTCGCCAGCACTCCTGGAGTACACAGGTTTATGATGATGAAGTGGAGACATGGAAATGTGTCAACATTGCTTTCGCAGAGGAATTGACGTCTTTGATCGATGGAAGAGGCAAAGGGATAAAAAGAGGCAAAAAGAGATCAAGAGCTGCTGCTTTTAATGTTCAAAACTTGGCATCAGGAAGTGCGCCTCTGCTGTTTGCTCAGACGTGATGGGCATATATTGCGTTTGTACATACTATCCATACTCACAGTTGCGAATTTATATGATCATCTACTTGTACCTTGATATCTCTACTTCACACCTCTGACTTCGTCCACACTACCATCGATTTCATTCCCCTTCTACACAAACCCAAGCCTCACACACTCATTCCTAATTACTTGTATCCTGGGAATAACAACCTCTCACAATCATCCTACCTGTCAATCTCGGACCTGATCCCGCACCCATGCCCACCCCGACACATCCCACCTCAAAATCAAAAACTCTCCCTACTCAAGCAACCCATCTGCCTTGTCCGCGATAACCTTTCTTGTCCTTCCTCTCCCAAAACGAAAAAAAAAGCTTGATCAACGCTTTAAGCTATGCCGTTTCAAGATATCGAATACATACTTTTTACCTCATCACCCCCTTTCCCTTTCCCTGCCTTTTTTTCTCTCAAACAATCTTCAACCCCGTTTTTGTTTTGCTGCTGATCAAGAAAATGAATCGGAGAGGGGTATAAGCTTAATGTCAGGGATATACATGTCAGGATCGTCAGAACAGGGACGTTTGGGAAATAAGAAGCAGATGACGGTGGCTATTGTATATCTCCTCGGTTCTACCTCCGATGCCGAGGCTTGTTCTTGTCGAGCAGGAAAGAAACTTTTGATGGCTTGGTGAGGAGCTGATGATGATGGTGGGATTGCGTGATGCGTTGGGGTTTGCAGACTTTGACATGTGTGATGATCTCTCGTCCCTGGTTCTTGAGCTTGGAGATGGAAGTTCGGAGGCCGCTCGAAGTGAACTGCGAGAGAGTAACCTTTGGTTTGGAAGTCGGTGTGTGGCAAACAGACATAGAACACAATGAGGGAGCTCGAAGGGCAGAAATTTTGACAGCTCAAAGATGTAATTAAAAAGATAGTTAGATGTACTAGCACTCGCGTGCGACAAACTATAGACAATTGTAGGTATCAATTTGGAACGAAAAACGCCAATCCTTCCATCCAGTATAAACAAGTATTGCAGGGTATTAACAGATTGTACAGTTGCGAGAAAAATAATCATTACATCGTGTCCTACGAGGCTTGGAGAACAGCAGTGGTCTCCCACATACTGCTCAGCATGCTGTGCTCGTCAGGGGTGAGTTGAGGCATCACGATGCCTGCGTAGGCTTCGCTGCCGTTTGTGCTACTGGCGCTGCCCCAGTCGTTGCCGAACAACTCGTCGCCGGTAGCAGTGCCGTCGTCAGTGCCAATGCTGAAGACACTTTCGGGGTGAGCGATGCTGCCAGCCATGCTGCAACTCATGGTATTAATGTCGGAGTTTGTTACAGCCCAAATGTCAGGTACGGAATGGGTCCACTGGGGAGCCGGGTTAGGTAAGCTTGAAGCCATGGGAATGTGCTTGACGTTCTGGTGGTGATTTTCCATGAACTCGACAGGTGGGCCTCCGTAGATGTTATCGAAGATGTTGGTTTGGCCATTGTCAATCGAGCCGAGCAGGCGTTCCCAGTCCGAGGGCTCCTGCTTGATGTACGCGTGATCATCAGGTGAGTGTGTGCGGGTGGGAACGTTGCTGAAAGAGAGGTAGTCTAGATTGAGCTGCTGCTGTTTAGAGAAGGATGGCACAGGTCTTTGGTTTGGTGGCGCTGATGGTCGGGCGGAAGCGGGTAGTGGTGCGGGGGAAGGATCAGCGGGACTATATGCGGGTTCGGAAGTTGCGACCTGGGGTATGTTCGGCTGACTCTGCGTCTGCACTGCGTTGTGATGCAGCGATATGTTCGGGAAAGTTGCTCTTCGTTGATCGTGGCGATCGAAAGGCGTCTTAGCCATGATTCGCTGGGCTGCTGCCTTGAACCGGTTCTTCTCGGTTGAAGAAGAGGCACTTCCATGGTAAGAGGAGCCTACAGGGTGGATAGCGCCATCAGAGTTGTGGCGCGACAAGGTCTGATGCTGCTGCTTGGCTGGGGGCTGCGTAGAGACATCTGGGACCGAAGGGGCAAGCTGCTGGAATTCAGACGCGGACGCTGCTTTGGTCTGGGTGAGAATCCTGGCAACAGTCGTGATCATCTTCTGATTGTCCTTGACTAGTTTGCTGTTTTCGCCGAGTTCCAGGCTCTGAAAAAGTAGCCCAAGCCCGGACAAGACGAGGAGTTCATCCTTGTTGATACAGAACGAAAAGCATAAACCTCTCTCGCTCAGCAACTCGATGATCTGAATGCTGTGCTTAGAAGATCCTGCTACTGCGAGCAAGGACGAAGAGGCACGTGGGCCGAGGGAAGCGCATACTGCTGGACGATGAACAAGAGCGCGGATGAAGTGGTAAGTCAATGACTGTACGAATTAGCCAGTGTATAGGGAGTTGCATCCGAGTGACTTACCAGTAACGGAGAACGGCTGCTGACCGTGCCGGTGGTGGGTTTGTCGTTTGCAAATGGTAGGCGTAAATGCGGCGCGAGCGCGCTGTGCCACGCGTCCAACTCTTCCGACAAAGCCGAGAGCTGTTGGAGAGAAAGCTCGTACGATGAGCGAGCAGGATAGATCTCTTCGAGAACACGAGACAGAATACGAGCAGCGCGGAAGAGTGCTAGCGCACTGGAAACTCTGGTATACTCACCAGGGCAAGGCGCCTTGAAGCCAGTCTCGTCGACGTACTCCTCATCAGCATCGCTGGGCTCTTCGCAGTGTACATCCTCATCCTTAAGCTGCTTAGGTAGGCCGAGCGTGACAGCAGAGAAACTGCTCGAAGTTAGTCCCTATTCTTAACATTGAGAATGTTGTCGACATACCAGTCAACCGTGTAGAGAGACCAGAACACCTTCTTCCTCATCTCACTAGTGGAAGCACCGAGCGCGAAACGCTTCTGCGATTGATGTAGTCCCAATCTGGAGGAAAGGGTGACAGCAAGTGCCTTGTAGGTTAGCAGTCTATCGTAGTCGCCACGTTGCATGCAGTAGAGCTGTGCCAAGATTAAGCATTGCAGGGTGGGCATGCTATGATCAGAAAGTATCGAGTCGATAGCTGCTTGCCATTGTGCCTCGTAAGAACGGAGTTCAGGCGAGTCGCGTGACTAGAGGATGTCAGTCGTGTTCGTCTGAGACCAATCAGATCACTTACGCCGCTGGACAGGACAGCAATGCCGAAGACTAGATTGAGTTGGGCATGGCTGCAATTGTCCACGATGTTCTCCGGACTAGACATATATGACTGATAGAGCTCAAGGAAGGTGGGACGATGTAGTACAGGGAAGAGTGGCGCCCATTCTTGGAAGAAGACGCCGATCAAGCGGTCCGACTCTAGTCTAGCAGGTGTCTTCCATACCATGGGTTCGGAAAGAGGATTGCGAGGGGCAATGTGAGTGCCACCTGGTAACAATGCCTGTAGGTCGATGACGGGTGAGGGTCGACCGAGCTCCTGGACTCGCCGCGAGAAAGAATCTGTCGGTTATCAGCAATGAGATCGGCCTGAGTGGAGAACGACGAACCGTAGAAGGCTTTTCCGCTTGATGTACCGGCGAAATGTGCATTTGTGCCATTGCCGTCTAATTGGAGCGTTTGTTGGACTCGAAAAATATCGTCGCTACTCGTATTTGGTGAGGCGGCAGCCGGCGTGGTTGATGTTCGCCGCGGTGAGTTCTGGAAGGCTGATTGTGCAGAGGCAGAGTGTAGCTTCGATAGCATGTCGATCTTCTCATCCTTTTCGTCGAGCAGTTCTTTCAGCTCCCTAACCTCGGCTTCTAGACTCCGGACTCTTTCTTCTAGCGACTCTGTATATCCTCTGGGGAAGGCGCGACGGCTCAGTTTGTCGCTAGTCTTGCACTCGAATCCGACACTGGTGCATTGCGAACAACTCGGTCGGATTCCGTCGCATCTGATCTTCTTGCTTCGACATCTGACAGATACATGAGTATTTGCGAAAGGAGAAAGAGCCCATCAGGCGTACCTATCACAGGCCTGTGCAATGCGGGATTGAGCACTCGACCCGACCTTGATCACTTTCATGGGTAGAATGCCTGGCATGATGCCGGTGTTTGCTGGTGGGTAAGTGGTGAAACCAGTAGTGTGTATGAGTATGTCGAGTATTGGTTGGGAGAGTCGATTTCAGCGGGCGCGAGATAAGCAGTCTTCGGGTTGGAGGTACCGGGGGGATGGTGCATGCGAGAGGAATCGGGTCCAAGAAGTAGGGTGCATGGAGGGAGGCGCGATTTATGGTTATGTACGTACAAGTCCAAGTGTGGGGATCTCGTGGTGACGAAGAAACAAGGACCGCTGCTTCAATCGGCGCTGATTCAGTGCGGGACTCGAAACTTGGGGTGGTGAGCACACACCAGCGGAAACCCCCAGACGCCAAATCCCACTCAAGCCTCTTGGAGAGCCAACACTATTCCCAAAACGTAGACAAAAGCCTCGGACCTGTGTCGGCGGTTCGTCCTGAGCGTCTCTGATTGGTCCGTAGGCCAAGACTGACATTCTTGACATGACCGGTACTCTTGGTCGTTGCGGGGGAGAGCTGGATTCGTTGGACGATCAAAAAGTCTAACGTATTTGCTGGCGCCGAGTTTGAGGCGGCGCTGCTTCGTAGCTACTCCCGCGAATCTCCGAATATGTTTGCTTCCTCGTATGTTCGATGTCGAGATGACTGTGCTTAAACATGGCTCTCCCCGTCGGCTTGGATCGAAAATCGACCCCCCAAAGTTGCTCGTTCATGTGTCGTTCTGCAGGGCTGCCTCTCAGATTGAAGCAACGAGGGCGTTTGTCAAGATTTGGAAACGTTCGAGACCAGGCTTCAGGCCAGCGAAGAAACCGGGGCCAGGCTGTTCCGAGTCGATTCCAATCATATGTGTACATAAGCTCAGCATACGTGACTATGTGGTGCCAGATTTGTCAAAGTCAATAGATGGGATCTACGGCCGAACATCCCCAGAGCCAAGTACTTGAGCGTGTATATCCATCAGACACGAGGTCGATCGAGGCGACCGTCATGTGGATTGAGAAGACGATTGCCACGACGCGCGAAGAAAGCGTGCGTGGGCGTCGTGCGATTTCGGCACTCAGGCTGACAACGCTTGACTCATAATGACCAAAGTTGAGGGTCTTTGTCGCTTTGTAGCACTGCTTTCTTGTCGCGTTGATTTGCATCATCCGTTCTCATGGTGAAGCTTGCGATGACTGTTATGTCGATCATTTTGGGAGGATAGTCTACTTGTACGATTACGGGCGTAGATGGTCACCATTGTCAAGCATTTGGAGGCTCGTACCGCTCGGGACGCAGTCATGAGCCGTGCGAAGTTTGGGACGCCGTGGAACAACGAAAAAGGGGGTCATTTCTCCAACCAAAGGATGCTGCCTCGTGGAGATAAGGTAGGCGTGGGGTTCCGTGCTAGGTGCGTGATCGGAATACCAATATTCGCGTTTCAGACATCCAACCACCACGCATTGGATACGCATATCGCTGTATCAAGCACTCGCAGGACCTGACTCAGGAAAAGTCTTCGTCTTGCTCAGCATCTCCTCCCGACAAAAACCTCATGACTGTCTCGCTCTGCATGAGTTGAAGTTTCTACAGGTAAAGCAATTAGCATGTGGAGCAAACATCAATGTACTCCGTAATCATGCCGGAAGTGGTCCGAACTGATGTGCAGATCTTCGGAAGAGGGTCTGTGTCGCCGACTCACCTTGTCTTCGTAGAAACTGTAAGCTTTCTCCAACAATTCGCTTTCCAAATGTCTGAGGCGCTTTACAAGATCCCAAGCTCGTTCCCTGATTTCGGTGCCATCGCCGTAGTGCGCGGCGTCGACTCGGTCATCTGACCCATACAGGTCTTGAAGCTGACTCGCAACTCGTTCCTGTAATATGCTCACAGCCCGAAGATGATAGACGTCCCACAGAGGGTCTTGCTCTAGGATAGAACGGAACCCTTCAAAACCGTGCACCGGTTCGTCCTGCCATGTAGCGATCAGCTCTCGGTTACCTTCAACAGTCTGCTGAATCTGGAACGATAGTCCATCTTCCTCATTGACGCAGATAAGCCAGATGTATGCACCGTCCCAGATCACACCATCCCCAGCGTCGACGATCTTGAAGCCTGGAGCGCAATTGGCAACTGCCGATTTGGCTCGTCCTAGTGGGTCGTCTCCAGGGATCGAGAGGTCAAGAAATAGCTCACGGGCAGACTTCATCTCATCCTCGATAAAGCCGTACGAAAAGAGCATCTCGCAAGCGCCTTTGTTATCGCCATAGGTAATGGTAATCTCGCCATCCTGTTCAACGGTCTTTCCATCGCGTAAGATCAGCACGGCATTACCTTCTTCGTCGACTTCATAGATAGCAGCTGTGCTGTTACCCGAAGAGTGGTTGGCCATGTCAATACAAGGTACCATACAATCGCCCACCCCGGGATATTCAAGTGCTCTAGAGCGGTAGAAGGCATCCACCTGCAACCAGTCGTCGAACTCAAGAATGCCATCGACTTCGTCCCACCATTGCTCGGCGCACCATGGTAATCTCGATGTTGCATCCCGCAATCGTTCAAACTCGCGGTTGAGTGAATTGAGCTTCGCAGTGAGAGCAGGAGCAAGAGTCGTGCCAGTGAGTAATTCGCACTCGGCAGGAGACCAAAACGTAGGAAGCATTTCCATGGGCAAGTACTTGACATATTCTGTGAAGGGGCTCGATACGCCCTTCTTGTTCTGGATGTGCGGGCATGCAGTGAAGGCTTGCATAAGTAGGAAAGCCAAAGTGGCACCTCGAGCAGTCTGACACAAGATCAGCTGTTGATGACAAGGAGTTGTATGTGACTCGTCCATATTGATGTGAAGAGAGAAACACCTAGATGCGTAGCTGTTGAAGCCTGCATGGTCGTATAGGTATCTCAAGCTGTTTGCGGAGCATGGTAGGTATGTGGATATAGAAAATTCACAGGATATGTTGTGCAGAGTGTTGTAGTTGAAGACAGGAAAATTGAACGACCTACCCTTCCGAATTCATCTAGACCGTCGAGGACGGCATGAAAGTCAGAATCCGACTTTGCATGCTCGTGGATTCTTGCTAGAGAGAGGATAAGGTCTCGGGGGATAGTCATGAGAGGTGGCTCTTCACCACCCTTGAGGGAGCGTTTAGCAATGACAGTTGAGCCTCGATCTTCTTTACCTGGCAAGGGACCGATGTTGACGCCATCAAAAGTGACAGCATTGAAGGCGGCCCAGACTGGCAGGGTTTCGACTGGCAGTGAAAGCCAGCCTTGTTGCTTGCCTTCTCTGATCATGAGTGCAGCATATGCAAGACGTCAAGGGTGACGTAGACAAAGGAGATTGTTGTTGGTATGTGGCAAGCAAAAAGCACGAATGGTAGGCAGGCCTTGAGGGTTGCACCCGACAACCAGAGTGAACGGTAGCAGAGCCCGTGCGTTAATCACACCCCCAATCCACGAATGACAGTGTAGCACAGGCTGTAGAAGCAGCGACGAGATGAGCACGCATGACACCGTGGATAGATCTAAGACGAGACAAGTGGTGGCTTGGTGTGGCAGTACAGTGTTGGATGTAGATATTTAGGTGAATGCATGTCTCACAGAAGAGAGGTGACTGTCTCTTGGAGATAGATGAGGGTGTCCGTAGTCGGGGTCGAGTGCATTCGTCAAAGAGGCCCGAGCTTGCTTTCACTTGGCGGGCGAGTTGTTGACATGCGGATAAACAACAACATTTCGACAGTTGAGCTTCTTCAATCGTGTTGATCCCGCATCATCGCCATCGACATCTTTACTCAAAGACACTCGACCCAGCTATTCTTTTCTTGATGCTGTCTGCGCCACAGTAGCAACTCCCTTTCTCAGCACGCCGCCCTTCTCCATTGTCGCTGCCCAACCCTCGGCGCACCGCACTCGACTTGTCGCAAACCCTCGACCCGCAAATTCCACCCCGTCTTATTTCTACTCGTCTCTGCTCACCCACACACTATCACCATGCCTCAGTCCGACAGCCCCTCGGCCGCCACGAGCTATGGCCAGGTCATTGAGTACATTCAAGGTCCGTGTCGCATCGAGAAAGCTAGCCGCGACGACTCGGTCTAACAGCAGCAGACCGCCTCTACCTGGCTTCATACACACACAAGCCCAATGCGCAGACGCCCTTCCCTTACACAAACAAGTCCAGCAGCAAGTCGCCGTCGAAGCGCTCCGCCAGATCCCAGTCAACCACATCCGCTGCCACTCCTTCGCCCCCCCCAGTATACTTTTCCGTCGACAAGCACTTGCTCTACAATGCTTTCCACGCAGACTTTGGCCCGCTACACATTGGCCACCTCTACCGTTTTGCCGTCATGTTGCATGAGGTGCTAGGAGACCCTGAGAACGAGGGTAGACCGGTCGTCTTCTGGTGCAACGCAGACTCAAGGAGTATGAAGCCACGCCTACAACGCCTGGTAGCCTTCGTTACTAACTGCTTTCTCAGGTCGCGCAAACTCCGCATGCATTCTTGCTTGTTACATGATCCTGATTCAAAACTGGCCGCCGCATCTCGCCCTGGCCCCAATCGCTCAGATGGACCCTCCGTGCATGCCTTTCCGCGATGCCGGCTACAGTCAAGCTGATTATGGGTTGACTGTTCAAGACGTCGTTTACGGTGTGTGGAAGGCAAAGGAGGAGGGTCTTTGCGGTCTGAAGGATTTTAGCCTCGAAGAGTATGTTACACCCACACGCGCGAACTGAAGAAAGCAGTCTGACGAGTATGCAGGTACGAAAAGTACGAAAGAGTCGACATGGGTGACTTTAACTGGATTTCTCCCTCCTTCTTGGCCTTTGCCTCTCCTCAACACCAGCCAACTCGCGTCATTGCGCCCACCGATCCTGAATGGGCCAACTTGCCTCGCTCTCTTTCCGCTCTCCACCGCAACACCTCCGTCCCCGGCCCTTTCAAGAATGTTCTTTCACACTTTGTTGAGCGCGGCATCGGTCTTGTCGTCCGTCTCAACTCTGAGCTGTACTCGCCCTCATACTTCCAGGCTCTGGGCGTCAAGCATCTGGATATGATCTTTGACGACGGCACCTGCCCTCCCCTCAGCTTGGTCCGCAAGTTTGTCAACCTTGCTCATGAAATGATCACTGTTAAGCGCAAGGGTATTGCTGTTCACTGCAAGGCTGGTCTCGGAAGAACCGGTTGTCTGATTGGCGCATACTTGATCTACAAGCACGGCTTTACCGCAAACGAGATCATCGCATACATGCGCTTCATGCGTCCCGGCATGGTTGTCGGTCCTCAACAGCACTGGCTCCATCTCAACCAGGGCACTTTCCGCGAATGGTGGTTCGAGGACACCATGAGAGAGAAGGTCACTGCTTCCATGGTCCCTGCAACTCCCACCAAGGCCGCATCTGGAAACAGCAGACGTCTCGCCAGCAACGGTCAGACCTTCACTCCTCCCAATGGAAGTACAAAGCGCGCTGCCCTCGGCGAGATTAGCCATATCAACGAGCAGGAGCCTGCATCCTTCGCCAATAGTACCAGCAAATACGCCGTCAATGATGAGAACTTGCCAGCACCCACACCCGGTCAACCTCGTAAGACTAGCAAGGTTTACGGCCACGTTACCGGACGCAAAGTCACCAGGACTGAGAATGAGCCTTTCGAGATCAGACCCGACACTGAGATCGTCAGCATGCAGCGCACAAGTCTCGGCGAGAGTGAGAGTGAGGAGGACCAAGCTCTTCGCGCCCTGACCTCGTCGAGAAAAGCATCACAATCTCCCATCAGCCGCAGCGGCAAGCGTCGGGCGGTTAGCTGCACCACGACGACCACCACGACAACTAAGTGGGGCATGGACGAGAGCGATGTTGAGAACCGACTCGCAGAAATTCACGAGGACTCGGCCAGCCCTCGCAAGCCTAAGACCCCTTCGACCAGATCTGGCAAGGGTGACATCAGCATCGGCAAGCGTAGTTCGCCATCACGCCGCAGCACTGAAGGCAAGACCAGCGTCCGCAAGACGAGTGGTCGTGTTGGCAGTGTAGGCGCCAATGTCCCTCGCACCACACGCGCTTCATGAACGAGCAACATGTGATTGACTTCAACCACCTTTTTTCGACCAACCACAGCGTGCTGTTTCTTACTGCATAGCATCATCAGCCAAGCGCCATCCAGATCATCCAGCGTGCTTCATCAACATTGCATCCGCGACAACGATATCATCTCAGCGCATCTGCATATGGCAATCTTCTCCCTCTTCAGCATGGAAAAGACCCATGGCTCTATATCTCAGGCAGACCATCTCCTCCAGACCCTGCCGCGGCAAGAGCCCGCAATCTCGTATCTCCTCTTTTCCTGTTTCTCTATCTTCTGGATCTGGCGTTTTGTGTTTCTTCCTTTTCAATGCATTATTTGGCATTAGGAGTTTCCGGAATGGCAAAGCGTGCAGTGTGTTGCACTTCGGGCGTATGGCGTTTGTTTTGACAAGGAGATGATGAGGATCATGTTGACGTCTCTCATGGAGAAGTGGGAAAAACTCGTGTTCGGGGAATTGTTCATCTTGATCTGATTGTAACGACTTGTCCATTGACTGGACGAATCGAAAGAGACTTTTTATCCTTGAAGTATTGTCCCCCTCTCATGGATAGTGATTGCAATTGTTCCGAAAGCTGAACAGTAACAAGATGTGGTGTCTGGTGTCGGTCTCGATAAATTCGACAAATTCGATTGTGAGAAAATGATATTTTACATGCAATCGCTCAAGGATGAACCAATGCCCCGTCAATCAGCAGATACTCGACTGTAGACAATGAGACATGCATATGAGGATATCCTCCGAGTCCATTATACCTCTGCTGCGGTCAGGGCTGTCCATTTAATCGCCCCTCGCCCCAGTCGTCTGAGTACCCCTGCTTCTGCATGCTAATCCTCCAAAAAAACAAAAAGAACCACCTCTTCCTCTCATTTCTTTCCTCCTTTCCCATCAAAGGGCAGCAGAAAGCCCAACAAAAAAATCCTACTCCTTTGCATAATCCACCGGTAAATCCATACCCACCCTCCTGGCCGTCAATCTCACCCTCTCCTCCTCATTCATATTCATACCAGGATTATACCTTTCCACCAGTGTGACATAGGTTCTTTGCGCTTTGAGATATAGAGCTAATTGTTCTGCTTCTTGAACCTTTTGAAGTTCTGTTTTTGCGGAGGATGAAGAGGTGGTGGTTGAGGTTGAGGTGGTGGAGGAGGAGGAGGAGGCTGCAAAAGTGGAGCGTAGAGTGTGGGAGAGAGGGGTGGTTCGGGGTGGGAGTTCGCGGAGGAGGGAGCGGTAGAGGCTGCGTAGGGTTTGGGGCGCTGGTGTGGACATTGTTGTGGTGTTTGTTGCGGTGTTGGGTGGTGGGGTTTTTTGGTGGTTGTTGAGAGGCGTGGTCGCGCTGCTTGTCGCTGTCTGGTGGGTTGTTTGTTTGGGAAGTCTTGATCGTCTGAAAAGTCGAGTTGAGCTTGATGTACGACGATGGATGGCTGTGAAATTGATTGATTCCAAGAAGAGTTTGAAGAGTGTTTTGGTGTGATGATTGATGGAGGGCATGCGGCTTGAATGGATTGCGGCGAAAGATGGATGCTTCGGCGGTGCTTGGGCCACCCTCCATCTTCCTCGGCCTTTACCACTCTCCTATTCTACTTTGCATGTCACCAAACTCTTGTTTGAAAGATGCCGAATATGGAATTCATGGGCACTTGATTGTCATGAATATGCAAGTACATTGTCGTGCTTTATTGTCCGATCCGCACAAGGCTTCATACGCTTCGGAGGCTTCATGACATATTTCTCATTCCTGGATTACCACCAACCTCTCAAGCCTTGGGTTGAAACAGTGCCTCGTACGTATCGTACGTGTACTTCAGATCTAAATGCCAGTAGTTTGGCGGGTCGACCTTTGTGATGGCCCAAGCTTCATCGAGAGCCTTGACAACCTCCTCCGGCAGTGGTCCCTTCTCAACATCCTTGAGATTACCCTCGAGCTGCTGCTGGTTGCTGATACCAATGATGACACCGTCATTGCCGCCATCCTTGATGTTCAATCCACTGTGGTGAACCATCCAACGGAGCGCTGTCTCAATCAAAGTAAGGTTGTGCTTCTGAACAGCAGGCTCGATGACGCGAAGAGCGTCGAAGGTAGCATCTCTGAAGTAGCGCTTACGGTACATGCCACCCATTTTGCCGACAGAGTCACTGTAGCGGCCCTCTGTAGGCACTTCACTGGTCTTGTACTTACCAGAGAAGATACCGCCAGCAACAGGGTTGTAGACGACAATATCGATGCCATAGCGACGACAAACAGGAATCAACTCCTGCTCGATACTGCGAGTGATGGCATTGTACATGCCCTGGTAGATGGTGGGTCGCACCCAGTTGTTGTATTTGCAGTGCATCACAATCTCAGCCACTTCGAAAGCCGTGTAGTTGGAGAGACCAAGCTGGACAAACTTGCCCTGCTTGTGAGCTCTGTTGACAGCCTCGAGAGTCTCTGTAAATGGGACCGAACGGTCTGGCGCGTGGAGGTAGAAGATGTCGACGCAGTCAGTACCCAGCTCAGCCAAACTCTTATCGAGAGAGGCGAGGATGCTGTCTGCCTTGTGCATACCGGGCTCGTGGGGGTAGCACTTGGTAGCTAGAGTAAGACCACGCTCCTTCCAACGAGCATCCTTGGTCCAGGCTTCTTGCTTGCCGCCTACATAGGTGCGAGCAGTATCAATCTCGTTGTAGCCTTGAGATTGCAAGTAGTCAAGAGCCTTGTTGTAGTCGGCGAGATCAGTTTGACGAGCACCAGAGTCAGTATCGGGACCCTAGGCTTGTCAACACGTCTGAACAATATGTACACGTAATCAGACAGCTTACAAAGGTCATGGTCCCGAGGATGACTCGAGGCTTGCCAGTACCTGTAAGCAACATTTTGGAGGAAAAAGGTCGAGATGTGGTTGGAGTTCTTGATGAGACAGTTCTCAAGGAGGATGCAGACGAAGCAAAAAACGACCTGAACATGGACAAAAAGCGGTATATCTGGTTGAAGTGGGAGGACCCCTCATCGGCGGTAGTGACGAAAGAGGCAGCTACTATGGAGATAAGCTAAAAGCCGGACGGGTTAGCATTGCCGACTTCCTTTGGCGGACGCGAGCTGGCTTGTGACGGTGATCGGCCTTGTAGAAGTTGCACCAGCATAGTAGCTTGAGCTTGAGCCAGTCATTCTGGATCAGATATAGTCGACGGACAAAGTCGTGGACGAATTGACTGGCAGCGTCGCAACAGCTGACGCAGGAGCAAGACGAAAGTTGAAACACATCGACGCGCGGAGCGCAGAGTGGTGGAGTCGGTAAGGGGAAGTTCAGCCTCGTAATCACGCAAGCACCGTCACGTTGCTCTCCAGCACCGCCGACCCTTATCTCGTCAAATCAGGCATAGCAGCCAGTACAACCGCGTGCATGCATCCGACACAGTCGTCGCTGCTTCCGCCGCCAAATCCCTCTAGCGCCCATTCGTCGTCCGCTACCAGTCCCGTACATATTTCTAGAGACACATCTCCCTTTACCGATCTGCCCCACCCCGATGCCTTGGAACTCGACGACTACACGAAGCATCCCGATCAAGACGACGACGACGATTTCGCTTGGGACGACAACTACGACGAAGACGACAGAGGCATGCCTTCGGATCTACGACACACTGCAGACAGCAGGTCGCATGCTGCTCCTCTCCTGACACCGGAGAACAAGCACCGCGACTATGCCTCCCCGCCTGCGAGTGCTGCCCTCCGAGAACGTCGCTCACGTCTGCGAGAACGAGACCCCGATGTGGCTGCCGCCCAGGCCACAAAGCAAAAGTACACCTATGCTGCCGCCTTTCTCATCCTCAGCTTGATCTCCTTTACCATCCAAACAGAGACGGCCGTCTACATTCAACATTCTTTACATTGGAACAAAGCATACTGCATGCTGTACCTCACCCATGGCAGCTGGATCCTGCTATGGCCAACACAACTAGCCATTCTGCGCTTGCAGAAGCTAAACATGCCGTGGGACTCCTTCTGGCGCAGACACAAGGCCATCTTGAGGAGCACGGCTCAGATGGTCGAGCATCAAAGATTGGACATTCCACACCACATGCAAAAGCAGTCACCTATCCCATACTTCCTCAAGATGACTTCCATGGTCACTTGCGCACTCACTGTCGCTGGCGGCAGTTGGTACGTTGCTGTCGATCTGACCACCGCCTCGGACTTGACAGCCATCTACAACTGCTCCGCCTTTTTCGCATATGCCTTTGCCATCCCTCTGCTAGGAGAACACTTCAAGTGGAACAAGGTCTTTGCGGTAGGAGTTGCCATCATCGGTGTACTGGTAGTCGCATACGGCGACGTCAGCCCCAGCAAACACGGAAGCAAGTCCGGTGGTGGCGCAGGTGGCCCTACAGCCCCAGAACCCGAAGAGGCCTCCAACCGTGCTCTCGGTAACCTTGTCATCGGTGTTGGTAGCGTCCTCTATGGCTTCTACGAGGTCTTGTACAAGAAGGTCGCTTGTCCACCAGAAGGCTGCTCACCCGGCCGCGGCATGATCTTCGCCAACACTTTCGGCTCCCTGATCGGCCTTTTCACCTTGACCGTCCTCTGGATCCCCATCCCCATCCTACATTACACCGGCATAGAAACCTTTGAACTTCCTACAGGAGAGGCAGCTTGGATGCTTTTAATCTCCGTCATGGCAAACGCCACATTCTCCGGCTCTTTCCTCGTTCTTATTTCCCTCACCTCGCCAGTATTGAGCTCTGTTGCTGCTCTGCTGACTATTTTCTTGGTCGCCGTTGTGGATCAATTGCTTCCTCCTCCGCTCAACTCGCCTTTATCGAGTGCTGCTGTTGCGGGTGGCTTGCTTATTATCGTGGCGTTCTTGTTGTTGGCGTGGGCTACTTATAGAGAGATGATTGAAGAGAGGCGGAAAAAGGAGAGTGAGGCTGAGATTGAGAGTGATATCGAGAGTGTCATCTAGATGGGTTGACTACCTAGGTCAAAGTGTGGTCATCTTCTAAAATCGGGTCTTGTTGCATATACCAATACTTATTACAAAACATACACGCTGCATTGAGTCGGCTTTATCTTCATCACTCACTTTTTTTGGTCTTTTACTCTCTTGATACATGTGCCAACTCTTCACAACCCGGAACAAAAGTCTCGAGTGTCAAAAAACAATTTCATCAGCATTTCCCATCTAACAAAAGAGATCTATCTAATCTCAAAGTCTCCACGCGGGGGGTACACCCCACCCTCTCCATGCATAAAACACCACCTCTCCATCATTCTCAAAAGGTTTCATCAACATTTCAACACCCCTTTCCAGCATCATAATCACTCAACACCCAAGACTCTTTCCTTTCTCCCAAACATCAATTCCTCTTCCTCACTACTACTACTACTACTTCCCTCTTCCCCACTACTATTCTCAGGACTTTGAAAGGGATCGGAAATCTGTCTCTGCAGTCCAATTCTACTTCTTGCAGAAGAGGAGGTGGTGGCTTCTTCCTCTTCATCGTCAAGGGGGATGCGTTTCTTGGCTTCTGTGGTACTGGGTCTGCGTTTGACTCCCGGCATCACGCTATCATTTTGAGCCGACTCTGCTACTGATGCTTCGTCTCTGCCAAAAGAGTTTTCTTCGTCGGAAGATGAGGAGGCAGAGGAGGGATCAGACGAAGAAGTGGAGTAGGCAGAGACTACCCGTCCCTCGCTATTCACGCCTATTAGTTCGTTGATTTGGCGTTCTGTGACGGCTGACAGGTCGAGGTCCGGGAGATCGGAAAGCGGCTCTACAGACAAGTCGAAAGCTGCTTGTATGGCTGTTGCGTCTAGAGCGTCGGGGTCCGAGGTAGGTGATGCAGAGGTCTCCTCGGCGGCGGCAGCCCGGGCGGCGAGGCGTTGGGCTAGTTTGTTGCGGGCCCGGCTGGGTGGGAGGTTTAGGGGTTGCGGAGATGGATTTATGGAGTCTGGTGAAGTTATACTTTGCTGTGAAAAAAGAAGAATATGTTAGCAAGATCTGTTTGAAGGCGGGGTGTGGGTTCTTGGTGCCATGTGTGCTATTTTGTGCGTACCTGGCAGAATGTGATTTGGATGGGTGAAAAGGCCTGATTCAAGATGCACGAATGGGGAGGAGGAAAAAGGCAAATGCTGTGCAAAGAAGGAAGAAGAAAAAGGAAGGTGGTGAACGTAAAAGAATCTTGTATAGTACAGATAAGATGCCCATCTTGATAGGAGTGTGGAAGAGAAGCTCCCAGCCTCGCCATCAAGTCAAGCAATCTCGTCGTCAAATCGTTATAGCCAAAATCTCATTACAGAAGCCGGTGACGCCGATCAGAGACGTTTGGAAACTGGGCTTCCACCTCTTCATCCCATGCAAACACAACAATAAAGATGCAGATGTGGAAGGCAACTATGGGGAATTGGGGTACAAGACTGCGAGGGGTAGGGCAGGTTTTTCAATGTGCAAGAGGTGTAGTGTGTATGGAGGGTGCGCGCGCGAAAAACAATGGCTTTAGCGGAAGTGGTTGATGTCGACATCGTCAAACGAGAGTTCACCGACCTGCTCATCATCATCGACCGCCTTCTCCCTCTTCTCTCCTGTTATCGACTCCTCGAGATCATCGTCGTCGTCATCGCCGTTGCCGAATCCACTAAGCAGGCCTGCGGATCCTGTGTCGTAACCGCTCGCGTCGGCCGCTTCTTGCAACGCCATACTGTCAGCTGGCACGAGACCAGCATTCGAAAGAGCGCTCGAGTTGTTGCCACCCGAGAAATTGCCTTGACCGAGCATGCTGTTGGCGCCCATGCCGACCTGTCGGGCACCAAATCCTTGGTCTGGTTTCACGCCACCAAGGACGGCATTGTCGCGGTCTCTGGTCTCGGATAGTGTTGACTCGAGATACTGGATCCATTCATCCCGAGTGATGCGCTCCATAATCTGTTCGCCCAGGACTTCCGGAGCTTGCCGATCTTGCAACTTCAAGACTTCTTCGGCGATCAAGGTCAAATGACCCATGTACCCGAGACGCATACCTTTCTCCTTCTGTGCATTGTCAGATGCAGTCTGTCCGTCCAAAATACGTTGGGTGACATCAGCCTGAGAAGCCAAATCTGTGCAATTGGATTGACAGAATAGGTCTATAGCAAGGGTGCGATTGTAGCCGCGTTCGAAGCTGCCATTAAAGACTTGCTGTACAACGTCGTATACCACGTTGTGGAGGAAATTGTTCCAGGGGAAGCGGAAGAAAAAGTCCTAAAAAATAAGTATCGTAAAAGACGTGCGTAGCGAAGAGGGGACTTACGAGGATTGTCGGGACGACCTGGTGTTCGACAAATTTGATCTTCAACAAGTCGCCAACAACAGGAGATCCATCGACATCAGCTTCCCAGAGTCCGTTCTCGCCTTCGGTGGGGTGCGCTTCGGGCTGCAGCGTAGCCGTACTATGGCTAGGGTCCTCTTCGGTGGAGCTCGACGCGGAATGGCTGGTTTTACTGGGGCTCGTGAACAGAGGTGCGGGTTTATCTTCGGGGTGCGAGAGCATGTCCACGTCTTCTTGGGCGGTCCTGGGCTGATCTGATGAAAAGTTGAGCTCAGATTCTTGAATATGTTGTTGAAGCTGTTGGGTCAACAATGAGACGCGGCGCTTACCCTCAGGTTGAGATTCATCACCCTCTTGTTCCGGGCTATCAATGTGTAGTTGGCTGATCTCTTCCGTGAGGACGGTCGTACCATCTCGCGACGTCTCTGATGGACTGTGGTGAATGCTCGATGGGTCGTCCTGTTTTGTTGAAGGTGGCAGGCTTGTATCTCCTGCAATCTCGTTGAATTCATCTGCCTCTGACACAGCTACCTTCTCGAAACCATCTTCCTCGGACGCATTTTGCACCTCGAGCCTTTTAATTTCTTCGGGCGATCCACTAAGATCGTCGTCTGGTCGTTGTGCGTGGTGGAATCCGTGGCTGTCGACGCTACTTGCAAATGGCTCATGCTCGTCATACGATGAGCCCTCGATAGGTTGTCCAGTCAATCGCCCTTCGAGCTTGAGCTTTTCTCTTTCGTCGTCTCGGTGCTTGATCTGAGCATCGCTTCCACGCTCATTCAAGAGGGCCATGTTGCTGCAATGTAAAAGTTCGGCCATGAGTTCGCACGTCTTGAATCTGTCGAAGCCTAGGGGCTGAATCTCCTTGCCAAAGGCAGTCTTGAGACCAGGCTTCTTGGCTCCAGCACTTCTGATCAGGTGCATGAAGTCAGGCACATGAGTTGCGAATTGGCGAAGCAAACTGCCTAGGTAGATCGGATCGGTGGTCCTGGGCTCAGGACCAACTTGGTTGTCGAGATCGTAGTCAGAGTTGTTCTTGCGGATGACTTCAATGATAATGCCGACTCCGACGGTCAGTGAGTTGCCACCTGCGAGCATGTTCTTGATCAGGATGGATGTGCATTCATCAGAAACTAGTTGTCGAGTCAGCTCGTTGGGACCAATCACGGTCTGGTCTTGAGTAGTGGCATTCGCGGAGATTGTGATGATCGCCTTCAAAAAGTCTCCAGCAGCTGTTTGGGTCGAAGGGCTATTGTCAGGACCGAGATATGAGAGAAGAACGGGGATGAGTTCTTGAGTTTGCAGCCACTAAAAGCAGATGTTAGAGAGGCGGGATCAAAGAAGGAGCGACTCAACTTACATCAACAATTCCTTGGCCGCCGGGTGCCTTCTCTAAACTGATTATTTTCAACAACAAATCCATAATCATAGGACAATCAACATGCTGCAACATGTCGGGAACGACGTGGTCTAGTGACTTGAAGAAGGCCATCATTTCGTCCGTCTTCTTGTCCAGTAGAGATTCATTGACTTTTGTGAAATAGCCAGCTTGTAGGGGGTCGAGCGGCGCAGGGCGGCTGACATAGTTCCAGAAATCGCGTAGGTAGTTTTGGTATTCCAGTACAGCCTCCGTTATGGACCAGACATCCGAAGAGAGGACCTCACACGCAACATATGCGTACTTCTTGCGCAAGGCTTCCCCCTTGTCTTCTTCGTCTGCTTCAGGAGCTTCGCCGCCGGCATCCGACTTGTTGACCGACTTTGAGCGGGAGCGCGAGGCGGACTTCTTGAAGAAGCTGATGGGGGATGATCTGTCGGCATCTTCGTCCTTTGCGACTGTAGAGGCATTGTCGGGACGCGGGGGCTTATCGGCAACGACGTATTCCAGCAGCTTCTGGAGAGTGGACTCTTCTCTGAGAAACTCGATGAGCTTGGAGTTGTTCTGCTTGAGCTCCTGGATCAGGTCACTCTCGTCGAGCAGCTCCTCGAGCGAGACATTGGGCTTCTCGAGGATGGAATCGATGGAAGAGATGTTGGCATAACCGCCGAATCGCCAAAACATGCTTGTTCAAGGGTTGCCTGTCTCCGGGGAGGAGCGAGGGCTTTGGTCGTCGAGGAGATTAAAAGTTGGTAGACAGAGATTGACGTGTTTAAGCAGCGTTCGCATGCCAGGGTCTCGTCAGGTTAGGCGCGGGTTGTGGTAGGGCGACACGCGAGCGGCATTCAGGACCTGTATCTTGTTGGCGCTGCTTCAGTCTTCAGTCAGAGGCACGGTGCTTACATGGCGCTAGCAGGGCGAAACTTGTATTATGCGGATGAGGATACTGGTTGCTCGACGGGCGAGTTGGACGAGGCCGACGGACTTCGCTGTCGTGGTGCCAAGCGTAGATTTGTGTTTGTATGTGATCACCCTCGGGCCTTTTCTATCTCATCAACTCCAGTACTACTGTCTATCGCACGCGGCTAGTCTACAGAGAGATTCGAGGAGAATCCGCAGCAGCCAGATCTATATCTCACTGCATAATCGAGTCTTGATCTGACATCCCCTAGCTGGATCTCGTGCCCTGTGCGTGAAGGCTGTCCGAAGGCGGGCGTCGATCTGCCGACCGACTCGCGAACGTGGGGCAAGGCCGCCGCTTGGGAAGTGTGCACTTGTGCATACAGCGACTGCCTTCTGACCAGAACATCCAACCACAAACACATCACCGTCATGAATAGACTCTTTGGAGGAAGGAACACGGGCCCCAAGCCCACTCTCAACGATGCCATCGGCAATGTCGGTCGCTCCCACATGCACAGCTCATGTTCGTCATACTGACTAGCCGACAGATGCAAACGCGTGTTGACACCATCGACGTAAACATCGCAAAGATCAACGGCGAATTGACCACGTATCAACAGAAGCTGGCCCGTATGCGCGATGGCCCTGGCAAGAACGCTATCCGTCAGCGCGCAAAGGCCTGCCTGGAACGCCGTCGCATGTACGAGAGCCAGAAGGACCAACTCATGAGCCAGCAATGGAATATGGAACAAGCGACAATGATGCAAGACAACCTGCGCAACACCATGACCACCGTCGACGCCATGAAGACCACTACAAAAGAACTCAAGAAGCAATACGGCAAGATTGATATCGACAAGATCGACAAGCTGCAAGACGAGATGGCAGACCTCATGGACATTGGCAACGAGATTCAGGAAAGCATCAGCCGTAGCTACGATGTGCCTGAGGATGTTGACGAGGCCGAGTTGGATGCCGAGCTAGAGGCTCTGGGCGAGGAAGTCGATCTTGGAGAGGGTTTATACGAGGGTGCTGACTCTGTGCCTGCTTTCATGATGGACCAGAGTGCGCCTCCACAGTTCATCGACGAACCTCCGGAGAACAACAAGGTCAAGGAAGCCGCTGGCTAAGTCTGCCTTAGTCAAGCTCTGCTCCTTCTGTCTTATGAATTACGACACCACACCGGATACCCAATATCAACTTTTGACCCGTACAAACACATTGTTCACTTTTGCCGCAGATTGCACTCGTCTACTCGCCAAACTGGGCCTTCAGCCATATAAGCACCTTCTTCTGCCGATTTCAGAATGTCCCATGAGAAGTCCGAGGTCGGCAAGTGCATCTCTTCTCGTAGTCCTAACCCTTCACAAGTTGCCTTTATTCTTTCCTGGCTCTTCTTATCTGAGTGCTGCCCCGATTGTTGATACGGGCGTAGTCTGCTCTTTACTAGATTATCTCGCTTGGCTTCCAACGGACTACTCCTGGCTATCAACGACTATGTTGTCTTTAACCTCCAAGGATGTGCAGATCATTACTTGGACATCGCTTGGGGTTGAGGTGCGACAGCGAATCAGACTGGGTAAAGAGCCAACGCTGCTTGATTGATCGACCGACCTGCAGCCTTGGCAGTCGAGATACCCCTCGGAAATCTTTTGTATAACAACATGCAGGTCCACGGAGCTGACCGCTTGTTGACTAAGGTTTCATACTTGCTTCCATGCAGCACTCGAATGGGAAGGTCGCAGCTGGGTTTCACAGTTGCGATTTTCCACGTGGTGATAACGGTTGGGCTATCTTGATCATGCCTTCCTGCACCAGACCACTTGGACATATCGTAGGCGACCGCCGAGTATCAGGAGCACAGTTCTCTCGGATGAATAGTCAAGTCGTATGGAAGAATGATAGTAAGTTCGAGTTACACAAGCTTCCCGCAGTAGCTATATAAGTCCCACGTTTTTCCTTGCAAGAATCCTTTCGCACTCATTCCAATTCTACCACCATCTCCCAACTCGCTATCACGTCCAATCCAAGTGTTTCTACCATGGTCTCTCAATCCACCCTCCTCCTCGCAGGGACCGCAAGTCTCGCTCTTGCAGCACCCATCGAACGCCGCGGCAACCTCCCCACCCCAATCTCAGCAGCAACAGCAATCCAATACTTGTCCTCCATTCCCGTTGCCGCCGAGTCCAACTCTCCCGCCTACGACCGCGACCTCTTCAAACACTGGATAACCATCAGTGGCGCCTGCAACACCCGCGAAACAGTGCTCAAACGCGATGGCAGTAATGTCGTAACCTCTTCTGCATGTGCCGCGACATCAGGCTCTTGGTATTCCGATTACGATGGCAAGACTTGGTCGGCGGCTGCGGATGTGGATATTGATCATTTGGTCCCATTGAAGGAGGCGTGGGTTTCTGGAGCCAAGGACTGGACTAATGAGAGGAGGCAGCAGTTTGCTAATGAGTGAGTCTTTCTTCTTTCTTCGTCTATGCCTCCGCTTGTGGAATTAGTGTTAATTGTTTGCACAGTCTTACTCGTCCTCAGTTGTTGGCTGTTACCGATAGTCTCAATCAGGCCAAAGGTGATCAGGATTTGGCAGAGTGGTTGCCTCCATTGGTGTCTTATCAATGCGAGTATGTGCGTGCTTGGGTGCAGGTCAAGTCTTACTATGGCTTGAGCATGGACAGTGCAGAGAAGGCTGCAGCAAGCAAGGTGCTCACTGGCTGTTAGAGCAAGATCGTGTCATGTTATCAGGACCGCGAAGTACAAGAGTAGACATGAAAAGTATCCTTTCTTTCTTGACATGATGGATTGCAGTGAGGCGATCTTACACTTGTGAACCATAGAAAAGACGTCTGGAAGAAACCCGACATGATCCTCGTCGGTATCAGCAGTTATGCGACTCTCAGATATGCTCAATCATCGCAGCGATAACTTCGATACCATAGCCTCCAATGACATTTTCCGCGATAGCTGCATTCTTAGAATCGTCATCGAAAGCAGAGCGGACGACATCTGGAGCCTTTGCCGTGTGAAGATCTTCCCACCATTGAAGATACGGATTACATCTGAACATGCTTCGTCGTTATAAAGCACTTCACAAACATGGGCACCACAGGTAGACATGTTGAAGTAATGCAGTGGTATGTGTGAATCGTGCTAGCTGCCTACGAGAAGCCACGGTCGAGAGATAAGGATAGCCGTAATTCTCAAGAGTATTAGATGTGATGTTTCCACGATTCTGCGGGCATCATCAACCTCTTCGAAGAGGCAGCAAGTAAACCATGTGGTTTGACAGAAACCTATATCATGTTTCCCCTTCACTCACCAGTCGACAGACCAGTAAAAGCAATGGGGCGAGAGAGGAGATTAGGGAATTGCGGGAAAGAAAGTAGGATGAAAGAAAGAAGAACGATCGCGAAGAGATGGAGGTACTTATAGAAAAGAGCAAAGAGGCTGCTTACATAAGTACAGGCGACGGAGTCCGAGTAATCTAGGCTGCCGTCTCAAAGACATCATTATTTACTCAATCTCGCTCGTGGCCAGCGGGATGGACGTCACAAGAAAGATCTCTCTCATATTGCCTAATTGGATTCCTGGTTTGGCAAGCATGTCGAATTCCTACACGCTCAATCCGTCATCACTCCAATGATGTAGTTCCTGAGCCCCGATTCCACCAGTGTATATAGGACCTTCATCGAATATCGATATATGTTCTTCAAATTCTTCTTCCAACTCGCCATCCGATAGACCGTTATCCGTCAGATCCTCACTCGTCAGGTACCCGGGATTACGGCGTTTGACAGGAGGCCACCATTTGTTTATCTTTCGATACAATAGTTTGTCTTCGCTTCGTGTCTCCTGATCCTGAAGACTCGTGTATCAGATGTCTATGAGAAAGGCAGGTTGATGTTTGATACAATACAGTGTAACTGTTGCGATCAAGGTGAAGTCGTGAGACACAGAGGGGTCACACTCCCAGTCAGCCAATTCGTTCATTTGAAAGAACGCGTTCACGGCTTCGACCATTTTGACCAGTCGGCTGGCTTCGTCACCTTTGCGCCCATCGCCCGGACAGGTTTCCTCCATCAATAGTCGAAACCTTTCGGCGACTGCCACTTGGAACGTCTTAATTTGATATTCGCCGCCGATCAGGTACATCTGAAAGCAAAAGTCCATTTTCTTAAGCAGGACATCAGATTCCTCGCCATTCGCCTCTGCCGTGATAGTGACGTGAAGCTCCTGGAACCCGTAAATGTGTTTGATCATGGAGTGTACAACGCTCTTGGAATAGCCTTCGATTGCATAACGACGAGAGACGGTGCTATCCCAGCTGCCTGCGAATGCTGCACGGAACACTTCTGAAGCCTTCTCCAACAGAGTCTTGTGAGCCGAGACTTGTTCGTCTTCAAAGGTCAAGACGATATCAGGGACCAGAGGTTGCGGATTGTTGTATAGCTCGCGAGAAGTTGCACCGCGAATGGAGTCGTTGCAAGAAAATACATCGCGAGTAGGATCGTTTAAGAATGATGTAGGGAGTAGTGTAGTCAAAATTATGGGTGGAGCGGGAAGCGCATCTTGATTGCGAAAGCTACGATGGTCTTACTCCTTCCAAATTGGGAGCCACTCTTTGCAGAAGGGTCGACTTTGTCATGTTCTCCACGATCTAGAAAGCCCATTCGAAGCTGCTTGCCGGCACTCGCTGTCGATCCGGCGAACCTCTATGGTATTGATCGCCACTGCATCTTAGAGATGTTGCAGGGGAAGTTACTCTCTCAAGCAGGGGTGCGAATGTCCTGGCCGGCAGTCTGGCAATTTGTGCTCCGGTGTACATGCCTCATGGTCGAGTTTGTTGCTCATTTGCTTGGACTTCCATTCTCTTTCAACCATCGACCGTAATAGCAGTCTTCGGTCTGTTCTTATTCAGACCTTCGAGTAGCATACAAGCCTTGCAGATAGCCTGCGAAGACATGTATCCACAACGCTCGCACTTTCCAAGTGTCTGCTTTGAAGCTGCTGGTGGTGTAGGTCCCTTTGTTTTCCTCGGTCGTAGTGGTACGGTGGTCTGCTTCTTGCTCGGGAGCTTGATCTCTGTCTCTGCACCGTCCTCCTCAGCCTTGTCATTTTCCTGTAGCTCTTTCTCCATGTCTCCCATCTCGCCTCCTGTACCTCTTCCATTCCCACTGCCGCAACCACCATTGCCGTCATCTTCCTCATCTGGACGCATGCTGACGGTTCCGGGTTGAGGTTGCGCTTGACTGGAGCCACATGCTCCTTTGCAGCGACCGTCGGCGTCTGGTACTAGCATGGCCATATCGATGCCGCTTCGTACGACATCCAAGATGCTCTCCGGTCGTATACGTTCGAGGTTTTTGATAAGTGTGCGTGCACTTCCGCGGAAGGCTTCTGGCGAATAGAGACATTCGGTCGAGAAGTAGTCGAGCTTGTTGTGATGGGCGTATAGTACAATCTCTTTCTCGTAGGCGTACATGAGCGGCTTGGAACGCTTGACGTTGGTGATTGCGACTTCTCCGTTCTCGGCCGCTGCTTCTGGCTCGGTGCTGCCAGCCTTGTTATCGGTAACGATGCTGGTAGATCTGCTCAGTCGTGGCAGGTCACCACGCAGCAGGTTCATGAGCACTGTCTCTGCCACATCATCTGCGTTGTGCCCGGTGACGACGTGCTTGACTCCCAGCTGAGCGGCTCCTCTGTCCAGTGCCTGTCTTCGGAAAACACCGCAGTATGTGCAGTTTCCCTTCTTGCCAATCTGTGCCACCACCTGATCCATGCTCCAGCCGTAAAGCTCTTCATAGCTGACAATCTTCAGTGGTAGCTGGAGGAAGTCGGCATTGCGTCTGACGGCATCCAAACTGTGATCGCGGTATCCTTTGATTCCTTCGTCCACCGACAGCAAGATCAGATCGAGTCCCCATTTTTGCCTCTCATTCAGCGTCTTGAGCACTGCAGCCAACACGCATGAATCTTTTCCTCCACTGGCACCGATGGCCACACGTTCTCCAGGGTAGAAAAGATTCGTTGATTCGACCGCCTCGGCGACTTCTTTCTCAAAGACGGCGGTGAAACAGGTGGCGCATAGTCTATCGTGGTTCTTTGGTCGGAGAATCTGTGCTCGCTTCTCGTTGCACGCGCAGCACAATCTTGAGGCCATGTTTGTGTTGGAATGTGGCGGAATGGACAAAGTCGTGAAGCCGAGAATTATTTGTTCTAGAAGGATTCCGCTTGTTCAGTTCCGAGATCAGGTCTCCTCAAGCGTTTCGATGTGTTGTGTCCAGTTCTCGGTCAGGCGAAATTATCATAGGCAGTCAACATCAGAGAATGTATTCTTAAATCTCGGCTGGTCTATTCGTTCGGCCGGCGAACTGGTCGTGGCAAAGAACATTGCTCATCTTCAACTGAGATGCGAATCTCCAAAAAAGCAGGGTCCGCCGGGAGCCTCGCCAAGCCTAGAACCATCTCGTGCATTTCATTTCTTGCAGCCGTCTGGAAACATGGTGATCAAGACATCTTACCAGAGGATCAGTTGCTGCATACTATGGAATGTGTTCTTTCTTCCCATCGTCAACCCTCCTTCTCGCTCAGCTCCGATATCAATCTGATCGTCCTGTCACCGGAAGTCTAAATGTCGCAACCGATGGTTACGCGGGCACCACGGAGACGGCGAGCCCGCACACAGCGTTGACAAGGAATCCTTCAGCTCCTCTATCTCTCTATGTGCCAATCTCCGTTGAACAACACTCCAATGATCAACAGGTACAACTATCAGAATTCCGAACGTGCTTGCAGCCAGAGTCGAGTCAGCAACAAAGGACCACTTCGGCCGAGTTCAAGTTACTCTTCATTGTCCAGCGCCATGATAATTCCACCAATATATCATGACAACTCTGTCTCTCCTGCTTTCGCTTGCGTCGCTTGCGAATCAGGGAGAATATTGCTTATTATCCCTGTCTCGGTATGTGTTGCTGTGTAGCTTTGATATTGTGACAATTTCCGAGTCGATGGCAGTTGCGTGATACGGTTTCTCGAGAACCGGCTTATAAAACCGTTGCTCGGTTCTCCTGGGAAGGGGCCAGCCAGCCACCTGTAAACTATCAACCAACCCCCTGCATGGCAACTGGTACCTGTTGATCCTTTGCGGTCCATCATCTTAACACGAATTGGAGGAGATTGAGCTGAGCGACTGTGTGTGTGTGAGAATGCGAGCTCTATTGCGAGTCGGTTGATTAGTGTGCTACCTAAGTACTATCTATTGTATGCACCATGTCGTAAAGTCGTACTGAACAGTGTGTTGACACTGACACTGATGCTTGATGCTTTCCTGCCCAAATGATCTTGCTGTCTTCCCAGAGACGCTCTCGCAATGCGATGTTGAATGGTATCCTGCACAAGAAAAGAAAAATAATGAACGGCTGACAATGCCTCGAACCAGCAAAGCTTGTCTTGGAACTTCCTTCTACTCATACCACAACACCCTAGTGAGTGGTGGAGAGAAACCTTGAGAAAATGTTGTTTGATCTGTGCTTCTTGGCTGAGGGTTGTTCGTAGTGATCAAGAGTGAGCTTGGGTTGTTGGATCTCAACCATCGAAGGGTAGTCGCTGTTGTATCTCTGAATTCTTACAGGCACATCTTCATATGTCGCGTCCATCGATGAAATGATGGAGTTGGGAGAGTCGACGGAAGAGGCAGAGACAACAGACTGAGTACGGCTAGGAGGTGAGAGAGAAGGCATGCGAGACGATCTGCGAGAGCTTGCAAGACTCATAGGTGTGTCGCAAAGGTTGTGACGAAGGTCGGTACGAGAGGTCCTGTGCATGTGTTCTGCAGTAATCGAAAGGTGACGCTGTTGTTGTTGCATCATCTCCTCGCGAAGCTGAGCACGCTTTGCCTTCTCGGCCTGGCGGGTCTGCCAAAGTCTGATGGGAGCAAGGAAAGGTTCGAGGTGGAAGTAAAGATCGTTCTCGCGAACGATAAGATCCCAATTGAGAAGGTTCAAAAGTTGCTTCTCCATAAGGTTGACCTCGATGAGGTTGAAGCCAAAGCCCTCATATCCCTTGACAGCAGTGTAGCGAGCCCAGTGCTTGTTCTTGGGAGAGGAATCATTGAGAGACTTGGCAGCAAGAATAAGAGCAGCGAGGAAGATGCGGTGAGTTGTGCAACGCATGCCCTTAGCAACAGGAGGAAGACGTTCTTGCAGACGACCGAGGTACACAAGGGTAGTCATGAGAGTGGGGACTTGAACTGAAGATCTGTCGACGAGAGATTGAATGAATTGCTCGACAGAGGGAAGAGCAGGTTCCTGGGTGAGGTTGAAGCCTTCCTCAGTAGGGGTGATTGGCGGTGTAGGAGGGAGATCCTTGTTGTGGATGGGAGTATTATCGCAACGGATGACCTGAGAGGCCTTGAGCGCCAAGTAGGATACCATGTCCTTGGAAACAGGTTGGTAGATGAAGTGATTGAGAGCTTCAGCATTCTGCTCAGAAGTGGCCATGGTGTGAGACATTTTGAGAGAACGAAGATAGCTTGAAAAAGTTGACAAAGATGGCAAAAAGATCGAACAAGAGAGAGCAAGAGTCGGCGATATTCGCAAATATCAACTTCCTGACAATAGCTTAGACCAGAATGGTGTTGACAATGCTGAGGTTGACAATAGAAGAATAGCAAAACTGAGGATGTAGATAGTGAAGCTTATTCGAATTACTGCCGGAGATTGTCGAATAAGAGCGTATTGTTGGATGAATCCCAAGGTTTAGAGTATTATTAGATTGATTGAAGATGCAGAAAGATGGTATGAGAAGAAAGTCGAAGTGGTAGGAAGGCGGTTTTTCTTTATGTATAGCTTCCTGGAACAGGGAATTAAGACTTTCCGCCAGCGGACAGTTCGAATTGAGGCAGGGCCGTTAGAGAAAACGGGGGGCAGTAGGAGTAAACGTTGTGATAGTCGAGCCGCGTTGTTGCTGGTTCGATCGAGAAGCACCAAGAAAAGTAAGACAGCGTGTAGACGTTGGGATTAAACGTGCGTGACGAAGGGCAAAGAGAGAAGTGATTGTTCAAGGGCTGGCTAGCACGCCGTTGGTTGTATTGGGCGACTGAAATGAGAAGATAGGCCATCGTGACCACTGGCAGCGAGGCAGATACTTATTTCCCCCTAACAGATGTACGCGGCAACGCAAGGCAAGCATGGCCATAGACACGAGGCCGTTTTTGGCAGCAGGTTTGAGAATGCAGGCGGTTGGACGTGAGGTGGGCGTGTACGAACGCGCTCAGGCATGTAAAAATGTCGAAAGTCGCGACTTGCTGGTCACAGTCATACAGCAAGTTTCCAGGCCCCTACGGCCACGCGCTGTCTCAGACAATCTACGAGAAGCATCAGAAGTTGCAATCCGTTTCAAAATGCTTGCTCGTAACGTCTGCCGCCCAAAGGTCTTGTTGGAGAAAGGAACATAAGAATCCAATAGGGTAGGCGCCATGGTGGGGCACCTTCCCCTTTGCAGCCGCCCGGCCAGACTGCCGAGCCCTACAGGACTGTGTCTCTTCTCAAGTCCCTTCAGAATAGAGGCCGAGGCCACTCCCATCTTGGACGTCAAAGACATCATTGACACCCAGAACTGACTTCGATTACTGTTTTCGGTGTGGAGGATATCGTGGCTGGGAACCCTGCCACCTATCGCATTTATCTCAACGTGCGATATGGTATTCTTGGCAGTAGAATCGCTAAGTGGTGACGCTTTCGAGCTGCTCGCTCACACTGGCAACTCGTGGAATGTTCAATCCGGGCTCAGCCACCGTGGATTGCAACGGCATACTCCGCCAAGCGCCTTCTCCTGCACCCACGATGTTATGTGGAGAGAGTCTACTCCTATAATAGTCTCCGAAGGGGGGTTCGCAACTTGCAGGAGGAGATTTGTGAGACTCCTCGGCCGCTAAACTTCAGGAGAGCGGCAAGCGCAGATATGATCACCCTGAACAGTACCCGCTCTGCCATAACTACTGCCAAACATGATCGATCCTACAACCCACTCAAACTCGCAATTACGTTGGTGCTTCGGAAGGCTGTTCATGGGGATATCCTGCATGATCCATCAGAAGACGGCGTTCCAGCAGGCGCTGGATGGGTGGTGTTACAACAGTAATAGCATCTATGACTACAGCGAAGGATGATCGAGTCGCTTCGCATGTGACAGGCTCAGTGTTGTTGTACAATGAGGGAAAGAGGGTTGCATTCCCACTTAACAAACATTTGTCCACAAGGTCTGTTTGCGGCACCACGAAAATCAAGCGTCGGCGAAGAGATGGCTTGCGCACGCAGCCAAGTACGATGAATGAACCACCGTCTCTTTCTTCTTCTCTCAAAGAACAAATGGGAGCGCTAAATCATGAATTGAGTCTACCCCTCACGGTGATGACGAACCGTTTTCTTGTCCTTAGCAATTTTTCGATGAAGAGTACGCCTTGTCAGGGCAAGAGTTCGGAGACATTCGGGTGCACGAACGACTGACCTGGATCAAGGTGTCTAGGAGTCAGAGGCCATGAGAAGCTCGCGCCGAGTTCAGACCTTTTCATCGACCACTTCAACGTAGCTCTGTGCAGTGAGAGGCGCTCCCTAGTAAAAAGTCGTTCGTGTCTGGCGAAGACTCTTTGCTCCGGCTCCTTCCGTGTGACTCGATGATTTACTACCATGATGGCCGAGGTCGTGAGGTCAGCGCACGACAACCTGACTCCCATCACGTCGCTTAGAACATCAGCAGTCTTCAATTTCTTCTGGTCCAATACATTAGAGTAATCATTGCCGCTATTCTTGCTCCTTTCGCGCACATATAATAAGACTTCGCCTCTGATCAAGAACACGCGACACTCACAATCACAATGAATCGACCATCGCACGAGGACGACGGCTGGGACCATCCGGACTGGAACCAAAATCCACCTGCCCTGGCCGGAGACTTGACTACCAGGAATGATCTGAACGGCGTCGTCAATTCTAGACGCAACCGCGACCGGAGAACTGATGACGATGACTTGAATCGAATACATCTGGAACCCTACGAACTCACCGAAGTGAATGAGAAAGGCAAGAGTTTGCCTCGGGTTACGGAGGACCCGTACCCTGGCCCTAGTGGCCACCATCCGGAGCGCTCTTCGTCGATATCGACGTCGCGCTCCGCCGAGATGCCTGTTTCCGGTGGCAGGCAGCTCGGTAATCGCATCATTTCTGTCTTGGGCAAGTACGCAAAGTTCGTCGGCCCTGGCGTCATGATCTCAGTCGCCTATATTGATCCTGGAAACTACTCTACTGCTGTTGCAGCTGGCTCAACTTTCCGCTTCAGGCTTCTGTTCATGGTCTTCTTGTCCAACATTTTTGCCATCTACTTGCAGTGCTTGTGTGTCAAGCTCGGCTCAGTGACTGGCATGAACTTGGCCGAGATGATCAGAGCTCATTGTCCCCGATGGCTCAATTGGATCCTCTATCTTTTCGGCGAGGCAGCCATCATCTGCACTGATATTGCAGAGGTGATCGGTACTGCTATTGCTTTGAACCTTCTTTTCCATATTCCGTTGGTAGCTGGCTGTGCCATTTCCATCGTGGACGTTCTTGTAATTCTACTTTTCTATAATCCAAGTGGCTCCGTCCGGGGAGTCAGAATTTTCGAGGGCTTCGTCGCTTTGCTGGTCATCGGTGTTGTGGTCTGCTTTTGTTACCAACTTTCTGTGATCACGAACACATCTGTAGGCGATGTCTTCCGTGGATACCTTCCTTCTTCCGCTCTTGTTAAATCCAAAGGGTATGTCTTTTCGGCCACACGTCATGAGAATCTTGCTGACATATTGCAGTCTTTACCAATCATGTGGTATTCTAGGAGCTACAGTTATGCCCCACTCTCTGTATCTGGGTTCAGGCATTGTGCAGCCACGTCTCAAGGAATACGACATTCAACACGACAATCTCCCAGCTACTTCCGACGACGATGACGAACCGGTTAAGTACCGTCCGAGTCTCGCAGCGGTCCGCTCATGCATGAAATACTCCATCGTCGAGCTCTCATCTTCGCTGTTCATCTTTGCACTGTTCGTCAACAGCGCTATCTTGATCGTGGCTGGAGCATCACTCTATAACACCGATGCTGCCAGTGCCGACCTCTTCGGCATTCATAAGCTTCTGGCACATCAACTCGCTCCTGTAGCAGGAACAATCTTCGCTCTCGCGCTCCTACTCTCTGGTATCTCAGCCGGTATCGTCTGCACTATTGCAGGACAGATGATCTGCGAGGGCCAGTTGTCATGGGCCGTGAAGCCTTGGGTACGCCGCTTGATGACACGCTCGATCTCCATCACACCCTCTATCATCATTGCTGGCGCTGTGGGACAAAAGGGTCTTTCTGCTGCGCTCGATGGCTCACAGGTCGCTCTCAGTGTCATCTTGCCTTTTGTCAGTGCCCCTCTGATCTACTTCACCTGCCGTCAAAGGTACATGACCATGGCTGCTAGCAATGGCGACTTGATCAGTATGCGTAACCATTGGCTTACTGCTATCGTTGCCGTCTTCATTTGGGTCGTTATCGTCGTCATGAACGTCGCGCTCTTGGTATTGTTAGGCTTGGGTGTAGATTGAGCTAGACAGTGAAGTTCCTCTGGACTCGTTAGCAATATATACACAGTTTTGTTTTTCGCTTCTGTAGTTGGAACGGCTCTTGCAAATTATATCTAGCTTATTGGCCACCCGTCAATACACATGTTTCATCATCCAACTTTTCCGAACTCTAACCAAAGATTCCCTATCATACATAATGCTATATGATTTCTAGAGTTTGGCCTTCACAGCTTCCCAGTCCTTGACTCTCTGATGAGCTTTCTTCTCCAACTCTTCATCCTGCTTAGCAACCTTCTCCTTATACTCCACCTCCTCATCAGGCGCATCCAAAAACGCCACGGTCTCCCTCCACATCTCCCTCTTCAACAAGCCATAAACCCCCTTATCTGTCTTCTCCACCAACTTCAACTCATCCACAAACGCAACAACTTCATCCAAGCCACCCACACCATCTATGATACCTGCTTCAAGTGCTTCTAGGGCTTTGAAGCGTTTACCTTCGAGGACAAGAGTGCGGTAGGTTTGGGGTGATGTCTTTTGACGGAATATGGAGGACATTGCGGCCTTGAGGGGCACGCCGAGTTCGACTTCGTTGAGGCAGATGTAGCCGCGATGGGGGTTCATGATGCGATAGTCGTGCATCATTGCTGTCATTAAGGCTCCAGCGAAGCCGTGGCCATTGATCAGAGCGATGGTTGGCATTGGATAGCTGTTTTCATAAGTCAGCTTTGATGTGTCGATGCAGTTTTCAAAGTTGCAACGATCTGGTGTGCTTGTTGGCAGGGCAGGGTGTCCCTGTCTTCCAGCCTCGTATTGACAACAGTGACCACGGACATGTTTGTGACATCTCCACTGTCTTCGAGACCTCATGGAGTCAGTCTCCACACTACTGGGAAGATATGCTAGAAGAGCCAGGCCAAGACATTGGTCACGTCTGCCTTTTTGACACAACCCATGCAATCGCCTCACAAGAGCGAAGGTCAACACACAGCAGAAGAACTTACGTCAGCAACCTCTTCCACAGTGCAAACAGAGAATCCTTAGTAAATGTCGGGTTCGAATTCGCATGTTCCAGATCCAATCCATTGCTATAGAATTTGCTGATGCCAGAAGTCGTGATCACAACGCCATGAGGATACTTGAGCGCCAGAATATCCAGAGCAGTGTGTACGGCATTGCAGAATGACTGTATAGCTCAAAACGTCAGTTTTCAAGTTGTGGAGATAGAGAGAAGGGCATGAGCTTACAGTGGTGAGTCGATTGTCTGGTGCAGAGTTCCACATGAGCATGTAGACTCGCTCGCCCAATCGGGTGACGACGACTTTGCCGTCGCTGCCGATGGGCACTTCGAAGAGTCTGCCTGATTTGTAACCCATAATGTTCTTGTTCGGTTATAATCGAATATAGGTGTAGAAATTGATAGAAGTGGTTGTTGCTAATGACCGGAGCGAGGTGGAAGGCTTCACATGCCACTTGCCATCGTACCTCGGCTGTCATGATCCAGGCGTCTTGGTCATCGAACCTCTGGATCGAAAAAGAGCCAAGAACACAACGAGAAATAGTTGGCGATGTTCAGTCATCACGGACTGCAAGTTATGTACTGTCGAAATGAGATGTTATACCACTTGTATGAAAAACCAGACGCAATACCACGCGATGCCCGCCAGCGAAATCATGAAAAAGCACAAGGGAAAATGAAAGCAATGCAGAAAACAGAGACTAAAAGGTAGATAACAGCAAATATAGAAAAAACAACACGCCATTGCTATATCATCTCTGGCCCATGCTAACCTTCAGATGTAAGAAAAAGAGAGAGGAAAATAAAGTCATCCCGGTCATAAAGCCATCATAATCTTGCGTCCGTCAACCCTTCCACCTGTGCGAAATAAGACAGAGGGAAGGACGAAGAAAAGCAGCAAAGGTATAGAAAGTAGATGCGAGAAATAATCAGCCTGGAAAATGCACCGAACTCCTTGGTGCACCGATTGGCAATGAACGCCGATGTGCCCTTTGTAACACCGGAAATGCGGCGTCGCTTGTTGGATAAGATGGTATATGTTGTGTTGCGATCATTGGCAGAAGAGCTCGATCTCTCCCATGCCGCCGACGGTTTCGCCGCGCTGTTCACGCCAGGTTTCGAAAGCTGACTGCACATCGTCATCACTCTGAATGCTGACATAGTCATCCTCGTCGAGGTACTTGAGCTTGACCTGGTTTGGCGTGCGATCACTCAGGCTGATGTTGGTGCTGCGCGACAGCTTGGCATCAATGCGGTCTCTAAGAGAATGGTATGTGATGTTCAAAGGCACAACCAGCGTCAAGACAGTGCTGCTAGCGTGCACCTTGATCTTCAGTTGTGTAGGTGGCAAGCCAGAGTCTGATGTAGATGACAGAGGAGGTGATATAGGAGAGTCGTAGCCGCCGTAGGGTCCTGGAGTAGATGAGTTGGTACGAGTGTTGACGTATGTCAATCCAGGATTGACTCTCAGAGCAGGTGGGCCATCATAAGGGTAAGGTACGTCTGCGTTTGAGCGAGTTGAAGACCTTTCGCGCTGGTGCGGTGATTGCACAGGAGGATGGGCCAGACTGGGAGAGTTGCTTTGACTCCTGGGAACGGAACTGCTTACAGAATACTGAGCAGGGAAAGGCGGCACGGGCACGTCAGGTACTGGCGGTCTCGATCCAGCCGCAGCTCTGCGCTGGATTTGGTTGATGTCTGGGCTGCTCGCAGATCGATTTCTCGAGGGTGGAACCTGTTGAGAGCTGTGCATGCCGACCAAGCTAGGTCTAGGTCCAGACGTACGCTGGCTGGCCGCATAGCTTGTCGAAGCCACACTGTTCTCACGTGAAGCAGTGCGGGTCATGGCTGGTGCGGTGTAGCGGGCTTGGTTGTCTTGGAACTGGTTCGGGAAGTAGGACATGCCTGATGAGCCACTGGTTCTCTGTGAAGGCAAAGGTGTCTCGACTGGCGAAAAGTACGAGTCGTGTTCCATCGAGGGCGATTGTGCATAGGGCAACTGTTGAGTCCTCAGGCTCAATGAAGGATGATTGCCGCTCGAGTTCACTGGGAGTCGAGGCGGAGGCATGCGACCTCCTAGACTCATCGGAGGACCGCTCTCACCAGTGGTGGATCTTGAGCGAAGACTTGTGGTTGATGCATTTCTGCTACTCATTGTAGACGACTCGAACGAAGAATGTGGAGCATACGCAGGGAAGGGCGATTGAGGAACGACTGTGCCTTCTTCATCATCATCATCGGCCTCCTTGTAAGGGTTTACCAGATCTTCCTGGTTCTGCTGAATGTAGGTGAAGTCGGTGGTCGAGGTTCCTCCAGATGGCCTGTGAGAGGCTGTGGTACTGTCGCTACGTCTTGCAAGATCGTTGCAAACAGCCTTTTGCTCCAGCAGCTTCGCGTACCACTTACCCATGGTATCCTCGGTAGGGAAGCGGACGACAAAGTTTTCGATACCCGGATCGCCCTTCCAGAAGATCTGGCAAGTGTAGGAGCCGGGCTTTGATGCCTTGACCACATCTGTCACATTCTGCATGAAGATTCTACCCTTGAGCTGCATCTTCGGTCTGCCCTTCTTGTCGACCATTGAACGCGTAGACATCTTGTTCTTTGGTTTGTTGCGGTCGATATCCTTGCAACAGAGAAGAATCGATTCGAAGAAGTAAACGTGGTACTCCCGTTCTTGGTCTTTTCCTGGTGCGCTGTCGCTCTTCACAACAGTGTAACTGCCGAAGAGGAGAAGGCCACCGAAGCCAGTAACGCGATGACCCTTCCAATCTTCAACACGACTCTTGAGATCTTCCAAGGCTTCGAGCTTGTCCTCGTTCTCGATGGCTGTGTTTGTGCGAGTTAGGACGGTGGTGGCGCATTCCTTGCCCTTGAAAAGATCAGCTTTAATGTCCTCACTGTACTCGCCCTTTTGATACAAGGAATCCAGCAACAGAGGGTACTTTGACAATCTTTGAAAAGGCTTCATCAGGAAGCCATAGAGGGTGGGAGGAGATTCGACAAGCTGGCGCATGTCGATTGGACCACCGGCTTCCTTGAGCTTAGCAAACTCTCTCATGACAACCTCTTCACACAGCTTCTGGTTGGCGATGTAGGGTTCGTACACCATGAAGCCTTCATTGGCTTGAATGAAGATCTTTCCCCAGTTCTGTTCGTCTTCTGCTATGGCGTTCGTTTGCTCGACCTTGATGAGAAAGCGGCGTTGGAAGTTGAGTAGAGCATCGAGATTGTGAAAGATCTGATGGCTCACGTCGCCAGAAACAACACCCTTGCTCTCGCAGAGTTGTTTGAAAGCTTGAAGGAGTTCGAGATGTTGGACATAGGTTCTTTCAGTGGTGACCAGTTCTTCTACTATGTGCTGGCGCTGACTGCGTTTACCTGAATGAGCGGCGATCTGATCCGGGCGTAGGTCTTCAATGATTCCTTGTTGCACCATGATGTCAAGCAACCTTGAAACCATTCTTACGACCTGAAAGGAGTTAGAGATAGAAAGGGAAGAGACGGAACGAGAGGGTACTTACCTTGACAAATCCACCAATGTCGTCTTGGTAGAGATCGTAGAGAATAAAACAGTCCTCCACTGAGAAATTGAGACCGTTGATGCAACCGCGCAGGAAACTTGAAGTGAGGGCCTTTCCCTGTTTGGCAGCGCTGATCTTCGAGACGTCGATCTCAACGGGTTGGTCTGGTCGGAGGATGTTATATAGAGAGACAAGGGGATGGCCAAGTTGGAAAGTTTTCCAGATCAGTTGGACAACATCGAGATCGTCAGTGTTTTGTTGCTCTGTTTCTGCAAAGTAGTCGTCGAAGCCGGGAACGGCCAAGAGGCGTTGGCGTAAGGTGATGCACATCTGGAACAGCGAGGCATCCTTGTCGGCGACCTTGTTCATGACATTTCCGGACGGCTCGACGTTTCCTTGGATGGCAGAAGGAGCGGGGGAGAGGGACGGCGTCGGCGGCATAGGGAACAGAGTTGATGTGGATGTGCCTTGAGTTGTGTCCGAGTTCCTGGAGAGGACCGATTGGATCGAGTGCGATGAGTTTGTGTGGTTCTGGGACTGCACCAGAGGGGAAGTTGCGGAAGGCATTTTGTTGTAGAGAGCCTGGGGCGCGGTATGTGTTCGGGTCATGGAAGCATGAGAGGCGACCTGCATGATTGGGGGTAGGTGCCGATGGCGCGCGCAGCCGTGGTATATGACGGCAAGCACACGCGGGCGTAGTTGTCGAGGGTAGATTCAGGTTTGGGCGTGGTGCCAGCGCAGAAGCGGTCGTTCCAAGTTCACGGAAGCAGCGCGTGCGGATCGCGGTCGGAAGGTGCGAAAGTCGCGGTGCAGATGCGAAGATCTACTGAAGCATGTGTGAAGAAGCCGGCCTCTTCCTCAGGTGACGCTCCTTCCTTCCTTGAACTGCAGCAAGTTGCAAGTTGCAAGTTGGACGAGGAGAGTGAGTGATTGCGGCGGTGGGGCCCGTGTGGAAAGCCACTTTCTGGCCGGGGCTTGTTGTATATGCGTTTAGGACGAGTGAAGGAGCGACTACGACTACGGCGGCAGCGGGCACACGACTCTTTCCCGGTGCTTTGGTCTGGAGAATCTTCACTACGGCGGCGACGACGACTTGGGATTCTTGAGTGAACAATGAAAGACAGACGGACAGACACTTGCTCTCACAAGGAAACAGCGAGCACGGCGGGCGGACCCTGCTCTTTCCTCTGCCTCAAAGCCCCGGCTCTTTCCTTTGTGAAACGCGCTTGGGCACCTTCTGCCAGCCCTCATCCACATTTACCCAAGTATGCACTGATACAAGTCCGTCCCTGTTACAAGAGCTGCCGTCTGCATCGTGACTGTTGCGGCGCTGCCTCGACGATTTGCCACTCTTCCCACCTTGTTCTTGTGACTCCGTGACTCGCTGACTGCTGCTGTTGTTGTTCGCCTTTCACCGCCTTGAAATAAACCAAAGCCGCAAGGTCAAAGAGGCTCCTGCGGCGATCACGCGAGGGCCACCCTCTTCTCCTCGCTTTCGCTCGCCAAAGCAATCCGAGAGTGACGATCACCGTCCCGCCCGCCCACCGGACTGACTCTTGTCCGCCAAAAGCGCCGTCGTCGAAGCAAACTTTGTTGATTGGCCCACGGGGTCTGACTCTGTTTCGAAGTCTTGATGCGAATGTTCTGACACAGCTGCCACCCGTCGTAGACTTCGATCGCGACTCCCGCCCCGACATTTAGCCTGTCCTTGTTTACCAACCCTGGTGTCTTGCCTTGGTTGCCCAAACACTCGTGCGAGCAGACGCCTGACATGGCTCAAGAGGAAATGAAGGTCGACGAGGGCTACTCAGGAGGCTCCGAGGAAACGAGAAGTCTGTCCGACAGCGACTCTACCATGCACATCGATCCCGTCGACGGTCATGTTTCAAAGTCATCCACACCCACGCTCGAGTCGATGCTTTCGGACGTACTGAGCCTGCCCCCCGACCAGAGAGCCGCTTTCATCTCCTCCCTGTTGCGAATAATACCAGAGTCGGAGCGATATGGTATCTGCATAACTTGCTGCCATCTGTATATCACCCTGCTAACAGCATCCAGACACGGCTTATGCAGCTCTACGATCGCTGCGCACTTCCTCCGTCGCATCCATAGTCGAGCGCCTCAACCCCCTCCTTCATCTCGACCCAGTAGCTATCCTACCACCCGAAATTACCTCGCAAATCTTCCTTCATCTCTCACCCTCCGATCTGCTCCGCTGCTCAACCGCCTCCCGACTCTGGCGCGAACGTGTTTTAGACAGCACGTTATGGAGAACATTCTACGCCAGGGAAGGATGGATGCCAGATGTCTCCGAAGTACGAAGTGGTGAAGCTGCCGAAGCCAGACGCCGCCTAGCTCTCTCGCGTAGCAACTCTCAAAAGCCTCCTAGAAGGAAGCCTGACGGTGAACTCGAGAGAAGCGGCAGCATTAAGAGGACAAAAGAGACAATAGATGGATGGAATGAACAGCACGGTGTATTGGAAGCTGATGATGATGCTGCTCTGCAGGAATCAGAAGACAGTGCCGCTTCGTTGTCTGCCATGAGCCTTGCCTCTGAGGCCGACTACCTCGACATCTCTCCCAGTACTACTGACCTCTCCTCAAGTATGCTTCCTCCGTTATCTCCGCCACTGTATAATACGTATTCTTCATCTCCACGCATCAACTGGCTACATCTGTACAAGCAACGACGACGTTTGGAAGAGAACTGGAACAAGGGACGCTACAAGACATTTCAGCTGCCGCATCCGGACCATCCAGAGGAAGCTCACGATGAGTGTGTCTACACTATTCAGCACTCGCGTGACTGGCTGGTCAGTGGCAGTCGCGACAAAACCATCGCTATCTGGGATCTGGAAACTCAAAGACGTGTGAGGACCCTCTCCGGTGCTCACGAGGCATCCGTATTGTGTTTGCAGTTCGATGAGCGCCCAGCGCAGGACATTGTGGTATCTGGTGGAAGTGACTCGTTTGTAGTCATCTGGCGCTTCTCGACTGGTCGCATTATTCGCAAGATGGACGAAGCACATACCGAGTCCGTACTTAACCTGCGATTTGATGATGACTTGCTCATAACTTGTTCTAAAGACAAGACTATCAAGATCTGGAATCGCAGAGAAGTCTTCGCGGACAGCAACGTCGTTCCTGCAGTCGCAAGGCGCCAACTTGAGATGGAGAATCCGATGAACCCTATCAAGGAGTACACACTACTGCTCGAACTTCTAGGCCACAATGCAGCAGTCAACGCAATCCAAATGCATAAAGGACAGATTGTCTCTGCCTCCGGTGATCGCACCATTAAAGCATGGGACATCAATACTGGCACATGCACAAGAACTTTCACCGGCCATACTAAAGGCATTGCTTGTGTGCAGTACGATGGCCGCCGAATCGTAAGTGGTAGCAGCGACAACACTGTCCGCATCTTCGACGCAGCTACATCCGCAGAGGTTGCCTGTCTCCCCGGACACAGTAATCTGGTTCGTACCGTGCAAGCTCGCTTTGGCGATACGAGTGTCTCATCCGAAGAACTCGAGGCCGATGCACGTGCCGTCGATGAAAGATTCCACGACGCTCGCATGAATGGTCTGAACCCGGACCAGAACAGAGCGCGTGGTCAACGGAACGCTGGCTCTAGCAATCCTACCGAAGTATGTGCAGTTGGCGCGAAGATCCCGCCAGGAGGAGGCGGCAACGCTTGGAGTCGTATTGTATCTGGATCCTATGACGAGACGGTCATCATTTGGAAGAAGGACTCTGATGGAAAATGGGTTCCAAGCAGAAGACTACGACAAGATGAGATTCTCCAGACTAGGAGAAGATCTCGCATCCAGCCTATAGTAGCGGCTGCAGCTCCTCAGCAAGGTGCACCGGAGCAGACCCAACACAATACAGGAGGACAGGATGCGATTGCACTGGCAGGCCAGTCTTCTGCTTCGCACGCAAGGCCACAATTTCCACCTGCCTCTCCTCCATCTCCACAGGTTCCACAGCATGTACAGAACCACGCTGGGCCGGCTGGTCCACCAGCTACTCATCATCACCATCACGGCCATCATGGAGCTGGACATCATGGTCGTCTTGCAGGCCGTCACCGAGACGACAGCAATCGTGTCTTCAAGCTGCAATTTGACAGCCGCCGTATCGTGTGTTGTTCGCAGAACAGGGTCATTGTCGGCTGGGACTTCGCTGCCGGCGACATTGACCTTGAACAGGCGAGCCGCTTCTTTGGGGAGACTGATTGATTGATGGCAGTCGTGCCGAGCTCAAGTTGGACCTGATTGATCTGCTTCTCAACTCACTTCTTTGTGGTCTTCGATACTACTTGGACACAATCTCCAGCGGACAGTGTGTTACAAGGTTACCATGCTCTTGGTGAGCATTTTATATGAGGACATGACTGATTTTAGCGTACCGCATGAATCGATACCTCACCTCTCTGGTACTGAAAGTGTCCATAACATATGCTCGTAGATGTGATTGGTGACCCTGACCCGCTTGATGCTCGTACGAAAGTCGGCGGGATCGAATGCAAACATCACCTGATTCTCTCGGATGAAGATTGGCTTGATTATCCTTGCACGCGTGATGAATATAAAGCTATGCCAGAGTCACAACCCGACGCACTCCACAATCACCCACCTTTTCCAATGCGACCCCGCCATCCCCCACGCGCCTCGAGCTGTCTGGCGGTTAGGCCAGCTGCAATGCACAGTGTGCGTTGTTACCAGAGCTTCGGTTAAGCAGTCAGTGCTAGGCATCGGAGGCGCAGATCTACTCGGATAGCCCAGGAAAAAAACACAGTCTCAACTCTTCAGAGACACCGCGGTCAGCAGAAAAAGGTAGGACAAGCGGCGGAGAAGGCTGCGAAGCGCTGGTTGAGATGCAAGTCGTCAGGAGCGAGTGACTCGGGCTGCAGGTCGGAGTGCTTACGGCACACCGATAAGAGAATTGAGCACGATGGCCATCCGAGACATTTCCTAGGAGGGCGCGACATATCGTCATTTGACTAAAGTTTGCCCAGCAAAGGGCCGGCAACGGTATTCGTCGGTGCGTCGGAGTGTGTGGATGTGTGGCAGCTTCCCAACAGCTCACAAGCCGAGAGGAGAGCCTTTGACCTTTTCAGTATTTGATAAAAGCCAGGACATCTACTTTTGACTCACGGCAACCGCTCGTCCATACTCGAGTGCCTTTTCTCATCGATAGCGAAACAATAGCCATTTCTTCCGAGGGAAAAACACGCACTTTGCATCACCATGGCAGAACACACCGGTCCTAAGGGTACGTGAGTCAAAAGCTATCAGACCTGCTCTCCCGTCATCGGCCCAATTTCTTTGTCCTTCCTTCCTCACATCCAAACACCATGCGGTCCATTGTCCAATCTGCCGTGCGAGCCTCTCGCTCAAGCAGAGCATTGCGTGCATTCAAGCCCACACCCAATCGCTTCTTCCACTCATCACCACGCTCGCTGTGTAAAGATGCACACGAGGATGATGACTACCGTACTTTTACCCGCGCGACTCTCGACACCGATGCATCTTCAATGCTGACCACATGATCCAACAGGCGGCTTTGCCCACACCCTCGCCGAGCGCGTTGAGCAATGGAGCTCCAGCATGGTCCAGACCGATCCCGAGTTCTTCCCCAAGTCAGCAAAGGGCCAGTCACCCAAGATTCTCTGGATCGGATGTGCCGACTCACGTATCCCCGAATCCACCATCCTCGGCCTGAAGCCCGGCGAGGTCTTTGTCCACCGCAACATTGCCAACATCATCACACCCACCGACATCAACTCGCTGTCCGTCATTGAGTTCGCCGTTGCACACCTCAAGGTCGAGCACATTCTCGTCTGCGGCCACACCAGCTGCGGTGGTGTCAACGCCGCTCTCGGAAACACCAGACTTGGTCTGCTGGACATTTGGCTGCAGCCCATGCGCCAGCTGAGAATGGAGCACACGGATGAGCTGGAGAAGATGGACACTCAGGGTGACAAGACTCTCAGACTGAGTCAGTACAACATTTTGCGCAGTCTTGAGGTCTTGAGAATGAACCCTACCGTTATCGACGCCATGAAGGAGCGTAACCTGGAGCTTCACGGTGTCATTTACCACGTTGAGAACGGCAAGCTCGAGGTTGTCGAGTCTTCCGAGGACGAGCACAAGTTGAAGAAGCGTCTTGCTGCTTTCACTACCCAGCAGGCAGCATAAGTGCTATTCACAAGAGTTTGGACACCATTTTAGTTGTGTGGAGTAATTCGGAGTAGACTTTTGGAATCCAGTATGGAGTATCACGATCAGTACGGTACTGGAAGGGGGAGGAAAGACTATTGGTGATATAGTTGGATGCGTTAGAACAATGCTGTGTGATACACATAATCAATCGACTTGCAAAACCATGCATACCAAGCGAACGTGATAAGACGGTGACTCCACTGGTACTTTATGAAGCCTCATATGCTTGCATTGATTTCCATTGCTGATAAAAGTTTTTGTAGTCTGAAGACTCGCATATGCACAATGCTGATATAAAGACCCTGTAGAGCATGTATAGGACGAGTCAAACGGTGAAAAGAACGACAATCTTATCACATTGCTCAATCACCTCCAATTCAACATCCAACATCTTCCAACTTTTCCCCTTCCCCCTGTGCCTCTCCCTCTCTCTCTCAAGCCTTGCCAGCACAACCCATGGCATCAATCCAACCCTCACACTGCTTCTGAATCAAATCCGTGCTGGTCTCTAGCAACTCTGTCAATGGCACTTCGCCAGTCTTTTCTGCCGTGTATGCAAAGTAGTCTGACAGAACCATCTTGTTGACATTTACACGGGTGACTCCTCTTTCGATGCATTTGTTTAGAATGGAAGGGATGAATTCGTTTGTACCGTGGAGAACGATTTGGACGCGATTGTCGACTTTTTGCTGGATAGCTTCGAGACTAATGAGAGATGGCTTGAAATTAGCGACAAGATTGCAAACAAGAAAAAAAGAAAGAAAAAAGGGAAAGAGGGAGAGGGAGCAAAAGCATACCGATCATAGTCCAAATGAATATTCTCCACACCGTGATAATCACCATGCACATTTCCAAATGCAGGGGCCAAGAAATCAATCCCCGTGGCGATGAAATCGTCTACTTCTTCTGCTGTGGTCATCATACCTTCTAGCTCTGCGGTGTCTTGAACGCCATCTTCTCCTCCTTCAATACGTCCTGGCTCTGCTTCTGTAGCGATGCCATAGCTATGACAAAGTTTCACAAGTTCAGTCGTCTTTGCCAAATTCTCTTCTTTCTCGTAGTGGGACATGTCTACCATGATACTGTCGAACATGGGCGTGCCATCGTGTTTCTTCATCGCGGCGGCCTTTTTGATGACTTCAGGGTCCTGGGCATGATCCATGTGAAGTGTAACGGGTACAGAAGCAGCAGCACAAGCTTCAGCAGCTGCGGAAACAAAAGATGGAGAGTAGTGAAGTGCCCAAGGGAAGAGCAGGATTTGGAGAGGTGCCTTTTTGGATTCGGCGGCGCGGATGGCGCCGATGATGGTCTCGAGGTTGTAGGATACTACGCCGAGGACACCGTATTTCCCTTTTGCTGCTGCGTTTAGCATGCGGACGGCAGGGTTGTTGGTCAGTTTCTGGAGGGCCATGGTTGCGGTGTTGTTGTTTCTTGAGGTTGACAGGTATGGTGTGGTGGTTCCTAGTATGCTGAAGGACCTATTTCTCTTGATGGTTCAGGAAAGAGTAGATGGCCAGACCAGAAGTAAAATGTTGCTCTGCTCGTTGAGAGGGATGCTCGAGTATATAAACGAGGTCATTGCCCCGCTACGTACCCCACCGGTCTTCTCCCCGGTTGCCGCAACCCGCGTTGTCCACCTTGGGACTTCCGAATCATTTTGCCGAGAAGCAAAATGTGGATGCATCTTCCTTGAAGTGGTTATTGGTGATTTTGCCGAGAGAATCTTCGATTCGATCGTAGACCGATCTCGGTAATTGGATGATGAATGTGTACTCTCGTGTATATATAGGTGATCTAGTGGGAATGCTACTGATAATCCAACTTTGAAGCAGAGAGCCGTCTCGCTATGACTGTGATAGGATGGAGAAGGAGCAAGAAATATGATGTCCAAGAAGAAAATACTTTTTCATGCGTAGCTTCGTTGAATATTGACAGCGAGGCATTAATCATTATTGAGCAGACGTCGAGCAATCAAGCCGAGCTTGTTGCAAGCACGTATTTCAAATGGCGTGTGTTGCAGGTTATTGGCCCAGAGGCACGGTGTGTGGACTGAGAGTACTGAGAGGTCTGCTAGTGCGCAGCAAGAGCTAGTACGTGATCTCAAGAGGCCACTTGTGTCGGCTTGTACGTCAAATGCTTCGAGGCGCGTTTGATGCTCGAGTACTGATGGTGCTCAGTTGAGCGTCGCAGCCATGATCTGCTTGAATTTTCCAGGTTTTGACAATGCTTTGCCCTACTGAGCATGTCCATTCGTGGAATGCTCAACTTCGATGTATTTTGCGCATGCGAAGTAGCCTTTGTTCTCAACCACGCCTCGGTTCTTCACAACAGCGGTATATTTGATGACCCACTGAGGGATGACCTGGCCATCCATCTTGGGACCATTCTCTTGTCGCTTCCTCTTCTCACCAATTTTCTCTGAGACTTGTGAGAGGACACCAGCGGCTCCGTAATCCAGAAGTCCTCTGATTGTACCACGGGGCATGATGTTGACAGAGTCATTGTTGACCAGCAGCTCGATATTCTTGCTCTTTGCCAGGCTAGATAGAGGCTGAGGTACGCTGCAGCAGTCGCGCAGGCTGATCTGATTGACTGCAGGCTTGACACTCGCCTTTTCGAGGAAGGGTTGCAATCGGTTTGCGCCAAACTCTGAAACACCAAGTCTTCGTACCATACCATCAGTGTGAAGCTTCTCGACCAGCTTCCAGGTCTCCAGCTGGTTGTCTACAGGCTCGGGAGAAGATTCCTTTGCTCCTCTGCTTTTGATCTTGTCTGGACAACACTCGCTCTCCTCGTCAAAGTAGACACCGGGGAACGAGACAATCAGGAGATCGACGTTGGGCATGTGCAACTCCTCTTTCACCAGATCAATGGCTTGACGCAGATGTTCTTCTCTTGCAGAAGTGTCTTCATCGGACAAGAAGAAGACCTTTGCAGTGATGTCGTATTGTTCCCTCTCTTCGTGTAGAGAGCTGTGAGTGAAGTCGAGGCGTGGGATGAAAACAGTCTTGCCGTCGTCGGAGTACGAGATCCAATCAGCTTGCTGAGCGGTGCCATTCTGTTTGCCGTCCTTCTCTTGAGAATGTTCCTTGGCCTCCTGCCTTGCCCCCTCGAAGTTGTCGCGTAGACTCCAGGTAAGTTCAGTATGGGAATTGTCGGCGGCACCCACGCCTTGCTGAAGCATGGTATTGCTGGAAGATATGAGCATGAGACTACATGATGTGGTGTGTTGCACATTACCCAGTAGACAAAACAATAGTATCTGCCGCCGTCATGGTGGTTGAGGTGGATTTATAAGCGGAAAATTAGGGAAAGGAAAGGACGCTCGAAAAATGCAGGATATGTACAAAAAAGGCAAAAGGCAGTAGGTTGCAATGAGAGAGCTAGTAGCAGGAAAGTAGAACTGGAGCGATGTCGCGTGAGTTTAGTGAACAAGTCGAGGAAGTTGCGTGAGGGTGGGATGGAAATTGTATGATTCGCGATTCACGATGATGCGAAGAGCCGCTATCGCCGAGGTTGGCCGAAAGTTTGAAGCAGTCACCAAATGTGGAGCAGTCGCAGGGCAGGAGCAAGCGGGCGGGCTGAGTGTGAGTCGGTCGGTGAGTGTGTGACAAGCTGCCTGTCTGTTGTTTGGAAGGGGCTCTGGTTTTTGATTCAACGCAGCTACGCTCCACCGTCAGCAACAAATATGCCCATCAAGTGTGTCGCTTCTTCTGCTCGTAACCATTTATGCAAACTGATGCGCTGCCCAGATACCTGATTCTGCTGTCAAGGCAGGGCAAAGTGGTGAGTGCAGCGTCTTGTGCTTGAGAGACGGCGGCAGCTAACGCATCCATCCAGCGCCTTGCCAAATGGTTCACCACCCTGTCGCCCAAGGACAAGGCGAAGATTATCAAGGACGTATCGCAGCTAGTCCTCGCCCGTCGCACGCGCATGTGCAACTTCCTCGAGTACAAAGGTCGGTCGCATCATGTCCCCCACCCACGCACCAATCCGCAAGCTGACGGATTGTGTCAAAGATTCAAAAGTTGTCTACCGCCGCTACGCTTCCCTCTTCTTCATCGCCGGCTGCGCCTCCGACGACAATGAGCTCATCACCCTAGAGATTGTCCATCGCTATGTCGAGCAGATGGATAAATACTATGGCAACGTCTGCGAACTCGATATCATCTTCAACTTCCAAAAAGCATACTTCATCCTGGACGAGCTTCTGCTAGCCGGAGAGATGCAAGAAAGCAGCAAAAAGAATGTGCTCAGGTGTATTGGCCAACAAGACAGTCTGGAGGACATGGAGGTACGCACATCACTCTTTTCACACCTACTGTCGCTTCTCTTTACAACACAAAGCCATTTGTCACCTCTCAGCCAGCACCATCTCACTCCCGTCTGGCAATTTGCCAATATATACTGACTCTTGCCATAGGTCGAAGACGAAGCTGTCACGCGCATCATGTAGAGGCGGTCTTTCAACAACGCCGTCGTCTTTATGCCTGCTTTCTCCATCCTCACAGCACTCGCAGCATTTCAAGGCGTTACATCGGTACAGGAGTTACTTTGTTTTGTGATTTACTTTTGGACAACGATACCACAACTTGTGCACTACTAGCAATTCAAATGAGTGTCCCTCGCCTTAGGCAGGGCTTCCGGGTCTTAGACCTGCTGCTCAATTATAATGACCATCCAACGATGCCCTTTTTGGTTCAGGCTCTTGGTGTGACTCTGCTGCATTTGCTCTTGCTACTGTCCTTGTTCTCTTCTCGTCCCCCTGGTCTGGTGTCGTCGCATCCGACATGATGACTGTCTTGCTTCGTTGACACACTCTTGTGGTACATTGACCTTGACTCTTTTTAGGCTAGGTCCCGACTCAGAGCCTCGCTCTCTGCGACAAAGTACCCATCAACAATAACAGCAACAAAGCCAAACACGACAGGCGACCACGTTCTCAATATGTTGGTCGATGGATTAACTGTTACAGGTTGTCTTGTGTTTGAAGCCTGAGCTTTGATTGGCTCGAAGCCAACTTGCAACCGTCTCATGGCATCACGTCACCTAGAGACCGGGGGAGGCTCGCACCTCGCTCCTCGCACCTCGCTCCTGCCGCAGTCGATCAACGTCGGCCCATAATACCGCTTTACTAACACAACCCCTCCTCGTTCTCTCTCATCACCCAGCGATTTATTATTCGACTCATCACATTTACTCATATCGGCGACAGCGTGCGACACTCGTCTACTCGATTGACCGCTTATCAGCAACCACCCGACCTCTCCTTGCGCGCAATTACCAACCGTCGCATTCCGTCGCGCGTTCCATCAAACCACATTACAAAGTACCAGTCGCTTGTCCAGCACACGTCTGCACGGCTCCCAGCAACCATACATATATCCAGACCCTTATCGCATCGCCTCACACCCGCCTAGCAACGGCGCATCAACCTGCAGAATGAAGGTAAGCTCAACTCCCGACGCGACGGACTCGATATTTCAGTCCTCGCCGCATACTCGCACTCGACGCGCCTCAGAAATGGTTGCGCCTTGTCGCATCTTATCGCAGTGCAACAGAGCTGTCACGGTGCGAAAGCCACACTATGAGTCAGTGACGAATAGTGACGAGACAGCCATGATGTTGCACTGCGGCATATGTATCGAGCGACTGCCTAAGAGGTGCTTTGCAGGCTTCATTTGTGCATTGCTGACAATCTCCTAGTACGTTCCCCTCCGTGACTTCCAAGTCATTACCGATGCCTTGAATTTCTCGACCACCGACTTGCACGTCATTGGCAGCTGCGATCTCTACACAACGAAAGCGGCCGGCAGCGATAAGAAATTGTACAAGAACATCGAAACATCACTCGAAAAGGAGCATGGAAACCTCTTGCGCTTGGCCGCTTCGCTGTCGCCTCCATCAATTCCCATCGACAGCAGAAAGAAAGAGCGCAAGCCATCAGTCCACATGCCAGAGATTGATCTCTCTCGCGACAGTCCATTCGGCTCTTTCAACCAAATTAGTGCAAGACGAACATTCGCTTATCTGATTGCGACACTCAACGCCTCTCACCCCGACTACGACTTCTCACACATCCTCCGTCCGACCGACTTCCGTAAGACAACCGGCACTGCAATCAGGAGAAGTGTGGATAGTACCCTTCTGAACATGCGCCCTCGTCGCATGTCAACTCTTCTTTCACCCCACGCCAAATCATCTCTGAGTGCTGGTTCGCCTCAAGGCATCACATCACCCAATGCCGAATTTGTTTGGGGTGAGCACATGTGGAAATTGATTGACAAGGAGATGGAGCTCAATCAATGTGAAAAGTACACATGGGATCCTGAAGACGACCCTTTTGAGGGCGAGAGCGCATTGTGGAGTCAGCATTACTTTTTCTTCAACAAGGAGAAGAAGAGAGTCTGTTACCTCAACTTCCGCTCGTTTAGCGTACTGTCACACTCACCTGCCAACGGCATGCACATGCGTACCGTGCCCATTACCAACCCTGGTGTTGGTGAGGGCGCAGGCAAGCGAGCCCAGTACTGGCTCGGTCACAGTGTCGATGGTGACGATATCGACAACTGGAGAGAGGACGATGATGTCGAGTATGAAGACTCGATGAGCATCGACAACGACAGCAATGAAGGCGAGTATAGAAACGATCTGGATGATGTCCGCGACAAGCTCGAGGACGGTTACTATGATTGGGCTGACGGCGCTGTCGACTCGAATGATGCCTCTGGCTGGGATCCTCGACGTATGCACCGTGGCTCTAGTGAGGGCCCTGCTGATGCGATGGAGATTTAATCTGCTGTGCAGGATGTCATTCTGTTGGTCGACAGTTCGCCATCACTTTTCACATACGCTGGTCGTCAATTTCTTGTTAATACTAAGTTCTAATCGAGTCTTTCTGGTTGTATCGTGGCGGCGCAGGGAACGGCGTATGGGTGTTGCTTCTTAGTGTTTTATCCTATCGGGCTCAAGACTTGACCAGGCGCTGGGACTTGGAGTGGGAGATAATCAAGGCCACCCTGGATGGTTGTGTTTATAGCGTTTATTGTTTTCTTCCACCTATCTGAGTTTACTCGAATCCGAATTCTGCTAAACGACGAATCACTTGTTTGACAGACCTTGTGTACGACAGTCTCATTAACGCGAGCAGTCCTGTTGTGGGTCAATGTAACACCTTGATGTTTAATGCAAACCATGGCATAATTTACATACCCATCCAGGGAAACAGCAATGTCAAAGCCGCGCCACCCGAGAGCGATCAGATCGAAATTGGAAACAAGATGAAGGGTACAAAGAAATCTGGCAGGAGTTGTATTCCGGTTGCGACTAGTACATGTCATGAGAAATAATGGTACGATAAGAAATAAATAAAATCATCAAAGAGGTTCAGTTGAAGCAACTCCTCCATCAAACTGTCCCGCCGCATCATTTCGACTCTCTGCTAACCAAAAACCTTTCTGGCCAATCGCAACTTTCTCTCTCCACAAAATTCAAAAGTGTACGTTCTGCGACAAATCAACATGAATGGCTCAGAGGACGAGCAACAGTTGGTGTATACTGTACTGGTCACAGGCGCGAACAGGTAAGTGACGAGCCATTCTGGAAAGAAAGGGAGTCGCATTCAATACTGACATTGCCCACAGCGGCCTAGGCTTCTCGACCTGTTGCCGTCTCATTGACGAATTCCTGCACTCGCGACCACAGACCCAATCGCTCCACCTCCTTGTGACTACACGCTCCACCTCGAAGAACAAAGATACGCAGACTCGCCTGCATGCACACCTTCAAAAGACGCTTCTCAAAGCCGACAAAGGCACACCGGGCATCAGTAAAGTGCTCGCTTCTCGTATAAAGATTTCCGGCGAACAAGTGGACCTGTGTAACCTGCGCAGTGTCAAAGAGCTAGGGAAAAGACTACTGGACAGAGGAGATCGTCTCGATGTCTTGATCTGCAATGCAGGAATAGGAGGCTGGAAAGGCTTGAATTGGCCTTCTGCGATTTGGGCAATCTTGACGGATTGGAGACATGCTTGCACGTATCCTACCTATAAGCTAGGATTTGTGGGTGCTGTTGCCGCTCAAGAGGGTGACGAAACAGCACCAGATCAGCAGCTGGGAGAAGTGTTTACGGCAAATGTGTTTGGACATTACATTCTCGCTCATGAGCTTTCACCACTCATGAAGGGCGGCGGATCAAAAGAGCCAGGGAGAATTATTTGGATTTCGAGTATTGAGGCCTACGCTCATGCTTTTGATGCAGAGGATGTACAGGCCTTGAAGTCAGACGCTGCATACGAGTCTAGCAAACGCCTTACAGATCTTTTGGTCTTGACTTCCGAGCTACCGTCTACAAAGATGTCTACAACGGCTTTCTTGCAAGAGGCGGATAAACAGCAGAAGCCAAAGATGTTTTTGGCTCATCCGGGTGTTTGTGCGACGAGTATTGCGGATTTACCGCTGGTGCTTTGGTATGCCATGTTATTGGCCCAATACATTGCTCGTTGGCTGGGCTCGCCATGGCATCCTGTGTCTTCATACCTGGGCGCTGTATCCAGTGTCTGGCTCTCACTAGCACCATTCTCATCCCTCTCCACCCAAGAACTCACCGAAGGCAAAGCAAAATGGGCAAGTTCAACAGACGTATTCGGCAATGAAAGAGTAGTGCGCACAGAAGTCGGCGGATGGGGATGGGGTGGCAAGGTGGGAGAAAAAGCAGATGGGAAGATGAGGTTGAGTGCTAATAGATGGAGAGGTCAAGAAGATGTCACAAAGGAGTCTAGAGAGGAGTTTGAGGTGCTGGGACAGAGGGTTTGGAGGGATATGGAGAAGTTGAGGGAGACTTGGGAGGATAAATTGGAAGCATGAATTGGCTCTCTCCTTATCTCTACACCACCACATTAGACGTACGCACTTTGTAAAATTGCAATCAAGGCAACTCGACATCTCCAAGCACCTTTCTTCACGCTCTGGCTACCATCACTCCATAATCATAAAAGTGCAAAATCATCCTCTTTCTCCCACCTCTGAATCGAACACCCAACCCTTCCTGTCTAACACTCCATCCCAATGCAGTAATATTCTTAGGTTGGCAAAAACAAAAAGAAGGCTTGATGAATCAAACATTCAGGTATGTTCCAAAGATTTGAGTAGGCACTGTCTTTGCTCTCCATCCCTGTTTGAATTGGTAAAAGGCAAATTCGAAGTCAGAATAATGGAAGAGCAGTGCTAACTAGAGCAGATTTGCGTTGGTATATATATGTTTACCGAAGCCCAGATGGCCTGTGCGTGGATGGAAGGAAGACCCTGGCCGTGATGAGGGACATGTTTTGGGGAATAAATGCTGCAGATAGAATGGTTTATGAGTGAGAAGATGAGTAAGTGATATGACCGCGGTACCTCGAAGAGTTCTGTGGTCAATTTCTCTTGATGTGGCCTGGTAATGTCGCTTTGCCGCGATTCTGTGCTTCATCTTCACCCAACCCTGTCAGTTCATCATTCAACACGAGCCATCACCCTCGCTCCCTTGCTCCATTTCTCCCTCACCATATCATTCTCAATCAAAAGCAACAACACATACAGCAGATCAGTGTATTGTCCACTGTACCTTAGTATCTCACAGCAGTTCCCTTGCACAACAGGTCTCCGACTCAATAACAAGTACCAAAGCTCTTATACTAAACAAGCTCCCATACTACCAAGCCAGACCGTCGAACAGCAGGAGGGTCCAAGCATTTCGTCCCTCTCTCCTGACTGATCATCCCGTCACGGAGATCACGGGTTTGTTTGAACATGCATGAGTAATGCCACAAAGATCGGCACGCGGCGGATAGGAAGGAATGCTTTTACGTACGACAATACTTGCTAATCGAATAGGGGCACTCGAGCGATGAGCACACTGTTGGTTGCTGGAGATATAGAAGGATCAGCAGGAGAGACGTCTATTATCGCAGGTGAGGAGATCGGTCGGCGACAATCAATGCGTACCCAGGAGAGACGACTCGCATGGCTCTCACGATCGCGACTGAAGAAATATTCATCCTGGCGATGGTTCGAAATGTCAGGAAAACAGCACAGAAACAAACAAGTAGTCGTGTAGAGCAAAAAGTGTGTATTCGTCTTATTTGTAAAGGAACAAATGATTTTATTCCTCCCAGGGGTATAGATATATGCCAACACGATGACCCGAAAATGCTAGCGAGTGTATGCATTTGCTCCTTGAAGTCCGATTGAGAGGTCAATCTACCAAACCGGACTCTATAGAGTATGTGTGTGTGACAAAGAAAAGCAAGAAGAACAAGAATGGTAAGTCTACGCAACTTCCCTCCTCATTCGGAGGAAAAAGCGGACCGAAATATGGTATCTCAGAAATGTTTTATGCAAAAAGGGGTACGGAAAGAGAACCCGGATGTGCTCAGGACGCCAGACGCTGTGCGAGATGAAAACAAAAGAAAATGCTGATGCTGTGTTTTTGTTGGTCGGTCATTGGACTGGTGAATCCGAGAACAGTTCATCGGCCAAGATCCTGAATAGTACCATCCAAGTCTGAGCTGCGGCGGACCTCTTGCTCAATGAGCTTGTCAACGAGATCGGAGTGCTGAGCTGAGAGCTGCGCGGCTGCTTCCTGAGCGGCGACAGCGTGAGCAGCGGCGGATGATGCATGGGCACCTGCCAAGAGATAGCCGTCCTGGCCTTCAAGCTCAAGAGGAGTCACAGGACCAGGACTACCCAGTGGTGCGAGACGAGGGCTCAAAGGCTTCTCAAAGCGGACCGATTGCGGTCTGGCAGAGCTTGAACTCGCAGCAGCAGCGACGGCGGCTTGAGCAGCTACGGTCTCCCGATGGTACAGATAAAGTTGCTTCTGAGCCTCAGAGTAGAGCCTTTGCTGAGCTTTGGGGCTGACAGGAGGGTTGTTAGGCGACAAGGGACCACCAGCACCGGGAGTGTTTGCAGCCGAGGATGTCTGTGATGAAGGGAAATTTGCCGGGTGGAAACGGGGCAGGCCAGGTAGCTTGAGAGTGTTTCCAGCAGGAGAAGTTCGATGGCGCATTTGAGAACTTGTGGCGGCGGAACGAGGATGAAGACCACGAGGCGATGGAGGTTGTAGTTCGTAGCGTGGTGTTGGTTCAAACCGAGGCGAAAGAGGCGAAGACGGTCTCAGAGCAGGCGAGGCGCGAGGAGAAGGCATGGTTGGTATGCAGCAAGTCTCGGGTTTGATAGTCAGAGACGAAGGGTGTTGTGAGTGTTGGAGCATCATTTGTAGAGCGAAGAAGTTGGGAAGGCGACAGTCGACGTTTCCAGATCAGCTCATTCAGCTTGCAAAATATTCTTGTGTGTGGTAAGTGGTGCGAGGCAAGCACGAACAAACGTTGATTTTGTCGTCCGGGTTAAGAGCAGAAAGAGCGAGTATGGTCCGGATTTTATCAAGGTCGACCACTTTCTTTGAATTCGATTGCGGAGAGGAAACAGCAAGGGAGATAGAGAGGAGGCTTGGTGCTTTGGTAGAAAGTGAGACGCCGCTCTTTTTTTGATACAGAATCCCAAAACAAGGGCTCGGGTCACGAGCAGTGGGTCCTGGCCATGGCATTATTATATGGATATCGACCTGTCGTCGATGCTCACAACTGCTCGATACGCGATCCCAAGGAAGGGCCAAACCACCGACCAAGACTTCCCCTCACCAAGCACCATCTGCGTCATGCATCAAGCACGTACGCTCAGGCCGGCAACAGGTACTCGTACTCTTCCCGCGGCTACTCCTGACCTCTGATCAAGCACGCCATGTCAAGGTTTCAAACGACCCAAACCCTCGCAAAGCTGGAACCGCGTCGCAAAGCTGCTGCGAATCAAACCTTTTCCATACCTTTGTCTTTCCATTCGCATCTAAAAGCACTCCAGAGGCTCAACTGGAAGCTAAAATTCCACACACGACATGACCGTTTGGCCCACGTGCAACGTCGTGTCAAATTGGATCTTGACTGACAAGATAAAGCCCATCATGCCATCATGCCAATATTGCCATTGCACACAAAAAAGACATTTCCGGTTCTAGTTGGTAATTGGTTCCGACCGATCCTTGTGCTCGTCCGACTATCGAGTATGTCGTCTTCATGACTCCTCACCTTGCAGGGCTCACTCAGTCCGTCTTCCTGCCTCCTGCACGTTGTCATACCTTTGAGAGCCGGCTCTGCTGCAGTCCGAGCAAGCGTCAACTTGGGCGGCTACCGGCACTTGGCCCAAATCCTTGAGATAACGTCGTCATATCTTGTGATACTTCTTCACGCATGCACGCTCACTCCTGCCCTGACGGCTTCCAATCTCCGAGTGGCTGAGATTGGCTGTTGTAGACCAACCTGCAGCGGTTTGTCAAGCCAAGTCCTTTGCCAATGGCGTCTGTGGAAGTTTGGAAGGAAACGAGGTGGATAGGCCAAGGCTGTTCGTTTGCTGATTTTCCCACGCTGTCGTCGGACCTGCATCCCGTGCACATCCCTTGCCATTTCTTTCCCTTTCCACCCTCCCCCTTCTTTGCCGCTAGTATTTATTCTCACGTGATGTCTGCAACGAACTTCGATTCTCTGGCTCTTGTGATGCGTACATTTTGAAGCTGTCATGGAAATGCAAAGAACTCAGCTGGCCGGGATCCCTCAAGACGCGTCTTCGGAAATTAGATGGTCGGGACATTCTTTATCCCATTCATCGGCCAAAGTGACCTGACCTGTTGATTCTGCTGTGTGCTGCGGAAAATGCAATCGCGATTCTCTGCAAGTCCTACGATGATCTTTTGCTGTTTGCAATCAGTCCGCCTGTCGGTCGCTTAAACACGACCATCTTTGTGTCTCCCGAGGTGGAGAGAAGAGGGAAAAAAGTTGGGCTATGCATGCAAACTGCGCGAGTCGCAAAGTACGCGATTGAGAGAGACACATGTTTGCCGTGTATGACAAAAGAAATCGCACCACAAAAAAACAGATGGCCACCCGTCTATCAGTTGCGATCGAGCAAGTCAGGATCGTCCGACCAGTCAGGTCTGCATCTCTTTACGATATCGGGCAGTGTTGATCTCGCACACACACACACGTCGAGTCGGCAAAGCAGACGACGGCAAGGACGACAGAAAAACAGATCGAGTGATATCGAGGAAACCCGATGCGCAGCGACCGCGCATCAGAAAACCATATCTCAATGCCATGAGTAGGGGGATCAATTCTACGTTGTCCTTTTGACACGATTACCACTGTCAGATTTCGCGAATCTTCTGTCTTTATGCATTGCACATGATTTACTGCAAGTGTGTCGTGGCATGTCACTCGCTGGATCTTGCCTTGTGCTTGGTCGCCTTGAGAGCAAGTTCGAAGCACAACTCATCGGCGATACGAAGGAGTACGACGCGTCGACAAGACTACTTGTTCCGCGTATCTCGCCCTCCGGGTTCTTCCTTTATCGCAAGGCATACCCAAACCGAGGATGAAAAAGACATGATAGCCGTACATGCGCAAATGCAAGCAAAAGTCAAAACACCCAGGCAACAACTTGAGGACCTTGATTGCGATTACGCTTTCCTTTGAGGAAGCCGCTAGCTAGCTATGTTTACGCTTTTGCGTTTAGCAACAGCCCAGCTATCAAAGTATTGTACATGTATGAATAAACTGTTCGGTCGCGTGTAAAAAAAAAAGCTTCTTCTGTATATCGCTCAAAAGAAGTCAGAATCTTTGGAAACATCGATCTTGTTTGTGTGACTCCTCCAACTACGTCGTTGTTCTTGTATCTTGCAAAGTATACAATCTTGTTTTTGAGGCAAATCTGTCATTGATATATGGATCATCTCTGTTTTCTTCCGGTTTGAGAGGAGTGACTGATCAAGGAGACAAGAAATGTAACTGTCATCATTAAAACCGATGATACCTTCCACCAGTTACATATTCAATTTTACCATGTACTCGTATGTTAGCGATAGGATTGAGGGATTCAAAATGGTCAAGAAGGGATACGAGAAAAGTACAACTAATCTAACACCCTTCGTATGCCCGCCCTTCCAAGAGATTGCAAAATATTGTATAAAAATCCAACGACCAACATATCATTTGCTTTTAGATATTAATCTTAGAGGTGCGCCTCGGGCGAGGAATAGCCTTTCACAAGCAAGCGTCTCGAATATCGTGAAAAGCCCACCTCGAAAACAAAACACCCTTTCACAATACATACCTTAAGTCTCTCGTATACCAAAAAAAACGGTCACTTGTCATTAGAATATTCTAGACAGTGCGCTGGAAAAATTGTTTCCTAGACTCTGCGTCAGTCGTCCTCTCATCACCTCCATTTCTTGTAAATGAGATGCCACAATACTCGAGGGCAGATCTACAATGAGTATTGTCAAAGAAAATAGATCTGCAGCTCTACTGGAGAGCGGCTCGTCAGTGAACCACTCTAGCTCTCTAGTAGGCGCAGTCAGTGACTCTCTGCCATGTACCATCACACTAACTGGATAGATGACAAAACAGCAGGATCAAGCGGTTATTCCTCCATGCACGAGCACCGAACAGGTAGGATAATATACTCTATAAGACAGACGGGAAAAAGCGGGGGAGCGAGCAAAGAGATAGGAAAGGGAAGCAAGCACCTGAAGGATGAAAAAAGTAGGTCAGGCTGAGTGGACGCTATTGGATTCTGACCTATTACTGGGGTGTTTGGGTCCTTTTCGTTGCCTCGTGTCTATTAGTGAGGTCTACTTGCCAAGTCCTGCCAGCACATGGATCTCTTTCAAGTCACGCTCAGGATTCTGGGTGGATGATCATGGTGATTCATCATATTTGATGATTGACCGTCCAGTTGAAAGTACGAGTCCTTGACGATCAAAATGATAATGGCAGTGGATGAAACACAGGAGATGATAAATGTACAATTTTTGTCAAAGGTGAAAGCGACTGGTTTACAATTGATGCTAGCCGACCTTCGAATGTTTTCGCGAGAGAAAAAAAAGAAAGAGGAACCCCCTCGAGAGTAATGTATACGTTTACTCCTCCTCGTCGTCGGCGTGCTCCAGGCGACCCTGCTTGGAGTTGAGGTACTCGTTGCTGCAGAGTGTGTTAGCCTCGAGTTCATCAAATCGACCGATGCAGAGAAATGTGTTTTCAGAAGCAAGAGACAGCGAAGGACGAGCCAAGTATGGTTGGCACAAGAAGTATCTTGACCGCATCTGGCCTTGTACGTATTGTTCTTGATGCTGCCTCTTTCTGGTCTTCTGGACATGTGTGGTGACTGGGGCGGCTTACTTCTCGGTGGCCCAGTTCATGAGCTCGTAACCGACCAACAGAGGGACGGCCCAGTAGAGGATTTGGCCCTTTGTTCTGCGGTAGGTGTTGAAGACAGCGGAGTGTGCGGCACCGGCAAGGGCACGCTGACGGTTCTGTGCCAATCCGTAGGTGATGATGCCACGCTGCGGCGGGGAGCCTGGGTGGGAAGAGAGTGGTTAGTGTGCGTTCGACAGGTGAGATGGGCACCGTGCGTATGCGGTGGTTGGGATTCGACGGCGGAGGTGTGTGGAGCGATTGCAAGAGCGACGTGGATGCAGAGGGCGTTGATGTGGACAAGAGAATCAGGAGTTTCGCATACCGAGGGCACCCCAGGATCCCATGTACCTGAGAGACAGTTAGCAATGCGCCATGGCTTGTCGACAGTCATTGATGCGCCGGAGGTCGTGGGTGCTCAAGGACTGTCTGGCACAGGGCGCGACTTACTGGCCAGGCTTCTTTTCTCCGCCACCACCCATTGTGATAGACTATGCGTAGATTGGTTGGGGAAAGGGTATAGTTGAGGGTGGAATAGTATCCGAATTGGCCGTGTTCGAGATGGGTAGCAGGATCGAAGTTCGCCATGTCCGTGGTCAGCAACGCCGCTCGGGCCTGGATGCCAAGCACCCGCCCAAAGAGGCAGCGTCGAATGGATGCAAAGCGTCACCATGTCGAAGCTCTCTGTACTATCAAACAGCTACGCGCCACTGCACATTCTCACCCTCCCCCTCCAACTATGGCCGCCAACGCTCTCGGAGCCATCTACAAGTGGGCCGTCCCCGCTGCCCTCGGTCTGTCTCTCGCGAATGCCTCCATGTACGATGTCAAGGGCGGCACTCGCGCCGTCATCTTCGACCGTCTGTCCGGTGTCAAGGAAGGCGTTATGAGCGAGGGCACCCACTTCCTCATTCCATGGCTGCAAAAGAGCATCATCTACGACGTCCGCACAAAGCCCCGCAACATCTCCACCACCACTGGTTCAAAGGACATGCAGATGGTCAGCTTGACCCTCAGAGTCCTGCACCGTCCCGAAGTCAAGGCTCTCCCCAAGATTTACCAGGTAACCTTGTCCCTCCACCATCTCTACTCAAGCATAATCTAACCCTCACCCTGTAGAACCTCGGTCAAGATTACGATGAGCGTGTCCTCCCCTCGATCGGAAACGAAGTCCTCAAGGCCATTGTCGCCCAGTTCGATGCCGCAGAGCTCATTACCCAGCGTGAAGCCGTCTCCAACCGCATCCGTACCGACCTCCTCCGCCGTGCTGCCGAGTTCAACATCGCTCTTGAAGATGTCTCCATTACCCACATGACTTTCGGAAAGGAATTCACAAAGGCCGTCGAAGAGAAGCAGATCGCACAGCAGGAAGCCGAGCGTGCACGCTTCATTGTCGAGAAGGCCGAGCAAGAGCGCCAGGCCAACGTCATCCGCGCAGAGGGTGAAGCAGAGTCAGCCGATGTCATTTCAAAGGCTGTGGCAAAGGCTGGTGACGGTCTTGTCCAGATCAGAAGAATCGAGACACAGAAGGAGATTGCCCAGATGATGGCCAACAACCCCAACGTCACCTACCTGCCCGGCGGTGGCAGCGGCACTGGTCAGAACGGTGGCCAGGGCGGCAACTTTCTGCTCGGTTTGAGATCCTAAGACAAAAGGCGAAAATGTACAAATCACTATACCTCGGGCTTGATATTACCACGGCGTTTTGATGTGGCATGGCAGGTATGGGCATGAGCAAAAACTACCTCTTCTCTTATCTTCTTGTATACCTATATACGTACGCACGACTAGCGCTTCTCCTTGCTCCATCTATCCCAAGCACATGATCCCAGTCTGCTCAAACGCCATCGCTAACGAAAGATACAAAGAAAGAAAGACGAAAACATCATTCCCCGTTCCATCGGAGGTTCTCGGTGTAGAAGCGCACCAAGGCTTCATAGCCTAGCTGATCACCCTGACGCAACAGCTGAGCTGCGTCAATGTTCAAGGGACTGTCGGGCTCAGCAGAAGTCAAGAGCTGCTGCACAGCTTCCAGCGTTTGCTTCACAGAGTACACGGGACTCCAACTAGACTTGAGCAGATCCAGACATATCTCTCCAGTCTTGAAATGTACATTCGGATGACAGATGGGAGTGACAAAGGTTATGGTCGGAGGTTTGTTGGGATATGTGTCTGGGATTATGATGTTGAGCTTCCAGAGGCCATCTGATGTTTTTGGTTAGAGAATGTGTTGGAGAGGAAGTCATGACGTGGTTTGATCAGTTACTTTGGTATGCGGTGCCTGGAACACCTTTGAGTATGGCGGTCCAGTGGGTCAGCTCTTCGTCGTTGATGGGACCGAGGTGGACTAGAGCGTCACTGGGATCCTTCTCATATGACCGTAGCTCAAGCAGTAGCCTTTTCGTCACTTGTTTCGAAGCCATTTCGTAATCCCACGTTCTGATGTTTTAATCTCTCAGGTGGAGTTGTCTCTCTATGCGAAGGTGGGAAATGCGGGGACGAGGTTGACGTCGATGAAGCTTGGCATATCATTTGTTCGTCGTATGGGAATTTCTTCGTCTTGTCGCATTCAATATCACCCTACGACATTAGCATATTCAATTTCGAAAACATGACGGTTCTTCAAGCAGACGTGTCGATTCTTCACAGAGCAGATGGCTCGGCGCGATACTCGGCGGCAGGATACACAGTTGTGGCGGCTGTGAATGGGCCCATTGAAGTCACACGCCGTGATGAGCTTCCACAGCATGCTGCTCTTGAAGTCAACGTGCGGCCTGCTGTCGGTGTAGGCAGTAAGTCTCTTCTGCAACCAAGAGGAATGTAGAGGTCCGTCTGACATGCAATCAAGGTCCGAAAGAACGCCATCTTGAATCGCTCATCCACTCGACACTGCGCGACATAGTCTTGACACACATGCACCCGCGCACCCTGATCCAATTGACTCTCCAAATCGTCAACACCCCCGAGCAAGAAAACACCCTCCCCGCCTCTTTCGTATGTCCTGGAACCCATCTTCCACCAAGCATTCGCACGCACTAACACCAAACTCAGGCGCTCTCCCCTCTCCCAGCTCTCCTCAACGCATCCCTCCTCGCCCTACTCAGCGGTAGCATTCCCCTAACCACAACCCTCACCTCCACCCTCGTCGCCATCACCCCTTCCGGCAGCCTCACCCTAAATCCCACGCCAAAAATCCTCCTCACAGCCACCTCCTCCCACGTCTTTGCCTTTTCCTCCACCGGCTCTCTACTCCTCGACCTCAGCGAAGGCGACTTCAACCTCTCCACCTGGGAAAAAGCCCACGATACCGCAAAAGCAGAATGTTGCAAAGACCAAGTGTCGGAAGATGTGATGGAAGAGGGTAAACCCAGCTTACAGACTTTTGTGGAGAGAGTGGTGGAGACGAGGGTGGACAAGGAAAGAGCTTGGAAGAATAATGACTAGAAGATGATTTCGACACAGAGCTTGAGTGCCGAGAAACAGATCTGGTGCCAACAGAGATTGAGGAGACCGGGTATGGAGTACCGCAGGGTGGATGGACTGCAACCACGCAAGGACTGTTGCGAAGAGTCGTCCTCCTTGAAACGCGTAGACTTCTTGGTCAGGGTCGCCGGGCACGTCAGGCGAGCTATACACGCTTGTCCGGACTAAGCACAGCCAAACGCCGTCCATCCTCAACAGCCATCATACCCTGCGGACTGTAGGAAGAAGCCAACAGGTACACCCCATCCGAACCAGCGAAGAATGGGGAGGGGGGGGGGGCAAATCCTCTCGCAAACGTCTGGGTGCGGACATGAAAAAGACCGCTGTATCCCGAATGCCTATAGACATGAAACACACGGTGATTTGAGCCTCCAACAACGAGCCCAAAAACAAATCTCGTTTCCATAACCCTCGGACTAGTTCATTATTCAAAAAACCTAGAAATCCGATCGCAATCCCGAATCAAAAACCAAAAAAAAAACAAAAAAACACCTTTCTTTTCCTCGTCGTTTCTAACCATCAGGACAACACTCTGAAAAGAAGACTTTTCTTTGATCGTGCTCCCTAGATTCTGCGTGATACCCCTTTAAACTGCTGTCACAAGCTTAACAAAAGAATAACCTGAGCGGACGGAACGAAAGCTCAACAAAGGCAGAAGTAGGGAAAAGCAGTAATCCCCCCCATCAGCCATACCATGGGAATGAGTGAAAACAGATATCCTAAACCTTGATCATGTTAAACCGCAAATCGTAAAAAAGGTAAAAAAAAAGGACACTCACACGTCCCCCATCTTGATTGTCTCACGACTGATACCAATAAAAGAAGTGCTGCAAAAGAGAAAACAAAACACCTTTTCTTATGCAAAAAACGTGTCATATCTTTCATCTTACTCCCTTCTTAGGTCAACGAATCCCCACTTCCCTTCCCACTCACACCCTCTTGAACCCCTCCCTAGTATCCTCCCTACTCCACTCAATAACAACCCCCTTCTCATCCTCCTTATAAAGCACCGCACACACCTTTTCCAACCTCTCCAACACATTATCATACCTCCTCACACACTCTTTGTTCACCATAGAAACCATTTGCCTCGACAAAGCTTCCTCATCAGCATCGCCAAAGTGTTTTTCAATGCGTTTGCGTAAAGTGTCTATGCCACTGCGGATGGCTTTGGAGTCGTGCGAGGCGAGCAGTTTCTTGGTGTTGTGGCGCGAGTATAGAGGACGGGCTGCGATGGAGGGACCCGTGAGGTTTTGACTGAGTAGGGTTTCTGCGCCTTCGTTGAAATCCTGTTGGAAGTGTGGTTAGTATTTTGTAAAGATGCACAAGGGGGTTTTTTAGGATGTCGGCAGCTTACGATGATCTTGCCCAATGGCCTTCGAACCACACGACCAACGTATTCTTCCATGTGTTCGGCGCGATCCATAAGCGCTTTTGCCTTCCACTCGGCAAGCACAGAACCTTCTTTACCTCCATCGTCCACTTCCTCGATATAGTGGTTCATATTCTCAATCAACAGGATATGATAGTTGAGGATTTCTTTATCCTCGTACTCCAATCCATGTGCTGTGGTGGCGGTCGCGGCAACACCAACGGCAGTGGGTGATTCTCTGGCAATGACTTTTAGAGAATCCCACATTGCTCTGTTGATGCGAATATATGCGTCGTCGATGAGTTGACGTGCGCCGAGTACTGCTGCATAGCCATCATACTCTCTGGCTGCTGAGAGATAGGTACTCTCCACAGCATTCGAGAAGAGAGGGAAGATCTTCATGAATGCAATAACACCCTTGCGCTTCTTGATCTTGACTTTAGTATCCTCAATCGCGTGGATTTGCTCGTCCACAAACTTCTGGAACAGCGTCTGCAAGCGTGCAGAAATCTCATTGAGATTGTGCAGCAAAAACTCCTGCGACGTCTCCTGCAAGCGATATGCATGCAAGGCGAGAACTGTGAGGACACCAACACCCTGGATAGGATCGCCAGCATTCGCCCACTCCATCAAGGCTCTTAGCTCGTCCTTCCAGAAACCAAATGTCTCTTCCATGACATCGGATACGCGCCTAGCCATGGCGCGATCAGGTTCCATCAATCGTCTACCTGTGAGATCTGGACCCATGCGAGCTTCGGGGACATTAGCCGCCACTGCATCCGCAAAGTCAATATTTTCCAAGCTAGTTGCGTGGAAGAGATCAACGATGAAGTTTTGCTCCATGGAGATCAAAGGCACCTGCTCTTCCAGTACACCGTTGAACACTTCGAAAGGTGCCATACGGCCTGGCTGTGCTCGGTCGACAGCTGTGGGCTTTTCGCCTCCACTGCCAGCGGAACGGAAAGATTTGGCCAAGGTTTGAGAACGCTTGACTGTCAATTTGCGAGCAGTGCTGGTGAGACCTTCAGAAGTTTCCTTCTCGACCGATGTGAAAAGTAGCTCAGTCGCCTCGCCAGTAGCTGTACGAGCTCCTCTCTTCCAGTTGGTGGTATTGTCTCGGAAGACGTCGGTGTAGAGAGGGCGAGCCTTGGTATGATATGTTCGGAGTGTGCTCTGCCAAGCAGGCATGTTGGTTTCCTTCGTGAAGAGTAGTAGAGGGCTGAATTGCCAGAGGTTGGCACGAGCCAGGTTAAACCCTGAGCCATTAAGTTTCATCGTTGCGTTTCCAACGCCGCCAGGATGCTGCAACAGCGCAGGCTTAGCAGCACCAAGAGCTGACGCGAAGGAGTGATCCATGTAGCGCATCAGGCGTTGGCAGAACTCGGCACTTTCGCGCATGTAGGCATTCCGCTTTTCCTGGAGAGCATTCATGGTACCAATGTCGCTGGTATCGAGACCGGCTGCAGGACCGGATCGACTCAGAGCGTTCGTTGAGCGTACGGATGGATCGATGGTCGCCATGGCCTTGTAAAGAAGGAGCAGTGACGACTCGACCGACATAAGAGCTTCTGGGTTGCCAAAGTCTGCGTGCCGTAATGGCTCTAATTGACGTGGAGAGATCGAAATAGTATCGACCAGCTTCTGCAACTCCGTGTGTAAGATTTTCTGGTTAGCGGTCTGTACCTGCAAACCTTGCGACTGAGCTTCGATGAAGGAAATGTCCTCATTGAGAGTGCTGAGTTCAGCAGAGTAAATGGTTAGAAGCCCATCAAGTTCATCGCACTCGGCAATCGCTCGATCAAGCATCTGATCCACAACATCAACTCGGTCGTCTTTCTGTTCGAGATGACCCAACCAACTGCCAGCTTCAACACGACCCAGCTCGCGCTTCAGATCTGCTTCTAGGTCTTCTAATTGTCTTCCCTTCAAGACACCAGATCCCCACCCAAAGTCGGAGAGAATGGACTCGAATTGTATGCCTCTGCCGTCAAGCAGCCTGGGATCGATGTTGAGCGAGCGAAGATGATTCTCCTGCTGCGCTGATCTACGTTTTGGGCGTCTGGGTTCTGGCGCGACTACAGGGACTTCGGGTTCCTCTACTTGCTGTTCTGGCTCAGGTTGCGGGAAGTATCCCTCTACTGCGGCTCCGTCGACAGGCTTGTGAGCGTGTACTGTCTCGTCTATGACCTTGGGCAAGGTCTCCGGCTCTATGCCCCTCGTTTCTACTTGAGGTACAGTCTCCGAAACAGGCGTGGGGAATTCGGCCTTCATAGGAGAAACTGGCAAGTCTGCCCTGTCGATCTCGACGCTTTTCTTGCGAAGAGGAGCCGGAACAACACCAGTGATTCCATCTGGGCCTTGTCCCTTAGTGGCAGCTTCTGCCATGAGCCTCATGCGTTCAGCGGCACCACCTGCACGAGGCTTGAATGCGCCTTGAGCTGCTGCTGCTTTTCTAAGAGCGTCTGCGAGTTTTGGTACATTCTTCTTCTTGATCATAGGTCCAAGTCCAGGACGGTGCGCTTCTTCATCCGATAAAACATCTCTCGAGTCAGGGATTGAAGCTGGTGGTTCGTCAGGTTCCAGAGATGGAAGGGTTGGTACCTGTTCAGGTTCTGCAATGCGTGGTTCAGGTTCTGCTTCTGGTGGCTGTGATGTGAGATCGGCAGTCGAAGCCGTTGGTGTATCGTAAAACGCACCGGGTACGCGATCGGAAGTTGATGGCATGGGCAGGTGTTTCTCAATACCTAAACCACGAGGACTCGACGATCGGCCCACAGTAGCAACAGTACTAATGTTCGTGCTAGCACCGGATACATTTCTACTTGTCGAAAGCGGAGGTGGACGTAGTGCTTCGGAATCCGACTCATTCTCGCTTGGTGCTGCGCTATATTTCCGACCTCCTGCCATGAAAGGTCGCTTACGCTCAGGGGGTATTTGGATGTCGTTGGGGTATTGATCAGGTGGAGTTATTGATGGTTGTCGCTCCCGTTGACTTACAGCAGCCGGCTGTCGCTGATTCTTCAAAGTTTCGAATACTGATGGTCGAGGCTCGCTCTGATCAACGTTGGCCGGATGAGGCTTTCTTGCAGAGGGTTGTCTCATAGGCGAAGCCTCGCGCGAAGGAGGCTTCCAATGGTTCAGGGTTGATGTGAACATACTAATTTCGGTAGGAGGTGCGTCGGTCGATTCTTGACTACGTTGACTTTGAATGCTTCTTTCACTACGCACACTTTGGTAACTCTGTTGACGTCCCTCTGCACGAGCTGGGGCCAGTTGACCTGGCTGTGGTGGTGGTGGTTGATTGAAATGCGGCGGGGCTTGATCGGAAACGGTAGGGATGGTCCTGACAGAGGAAGCGAATGAGGTGTTTGGCGAGTCGGACATAGGAGGTTGCTGTAGCTCAGCTCTCGAAGACTTTGGAGTCAAGCGAGGTCGAGCACCCGGAGGAGGGCCATTGTTCAGTGCCGGAGGAGGAGCTCGCTGCCCGGGCTCGCGACTCGGAGCACGAGCACCGGGCTCACGGCTTTGCGCACGCATAGGCTCGCGACTCGGGGCACGCATGGGGTCACGACTCGGTTTCTGCATACGCTCTCGGCTAGGTTGTCGCAAACCTCTATCCTGCGAGGGTCGAGGCTGCGGTTGCAGACCTCCTGGAATCGCAGCTTCGCCGTTCTTGGGCATGGGCCGGAAACGTTGGCGCGAGTCCTGAGATGACGGTCGGTTTGGGTCGGCAAATGGTGCACGAGGTGGAGGCGTATTCTGGGGAGTCTGGCGATCCTGAACGGCAGGAGACGATCGTGGTGCTTGTTGCTGTCCAGGAGCCAAACCTAGCATTTGCTCTACATCACGAGGGTCGAAGCCACGAAGATCCGGAACCTGGCCCTTGGTGTATTTCCGGTAAATCTTGACCAAACTCGCGACGAAGAAGTCCTTCTCTTTAGACGTGGCAGCCTCCCAGTAGTAGGGCTTTGAGATGGTGACAACGAAACCAACATTACTGGCCCATTGGTAATGGTTCTGCTTTGGCGGAGGGGCGTTCGGGTCGGCATGAGCAAAGGACTCAATGGCAGACAGATCCTCAAGGTTCCACGTCTTGCCAATGGAAAAGGAGCCATTGTTGTTCTCGCGAGCCTTGTGCATGCGGACGCGGCCAGTGCTACGGACGGCGACAACAATGATACGAGGCTTCTTGTTGTCAGGCGCGGAGGTCGGCGGAGGAGGAGTCGAGGGATGGGCGGCATCCTCAGTGATGCGTATGTGGGTGATGTACGACTCGGCGACTGATTGATCATGTTAGCGGGGCAGTCCAGTCGACCTCAGCCAGCAGCAATGCGACGCACGCTGTCCATTCTGGTCGAGCTTTGAGAAGCAGCTCTCGACCATGCGTCGCTTCTCGTCCTCGAAGCGTTCGGCGCGCGTCATAGTGGTGTTTGTTGCAGATTGGCCTTGAGCTGGAGCTGAAGCTGGAGCTTGCGCGGGCTTCCTGCCTCGAGCGTCATGCATCGAGGCCGAGTCCGACGGGTTGCGCGACTGCGAGCCATTCATGCTGTCTGTCGACGTACAAGTCTGCACCTGCACTGCATCTGGAGGTCTGGCACCTTCCCCGAAACTAGCAGACGGCAGAGAGGCGACAAAGAGGTGTGGCTGGAAATACTAGACGCGTAGGAAAGATGACGGATAGACTGCCAGCCGTTCAACTTCCGACACACGCTGAACCAACCTACACCAGAAGCCTGCCAGCCCGCCAGCCCGCCCTCCTTCCTTATTCCTACGCCTGCGGACTTGTTCGCCTTGGCACAGAAACCCAATGGCCCGCCCTTATCGCGTCTGTTCTGCCCTAATCGCTGTCGGCTGCGCGGGCCGAGCAGGTGCGTCTACCGAACCTTCGTCTTTTTTTCTGTATCGCGACTGCCTTTTCGCGACGCCTTCCTAACTGTTCCTCACTCACAACCTATCACACCATGTCTACCGTCACACCGTCACCTGAGCTCCTCGCTCTCGTAAACGACTTTCTCGCAAGCAATGGTTTCGAGAAGGCTGCCAAGGCTGTCCAGAAGCAGGCCGAGGCCAAGGGTCTTGCACTCCCCAAGGACACCAAGACTACCCTGACCGCCCTGTTCGATGCCCGTCCCAAGGAGGCCGCTACTCCCGCTACTGCCGACGACTCCTCCGATGCCAGCGAGAGCAGCGACTCTTCCGATTCCGACTCCGAGAGCGAGTCTGAGAAGAAGACCCCTAAGAAGGACGCCTCCAAGAAGCGCAAGGTCACTCCTCCTTCATCTAGCTCTTCAGACTCGTCCAACTCGTCAGGAGATGAGAAGCCCGCGGCAAAGAAGACCAAGACCATCAAGAAGGCCGACACCTCTTCAGACTCTTCCTCCGCATCGTCTTCGTCCGAAAGTGAGGACAGCAGCGACTCTTCCGATTCGAGCGACAGCGATTCATCCGACTCCGACTCCGACTCCGACTCCGACTCGTCATCATCATCGTCCTCTTCCGACAGTGACAGCTCGTCTTCCTCCGATAGCGACTCATCTGACAGCGACTCCGACTCCGAAAGCGAAAGCGAGAAGAAGCCCGCCAAGGTCGCCAAAGTCGAGAAGCCCGCAAAGAAAGAAAAGGCAGACAAGAAGGAGAAGAAGGACAAGAAGCCCACTGCCGAGGCCAAGTCTTCTTCCAGCTCTGCTGCCTCCAGCGTAACTCTGGCCGACGCCCCTGCACCGGTCGACACTATTATGGTTCCCGCCAGCTCAGCCATTGGTCAAGCTGAAGGCACTGCCGCACCCTCAAACGATGCCGAGGAGCACATGCACCCCAGCCGTAAGCGCAAGCTCGGATATGGTGAGGCCGAACAGCAAGTCGCTGTCCCCGCCACTGAGGAAAACATCAAGCGCGCAAAGAAGGAGAACGTCCCTTTCAGCCGCATTCCCAAAGACCAATGGGTCGATCCTCGTCTGGCCAGCAATGCTTTCGTGCCCTATGATTATGCACAGAAGGCACACGAGTCCTTGATCGTCACCAAGGGCAAGGCATTCACCAAGGCCAAGAACAAGGGCAAGCGTGGAAGCTACAGAGGTGGTGTTATCGACCAGACCCCCAAGGGCATCCAGTTCGAGGACTAGGTACTTTGAGGTTTCATACGAAGATCAGACTATACAAAAGAGTCAAAGCGAGGAGTTTTCATGTTGCACAAAACAGGTTCGGGATTTTCTTATATCAGGTGTTGTCTTTTTCTTTTTCGTTGGATAGAGTACCCATACATTTTCGGCCCAGACATGGCTCACTTTCTTGTGACTAGAGCCTCAAATTTTCGCAAACTGATTAAATAAGAGACCTTCTTCCTACATCACACACTTCTATCTTGCCGAGAAATTTGACAACGTGATTCAGACTGAACTGGCTGTCACCAACACGATGCAGAGAACAGCGAGACAGCTATACGTGAACTTTTTGTGGGCTGGATGTAAAGGTGAGTGTGAAAAGGCAATTACCAGAGTAGGAGAACGAGCAATCTTACAAGGCAGGGTATGGAGACTCCTGTCTCCTCACCTCTCGCGTCACAGCTATCTCAAGCTTCTCAATTTCCACACCATATCCCCATTCTGAGAGCCAAGTCCGAAGAACTCCAGACAGCATTTCGTCTCCAACTACTCACACCCACCCACGCCAGCTCTAGTGGCCAGTAGACGTAAGCCCAATGTCTCATCCATCATAGCAGGAGAAGGAAGCTACTCCAACAGGGGTGGCTGGCCTGTCTCCCAAGGATCACCCCAAGGATCTCCACATCCCTCGCCGCTCAACGCACAATCGCAGTCCCACTCAGCTCCCATACAAGCATTAAACTTCATGATTCTATCAGGATCATTCTCACTGGTACAAGCTGTTAGTTGACGTTGTGGAGTAAATAAGGAGAGAGGGTAAAGGCTTACTCGATGGGAAAGCTGCAGGCGAAGGATATCCAGAGCATTTTGCTGCAGTGTCTCTGGGGACGCATGATGTCTCTGGTGCCGAGGGGTGCAGTGGTGGTTTCGAGGGTGCTCTTGAGTGGCGCGGCTGGAGCAGCAGCGACCATGGTGGCGCTGAGAGCAGCGAGAAGAGGAAGTGTCCACTTCATGTTTGAATGGAATTTTGATTTATTCTTTGAAAAGTGTATGAAAGGTCAGAGACCGAGACAGAAGAAAAGAGTGAAGGAATAGATTCTCGATCAGCCCTCGTAGGTGAAAAGTCTGGTAAGTGAGCCATTTTTTTCGTTGGTATGAGTTTATTCTTTGCTATGGAAAAGACAGAAAAGGCCCTCATATTTGCTGACGATTTCTTGGTACATTCCAAAGTCCACCCAGTTCCTGCGATAGTTTCTCCACATCTATCCGTCATAGAGACATTCTCCTTCTTCGATGAAGGCACATTCGCAGTCATGCAGCCTCATGCATGCTCTGTAGTTTTCGGCGATGTCGCCATGGGAAAAGCTGGTAGTAACAGAACATCAGCTGTCTTTTGATCGTAGTCTTGTTGAGAGCAGAAAAGAAAAGACAAAGAAAGGATGTCTTACCTTGCTTTCCACTGGCATCCTGTTCTTCTGTAGGTACCGCATTTTTTGTGCATGGCCGATCTGGCAACGAGATCGAGAGACACATCAGCTATGGCCGGGTCTTGAGGTTCGACTGGCGCAGCGGTGACCAGAACTGATGCACCGATGAAGGTAACGAAGATGGCGAAAATCGACTTCATTTTGATGTGATGGCGAGTGTCGAGAGAGAAAAGATTGAAAGAGTAGAAAAGCGTAGTATTTATATGACTGTTCCATTCCGTCAGGCTCCACTAATACCACGAGCTCTCTGACTATACTCTCCCCAAGATCTCTTTCTTTTCTGACAGCCTAGTCACAGGGTCCCTCCCCTTTCAAGTGGCACTCACAGTCATGTTGTCTTATACAATTCTCGTAGTCTTCGAATTGCTCTTCCCTGTCCGTAGTCCACCTAATTTTCCACACAATCAGTTACGCTCTTGATCGTGCATGTATAAGAGAAGTAGAGAGTTATAGAAGAGCAACTTACCATCCCTTCATTTCGCAACGCATGTGGGTGAATACGAAATGACACTTTTTGTGCATGGTTGATCTGGTAAGGAGGTCGCGAGAGATGTCAGGTTGGTTTAAGTCTTGAGCTTCGACAGGAGCAGCGGTAACAAGCCTGGATATGCCGAGAAAGATGGCGGGAACGATGAGAGTGAACTTCATACTACAGGATCGCCTTGTGTTGTCACCTTGTATGATGGAGAGTTTGGAGCGAAACAACTGGAAGGCGTAGAAACAGAGGTAGTATTTGTATGATTGATACCTCCTCATGCTCTTCGTAGAATGCTCGTTCTCGCTCAGTCATAATGCATCGTGTCGCTCGAAACGACATGGATTGGTATTGAAGTGTCGATACAGCATGTCTGTTCTCAAGCCCGGGATTGAGCATATTCCGTCACATACCCGGTGCTTCTACCCCGTGTTCAGCAACTGCCCCTAATATCTCCATAGAACCCGTTCACCAGCGACAGATTCCGGGAGCTGGCTGTAATCGATACCATTGTCAGGACCCGGACTGGGAGGGCGATGCGTGTCACGGGGTCCAGAGTCCTTCTCCTTGTAGAACTCTTTCGAGAGACCGACATCGAATCTGCAAAGGGCACAGTGACATCCATCAGTGTCGTTGATGATGATTCGATAGAAGTGCTCGCCCAAGTTTATGGTCGATTCGAAGAAGCCATGAGTGGGGTGTCCGTAGACGCGAGGTACCGTGCCGGAACTTTTGAACAATGCGTAACCCTTAGGAGGGCCACTGTCGACGTCTAACTGGACGCGGTAACCTGAGTGTTCACTTTAGTTAGACTGTGGGACCCGGAACGAGAGATAGACGTAATAGGCTTGCCTAGTTCGCGGATGTAGTTGGGGTTGGCATTGATGGCACCGCTGACCAGGAGGAGCAGATTGGTGTCTGGCATTCTGGTCGCTCCGATCGACTTTCGAGGTTTGTTACCAATACCATCGCTGGCGTACTCCGAAGAGTCGCCAATCTTGATCATGCGGACAGGCACGATAGAAGGGCCCTCGGTAGCTTGGTCAGGGGCAGGGCGAGTGGTTGGAGCAGGGTCGGGGTCGGTGTTGTCTTCGGCCATCTTGTGGTGAGGACGAATGTGAAGAAAAGGATTAGTGCAAGTACGCAAGGGAACAGGAGAGGAAGAGGAACGGTCTCGGAGACGGCAGCATCGTCTCGGCATACGCTTAGTCGTCCGTCTTGGATGATGACCTTACCGGAGAGCACTGGTGATTTCCAAAAGGTTCCTGCCTTTCGGCAGCTCTTATAACCCAAGATTGCTTACGAGGAGAGAGCAGCAGAAGTTCATCGTTATGCAAACCTCTTTGAGATGTCAAGTAAGCCCCTTCTCATCTCTCAGCAAAGAGGCTTCTCTGTTCCAAAAGTTTCACGCCTTTCGAAGGCTCGCTAATCCAAAGAGTCGTCACGAAGAGAGCAGCATCGGAGTGAAGAGCGCTCACAAGCCTTGCTCATAGATCGGACGACCTTGTCTTGACTCTCAGCGGATAGTCCTCAGGATATCAATTATACCATGATTTTTGCAGTCCATGTTCCGGCACAGCACCTTGCTCGAGAGTCCTCAACAAGAGTAAGAAGCACAAAATATAACAGAGGCCACTCGTTGGTATTCTTCACAAACCAACAAACGATTGTGCAGTTGGACAGCTTGACGGGAAGTAAGTAAAGGCATCTCGGAGAGGGTAACAGCAAACAAAGTGTACGACCGAAAGGAGTAGATCTTGGGGCAGAAGGTTTTGGGATGTAGAACAACCGAGACACTCGGCAATTCTGAACTTGAAACGCCCCGTCCAACCCGAAGTCAGAGAGCTGTATGGGGTAGGGAACATGTAAAGGGTTTGTAAGTTGTGTCAGACCAAGGTTTCTCCGGAAGCATGTCACGTTTCGTTCGTCGGAAAGGGACATCGGAAGGCGAAGGCTTTCACGCGAGCCCGTTGACTCGTGTCAAAAAATCGATGCTAAGCTGATAGTCGCGTTCAAAACTATGAGCAAGGCTGATGCGTTTTATGCCCCGACGTTTCGCGTGCATCAGAAGAAGAATCCTGGGTGGCGTAAGCAACGGTTGTGTGCTATCTCCAGGGCTGATGAGGTCAATCGTACCGAGTACCAGGTTTGCCTGAATATGTATGAGCGTTGTTGGTGGCTGGCGTATCATTCGAAGATCAACCTCCTTGACATATGCAGGAGCGACCAGCCACCTCACTGAACACCGAACATCCGAGAAAGTATTTGTAAAGAAGGAATATGCTGATATAGGAGATAAAAGTGGGTATCTAGATGACTTCTGTAACGAAAGAAAGGAAAAGGAACTGCTGGCACAACACCACGCCATAAAAAAGAGAGAAGGACACACTGGGGTTTTGGTACACAAAAGAGGCAAATGGAAAATGTAAGAAAAGAGTCCGAAATATTGCGCCTTGTTTTGGGCTGCCCCATTTCCTCCTGCTCACCAGTGTAAGAGTTGTACAAAGCCTGTAGACACTCCAAGCACGCGAATGCTGTAAGAACGTTCTATCCGCATGCATGATGCAGTGAACACGCGAAGGAAGAAGGATTGGAGATAACGCCAGCGGACCGATGGAAAAAATCAAATGACACCATTTGAGCCTTCCTCCTTTGCGCCGGGAACGAGATGAATGAAGAAGTCGCGATTCTTTTTTTGGGGTCGAGTTTTTGATTTGCTTGGTTGGTCGCGCTCCAGATGTTGAAGTTGTTCCTCGGAATGTGGAGAACAGAGGAAGGGCCAAGAATGATGCGCGGCCGATGTAAAATTGATGATGAAACAAAAGCCGTTGATGCCGAGATGAAACCGTCAGATGGGGGTATACTATGCGAAAGAACTCCAGAGGCCGGGAAGCGAAAGATGGTGAAGCAGAAGGATCAGATGTGTGTAGCGAAAAGGACAGTCTGCTCCAATTATTGAAGCAGTAAAGTATTTGTCGATGGTAATGGTGTTTTGAAAAAGAAGCAGCAAGGACTGGATGATGTGGGTTAGCGTATGTTCACTTCAAACAGTCCGGCCGTCCCGCGCCGGACCAGAGCTTAAGTCAGACTAACCCTTGCGGAAGCAGATATAGAACAACGCCAGCGCCTGTGTCCTTTGATTGCTGTATCTTTCCTTTCCTCTTCCGGCCGCAAGGAAGGAGGAGAAGCGGAATGACGGCGCATGGTGCTCTCGTGTCAGGTAAAATCACAAGATTATCGAGGCTTTGGTGGCGGAGGCTGGCCAGGCTTCAGTGTGCCGGTTGTGTCGTACGCTCCTCGGCCCATATTGATTGTGACGACGTTGCTGTTCCTTCTAATCATAAGGTGATCGTTTGAGGTGATTGCTTCTGGAAAGGAGCTGGGAGTGCCGTGCAAACTATACAGGATCTGACTGTCAGTATACCATTTATCTTGTCGCATTTGTCATGCCCGGGTGATACAGTCGGGCAAGGAGGGCAAGGCTTACGATGAGTAACGGTAATCAGGTTGAATGTCCTCGTGAAGAAAACTGCGAGTACCGGAGACTCCGTCTGACGGAAGACGGACGGGATATAGCTTTGTAGCGAGGGCGAATCGAGTCTTTTGATACAAGTGGACTCTTCCCAAGTGAGTGTGTGTGGAATGCTGGTCTCACCAAGGAACCGAAACCAAGGATTATAAAAAATGTATACGCCTTGCGCAGAGAGTGGAAGGTATGCGATGATGATGAACAAGGGAAAGAAAGGAACAAAAAACCTGGCATACCCATGGCGAAGGCGATACGAATTATATCTATCTCAACTCTGTCTACCAAGTCGCGTCACCACGCATGCCCTTCTTTGGGAGCACCCCCTTTCGCTTGGGTGTCTCGCTTGGTAGGCCCCAGGGAGATTGAAATTGACGTGCACCCATTACTTTTTTTCTGTCGAGCGCAGACTGACGCAGACGGGGCAGCCGTGCGCCTGAGCTTTTTCTGTTTGGCTGTTTCAAGTCCGATTTGATGCGCGCAGCAAGGGCGGCCGATCTTGCAGCTTTGATTGATTGACATGCCCGGCAACGGTACCAACAGCCAGCCCCCGGCAGCGGCGCGGCGACCTGAAGAGCAGGGGGTTGATTTGGCAAGAGGATCCAGCGCCAACAGCGCAGCAGATGAAGAAATCGGATTTCGAGCCACTCTCTCCGACCCGTCGGGATCGAGACCAAACCCTGTCAATCACTGACCATCTAATGCAGGCACTCCCGCGTCAATGTATCCGCACATTTGCTTACGGCTCGCAGCCGCTGCATGCACCTCCGTTGGTCTTCACTTTTGCAGATGTCAAGACACAGAAGAGGAAATCTGATTCAGTCGACTGATCGTCTGCCTCTCGGCTCTCATGTCTATCGCAGAAGTGACAGAACTGCGCATTGCTTATTGCCTTTCTGCTCCAACACGATCAACCAATCTCCCAGTGCTTGCTTCAAACAGGCGCTACCGAAGCATCAGATGGTGATCCCGCAACCCGATATACTACGAGGACACTGACATGACATAAAACACGAGGCTTCGCGGTAGGCATCAAACTAGAAAGCCGCTAGAACCAGCGCCTCATCTCCGGGGCCATCGGAAGAACGGCCTTTCCGTAAGCTTACAAGAATTATATGCTTTCCTTCTCCAATATGTTCCTGCGTGCGATTGAATAGGAAGCCAAGTTTATCACGACCTCGATGACTCGTTGTAGTCGTCCCTGATTACTCGTCCGCGGTCGTCCATTTGTATGGGACCTGCAGGCGCCAGTCGTTCGGATCTCGCGGCGAGACGGATGCAAGCTTGTACATCCCGCTGCAGGCTGTCAGATCTGTTTTGTACCTCGACCCTTAATACGTCAAGTGTGTTGACTCTGATTCCATTTTTGCGTGCTCAAACGAGAACGCTCTGCCCCTTTCTCCCGTCTTCCTTTGTTCTTTTCTTCAGCTGCCCAGCCCTTGCTCTTTCCTTCTTCCCGAGGGAGGACCATGCTTCGGAGCTATGTTTGTGAGCAGAGACGGGAATCGACCCTGATCTTCCATGGCCTATGTCATAGCTATTGAAATTGTCATTAACGCCCGAGACCACGGGCAAAACAAATTAAGATTGTGACAGCAGGCTTCCTTGCATCCTTCATAGCACTGTTCTGGAAGAACCGGATGGTCGGCTTATCAAGCTGCCACTATGCCCTACTTACACTACCTTGCTTGACTTACTTACCTCAGCAGAAGTGGGTAACACTTTCTCGCGCACAGCTCCATGAAAGAATCATGGACAGGCAAACAACTTTCATCTCTTGCGCGTGTTTGATACTGATAGAAACGGAAAAACAATCTCCTGGAACGGCACGGGATGAGACCACAAACAAACTCTCGTCGACCCCAGCAAGCCACAAACAACAAAGAAGAACTACTCCGTCAGGACGCGGCAAAGATACAATCCCCCTGTGCATATCAATCGCAGATTGATTGTGTTGAACTTCCGTGCATCTTGCTTCATGCAACGAGCTGGTGGCAGGCGGTGCGACGCAAAGCCGGGAATCGATGCAGCAGTTCGCAGACGATTGTCTCTGGGTGTAACACTGCGGCAAACCGGGTTGACATGGTTCGTCCAACAGCAGATCTGCTTAGAGCAAGGTCCTGTATGGAAGGCGAGGACGGGACATCTTGTGATGTGTGGCCAGGTGACAAACAGCAATGAAATCAATCCTTGCATGGTGAGCAATACGCTGGTCGACACTGTTGTTGAGTTTGCCTTTGATTGCCCGGCACAGAGAACACAATTGTTCCCTTGATGGACAGACAACGTGACGTTGATGCTGATGTTGAGACCTGCTGTCTTGGATAATTTGTCAATCCAAGGTCATGGTCCTTGTAGGCGGCGACAAAGATCGATCTAAGCCTCGCTTTCGCTCAGCTTTTACCAAGAACCAGGAACAGCACAAGCGTCGAGGACATTGGGCTTGAATGTTCCGTCACCATTCCACGCAGAAACTTCTCCCGCTTACTATATTAAACGATATGACGTTCGGTTCGAGAAGTTCGGCAGTCGAATAGTCGTAAGCGTCGTCCGCGTACTGACACAAGCCGTTTCCACAATATGAACAAGGTCCATAATTGGCAGCCGAGTATGTAATATACTTAGGTAGAGGGCTTATTTTGGAAGCGACGTAAAGACACGGGCAACGCAGGGATATTCAAAGGTGGTACTGACTAGGTTTCTTTTACGTTGGAAAGCATCATAGGCAGCCGAGATGAGGTTCAGAGCGGTCCTGGCCGTGAGAACGACTGGGGCAGGGCCGTTCAACTGGGAAGGGAGGCTCAATTCTGCCAGGAGGCGACCTGGACAAGGCGGTGTCCAGCTGCAAGCCACTGATCTGGCAGGACGATCAGTCATCGACGGGCTACGTCTGACATGCTTGATGGAGAGTAATTATCATATGTGTGCATATCACTGTATGCTGGAAGGTGAATATTATGCTCATGGTCTACGGGAAACACAAGTGCTGTGCGCCAATGTGGGTGATGGTAGGAACAGAGCTGCCGTTCTCCAAAGGCTTGGCACAACTGAATTCCGTCATGGTTGACGACGGCGCGTGTCGCCTCGGTCGCTGTCCAGGGAAATCCACGTCCACCATCGCCGCAATCACTCGACATTGATACAACAACCCTGTCAGATCCACAATTCCCATACCACAATGAGCGACGCATCAACACCGAAGCCCAGCAGCAGCGTCAAGCTCGTCTTGCTGGGAGAGGCCGCCGTAGGAAAGGTACTTGGACACGATGAGCCAGGCACCAGCCACACTCGCTGACAGGCTGTCTAGTCATCACTGGTCTTGCGCTTCGTAAACAACGATTTCCAGCCCAACAAGGAGCCCACAATTGGCGCCGCCTTCCTCACAAAGAAGATCTCGCTCCCTGCCCGCACCATCAAGTTCGAGATCTGGGATACCGCAGGCCAGGAGCGCTTCGCCTCGCTCGCTCCCATGTACTACCGTAACGCACAGGCCGCCCTCGTTGTCTACGATCTGACCAAGCCGTCTTCGTTGGTGAAGGCTCGCCACTGGGTCGCCGAGCTGCAACGTCAGGCCTCACCAGGCATCGTCATTGCTCTGGTCGGAAACAAGTTTGATCTGTGCGGTGAGGAAGGAGAGGATTCTGAGGAGCAGGATGCTGCCGCAGGAGACGACGAAGACGGTGCAGACGCAAGGAAAGTAAGCACGCGCGAGGCCAAGTCATACGCCGACGAGGAGAACCTATTGTTCTTCGAGACATCGGCAAAGAACGGCACCAATGTTACAGAGGTCTTCACCGCCATCGCCAATGCTATTCCCGAGACAAGCCTGAAGGGTCCTCGAGGAGGCGCCGCTGCTGCAAGAGCTGGTGCTGGTGACGCTGTCGCCCAAGGTCAGGAGTCACGGGTCAACTTGAACAGCCTTGGAGCTGGTAACGCAAAGGAGGGATGTGCTTGCTAGTCCGCTCTTTTGCTGCTTCTGTCCTTTAGTGTACTGTCTTGAGCCAACCTCGATGCCGGTAAGCCTCTCGTTGTCAACTTGGTGTAGCCTTCGCACCGTCGTCGGCAGCGCTTTTCGCCGTGCTTGAGAATAAGGACGTTCTGTTCCTGGCGTTTTTATTCCGATCAACTGCGAGATCGGACCGTTCTTTTTTTTGCTTGGTCTTGTTGATATCCACATTGAGTCTTGTCAGGAGGGTCTTCTTAACTCCCTACCTACCCAGTTATGCTTCTTCAATCAATTCTTCTTTTGAAACTGCTGACCTTTCATTTCAAACATTTGAATGTCGACCATGCAGTGCTCGTTTGAGGAAATGGAAGGCGCAACCTGCAATCCTCACAACGAGCAATAGCGTCACGCCTCGGACTTGCCTCCTTCAACGAAACCACTGCTCTGACCACGAGGAGGTAGGTGATGGAAGTATGACAGCCTGCGTGCGCTGCGATTCAACGCCAGGGAATCTCGAGAATTTGCTCGTAACCGCTTATACAAGAAACCCCGTTCGCGTGACTAACTAGTTGACTCACCATAGCCTCTGCTTCAAGTAGTATTTGCTTCACGTTCATTAATCCTCTGCAAACATCACCCATCACATCACACCCAAAATGTTCGCTCGCCAAATACCATCAATGATGCTGCGTAATTCGCTACGTGCGAAACTACCAGTCTTCCGACCACTTTCAACATTCAAACCATCACCCTTTACCTGGTCGCCTAGGATGTCACTCTTATCCGCTTCGAACGGCTCGAGCACGACCTCTCGAAAACAATTCAGGCATACCTATGGATCATGCAAGGAGACAAGGGTCAGGAAACAGACACAGCAACAAATGCTGGAAGACATATACAGACTCCGCAGACTGGGCGGTTTCCACAAGCGACCAAGCGCGACGACGGTCCAAGCTATCGAAGACATGTGCCGAGTGATTGACCAAACGATTGAGGAGATGAACCGAACGAATGACCGAATAATTCAGAAGATTGAGCAATTGATCGATGAGACGAATCGACTTATCGCCAAACTATCCGCGCATTCGACCGAGTACGATCCCATAACCAGAGTGATCAGAAGTTTCCTGCTACACATTGCACTTCTGCCATGGTAAGATTGAGAAGCTACCCCTGTCTTCGAAAAGAGCTGGTATGCTAATATCTGACAGGTTTATGCACATGTCAATGTCTATAATACTCGTGCCGCTGGCGATATATCTCTTCGGGCCCGAGAACAAATATGGACCATTGGAAATTGTCCCGGCAGAGACATTACGGACTGTTCCGATTGAGACATCACAGACTACTTGTGACAGTGGGAGAGTGACAGAAGTAGGAGAAGAGGTTTTCCTCTTCGAAGATGATGCTACCTCTAATTGAGCATAGATTGTACGGTAGAAACAGATACGGTCCATACAAGTACCCATCTTCACAAATTTAAGCAGCACATATTGATGGCTCAGCGGCACCATTCGTCGACTCGGACTACTCAGGCTGTTGCGCTACCGCTTTAGTCTTCTCTTGAACCTTACTAATATACAATTGCATAGCATGTCCAAACATAAGCATCAACCAGAAGTCCGGACTCCTGAGCATGACGGACACAATTAGATCTGAAGCGTCCCGTTTGTGGCGCGAGAGTCTTATCTGTATCCCCAAGTGTTGAGGTAGTTATCATGCTCCCTACCCTTTGTATGTTGCTCGATGGTGGTTTCTTTCAACTTGGCGTATTTGTCGGCCAACAAGCGCCATGCGGTTATCTCTTCCTCTGATTGATGTCTGTCTAGAGACCTGATGTGCGATTTCGTCCAGCCTTCGTTTTTGGCTTGCTGGAGTGCTAGCCATTGTTGTGTCTCGGTCTGTTGTGTCTTTCCCCATTCTTCGAGGTCTTTGAGCTATTTGGCAAGAAGTTGATCGTATACAAATTTGAGATATGCCGGCGGTCTGGGAGTGGTGGGTTCGAGAGCTGTAGGTTGGAGGGAGAAATTGAGAATCTTCGTGAAGCTGGTGGGAGGAGAGTGGCTGCTCTCGTTAGGAAGGGTGAGAATCGTGACGGTAGCATTGGTCAGGGTAAAGGTGAATTGAAAGAATAACAAGATTTCAGAATGAGTTTGTGCATGTATAGGAGGAAAGGGCAGACCCGGGATGACTAGTTGAGAAGCAACGCATTACAGGCTCAGCATCTGAATATACAACATTATTTTGCTGTCACCAGATAACATGGCCCCGTTGCTCTCCGGCCCAACTATGCTTGAGATGATTTGACTCAATATCTGGGTGACGCGTTCGAAGTGTCGCCCGTACGCTTCCTACTTTTTCTTTGATAAAAGTTTTATTCCTTCCACTCTTCTTAGATCAAGACGACTTGTACTGTTCCTTGTCATGCGACGTCTTCTCGCCCCATTTCTCAGGCGAGGCATACCCACAAGGTCCTACTACAGATCTCCAGCCTTGATAAGAACCTACAGGACAAGACCAAACCACCCCAAACCCTTCAATAGTCAAGCCGAAGACCTCTTCAAACTTGACAAGCGTCTCAAAAGAGTTGTCTATATAGCGGAACAGGAAACGGTGCGACAGGAACGGGTCAGGACTTGGGAGTAAGCACATCGTTTCTATTACTGTGAGCTATTTTATTGATGCTCAGATAGTCGAAGACTTGCTGTGGTCCTTCTCATAGGCACATCTCTGGCAGTTCTATCGTCTTGGGTATCTCAAGATCCTGGGTGGAATGAGAAGGAGAGGAAGAAGGAGAGGAAGAAGGAGAGGAAGAGGGAGAGGAAGAAGGAGAGTAATACTGGTACATGTGACGTGAAGGGGGTTCATGATAAGATCTTCCGAAAAGTGAATGGCTAGCTGTCATGACATAGTAGTTCAACTGACAGAGCAATGTGGAAATGACTACGCCGGTATCTGGAAGAACTCTCCGACAGTACGGTCCATTGCCAGATGGATAGTAGAACTACACGAATGAACCTTGTCTCTTCTCTTCAAGATCGACTTCCAGTATCATCTGATAACACGCTTCCGCTCTAGAGTAATCCCCAGACATCCACTCATGGGAGCAACCTACGCAATAAAATCAAGGACCATTCGTCGACCGAGTAGACTACACAAGCGACTTGTCGTTCCAAAACAACATGAACCATCACAAGAAGAAACCAAAGATGGAAAGTAAGTCAGACGTGCATGTAACTTACGGCCTTCAAGACTTAACTATTGATCGGATGCAAACAAACAATACTCTTTATGCTATGCGTAGTTCTCAGGGGGTCTGGCTCTTGAGAAGAATAAGCAAATAGGCGAGGGCATCAATGCAGCTTTATTTGACGGAGCTACAGACTCTAAGCTACAAGTAGAAAGATTGCACGGATAGTGAGTTTGACTTTGAAGGTGGAAAGATGGTGAGAAGTGTGAGGTGGGAGATAGAAAATCGCGTACAAGTCAAAAGAAAAGAAGCAGTCTGAATTTTAGTCTTTTGAGATGCCTCTGATCCATGTTGGAGCAAAACCAGCGCATACAAGCCTTAGTAGCGTGTCTTCTAAACAGTTCATCGTAATTCTGACTGATTTCTGAACCCCCCCACGTGAAGGGGGGGAGAACTTTGTCGTAGGATTTCGATCAGTGATACAAAGTAGCTGATCATGTCAAATCGTGCTGCTTTTGATGTAAGCCAAAGGTAGACGCAGGGAACCAGTCACTCAAAACACCCAACAGAGGTGACAAGAAAAAAACTTGTCCATCACAAGCTTACGCGTCCAGTATCTACGTACCTGAATCATGGGAAACACTTTTACCACAGGCTCCCTACTTTGTGTCTCTCAAGCTCTTGCCTTTTTGCACATCGCTCACGATTCCTGCACGCGCTGTCAAGGAACTCCCCCTCCAAATATCTCCACAATGGGGGAATGCAGCATTTAATTGCACGGTCACTGACGCCATGTGCTTTGTTAGCTATCGCTTAGGGGTAGAACGAGAAACCGGGCGAGAAAAAGACTTCTCGCGTAGACTTTCGATGAAGTGTTCGCATTGTTCAGACAAGCATGTCATAAAGAGAGAAGATGGTTCGTGGGAGCTGTGGGGGTTGCACATCTAGTTCTTGCGAGTGTGAAAGTGTACTGTTTTCTTCAAAGTATATGCTGTATAACCAACCGTTGATGATGCTAGAGGGAGATATCAATTCGCTCACATGCTGTGCTCCTCGTCATACTATCTTTATACACCAGGCATACCTAATACACTTCTTAGTGCAGGGAGACCTCTGGGAACAAAGTAGACAGCGTAGATGACGCTGAACGCAACAACCAAGCCAGTAAACTTCTCCAGCCAGGTGTGGAAGTATGCAGCAGTCATGAGCAACATCCACCAGCTGAGACCAGCAATGCACAAAGCAACTCTAACGCCCAAGCCCAGCTCGCCAGGAACGTGTACATTGCCCTTTTCGTCATGGGTTTCCACAGCAGCAGTCTTGACAGCACCATCATGCATACGAATACGGCGGTCTTCGCGTAATCCTCCATTTCTGAGAACGTCGGGTAGAATTTCGAGCCAGAGCATTGCAGAGCCGAGGATTAGAATGAAGACATGGCCACTGATATCGTGGCCACCTCTCCAAGAGCCACCGGCGACCTTGCAAGCAGCATGAGTGAAGATTTCTCTGGTGTCGCTCATTTGGTTTTGCTTGTAGTTGTTGATGGGGTCGTCGGAGTAGATGATTGCGCATTGGCCGCCGGTGAGTCTAAAGCCGCGGTCGATGATAGGAGGACCGAAAAACCATTGCGTGACGGCACACCACACGGCTGTCACAGCAGTGTAGCGGACAAGGGCGCGGATGCGACGGGGTGTAAGCGTGGGTATGAAGCGAGGACCTAGAGAGCTGTGGGTGAAGCAGAAGAGGAAAAAGGCGCCTGTGATCCAGAACCAGCCAATCTTGACAAAATAGACGTTGAAGACGTTTGACTTGAGGGCAAAGTATGAGGGTGCGATGTTTGGAGGGTGGGACTGGAGGTCGCCGCTGTAGGGCGTGTTGCGCGTCGTGGTGTTGAGAACACTGAACAGCGAGCCCAGGACTAGCGTGAAGGGGTAGATGGCCAGCAGGATGCCCTCAAGGAAGGTGGGAGACCATGGTGATGAGGGTGCGTTCTGTTGGCGATTTGTGCTGCCTGTGGTCGATGAAGGTGACGAGAATTGCGACAGTTCGGACATGGGCACTTCGGCCTTGAAGCGGTTTCTGGTCGCCATAACGCGTGGATTGTCTATGAGAGAAGAGATGCGTAGGTGGGAGAGTTGTTGTTGTTGCGAAAAGAGACTTTGGTCCACGTTTTGCTGCTCTGCCAGCTACGTCATTATTTACCTGCCAACATTTGTCGAGCTGCCTTTTGACATGTCTCATACCTGTCCTCTTGTCGTTATGAGACGTGTAGCTTTCGCTCATCGATTCATATACAAGACACTTCACATAGACATTAACTGTGGAGTTTGAGCAAAATGTGGATATCGTTGGGCCGGTGAAGCGCAGTGGTTCTTTGTACTCATACGCATACCACATCTCACAGAAGTCATGTCGCAAGCCACAACCTCGGTATCAGCTATGTTTTCCGCAAATTCGTCCACTGCCCCCAGTACGCCTCCTGTAGCCCTCATGTGTAGAGAGATAGATACTTGTGTTATGGATCGCCCGTCTAATTGATACATCGATCTCAAAAACATGCCATGAGAAAGACCCTGACCCGGATATCATTTCGTGCACATCTCTGCAAAGTCAACCTTTCCTCTCTCGCGTCCTGTGGCACGGTGTTCAGGGCGTGAATCAGACACCCTCTACTTATCATAGAGTATGATACCCTCAAGCGAAGCATCATGATACTTCACTGTTATCCACCCAGACACTTCGCACGTGTGTACCTACCAGGAAGACAAGCACAACTCCTGAGACGCTCTGGACTTGTAGGTTGTTCGTGTATCGTTTTGAATCGTCTCCAGCAACAAACAAGGGTGCCGATCAAAATGTGCGACAAGCGATGTGATAAAATCGCAGTACTTCGGAGCCACGACTGAATCAAGCTTCGAAGTGGCCTGTCAGCATCTCGCAAGCTCTCCAGATACGCCGTGAAAATGAAAGAACACGTACGTGACGAGACCAATAGCTGTGGTCCTGATACGTTCAGTACGTGCTCACGGTGTCACAGACGAAAACATCCAAGCAGCTTACACCGTACTCATAGATTAGCACCGCGTAACTCGTGCTGTGGTGCCTTGTCCCTTGACAATTTCTTAGTCTCAGAAGAGATCTACGCATTTTCCCTCGACCAGCTGGTTCTGATCGTTGTTTATTGAACTGTGCAGCATCCAGCGAATTAGATGCCGAGGAGAGACATACTACTACCTGCTTGCCCAAGTCAACCAGGATCACGTTCGAGCTCTCTCCAGCCTCCGCGGCACTTGGTCAGCGGCTGTGTCCTGCTGATGTGGCTCAGTCGAGAAATCCGTAGTAGTATTTGACTTTGCGTGGTTTCTGCCTTGGCACTGCCCGAATATGGGGGCTAGGTTCAGATCGCGTTCGCATATGCAGGGAGAAATTATTGCGAACCTGCCAATCGTGGACGGTTTGTTGTAGGATCAGCTCCTGACGATCGTGGAAATCTTCCGTAGAGGGAACTATTTGCTGGCGCGCTGGACCAGAAAATTTCTCAACAGATAAAATGTCGCGGCTTATCTTGCTGTACTTGCCGGCATCAGATAATCACCTACCGTGTCCCGATGATACTTCGTGCAAGTCAACGTGCAAGCTGAAGACCGTGTGACCAGGCGCCAGGAGGCGTCTCTGGACTTTCCCCTGAGGTTCCTGGAAGCCAGGCGAGACAATCCAACGCCCGGCACCGTGAACATAAGTTTGGGAACGTCACGCGTGAATGATAGCGGCGATAGGCAATAATCTCCCAAGGCAAGGCGAAGTGAGCGCTAATTTGAAGGACCAAGAAGATCGAGGCCAGAGATTGCGCTCCAGACTTTTCTCAGACGAGCACTCGCGGCCTTTTTGAAATTTGTACAACGAGCGGTAGTTTCTGTCGGCTTCGCCGTGGAATCCTAGAACATCGATGGCCAAAGTTAACCCCGCTCGTTGCAACGTAAGCCAAATAGCTCACACTGAACCTATCCGGCAGCCGAACGATTTCCTCGATGATCGCGGAGTGCTGCCCCGAAGTCGCGAGGATTAGAAAAAAGTTGTCAGACTTTCGACAGGGAGAGCGATCTCGGATCCACAGTGCCAGCGAAGAGTGACGTGAGTGGCCAGCGGCTTGTGCACCGTGCCAGTTATCTTTATGGGGAGCTTTCGATATGGAGGAATTGTCGGCGGGGAGCTCGGGGCAAGTGTTTACAAAGAATTCAGTCGATCGCGATGAGCTTACGGTGAATTTGCAATGCCGCATGATGGTTGTGCGCCCACTTCCAAGCCCCTGTACACAGTCACCACATTAGAGCGAGAGTCCACATAGCAAACAGGAACTTGTCCTCCATGAGGCATGCCCATTGACAATTGATAATATCGAGGGATCGGCTCGGGATAAGGATGACGCTTTTTCGGGAGTGGGGTTCTCGGGGCGCGGATGTGGTGACCTAATATCAACTAAGCCCCATGCGGAAGGGATGCGACAATCGGAGACATGTGCTGTGCCTGAATTCGCGGTGGGCGATTCACGAGGCTTCGCCGTTCAGCGGCCACGGACGAACAAGTGGGAGAGCAATTCACAGCAGTGTGAAGGGACTGGGGAAGAACAGGTGGCTAGATCGAGGGAGTCGATAGCTAAGGGACGGGAGACAGTTGCAAAGTACCCTTGTACAGTCGGGTAATCATGAGACTGATCGTGTCTGGACTGAGTGGTTGTAGGGGTTTAGGAGGGTCACTGAAAGGATGCGCCCTAGATTCACTAGGCGGAGCGGGAATCAATGAACGAGGCTAAGCTAGGCGTAGCCGCAGGTCCCACAGATTGCGTGCCTCGAATCCCTGCGTGCGTGCTATCTGGCTGGAAAGTGCTGAGGAAAGCGTGATTTCTGAAGGACAATGGACATGTTGTTGTTAGAAACAAAGAGAGAAGGGGAAAGCGCAGGGGAGACTAAACGGAGATGCATGTAATTGGATGGTGAGATAAGTGAAGGCACGTTTCGGAGGCTTTGTACTCGCAGCCGTGATTGGGTTGCCGGTCGCTCCACCCTCTCAAGCGGGGGATCCGCTAGTCGCTTGACCAACTTGCTACCACCTTGTCTCTACCACTTTCTTTCCGCCTGACTCTCTCCACCATCCTCCCTTTCACCACCGACCGTCCACCCATTGAAGCCTCACTCACCCACTGTACGCTTGCCAACCACCCTCGCCGTCTACCGCTCTCTCAATCACATCACTCACGCACCCGTTCCTGCCGCCTTGCCGATCGATCGCCGGGCTTTGTTGTTGAGGCTGTGCAACCGACAATCTCCAAAAAAAAGTCTCGGGATAGCATCAGCAACACCTCTCAAGCGGTATACCATCTGTATACTCTTACACATATCACAATGACTGTCGCAAGGGTACGCTGGACCCACCTCCTGAGTCGAGTGCCCGCCAGCTGATAAGGAAGCAACAGGAAACACCGCACAGAGCATCCGTTTCTGGCAGCCTGCCGTCACGCAACTCTTACTCTCGCTCCCACAATGCCCCTCCGATGCTCGGCTCATCCTACAACCCCACTCACCGTGTTACCCGCCGCAAGAGCACTACCCTGAGTGCAGCAGCCAGCGCCCAGGCAATTTCCCAAGCCATCAACATCGACCCATCTCAGGCTGCTCGCAGATCTGTCTCTTCTCGCAACGCTCTCGGCTCCGTCAGCCAGGCCAGCTACCCTTCGCCTCCAAGCAGCCTGCCCCAAGGCGAGAAGAGCGCTGACGACAAGAAGATCAAGGCTCGTCGTGGAAGCGATGGGTCCGTCTTGACAAAGAAGAAGTCGGCTTCCGGTGAACTCAAGTGCGAGACTTGCGGCAAGGGCTACAAGCACAGCAGTTGTTTGACGAAACATCTGTGAGTCTCGCCCACATACTCACCCACCATCCATGCCCCTTGCTAATCAATCTTAGCTGGGAACACACTCCAGAGTGGCAGTACACTTCCAAGCTCCTCATCTCCAAGCATCAGCAAGTCCAACTGTTAGAAGCCGCTTCTGTCCTTGTTGCCATGAACGTAGATGCCCCTGCTGGAGACGGCAAGCTCAGCGACAGCGACAACTCTTCTGCCTCGCCAGCTGCTTCAGGCTCCGACTCTAGAGAAGACGATATCAGCTCTGCCGAGACGACGCCACCTCCTCATGGCGAGCAATCGTTTGGACACACCAAGCGCTACAGCAACGCCAGCAGCTTTGTTTCGCGCTCTTACCAGTCCGAGTTTTCCACCATCCCCGAGTCTTCTCACGTCCGTCATTGGAGTACCTCCAGCAGTAGACCCATCACTGCAGCCAGCTCCCTTGCTCAGAGCTACCCTGATGAGGACCAGGCGGATCTCGCCGCGGCAGTCGGCTTACTCAGCTGCAGCTATGGCACCCCCACCTATGGCCCTACTAGCCTCGGACAAGACGTACCTCCAGTCCCTCCTCTTCCTGCGAGATACCAGAACTCATACCAGCCAAGCTCCTTGGCAAACGCCCACCAGTTCCGCGAAGACGTTGACATGGAAGAGGAATCCAACTCGGACGATGACGATGATGCCAGCAGAGTCGATGAAGCCGATGACGGTGTCTTCGGTACCATGGAAGAGTGATCACAACACATCTCTTTCGTTCCTTTTCCCCATCCTGGATAGCCTCGTGCCATTGGCTGGAGTTGGATCTTCTAGTCTCCAGGAAACCACACGATTTATTTTGCTGTCACTTTTAGCGTTCTTCCACACCAGCCCACATCTCCGCAAGGCTGCTCCTTTGGCACCGATGAGTGGGAGTTGCGACGTCCCATGAGGTTGAAGTCATACGAGCCCAAGAGTCCTTTGCGTCCGAGATGGGGAGCCATATTCATCTACCTCCGCACACTCGCTTCCCCTCCTCCTATCATCTTCTCTTGCTAATGCCGTTCATGTCCCTTGTATCTTCTTACCTTTTCTTCCTGATCACAGTGGAGGAGGAGGTAGCAGACTTTTTTCCTTTGTCATCATGAGCACCTTTGTTTCCTCTCTTATCTTGTCATATGTTTTTTTTGCTCGAAACGACATGAATATGGCATGAGAAGAGTTAAGAAAAACGACTTCCATCGTAACAGTACGCAAGCATTGGCGGGCAGACTTGTGCGAGAGGAAGATGTGATGATAGTTCCGAAATGCAGAACACGTTCTGAAACCCGTGCTCTTAGCGATGTGCGTGCAACGATATCCAGTCCTGTGACATGTTCAAGTAGGCGGGCGTAATGACAGGATGGACTGGAGATGGAAAACCAAGGGTCTCAAGAGTCAGGGAAGAGGTCCTTCTTAGCTCTCCTCTATCTACGAGCCTCACTTGTCCAAAAAGCAAAGAGCTATCAGCCCTCTCTCACCCTTTGCCCGAGGGGAAAAGAAAAACCACCGTGATGAGCATGATCGCCATCATGGGGAAGCACGGGCCGCCGAGGCATCGATTTTCCCTCCACAAAAAAGCCTCTCCGCATGTGTCAGGCACCAAAAAAAGAAAAAAGAAAAAGACCACAGAGCGATGCAGAGCCTCATGAATATCAGTGGGGGTCAATCTAAGCGATCAACTGCGTTCTCTTGTGCGATCTGACACTTGTGTTTGATTGATGGATATTGGTCTTGATCTTTTGTGACGCTGTATCCCAAACTGAAGCCTACCTAGCTACAGAGTACCTGGAGAACAACGAGTCGTCCTTCTTGAAATTCTAATTTATCTTTGATCGCACGCCATCACGAGTTTAACTATGTCATCTTCAAGGCGCCTTCGCAATAATCCACCAGTGGATAAATATTTCCCCAATGATAGTCTGGTGATTGGTGAGCTCTCTTGCCTGTTACATCCATATCCATCATCTTTTTCGGATAGTATATTGGAAGAGATATGCTTGCTGATTACAAGGTCATGAAAACAGGTGCTGGTGTCGTAATCTTCCATCTAGCCACAAACCGTGTGGTCGTGTGTAAAGACACGAGAAGCGGTGTCTGGTTCCTGCCCAAAGGACGTAAAGATGCTAGTGAAGAGATTTCTATTACTGCTGTTAGGGAAGGATTTGAAGAGGTGTGCTTTCTCCTCCTGCATTCTCATCCACCTCTTCCTCTCCTCTCCTCTCCTTATCCTATAACGCGTCTTTGTTCTGGGTAAAGTGTTAATGATTTAGCAGTCAGGCTATAGAAACCGTCTCCTCCCTCTCCCTTTACCGCATCTTCAACCTCGCCCTTTGGAAACCTCTCAGCCTTTTGATGTAGAGCCTTTAGCAACACGCCTGCTACCCGTGTCTATGCACTATCAATATCTTCTTTTCTGGTATGCAGCAGAGACCTTGCCACCTTCCCTCGAGTCCAGCATAAACGCCACCACTACCTCCACATTCACACCACCAACCCCGTTTCCAGACATCACGTTAGCAGAACGGGAGAAGCAGGATAGAATGGAAGGAAGCATGTATGAGCCAAAGAGACATGAAGGTACGGGTGTAGATGCAGACGAAGTGTTCTATGTAGGTGTGTTGATGGGAGTAGAGGAAGCAGTACAGTGTTTGAGAGGAAGTAGTGGGGATGTGGTCAAAAGAGCTTGGGAAGGCGTGGTGTTAAGGAGAAAAATGGAAGTGGAAAGTGAGAAGAATTTATGATGCTTCAAGAGTGTCGGTTAGTGGTTTGTAGGGCTGTGGAAATGCAGAGTCATTTTTGAAGAAGGGGAGGACGGTGATGAGATGGATGAAGATGAGCTCTTTCGAGGTAGGGAGGACGGTCATTGGAAAGTAATAGTGTGTTTTGATAGCTTGATTCTCATCGTACTTTGTGGCTGGGAGACGTGCTCAGGTTGGTGGAAGAGATGCAAGGTACTAAGCCAGGCTCATGAGTTGTGGCTTCCTCCAGCCACATCTCAGCATCGAAGGTATACCACGAACCAGGCGGTAGAAATGCAAGAACGCTTTCGGGGAGCGAATAGTCTTCCATGAGAGCCCTTCTCCGCGTTACTCCCAGCGGAAAAGAGTCGTGAGAAATGAGCTGTGGAAATGCAAGATTAAATTGAGAATCCATGACACCTCTTGGGAGAGCTCTAGATTTGCTGTATCAATGAACCTATCCTTGGACATTGATAGGCTAGCAAATCTGTTTGTGCAATTGTACAGCATTATATCAGGGGTATGATTCAACACTGGAGTGGTGGAGTCTAACCCTTTTTATAATTTTCTCAAGGTACTACGAAAGCAAAAAAGAAACACCCAACTCCTCAAATCCCCCTATAATCAACGCAAAAAGAAAAGGGAAAAAAAGAGTCAGCAGAAAAAAAATCCTTACTAATACCATTGGGGGTCGCCGTACTCATCAAAACTATCAGGAAGTTGGTAGTTGTGATCCCTGTACATTTGATCGCACAGCCCACCCCCGTTTTCTGGCAAACTTCTCAGGAGTGCGATTTCTTCGACCGAGCCCTCAACCAGGTTTCTAGGAGGAGTGGCCTGGACGACATCTCCTGTGTCCATTTCCGTGTCTTCCGGAGGGCCGGCGGCGACAAGTCGATCGGCGTGGGCGATCCTACGACCTGCCGCCTCGTACTCCTGTTGACCTTGTTGCAGCTCCTCAGTCCAACGTGCCCCCTGTTCGAGCCTTGCTTGATGATCAGCTTCGTCCAGGGCTGCAGAGTGTTGCCTGAGCTCTTCAGCATGCCTGGCAGCCGCTTCTACACGTTCTTCATCGCGAGTCTTGGGGGCTGAGGACACGATCTCTGAGAAGGGGCTGCTGGGAGCGTTGCTCCCAGGTGGGCAGAACGAAGGTGCGTTGTTGAGCGCACCACCACCAAAGTTGAAGTTTCCAGGTGGGTTGGTATCCTGCATGGGGGCAAACACATTTGGAGATGGTGGACGAGATGAGTTGAGATCGAAGATTTGTCTCAGAGGTGATGGAGCCCTGGGTGCGTGCGTAGGCGACCTAGAGCCTCCGCGTACTGTCGTTGGTTAATCATCACACCCATTTCTAATGTCTTGCGCAGGATCTAGAGACTCACCATTGCTGTCTTTACCGGGGGATCTGCTGCGCAGGGGGCGGATTGGGCGACGCGCCAGTTCAGCTGCGCTGAGTCTGACCGGAATTTCAGGCGCATCGTTCATGTCAGAGTCTCGTCTATCGGCAGGGCTGGAAGATTCTGGAAGAGAGACATCTGCAGGTGGTGGAAGCGCGGGAGCGTTTGAGAACGGTGTTGGCGCAGGTGGTTGGTTGTTTTCATCCGTTGGTTGGACATTGGCATTGTTTTTCCTGGCCTCTTCGTCCCACTGGAGTTGTAAGTTCGAAGCAGCGAGATTTGTGTTGGTGTCGATGAGTCCAGTATTCACCTGGCGTAGGCGATCAATCTCAGCCTGAAGTGCTCCGACTTCTCCTTCCAACTCTGTTGCACGCTGATCCTTAAAATCAAGCTCGTTTTCCAGGTTGTCGACCTTCACCTTGAATGAATGCGATTCATCGGATATTTCCAATTTCTCATTCATGATGGAGTCGATGTCCCTCTTTAATCTTGCTACCTTGTTCTTGCAATCCTTAAGCTGGTCCTCTGTCTCGAAGTCCTTTTCCATGCGCTCATTTTGCTCCATTATGGCCGCAAGAGGGACGTTGCTACTATTCATGGCACCAGACCTTGCGATGTTCCATTCGTTTTGAAGCTCCTGGATCTTTTTCAACGCCTGGGCATGTGCCTCCGCAGACGGTCGGGACGAGTCTCCAATATCAGTGTCGACATCCTGTGGCTTCCGAGGTGAGGGTAAGGCGAGAGGTGCACGAGGACGTTGTGACTTCTTCAATAGCTCCTTCAAGTTGCTGACTTCATCCTGCTTTTTCGAGTATTCTGCTGACTGTGATTTGTAGTTCTTCTCTGCAGTGATCATTGTGGCTTGAAGTTTCTGGGACTTGGCTTTCTCTTCTTCGAGCTGTTTGCGGCAATCCTCAACAGCTTGTTCAGTCGCAGCGGGAGGCTTGTTCTCTCTGGAGGCCTGGACGTTATTTCTCAGTTCTTCATTCTCAGCCTTGAGTGCGTTGTACTGTCCTTCTGCAGTACTCATTCTGAGAGCGGTCTCGTTGTTGTTACTGGAGATAATGTGTTGAAGAACGTCGATTTGACCTTGAAGCTCTGAAATCTTCTTGTCTTGCCCCTCAACGTGGGCAGTACCCTGCGTACGATATTTCTCGATCAGTTCCAAAGCTTCAGTGCGTTCAGTGTCGAGCACTCTGATTCTCTCTCTCAAGTTTTCGGCAGCGCCTTGAATATCAGTGCTCTGCTCCTCAAGATCCTCAATTGTTCGTCTCTGGTCACTATCGGCGATCCTAGCTTGGTTGATTGTCTGCTCGAGTCGTGTTCTAGCTTCATTGAGATCTCTCTGTAGCGTTTCTCTCGTGGCATGAGCATCAGTCTGTTGCTGCAGGAAAATGTCGTTGCTTTCATCGTTCGCCGTGCGAAGGGCCGTGATCTGCTCTTCCCGACTTTGAACCTCTGCTCTTGCCGTTGCTTCGATCTGTTGTATTCTTTGCTGCTGCTCGAGCAACTGTTTCTTGAGATCGGCATTGTCGGTAGTCAGAACAGTGCTGGATGCTTGTGCATCTACGAGGTCTTGACCTGAATTACGTTCGGGTGTCTTGAGCTTAAGATCATTGGATCGCTGCAGCAGCACTTCCGCGTCTGTCTTAAGCTTCTTCTTCTCCTCTGCCGCAGCCCGCTCCTGTTCTACCTTTCCGCGCAGGGTAATCTCCAGTTTCTTCTTCTCCTTTGTGGCAGCCTCTTCCTGCTTTGTCTTCTCCTTCAACTGCTTTAGGAGAGAGTTGACATATGCACTGTCAGAACGAGCAGAAGTGGGAGACGGGACAGTAGCAGGGGCAGAGACAGAGGCTGCTGCGAGCTGTTTTTCCAGGTCAATGACGCGAGTGCGATGATTTCCCTGCATTGTGGCCATGTCTCTCTTGAGAAAGTCGAGCTCTTGATCCCTCTTAGCAGAGGCTTGGGTGACAGCGGCATTTACCTCCTTCTCAAACACCTCCTGATGGTTCTTGAGCTGTGTCTCAGATGCGGCTTGTGCTTCACGTGCCTGAGTGAGAGCGCTCTCGAGTCTCTGCCTCTCCTCAGGGTGAACAGGGGCGGGCTCGGAGTTTCTCTCAGCTTGGAGGCGCTCGATCTCCTTCTTATGGTCTGCTTCAAGTTGCTCAATCGCAGCAGCGTGGTCATCCTGGTTGCGCGATATCTCAGCTTGGTATTAAGCGCGAATGCTATCGACACCTGCATCGCGTCCAGTGGCGGCTTTGTCGCGTTCACTCTTGAGACTCTCGATGCGAGCGTTCAGCCTCTCGATGGTAGCTTTGCATCTCTTTTCGGCTTCTGCATGCTGCTTCTTGGTCTGGTCAAGGGTCGTATCGGATTTATTCAGTTTGGTCTGGGTAATATCACGATCAAACTGAAGCCCCATATTCTTGGTTTGTAGGTCTTGGATGGTATCATCACGTAATGCGATAGTTTCGTTGAGACCCGTGATGGCCTTGTCGCGAGCGGTTGTCGTGTCCTGAGCATTCGAAAGCCGATCTCTGAGCTCCCCGACCTTGGTCTGAGCAGCCTGTTCATCTTTTTTGACCTTTGCCAGCTCGACTTTAAGCTCCTCACTTTGCTTATGAGCAGCTTCTTTTTGCTTCTTAGCCTCGGCTAGTTCTTCTTGAAGCTTCTCAGAGTTCTGAGTTACCTCAGCGAGCTTACGTCTCAAGTCCCCGATCTCCTTCTGGGCAGCTTGATTGTCACCCTGAGGAGCCTGAGGGCCAGAAGGTCCGGCTTCGGGAGGAGGGCCAGGGGGTTCGCTTGGAGGGTTACCGCCGCCACCGCCTCCATTAGGCGGACCGCCAGCAGAAGATGGTGGAGGACGATTAGGAGGATCCAACTTTTCGCTGAGGTAGCGTATCAACAAGCGGTATGCCCAACTGGCTCCCAGGACACAGTAGGAGAGAGCGATAGTAAAACACAATACGTCGAACACAGCTGAATCTGAACCTGTAGTCCAGGGCATCAAGGACCAAATGTAGAAGACGTAGCCAACAAGCCATTCTAAGGCTCGCGTGAGGGGGTTCCAGCGTGCGATATAGGCGATGTTTTGAATGATAGGGTTGTGCCAAATGTGGGAGACGACCCAAGTCAGGGTTCTGCCGACGGAAGTGTCTAAGAATTCGACCCAGAGGAAGGAGATGGCCTCGGAGTGAAAGCTGTTCTTGTTTTTCTCGGCGTTGTATATGTCGAGACTTTGGTGGTTTATCTGAGGTCTGCTGTGGTACGCGTGCGTCACAGTCTCAGTGAGAGTGACTGTTGGAAGTGGGACCCAAGTGGTGGCCAGATTGGCCCCGGGGGTCAATTCATGTGTAGGATCCTGAGTAAGAGAGGCGAATACTTCGAGATGGTGTGCAACGGGAGGCTCTTCTGGAGCGTGGTAACGATCTATGGTACCACGATTTCTTCTGTACTGGGCTTCATGGATCGAGGCCCAGAAGATGGCGAGTATGCCTATCCAATGCACAACAAGCCAGGGAAACATGACGATAGATGTGTTCTTGTCCAACGATGATATGATGGAGTAGTCAGAGAGGCGCAGAAGATTGTGGATGCGTTGGGTACTGTGCTTTGCTAAAAAGCGATGCGATGTTATGCGTTGGGAAGGAATAAGGACAATAGTCAGTGTGAAGATCACAAAGAAAGAAACTTGTAGCAGGAGATATGTTGACCAATCGAAGCGCGAGATGATTTTGAAAGTGAGCGGAAGGTTGAAAGTGAGCAAAAAGTAAACAAACGCGAGCTTGTGCGCAAGACGTTCTTGGGCACTCTCAATGAAGCCGTGCCGGATGCGTCGAGTATTCGTGCCTTGGGATAGTGGCTTCAAAGAAGTTCGATCCGGTCTGGGAGATACGTTGACTTTTACTCAATCCAGAGGCGTCGATGTTCTTTGTTCGAGATGTGATAAAGCTTCAGAGACGGTCTCAAATTTGATGAAACCTTGTGGAGCCAGTTGAAGGGGTGGAATGGACTGCAAAAGCAGGAAAGCAAGACAGTCTATAATATGAGAAAGTGTGCTAGAAGTGTTGAGCTGATGTTCTTCTTGATCAACTATTCGTCAGGGACGAGAAAATGTAGATTGTCAAGCAAGCACATGTCATTGTGTTTGACATGATCAAACCCGACTCATAAGTATGGATTTATCGACAACATCTAGGCACGATTTGTTCATCCCATGTTTCAAGTCAGCCGTCTCAGATAGTCGTCGAACATGTCTTGGAGAGATCAGGCTGGGAAGAATACCCTTCGACTTTGCATCCTGGAGTGCCTGCACATGGTATTTGATCACACGTCGTGCGTGGTTTGGAGAATCGATAGGGACATATTGCTGCTCTCCTGAAGCAGAAATGATACAGTAGCGCTCTGGCTTTGATGCTGCTATGATCGACGTAGAGGTTTCGTTTCGTGTAGCCTGCCAGTGCATGCGATACATTCTGCTACTTGCTAGGGGTTTGAGCAGCAGTATCCTATCAAGAAGTCAGATATGGTTCAAGTCGACCGTAAGACAGAAGTGCGAGCCTACCAAATATACCTGGTAGAAGTTCATCATCACTGTACCGTCCTCCTTGACTAAGTTGGCTCGAGCAGCCCAGTCGACGGAGGCTTCTCTACCATCTTTCAACACGTATTCGACTATGCCATACAGCATGACCTCGTTCGAGCTGGGTCCAAATGGAAAAACCTTGACAGCGGTATGCTTCCTCTTATTTACCTTCTCCCACATTCCTTTACGCAGGGATAGGATTTCTGACCAAATCAGAGAAAGTGACATGTCGGGGAGTTTTGAATATAGATACACACCTTCGCGACCTTGGACTTTCTTTGAAGCCATGATCAACGTGGCATCTTGCGTAAACTGTTTAGAGTATCTCTCATGGGCGTCGGGGGTGTCGGACGTCTCATAAAAGCTCTCGAAGAAAGCTTTGTATGCCGGATCGAACTCGTCGTCGGCAGGATACTCCGACGTGTAAGAAGACATTACTTGCTATTAGTGAGAGTAAATCGGTCAGGTAAGATACAAGTCAAGGTGGAGATGGAGTAGAAGACACGCGATGATATGAGCAAGGTAGGATGTCATCAAGCTTTCGCCCGAGGATCGGAAGCTGCACGGAAGGGGCACATCTGTGTCAATGTGGGGTTGATGGCATCATGTTACCTCCTTCAATCTATACCAGCACGCTCCCCGTGAATAGTCAGACAAGTGTACGCATAATGATCATTGTGTGGAAGGTAAAGTATCTGTCTATCTTGTGAGAACCATTTAGACTCTCGAACCACTGAGGCCCGTGAGACTAATTTACAGTCTCTCGCCCAAGACAAAGCCGTACCAAATGGCGCAGCCGAATGCGGTCAGATTGATGATTGTCGAAACGCTGTGCAGAACACCAAAAGTCTTGTTCAGCTGCTCCATTGCTTTGGAATGCGGGCCTGCATCGGAGTATTTCTTGCCGTCGCGAGTTTCTGGCAGTCCATCAGCGTTGGTCATGAAAAGAAGAGTTTTCTCAATACATACCTTGATGATGACGCTCCTTCATTGTCTTAGTCGTGGCAGGTCCAATGACCAGGGCATTCAAGACACTGGTAATCAAGATTGTCGCAAGTGGCACGAATACAGGCCATCTGTTGCTATCCGCCAAAAGACCACTGAAGCCAGCATTCTCCCTGATGTACTGGTTTCCAACACCCAGCAACTTTTCACCAGGGTATGTGGCCATGAGAACCAAACCGAACACAGATTGAAGGCCGAAAAAGATTGGGAAGGTAGCCTTCTGGAGAGTTGAAAATTGAGGTCGCGGTAGAACCTTGAAGGCGACTACGCCGCCGACGAAAGACTGGAAGAGCGTGATTCCAAGGAAAGAGCCATAGCTCAAGATGTGGTATGCTTTGTAGTCGCTTACGGAAGGCATGGTCGCTGTACTGTGTGATAACGATAGAAAGTCAAGAAGAGTCGAGGATTGTCAAAAGATACTGTCTGTCACGCCAGATCGCTAAAGTGATGACGTATGAGAAGTTGCCAATATGCTTCAACTTTTGTTTCGACAATCGATTGAGTATTCGAACCTCATTTTCTCAAAATATAGTTTCTTCTACAACGAGAGAGGTTTTAGGCATGTCTTCTATCAGGCAACAGTGTACGTGATGTGAAAATGAGAATGTGTCGACACGCTCGTGGCTGCCTGCAAGCACGAAGCCGACACGTCCGCGCACGTCGTCTCAAAGTGTTTTCAATGTTTTGGCCTTGACCACAACACAACGAACAATATTTTGCGAATGATTCTGGCTTAACACTCGACTAGATTCTCGGAATGGCACAAAAAGAGGCAACCGTCTACATTGTAGATGTTGGCAAGTCCATGGGCCAAAAGCACAATGGGCGAGAAATCACCGACCTAGACTGGGCGTTGACATATGTCTGGGACAAGATCACAACGACTGTAGGGCAATCTTTAGTTCGACATTCTCAACACTACAATACTGACTACTCAGGTATCCACTGAACGTAAAACAGCCAATCTGGCAGTTGTCGGGTTGCGGACTGATGGTAAGAGAACAATCGGGAGCAGGACCCCATCTGTGATTGGGGCAGATACCTGATCTGGATACTAGGGACTTTGAACGCTCTGGACCTTCCCGACGAAGACGGAAACCTTCAAGGAAATGGATACCAGAACATAACCGTCCTGAAAGAGCTTGGACAGTGAGTTGCAATTTTAAGGGTGTTTATCACTGTACACTGTACTAACTAGATCGTACAGAGCACTGATGCCGGATGTGCGACGTCTTAAGCAGCAGCTTATACCCAGTGAGACCGATGCTGGTGATGGTATGTTCATGAGAGCGACCGCCAGTCACACAATGTTGACTGTCAACTCGAACAGCCATTTCGGCTCTGATTATAGCCATTCACATGATCGCGACACTTACCACAGGCAAAGAGGGCAAACCACTGGCATACACACGAAGAATCGTCCTCGTGACGAATGGGACCGGTAGCACAGCATCTGAGGATCTTGACAGAGATCTGGCAGAAATCGTCGACAAGTGCAAGAAGGAGGGCATTGAGCTGGTCATCTTGTGAGTACAGTCCTGCCGTCTTCTGCTCACAGTTGCTGAATCCAGACCAGAGGAGTTGACTTTGACGATCCGGAATACGGTTTCAAGGAGGAAGACAAGGATCCGATCAAGGTAGATTCGGCCGTTTTTCGAATATGACAGCTAGCTAAGTGGAACAGGCCGAGAATGAAAAGCTCTTCAAGGAACTCGTGGATGGATGCCATGGCTTATACGGTACGCTCGGCTTCGCAATCGATGAGATGGTTATTCCGCGCATGAAAACGGTACGACCTGTACACTCTTACAAAGGCTACCTCACCTTGGGCGATCCGGAGAATTATGATTCCGCAATGGCCATCGATGTCGAACGATACCCTCGAGTCATGGTTGCAAAACCACCTTCCGCAAGTCAGTTCGTTGTCAGACCAAACGTGGCCGCCGGAGAGACACAGTCACAATTCGCGCCGTCCGATGAAGACCCCAAGCCCAACGACCTCGCCGCTGTCAAGAATGCTCGCACGTATCAGGTTCCTGATGAGGAAGCACCGGGCGGTAAGCGCGAGGTTGAACAAGACGAGCTGGCTCGAGGCTTCAGTTACGGCAGCACTGTCGTCCCAATTGAGGAGGCTGACAAGAACGTGACCGACTTCGAAAGCAAACAAGGCATCGACATCATCGGCTTTGTCGTCAAAGAACAGGTAAGCTACATTGATGCTTGATGAGGTTGACTATGCTAACCTAAAGACAGTACGAAAGATATCTGGACATGTCAAAGACCCATGTCGTGGTCGCCCAAAGAACTAATGAGAAGGCTATCATGGCGTTGTCATCGTTCATCCATGCTCTGTACGAGCTCGACACATATGCCGTGGCACGTTTGGTGTCCAAGGACGGCAAGAGCCCTACCATGATCCTACTCGCGCCATCCGTTGATGCTGATGTCGAGTGTCTTTTTGAAGTGGAGCTACCCTTTGCAGAAGACCTACGCTCCTACAGATTTCCTGCCCTAGACAAGATCGTCACTGTTTCTGGTAAAGAACTCAAGCAGCATCGCTTCCTTCCCAGCGATGACTTGGTTGATACCATGAGCGACTATGTAGACGCCATGGACCTGTCCATCTTCGGAGCAGATGAAGAAGGGTTTGTGGATTTGTGTTCTCGAATATGATTACCAACTGACTTGCAACAGCAAACCAGCCGAATATGCACCTATCGAAGACACATTCTCACCAGCCGTACATCGTATTGGCCAAGTGATCCGACACCGAGCGATGAACCCGGATGAAAACTTGCCGCCCATCTCGGAGATTCTGGTCAAGTACTCCAAACCGCCACAAGAGTTGGTAGACGGCGCAAAAGACTCTCTGAAGGCAGTCACGAAAGCTGCAGACGTGAAGAAAGGTATGTTCAAAACAGCATCTTGTCGTTTCAATCTCTGTACTAATCTTCTGCAGTGCCACCAAAGTCCAAGTCACGAAAAGGACGCCGCGATGCAGCAAAGCCACTCTCCGGCCTCGATGTCACAGCGCTTCTCTCAGCCAAAGGTCGCAAACCTAAGATTTCACCTCAAAACGCCATCCCAGAGTTCAAACAAATCCTCGACGATGCCGATCACGAAGAAACACAATCGGCATTCCTTCAACTCGGCAGGATCATCAGTAACTTCATCAGAAATTCTGTTGGCGAGTCTGGATATGGTCGTGCGCTTGAAGCTATTAGGGTCATGAGGGAGGAAGCTATTGATCTGGAAAAGGCGGGCTTCTTTAATGAGTTTATGGGTTCTTTGAAGAAGGATATCTTGACTGGAGAGCTTGATGGCGATAGGAAGGATATGTGGTTTATGATCAGAGCGAATCGCATGGGACTTATTCAGGCAAAAGAGTGCGGTGAGACTGGAAAGGAAGGCACAGTTGGAGAGGATGAGGCTAAGGAGTTCTTGTCAGCTAGACTGAGCGTTTAGGCTAATAGCCAGGCGTAGCTGAGCTTGTTGCTGGAGAGGAGGTATACTGATGGTGTAGTCGCTGTGTTGCTACAACACCGAGCAGTTGTCATCACATTTCGAAACGCGAGTAGTTCGACAACAAAGATCTTAGTTGTTGCCACAGCTTCAAGCAAGAGAAGCGACTCTCAAAAATCGACAATCAATTCTCTTGTAGACAAGCATGTTCCATGAGAAAGTCAATCTGATGCAATACAATACTTTTTCTTCGCATGAGTACTTTTCCTATCCTAGCTGTACAAAAAAGAAGCCTCAATTTCCGTCTCGTGGTGTCTCTCTCAGCTTCTCTCTTCTAGCATCCGTCTTTCCTCGATAAAACATAAGAACAGTGCCTGTAGAACACTCCTCTCCTCTCTCTATGGATTCTTTTCTCCTCTTCTTCATGCTTCCCTTCAAGCAACGATAGCACGATAATAAGCCCTGCTAAGATCAACGCCTTGCCTAGCGAACCCAGCCCCAGCAACAGGAAGTCTGTTCACCAAAGCTCTATCCACCCCCCTCTCCTCTCTACCCATCTTCTCAACTTCCGCCTTGACCAATCCAGCCATTTCGCCAATGGCAACGCGTTCCGCGAGATCGACCTTACCAGCTCTACCTTCGAGGACACTGGGCAAAGCAATGGTGAGACGATCAAGTAGTTCCTTTTTGGATGTTCTACTGGCGTCGTCGTCGCGGTGGACGAGGTCGAGGAGGTGAATGTAGTCGAAGTAGACTTGACCGCCGAAACGCCAGTTTTCGACGCTGTTGACCGGGAGCATGTCGTGGAACAAGCCGAGGAGTTCGCGCAAGGCGTCGTATTCCTGCTCGATAATGGCGGCAGGGCCGACAGAGCGACAGAGCACTGAGTGAGCTTGTGCGGAGTCCCCAGCGCGGAGCAGGTATGTGACTTCGGAATTATGGTCGTCGAGCATGGAGCGTGCGTAGAGTGCGCGAGCGTGCCAGAGCCATTGTTCAGGGATGCCAAAGTCTTGGGTCAGGACTGTGGGGAGGGCGTCTGGATTCGAGGCATCGTAGAGGGCGGATGCGCGGCGGTAGAGTAGGTCGCGGACGTGTCTTTCACGGGCTGACTCGTTTGTCAAGTGCAGCAGGACGTTGGTGGCAAAGACGAGCTCGTTGGCTGTCTCGAGTTGGCTGGACAGAGTCAGAGACAGCTGGTCCAGTGAAGCGTCACTCAATTCGGCAGAAGTGAGGATGCCCTTCTTCTGGAGAAGAGTGGCCAACTGCCATGAGAGGCGTGCATTGAGAGGGCTTCCAGAGACAGATGCAGGGGTAAGCAAATTGGAGACCAGAGCGCGAACATCGCCAGCGTTTGAGGATGGGTTTCTTGAGTACAGCTTCAACAGACCAAGTAAGGTGTCTTCATTGCTCTGAACATTGTCATCAGTCCACGAAGGTGTAAGAGACTGCTCGGTGAAGTAAGGTACCGGGCGAACGGTCTCCTTTCCAGCAGCAACGTCGTCAACGTACAATTGCACAGCATCCGCCAGAGACTCGCCGGCACCGGAGAACCAGAGTCGCAGCCCGAAAGAGCGACGCCAGTCAAGGCCAAAACGAGACGAGATGCTGAACGAGGAAGCTCTGTCTTCAGACGCACCACTCTTCCCTTCACTGACGCAGGTGTTACCTGCGACCAGCTCGTACAATGCACGTACAGACTCAGTCATCTCAGAGACCATGTTCTGTGATCTCCAGCTTTCAATCTGTTTGGTCATCATCTCCTTCGACTTGGCATTGCCAGGCAATTGAGCAACGATGGTTGCAAGACGGAAGTCGCGACCCTCAAGGAGGGCTGCACATGCGTCCTCGATGCTGTTACCACTCATGAAAGCAATTGCTCTCTCCTCAGATGTGCTTGCGTCCTTGGCATGCTGTGCAGCCTCAGGATGAACTAGTTGAGCCCAGAAGCTTGACAAAGCGTCACGGCGGACGCGTGACTCGATCTTGGCAACTTGGGCAGCCGGTATGTTCTTGACTATGTCGGCACACGCAGTCTCGATTGGGTCGAAGAGGATAGAGGCCAGTCGCCAGACAGCGCGTTCATGTTTGGCTTCGGGTGTCTCGGGATGTGCAAGGCTCTCAGCGATGGCAGCGAAAGAGGTCTCGGCGGAGGTGACGGGTGATTGTTTTAGCTGCAATTGAAGGGAAGTGGTGAGTGTGTCGAGAGGCGAGCTGAACTGGGTAAAGCGGACTTCCTTGTGTCCTGATACAAGGGGTCTCTTCGAGCCGATCATGTTGCCAGATGGCGCGAGTGCAGTACCGTTCGTGCTGTAGACTAGGGTGCCGTCGTTCGCCCAGCGGGACTTGAACGATGTGTGGAAGCCGCGTTCGGTCTCATTCATGTCGGCAAAAGCATCTTCAGTTCTCGACTGCTTCTGGTATGGCCACTAAACAAGGAAAATGTCTTAGCATTCGTTCGCAATTACATATGGAAGGTATTGATATGATCGATGTTCAAGCTGCGATGACGAAACAAAGGTCAACAATAAAGCCAAGCAGCAATCATCAGATAAAAAGACAAAGAAAACAAGGGAGTCAAACCTCGAAACCTTTTCCACCAACACTGCTTGCTTGCAAAGCAGGGCCTGCGACAGAGACCGGGGGTCCCCAAAGAGAGTTCATGATATCCATGGTTGTAGAGAAAGCCTTACCCGCAATAGAAGCGGCCAAGGGTGGTGCGGTATCAGCAGGGGGTGCACCCATCACACTTTGACGTTCACGAAGAGCCTGACGATCTTGCTTTTTCGGACTCGCAGTTCTCTGAAGCTGTTCTGCCCAGTCGCCGGCGAGAGTGAGATCTTTCTTGGGGGTGCCGTTCAACATAGTTGATGCTTTAAGAATTGACTTTGGCATAAATGATCCGCTGAATGAGACGCCATAATCGTTGTACGGAGCCGAAGCAACAAGTTCAGGTCTCGGATATGATCCCGCCATGTCTTGTTCACTCATCTCCTCGTCATACATCTCCTCCTCCATGTATTCGTCAACAGCCTCAACGGGAGGTGCGTTGCTGCTGCCAGAAGACCTAAACGGATCTTCAAGCGATTGTGCGCCTTGCTGTTCGAGATGAGAGGAATCCTCGTCCTGAGCATCGTTGTCGTCAGCCATTTCGTCATCATTGTGAATTGGCTGAGCACCGAAGCTGCCAGGCAGAATTTTAGACGGACCTTTCTTGAAGTCAAAGGTATCATCAGGATTAGATTCATCATCTTCATCGCTGATGACGGAACCCTCCTCAGATGAGACCTGGGACATCTCTTGAACAGCGTTGTTGATGTTGTTACCATTGGGAGTGGGTTCTTGACTGGCGTTCATCTCATTGCCATAATCCGCCTCGTCGTCTGACTCATCATCGTCATCGAGTCCGTAAGTTGTGAAGTGGAGAACACGGAAGACCCACACGCCACTCTCGGGGTCGTAGCTGACAAACTCAGTGTCGACGACGCGACGAAGACGTTCGATGTGCTTTTCAAAGCGGTTTCCTTTGCGCTCATGGACAGGGAGACGTCCGCCCTGAGCACGAGGCCACGAGTTCTCGAGAGTGATGGTGGAAGGCACGTTGAGTCCCTGACCCATGGGGGGAGTGTTGACTCCACTCGTGTAGACAGTTGCAGAACGCACATTAAGCTTAACAATGCCGTCGACGATATCGTTCAGGGGGACTTGGGAAAGATCGACGAGGTCAAATTCGATCTTACCAACACCATAACGACCAACGGTGAAACCGGAAACGCTCTTGAGTTGTTGGCGAGACATGTTGCGGAGGTCGTCCATCGAGGGGGCCATCCAGTATTCACCAATCTGAGGATCAACCTGAGAGCGCGGTAAGTCCTTGGCGGATACTGTCTTAGCCTGAGAGGAGGAAGGGGCGGGGCCGTCTTCAGGCACCATGGGCAATTCACTGCCTCTGCCTTGGTTGTTGATGGAGGATGTGCCGTTGACTGAAGTGCCATTGGCTGAAGGACGCTCGGCACGGGAGTAACCAAGGTCCTCAGCAGAGGGCTCAGATCCCTCTGTCTCGGTGCGAACAAGAGCACTGTTGGAAGGAGCCTCAGTGTAACCATTTGTCGAAGTCTTGCCCTTGTCGCCATCGTCAAAGCTGACGCGCTTAGTCGGAGGCTCGACGGAATTGTTGTCACCAAACAGATCAGTTCTCAAGTTGCGGTCAATTTTCAGTCTACGAATGCTGCCGCCCGAGTAGGATCGATTGTTTGGGGTGAATGCTCCAGGAGCAAGGACACTGTCGCCACTGCCTACGCTCTTGTTGAGGTTGCTGGTCGAGAAACTCTTGCCCAGAGAGCGACTCAAGCCGCCTGACTGCAACAAGCTGCTTCCAAGACCGTTGGATGTGAAGCTCTGCGCGCTGCCAGGAGTGCCATAAGTAGCGTAAGAGAAGCCGTAACCGTTCGAGCGCTTCTGAGGCGTGATGAGACGCAAGCTTGCGCTGGGGTTGATCTTGAATTGAGGGAGAGCGGTAGGGCGCTTAGCCGGCTTCTGCGCTCCGGACAGAGGTGTAGCAATGGGTCCGACAGCAGGAGCTGGGCTTCCGAGGTTGCTGAAGAGTTGGTCGTTGCCATAGGGATTGGTCAGTAGAGTAGCAGGGAAGCTAGATTGTTGCTGATTGCTCTGACCGAAGAGGCTGTTCGACTGGCCAGACTGCTGAGTGCTGCCGGCACCGAACATGCCTCCGCCTGCATTCTGTTGCTGGTTCTGGCTACCACCAAAGAGGGTCGAGCTACCGGTTGCTTGCTGGTTGTTAGCACCGCCGAACAGACTGCCAGCGGGCTTCTGCTGATTGGCTTGACCACCAAAGAGAGAGCCTCCAGTGTTCTGCTGGGCTTGAGCTCCTCCGAAGAGCGAGCCACCCGTGTTCTGCTGACCCTGTGCACCTCCGAAGAGAGAGCCTCCAGTTGCAGGCTTAGCACCCCCGAAAATCCCGCCACCTTGAGCTTGGTTGTTGTTCGCGTTCTGGCCGAAGATCCCTCCACCGGTGTTGTTCTGCTGTGTTTGCGCACCCCCGAACAGATTTGTACCTGTGCTACCAGTGGCTGCGCCTCCGAAGGGACTTGGCTTCTGCTGGTTGTTCTGCCCGAAAGCGCCGCTACCGCCACCAAAGAGACTCGTGCCGGTCCCAGTCTGACCTTGTTGTTGCTGATTTTGTTGCTGACCAAACGCAGAGTTGTTCGCGGGAGTGGTGGTCTGCTGAGCACCACCGAATGGAGATGCAGTGGTGTTCTGTTGAGCACCACCAAAGAGGGACGCAGTGCTGGTCGCGTTTTGCTGCCCAAAGAGGGTGTTCCCGGCAGGCTGACCAAATGCTGATGTAGAAGCTGGAGTGTTGGAAAAGCCACCGAACGGCTTATTCTGCGTGTTGTTGGCAGCGGCGCCGAACATGCTCCCGCCCGAGTTGGCTTGGGCTGTCTGTTGAGTGTTGTTGGCACCACCAAACGACGATCCAAAAGCGTTGTTCGTGTTGTTGTTCGCGGTTCCAAATATGCCGCCGCCTGAAGTGGTACTTGACGCAGGAGCTGCACCAAAGAGAGACCCGGCAGGCTTAGGTTGTTGTTGACCGAACATGGTATTCGAGGTTCCGACCTGTCCAAACCCAGTTGAAGGAGCGGTAGGCTGAGCGCCAAATAGAGACGGAGCGCTGGACTGAGCACCGAAGATGCCGCCTCCAGTGTTGGTAGTCGCAGACTGTCCGAAAGCCGGAGTAGCACCGCCTGTCGCACCAGAGTTGAATGCAGAGCCACCAAAGCCAGTACTCTGACCAAACGCACCAGCCTGTCCGTTGGCGTTGCCGAACTTGCGACCAGCTGTGTAGTCGGCTAATCTTAGTTCCTCAAAGGAGAAGGCCTGGTAAGGCTGCATGAACGTGATAGACTGATAGTGCGAGTTCGTGGATGATGCATTGTCCTTCTCGATGAAAGGGCTGAAAGGTGTACTGGCTGTGCCATTGTTGGTAGGCGGAGCTGCTTGAGCATTCCCGAATCCATTGCCGGTCGTGGTAACCTGGCCGAAGCCAGATGTCTGAGCGGCGGGCTGGCCTCCGAACATTGTGTTGCTAGTCGGCTGCGCGCCGCCAAAGGTTGTTGTCTTAGCGCCTCCAAAGAGGCTCCCTCCCGATGAAGGTGCGTTGAAGCCCGAACCGCCGCCGAACGCCGTATTGGCGGTGTTATTGTTGTTGCTGTTGAAGGCATTGGTGCCTGAAGCAGCACCGCCCCCGAACAGACCTCCTCCTGTTCCAGGCGCAGTGGTACCGAATGGCTTAGCGCCTCCTCCAAAGGGTGAGCTGGTGGTTGCGGCAGGTGCGTTGTTTCCGAATCCTAAAGAACAACAGTGGTCAGCAGAGGCGTGTGAAGGAAGGAAGAGCGATTCAGAGATGCAGTCGCGAGACGCAATGTGGTGAAGCGTGATGACGTGGTAGCAGTGCTAAGACATACCGAAGCTGCTTCCTGTATTGTTGGCAGACGCGCCGAAAACACTCGCGCCAGCAGCAGGCTGGCCGAAAGCGCTTTGCCCACCGTTGAATCCTAGCGAAGAAAGACAATGGTCAGCGCTGGCCGTGAAGTCATGCGCGGGTGCATGGTAGGAAGCTTGAGGTTTGCGCCAGATGGCGTCCATCGGCTGATGCATGTTGAAGAAAAATAGCTCTTGACTTACCAGTGCCTGTCGTGCTGTTTGCAAAGCCTCCAAAGCCACCAGTGTTGTTGTTATTGTTGGTTGACGAAAAGCCTCCACCTTGGTTGAACCCACCGAAGCCCGACATGATGAAGCCGAGAAGATGCGACAAGAAGTATGAGGGATGACGACCTCAGCTATAGTGAGGTGTGTATGGAACGGGTCGAGAGGTAGGTGAGGATAGGATGGACGTTGGTGCAGACGCGAGAATCGACTCGAAATCGAGACGTGATGGTGAAGCGCGAAAAGTCGCCGTGGATGTACAATTACGCGACAAGCATGCGCCAGGCGTCGTCGAGGGCGACGAGGATAGGCAACTAGTCGTGGGCGCGTTGACGGCGCTGAGGGGGGATGGTGATGGAAAATCGGATGGAGGGGAAACGATGATGTTGGAAGCTCTCGTCGCTGCCTTTCACACCAACCGGCACACTTTGACAACTGCTTTGCACGGACCCCACGCTTGAGCGCTTGCTTGCTGAGTCCTGACAACTTCTCACCCCAAGTCAACTCTTCTCTCCTGCTCTACTCTAACACATTCGGACTTCGTCAGATCCTCAGACTCTACTCTTCGCCCTGCTCCTCTGTCCAGCAGAAGTCTCCTCTATCTCTCCTCTATCCAGCAGGAGGCTCCTCTATCTCTCCTCCACCCTTTGTACCGCTCTTCTGCCTAGTAGTATCCTCCTCCGTAAGTAGGGTTCTCCTTGTCTTTGCTCTTAAAATCTCTCTACTCTCTTTTACTCTTCGCCCCCATTTTGGTATCTGACGACCTGGAGGGTGCAAATTGGAAGCAAATTTTCCTTTGTACAGTGCATTTAGCACCGAAGCTCCTCATTGAGATAGACTAAACCTGAATCGTTTATGAGGCACCTACCCTTGAGGCATCTATCCTAGATTGGCTCTCCGCACACGGAGGGGTGCATCTATGTAGCTGTAAGACTGCACCATCAATTTGCCATGCGAGCTCTACAATCGAGGAGACATGTGGAGTCATTACTTTCGATGAATGTCTGAATTAACTCACAATACACTGTGCCTTTCGGCAGCCCGTCCATACTTGTACTGCACCTACCGGAGTACAAAAAACCAGCCTCCCATGACAAAGAGCGCGACTTTGGCGCGATCCGCTTTTGACCCGCTAGTGTCGCTCAATGGACAGTGTCGTTGTGAACCTCTCCTATGGTGACTAATCTACTGCCTGGATAAGCAGCGAAATGGTTCGATTATGTAGGTCAATGTGGCGTACATGAGGCTAAGGATAGACGGGAGGATGAGGTCAGGGAGAGAAGCCTTGAATGAAAGAGCACGTGACGAGGCTGGTACGGAAGTCGCGGCTTCCGTTGGCAGCAGAAATGAGCTTGGGTCCTTCCGTTTCAGTTTCGCGTCAAATTCTGGGCGCGAGTGGGGGGCTTGACTCCTTGTGGCTTGCACGATTAATGGTCTGATTCTGATGCGACTCGGCCCATTTGTATCATCACCGGCTTGCAAGACCCTGTCTATCGCTCTTTCCCTTTCTCGACCCACGAATCGCCCTCTGCTTCCCTCCTCACGACTGTTCAACACACAAGTCGGGCTCATGGTTTAGACCGACACGCACGAACCCAATGGATCAAACCACTGCCAGTTTCGACTTTGGCGCATCCGCCGTGCCCGACAACACCGAAGAGTGGAATGACTGGTTGAAATGGGATCCCGCTCAAGATGCCATTTCGCCCGATAGTTCTACCCTGACGAGCAACAACTCTCCCATGCAGGATGTCAACTTCAACGCCAACCAGTTTCCGCCTTTGAACGTCGACGAAACACTTGCGCCGCCACTGATTGTTGGCGACGACCCAAACTTTGCCGACTTCTCCTTTGCCGACGCCGCCTTCGACTTTGGCCAACCCGATAGCAAGACCGACGACCTACCTTTCCTCTTCGGCGCCGATACGAACAACCTACAGTCCATTGTCGACCACTTGGACGTCGAACCGCAAGAGGCTTCATCCTCCTCCGCATCCTCCTTATGGCCACCAATCGGTCAGAATGTCAACGCGCCGCAACAAAGCGAACTTCTTGCGCCCATCATCCTCGGTAGCAACGATTACCCCACGACGGGGCCAGGATCCGTCTCGAGCACCAGTCAACATCGCAGTAGCCCTGCCTCCACATCACATGCCCGTACGAGCGTATCGTCAATATCACCAGCGCCAGAGCAAGCCGAACAGCCCGCTAAGAAGAAGGGCGGAAGGAAGCGAAAGGTCTCTACGAGTGACGAAGAACAACAACAGAGTCCGGAAGATGGTGGTCCCCCGATCAAGAAAACGTCGCATAACGTGATCGAAAAGCGATACCGCAACAACTTGAACGACAAGATCGCCGAACTCCGCGACAGTGTGCCTAGTCTTAGGGCCATGTCGAGGCCTAGTGGTAACGACGACTCAGAGGATCTCGAAGGCTTGACGCCGGCGCATAAATTGAACAAAGCCACGGTACTGGCCAAGGCTACCGAATATATCAAACACCTGGAGAAGAGGGCAAAGACACAAGCAGATGAGCTGACTCAACTCAAGACTCGCATGGCAACTATGGAGAAGGTCATGGCGAGATCTGCTAACACCAATCAACATGCCGGCATTCTCACACCTGCCATTGCTCGCTCAAGACAGGGCTCCATTGCCTCACAAGTACCGAGGCGTATGCAACAAGACCAATACTTGCAACAACATCCGCAACCCAGCTACGAACCTCAAGATGTCGTTGCTGAGCCTGGGCAAAATAACCTCGTCAATGCCCAAGGCGCTGGTAATGGTTTCGTTGGCAAACTCATGGTCGGCTCGCTGGCTGCACTGATGGTCATGGAAGGCTTCCATGAGCAAGAACAAGACTCTCATTCCACATCAGGACGGGGTCTCTTCGCTGCTCCTATGCACTTGATCAAGCGTGGCCAATTCCTCAGATCCCCCTCGCATGCTGCTTACGGCTCTTCAGCTCAGGCCGCCCTTCCCTTACTCAAGACTTTCTTGGTCTTCGGCGCCTTCATCTACATCCTCCTCCCCCTTCTTCGCTTCAAGCCTCAACCTAAACAGAAGCAGTCCGTTCGTATCTGCCTTACTGCTGCCCCTTCACTTGCGTCGCCGGTTGAGGTCCGTCGCAAGGCTTGGCTCACGGCCGTACAGAGCGTATGGATGCCACGTCACTTCTTGCTCGAAGTCGTCTCTGTTACATGCAAGATGATCATGCTTAGTCTTCGTCGTCTTGTCGGCTCTGAGTTTTACTCACGCGTCTCCGGCAAGACTCCTGATGACGAAGCTGCTCGTATCAAGGCATGGGACATTGCCATCGACGCTCAACTCGCCGGTGGTGATGCTGAGGTCAGTTACTACCGTCTGCTCCTTACTCTTATGGCCTCCGGTACCCTGCCGGACTCACCCATTCGTTTGATGCAAAAGGCCGTTCACTTCCGCATCTTCTTCTGGGAAGTTGCCAACGCAGGATACGGTAATATGTTCATGTTCCGCGACTTCACTGCGAAGGTTGGCAGGATATACTGGGACTCTGCTCGCAAGCAACAACACGCTCTTGCTGCTGGCGAGTACACCGAGAAGCAGATCGCCGATGATAAGATCGAGAGACTGCCTGATTATCTTGCTGAGTTAATCGAGCTTGATTGTGACGATGTCCTGACTGATGAGATGATCCAACGTGCCTACAATCTTGCTTGGAACAGACCCAGCGCTGAGAAGACCATCCCTAACCGGACCATGAATAGTGTCGTCGAGGATCATGCCATCAGGTCTCCTCTCGATGCGGTCGCAGCTTGGTTCGCCAACATGACTGTCGACGCCGCTCTCACACGTTCCTTGGATACCGATAACAAAACCACTGTCGATGTACAATATCTCATCGACTTGGCCAACAAGACCGCTCCTCCTGCTTCGGCCACTCAGACTCGCGCACACGTGGCCAAGGCTGTACTCCTCGATACTGACCGTGCAGCACACATTGTTGCTGCTTTGGATACACTGCCGATGGTCACATCCAACGACGGCTTAGACATGCCATCGAACATGATCACTCATACTCCAATCTCTCCCGACACACACAGTGCTTTGACACTGGCGAAGATTCTCTCCATCACTTCACCTACGAACCCCACCCCAGCACGCGTACATGCTGCCACTGTCCTGACCTCGATGCACCTCATGCCCAACAGGATCACATTGCTTACCGCTGTCGCTGCCTTCAAAGTCCTGTCGGCTTTCTCGTCCGACGCACTGCTTTTCAACAGTGGCAAGCTCGGTTTGGATGACTTGTCCGGTAACCTTAGAGTCTGGATTGGTACTCGTGCTGCCAAGACTGCAGGTTTGACACGCGAGCAGAAGGCTACAGTTGTAGAATCTTGCTTAGGCGTCAGTAAGCGTGTTGGCGGCTGGAAGGATGAAGAAGAGAAGGATAGCGGCTACGGCAGCCTAGAAGACGGTGAAAGAGAGGCCGCCACTTCTAAATTGTAGATGAGTTCGGTCTTTTTGTGTTTCGACGTTCGAGAAGAGTAATGCCTCCCAGCAAGAACATGGTTGAGGCACGGTGGATATACGGTATAGACTTGGCATCAAGGGATGGGTCCATTGGAGGTACAATGGTGTTATTTTAGGTTAGCTCTAATGTCTTACGTTCATACCATAGCGACGAATATAACTCTTTCATGATCAGCTTCTTGATTCAAGAACTAGTTGGTACGGTACTTGTCTCTTTACGTGAAGACAGATATATTTGCTCACTTAATCATACAGCAGAGAAGCCCCAGCCGCAATACTCGAGCGCTCCTACTACAACTACCTCTTTCACTGTTTTCACCTTGATCTTTGCTAGCCGAAGTCAGCACATCACTTGCTTCTGCGAGTAATTTCAACTTTTCGTCAACTGCTCCTGGTCTTCTATTGACGCGATACTTTTCATCCGTTCTCTCCACCTGTCACATTCATCGCGCAGCAAACACTTCTAGACTATCAACTTCATTAACCCATTCTTCCTAGGAATGTTCATCGCGCGCACTTTTTGCGCCAACAACATTATTGTTTATCGACCTTGAGTGTTAGCCGCCTCCTTTCTTCCACTCACATCTGCCATTCCTTCTGGTTCGATCTGGAAGTCATAGGTAAGAACCACAATAGATCCACTGTCGGTGCCGCGACTAACTGAACATGCGCAGAAAATCTTCAGCTCACTTCCTGCTTCCCCCCATCTTTGCACCTTTGGACAAAATCTGCCAATATCGTCCACATTATCAGCATTAACACCAGAAATGTCAACATCAATTTCGCAATCCAACTTGCCGCCCACAACAGCATTGACCATCATGCCACCGCGCAAAGTGCCCCCTCACAGGAGATACGCGAAGAAATTCTTGACTCTTCCCAATGAACTTCTCATTAAGCTCTCTGATTGTGTTGCGTCTGAGGATTTGCCCAATTTTCGACTCACTTGCAAGAAACTCGAGAACATCTCTGGCAAGCATTCCGGCGATAAGAGGCTTGCTCATTGCCGCTTCATCTTTACGCAATACAGTATGGAGGGTTTGGTTGAGATGACTGCTCATCCAGTATTCGGACCCTGTGTCAAGAGCGTCTTGTTCGGTACCCACCGACTTAGTAACGCCCTGGATGATCTGTTGGACGCCATAAAGTCAAATCCCGGTATCTCTGACGATGGTAAAGCGATGGACACCATTCATCAGTATCGCGAGCGCAGAGACAGACAGGACCTTTTTCGCCGATGCGATCTGTCTCGTATGGTCATCCAAGCTCTCACACATCTACGATCATGGGGAAACAGCGTCGCGCTAGGCATCCTCGACGACGTATATCAAATCTGCAGAGGAAAGAGCCTGTTACGTGGATATGGTTTCGCCGAGGAGTACGACATCCTGCCGTTCGTGGAGCTTGCTGAAGCGCGGATGTTGACCGTGAACCTGATACGAGGGTTCTCAAGGGACGCCAACATCCACGCGAGCATCTTGGTGCTTGATCTTAGCGGTCAGGAAGTCCATAAAGGCATAAGCTCGCTTTGAGGGAACTGCTTGTAAGTGAGAACAGAAGACTCGGACGAGTCGACGTTTGCGTCAGAGAGGGGAGAATAGACATTTGCGTCTTCACAAGCCAAACCGCGTTGAGTTCAGCCAGAGAGCGGTCACGAACCAGTCGTCGTCACTAGCGGAGCAATGTCGTTTCAATCTTCTCTCTGTAGGAGGCTATTTTAGACACGCACTGCTCTCTGCACCTCTACGCCAACTCAACATTAAATCTTGCTCTACTTACGGCGAAGAGCTAGTCGGTATGTTGCGAGCTCTCTCGGAAACTCTACAGGTGGTAGAGATGGTAGATGCCGCCATCTGGGGAGACCATGACCCACATCGAAACATGTGGCCTGTTATTTGCAGTCTCAGAGATGATCTGAAACTGCAGACACTCGTGTTGGACGATGTCAGAGCTATGAACAAGGGCTACGAAGACCCTCCTGGAGTTCTCGTAGCAAGGAGAAGATTCTGGCATGGACCACAGAAAATTCGTTCACGACTCGATGTTCTTGCCGACTTCGAGTGTGATGGATGGGATTGTGAAAATCTTCACGATTGGTATGAGGAAACTATCGCTCACCTCGAGTTAGAGGTTCGGCAGCTGAATCTGGATTACTCGGCTTACGCACTCAACATGAGCTACGAAGAGTACCAGGACCACAAGGCTAGCGAAGAAACAGACCTTCAGGGTCTTGAGTCCAAATACTCGGAGTACAAAGCAAGAAGAGCACAGGCGAAGGAGGCAATGACTAGAGTCGAGGCTTTGTGATGTATGAACCGATGCTCATCAACCTGGAAATGGTGGCTGATGTAGACCGCTGAGATGATGTAAGAATAGGAGCTCCAAGTATCTAGGTTGTTTTGTGAGGACACACAGTCTTCATGCAGATTAGATATGAATTAGTCAGAATCTCAAACTTTGTGACTTCTACCTTCACTCATCATTATAAGATAACCGTATGCGTATGTGGAAATATATGCGACCTTCCTATGTGCTATCTTTCGTCATATCGACAGTTGTTCAAGGTCGTGATGCTTGCTTTCATTTGTCGTTGGCGGCATTATATCAATACGTTGACTCCTCAGCTGGCTTTCTCGGACGGATGCTTTAGAGAATGATGGGCACATCCAATTTATCTATAACTTAGCAGACTTGCTCAATAAGCTCAATCCAGTTATGTTCTCCAGCTCTTTCACAGCTTTATTGGCTCGTCCCAATTCTACCTTGATGGTCCTCATACCCACCTGTCGCGCTGTCCTCAAATTCGTGCCAATGTCGTCCAAAAACACAATATCCCCGGCCTTCACACCCTCTTTATCGCCCCTCTTCTTCGCCAACGCATCCAACTCCCTGATTGCGTACTCATAGATCTCCAGATCCGGCTTCCTCATACCCACATGCGCAGAACTAACAAACAGATCAAAAGTCCCCTTCAACTCTGCATGGAACTTTCCATCCGAGGAGGTTTTGCTGTTGAACTCATGCCCATCCGGGAAGATGGACGTATTGCTCAATGCAGCAAGGATATACCCCTTTTCCTCCGCATGCCGCCTCAACTCCTTCAAAGCCGGCCACATATAAGGATCCGGCTTCCTGCTCACCGTCATCATTTCCCAAAACAACTTCTCTCCATCTATCCTCGGTGGCTCTGGGGCTTGGAACGCTGCTTCCTCAGCTGCTTGTGCAGTTCCTTCTTTCCTACTCTTTTCCAAATGTTTGATGTAGAAACTTCGCCATAGTTGCTCGTTACTGAGGTCAGAGGAAAAGGCGGAGAAAAAGACGTTGTCGAGGGCTACTTTTCCTCGTTCGAGTTTTGCCCATGCGCCGGTTTTGCCAGAGGTGGAGATTGCGGTGTTGATCCAGCCTATGGGGATATTGTTGGCCTTTTCGTAGGCGAGGATCGCTGCCATTGGAGAGACGACCTGGTTATTTGTTAGCCTGGCTATGGTACGGGGGTTGTGGAGAGAGGTGGCTTACGCAGACACCGCCAATGTCGAAGAGGAGGACTTTGGGGGTAGGAGACGACATTGTGATAGTGTAATTGATAAGTCACCTATGAGATGGGTGATGCAGCTACATGTTGGAAGGTGTGTGCGATGAACAGACTGGTATGGATGTTGATGGTCCGAGGTGTGAAGTCATCTCCGCAACCTTGGTGGATTTGCCGAGGCTGAATCTTGCTTTAGGCAGGTCTTCTGTTCACCAACAGAACGCCGGGAATAACATCGTGAATATGTAAACTACACACGATCAAGGTGGAACTGTAAAGAGCCAATAGAGCTGTTGAAGGGTCGGAAAAACTGACTGGATTGAGCATGTTGAGCGGGTCTGCTAAGCTATGGATCACCCACATAGGTTTGACATTTTCAAGATTATCAACTACCGCAACACTCGCATCAAATAGTGTAGCGATACAATATTTGGCTCGAAATGAACATGGGTAGCACCTGCCGGTATGAGTAGGGTGGTTGATGCGAGAGGCTCTCATCGCGCTCTCAATCAATGGTCCTCACATGTAGAGATGGTGGTGATGGGGATGACCCTGACAGGATTATCTGGCGAGGTTATGCCATGTCCTAGCCTACCGTTATCGTTCGACATTGGCCATACGATTGAGCATCTATCGACTCCTAGAAAAAGGACTGATGAAAACGAGTCTTTTAAAACCGGGTGGTGGACACAATGCCGTCTTTGGCTCTCAGAACCCCTCGACGAAAGCATCGAGGGCTTAGTCCATGCAGATATCGACACAACTGATACCCCGAAGGCGAAGTCATTTCTGGATGTCGTAGGACGTGAATACCCTATCTTCGTACATAGTAGGACGTCTAGCTAACCCAAGGGTGTCGTAGATTACAGCAGGGCTGATCTTCTTTGGCTTGGTGTCGACAATGGAGAAAAGTTGCATAAGAGAACTTAAAAGCATAGAGCGCGATGCTCTTTTCGATTTCCAGTCGGCCGTTGCAAGGCTACGCGATGCACTCGTAATATAACCTTAGGTAGTAAATCTCCACCTAACATCGTCATCACCTTCCCAGCCTCCTTCTTTTCTCTGCACTTGCTGCTCTTCCAAAACATCTCTCTTCTTGTTCTCTCTATGTAGAGTCCACCAAGTCAATCCAGCTACGCAAACATTCATACAAAGATACGCCAATGCAAACGAATGTCCTAGAACATATCTTGGCGCTGTCTCGGTCCGATACAATTGTGTACCTAAAATTGCACCCATATTGCCAATCGTGATCTGCATGCCTGTAGCCGTGGCTCTCTTGGTCTGACCAGACACATTGATAGCGGGTAGAGACAGGGCTAGGGCGGTTGAGGGGTAGATTCCAGCAGCTGCGAAGAAAGTGCCTACGTAGCTGATGGCAGGATGACGAGTAGGGTGCTCGTTGGACAGGAGAATGGCGTAGCCGATTATGCCGGTCAGAGAGGATGTCATGATGAAGACGTTTCTGCGGCGATACTTTTCGGCAGTGATCGCGTAGATGACTGTCAAGCCTGTTGCGAGAGCATAAGGAGGGATACTGAGTAACTGGGCGGACGATGCCGTGTAGCCAAGAGACTTGATGATAGAGGGCTGTGGCCGGTTAGTTACACTTGTGCTACATGGCGCATTGACTAAGAATGATGATGACTTACCAAGAACAGAGAGAGGGTGTAGAGTGGCAGACTCAGCGTATGGAAGTGTGCACAGTACAACCAAACCTTGGGATCTTTGAATGCCTTCCACACTTCTGACCATTCGAAGACCTCGGTATTGGACGCGTCACTGTCGGCCTTGAGACGTGCCATGACATAGGCTTTCTCGTCAGGCTTGAGGAACTTGCTCTTTTGGGGCCAGTCGACGATGAACCAAAAGGCGGCCACACCAATGAGTACAGTAGCTATACCCTCCTGAGTGAACAGCAATCAGTATCCAGATACAATGGGCGCAGGCGTTATACTTACAAGAATGAAGATCCAAGCCCAGCCTTTCTTCCCACCTACTCCTCTCATGAAGCCAATGCCCTGGATTCGGTCAGTGAATGTAGGCAAGACACTATGCTGGACCAACCCACATATGCCAGGATACCACCGAAAGCGCCTGCCATACTAGCAGCAGAGAAGAACAGCGCGACTCTGTATGTTCTTTCTTCTCTCTTGTACCACATGCTGAGATAGAATACTACACCAGGGAAGAGTGCACCCTCTGCGACACCTAGTGCGGTTCTGATAACGAAGAAGCCGACTTTGTTCACCAAGATGCCCTGTAGGACCGTAATGATACCCCAGACGATTGTAACACTGGGCAGCCAAATTCTAGGACCAATTCTCTTCAGGATCAGATTCCAGACCACTTCCAAAGCGATATAGCCGATGAAGAATACTGTGAGACCAGTAAGATATTCGTTTCCAGTCATGTGGAGATCCGTGGTCAAGCCCTCGAGACGGGCGTTGGCGACATTGCTGCGATCGAGGAAGGAAACAAGATAGAGAAGGACCACACCAGGTAAGAGCTTCCAGTCGAGCTTACGGAGGAGTGCTTTCTCGTTGATGTGTGTGTAGTCGGCCGAAGAGATTGAAGAGGCGGATTGTGGCGACTCATCCTCAAGGTTGACACGCTTCTCGATGTCTGCCATCGTTGCTGTTAGGTTGCCTGATGGCAAGAGGCAATTGAAGTGATGCGACTACAAAAGAGAAAGTTTCAAAGGAAGGAAACAGGGAAGGGAAGATCTACCATAGATATGTACGACCCTCCCTCTACACAACCCACCTACCGTAAACGGCCTGAGCAGCCAGACGACCTCGAAGTCGGCCTTGTGTGTTGATTGCAGCAAAAGTATATTTTCTGACGTCTTCCAAGCCACTTTCTCCATCATTCTCACCGCACATGGAAGGGGATCCAGAATCACGTATCTGGGGTTGAAGGCAGATTGGCCAATGAAAGTGGTTGTCTACGATCAAAACGTGCTTGCGTGCGTGGGTTGCAGCTCTTGCATCTTCGAGGCTTGCGATGTCGTGATTTGGGGTTCGCCGATCTTTCCTTCCATCCACGCGACAAAGAGCCTCGGACGGACTTGAACGTGTTTGCGATATAGCCACACAAGCACGGCATTCTTCAAGAAGAGTCGAGATTCTCAAGAGAAAATTGTGGAAACGGGGCTGTGGGCTTGATCGCGCCCATGGTCGTGATTGATGTAGGCGGTCGACTGACAGGACTGCAGTCGAGCTTCCTTGTAACAAGCCAATCAAGCGAGCTTACGCAGAGCATGCGACTGCACTCAAGTCCGTTAGAAATCGACCCTAGAGCGCTACAGCAATTAATTATTTGGAAATGGTCGTGTCTCCTGGCTGACTGCTTTGGTCGCAGTAAGAGCGATGCGAGGGTGAACATCTCTACGTGGTACGTTTCAAAGTTTGTTGCGCCCTCTCCTCTTCCTCATAAGTCAAATGCAGAAAAAAATGAGGTAGAGAGAGGCACAGATAGTTTTCAGAGCGAGGCCATCTGGGCAGCGAGTTCAGCAGATGACAAGTCGTCGCTTCAAATCTCGACAATATTGTGCCTCGAGCACGGAGAAGAAGACCGGCGGGTCGAGAAGCTTGGTTGCATAACTTTGTGCAGCTTGGTACATTTCATCACGTGTGCATAAAGATAATCATAACTTATGACATACTGCCTGATAAATTGTTAAGCATTATTAAAGACTTTTGATAGCGATAGTGTAGAGGGATATCACCCGTGCCCAGAACAAAGAGAATAAAAGGCTATATACGTAAATGGGGTATTTCGAACAGAACGACAAGGCTTAATACAAAGGAAACCATCTAGCGGATCCCGTTGAGGTCACTCGGTCTTCTTTCTACGCTTTTGAGAGCCAGGGCCTTTACGGCCCGGTCCCCCAAAGTCATTCCAGTAGCGATCTTCACTACCGCGGCCAGGCGCAAGGCTAACACCTGACCTGCACTTTGGCTGCTTGAAGTCCTCGGCAGTACCTACAGGCCAGATTGGCAGAAAGCAAATCTCATCAGCAGCACAGCCATGACATTGCTTCCATGTGCTCCAAGACAGGTACTCCTTGAGCTGCTTGACCTGATCCAGTGCAGTGTCAAGATCCACTTGTTCAGACGCGTTCAACAGGCTTGAGCAAATAGTGTTTGTGACTTGACGAATCGCTTGTGCCGCAATGCTTGTAGTCGTGGTCGAGATGTGTTCCGGAATGAATTGATCAGCACAACGGTCAATCTCTGAGCTGCTGTTGCGGGCGCTGTAATCAATGAATGGACGAAGTGCACGCTCAACCTCGGCTTGAAAAGCCTCGAGGGTGGTGAGTGAGCCTGCAGTAAGGTACTCAATACGATCAGCGTAGCGTGCAATTATCATATCAGCGACGGCTTGCCAGTCGACAGTCTCGACATCGCTATCCTTGCGCAACACCATCTTGTCGACGGCTTCGCGGACATTTTCGATTGTCGTAGAAGCATTGTTGAGACGAGGACGACCTGTCTTGTCGAAGTAGATAGCCTCGGGATACGCAAAGGCAGACACAAAGTTCTCATAGTCCAGGACCACGCGTTCACCACCAATACCATGATAACGAGCAGCAACAGCACGATAGTAGTTGAAGCCATCGCCGTCACCGCCGCCGCCTCCGAAGCCACCAGATGCTTTTGGGTTGGTCTTTGCAATGCTCACGACGTCAAGATGGGCAGCGAAATCACACAGAATGATCTCGAATCCACCTTCCATGCGCAATATTCCATCGATGCGGTCGCCCCATTGTTCATGGGCCATGTTACACATCTGATTGGCGCGCTCCTTCTCACCAAACATGCCAGAATCATGGTCAATGCTATTTTCTAAGAGCAAAACATCTTGGGTGTCGAGAGTACCCTTCTGTGATTTGGCAGCAGACTGGCCATCGACATAAAGCAGGCGCAAACTATGCTTTGTACGGTATGTATGCAGGAAACCCGAGTCTTGGTCCTCGGCAACGTCTGTCACCAGAGGCTCCTGTTCCGCTCTCGTCTCAATCTTTTCAGTAACAGGAGGCAGTGGAGAAGAGATCGAATCGATGACAGGAGTGTGGCGTCGCTTAGGGTTACGCAACAGGTCACCCAGGCGATGCACCCAAAAGCCAATTGGTGGCAAGGGGAACCCGCCATGATGGTCGTCATTATCACGGTGATCATGATGAGGGTCGTTAAGCTCATCGAAGAATTCGTGGGGTGGTGGACCGTGATGTTCATGATGTTCGTAGTCACCGTGGTGCTCATCATGATGATCACGGTGTTCAAACCACTCGGGAGGTGGTCCATGATGGTCGAAGGGGGGACCCCTGCGCGGAGGCCCATGATGGCCTTCGTCAGGAGGTCCACCACAAGGAAGGTGGCCTTCTCCTGGAGGACAATGGTGAGGTGGCGGAGGACCGTGATGAGGTGGAGGCGGACCACGATGAGGTGGGTGAGGTGGAGGACCACGATGTGGGACGTCTGGACGAGTGTCGTTACGGGATGGCCCATGGCACTTGTCGTCGTGATTCTTTCCAGGACGCTTCTTACCGTCTTTGCTTCCGCGATGCTCTGGTATTTCACCAGCGAATCGCTCCTTTCCATCGCCACCAATGTGCTTGCGGGCTGAGGACTTTGGAGACCCATCGGGGAAGTAGGGGCCCTTAGGCTTCTTGTCATCAACTCCGCTAGGGGGTGGGGGCTCTTGGCTGGGAGAATGCCCTGGAGGAGGTCCTCGGTGTCCACGAGCGAATATCAGGGCATGCTCAGGCTCAAACGCAAGCCATTGCGTGCCATTGATACGGTCACGTTCTGATGTTCCGTGATAAAACTCTGTGCCTTCCGGTACTGTCGCCATGAAAAGAGACATGCCATTGTGATTCAACGAGGATCCGAACTGACGCATGGAGTCGTGTACAGCATTGAATATGTAGTTTGCATGTGTGATGGCGTTAGTGTTTGGCGCAGTGTGAGTGCTTGCTGGTAATGGACCTGCTGTGACCAGCCAGGGGAGGAGCAATGGTAGAAGATGTTGCGAGCGAGGCATCTTGAGTGCTCTACCTCAGTAGTGCGTCGATGGTGATGTTCTACGGTCAAACGTGAAGGGCAAGACTACAGATATGAGAGGAAGAGACTGTCTGATATTATCGAGCGCGTGTACAATGCGTGGCCGCGCGTACTATACTGAAAGCCAAGCCGTTGCTTGCCATACCTAAAGCCTTATGTAAAGCATTGCGCCAGCTCAAATCGTCAGCACTTACTGTTCAGCTCGAAGCAATTATTGGTTATATGACGAGTCAAATGCTTATAAGATGATCTGCATGTCCAGCTTCAACATATTGTTCATCAGGCGGCAAGTTTTGCATGCTGCAGTGCATGAAGTCGACGGTGGGTGGGTGAGATTGAGGGTGTGCGTGATGTTTCGAAGCCCGGCAGATTGCAAATCCTCCACAAAATCGATTCAGGGTCTTCGTGACAGTCGCACCGAGTTCTGGTGCTTGCAACCTAATGCACCTGCCCAGCTTTTTGCTAGAAAGACCACGCACGCATCCAATAGAATGTGTCGAAGAATCAGACGAGGCGTGGCAGTGTTTAGCGACGGGGCGAACGATGGCTAGAGTTCGGTCGATTCTTCTGCGCGACAGACTTCTGCCCGGAGCTTTCGGTAAACATAACCGATTCTGGCCGGCAAGGCTGACGACGACAACTCAACGCATGTTTGTCACCGCACAGCTCGGGATTATGCAACATATTGTTTCCATCTACCACGCGTAGCCGCTGGACCCAGGGAGTTGTAGCGACGTCCACAGAAACTTTCCGCTCCTTCATTCACCTACAAGTATCCGGGGATGATCCTCCGACCTAGTCAATCAGTGCGTCTTTCCACAATCTGATTTAGCTCTGCGAGGACGCTGGAAGCGCGTTCGAGTCCGTCGACAACATGCGGCCAGCAACAGTACACTCCAAGTAATGAAGACCAGCACCGTAAAAGCTTTGCCTCGTGGCAGTCGATAAGTCACAGATGAAAGCTTCCTCCTCTACATACAAGCAGATCAGCGCCAAAGTCGAATCCGCTTCAGACGATGCGTCAACGTCCTCATCTCAGATATCAAGATTATTCAAAGTGTTCCCGCTGTATCAGCGGCTGGGATCTTGGGTTTGGTGGATCCTTAAAGACATCAACGTTCGAATCGGTCAAGCCTCCAATGTTGACCAGATACGCTTATTACGCTGAGTTCCAAGCCTGATAGTAGTTTGTTCGAGTCATCTCACACCTGACTACAACAACGATGCAGCTTTGGCTGCCATTATCCGCTATGACATGCGATAGCGATCTGACAACTGCATGACTCTTCTACTCATCGCCTTACTGGCATGTCCCATATCGCGCTGCTAAACGTGCCCAAGAGTAAGGCCGGACGACGCCTACCTAACAAATTTTGTTGATCGAGGGTATCTCTCAGATGAAAATATGCCGTGATACACAACAAAGACAAGGGCGGGAGCGAGGGGATTCAGCACAGGAGTAGGAGCTTCGTATGAGAGATGTCCATGCGATAGGACGACCGGAAGTTGTGAATACAGCAACGTTTCGACAATTCGGTTCACAAGCTCCGGAGATGCGAAACACTCACCTAGAACGTCAGCACGCTTGGCGAGATATGAGCACAAGTTGCTTCTGACGAGAGGTTGCTTGGCTGCTGTCTCTTATTAGAGCTATCTCTCAATCTGGAAGGAAATACGGTGATCCAACGCGGGAGCTAGCGGTGAACGTCAGAATATGGGCTTGGCAGGGACAACGCCGCTGCGATCGGCCAAATCCAACCTCAACTTCATGACAACAAGATAAGGACTCTGGGAATGTTGTGGAGAGCATCCCAGCGCCATGGACATGGTAAGCATTCAGGAGCGTTAGTAGCCACTGGCATTGTCATTGCTTGTTCCTTCGTGACACTCTAGAGTTCAACGAGGACCAGGAGACATCGGGGTATCATTTCTTGAATGCGGGAGCATGGATTGCATCTTGGATAACCCGCAGCCTTCTCCCGCCCCCGCCGACAAATCAAGAGATGAGCCGGTTGGACACATCCCCCGGATGATCGAGTTGATCCTGATAAGAAATGTCACCAATCCCCCGATGAGTAGCTGCTTCTCCAGATCCCAGGCAAGCAATATGCTTAAATCGTTGGTTCCGTGCTTCCCAACCAGTACTTCCGCTCACCCTTACTCGCAGCCGCGGACCAAGGGCTTGAAAACGAGTAAAGAGTCTCTAAGTTTCTGGTTCACATCGTTTTGGTGGCTGCCGAACCGCATCGACTTAGGTTATTGAGCCTCTTATCTCTGCCCTTTATGTGGGTTTCTGATAACAGCCGTAATGGTGCATCGTATTGTGCTTTTAGGTGCCCTTTCATATTGGGTCGTTCGACAAGACTACACACCTACCTATTCACATCCCAGCTCGTACGAAACGAGTCTCTAGGAACTTGTAACCTCACCTCGACATGGCCATGGCTTACCCATACAATCAACCTCTTGAGGTGATTCACAATGCCTACTCTCCTCAACAGACATCTGAGATAGTATCGCGAATGGGAGCTGCAAAGGCTCGCATGCGTATCGACAAAATCTTTGTGAGCGCCTTCATGGCAGGAGCAATCCTCGCATTTGCTTGTGCTGCGGTCTCAGTAGTCAACACGGCCCCATGGTATCAAGAAAACGCTCCTGGTGTCATCAGATTGTTCTCGGCTCTCATCTTCCCCTTCGGTCTCGTCGCCATCATCCTGACCGGTGCAGACCTAGCTACTGGCAGTTTCTTGGTAAGACCTTTCCCACCATGTCCATCTTCAGCCGCTAACCACGAGCAGTTCACAACAGTGTCGACACTTCATCGCCGCACCAGCATCCTCGAAATGCTCCAACACTGGACTATTACTTTCTTTGGTAACCTCGCTGGCTCCCTCTTCATCATGGGCATCGTCATCGGGTACGGCGGCATCCTCGACGACGCCGCCTACCGCGCCCAGACCGTCAAGTTCGCAGCCGCCAAAGTCGCCAAGCCCGAATGGCATCAAATCTTCATCCGCGGCATTGGCGCGAACTGGCTGGTCTGTCTCGCCTGCTTCCTCTCCTGCGGTGCCAGAGAGATGTTCTCCAAAATCGTTGCAATCTGGTGGCCAACCTTTGCCTTCGTCATCCTTGCCTTTGACCATCTGATCGCGAATATGTTTTACATCCCTATGGGTATCTTCTTGGGAGCAGATATTAGTGTCGGACTGTACATCTGGAAGAGCATGATCCCTGCCTTATTGGGCAACATAGTTGGTGGAGGCTTGTTTGTTGGTGTTGTCTACTGGTACATGTACCTGGCTGGTAATCCTAGCCCTATCTTAATTGATGGAACTAGCTATGGGGGACCTACAACGTCCTTGTTCGGTGTCAATGCCGATGTCGAGACGCCACCTCAGACGAGAGTAGATTCTGACAAGACCAGCATGGCTTGATGGAACGAAATGCAAGTCAAATTTGACGTTATACAGTACTAGTAGTAATCATTGACCCGAATACGGAGATACTCCGATTCACTACGCAACAATCACCCACAAGTGACATGTTGCTCAAGATGATGCTGTCGACAGGCACAGTGAATTTCTAAACGCGAGCACGATAGCTGGAGACAACCCTAACAAGGACACTCTCCTTGGGAGTCTTCAGGGGCTAAATTTATTTCTACTGCATGATGGCAGTACTTCGAAGTGCACACTAGGGACGAAAGAGTCAATGCTAATCCGTGATTATGATCTCGGAACCAATGTGCTCTAACATCAATCTTTGATAGGATCTGTGTCACCGAGCATCAGCTTTGACCGATGCTGCTGTGACGTAGCGACTCTTTAGTCGTTACGGTCATGTTGAGCCAAGAACGGTTGCGCGTCCTCGTCATAACTATCGCGTTCCCTGACATCGGTGTCGTAACTAGTAGGCTTGCCTCTGACACCAGCCATAGCCAGAGCGTCAGCTCTACCCTTCTCAGTATCGATTATGTAGATAAGAGGAATCGGTAAAGCGATCAAGATAGCCAAGAAAGCAAAAGCTGGTCTGATTGTGCCAGCAACATCGACAATCATTCCCACTATAGCAGGCCCAATGGCCGAGCTACCTTTGTCAGTGATTGCATAAAGGGCGTAGAAAGCCGCTTCGCTGCCCGGCGGTACGAGAAGACCGTAGAAGGAGCGACAGTAAGACGATAGACCACCCATGACGAAGCCGTGCACCACACCTAGAGGGTAGATCTCCCACGCTTTTTGTAGACCTCCAAAGCCCCAGGACTGAACGAACGGCAGATATCCGATGAGACCATAGATGGGAATAATCTCCATGAGCAGGACGCAACCGATGATGGTCTGCTGGGTGTCCAAGCGATAGCGGCGCGAGATAATCGGCCAGGTAAATGCTCCAGCAATACCGGAGGACGTGGCTGTGATGGAAAGCATGGCGATCTGCACAGTGCTCATCTTGAGCTCAGTTCTCGCGAATAGGATAGCAGTGCCTGAAACAGTGGCTATCGAATCCGACAGTAAGAACCATGCAATCAAGAAAATGACGGTTTGACGCAGCTTCACGGCCTGCTTGACAGTTTGCCAAACGGATGACCATGCAAAGACAAAGTATGCGAGGATCTGACCCAGCTTGCCACGACGCGCGCCGAAATTTTTGAGAGGGGGACCAGGACGGTCGCGCAGCCATAGAGCACCAGGTATGGTACCAATAGCCCAACATACGCCCACTAAGAAGAGGACAAGTCGAAGAGGTATCGACTGCGACGAGAAGTTGACCTTCCCGAGACCGAAGAGCATCCCGATACTCACAATTTGCACAAGAACCGCGGCCATATAGCCAAGACCTACGCCTTTGGCAGAAATCTTGTTGGAAAGGGCCAGTGCTGGTGAAGTTTGCTTGCCGTCTTGCCCTTCAGGTGCTGCCGAGTAAGACCCGTCAGGTTCCACCATGCTGACAGATGCTGAGGGCAATCCTGACTGTTCTTCTGCAGAGATGACAGACGGATGGTTGCTGGCCAACAGTGGTAGGAAAGAGTTCAACAACACGAATGAGGAGCCAAGGGACGCCACACCCAGAACGACTAGGACAGATCCTAGTAGATATATGCTGGGAGTGACCACGATGAACAACATGCTTGAGACAGACCCTATACATCCAAATGCAAGCAGTAGCTTCTTGCGATATGTCCCTATCGCGAGTCAGATAGAATCAGAAGGTTTCACAGAATATAGCTTACCATGATCAGCGAAAGAGCTGAAGGATATGAGTACTATCGCTTGTACGAGAACAGCAATCGAGAATGTGTACATGGCAAACGACGCTGTCGAGATGTCCTTTCCAAAGGGCTGCACCACACATTGGGCCTCATTCTTCTCGGTAGCAGCACGAGTGACAGCTCGCAAGAGTAGGTGTTGAGTTTCAGCCGCAGCGGACTTTGACTTCACACATGGAGTAACATGATCGGATCGTAGAACACCTCTTTCTTTTGCCAACTGCTCGAGTGTGACCGGAAGAAATGAACCTGGACTTTGTCAGCAATTTCGATGCGTCGAAGGATACACACGTAGGTGACTTACCAACCCCAGCCACGGCGAATATTTCGGCAGCCAGGCCGTACGAGTACCAGCCTTTCAACTCACGATCGCTCGTTGGTGTGATATCCTCGTCTTCATATCGACGAGGCTTGCCACTATAGTTGCCCTCACTGACCCCTTCCATACTTGGTCAACTAGAACAACATGTTGTTTTCACGCGTCAAGAGGGGAACGTGACGCTGTTGTCAGCATTGTTCGGGTGGGTCATCCGAAGCTTCCGATGGAGGGTCCACCAAAACGCGTCAGGAAGCGACAACTTGGTGCCTTGATCCCCATGTCGAGAGACCGACTCAACTTCGAGCATAGCAGAGTCACATGGCATATCTCAAGTCGCATCTGCGATTGGTGTCAGGTAATGATATTACTGCTGTCGCTAGTCGACCTAGTCGAGCCGGAAGCGAAGATCTTACCGGTAAGCCGCATGTCACAATCTATCCGTGTGCTGTGTGCCCTGTCACGCGTATCTGTCTAAAGGCACGATGCAGTATAGAACGCGACAGTCCTCGCTACAAATGATTACATTGCCAGCTTTCTTTGCACGTCATCTCCATCTGAGCTTGACTGTGCCTCTTTACGTTCTGACACGGCTTGGAGGACTTGTTCGACATCGCAAACGGTTATCAAATTACCTCAGGCTTGCAAGAGCGAGTTTAGACCCCGATACTATTTCTCCTTGATCATAACAGTCAGAGGACTAGGTAGATCACCAGCCCTGTCGGCTGAGTCAACCACTCAGGCGTTGCCCCAAGGTGGGGTGGTCAACAAGCTGGCTGCATGTTATAACCCAGGACTGAGCGCCACCACATTTCTAAGGCATCCATCTGGACTCAGTCTCAAATCATATAAAGACCCGACCCGACGCGACCGAGCCGATCTCTGGCTATGTTTTCAGGCGATTCTGAAGATGAGCCCCGGAAGTTCAGCGAACCACGATCGGTTTACCACGCGCGACCAAAGTCGTGGAAGGAGTGGAATACATCGCCAACCATCGCCAGTACATATACGCATTGAAACTGTACATCCCAATTTCCCACCAGACCTGCCCTCCCAACCAGACATAGAATTTGTGTTGCCAAGAAGACCTGGCTATGTTCAGCCATCGTCAGCTCCTCATCACCGAAGAACGAGCTCTTTTAAGCGGGTTCGTTGTCTTGGGGGTCCGACTGATGCGTTTTCAAGAAGCTCACTAAGTCTATTTCAGGACTACGCTGGAAAATATGAAGATGGGCATGACTATGGCCATAGTGCGAGCCGTAGAGCACACGATGGCGACCGTATGCCCAGCATCCGACAGAACTATCGACCTCGACCAGAGTCTCCACATCCCAGTGCTACTATGAGCTTTGCCCAGCAGAGTTACGGTCCCGAGAAGCAATCGAAGCATCACTACCGTAGACACTCATCTCGTCCACACGTCCCAGTACCGCCGACTGGAGGTGGTGGCGATGGTGGTGATATCCAAACCTCAGCTGTCGGTCCAGCATCACGCGACTCGAGAACACTCAATAAGATTACAATTTGTGTCTATCGGAACAGTAAGCGACAATTTGTGCAGAAAGACATCTGGTTGGTCAGAGAACACCACAGGAAAGATGGCTATCGTGACGTTCTTGCACACATTTCCATAGATGACACCTGGCGTGAGATGGGTGAGATTCGCAAAGAGGTCGTCTTCCGCCCAGATGCTTCTTTCTTCAAAGCTATACGACATACCTACAAAACTCAATTACGAGGCACAATTAGACGATTCCTGAGCTTCAAGACCGTGAGCACCGCACGAGTACTGGGGGTATGCTCGTCTGTCAATCGTCTTATCTTAGCATCTGAGTACGCTAACACCCAGAACAACAGTATGGAAACCATCGCTTCGGACTCGCCGACATCAACGAGAAATTGTTCTCGCCAGTCTTCATGAAAGTCTATAACGACCCCGATCAATCCCTCCTGCGACCGAATGACAATCCGACAGATCTCGATATCACACATAGCGACTGGGTAAAATGGTTCTGGAAAAAACGATGCACATTCGTGCTGGACAAGGAAGTCGATCTCGCCATCGAGCTTATTGAAGCATACGACCCTGTTCGCGTAATGGGTGGTATAGCCTTGGCATTGTCCATCTACTTCACACTCACTATTGTATGGCTCGCCAAAGGTGGTGATCCCAGTTACGTGGCTGGTGTCATGTCCTTTGTGCTTTCCGTACTTGCAGGTCAGTGGCTGCTTCTTCTACGCACTCTGATCGGGAAGACTGACGATTTCAAAAGTTTTGGTCGGTCTTACGGGACTATACGATTGGCTTGATCTAGGACATATGGGTGGAGGAAAGGACTTTCTCGTCCTTGGAGAAGAAGATTTTGGGGACATGGACAAAGATGGTGGACCTGGGATCTAGATTGCCAAGAATAAGGAAAACTCAATGATGTAGAGCGATCAACTTGGCCTTGGAGCTCTATACCCGGGGAGACAACTGGTGTGACTAATCTCTGTCAGGAACTGCACTGGTCACAGATGTACTGTGCCTCTGATCTGCCCCATCAAAGTTGTACTGTGTCTGCTGGAGTAAGGAAAGCAAAACGAACCGAGGCACTATGATAGAGTGAGCGAGGCCTTCTTCTAGTCCTATGAAGTGTCGGTCAAAATCATGTGCTGCCACGCATGGTATTGTTCCGAAGCAAGAGCAGCAGGACTGGGAGACACAGACTTGCTACTCGAGCACTTCGTCGTCAATGTGTGACCAGGCATGATTCCGGTTCGCTCTTCCCCAACCGTATCTCTTCAATTGTGCCCTGATCCAATGCATGGTAAATTCTTACTTCGATGGTACTGCCTCTGAAACATGGCGCACCTCGAACGTGTACGAATCCCCGATTAGGCGCAGGGAGTAGACTGAGTATCATCACAAAGTGGTTGATTTGCAGATTCGTCATAGACTAAAGTATTATAGAGAAAGCCGAAAAGTTGCGTGTCGGCAACATTATCATCTAGGAGAAAGAAGAGTCCATAACGCCGTCATTAATGCTTGACATTGCTCAGAACAGCTTGTGCTCGAGCGTCATGTCGTTTTCAGGCTCAAGGCCAACGCAAGCACGGAAGATGTTGACCAGAGCATTTCTTTGCTTGCTCAGAGCGTTGACGACGGGTGTGCCAGGAGGCGTAAGGGGGGCCTAATTCGAATTAGTCATCATATTTGCAATGGTCATCAAAGGGTAAACATACCTTGAGCATGTAGCTCAAGACACTCAACACAGAGTGGAAGCCCTTGAACTCGGAGTCCTCCGATCCGTTCTCTCTCCACTGAACTCTGGTCATGAGCTCAGCGATCAAGACCAGGTCAATGATCAGCGGTGATGCCAACAGCGAGTCCTCGCAGATGTTGAACATGTTGATGGTCTGGTGTCCGCCCATGAAGATCTCGGCATAGTACTCATCGAGAGCTCTCTTGTTGTCGCCAACACTAGGCATGTACTTGATGACAACAGTGTGATCAGGATGTTCATCCTTCTCGTACAGAATGTGGTTAGCAGCAACCATGTCATCGACAACGTTTGACTTCGAGATCTCCTTTGATCTGAACTGAGAAGGCGCGGAGAGGTTCTTGCCATCGTTGTTGCCGAGATGGTTGTAGGAGGCCAGGGACTTCACTTTGATTCCAGCGTTGATGAGGAAGTCCACAAGGGCGGACTTCATCTTTGTTTGACCGGACTTGAAGTCGTCGCCGCCAATGAAGGCTTGATGCTGCTCGGCTAAGGCAATGACACCCGGTACGAAAGTGTTCTGGGGCGAGCCGTTGATGAAGGGTGCGCCTTCGAGGATACATGCTGTTGCGAAGATGGTCGAGGGGGCGATCTCGGAGTGGCCCGAAGCAATGGACTTGAGAAGGTTGTCGGCTGTGTCGTTGACGCCAGGGAGGATGTCGGCGTAGCGCTCGGTGTTGGCAGTCCACTGGACAATAATCTTGTCGAGGCTGTGCTTGGACTTGAACTCACTGGTGACGAGGTTAGCCATGTCTTGAGAGACTCGGTCTGGAGGGCTTGCTTACCGAATATCGGCTCTGATCTTCTCGAGGTGCTCGTCACATGCCTTGGATCCCTCCAAGATGTTGTCTGCTCTTGATTCTTGATTCGCGGCGATGAAGTCTGGGTAGTAAATACTAGGCAGAGGGACCATTTGTGCCATCTCCTTGCGAACCATCTGCTTCAAGGTGGGCTCGAGTACGCCTGCTCTGTCCATGGACTCGGCGATGTTCATACCGCTGATGTCCCAGCCACCGACGACGAGTTCGTTAGGGTTGACCATGGGCAAGAGCTCGTTGAAAGGGACGTAGATCTCCTCACCAGTCTCCGAGTCGGCGCCGAGCTTGACTGTGGACGACATGACCATAGAGCCATAGTAATTTGCGGACTGCTTGCCTTCACGGGTCTCCCACGAGAGACCTTGGCGGTTGGCGATGATGCCAGCAGTCACGGTAGATCCGTTATTACCTGAAGTCTGTCAGTGACATCCCGTCCGTAAATGTTTCCAGAGCTCACGTACCACCCCAGCCGACAAGCATCATGCCGACTCTGCCAACCTTACGTCCGACCTTGAAGTCATAGACGGTTTCTTTTGGTGTTGCAACATAGGCTCCACTGGATGACTTGGTCACCTTGGTTTGACGGTAGACATACTTGCTGAGAATGGCATCATCGGAGTATGTCACGTTGGGTGACTGGACAGTGAAGAGAGGTCCTTGGGTACTGCTCGAAGCAGTCCTCTCGGTCTCGTTGAGGTAGGGAGCCATGATGGTCGATGTGGGAAGAAGCAGACGGTGATCGACGTGGGAAGGAAGAGAATTATGATCAGGATGAGTGAAGAGCAAAGACGATGTGTATAGACAGTCACTAAAAACGTAGAAAGCTTTGAATAGATTCAAGCAAGTTACTCTGACTCAATCGTGGTTGTGGTATTGAGAAAAAGAAAAGAAAGCCCACGAAAGTCGAGAATAAATACCTTCATTGCGGAACAACGTAGCATGCTCCTCAACATGTTCGCATTATCATTTGACCCCAGATGCACCAAGAGGAGGAAGTCCCGGATCATCTAGGATAGTCCGGGGTTGATATGCTGGAGAGCGGAGGTAGCGGAGGCATGGTTTCGCCGTGCTCGGAACAAATAGGCACAGGCGGTGAAGATGAGGCTTGTATGAAGCGTATGAGGCTATGAGCAAGCACGACATGCGGCCGTTGCTTCGCAGATTGCTACAGTTGGACGATTAGATATTGGAAGCCTATTGATGCGGTCACCATAAGGAGAAAGCGCGACCAAGACCGTATTCATACGAGAGGACTCACCCTGCTTTGCTCGAGCATTCAAGACTTGACGGAATTTGTCAAAAATCGGCCGAGGACAAAGAACTCCCCCTGTTTACCTCGATACAAACAGGTATTCGGATCGACTGATAAGCGGCGCAGACTGGAGGAGCAAGGAGAAGGTGAGACGAGTCAGAAAGTCAAATGGAACATGATGACATGGTTCAACTCCTGGTTCTACCTTCCCGTGCGCAGAATACTGTCACACCCTTTCTTCACAAGGATCAAATCAGGGCAACAACAAGCTGTATGAAGGCACAGTAATATCTCAAGTCGATAAGCCTGGTGCAGGGAATCGTTGACACGAAATATTTTGATGACATTGCTTCAATGTAAGAAAGTATTGTGTCTTGAGGCAGCTACATGTGTGACAGTATTTCGCACACGGGGAGATACAATCACCAAGACCCAAGGCTCCGTCTGGTTGAGGGCCCGTAGCAACAATGCGGGCACGTTGATCTGTTATAGTTAAATGAAAGTTGGCACACGGTCAGGGGAGTCGTTGTCGCCATGTACGCCTGTGGCTTAATGGGAAGAAGATCTGTCGAAGAAGGCCGAATTTGGCAGCCAGCGTCAGGAGTGGATCCATCGATCTCACGCTGTCAATTGTCACCCAAACTTGACGGACAGTGGTAGAGGGCTGCATCTGATACAAGCGGTCGTCGATTGACAGAGGACTCGCAACAATGCTACGGCTCATAATGCGCCATTCTGCATTCTGCACCAGAGCTTGAGTCGGCAATTTGGACAGGACTTCCTAGAGGAGAAACATGTGATTGTCTAGTTCAAGGAGCAGCCAATCACGCGGGGCGATTTGCGGGACCCTGGGGTGCTTTGACCAAGACGAGAGTGCTCATCTCCTTTAATTAGTTCGTCAACCACCGAAAGAGGGTGACTAGAGTTGAGCGAGCGGGTGCTGCAAATTGTTCACGAGCGTCTGTGGAGTATTGCGAGGTGATATGATGATGTTGGATGGAGAATCTGGATGGTCGCTGGGAATGTAGGTGACGAGTCGATGCACAAACTCCTGGTCATCTGCTGCTGGCACTCTGCTTCCTCTCTTTCTTTCCTTTCTGTTGCGATTTTCCATCATTTGCCAATCTCTATCACTATCCTTTACTACGGCTCCTAATATTCGAGCGTCCATTCATTTAATATTCTAATCGCTTTTCGCACCGAGACATTTAATTCCAACTGCGTGCCTTCGAGACCTCTGCCGCAGACGCCAGGGGCTACATTGTTTTCTCGTGCTGTTGATGCTACCGCTAAACTGTCAACGGTCCGGATCAGGAACTCACATACAAACAAAGTCTCTCTTTTGAGAGCATCAACATCACCGTTTCGCCTACTGTGGACTCGATCTCGAAGAAGGTCGTCCCTTATCGCTTTCTTATCCAGCGAACCGTCGCTTTCTGTTTGTTCTTCCTCAGGTGGAAGCAAGCACAGCAACCTGGAATCAACACACGAAGCTAGACTCGACCACCATTGGCAGCCATGGAGACCGAGCGGCCATTGAGCATCCTGCCTTCAATCAAATGCTCGGACTGTGGTGCAGAGATTAAAATCTCGGCCATGGGCGAGCACGTGTGTCCAGCACAGCAGGATGAACCGGCACCCTCAAGTACATGGCAGAAGCCAAAGTCGCCGACCATATCGCCATTCACATCACCGGCCACATCACCAGTCTCACCGCCAATCACATCTCCTTCGGCGGCGAAGCAGCGAAGCCTGCTGCCGCCTATGGAGCAGAGCCTGGACAGGCCGCCTTCAAGACCAGCCAGGAACCCCCTCCCTCGTATCGATCCTAATGTAGCGAGTATGTATCGCAGGTCTTGAAAGACCCGAGCAAATGGACTGACAGGGGTTAGACAAGCCGTATGCTGCGCGACAGGAGATGCTGTCACCGGACAGCTCCAACAGCTCGGGACGACGTACACCTTTGACACCACTCACAGGCAGGCCGGGTCGCTCGCCGGGAATGCGTAGCGCTACCAGCCCCAGCCCTCGACTGCCGCGTGAGCCATCGCAAGAGCTGACCGGAAACATGGACTGTGCCTTCCCACCCTTCCCTACCGCACGATCCAAGTCGGCCGCAAGAGTAAAGAGCCCGGTACCCGATGCATACTACGCCCCTCGAAGCCCCATCGGTAATGGAGGTGCCATTGTTTCACGCAAACTAGATACAATCGCTCCTGGGCCTTTCAACGCGCCCACGCGCAACTCGTCTCGCTCACCTTCGTCCAACGTGGGTGCTCAGGCGCCTCCTGCCATCACCATCGACCAGCCTCCAGCCGAGAGAGCCGCCTCGCCCATCTTCAGGTCCGCATCCCCTGTCAGTTACGAGAGACCTGCCTCCCCTCCCTCGCCTGTTCCCGCCTCGCCAACCTTATCTTCGACTTCGACTGCTTCCGTTGGCACCAACCGGGAAGGACGTCCAATCCCCCAGCGCCCTGTTCGACCGGAGCCACTTGACGGCTTCCTAGCGATGCTCAAGAGCGAGTCGGAGGCTGCAGGGCAGCAGCTATCAAACATGACGATTCGCTCAAACACATTCCCCCTGCCTCCATCCACATACAAATCACCCGAACTTGGCTCTGTTCTGAGAAGTCCCTCGGCACCGCCTACGAGGCAGCGACGACCCACCATCTCTGCTCCGTCGCAAAGCGCTCCTGGCGCCTCTCTTCCCACTGCCTCGTCCACTGGCCCACCTGCCCTCCCTCCGCTCCCTACCATCTCGACTGCTGTGGCTCCTGCGCTTCCGCCTCTTCCTTCAGCCGCCGACTTGCAGAAACATGTCCATCCCGTCGTGCACGCTCCTTCTGATTCGGCTTCCTCTGCCTCATCTACACAAAGCTTCAAGTCTGACATCAGTCCACCCGTCTCGGCATCGTCAAGCGTCTCCATGCTCTCGACTACCCTGAGTGATCTCTCTGATCCTTCGCTCCTTGTGCCCAGCCTGCAAGTTAAGAGCAAGCAGATCAATCGCCTCAGCCCGGACGATGCCTTCAAGCCCAGCTTTGTTGTTGAGCGCCAGACAGCTCCAGCTCCGTTTGAGGAGAGGCTGGATAGTCCAACCGAGAAGATGAATCATTTCCCCGTGGGCACTCCTCGTATTTCCCGCGAGGCTGACTATCCCGAATCGCCCGTGGTTCCTGGTTTCCACGTCAAGCGTCCCTTGAGCCCTATGTCAACAACATCCACGCCCATGGCCTCTCCGCCCACCGAGCATGGCTTTTCCTCCAGACCCACATCGTCCAAGCGACCCGGAACCTCTTCCAAGCACATCTGTAGAGGCTGCAGCGAGCCCATACAAGGCAAGTCTGTCAAGGCTGCTGATGGACGCCTGACCGGTCGCTACCACAAGCATTGCTTTGTTTGCAAGACCTGCAAATCGGCTTTTGCGACTGCTGACTTCTATGTCATCGACAACAACCCATACTGTGAGCATCACTATCACGAGCTCAACAACTCCCTGTGCGCACATTGCGATCGCGGTATTGAGGGACCATACCTCGAAACCCAGCAGACTCAAAAGTTCCATCCTAGCTGTTTCACCTGCATTGACTGTCACAAACCGCTGAGCGATGATTACTTTGAGATTGCTGGTAAGGTCTACTGCGAGCAGCACGCCTTTGCATCGGTCCGCCAACAAGAGGGACTCGGACCTAAGAGAAACATGGAAAGAAGAACAACACGCTTCATGGTCATGTAAGATTGGACGAGGCCCACGAGCCCAGCAACGACTTCCGACCTCGACTGAACGCGACCATGTACATCTCCTTCCGTCCCAGCCCTTCTCTACGACGACCCAAAAACCACGGACCAAGTACATTTCTTAGGACTTCTCCATTTGTCCGCTACTTTTCTTCCGTTCGCTTTGAAAATACTTCTTTATATCGGAGATACCCATTACTTTATTGTATATACCTTCTATCTTGCAAGCCGGCTGTAGCTGTAGAACAGCTCGTACTGCACAAAAATTTGCACACCTATTTTACAACCACAAAGACTCCTCTTCTTGCCTTTCTTCATCATAATTGCAGTTCTCAATGAAACTTGAGCGAGAAGTCCGGGTTCCCAGGTCTCGACTTGTACACGATTGACTTCGAGCCCGGCCCATAGCTAATCACTGCCCTAACAGCTAAAAAGTGTAACCGCATGGGCGGCGTGATCCGATGAAGTTGATCTGCTCAGGCATTGCGCCGGGAGCAACATGCTTGGATGCACTTCTATTGTGGTCGACCATGTGAGAAAGGCTTCTATAGCTAAGCACACCAACATGACTTCACACGGTCGAGTGGCCGGACCGAGGAAGAGGTCGAGACTCGAGAGGCTGTGAGGGACAGCGAAAGATTACATCGCAATTTGCCGGCCGTGAGCAAGAGTCATGCACGAAGCGAGGATCTTCTATTCCGGCCAAGAAGCACGGTTGGTGGCTGGCTGTTCTAGTGGTAAGTATTTCATGGGTCCTGCACGACCGTTGTCCATGGCTTGTAAGAGAAGGTGTCCACGCGGAAATGGTGGAAAGAAGGGCAATGGGCATCGGAGACGGACAAGCGAGCTAGATGGGAAGACGAGAGAGACAGAGACACGCAAAGTCAAGCGGTTGATAGTGTCAATAGCGGCATTGATGTTTTGGTGTCAGAGAAAAACGCATCAAGTAGAGTGGTGTCGCAGAGAGGCCATAATTAGGTGAACAGGATCGAAGAGGTCTTGCGATCCGACGGTGCGTGTGTGTGGGATATGTTTAGCCAGCGCAGACAGGCTTCCAGAGACAATCGTGACCTCGGTCAAACGTGCAACAATTTGAGGGCTTGATAGACGAGCCATACATGGACAACAAACTTTACACTCTTGATGGACGGACATGCGATGAGCGTTTCAAGCTGTGCGATGGCTTCTCTTCGTCGAGTCCCTCTTTCTAGAAGATTGGGCTCTTCGGCAGGCTCAGGTCGGACTTTAGGGCCTCAGCCTTAAGTTAGGAAGTTGTTAGCGTGTGGAGGTCGAAGCCTGTGCGCTTTCTACTAATTTACACTGGGGTGGTCTGAGTGTCGGATCAAATGTGCCAGCTCTCGAGGTGAGTCGTCAAATGGCTGTTAGGAAGAGGTGCTCGAGGATGCGAAAAGATGCGAGACAGAGCGGATGGAAGCCGATTGTATTGTGGGACAGCAAAGCAAGACATATGAGAGGTCCAGTGTAGCAGACAGAGGCTTGATAGATTGTTTGATGAGATTACTCTTCAGATCAGCGTTTGAGTGCGCGAGTCAACTCGAGGCTGGGTTTGGCGCCAAACTTCTTTCCGCGGCCCAAGTCGGCAGGCCGCCCCTTTTGATTTGGAGAGCAGGTCTGGCGGCGGCGCTGCTCGTGGCTCTGCACAGTGCAAACAACGTCTGTCCTGTCTGTCTCTAGGTTTGTCGCACCGCAGACTGCTTGTCCCCGCCGCTCCTTGCCTCTTGACTTGTCTTGTACCTGCACGCCAGCCGCTGAGAAAATTGCATCCAAAGACGTTTCTACGTTTCTGCTTTTCTGCGCTTTCAAGTAACTAGTCGGTCCCTGCTGCACTCGACTCTCGGCTCCCGCTCCAACCGTTGGCCTTTTGCTCATTGGCCGTCACCTCTAGCCTGCCGACCAGCGACGCTTCGATCTATCCAAACCGACATCCATCTCTTCTCCCAATTCCACGTACAGTACTATCACAATTCCCTGCTCGTCCACCAGAGCAGCATACGGCTCCGCGCAGCTTCACTCTCCTTGTCAGACTCGCCCCGCTGTCGCACCTTCAGGTCGGTACCCACTCAGATCTTTCCTTCCCTTGCCTGCACGACGCTCTCTATTTCCGTCACCTTGATCTGTCGATTCGCTTGTCTGCGTCGAGCGATCGCCTTTGTACCCTGCGGCCCTCGCCTTGGTCGTCAAGGCCCAGCCACAGACACTGCCAAAGCTCCAACACGGCGAACTCTCCTTTTCATTCGCTGTTCGCGCCGCCATTTGTCGCTCCCAAGCCTTTCACTATTCGCTCGCTGTTCTTTGCGTCTTCCTCCCCATCTGCGTTCACTGCATTCAAAACTTCACCAGCCTCATGTACCACTCACAACCTCGTTGGTGCGACGCATGCTGACACGTCTCACAGTACCTCTTGTAATTGCATCTACGCGTTTCCCTCTCTACATCCCGGCAATCGCCAACACTTGAATACCGTTACCGTCAGAACTACTCAACTACCGCCAAAATGGGTTGTGGTATGAGCACCGAAGATAAGGAGGGCAAGCAGAGAAACGAGGAGATTGAGAACCAATTGAAGAAGGACCGCATGTTGCAGAGAAATGAGATCAAGATGCTGTTGCTCGGTTCGTCGTCTCCTTCTTCGACAGCTGCATAGCACGTCTGCTGACACAACCACTACAGGTGCTGGTGAATCCGGAAAGTCGACCATCCTGAAACAGATGAAGCTTATCCACGAGGGTGGCTACTCCCGCGATGAGAGAGAGTCCTTCAAGGAGATCATCTTCAGTAACACTGTGCAATCCATGCGCGTCATCCTCGAGGCCATGGAGTCGCTGGAACTCCCCCTCGACGACCAGAGAGCCGAATACCACGTCCAGACCATCTTCATGCAACCCGCACAGATCGAAGGCGACAACCTGCCCCCAGAGGTCGGCAACGCCATCTCGGTCCTCTGGAAGGACCCCGGTGTCCAGGCCTGCTTCCAGCGCTCAAGAGAATACCAACTCAACGACTCTGCCAAATAGTATGTTGATGCGCCTGCTTGCCTCTGTCAATGTCCCCTCACTGACCATGCCAACAGCTACTTTGACTCGATAGACCGCATTGCCCAGCCTGACTACATCCCCAACGACCAGGATGTCCTCCGTTCTCGTGTCAAGACCACCGGTATTACCGAGACTACGTTCATCATCGGCGACCTTACATACCGCATGTTCGATGTCGGTGGTCAGCGTTCAGAGCGTAAGAAGTGGATCCATTGCTTCGAGAACGTCACAACCATACTCTTCCTTGTCGCCATCTCAGAATACGATCAGCTTCTCTTCGAGGATGAGACCGTCAACCGTATGCAAGAAGCCTTGACTCTGTTCGACAGCATTTGCAACTCAAGGTGGTTCGTCAAGACTTCTATCATCCTCTTCCTCAACAAGATCGATAGATTCAAGGAGAAGCTGCCCGTCAGCCCCATGAAGAACTACTTCCCTGACTACGAAGGAGGTGCCGACTACGCCGCTGCTTGCGACTACATTCTGAACCGCTTCGTCAGCTTGAACCAGCACGAGACCAAGCAGATCTACACACATTTCACCTGTGCCACAGACACTATGCAAATCAGATTCGTCATGGCTGCTGTCAACGGTACGTTATCAACAAAGCAACTTATATATGAACAACTTACTGACATTTCACCTAGATATCATCATCCAAGAGAACCTCAGATTGGCCGGTCTTATCTAAGCGTAATATGACACGGATGGACAGAAAAGATGCATCTGTCTCCCCTCCATTTTCCTCTCTGGTCAGAGTTCAAGAATCAACAGTCTTGACTCCATATTCCGGATCTCTTTCTCAGCGACTGGCCATTCACATTTTGCATCTGAGAAATCCAAAACATCACCTGTTTTCATTTGCTTGGGCCCGCGTGGTTTTGACGGGCTGCCGACATATACAACAAACACTCATACATCAACACAAAAAGAGTCGGTTTCGCAGAATGGCCTCTGGATCGATCTAATCTCGAATGCGACAATTGATGGGTCTCGTCTTTCTTTTTATAGCTGGGAGAAAAACAGTGGGCGGCCTGGTTCTGATTTTTCGTTTTCCTGCTTCGCGCGCCAATCGTCTCCCGCCTGATCTCGGGAAATGGTTCTTCTCTTTTCTCTTTCATCTTCTGGGGCAAAGCGGCGTCCTAGATACAGATTTGCGGGACGATTCAAGGAGGGATGGGATGTCGTCGTCTTTTCTTCGTCTGTTTTCGCGCTCACCACACTGCGACTTCCCGTGCCTCCTTTCTCTGCTCTCTCTCGTTTTTTCTTCTTTCATCCTTTTACTCATTGCATGATTCCCTTGTGTTCGCCCCTGTCTACTCATAGTATATATAATTGAACCTCTTTTCTTTTTCAAAAGCGTCGGACTAGACTGAATGCTTGCACGTGATTTTGTGTGTCTAAGTAGTAAGTAGGCTGGCTCTGTAGACGAGTACTTGACTCGAATGTTGTAGGACAGCCTCTTCTAACAAATCAAGCCATAAGCCTACACCTAAACACCACTAATAGACAGTTAAAGGTCTATACTTGTATAAGCCCAGTACGGCTAAAGTTTACTTTCCAAGATGCTGCAATGTAAGAAATGGACATAGATCTATGCTCCTTTCTTAATCCCAACCCACAGCACGATCTCACGATGAGAAAGGATAAAGATATCCACTTTTTAACAAGTCAGTAACCTCGAGTCGAGTCGTCGCGAGCCAAGAACAAACCGATGCAATCTTGCAGCTCTTTCAACCTGCACGACATGTTCACTTTTTTTTTTGGGTACGCAAAACCTGGTTCTCGCGAGTGATTTGATGCATGAACAGGTCGTTTACTTTTTCTTTTCCCCTTGCATGACAGTTTATTTCTGCATAGCGAACAACATGAAGCTCATCACAAGATGCGAGATTATAGATGGAAAGACAGAAGCCCGTTTTCGCGAATTACCGGGCTTGCATGCCGTCGCCTATGGAGAAGATCGGGGAAAGAGCAGATGTGCTGTTGGCAAAGGGAAGATAACGGCACGTTTCCACTGGGTCTGTGGGCAACGGAAAGGAACAAGAGGGAATTTGGTGAGTGACGTCGTTGGAAATCTTGCGGCTTTGGGGTCCCCGGTGAGCGCAGCCCCGGATCGATCAACAGGGGAAGTTTTGCGGTACCTTTTGACCATGGTGATCTTTCTTCTGGGGTCTTCATGAGCGTGAGAGGTTCTGATGCATCCGATGACTTTGTGCATGGATACAGATGTGAGAGAAGGTGATGGTCAAGTCTGTGATTCAGCTGTCCTCAAGACCCCACCACGATACAAGTAGCACAAAGCGGTAAAAGAACAATCTCAAGATCTCGATCTTCCAAATTTCACAAATCACCGCTCCTGCTTCCGCCAACTTCTCCATCACGATTTTAGGCTTTGCACCCCCTCGGAAGAAAAAAGTGCCCTTGGCCACCACGTTTTCTTCTTGTACTGCCACACTTTGTTGCCATCAAGATCGGAATCAAGCGAGAAAGCTCAACGTAAAATCATTCTTTTGGCGGCTCCTGCACGCCCTTTACGCTGCACACTATGTCGCCTTTTCACATGCGCGGTTTGTTGCCACCGACGTATGCGGGAGATGGGACTTCTTGACCGCTAACGAATGTGCTGCGGCGATGCTTGTTATCTGAATGCGTGGGACCAATCATTGGCCCTGTTGCCAGCATAGGTATCGCGAAAGCCACTTCCCCGTTTCCTTACAAGCTTTCTTTTAAGCCGCATCGAGTACGCTTTTTGTGGTTTTAGCTGAGGACATGCGGTAGGGAAGAAAAGTCCCAACCGTGCGAGCGAGACAGTTCTCAACCCGCTCTTTTTGGTCCCACACCCCGTGGGTGAGTGATGATGCTAGATTGTCTAGTCTCGATTCGGGGAAGGGCGTCCTATTGTTTCGCTGTGAGCTACCGATTGGAGATCGATGATTTCTATAAGAGTGGTGATTGTGCCCTCTCTCAAAAGGTTCTTGGTTTGTTGACGTTGTTTCTCTCGAAAAGTGACATAGTGTTCCACATTTTTCCACCAGCGGTTTATTAATACAGCATCACTGCCCATTCTTTCTGCTTGTCTTCAACAAAAATGTCTACTACCGCCGCTTCCCTCAGGGTTCCTCAAGCAACCATGTCTGGCAACAAGACTGTCAGCACCGCTCCGCTCAACACCAAGCGCAAGATTGTCTGTTTCTCAGGTAGGTTGTTCTATATACCGCTGGAGGAGGGCATTGCTGACTCGGTTGCCCTTCAGACTTCGATGGCACCATCTTCATGGAGGACACAGGTCACATCCTGTTCAACGCTTTTGGATGTGGTACCGACAAGCGTGAGCTGCTCGACCAGCAGATCAAGTCTGGAGAGCGTTCCTTCCGTGATGTCTCTGAGGAGATGTGGGGATCCCTGAACGTCCCCTTCGCCGACGGCTTCGAGGCCATGAAGGATGGTCTGAACATCGATCCCGAGTTCAAGAACTTCCACCAGTTCTGCTTGAACAACAAGATTCCCTTCAACGTCATTTCCGCCGGATTGAAGCCTGTTCTTCGCAGTGTTCTCGACCACTTCTTGGGAGAGGAGGCTGCTGCCAACATCGACATAGTCGCCAACGAGGCCGAGATCTCAGAAGATGGGAGTTCGTGGAAGGTCAAGTGGCGCCACGACAACGAGCTTGGTCACGACAAGGAGTTGTCAATCAACGAGTACAAGGAGGTTGCACAATTGGAGAGCGACGACGGCACCATCCCCATGATCATCTTCATTGGTGATGGTGTTTCCGATTTGCCTGCCGCCCGCCACTCAGACGTCCTTTTCGCCCGTCGTGGTCTCCGCCTCGAGGAGTACTGCATTGAGAATAAGCTCCCCTACATTCCCTTCGACACCTTTGCCGACATCCAAAAGGAAGTCATCAAGATTGCCAAGATCGACGACGAAAAGACAAAGGGCGAGGGACTTCCCAGCAACTTCAACCCTCGCGCCAACATGTGGCGTCGTGTCAGCTCCAAGAGGGCTATTCCTACATTCGCTGCTATGACACCGAGAGACGAGAAGATGTTCATCTGGCCCGAGACCTTCACCGAGCAGGTTAAGGCTTAAACGACATGTTTTTTATGAGTTTTGTTTCTCTCACGTCGAGATATTGCATCGTTTGGCCATGGATGTGAGGTGTTTTTTTTTGCATTACACTGGGGGATAATATATTTGTTTGATGCACTCTAATGCCAGCAGCGGCGTCTTCGTCTTACTTAGAATACCAAATTGCATACCTACTGTTATTAGAACAGGACAAATCCGGCATCGTTTACAGTCTGCAAGAAGAGTGCCATGTTGAATGCCATGTTGGGTAAATTGTTGGTTTGACAGGTTGATCATGATCTTTGTTCCGCGGAAAGCGGCAGGAGTTGCTGAGGTACCAAAAGTAGATGACTTATGCGGCTCTTGTTCAGAGTTGTGCAACAAGCTGACGTACTCATGTAGAGTTTCAAGGCGGCAGGGCAGCCGAGGCGGAGAAGCGCGGAAGGAGACAGACTTCAGACTTTCCAGGGCCAGGCCACGACAGCACGAGGGGCAGTGGTTCGTTCGCGTGGCCGTGTCGTTCTTTTGTCCACATGAATAGCAACACAGCGTGTGACAAAGAGGCTGAAGGAGTCGGAGTTGGCTAAACAGAGCTGGACGTCCGATGTCAGTCTTGGCCTGCATTCGATATTAAGGCAACGACAGTCGAAACACGTCGTCGAAGTTGTTTTAATCTCGCTCGTTGCAAGACACGGGCGTCCCCCGCAGTTGCTCGCATCCAACGCTCGTATTTATAGAGAGAAGCTTAACGGGCATTCCATCATCTCCCAGACGCTGCTGACAGCGGCAACTGCATCTTCCCTCTTGTTTGCTTGCACCCCTGATCATTGCCACGTGCAGGCGCTGCGCTGGCCGCATCATAATCATCACATTACTCGTCCGCAATGCCTCGACCACGATTGTCGCCGCATCTGTCGCTGCACCGCTTCAAGAGCACCAACTCGGTCAAGTCGACATCCGACAGCCAGACCAATAGTCGAGCCGTGAGCCCCAAGCGGAAGGCCGAGGAGCAAGGCGATCACAAGGCTTTCAATCTAGTCCTGAGGGTGCAAGTGCTCGAGGTATGTCTGGCCTGTTGATCAATCTGCCCGCATCAAGCTGACCCACCGCTTTCAGGGCCGCAACCTCGCTCCCAAGGACAAGAACGGCACCAGCGATCCCGTAAGCAGCCACTTCGCTCCTCCCCTCGAAGGACCTGCCACTGACTGGCACTACAGTACCTAGTCATCACACTAGGAGATGCTCGTGAGGCCACGTCGGTCATCGACAAGACATTGAACCCGAAATGGAACCAAACCTTTGATCTGCCCATCTCAGGCATCTCCAGTCTACTCCTCGAAGCTGTATGCTGGGACAAAGACCGCTTTAGCAAAGACTACATGGGAGAGTTTGATGTCGCCCTTGAGGATATCTTTACCAATGCACATACCGTTCAGGAGGCAAGCACTACACACTCCCCTCCATCTCGACATGAATCTTGGCTAACACCACACGCAGCCCAAATGGTACAAGCTCGAATCTAGAAAATCCGGCCGCAAGAAGAGCCATGCCTCGGGCGAGGTGCTCTTGAAGTTCTCCGTCTTCGACCCTGTCAATCCCAACGCTACCCCTCAACAGACCCTCCAGAAGTTCTACGGCGTCGTCGCTCTCGAAGACCCTGCCGAAGGAGACGAGGATCTCGACGCACTCGCCGAAGCAGCTGAATCCGGAGACGATGACGACGATGAAGACGACGACGATTCTGGCAGTCCTGAACAATCAGAGAAGAGAAAGAAGAGACACAGACTTGCTCGTCTCAAGCGAAAGACTAAGCTGAGAGCCTACGAATTCAACGGAATGAGTGCAGTTGCAGGCGTCCTCTTTGTTGAGATTCAGAAGGTGACAGACTTGCCTCCGGAACGCAACGTGACACGCACTTCCTTTGACATGGATCCCTTCGTGGTCAGTTCTTTGGGCAAGAAGACATACAGAACCCGTGTCGTCCGGCACAATCTCAATCCTGTGTATGAGGAGAAGCTCGTCTTCCAGGTCCTAAGACATGAAGTCAACTACTCGCTTAACCTCACTGTCATTGACAGAGACAAGCTGTCTGGAAACGATTTCGTGGGTGCTGCCACTTTTTCCTTGGAGAGAGCCAGAGCTGTACAACCAGAAGCCGACCCGGAGACTGGTTTATACTTCTGTCCTGAGATTCCGGATGCTGGTGTGACACCCAACAACGAATACAGACGATCACGGTTCCGCCTGAATTCTTCCCGCTCGCAATCAAGCCAGACGCTTAGTCGCTCGTCTCGTAACGCATCGGCCAAGGATCTCAACAGGCTCTCTAGAACTTCTTCAAACACAAGCCAAAACCACAGGCCAACATTACGCAAGGAGGACTCGGGTGACTCGTTTAACGCTATCGACTCACGTGAAGATCTGCAGCACGTCACTAGCAACCCATACATGGCTGAACCTGGCAGTGTCCCGGCAGTGAATGTGGACCATGATGGTATCGAGGATCCGGATCTTAAGTACTATGCCATTCCCCTGCAGTTGAAGAACAAGGACAGATGGGAGGACAAACACAATCCCATCGTTCACATCAGAGTTAAATACTTGCCTTACCAGGCTCTCCGTCAACAATTCTGGCGTGCCATGCTGAAGCATTACGACGCTGACGATACTGGCAGTCTTGACAAGGTTGAAATCACTACTATGCTTGACACTCTTGGTTCGACGTTGCACGAGGATACTATCAGCTCTTGGTTCAGACGTTTCGCGACTGAGAATGGTGGAGAAGAGGTCTTGACCATGGATCAGGCAGTGAGGTGCCTAGAAGATCAGCTCATGAAGTACCAGAAGAAGGCCACTCTCTCGGATACCATCCAGGGGAAGCTGCATATCTCGGAAACAAGTACTTCGAAACTGACCTCCGCGAATGGGAGCGACTCGTCTGACAATCTGGTGCGATCTGACGACAGCTCAAGTCAAGGAACACCGTTGAACAACCGCTCCCAAACTTCCGTCATTCCAGCACTTGAAGTCCAGGATCTATCAGGAGACGGAGAGGGTGCATTGCCATATGATGACCTTGCGGATGAAGAGAAGGGAGAAGAACATGTCGTCGAGATCAAGGAGTGCCCTATCTGCCATCAGCCTCGCCTGGACAAGAAGAACTCCGAAGCCGACATCATCACCCACGTTGCTACTTGTGCCTCACAAGATTGGCGTGCAGTCAATAACATTGTCATGGGCGGCTTCGTTACAAGCAGTCAAGCACAAAGGAAATGGTATAGCAAGGTCATCACCAAGATTGGATACGGCGGCTACAAGATTGGAGCTAACAGTGCCAATATTCTTGTCCAAGACCGTATCACTGGACAGATCAACGAGGAGAGAATGAGCGTATACGTGAAACTGGGAATCCGACTACTCTATCGAGGTCTCAAGAGCAGAGACATGGAGAAGAAGAGAATTCGCAAGCTCCTTCGATCTCTGTCCTTCAAGCAAGGCCGCAAGTACGACGATCCTGCTTCAGCGGCACAGGTCCCTGGTTTCATCAACTTCCATCAGCTAGACATGTCTGAGGTTCTCCTGAAGACGTCAGAGTTCAAGAGCTTCAACGAGTTCTTCTACCGCAAGCTGAAGCCTGACGCCAGACCTTGTTCAGCAGCAGACCGTCCGGAAATCGTTGTATCACCAGCAGACTGCCGGACAGTTGTGTTCAACCAAATCAGCGAAGCTCAGCGCGTGTGGGTCAAGGGACGAGAATTCTCGGTCGAGCGACTACTGGGCAATGCATACCCCGAGGATGCCAAGCGATATGCTGGCGGTGCTCTGGGTATTTTCCGACTGGCACCGCAAGATTATCATCGTTTCCACATTCCGGTGGATGGTACGATGCTCGAGCCCAAACTCATTGACGGCGAGTACTACACTGTCAACCCCATGGCTATCCGAAGTGCGCTCGATGTATATGGCGAGAACGTCAGAGTAGTGGTACCGATTGACAGTACCAAGCATGGTCGTGTGATGGTGATTTGTGTTGGAGCCATGATGGTTGGCAGTACAGTCATCACGCGAAAGGCAGGAGAGAAGGTCTCCCGTGCAGAAGAGCTGGGATACTTCAAGTTTGGTGGCAGCACAATATTGCTGCTGTTTGAGCCTGGAAAGATGATGTTCGATGATGATCTGATCGACAACTCTAATGGAGCTCTCGAGACATTGGTAAGTCAAGCGAACACAACAGTCAATATCTACAGTAGTCCCTAACGTTCATACCATAGGTCCGCGTCGGCATGTCAATCGGACACAGTCCTAATGAGGCACCTCATATGCCAGACATGCGCAAGGAGAACCCAAGCATGGCTGAGAAGCAAGAAGCCAAACGCAGGATCGAAGGCAGTTTTGCACCCAGCTCAGGAGGAATACCTGGGCTGCCATCGGCGGCCGACATACAGTAAGAAGAGGTCGAGGGGGAGAAGCACAGAAAATCATTGTTCTTGTTGTAAATATGGGAAGAAGCGCATTGATGCATATGTTACAAACAGAGAGGTAGCACATACCTAGATCAACGACTGAGAGTATTTTTGGACAATCTTGCCTTCACTGTATCGACATGTGAATTGTATGTATGATTGCACGTGAGAGAGATGGTCATAGCTCGGAAAGAGGAGATGTCGGCCTGTCTTGGCGTGTCGGGCCAGTTTGGCATGTTTACATTTGGCGGGTCGCCGGGGCTTTCTTGATCAATACAAGCACCAGAACGTCAGACACACACGCCGACGACGACCATCATCCCCAGCAAACGCGTATACTTGAGTCGATCGCTGCCATTCTCAACAAAACCAACAACTATCAATTCTCCTTTATCCCGTCATAGAACGACAGGCGATGCGCATTCGCGCCACTTGACGCACACCAAAAAGCACGACGACTTTCAATGACGGCCGCCATTGTCACGCGCAACCCTCTACACAATCTTAGCATGACCGGCGCACAAACAAACGGAATCAAGAGAAAAAGTCTCCGCCATCACAACGACCCGGATGAAGATGCGCCGCCCTCGAAAAAGCCAAAGGCTCCTGCCACAGCAAGCTCGAGAAACGCGTCGCAAAACGCGGTGAAGAAGGTCAAGAAGTGTGAGTTCTGGGTTCTACACACATAGAGACGCGCAGATGCTGATGCGCATGCGATTAGCATATGACGATAAGGATGACGACTTTACTTTCACGCGCCTAGGCTCTAAGAAGGGTAAGGCAAAGACACCAGATGTAGCACTGGAGCCAGAAGCAATAGCTGGAGCTTCTGCGCCCGCTCCAGAAGTTCAACCTGTACAACAGCAACAAGCACCACCGAACGACGAGAACGCGCCGATAGGAGCTACACAACCTCCGAGGAAGAAGGCCAGAAAGACGTTACCCACGACTCCTGAACCGACCCCGCGACGACGTTCCAAGCGCTTGTCTGGCAATAGTCCGATTCAAGGCCAAGCACCTACGATATCGAAACCAGCTGCCGAGTCGCAATTACAGCACACGCAGCCTGCGACGCCGCCCCCGGCAACAGCGCCGGCATCAGCGAATGAGGAAAATGTCGCGCCAGCAGCAGACAACAGTCCAGCCGTGGATCAGGGCGAGCTGACGATACACAAGAAACGTGGTCCAGCAAAGATCCCACTACCTTTTGGAGAAACACCTGTTCTGCGTCGCAACAAGGAGATGCGCAAATTGAGTGCTGAGAAGTCAAGGCGAAGTTCTTCGGGAATGAGAGGACGGAGAGCTTCATCTTTGATCGAAGCAGGCAGCTCACGTGGTACGTTGATTTCCTGCTCCCTTTCCCTCGAATATTGTCATAGTCATCTGTTCTGCTTCCTTTGCCTTGGGTTGAATACATCCCCTGACATTGTGATTTTGCGCGCGCATTACAGCAGGCTTCGAATTCAACATCGAAGCTTCAAGAAGCGAGGAATCCGACTCCAAGCATGCGGAACTCGACTTGCGACAAGATCAGGACAAGCTGCCTCGGGACGACGACGAAAATCACATATTGAAGATTGACAAAGCTGACTGGGATGATTCTGTGGATACAGCGGTACCACATAGCCAGGTCGAAACGGACGAGTTCTACAAACACATTTCGCAGGATCTGGTCGAGCCGAAACGAATGCGACAACTGCTCATGTGGTGTGGCCATCGCGCATTGCCCGAGAAGAGCGTTGGTGGCCAGATGGACGCGGCAGAGACGGCTGCAATGCATGCGGGTATGTTGGTTTGCACACCCTGAACTCAAGCGAGCGCTAATGTGTGTCTTGCAGCGAGGGTGATCCAGGAGGAGTTGCTCAATGAATTCAGCTCGCGGAACAATCTGAGTTACTGGTATGACAGAGAAGATACAGCGCCAACTGTTCTGGTCAAGAAGCCAAATCCGAGAAATATACAAAATGCCGAGAAACTGCAGCAGCTAGAGGCAGAACTTGCACGGTATGTCACTTGTACCCCTGATTGCGATCGAGTGAGACCCATTTGCTGACAAAGTCTCAAGACTACAAGAGGAGAAGCGAGCATGGGACGAACTCTTGCCCTCGACATCACCGCCGAAACTCCCAGCGTCGACCACAGAAGCCGAAGCACCATCACAAACGCCCCTCGATATATCACCACACTCCATCGACCCTACCCTTCTCGACCCCTCACAAGCCGACCTCCTCCAAACCCTCCTCTCAGGCATCTCCCTCAATTCCTCAGAACCTACCTCCACCACACCCGCAACAACGCTAGAAGCCACAAAAACACGCATCGGCACAATAACCTCGACACTCGAATTCAAAATCGACAAGCTAGCAGACGGAGCGCATAAACTCGAACAATACAGAGCCTGTGCGCAAAAGCTCGCCGATCATGTATTGAGTGTTGGAGCAGAAAAGCTGGAAGAGAGGGATAAGAGTGTTAGGGAGAGGAGTCAGGGCGCTTCTGGACAGGTTGACGCGCTTGAGAGATTGAGGGGTTTGAGTCGCGTGTTGGATAAGCGCGGGTAGATGGATAGTTTACTTTATGACTGTGGGTGGTTTTCTTCATGGATAGGGCAGAGCACGGCGATTGTAGGAGTTGCCTTTTCCTTGTAACGAATGGGTTCTTGGAATGATTGAGAAGAGCATTGATGATTTTTGAGCCACTTTTTCTTGAATTGAGCTTTGTTTCTTGTCTCTTTTGATTGTTCCATGTCTTTGCATCTTCCATGTTGATGTTGATGTGGATGACACCCTGGTCGGGTTTCGACTTCGCGTACTCTGGGTGCAAACGACATTTATAATACTCGCTCGATGTATCAGCCCATCCTTCCTAAGCTACGAATACCTCCATAAGATACTCTGTTGGAAAAAATAGTCGCTGCTGCTAATTTGGTGGTAAAACTACTATCAATCAACTGTAGTAAGCAATCGAGAGACTCCAGATTTGAACCAGGATGCGATCGCGTGTAAGGTTCTCGGATCCTAAACCACTGTGATTTCAGGTGTCCGTTTTGTGCCGCTTGTCGGAAGTACCGAACTTCGTCCTCGCATGCGAAACACGGTCACACCTAGAGCTGCCTCATAGCGCGATGATTTCTTAATTTGCAGCAATGTCATCGAGATATTCCGTGTCATCGACTCCCTGCGCTAGACTCATAGATGCGCAACGTGTCTGTGCATTTCCACAGCTCTTCGTTGTTCCAATTTGATCATTGATGAGAGCGTGACAGTATTCTGTACACGGGGAGGTCGTATGCCAGCCATACCCACTTTACAGATCGCTGTAGATTGATCGACACCCTGGAACCGAGATCCGGATGTTCGGAGCATGTGGTTTGTGCGTGCTTCTCTAAACGCGCATGTACAACCGGATCAGCTCAAATACAACCACCTCGGCTGCTTTCATATCTTCCGTCCTGGACAATCTGACAGGACATGTTTTCTGTGCGATATGCTGTAGCGCACAACCGCTGCTATTAATCCATGTCTCCATCGTGTCGCAATTCCTTTGGAAGGGCCACTCGATAGTTCTGGCTGAATCCTTACCGGAATAGGTAAACGCTGCTTCCAGGTCCGCAAGTCTACTAGCTGCCGTGAACCATTGAATCGATCGTCATCCGTCCTCCATCCTTCGGCAATTCCTGCGAGACGACGTAGTCGCCGCTCTTTGGCTGGCTGGGTGTCTGGGATACGCAGATACATCGCATGGCGATATCGCATCCGCAGAGCTGAGCACGCGTGCGCGATCGTCAACTCGTGGCATCGCGTGTTAAGCTGATGTCTTGTCGTCGACGTCGTCGAGACCTCAGACTAGAGTTCACGACACGCGGCAATGCAACGCTCAACAGACCAGATACGCACCGTCTCAGAAGCATGGTCCATCTGTTGTGCAGTACGGAGAAGCTCGTACATTACCTCTCACGGCAATGGCACATGTCTGCCGAGCTAAGAGCAACGGCAAGGTAAGATAGACTTCAGCCCCATTGACCAGTCAGCATGCTCTGGCAAGGTGCGGAGCCAGACTACTCTCTGTGGCGTTCGTCTATTCGACCGTAAGTGTAGGCAGGACCCTTGTATCTCTTTTCTGGCATGGGTACTGCAAGTACAATAAAAGTATGCCTGCCATCTTTACATCCACGATCTTCATTGTATCTCGCTGTACCTGACTGCGGAACGACGATCAAACTCGAGTGTTGCCCATCGGGACTATCTGTCACTGCATAGGTTGACATCTGCGGGATCTTTAAGAAGGTCATCTGCACCTGCCTATCCCATCCGCTTCCGCTAAGCGTTCCTGAAGCCCGAAGACGACTTCTTGAGTGATCTGTTATTCTCTCAAGCCAGGACAAAAACACTCACTCTATCAATACAAGATGGTGTACTCTCTCAGCTACCGACGCCCAAACCGGGTTTCTGATGGCTCTTCACTCGCATCGTCGAACGAGCAAAGAGTATCCAGCGAAGGATCACACCACTCTGGGACCTCGGGTTCTATCAGAGGTATTCCGGAGGCACTGTCTTTTGATCGAATCATAGCTGGTGGTACCTGTCCAGTATGTATCATTGTATCCGCAAACACGTGGGCATCAGTTCTGACTCTGGCCCTCTAGCCATGTACTACTCGAGACTTTATGAACTATCTCAAGTACATTGAACACAGCGCCGAGAACTTACAATTCTACCTCTGGTACAAGGACTACGTTGAGCGCTTCGATAATTTGCCAGCTTCTGAGAAAGCTTTGTCGCCGGAATGGAGTGCTGCTCAGATGGATGCTGAAACTGCTCGTCCGGCTCGTCGCAAGAGGGCTCCTACAGAGATTGCTACCGTTCTCCAGGGAACTGACTTTGCCGACACAGTGCCTCTGCACGCGGAGAAACGTGATCCCTTCAATGATCCTGCTAGCGACTCACCTGAGATGATGATGAAGGCTCCTGTGTCACCTACTTTTTCCGAGTTTGATTCGTCTTACACCAGCGATGAGAGACCTGTTTCTAGCAGATCAGATTTCCATCGCAAGGCTGACGAAGCCCTTGGTGACGCTGGCATAAAGTGGAAGCCTTGTAAGTACCTAAGATTCATCTTTATAGGAGGACAATAGCTGACACTTTTATCAAGTCACTGCACAACCATTCCGTGAGGAGATGACACGAATAATTACAATCTTCATCGCCGTTGATGGCTCGCGTCAGCTCAACCTCTCAGGTCGTGAACGCAGTGCCGTCCTCCATGCTCTTCAACACACAACTCATCCTTCTGCTCTCCGCGCTGCATTCACTAGCGCCGAATACTCACTTCGCCGTCAAGCCCATCCCAACTTTATCCGTTGGGCCATCTGTAATGGCAATCGCCCTCGTGTCATCTTCGCCCGTGGACTAGGCATCTCTCTAATCCTCCTCGGTATCCTCGCAGAAATCCTCATCACTCTAAGCTCTGCTGGCCGTGCGTGGCGTGTCCTACCCATCATCGCTTTAATGCTAGGTATATCGACACTCATAGCCGCATGGAAGGGCATGTGTGTAGTCCTCCACGGAATGCACCACCGCCATCTCCGCCCCTGGGAACTCTTCGCCGACCCTGAAGACGAATCCTCAAAAACCGGCTCTCAAAGTTCATTGATCAATCCTCACACTACGGGTAGCTATGAAGACGAACCGTGGGTCAGCAAATACGAAAAGAGAAATGTTCTTCGCAAGATTCTCGATCGTGAAGTTTGGATCCAGGAGCCGGCTTTGAGACAGATTCAGGATACTATCTTCATACAGAGTTTGTTGGGTGCGTTTTTGGCTTCTTGTGTTGTTGTTGGTGTTTTTTGTGCTGTGCCTCGTGGCGGGTTCTTCTAAGATTTCTTTTTGTGTGTGTCAAGTTGTTTCCTGCGATGTATATATATAGAGAGAAGGAATCGTTAATGTGTATTATGGTGGTTCAATTCGACCTTCTTTCCCCCATCTCTCTCTTCTGTGCTTGTGCCAAAATACATGGGCTGTAAAAAGGCACGATATATTTCTAGTTGATGTAATCTTCCGCTGAGAGCACAAACTTCGACATTTCTCCTTGACCAATCATGTCATTACAAAAAATCACCTTGCCTTTCTACAGCTTTGCCTCGCGAAACCCACTCCTGCCGTGATAAGGTATAAAAAAAAGAGAAGAGTTGATCGAGTAACCGCTTCAAAACGAAAGCACCGTTAGCAGGAATTGAACCCGCGACCTCGTCGGATCTAGACTGACACGACGTTGAGTAACGACGAATGACCACGCACGTGTTGAGACCACGGGTGTGTTAAACTACACCACCACGGCTTTGTTTTTCGCTCGTAACAGGGACCTTGCGGGACTTAAAATGTATAGCTTGTGTGAAAGTGGGGGTGAGGCAGCGGTGGTTGTGACCAGATAGCAGGTAGATTGAGTTAGGTATGATGGGGGAGGGAGAGAAAGCTTTGATAGGGTCAGGAGACGTGATGGCATACTAGCCGAGGATGTGTTTTGTATTCGGAATGTACAGGTCGCTTCGAAATATGGTAAACGTGGGTATCTTTTATCATGTCGGGACAAACAGCGAATTCTCAAATGGAGTCGAGCTTATTGCTGGTTACAGCCGTCGGCTTCGCTGAGCATGTCTTGAGCAGCATTCATGTCGCCTACCAGGCCTGGTGGTGGCGCACCAGCTGCTTGCATCTGTGTCAAAGGTCAGCAAACAGTAAGTAAACGCGCTGAGGGTAGAGGGCGAAAGTACCTGTTGCATCTTGTCGACAATATAATCACTGTCCTCCTTGTTGTCATCACTATAGCCCTTCTTCTCAAACCTGTCAACAATGTCTTTAACGACAGCTTGTTGTGCTTTGTAGCGATGCAGGTCCTCTTTTGATGTCGAGTCCTTGTTCTTTTCCAACCATTCAGGGAAATTATCATGCAACTCCTTCATGGGCTCGTAAAGGATGTCCTTGTTAACCAGCTGTTCCATCATACCCATGAGCATGGAGTTGAAGTCTCCTGAATCGCCATCCATAGAAGGGAAGTTGCCAGATTCGAGATCCTTGAGCATCTGTGCGAGCATGTCGTCCTGAGATGAGCTTGCGGCAGCAGCAGAGGCAGATTGGCCAGAGGCTTGCATTCTTTCCATGGTCTTCTCTATCGTCGAAGCAAAGGCAGGTTTGGCGGCAGATGAAGAGGTGGGAGAGGTCGGAGCGGTCTTGGGCTTAGAGGCAGAGTCTGCCGAGGGAGCAGTGGCACCAGAGGCTTCTTGTTCGGCGGCAGCACTGAGTTCCTTCATCATTTCTTGAAACTGTTTTTGCATTTCCGGGTCTTCGCCGAGGCCACCCAGCAGCTCGGCCATGCCGGCTTGTAGTTGACGAGCAAAGTCATCATCTTCTGCGGAAGGTTGTGGGGGAGGAACGGAGGAAGTGGAAGGAGCTTGTTTCGTAGTAGTTGAGGCAGGTGCTGTTGTGGTGGAAGGAGCGGGCTGTTTCTGTTCCTTGATCGAGGCAGCCGAGAACTCGTCGAGCATGTCATCAAGGTCAGAGAGATCGTCCTCGTCCGGATCCGGAGCCATTTCGACGTGTTGTTCTGGTTGTTTTTCTGCCATGTTGTCGATCTGAGTAGAAGTGAATTGATACGAAGCAGTGTCGATCGAGCAAGGAGAAAGTGACTTCTGCAGTTGTTTATTCAAGTCACAAGCCAAAGGCCGAGGCTCAACTCGGACCTGGCGCCTCCAGAGGGAAAGTCGCTCCGCCTTCCGTCACCGACACCGACACATTGCGGGGTGCTGTTTGCCTGGTTTGTTTGCCAGCTGAGACTGAGACAATCAGATTAGACAAGGCGACGCGATTGTTGGAGCAGAAGCAGAAACACTTTCACCTTCTCTCGTTCTCTCCTATCCACAAGACCCCGTCGCGTGATCGCATCCTCACTCGGCGCTTACCTTGCAGTCGCGTCTCTCGCCACGTCACCCCCACCACTTCTCTCCACAACAACGGAACCTGCTCAAGACTGTCACAACACACACTCTCTCTCCGCCATGTCGCTTTGTTCCAACCGCCTTTCGGAAGAGAGAAAGCAATGGCGCAAGGACCATCCCTTCGGTTTCGTCGCAAAGCCTGCAAAGAACCCCCAGGGCGGTCTTGATCTCCAAAAGTGGGAGTGCTCCATCCCCGGCAAGGAAAAGACTCTCTGGGAGGGCGGCCTCTTCAAGCTCGAGGTCCAGTTCCCCGACGAGTACCCTACAAAGCCTCCAAAGTGTATGGCAACACTCTTCACTCCCATCTACGCATCCAGGTCCATCTAACCCGCATCTAGGCAAGTTTGTTCCTCCTCTCTTCCATCCTAACGTCTACCCTTCCGGCACCGTCTGCTTGTCCATTCTCAACGAAGAGGAAGGCTGGAAGCCCGCCATCACCATCAAGGAGATCCTTCTCGGCATTCAGTCGCTGCTGAACGAGCCCAACCCCGAGTCGCCTGCTCAAGCCGAGGCCTACAACCTGTTCCGCAAGGATCGCGCTGCCTACGAGAAGAAGATCAAGCAGGTCGTCAGAGACAACCCGGCCCCTTGAACTTGTCGTCGGACTCTGCCATTGTATCACACGACCATCACGAATTACGGAAAAGTTTCATCTCGGCTCCGTCACACCTGAGAAATGCGTCACAAGCGAGGAGTTGGGAGAGAAGTACTGCTTGGCTGACGCTGGGAGGAGAGGAGGACTCCAGGGTTAGTGAATGAGTTATCCCGTTCAGGCATGCTGCACCGACGTGTTTAGTAGCTCGACTTCTACAAAGTCGAAGCTACAAGCCTGCCCAGAACTTCTGCCACTTGGTCTGGCTTTTCCACCATGGGCAAATGACCCGCTCCCTCAATTTCGACGCACTCTGCGCCGTCGCTGCCGTATCTAGCAGCCATGTCCTTCATAGTCTTTGGCAATACTCCATCTCCACTGCCAACCACAAACACACCCTTTACCTTTCCACTCTTCATGTGCGGCTGGAAGTTGTAATCGCACAGTGCCTCCACGCTCGCCCTAAATCCTTCGAGACTGTTGTTGACCACCATCTGCTTGACTCTTTCGCACTCCTTTTCCATCTCGCCTCCATCGTAGCTTTCCTTGACGAACCATCTTCTGACTGTCACTTCGGCGAGTTCTTCTCCTACAATCTTTTCGCCTTCTTCACCTGATGCGTTTTCCTTTTCGCAAATAGCTACTCTTTCTCCCCATGCCTTTCTGTTGACTTCAGGGTTCTTGTCGTTTGTGTCGCAGGCGATGAAGGAACCGATTCTGTCGGGGTAGGTCAGGGCTGCATTGAGGACTGATGCTCCGCCCATGCTGACGCCGACGATAGCTGCTGCTTTGGGCACCTTGAGCTCGTCGAGTAGGGCGATGATGTCAGAGGCTAGGACGTCCATTGTAACTAGCTTCTCACCGGCCTTGCTCGTGCGCCCTCTGGTGTTGTATCTCAGGATACGGTACTGCTTGTTCTTGGCGAGGAAAGAGTCCACAAAGCGGTCCCAGATGCCATAGGAAGTCAGGATGGAGTTGCTGAGAACAATAAGAGGGGCGTTGGGATCCGTGGAGCCTTCTAGTCTGTAGCCAAGCTCTGCACCATCATCGGTCGTGATGTAAGATTCAATGGCGCCACCATTGTTGCTGGTTGAGAAAGTCCTGGTTTGTGTAGCAGGGCTGTCCCATCTTCTGAAGCCTGCACTGGCGAAGTTTTGGAGGTCGCGGGGAGCACCGCCAAAAGTGTAGAAGAGCTCGTACTCGCGTCTGACCTTTTCACCCACGACATTGGTCATGATGTCCTTGGCCCAGGGTGTGTCGATGGACGCTTGCCACTCTTTACCACCGAGTCCGTTCTTTGGCGCATATTCATGCAGAGCCATGTACTCTACCTCATCCTTCTTATCAATGGCAGCAGTGACATAGCGTCTTGTACGGAGCCACCCAGGCACTTTAGCCAACAAATCGATATGCTCCTCATCATACCACTTATCCAACTCTTCACCCTTCTTCCCAGCCTTCAGCCTCAAGCTCACAGAAACCATAACATTACCCTCTCCATAATTCTCAATCTTCTCCAACTTCTTAAACTCCTTGGCCTCTCTACTGCTCACAAGGTCAAAACTCCTTCTATCGATATCAACACTGGGTCTGATATCTCTTTCCCTCTGTGTCTGTATGGGAGCACCACGGAGAGCGAGGTAAGCTTCCGAGTTGAAGGCGTCCATGTCATCGGTATCGTAGATGGCCATCCATTCTGCTTTTCCTTTGCCTTCGCCTTGAGAGTCGCGGGCACGGTAGCGGAAGCCATTGTGGATGAAAGGGAGGCGGAGGCGATTGGGACCATGTTCGTTATTATACCAATCGTGGAATTCGGCGGCTGGGAGGTCGGCCGAGGGTTGCATAGTTACATACAGGATGCCCGCTGTCTTTGCCATGATCGCTTGTTCTTGTGTGAGATTCCCCTTGTTTGTATTGAGTGTTTCCTTCAGGGAGTAAAGTGGAGAGTGGTCTTTGGTTTGCAAATGTGTTGTGAAGAATGACCATCTAAGAGGAGGGCTGGAAAAAAATGTTGGTTCTGGATTGATGGTCATCTCAAACTCCACTCCCGAGTCGGGTAGCCGACCACGGCGAGCTCTCTTGCATCCCGAATGACGATGCCGTTGCTCTCCGAAAACAAAAGATCTTGGTCCGTGAGGTGAGGGGTAGTGGGGGTCGGCCTTTTGGCACGGCAGAAACAGCGGCAGAAGGACGTTCGTTCTAAACACGTTCTATACGATGCTCTATTAGACAGAAGAGCGACTCTGACTAGATCGTTGATGCGTCTTTTCTTCTGAAGACACTGACACATTGGCTCAAGCGTTTGTATCTACGCCACTATCATCTGCGGTTATCCTATGTCAGTAAGCTGGGTGTACATCTCAATATCGTCTTGGAAAAGACCAAGACGAAGATGATCGTATCATCACGAGGTATCACAATGTGCATGTGATTATATTGAAATTGCACGCAAGCCAGATACTGTGGTACAAATAGCGAAAAGAACCAGGTACATTTGCCACAAATTTTCTAATCGTACCAAATGGCATTCATACCAAAGCCAGGCTCCTTGACATCGCAGTGAGCAACACGACCAAGGAACTCTTCATTCCATCTGTAGATCTCAATGAAGCCCTTCTCGTCGTCGGTCAAAGCCAGCCACTCGTCACTCCAAGGGCAAGGGCTGACGGCATTTGAGTGTCCACCACTTGTAGGTGTAGGGTTGAGACAGATCTGACGCTCGATATCTCCAGACTCTGACAGCTTGAATGCTGCAATGTAGCCAGTCAGGTCGGGTGAGTTGGATCTTGATGTTGCGAACAAATATTTGCCGCTGGATGAGAGGAAGACAACATCTGAACGATACATCTTAGGGTAGATCTCCTGGTGACCTGTTTTTGATGTTAGAGATGAACAATTTGCCAGCTTCTTTGTGCCTGAGCCATACCTGGAGGAACGAGAGGGTAGGTTTTGTCAGTATAGACAGGCATGTGAGTCTTCTCGTCTATTGAGTAGACTCCGAGTCTGTTTCCACCTTCCATCAGAGCATACAGGTACTTTCCACTCGGTGCCATTTCGACCCAGCGAGGGTGATCACCAGCCGCAGGAGCATCGACGCTGCCGACCGTTGTCATGTTTCCAGTCTCTGAGTCCTTCTTGTGGCACCAGACTTTGTTTGCCCACATGTCGGCCGAGTATAGATAAGTCTCTGTAGGATCGAAGACCATGCCATGAATTGCTGTCTGCGGGCAATAATCGTAGTTCTGAACATTCTTTTCCAGACTTCCACTCTCGTTGACAGAGAATACGTTTCCAGAGCCAGCATGATCATAGAAGGGATTGCCATATACGTTATACGGTGGCTTCTTGCCTGCCAGAATAAAGATGGCACGTGTCTTTGTGTCTGCCTGAGAAGCCTTTGGGTCGTGTTCCATAGGGAATGAGGCAGTATGTTCAATCTCCGTCGGACTCTTGACAGAGAAACTGTTCCACTTCTTCATAGCAGCTCCATAAATGGTCTTTCTTGCATGCTGTCATCGACACAGTGTGAGCAATTGAAAGTACGTCATTGTAGTATTTAGATTAAACATACGTCGAAAGTCATCCATGAGATGGGCTCATCTTTGGGGATCTCAGTCCTCTTGATCAATTTCAGAGTCAAGGCCTCGTCGTCGAATTGGAAGGTAAATATGGCACCTGGAGGGGTCCAAGTCCCTACCATCAAGTGGTGAAGCATTTTGTGTCGGCCGAGAGTCGAGAAACTACGTGATTCTGGATATGCTATTATTTGGGTCAGTGGACTCACGATTTTGCCTTGCAGTCTCCGAAACATGGAACAAAGGATTCTTACAAGATTAACCACAAGATTGAATTGTTGCTTTGGCGAGAACGGAGTTTCGGGAGAAGAGCGCGGCAAACGACCGGGGAGTTGTGGGGTCCTCTCACGGCTCCGACCACGGCAAAGTCGCATTCCCGAAATGATCAATTGAGCAGAAGATGTGAGGACAGCATTTGGAGTGGTAGATGAATGGGCCATTCGAAGATTAATTCCATTGGCAGTCGGTATAGTGGTGATTCGGAACAATCGCTTCCAGATCTCAGTCTATCAACTTTGACAAAACGGCTTCAGTCTGGTGGCTTCATAGCCATGAGTCCTCGATTGACATTCGAGATCATGACCCCACTTGTCAAGCAGCTCGATTGTTTAAAGCTGACGTGTGTCCCTCTTAAGGGACTCTCCCGTGTTCACTTCTCACCCCGAGTCCCATTATCTTTCGCAAGAACTTTCCAATCGACAACCTCGTCCAACATGCGCATTCCATACGCACCTACCGAGCCAGCAGCCGATGCATCGGAGACGACCAAAGCAGTCTATGAACGCATCACCGAACGTAGAAAGCCCCGTCCCCTTCTGCCATTGGATCTGGCACTGCTGCACAACACCGCCATTGCCGATGGATGGAACAGCCTGCTTGGTGCAGTGCGATCAAAGACCTCCCTCAACCCTGGCCTGATGGAAATGGCCGTGTGCCGAATCGCAGTACTCAACAAGGCCACATTCGAGTGGATTTCGCATGCTCCGCTCGCACTCAAAGGAGGACTACCGCGGGCTTCGCTGAACCTTGTTCGTACTGCCGAGATCTATCCACCTGGTGGCAGATCAAAGACCAAGGAAGAGCAAGAGACATTCAGTGACCAGGAGTGGGCAGTGCTATGCTATGCAGACCAAGTCACCAAGAATGTAGAGGTGGACGATGAGGTCTTTGACGCACTGAGGAAGTTCTTGGACAACACCGGTATCATGGAGATGACAGCGGCGGTGGCAACGTACAACATGGTCAGCAGATTCCTCGTGGCCATGAATGTGTCAGAGAAGAATGGAGACGAGATCGTGATGCCTGAAGAATAGATTCTTTTCCTACCGTGCTAGAGAACGAAATCAATCACCCTCTGTCGGTCTAACATACTCGTGGCAGAGATGCAAAAGCCGTGACAATCCACAGTGATCTTCAGTATCTACAATCGTCTGTGGTTGACAGGACACGGCATTCGATAGGCTATGACGAGGGTAAACAAGAGCACAAATAATTTATGCACAAGCACAAAACAGGGGTTCGGGGGAGATCGGCGGCGTTGGTTGATCGCAAGTTAGCGCGTCATGCAAGTTCTCGAGGGTCCCTGTAATTTTCGACGGGGCGGCAGGACATGGTCTTATACACGATGCGATGAACGGAACGTCTGGATGGGCATCTCTGTTCAGGACTGCGGCAGGTCGAGCGCCGTGGCACCCGCGACCAGCCTCGCACCGATCATGGACCTTCTCTATTCGACCAAGTGACGTCCTCAACAAGCGCGCATATGCCACTGGACCCGCTCCTTTGAAGGCTCCCAAGTCCCGGAAACGTCTATATGTCTTGGGTGGCATCGTTGTTGCGGCCACTGGTGCCGTGGCTGTCAGTGATGATGCACGCTATATCTGGATAGCAGCCCAGCGTACTGGAAGAGTCGTCAGCACTCTCGCCCTCAACATCAACGATTATCGCCGGACCCTCAACCAATATGACGCCCTGCCCGAAGCAGAATACCAGACTCTGCTCAAGACCTGTCACCAGCGCTGCGCCGAGCGTACCCTCGTTGTCTTGCAAAAGAATGGCTCCATCTTCGTCAAGTTGGGACAACATCTTAGCAGCATGAACTACCTTCTGCCTTCTGAGTGGTGTGATACTTTCATCCCACTGCAAGACCAATGTCCGGTGTCTTCTATGGAGAGCGTTGAAGCTATGGTTTTGAAGGACACTGGGCACAACCTATCACACTACTTTTCAGACTTCAATACCACTCCAATTGGTGCCGCCTCGCTCGCTCAGGTCCATACCGCTACTCTGCGCGAGACTGGTGAACACGTCGCCGTCAAGGTCCAGCATCCCGCGCTTGACGAATGGGCCACTCTCGACCTGGCTCTCACTCGTTTCACCTTCCGTACCCTGAAGCGTTTCTTCCCTGAATACGATCTGACCTGGCTGAGTGATGAGATGGATCAAAGTCTGCCGAAAGAGTTGGACTTCGCTCTCGAAGGCTCCAACGCCGAACTCGCTCGCAAATACTTTGCTGAAGTCGCCTACCTACCTGTCATTATTCCCAGAGTCCATTGGGCCCAGCGACGTATCCTTGTCATGGACTTCGTGACTGGCCACAGACCTGATGATCTGGCCTATCTCGACGCCAACAACATCGACCGAGATGAAGTTTCCGCTGCCCTCGCCCGCATCTTTAACGAGATGATCTTCGGCAAAGATGCTCCCCTGCACTGCGATCCTCACGGCGGCAACATCGCTATCCGCTTGAACACCTCAAAGCGTGCCCCTAATAATTTCGACGTTGTTCTTTACGACCATGGTCTTTATCGTGTGCCTGACAATACCCTCCGCCGTAGCTACGCCAAGTTATGGCTTGCTGTATTGGATGCTGATGAGCCACGCATGCGTCAGTACGCAAAGGAGGTGGCTGGCATTAACGATGAACAGTTCCCTCTCTTTGCTTCTGCAATCACTGGCCGCGATTACCGTGTGGTCACCAAGAGTGTCGCAACTTCCAGGACGGACGAGGAGAAAGAGGCTATCTCAGATGCACTAGGCGATGGTATGCTCGAACAGCTAGTCCAGCTTCTGGGCCAAGTGCCTCGTGTCATTCTACTGATCCTCAAGACCAATGATCTTACCCGCAGTCTCGACGAGAATCTACATACTCGCCAAGGACCCGTTCGCACCTTTATGATCCTAGCACGTTACGCTGCCCGTGCAGTCTACGAAGAGAAAATGGAGATTTTGGCGGCTGCTGGGTTTGGTCCTAGAAGGCTCTGGCGCAGATTCACAGCCTGGGCCGATTTTGCTCGCATCGAGTTCAAGCTCTCTGCATTTGAGACGTGGCTCAACATCAGGAGATTCTTTGGCATGCAGCCCACAATGATCTAGTAAAGATTGTGTAGCGTTTGTGTTACCCTGAGCGATGGCGTTTTCTGCTTTGTTTTTGTTCCACCTGGATTGGGGGTTGGTCGCTCTATTTAGTTTATAGACATTGGGCTTCGAGGTTTGGTCTTGTAGATAATAGATCACTTCATTCGTGTTCACACCCCGACAGGTTTCCTGTGACATGTTTTGACTATGACACTATGTCGCCGCATTTCAATTTCAAGATGAATCAAGGTACATGTGCCAAGAACAAACCAGTCTTACATTTGCAAATGTATGCCACTATTTACATACTCGTTTACGGATGAAGATAGAGACGTCGGCGGCACCAGTCTAGGGTGACTTGTTTCACGTTGGACCCGCCAAAACACATCCGGCTTCAAGCGAGGTTCAACCCCTGATCGTTTGTCCTTGCACCTCGGGCCCGCGACCCACAGCCATGTTTCATGAGGCAACCTGCAGCGGCTAGCAAAGGACAAATACATCAGCGGACTTGACGCTGTATAAAGATGAAGCTCGCGCTGAAAACGTCATGAAGAAGCCTCAGTGGTGAGACACCTGCGTGCTTGGCTTTAGGCAGTAAATTACAGGTGTAGAGGAGCTGTCATGCTGTTCAGTCTTGCGTGGCTCATCGTCTCCGCAGGACAAGATATTCGAAACACTTGGCTACGGAGGCCAAGACGGTAGAGTGCAAGTAAGCGTCTGAGAAGATGAAGGAGATCATATACATTGTTGCAGGACTTGACGACCGCTCGGCTCAACGAATGTGGAGACGCAAGGCTGGTCAGTCGACCATGTTCATAGAGGCACAGCTGTTTGATTTGAGCAAGCCATAGAGGCTGAGACCAGACCAGGTTGGTACAAAATGCTTGAGAAGGCTCTTACTTTCTACAAGCAAAACTGCTTATGAGGATCACTGACGTGCCGAGCCGTCGCAGACCCCAGTTGTGCTGGATTGTATATACGAGAAGTGAGGATCCGATCGTTTGCCATGCGTCCCCATAAATTATGCATGTCATTGACTCCGATGGTATTTTGACGCACCTTTCGCGCTGTTGAGTCAAGGCTCCGTGCGCAGACAAGCACCTACCTTACCAAGACATGTCTTCCCCTTGGTTCTGAGCCTTTGTCCTAAACGATAGCCAGAGTCCCAAGGGTGTGTTAGCGAAGCGGGTGTTTAAAGTGTCTGGAACAAGGACTGTGAAGTAATTGGAAAGAGAAGCGCCCCTCTGTGTGTACGTACAAAAGTACTGGTTTCGCCTTGCTCTAAGGGGTCGACTTTCTCTCTTTTCACGTCATATCGTCCACGCTTCCTTCCATTTTTGTTTTGCGTCTTTCAATTCTCACTTCTTGCACAGTGAAGATCGTTCACTGTTGCGTAGAAGTCGACTGCTTTGGCTCAGTCTTTCACACTCTTTTCTCCCAGCCTCCTTTGATAAATTTTCCCGACATTCGGCAAACCTCTCAACATACCCTTCCTCTCGTTACCGCGTATCTTCTGATCAAGATGCATCACTCTTTCGCTCTTCTTCTGGTGGCTATTCTGGCTACGGTTGCGCTGGCCGCACCGACTGCCAAACAAACCGCTACACAGTCTCTTACTAAGCGTTCTTTCACCGTGCCCCGAATCCGCAAGGCTGGCTACATTCGTAAACCGTCCGAGGCCATGGGCCGCGCATACCGCAAGTTCGGTTGGTCAATGACCACTCCAGACGGTACTCCTTTGGTTGCTGTTTCCAAGACTCCTACTACCAAGACCTTCAACGCGGACGCTTCTTCTTCTTCTCCTTCGAACGTCACTTCTGACTTTAGCGATGACCAGTCCACTCAGACGACTCATGCAGCTGCTAGAATCAAGACTTTCCTTTCAGCGACTTTCTCCTGGGGTACTTCGGCCCCAGCAGCCTCCTCTGCTTCTGCTGCCGCTAAGACTCCTGCTGTCGAGCCGGAAGATGATGAAACTGGTGAAGTCATTGCCACGCCTGCTGATAACGGTGCCGAGTACCTGTCTCCTGTCACCATTGGTGGCCAACAACTCAACCTGAACTTTGATACAGGCTCTGCAGACCTGTATGTGTGAAGCCAGGTCGCGAATGTGAAGACCGGACACTAACGATGTCAATAGATGGGTATTCAGTACTGCCCTTACTAGCGACGAGATTGGAGAGCACAGCGCCTACGATCCTTCCAAGAGCTCAACCTACCAGGAGCTTAGAGGTTACACTTTCAGCCTTTCTTACGGTGATGGTAGCGGTGCAGCAGGAACTGTGGGTTGCGATACTGTTGATATTGGTGGCGCTACTGTCACTCGTCAAGTCATCGAATTGGCCACTTCTGTCTCTAGCGCCTTTGTCTCGGATGCCGACTCGGACGGTCTCGTGGGCCTTGCGTTTTCGACCGTCAACTCTGTCTCGCCCGATTCACAGAAGACCTTCTTCGATAACATCATGTCTGAGTTGGCTCAGCCAGTCTTTACAGCTGCTCTGGATCTCGACGGTAGTGGAACATACGAATTCGGTACCATCGATTCATCCAAGTTTACCGGCGACTTGATGTTCACCAACGTCAACGCGAGCTCTGGCTTCTGGCAGATTGATAGCAACAGTTACAGCATTGGTGGTCGCACTTACCAGAGAAGCAGCGCTACACCTGCCATTGTTGATACTGGTACCAGTCTGTTGCTGCTTGACCCCGAGGTTGTTCGTGCATACTACGCTCAAGTCCCGAGTGCCAAGTACGACAGCACCGTTGGTGGGTATACTTATGATTGTTCAGAGGACTTGCCCGAGTTCGCCGTAGCTGTTGGAGACAATTACATGGCCAACATCCCTGGTTCAGGCATCACATTTGCGCCAGTCAGCTCAAAGACGTGCTTTGGTGGAATACAGAGCAACTCGGGCAGCGATCTGCAAATCTTTGGTGACGTTCTTCTCAAACATCACTTTGTCGTGTTCCATGGCGAGTCGGAGCTTCTAGGTATGGCTGCCAAGGCCGAGTAAATGATGAACAGGGTGGACGAAGTAGGGATATAGGAGGACGCCAGTATCAAGACATAGCTAGCGACAGTAATGCAAAAGAGTCTTGGTAGCCAACGGCGTTCATGATAAGTTGACAAGGTCGAGATGTGTTTGGTCGGTTCTGACGCCTCGTGGAGATATTGGCGGCTCGGCTTATCATCAAGCAGCGGTATGATTGGACGGGCGGCTACGAGGTGGGCGGTCCGATAACGCAAAGCATATGTGAGGCCAACACAAGCATCATGTTTGTCAGCATGTCATTAAGGGACAGGATGCAGACCTCTACTCGTACAAGGCCAACGACGGATCGTTGACTAGTAATGCCCACAAATCCCGGCCGACGCAACAACGAACAAGTCCTCGGAGACGAGCGCCTTGACCGCGGGGTACCTGGATATCGATTTGCGGCAACCCATGTGACAGCTTTGTGAGGTCGATGGAACCGCAGCAGCAGCAGCCGCAGCCGCCATCACGCCCTGGAGCGGGAGCAGTGACGGCCTCAACCACCACCAAGACGACGGCCAAATCGCGCCCTCGCCATCGCCGGAAGGAGAAGGACGAGACAGCATCGGACGCTGCTGGCGATGACTCGAACAAGCGACGATGTGTGAGCTCAGCCTGTGTGGCCTGTCGCAAGAGAAAGTCAAAGTGCGACGGTAACACACCCGCATGCGCTGCTTGCTCGCAAGTCTATGGCACCGAGTGCATCTACGACCCGAACTCGGACCACCGCCGTAAGGGTGTCTATCGAAGCGATGCCGATTCCATCAAGACGCGCAACTCCACCTTGCAAACTCTTATTCACGCCATACTGAACTACCCGGAGGACGATGTGCCGAGCCTGGTGCGCGAGATGAGGACATGCGAAAGCTTGGACAAAGTCGCCGAACGTGTTCTTGCTCGTGAGCAAGGTCAGGCTACCGATGAATCCGACGATCAGCAAGAGGAAGACTTCATACAGCACTCCACAAATGGTCCGTCAACGGCGACACCACTTTTCGAGAAGCAACTGTCTACACGAGTGGGCGAGCTGCGGCTTGACGATGGCTCGGTCCGCTACATTGGTGGCACTTCGAATCTGCTGTTCATGCAGTCCGATGAAGAGTCGCAAACTTCATCCATGTCCGAAGCCTATCCTCAGCAGGAGAATCCTGTCACATCATGGACGACCCAGACGTCTGATCCTGAGCTGGTCATGCATCTGGTTAACATGTATTTTACATGGCACTACACATATTTCACATGCTTGCCCAAGCACCTGTTCTACCGCGATTTCATGCGAGGGAAACCACCATCTGACACTCGCCGAAAGACCGAGTATTGTACACCATTGCTGGTTAATGCTATCCTCGCTCTTGGATGCCATTTCACGTCATCACCTGGCGCTCGTGAGAACCCTGAAGACTCGGCGACTGCTGGTGACCACTTCTTCCGCGAGGCCAAACGTTTGATCGTGGACAACGACGAATACGAGAAGCCAAAGATGACCACAGTTCAGGCTCTGGCACTTATGAGTGTACGCGAGGCGGGCTGTGGTCGCGAGGCCAAAGGCTGGGTTTACTCGGCCATGAGCTTCCGCATGGCCTGTGATATGGGCTTGAACATTGACTCGTCTGGTCTATCTCACGGAGCTGATCACACAATCGACGCCGAGGAAGAGGATGCTCGTCGAATCACTTTCTGGGGGTGCTTTCTATTTGACAAATGCTGGTCAAACTATCTGGGCCGTCTACCACAACTACCCAGTTCTGCCATTACAGTGCCCAAATTTGATGTTTTCCCGGACGAAGACAGCGCCTCATGGGCACCGTACACTGATTCTGGCTTCATGAGTGCCCGATCGCAGCCTGCCCGCACACGTGCAGTGGCGCTTCAAATTTCCGTGCTGTGCGAGATCAGCAACGATCTGATGCGACATTTCTACAATCCTAGTGACATGGACAAGAGTCGTGGTAGGCAAGCTGAGCTCAAGATGTTGAGTGATATCCACACTCGCCTCGAGACCTGGCGTCGCAGTCTGCCTGCTGAGCTGGAACCCAAAGAGGGAGGTCTCAGCAGTGTCCTGACCATGCACATGTTCTTCCAGCTTCTGTTTATCCATCTGTTCCGCCCCTTCCTCAAATACAACCAAAGCACATCACCGCTACCGACCAATGTCAGTCCACGAAGACTGTGTACGCAAGCTGCTGCTATGATCTCAAAGCTCATGCGCTTGTATAAGCGATCGCATGGGCTACGGCAGATTTGTAACGTGACAGTCTACATCATGCATTCGGCATGTACTATCCACCTGCTGAATCTGCCCGACAAGAATGCTCGACGTGATATTATCCACGGCATCAAGCATCTTGAAGAGATTGGAGAAGGATGGCTTGGCGCACGTCGCACATTGAGCATCATTGCCGTCATGGCACGAAAGTGGAAAGTCGAGTTGCCTGAGGAAGCAGCCACCGTACTTGCACGTGCCGAGAACAAATTCGGCCCTCATAGCACGGATACGCCGAGTCCAGCGGCTCGTCGAGCGTCCTTTATGACAATGATAGGAACATCAGACGCTTTGCCGATTCAAAGGCCACAGGTTCCGCTCACACAACAGCGACCTGCATGGACTCCAGCACAGCAAGCCATGATGGCCAACGCCTCTGCACCCATGTATGGACAAGTCCCGTTCAATACACAGTCAACAGCAAGTCCTTTCGCTCTGCCCCCACAATCTGCTTCTGAGATTCGCGCGACAAACTACCCATCCGCACAATCCACACCTTTTACAAACGGACTACAACCCAATCCAGCTGAGTCGCCAGCCGGGACCTTCACCCAAGCAGCCAGCCCCTCAGACATGTTTGGTGGCGTAGAACAGCTGTTACGAGACAGTCAAGACTGGGTCTTCCGAGACCAAGCACAACTAGCTTCAGGCTTTGGAAACTGGAATGGAGGGATTGACATGGGAGTCACACCCATGGGCCAGAGTCCAGTTACTGCTGGACCTCCACTCGGGACGTTCCCAACTGCCACTGGGTATTCGTCCGTGATTGGAAGTGCTGGTGTTGGAGTTCCGCAGCAACAGCAAGTGCCACAGCCACAGCCTGATGGATTTGAGACTATGACGACTTATGATGAGAGGGAGTGGTATCAATGAGGAATTTGTATATCGGGGACGAGGATAATTGGAGAGGGCTTTTGCAGGAGGTAGGTAGCCAACGCCGTGGGAATCAGAACATTAAATGCGTGATGCATATCTTTCTTCCATTTCTGCGATTTTTATATCCTAAAGGCGAAAGTGGGACGCTTGACCTTATGACTAAATCCACTCAGACGGACGCTCGAACCTACTTAAGTGTTTCAACTCATCAAAACATAATACCAAAGCGGACGTCAAATTACGACTGAGGAATAGAGTACGAGTTACTTCGATGAGTTTGTTCGGATGATGGCGAGTAGATTTGAACATTACGATGTGGAGAAATATGGCTATTGATACTAGACGGATGCTTTGCTAAGGAGGGGTTTGGGGAGTCGGAGGCGCACATGCTATCATACCAATATCTTCCAATCATGATTTTTAACTATCAGCTTTGTTTCTTGGTCACTTGATCACGAGGACTCAATGCCTGGAAGTTGGGGTAAAGAAGACCGATTATATTATATACAGTAGGTCGAAAGAAGAAAGAACACAAAGAAAAAGCAACTGCTCAACGGCCCAAAAAAGTCGTAATCATTTCAGACAGCCATTTCCCAATCATGACTGTTCATATTTGCTTCCAAGATAGTGTGTCAAACCACACCAAAACTTTACTTTGAGGTATCGAGGACGTAGCGACCAGCGATCTGTCCCTTTTCCATCATTTCAAAGACCTTGGGGAGCTCTGAGAGACCGACAGTCTTGAAGGGAGCCTTGATCAGACCCTTGGCGTAGAAGTCGAGAGCCTCTGCGGTGTCTCTGCGGTTACCGACGTATGAACCCTTGATGGTGATCATTCTGATGACGGACTCAAAGACGGGGGCCTTGAGGTAAGCACCGGCGGGCAGACCGATACAGATGACGGTACCACGAGGACGGACGTACTGCCTCATGTTAGTGATCATTTCCAAGAGGAAGAGGTCTTGATGGGAAAGCATACCTCGGCAGCCTGTTGGAAGGGCTTCTCAGAGACAGCGAGAAGGATGACAGCGTGGGGACCAAGACCGTCCTCAGTGGCAGACTGAACATCCTTGACGACGTTCTTGCTCTTGCTAAAGTCGACGAATGCATACGAGCCCAACTCCTTGCACATCTTCTCCTTGTCGTCGCCAGCGTCAATGGCGATTGTGCGGATACCCATGGCCTTGCAGTATTGCTGTGCGAGCGAGCCGAGACCACCACCAGCACCGACGATGGCTACTGTCTGACCAGGACGAGCACCAGACTCCTTGATACCCTTGTAGACGGTGATACCGGCGCAGAGCACAGGTGAGACACCATCGAGAGGCACATCCTTGTTGAGTCTGGCGACGTGAGCGGCCTTGGCGATGGCGTATTGTTGGAAGGTACCGTCAACCTGGCAAATGTCAGCACAACTGAGATGAGTCCAAGGTGATGAGATTCGGCAGTACTGTGTAGCCTGACAAAGCGGCCTTGGCACAGAGGGGTTCATCTGATTGCATGCAGAAGTCGCAGGAGAGACATGTGCCGTTGATCCACTGGAGGCATTGTTAGTCAAGCCAATTGAATGAGCGATAGTAACACATACCTTGATACCGACATGGTCACCAATGTTGACCTCACTGACGAGCTCACCGCGGCCAACAACGACACCAGCGCCTTCGTGGCCACCAACAAGAGGAAGCTTAGTTGCAAGAGGCCAGTCACCGTTCAATGCGTGGAGGTCGGTGTGGCATACACCAGTGAACTTGACGTTGACGAGGACCTCATCAGGACCAGGCTTGGGAACGGGAATCTGCTTGTATTCGAGGGGACCGCCAGTCTTCTCGATGACCTGTGCCCATTGCTTCTCGGGGATCTGGGGTGCCGACATTGTGAATTGATTTCTAGTTAGACTAGGATTCTCGGAAGTTGTGAGGTAGTGGTGTTTGAAGTAAGGAAGAGTAAATTGATAGCTTGGAAGCTGAGTGACTTGTTTGGCTGGCAAACGCGAGCTACTTATGTCCTTCTTCACTTGAAGCAGGCCCGAAGAGGGCTCACCCCACCTCAATGGAGGGGTCAACGTGCATCGGTTGGAAGGGAGCAACACGACGCCGTACTCTGCAGCTCCTTCACAGCTTGCGCGATAGTCCGAAGCCAAGTCAATCCTGCAGCGAGTGGCAGGAGATCTCACTCTCTCGCACGTACCTAAGTCACGAAACAGTCGCCTAGCGCCGTGGCGTGGTGCTGTCGTTTCCTACTATTACTACAAGGGCCGATATAATGGCCAGATATCTTACCGTACAAGGTCCGAATCACCGGCTGAGCTCACCAAAATCACTCGCTGAACAACCACTTGGTCGGGAAGGAGTTGGAAGATTCGAAGTCTGACGTCTCGCGTTGGGGAACTTTACGGCGTCTGCTGTCATGGCGTGACCCAACCGCGGATATCTTTGTTTGCGCCTTATATGCGGACGTGGCCGGACAACACAGCAGAACGCGAATTCACTGATGTAACACCTACGGCCTACGGAGATCCATCTTGGTTTGCATTGAATCATTAGATGCCTAGAAATTGTTGTAAAGAATCGAAAAAAATAATGGTTTGAATACAGCGAGCGCCATGCCCTGTTTGGCTTGCCGGCTACCGACGGAATCTAGCTCCCGCACGCGGGGCAGAGAACTGCATGGATACAGCGGGGTAGTCACAAACCTTGTCATATTCATCCAGCTTGAGAAGAAGCTCCTAGCAAATAGCGGCGTGCATTAAGAGGTCCTCATAGGCTCGTTCGAATGGAGGTTGGACCTGAATCCCTCACGCCAAGTCATCAGGTCACAATCCTTCGACAGATCATGGCTTGCCCACCAGCCTGTAAGCAGCATACACCTCAGGTGGCTGGCCTCGAATTGGCCATTTTCATGTCGAGGAGAGATGGTGGCGTAAGGATCTGGTACTTCGGACGAACGCAGCTCGTAGCAGATACTAAGGAGCTTTCAATTGCTTGCTGCTTTTCGTCAGCCTGGTTGCCTTGACCCCTCTTGCTAGGGGTGGATAAGCAACGCGTGTGTTGCATGCTTGAGTGACGATCTGATGGCGGAGCTGCGGAATTTCCTCGAAAGTCCTGCTGCTATTATGGTCACCAGCCCGAGTCAGGCACTCGGTGCGGAGTAAGGACTAAACTTTGACAAGCCATTGAGTGGACAAGTGTGCAGCGACACAAACTGTATGCACGGGTTGATCGATAACAAGCTAACTTATGGGTCACGGGTCACAAGAGCGTCAAGCCTGAAACGAGTCATCAATCTCAAACGGTAGGACTGATCTCTTTCAACGTCAATGGCATTTTGATTGCATGTGCTATGTCGCTTTATCAATATCTCGTACGTAGTAACATTGTCCACTCCATTGCTTGGACGTAAGATAGGTATATGGTCAATCATGAATAGGCGTGTGAGTATAATAAGACTTCGTTTGGTCCAGTCTTGCTTCGCGTTGTATGGCATTCCCAGAGTCTGGCAGCAGGCTTAAACCTCAGTAGTAGACTGGGGCTTGCCATATAGGCGGGCGACCATCCTCGGCGTCCCATACAATCTTGTTCTTCTCATCGAGAGAAGCACCCTCGTCTGTGATTGGTATGACCTTGCTTGTTTCTCTAACCTCCTGTCTACTCACGCCCATGGGGTCGCGTGGAATCCACAAAAGTTGTGGGCCGGCGGTGACTGCTGGGTTGTAATAGGCATGTTGCTCCTCCTCGTCCTCGTATCTGATATTGATCATCTTTGGCACCAAACGACGCATAGTCGCGTAATCGGTGTAGATGTCGGGACGAAGGAACTTTTGCCAGAAAGTGGGCTTGGTGTGAGGCGATGGACCAAGCTCAGTGTTGTTGGTAGCGGTCATGCCTTTTTCTCCTCTTTCAGCTTCGGTGTCCTCGTCCAACAGACGACGCTCCTCGGCTTCTAGGCTTTTGGGCAGATAATTGATCAGAGGCTCAAGCGCAGCATTGAGGGACAGATGGTAGAGAGCTGTGAAGACCATGAAGATGATCATCAAGATCAAGGGACCTAACGCTCCGACCGAAGATCCTGTAGCGATGGCGAACAATCCAATCAGACAACCTTCCGCAATGTAGAGGCCTACAAAGACTTGCTGCAAGGCGCGAGGATATACGCGACCTTTGGTATCAATATTCGCATTTGACACGTACAACAAGTTGTAACGATAGGCCAGGTAGAACAGATAGAGACCGATGGCTGCAAAAAGAAGCACCAATGGGGCGATGATCGCATAACAGATCGCGATCACGAAAAGGTTGGTGTACGGAGGGAACACGGTTCCCCAAGACATAGAGGAGAGGGATGTCCATCGCTTGTACATCTTACGAGGTGTGTTGTCCAAGAACTTTCCAAGGACGATGAAAAGAACAAGGCCGCTCAAGTTGAGCAGTGTTCCTGAGACCACACCTAAACCTTGGAGGACAAAATAGGAAAGATAGAAGTTGGATGCTTTAGGGATCGATGAGGCCAGAAGACTGGGAATCTGATCGATGTGATTGGGAAGAATCGATCCGAGAGCCGAAGATGCAGCAGAACCAAGAGTAGCAACCAAGAAGACTTGAACAATCTGGAAGCCGAAGTACGTGTTCTGGACGGTCAGTTCGATGGCTGAAAGAGAAGGGTCACCTCCAAGTCTAGCCATCAGACGGAGAATGATGGGTAACACCGACATCAGGATAGCAAGAGCCACAGTAGGCAGGAGACCAGAGACAACGCCAAAGATAGTGTGTGGTAAGGCGAGAAGCCAGTTTAACCAAGTAAAGCCTTCCTTGAAAGTGGTCGGAGGACTGCCACTGTTCCAATCTTTCAAGTTGTCCAAATTCGAGATGAAACCGACTGCAGCGACAGGAAAGGACCAGAAGACAATCAAAGCGACGACGAATGATACAGTCGCAGTCACTCTAATCACTCGCTCCCACCACTTGATGCGAAGGTTACTCCAGATAATTTCACCTGGAGTCATTCCAGTGTATCTGGGGGCCATGTGAAGAACTTGGTGATGTGTTAAGCTCTGATAAGCAGATTGGGCCCCTTGCAACGTTGAAAACTGCACGAACACAGCGTTGATCTTCTTGATGCCGTCCAGTGCTCTGTGCTTGTTTTGCATTTCTTGAACCTTAGGAATCCTCTTCTCCAGCTCCGCACGGCACCAATCAATAGTGTCGACCTTCTTGCCTATCAAGGGCTTCAGGCGATGAGTCGGTCTGTCCTTTGCAGAAACATAGCGAGACGATGCAGAACCTCCCTCTACATCTGGTGTCAATTCCTCCAGAGCAATGTCCTCGTTATCTTTCTTCGCCTTCTTCTTGCTTGCCTTCAGACGAGCAGCGTTGGCGGCCTTGATCAGCTTAGTTTCAGCAGCTTCGAGCTTGAGTGAGGTCTTGTCACGCTCCTTGACCTCATCTTCAAGATCACTGGTATCGGTAGGGATCCAAACTCTTTCGACAGATTCTCCAAGCATGCGGCGTAGGTTTGTTTCGTTCAGGTATTCATCTGGTACGGAGGTGAATAGTACGGTGCGTGAGGAGAGGCGACTAGCATAATAAGGCGAGAGCAGGTAAGCCTGGCGCAGATTGATGTAGTAGATGCTCTCTCGAGTGATCATGTAGATGACGAAGCCTGTGAGGCCATGTTAGTAGGGCTATTGGCGGTCTACTGGTCACCTTACCGAAGAAGAGATAGGCACAGCCAGTGTGCGCAAACATCTTATAGTAGTTGTTTGTCACATTTCCAAGAGTCAGAATGTCGAGTTGGGACTTACCACCACCCCCGGTGATGTTGATTGGGAACAGGACCGGAAAGGTGATACAACAACCAACCAGACAAGTGATGACTGCCATCTTCAGCAGACGCAGGAAAAGGTAGCCATCGAGCGAATGATGGTTCAGGACATAGCTGTCAGAAATGCTGAAGAAGCTGCTGAACCAGCCGAACAATCCGTCTGGTAGTTTGGGTGATCTTTCGCGCTCTTGAATGCTTCCCAAGAAAGTTCTTGGGCGATAGTTTCTTGGGAACCACCTTCTGAAGATTAAGAATAATGTGAACCACACCAATGCGACCAAGGCGACAGGGGCGAGGGTAGAAAGAAGACCTGTAGCAGAAGACGACACGTTCTGCGCGCTGCCAACGTTAGGGTCATCGTTTGCATCCTGGCGAATTGATAAAGTCAGATTTGTCGCTAGCACTATGTTGTTTTGTAGTCGGGATACCGTAGCTGATGATGTCGCCATGTTGATGGATTAGTTGCTCACAAACAATGACTGAGTCTGAGTGGTAGGCTCAGGTTTGGAAGCGAGTAGGACCAGAAGAAACCTAGGGGCGGAGCGGCTCTGATATCAGGGTCTTTTCTGAGAGGGTTATTTGGGTATCTAGACAGGCGGCGCTAAAAACTGTTCCAGCCTGTCGCGCGCTTCACCTTGGAAACAGCCTTGCATTAGAGACGATCACTGCGGGATGACGCTATTGGGCATGATAGCAAGAGCAAACAGACCATGAGGCATGAATCATTCTTGATCCATATTGAAGTTTGAGATATTTCCTGGTCTTCATCGCCCTCGTCATGTCTTGACATTCTTTGTGCGTTCAGCTGCGAGTGATACATGCCCCACAGCACACGCGACTGTGACAGCGCACTGTCGTCGTCTGGGGCGCACCAAGCCAACCTCGCGTGGAGTCTCGAAGAGACACCGAGATTGCGGTTGTAGTGAGTCGGCTTTCTGCCCAGCCACGAATGATAATATTTCAGCCACCCATTTGCGGTCCGCGAAACTCAAAATTCCTGCTTGGTTTCATATGACAACGGCCAAGGGTTCTTGAAGTCGACTTTGACGAGCATGCACCCATGTAAACCAAGGCTTCGGTTACTGCAAAATCCTACGATAGTCACGGCTTGCATTAGCTGCACTTTACTAGATTTTTTGCGTCCATAATTCTCCGATGCACAGGGTAGCATCGACCTATGCTTCGTCATTGTCAACAGATCGGCCGTATGTCCGACTATCTAGGTTCACCGTCGCTCTGCCGGGATCCCTGAGCCAAGTGGAGAGCGTGAGGGAGCAGCCAGCGTTCACCTGGCTCAAGAACGAACTTTAACGAAATGACAGGTCAAATTTCTTCGGCGACATACGAGAAGGAAAAGCCGTGTTTACCCAACTATCGATTATACAAGAATAGGTCTTTGCTACGTAAAGAAATCTCCTGCCCCGAACTCCTGTGTGTGCCCCTGAGTATACATGCACATTAAGATACATATCAAGTGCCTCGTGAACGTGAATCATCTCCTAGATCAGGATGTCTCCTGCTTCTTGACCATCGGCGGCGGTCCAGTGCCGCTTCTAGCTCTTCTTTCGCGCTCGCCGACGCCAGGCTCAGGGACCTTGATGTTGAGACGCTTCTTGTTGGTGAAGCGCTCGCCAGTACCACGAACCCACTCATCCTCATCATCTTTGCCAAGCCAGTATCCCTTTCCGACCGAGGTCATAACGCGTCCAAGACGACCCTTCCAGCCCTCGCCCTCTTCGCGCCCCTCACGGAACGGGTTTTCTGCCAAATCGGTACGCTCGGAGCCTCCTTGAAGGCCGAAGTTGTTGGCGGAGGTCATGAGGATGTGCTGGCGCAAAACACCGCGGGCGTAGGCCACGACGACCAGGCAAAAGTAGATGCGGATAGTCCAGAGGGCGCAGATAACAGTGATACTAGCGATGCTACCAGACTGGAAGACTGCTTGTCCGAGGGCGGAGCCGTCGTTGACGCCTACAGCGACAGCCTTTTGACCGGGCATGGCAGGAGTTGCGACAACCTCAACGTGAGTTGCGTTGACTTCGGGGCTAGTGAAGCCTGCGGTATCATTCATCATCTTGCCACCGGGAAATTTGGAGTCATCTCCAGAGACGTCGTCGTTGATGTGACGTGCGAGCATCAAGAACCAAGTTGTGCCGAAAAGTGCAGTGTAGGTAGCGTTGATCAGTGAGTCGAGTACGTAGAGCCAGGCGAGGGCAAGACATTGTAACGGGCTCTGACGCTTGATGTGTGGTGATAGATAGCAGAGGGCGCCGAGGATGCCGATCGAGTAGATGTACATGGTGAGTTGCAGCCAGTCGAGGTGATAACCAGTGAGGATGGCGATCAGACCGTAGATGCCTGACACCTTGTTGATAAGTAGCGTCAGAGCGATCATCTCAGTACCGGTTCGCAGCGATATGAGGTACAAGAAAGTCTGCTTCTCGTCAGTATGCGCCGTGTCGCATCATGATTGTAAAGACGCACCTTAGGCCGCAACATGCGGAAGATGGCGGGAAGCGCCATTGTCGTCGTACCAGGGAGATATACCAGCGGTCGTAGGTGTCGTTCAGATGTCCTTCAGGATGCCAGTCAATACAGAGATTTTCGAAAGATGCGGTTGTTATTAGTCTGGTGTCGCAAAGAGCACTTCGAGAGTCTGTGATGGGGCTTTGACGCGGGAGCGTCGGCCAGAGAAATTACAGAGAGAAAACGGATCTCGGGGCGCTAAGATGCCGTATCTTAATGCTCACTTTGCGAAGATTCTTTATTTCGCGCTTCTGAATCGCAATATGACTCTTCCCCACTATGCTGTTCGTATATGGTATAATCTTGCCTTCGAACTCGATGCTGTGTACTAGTACGGTGATGTTGATGTTGTTGTTGACATCTCCTCCGCATTGATTACTGCAAGTCACAGCATGACGACGATCTTGTCAAAGACCAACCAGAGGCATCACTGGGTACTTCAAGTCCAATCACGCTGTCGTCATAACAGCATTTCTAGGTCAGTCTCTCTTTGTGCTTTCTGAGATTCATATCCATGCTCTCTAGTGTCTAGTTCCCAGACCACAATTGTCAAGAACAACAGCCGCTAGGAGCACCCTGTCCTCGATCACTGACGAGCCACACATCGACGGCAAGTATGTTCGAGATACATGCACCAAGATTCCGTGAGCAATACCTGGCTGATTAGGTCGCTGCAGTAATGTAAGAGCCATCAAACATGATGTCCGTTCACCCTTGTCTCTTTTTGGCAAGTACGGTATGGTCAAGACCCTAGGTATGTCAAATGGGGGGATGCAGGAGTGATGAAGCAGGACATGCAGATACATTTATGTACATGGGGTTATCCCTCTATTCCAAAAGCCAATCAGCCGCTCAGAAAACGCCGTGCTCCATGCAAAATACTGTACAAGAAAGAACAGATTTGGGAAAAACTAAAGGTATCTTTGGAAGAAGGGGAAACGGTATCGAACAGGAACAAAGACAGTACAGCCAAGAACGAATGGCTTAGCAGGCGCAGCTCGAGTTGTCTGTTGTAGGGCCTGGGTTGATGTTCACGTCGATCACTGTAAGACCGAGTCAGCAACAAGAATTGTACGAGCATGACGGATAATCTCAACGTACTCTGGTTTGGCGTCTGGTTCTGCTCGCTCTCCATACCAGGCAAAGCCTGTGCTATCCTCTTGAACAAAGGCTTAACGTTGTGTCCGACCTTTGCGCTAGTCTCAATGAACATGAGATTGTGCTTCTTGGCCTCTTCTTCTCCTTGCTGAGTGGTGACCTCGCGCTTGTCGTTCAAATCGGTCTTGTTGCCCACAAGTACGATAATTACGTCGGAGCCACGCTCGCCACGAACGTCGTCGACCCACTTGCGAGTTTGCTGGAAAGACTTGGCCGAGGTGATATCGTAGACAACAACAGCAACGCTGCTGTCGCGAATGTAGGAAGGGATCAGACTACGGAAGCGCTCCTGGCCGGCGGTATCCCAGAGCTGTAGACGTACGGTGCGATCTTCGAGGTACATTGTCTGCATGGTATTGTGTCAGCATGGCGGGCTCTCCTGTGGTACTCGAAGAGGCATGGGCAACCTTTGACAAGAAATCGATTCCAATAGTAGCCTGGTAGGTATTGTCGAATGAGTCGTACATGAAGCGGGTGATCAAAGACGTCTTGCCGACTGTAGGATATACAATTAGCATTGCAGGAGCAAGCCGAGGACACTTGTAGCATACCGCTCTGCTCGCCGAGAAAGACCAGCCTGTGATATGCACGTCAGCATGCGCATGTATCGATTAGAACGGTTACGAGCTACTTGAACTTCTTCAGCGGGTTCGTGTATGACGCCGGTTGAGCCATGATGATGGTGTTGTGATGAAGCAGCAGGACAGCAGGGGCAAAGTATTACGCAGGGGTAACAGTGACAGACGTATTGTGTATAGACAAGCCTGAAGAAAAGCGACGGAGCAAGTTAATATTCAGGAGATTGATTGCGGACTCGCGCGAGCTGCGGCCCTCGATGTCTCCACAAAGGAGGGCACGGTTGCACCATGTTCATCAGGCCGGAAAGGGCTTCGCCGGCGGACGGGCCCTTGGCAGCCAAAGCCCTTGCGGAGAAAGAGCGAGAGATTTGGGAAAAATTACTGGCCTTTTGCTTGCATTTTCCAATCGACATTGTTTTTTCAACCACAATCATGGCCCCCGTAGCAGAAAAAGTCCAGGCGGCACCCGCAACCCACAAGCAGCCCTCCCGTAAGGGTAAGAAGGCATGGCGCAAGAACGTCGACATTACCGAGCTGCAAGAAGGCGTTGAAGATGTTCGCGAGCAGATTATTCAAGGGTACGATCCGGCATTACAACCCTTGCTAGTCCGTATACTGATATTTATACAGTGGTGTTCTGACTGAGAGACCTGCCGAACAACTGTTCGTTAGCGACGTTAAGGGCGCCGACGATGTCCAAGCCGACTTCAACAAGCGCCACAAGCCTCTCAAGGCCGACGAGATCATTGCACAACGCTCAAAGGTCCCCGCAGTAGACACCAGGAAACGCAAGTCTGATGGAATCGCAACTGGAAGCAGCAAGCGTAGCAAGAACGGCACCTACGTCTCACACAAGGATCTCCAACACTTGCGCAGCGTCGCGAACTCTGGTGGTGCCCAGTCCGACATCATCAAGGCCACCGAGAGCGCAGACCACGACCCCTGGGGCATGGAGCCCATCCCTCAGGACCCCAGGTTTAACTTCATCCCCGAGAAGAAGGCCAAGGTCGCCCCCAAGACTCTGAAGTACGCCCCCATCTCACTGGCCGCCAACGGAAAGCCTTTCGCCGCTGTACCCAAACCTTCCGCTGGAAAGAGTTACAACCCTACATTCGAGGACTGGGAAGCACATGTCACAAAGGTTGGCGAGCGTGAGGTCGCTGCCGAACGCAAGCGTTTGGAGGAGGCTCAAGAGGAACACGATCGCTTGGAGAAGGCTCTTGCTGAGGCCGCAAGACCTGAGCCATCGACCGACGACGAGTACCAATCAGCATACGAGAGCGAGTGGGAAGGTATTCAGAGCGAAGCCGAGGATTCTGAAGCCGTCACCAAGAAGCGCCCGGAGAGAAAGACACCATCTCAAAGAAACAAGATCAAGAGAAGAAAGGAGCTGGAGCACCAGGCAAAGTGGGACAAGCAAATGAAGAAGAAAAATGAGCAACTAGAGCGTGTCAAGGAGATTGCCCTGCAACTCGCCGAGAAGGAGCGTCTTCTGGAAGAGCAAAAGGCATTGCAACCTGCTAGCACTGGTGCCGAGGCCGAGATCAATGATGATGATGACACCCAGCTCTTGCGCCGTCGCAATCTTGGTAGACATGCGTAAGTTTTGTGTCCCGTTGGAGCCATCCATTTAGCCACTAACAAGCGTCGTAGCGTTCCTGATGCACCCCTCGAGGTTGTTCTTGCCGACGAACTTCAGGATTCCCTTCGTGCACTACGACCCGAAGGCAACCTTCTCAAAGACCGCTACAGAAATATGTTGTTGAACGGCAAGCTCGAGACTCGCCGCACCATGCAACACAAGAAGCCTAAGAGAGAGGTCACCGAGAAGTGGAGTTACAAGGACTGGAAGCTACGCTAGATGCAGTATGGTCTCGTGTACCCTGTGGTGATGGATAAGCAAGTTTCGATGAGGTTCTTTACATGTTCTTGATACCAGTGGCGCGTCTGGGTTCTTTGTTGCATCTGCCTGGCGTTGGGGGTTATTCATATAGAGGACAGTGCATGAGAATGATCTGTTAGGAGATGGCACAAACGGAGAAGATGGCATTTGTGAAAGACGGTTCAAAAAAGCTTTCTTTTCTACCCTCTGTTCGTTCCTTGCCATGTGCAGCTTGTCGAGATGATGTGAGATGTCTAGGTAATGGAAAAAGGACTGTTGTGCTTGTAGGAGGGCCTCGGCCCCACGACGTCGTTTTGACATTGCGGAGAGCGGCTTGGTCACTTGCAGTGAAGGAGGACACTCAATCTGTCGCACGCACCTGCAGCCAATCAATCCATCAACCCAACCACTATGGCTGACACGGAAGATCCTACCAAGGCAGAGGCCCCTCCAGCCACGAGCAACGAGCAGACTGCAGCTCCCACGGGCGACGACATGGAAGCATCCCCAGACGCCGAAATGCAATCCGCCGACCACGACGACACCAGCAACACCATGGACAACAGCGGCACTGCTAAGCCCGACACAAGCATGAACATGGACGGCGCAAGTGACGATGCCCCCGCTGTGCCGCAGATCGAGACGAGGATGCCGGCAAAGAAGGATGTCGCATTACGAGACTTCCTGGGCAAGATGGATGAATATGCGCCAATCGTTCGTGACCGACCAACTCGCGTCGCAACACGCCGCAGACTCGAGAACCTTCACTAACACATGTCACAGATCCCTGATGCCGTCACAAACTACTACCTGACCCTCGCTGGCCTCCCCCCACCACCTGCCACACCACCTCACCTTGCGCGCCTCCTTGCGCTCGCTGCTCAGAAGTTCATTGCCGACATTGCGGCAGACGCTTACCAGTACTCTCGCATCCGCTCCACCAACACCACTTCTAACAACCCCTTGACTGGACTCGGAGGTGCTGCAGGCTTTGGCATGATGCCGACAGAAGAGGGTGGCGCCAAGGGCAAAGGCAAAGATGCTGCCAAAGGTGCTCAACTCGGCGGTCCTCGTCCTGGTTACGGCGGTGGTGGTGTGGGATCCTCTGGTGGCAGGACAGTCTTGACCATGGAAGATCTGGGCATGGCAGTCGGAGAGTACGGAGTCAACGTCAAGAGAGGCGAGTTCTACAGGTAACTCACTTGCATATTGCAGGGCATATGGGCTGGCGTTTCTCTGGATCAATGGGCTGCTGGGATATTGGCGGCAGAATTGCACGCGTTCTTTATGAAAAGATGAAAAGGTCATTCATCCATGGCCAAGGCGTTCGGGGCATGACAAGAGCAGGCATCTAGATGGGACTGTACCATAGGGAAGATGGACTTTGATCACGCTATCACAAATTGAAAAGACTTTAATCCACCAGACTGTACTGTCATGGGAACAGGGTGATGTGACAAGGCTGGCATATTGTGCTTTCTGAACTTGGTAATTTGTACAAGAGACGCCACTGAACGCCAGGAACCGCAAAGAAACGATAATGTACCAATCACTTGTTCTTGGTCTGCTTGTAGGTAAAGCGCTTTCTCGTCCTGCAACACGTCAGCGTCCGTTCATGGCAACATTGACCACACCTGGGAACTCACGCTGAGAACTCTCCTAGCTTGTGACCGACCATGTCTTCAGTGATTCTGACATCGTTGTAGATCTTGCCGTTGTGGACCTGGAAGATCAAGCCTACGAAGTTGGGCAGGATGGTGGCACTACGGGCTTGCGTCTTGATCGGAGGAGCGCGCTCGCCGTGCTTGGGACGGACAATGGGCAATCTGTATATCTCGTCGTCAGAACAAGCTCTGTGTATCCTGTGTGCAAATCCGTGGGTCCAGGAAGTTTGCGACAGAGAGTGCATAAAAGTTGGATTCGGAAGATGCTTACGGGACAATGTGTGGGCCTGGGAAACAGTTAGTCTTGGTCTGTATAGTCGTTCAAGGAGATGTTACCCTTCCACACAGAGCGAGCGCCCTGCAGTATCGTTGTCGGTCTCATCGTGTGCGTGGTACAATCGACAACTCGGAGGTGTCTGCCGCATCGCCATCTTGATGCCGTCCTTCGTCCGCCAATTCCCAAAGCACAGACCACTTTGCCCATCTACGCGTTACACGTCCACCACCATCTTCGTGCAGGCAGCAGTACGTGTTTGCCTTCAATTTGTGTTGGTCAAAAAGAGGCGAGGAGATCGAAAGGATCAGATGGTGTTGTGTGTTTGATCCTTTTCCATCTCCGAATCATTCTCTTCCTCGACTTCACTTCGTTCCCATGCCACTGCACTACTGAAACGCTACCGTCAAGATGCCTCCTCCTTCAGGTAATCCTCGCCTGAGCAAAATTAATAATCAAAACTAATAGTATGGCAGCCGCTGATACGATCCGTATCATGATCTCGACAGATAACCATGTCGGATATGGAGAACGCGACCCGACCAGAGGAAATGATTCTTGGGACACTTTCGACGAGATCATGACCATGGCTCGTGAAAGGGACGTCGACATGGTGCTTCTCGCTGGCGATTTGTTCCACGACAACAAGCCTTCTCGCAAGGCCATGTATCATGTTATGCAGTCTTTCCGCAAGAATTGTTTCGGTGAGAAACCGTGTGAGCTTGAGATGCTCAGCGATGCGTCAGAGGCATTCCAAGGCGCATTCAACCATGTCAACTACGAGGATCCAGACATCAACGTTGCGATTCCTGTCTTCTCGATCCATGGAAACCACGATGATCCTACTGGAGATGGTCACCTCGCATCTTTGGACCTGCTGCAGATGGCTGGCATGGTCAACTACTATGGTCGAACACCCGAATCTGACAATATCGTGATAAAGCCTGTGCTGTTGCAAAAAGGTCGCACCAAGCTCGCACTGTACGGCATGAGCAACGTCCGTGATGAGCGCATGTTCCGTACCTTCAGAGATCAAAAGGTCAAGTTCTACCAGCCTGGCACACAAACAGGAGAATGGTTCAACCTCATGAGCGTTCATCAAAACCATCATGCTTACACCGAGACTGGATATCTCCCCGAGAACTTCTTGCCATCATTCATGGATCTGGTCATTTGGGGCCACGAGCATGAATGTCTGATCAATCCTCGCTACAACCCTGAACAGACCTTCCATGTCATGCAGCCTGGCTCATCGGTTGCCACGTCTCTCATGCCAGGTGAAGCTGTAACAAAGCATGTCGCCATCCTCAGCGTCACGGGAAAAGAATTCAAGTGCGAGCCAATCCGTCTAAAGACCGTCAGGCCATTTGTGATGAGGGAGATTGTACTTCAAGACGACGCTCACATGAAACGGCTCGCCATGAAGGACGACAACCGTACAGAAATCACTCGATACCTCTCAGCTATTGTGGAAGACATGATCAAGGAAGCTGAGCAGGCCTGGCGCGACGCCCAGGAAGAAGAAATCGACGAGAACACCACGGTACCGACGCCCTTGATTCGTTTACGTGTCGAATACACCGCTCCCGAAGGTGGACGATTCGACTGTGAGAATCCACAGCGTTTCTCCAACCGCTTTATGAAAAAGGTGGCCAACGTCAACGATGTCGTTCAATTCCACCGCAAGAAGACTGGCACTAGCAGGAAGAAGGAGCAGCCTGATATGCCCGATGAGTCTGTCTTGCAATCAATGGCTATCGACACCGTCAAGGTAGAGAAGCTCGTCCAGGAGTTTCTTACAGCGCAGTCCCTGACCATCCTGCCACAAAACGCGTTTGGTGATGCTGTTAGCCAATTTGTGAACAAAGACGACAAGCACGCAATGGAAGCTTTTGTTGATGAGAGTCTTATCGGTCAGTTGAAGAATCTCTTGAACGGCGTGAGTGTCGAAGACGAGGATATAACGGAGATTATGATGGGTTTCAAGACGGGAAGAGAAGAGCTGTTTGCCAAAGGCAACTTGAAGCGTACCGTCAGATCTGACAAGCTCAAGCCCAAGCCAGACAGCTGGGACTCAGACATGGACGGAACCTGGGCCGATGACCCTAGTGCAATCATACGCTCCGACGATGAGGCCGCAGAAGAAGAAGAGATGGCACCGCCCAAGACCAAGGCAACTCGAGGTAGAGGAGGCAAGACTGCTGGAACTACACGCAAAACGACCGCCGCCACCAAGAAAGCTGCACCTGCCAAGAAAACCACAACTCGTGCGAGAAAGGCACCAATCGAGGAGGAGTCGGATTCGGAGGATGACGATGTTATCATGCTCGACGATGACGACGAGGATGTTCCGGATGTTGACGACGAGGATGAGGAGGATGACTTGTTTGTTAAGGAGGCACCAAAGATAAGGGCACCCGCAAAGGCCGCAGCAAAGTCGACATCAAAGCGTGCTGCTTCACCCGTAAAGCGCAAAGCACCTGCCCGTAGTACGGCAAAAGCCCCTGCCGCTAGGCAAACGACTTTGAGCTTCTCGCAGACTCCTGCACCATCGCAAGCACGTACCACTGGAGCTCGTGCTGGACGCAAAGCCCCTGGACCGGTAAGCCTTTTCTTGACATTTCTCAGGTGATCAGACACTAATTTTACCATTACAGAGCGAGGATGAGATTTCCGACGACGATGACGCCTTTGAGCCTCCACCTACAGCAACTCGTCCTGCTGCACGTCGAAAGTTCTAAGAGTCTGAACAACGTCATACTGGGCACTCAAGAGGATTCAACTCTTGTTAGATGCCGGTCTCGGCTCGGATTCATCTGTGCATTTTCAAACTAGCATATCAATGGGAGTATGGTGTCGAAGGATAGGAGCATAGCGCATGGAGTTCGGTGTGGGATTTGCTTGGGAGGGTTATTCGCTCTGACTCACTTTAGCTCTTGCCAGACATCGCAAGAAGGTGATAAGACCCAGACTTTTCAATTCCGATTCTGTGGCTTCGGGAAAGGGGGTCCATCAAGGTTGCTGTCATAATATCTGGGGTATGTATACAGAAGAAGGTGCCATCAGCCCGATTCGGAAAATGCATATTCTCTTACCTCAGAGCTTCGTCTTAGTGGCAGCTACGATGTCGGAAAGAACGTCCAGCGTCCTGCTCCCTTAGTGCTGTCCTCTCGACTCTTACCCTTACACCTCACGCCATCACAGCAACCCATCAACACTCTTTCGCCATCACAACCACACTCATTTGGTCTTACGACACTACAATACTACCACCGCTCTCTTTGGATCAACCAGTTCAATTGCTTGCTGAGCAATAATACACCTCCGAACCCAGATCGATAACCTTTCCATTGCCGGTACGATCATCGTCATGCCCATTTCCATCCTGCATTGCATCAAGGCTGACATGGACTTACAAGTAGCTCACGAGCATTCAACACATATTCCAATCGTCTCGTCCATCATCAAGTATCATTTGATGCCAATGGCTCACAACGTCGCCCGTAGGGCATACTCGGCCGAACAACTCTTGGCTCTTCGCCATTCGGCTTCGGACGACACGGCCATTTGGATCGAAGCCAGAGCTCAGGATGGTGCCATCAAAGGTGTGTTGAATATCCGCTGCTTCTCCTGGCTTCAATGCTTGGCTTCGATGTTGTTGTCAGCTGCCACCCTCTCCCCCAATCATCAACACGACTCTCTTTCCTGTCTCTCAACATACATTCATTCATTCACTCCTTCATTTGTGCGCGCAACCAACTTTATACATTCATTACCATGCTTTCGTTCCTTACACCACCCAAAACAATCATCACCCCCAGCCCTTCTTTTTCTCATCATGAAAGATTCGCGAGTCACTTGGTCGCCGACACACCATCACCGTGCCATCATAACCGCTGGGAAAATCTAGATTGGCTAACAAACGATCTTGCAGACCATGTTGTTCGCAACGCACGTTCCTTTGCTGCCCGCTCGTCTCGCTCATTCGCCACATCTGACACTCTGCACCCTCCTGCTCAACCAGAGTCACGCCAATCCAGTGCACCTGCGTTGGCTGAGATTGACCCAAACAATCAAAACCTGCGTCCTGTACTGGCTGCCAACCGTTACCGTCCCTCTCCGACTCCTTCACTGAAGAAGCGCAAGGCTGAGCAAATTCTTAAGGACCATGGCTCTCCTCCTGGCCTTCGCGTCACCGCTGGAGGTCGCATCGTCCCCAGCGATCAGTCTCCTCTTTGCAGTCCGCGCTATGGTTACAGTGCCATCAAGAAGAACGGCATGCTCATCAAGTTCGGCCCAAACTTCCCAGCTCCTCCCGGTGGCATTCCGATGCAGAGAATGGGCCTACCCAACGGCTTCGTCGCCCAGGATCCTGACGGCAGATTGTGTCAGATGGTTGATGGCAAGTTCCTTCCCGTGGACGATGTTGATGGCATTCCTCAGCTGTACATCGCCGCTCCCAACTTGACTAGCAGTACTGGGTTCCCAGCCGGCGAGAAGGAAGACGCTGCTGGCAGCACCCCCTTTGACACCTCAACCAGGCAGCAACAGCCCAGCCAAACCTTCGACAAAGCCCCTCCGACTGGCCCATCACTAAAGCAGCCAACCATGAAGCAGCCCGTCATCAGCGCTGCTATGCAGATCCAGGCTCTGGAGAAGCAGTACAGCAAGCTGGAACAGGAGTCCAAGGATCTGGACAAAGTCGAAGTGTTGCAACGCAGCTCGATGAGCTCAAAGGCATACAACCAGCTCGTCCAGACCCGTCGTGAGCTCGTCAGCCGCATGAACTCGATCCGTGTCAGCCTCAAGTCACTCCGTGAAGCCAAGTCGTCCACCGACCATTCGCCTCAAGCCATGACTCAGCCAATGCAGCCACAGTTCAGCATGCAATCTTACGGTCCGGCAGCCATGATGGGACCATCGGGACCCATTCCTGACTGGGCTTTCGACGGCATCGCTCATGATGCTCACAACATGCCGCCCTTCCATGGTGCACCTATGCCACAAGGTCTCGGATACTACGGCCCTCCTCCTGGCTACCCTGGCCCAATGGCTCCGTACCCAGGCATGTACGCAGCAATGCCACCAATGTTCAACATGATGGGAATGCCCCCTGTTGATGCCTTCGGAAACTTCATGCCAGGCGGAGGCAATATGGACCCTCAGGCCTTTTCCAACGGCAGTCCACCTGCTCCACGTGCCGAAGCTGTGCAAAACACTGCAGCAAGCAGTCGCGGACCAGCTGAAGACACCACTACGTCACAGCAAGAGTCTCAACGCAGAACGCATGCTTTGCAGATCAAGAACCCGGAGAACAAGTCGGAGTCGAGTCAGAAGTCGGCCCTCAACCCCATGAGTCCCAGCTACCAGCCTGCCGGCAAGTCGACGCCCACCTCCAAGGTTGTTCCAACTCGAGCAGCATCGCCATCGCCGGCTCTTGCCGAAGCAGTCAGACAACACAATGCTTGGATCACAGAGTCAGCCAATGCCTCAGCAACAAACTTGAACTCCGCCGGTTCTCAACGCAAGCTCCGTTACGAGTCGTCTTCGTCGAGTTATGCTACAGCCGACTTCTTTCCCAACAACCCTCGTGACCACTCGATGAGGAAAGATGCCTATCCTGTCACTCATGATCGCAATGCAAGCCGCAGCAAGATGGCAGAGCGTCCTTCGGCATCCAGCGAGCAGCCAGTCACGCCAGACAAGGAGAATCAGGATCCAGGATGGAGCTTTGCTCCAGTTGCCAGTGTTACCACGCCTCCCACCATGCAAGGCCAGGCCGTTGACCAGTTCGATGCTCCTGCAACTGATGACCTTGATCCTGTTCACAACCGCTCCGAGATGAATGTGAGCCCGAAGAACCGTCGTCCAGACTACGTGTCAAGCCAGAAGTCTGTCAGCGAGTCTGCCACATTCGGATCGGGTCTTCCTTCGCCTGCCATCGGCTCCTCGTACCACACGCAATCGCAGCAGATCTTGCCTACCGCTTCTTCAGAGCAGCCCTCTTCTTCTGAGGAGAGTACCTACATGGATGGCTTCAAGGCTGGCGAAGCTCGCTTGCCTGTCAGCGTTGAGAAGAATGGTGCTTGGCTCAACGGCTACTGTGCTGGCCTTCTCAAGTCAGCCCAGCCTACAGTCCCTTCTGTCCCACCTCTATCCGAAGCGTCAGCTCCAGTCCGCGCAGGCCTTGCGATCGTCAGACCCTACCTGCATCAGGAACAGAAGAGCTTTGCCACGCAGCGTGCCATGCCTGCCATCGGTGTTCACACTATGCCAATGAACACTCTCCGGGACGTTGCTTTCTCAACTCAGAACGAGAATACCATTCTCACCCCGGATCCCAATGGTCCTTGCGTCAACGATATGGCTGCTTTGCATCTTGGAAACTGGAACAAGGCCCACCAGTCTTCCACACCCGCCGAGACTGACGCTGTCCTTGGTCGTGTGCGCAACGGCGAAGCAGTCTTGCCTGAACGCACGTCTTCTGCAATGCAACGTCAGGTCTCCAACGTCAATGCTTCCACCGAGCACAGCCGCAGTGCGATGCCACTCACACAGACCGCAGGAGCCACGATTGACCGCGGAAGGATCTCTCAAGACCGTCGTGCAACATCTGCACAAATCCAGACCGTTGGCGGCTCTCCAACGGCCTACTTCCAGCGAGTCTACCCTGCTCATCGCGTCATGAGTTCCCAGCTCGAATGGAAGTCTGGATCATCCATTGCCCAAGTTGCCGGCTTAGCCACTGGCTACTTTGCGCAATACGATGGTATGAGAACAGGTGCCAACACTATTGGAGACAGACAGCCGCTGACTCAAATGTCTGGCAACACAGGCATGACTACACACGACACCATGTCAGGAGCACTGCCCGAGAAGCAGACCAGCATGTCAGCCAGATTCACCGAGGGATCCATGCCTGCCGACATCAAGACAAGCAGTCCGTCGTCTTCGCCTGGCAAGAGATCGCCGACCAAGGGCTCGCCAGCCAAGGTCAAATTCGCACAAATTGCCGGCAGAGCTGGCATCAAGGTTCGCAACGACAGCAGAGACGAGCAAGAGAGCGAGCCAAGCAGTCCTCAGGAGAAGCGTCGCTGGAGAGACGTCTGGACAAAGAGGTTCGCCGAGGGTGAGCAGAAGCCAAGTGGTCGCCATTGATGAGGCGATGAAGACGTATTGGACATGCGAGACTGGTTGGTACATTATGACTTGGCACCAATGCCAATGGCTCTGGAAGCAAAATTACGATGAGCATGTTAGACAGCATGGAATTGACGGACAGCTGGAGGTCCATTGGCACGAGCAGGATTAACTGGAGGCATGTCTTTTGATTGAGTTTTTGTACCTGACAGCATATTCAGAAGAAGCAGATGATACACCGGGACTGTTGGAGGATAAGCAGAGTATGATTGCTTTAGACATATTCAGACGAATGCATGACTTCTTTCCTTGCAAGCATCATCAGTGCCTTTGCAGTTCGTGAACGAGATGAGAAGAAGTGAGGTAAGAGTGAAGCAAAAGCGATTGGCTGGTATGAGCATCATCGTGGCAGGTGGACCGTGCGGCGTCGGCGAGCTGCCTGGAGCGTCCGGCGTCAGCTACCGCCGCCATCAACCATCATCACCCAAGCAACCAACACCATCTTCTCTTGAATCAAATCTTGCGCTCTCTCTTGATCTAACACTCTCGGCCAATACTTGAGCCCTTGTTCAAAGATCTATCCTCACACAAACACAGACAAGATGGTGCGTTGAAGGACTTCCACGCCTCCATCCACACCCACACGCAAACAGACCACCCAGCTAACACCATCCTCTCCATCACCACAGTCCCTCCGCATCGTCCCACACAAAGGCCACGCGCAACAAACTGCACTCGCCCCCTCCGCCCCCTCTGCCCCCGGCGTCCACGACACACTCCGCAGCAACCAATCCCTCAACACACCCCACAACGCCTCTCCAGCCTTCAGCGCCGTGGCCTCTTCGCACCCTCTGGAAGCCCGCCTGACAAACTGGCGCTCCACCCAAGACACACTGAAGATGAGCATGTTGCGTCGCGAATTCGGCATTGCCGAGCCCATTCGTCGTGGTATGGAGGTCAAGATCTGCGCAGAGGGAGAGTGGAGGCCTGCTGTTTTGGGGTACAAGGGGGAAGGTGTGCATGAGGAGATTTTGAGTGGGAGGGACGTTAGTGTGGATTGGGAGGATGTTTATCATGGTGAGTTGGCTGTTCTTTTGTCTCTAGAGGATGTGATGATGAGGATGCTAATGATGATGTGATGCAGGTAATGAGACTCAGAATGCTCCTGACTTCCACTCGGAGATGGAGAACAGGATGAAGATGAACTGGTAGATTTCTAAATTCTTGAGACTCGCCACGCTACACCTCATACGACAAAGATCGAGATGCTGAAGATGGAGACTGAGAGGGAGACACAATGGCCAGGCATGACAAGAGAAGAGACTAGAGGGTAGATGTTCCCTGGCTGGCTCTATTACGCTGTACAACATGGAGGGGTCTCTATCAGTTTGACCTGACATCTGCCGCGAAAGGCAGGACATCGCAGAAACAAGACTGAAGGGAGAGATCGAAGATATCAGCAGCATACTTTCTTCCTTGCCAACACAGCATCACTTGATGAAAACGAAACTCATAGCTACAAGTTTACCTCACGGTCTAGCGTCTGCTCAAGTGACTGCTCACTGCTCTCTCTCCATGGTAATGTTCATGTTCAACAGCTGTAGCCAATACATTTCACGACGTTGAACAATATTCACAACTCCATCTCGCGCCCCAACTGTATCAGAAATATCAATTTCCGTATCGTCTATATACAAATCTTGTTGAGAGACAAAGGCCAACAAAAGAAACCCACACAAAACAGTTTGCAAAGTGTCGATACAGGGGAGAAAATAGTCATAAACAAGTAACATGAGAAGAGAAGAAAAGATCTGTATGTAAAAGAAAGACGAATGAAAAGCAGAACAAAAAAGCAGAACATTTCCCTTTGCCCACCTCCATCCTTTGCCTTTTTTTTTCTTTCCAAATTCAAAAACCATCATGTTGGAAGAGAAGAAAAAAACGCCATATACATGGGAGAAAAGAGAACCAAGAACGAAGAGTGCATGATTACAAAAGATATGGAAACTCAGATGTGGAAAAACACGAATAAGAGAGGGGCGTGAAGCGAAAGGGTGAAGGACGGAGGGAGATTTGGGGGGGGTTTCGTTGGGGGAGGGGGTATCAGAGAGAGAGAGAAAAGTACAAATGAAGAAAAGAGAAAAAAGGCAAAAAGAATCTAGAGAATGATGCATCGGCAACCAGCGGTGGGTTCGTCGCCATCACCGCGAGAGGGTCTGGCACCACCACCACCGCTACCTTTGCCTTTTGCTGATTTTGCATTTTCTTCGTCGTCGAGGACTTCTTGGGGTTTGACGCTCATGTGGACGACGTTGGGTGCCGAGTCGCTGAATCGACATTCTGTCGAGAGGATTGTTAGTCGTGGCCAGGTTGATATTTGTGAACAAGTCAAAGGATACCTTTCAGTGGTAGTTTGTCATCCAGGAATCGGCCGAAGTGGATTAGTCGGATTGCTGCAGGGGACGAGGGTCTTGGTTCCCATTCTGGATAGCAGGGTTAGGCATAAGCTTAGGGTGGAAGGTGTAGACTCGACGGAACATACCCTCTCTCCAGTCCCGCCATATCAACTCTTTCAGGGTGTACACGCTGATGACGAACGGATCGAATTCTCCACTCTCATTCTCGGCAGTGACATTTCGCTTGGCCAGGTACTTCTGATCTATGCGGTAAGGATGGCGTGTGCCAGTACTGCTGAGCAGCAGATTTATCGTGATAACAGGTCCGCTTGGCATACCAAAGCCTGGTGTCTGAGGCATGGGGGTGGGCAGGTCTGTCGAGGGACCTATGGGTTCGCTGGTCTCCTGACGGATGAGGGCAGGAGCGGGCATCTCGAGCGGAGTCGGTGGCAGAGGATCTGTTCCCTCGTCGACGAATTGCAATTGCGTCTGTTGTTGGCCGCGCTCGGCAATCTGGGGGGCTTCGACGTGTGATGAGGTGGGTGCGCTCACGAACGAGGGTTGTTGTGCTTCTGTTGACGGCGGTACTGAGTCGTGGTGAATGCTGCCCATTTCTACCGGCCTCGCTGCCGTTGTCGCATGTATGTTGCTATGAGAGTCCATGATTTTCCCCTCTTTTCTATGATTGTTCCGAATGTCCTTTGTACAGAAATGTGGGATACGGATGACGATGTGGGACTTGAGGGCTCGGGAAATTGGCCGGGCCAAGGCAGGATTCCAAGAAAGACCTCTTGACCTTGGGAGGCAAAGACTGAAAGTTAGACTGCAGGAAACGAGCGTGAAAGATTCCTGGTGCGCTGCAGACGGGATGAGAACAATAATCGACGGTCTTGATGAGAGTGTGACAGTTGCGACGACGACGACGACTGACATGCACATGATGGACCCACGACGACTCGCCCCGAACCCCAGACTCCACCCATTGGTCCAATTCTACCTAAACTCTAATCCTTATTTGCTACTTCACACTCAAATCATAGAATCCGTCATTCTTGCTGCCGAGGCACGATTTCTCATCATCATGTCAATTACACATTGTTGTATATACCGTCTCTCTCACTGTGAATACAGACAGCCTTGGACCTGTCCGCTCGAGCATCGATCCCCACTGTTGTGTCTTGGCCTCTCCAGGACGTCTACTCCGACCACTCCGCATAGTCGCTGCTTTGCTCCACTCTCACGCCCTCCATCTCCTGCTTGACTCTGAGCATGCTGACCTTGCCCATACTGCCATCAACCTCGCCCTCAATCTTCCATGTAGACAACAGCTCCCGTAATGTTTGAACCACCTCTTCTCTGTCTTCGATTAGCAGTGCGACGGCATCGTATCCTCCTGCTCCAGGCACCACTCCGCCAACAACGCCCTCAACCCTGCTGCAGGCGTCCAAAAGCTCCGTCTGGGCAGGCGGCTCGATCGGCACGCCGCTCTGCTCGCTCATTTCTCGAATCCCTCGTCTGATTGCGAGAATGCGTTGCTTGAGCTCCGAGTAGTCCTTCGATCCGCTTTCTGCCAATTGGACCAATTCTCGTGAAAGGCCCTCATTGACATTTTGCAGTCCCTCCCAGACATTTTCTGCCTCTGCTCCAGTCTCCTTTCTCCACGCCAGCACTTGCTTGACCATACCGGGCGTTTGACTGCCACAGCTGACGTCGCACATGACCAGTCTGATACCCTTTGGTACCTTGACTTGATCCTTGACAATCTCCGTGTCCCATTTGCCGTTTGCACCGCTCTCATCAACAATGCCTACCAACTGCTTGCCAAACTCTGGTGTCCCCGGTTCGCCGTGTGCTGAGAGAATTGACGGTGAAAATCTTCGGTACAAACAGCTGCCGTAGACTGCAGAAGCCACATCAAATCCAGAGCCGACCTTGCCTTGTGCAGCACAATGGGCTGCTTGTGCCAAGTTGTGAAGTTTGCGCTTGCCAGCTTCGGTTGTCAAGTCGAAGGTCTCCTTGGGCAAGTAGTAGCTAAGCACAGCAGCAGTAAAAGAAGTCACCAGTGCAGCCGAGGATCCTAGACCAGTCTTGTTGGCTTTTGCCAGGGGTACACCAAAGTCGTGGAATCTTGCGCCAGTCAATGATGCTGAGGAAGTGGAGTAGTAGTCATTGTCTGCCAAAATGGTGATGGATGAGGGTGAAATGTTGGACGACCCAACACTGGTGATGTAGCTCAGGGCATATGCCAAGGCTGTTTCAACAAATGGATTGCGGTTCAGCTTGAAGTCGGCGTCTCTATAAGATCACACATGTTAGTGCTGTATTTTCGCGCAACTCGAAGTTCTACATCGTACGTGGGGTGCCATTCCAGGGACTGCCGTAGGAGCAGAGGTCTCTACTCAGAATGTGCACGCTGCTCACGAGGGTCTTCCAAGACCATGATCCCTCAAGGAGCTTCAATCCTAGACAGCGCACTTGACATGAATCAATGTGCGCGACCTTTGATGAATTTCGGCCTCGGAGTTAGCACTTCCCGGTGCGCATCCTTCCTGTCTCCTTAGGGCTCGGATATCCGATACAGACATGTCCGGTCGACGCTCTCACGCTCGTGCAGTCGGCTTCATATGGCATTGAATGGAAACAAAAAAGGAAAATATGAACTGCACCACTTACACTCTCAATTGGGTCACTTTGACACCCCCGTCTTTCTCAGCCAGGCGGTAACCGTATTCCCAGACGGCGTCCTGGAATTGAGGCGATTTGACTGTGATCTCAGAAAAAGTAACTCCTGAACTCGATGCGAAAGGCTTTACAGAGACGTGAATACGAGCATCCAGGCCAAACACGAGACCATTGTACTTTCTGTCGAGAACGAGATAACCACCGGCTAGCAAGACCTTGCCAGGCGCGGACACAGCGACAGCACTTTGACTCATCGTCGTTTCGAATGATGCAGGGTGTTTTCTTCAGGAGAAGCAAAGCAAGTCGTCTGAAGGCAAGAGAGCTGAGCAGCAAAAGTGACTAGCCACCAGACCAAGATAGCGCAATTAGACGACCCCTCCTCTTCCGCTCAGGGTAACAATGCTAAAACCCTTGTCCCTCCTGAACGCCGCACAACAGCAGGATAAACAGTACTGCAATCTTACTTTCGCTGCGGACAGTCCACGGCTCGATAGATCAAGGCCGGAGAGAGACACTAGTCAGCAGACCAGTGAAGAGGGATTTGACGGTGAAGAGCCGGGTTGATGGTGGTAGTTTTGGAAGCTTCTGGTCGTATGAAGAATCGACAGGCTTCGGGGCCGGTGGTGCGCGCATTCGATTCCGAGACTTTTTCTCGACCGTTTGACGGAAGGTGCGGGAGAATATGCTAGCGGCCGATTTGACGGCGTGGCTATGTGAGCTGGCTATCGAGCAGTGCTTACGGTAAAATTCAAGCGAGCAAACAATATAGGGTGATTCAGACACGCATGACTGCCAGATACAGCCAAATGAATCCGCAGACTCTGCTGTTTAGCTCCAGCGCAGTTGAACGGGCGCACGCTTCAGGTTGTACCGAGCATCCGATCGCAGTCGAAAGTTCATCCGACCCAAGTTCGTGGATAGACGCGACAAGCTCCCACATTCTATTCGTTATCGTCATCCATTATTCTGTTGCCTGAACATTTTCGCCAGGCAAAAACCAGTCATCGTTCGGTCTTCATTCTCTCGCTTTTATCAGATCTTCTTTCGCGCTTGAGTTTTGGTGCGATCCTGTTTCCATTCAATAAACCCGACACTCTCGTGACTTTTCTCGGATATCACACCACCAAGGTATTCTTGTACCTTTCCACACTGCATTTTCGCGTGTTCTCTGCCGATCAAGCCATCGTCAGATGAACCTGCAATAATTCTTTTTGAGAACCCTCTGGTATGTTTATGTGAACTACGCATCATCATCATTCATTCTGTTGTCGTTCTCGTTACGCGATCAATTGGGTCAATTTCATCACAATATCGCAATTCTCAAGTGATGCTCTCACGGTGGATCTCTAACAATTTTCGCAGTCTCACGTTCCCAACTTGAGAGGTCTCATTCGCCGTCTCGATGGTGTTCGTCAAGCCCACTGTTGGAATCTCACGTCTTGCTGGTACAGCCTTCAAATCATTCACCCACGGATACGCTCAGACTGTTGTCGCCGCTTCTCAATCTTCCTACGCATCTCAAAACACTGGTGTCACACCACTCGCGAGTAACTGGATCCATCGCATTGGCGGAAACACCAGCACATCTCAAGTACAACATGTCCCCACTCATGCTAGTTCGCAAGCATCCCGTCAGGACAACAACCAAAGCGATGGTCTAGCTCAGTACTACGAAGCATGGCACAAACATCACAAGAATGGCGACCTTCGCGAATGGCAACAATTTCAGTTCCAGAAGTTGATCGGATACTCGGGTGCAGAAGCTGTGGAGAGCAAAGAGTTGGAAGATGTCCAGGAAAGCAGCGCCATTGAGGAGGTCGATGAAAGTCTGGAAGACTCGCCGCAAAGAAGAAACTTGAAGCGTGCATACACAACTAGCGCTGTCGACAACTTCGGAAAGGCAATCGACAATCAGGAGGCTGCTGCTATCGCATTCGCACAAGTCAACGAGGCCATTGCTGAAGAGATCAGCAAGACTAAGCAAGAGGTTGAAGCCGCCACTGAATTGGCTATCGAGGATGATGCACGTTCTGAAAAGACCATTACGGCTAGCCAGGTTCCTTCGCAGGACTTGTCTAGCCCTGTCCTCAACGAGACCGCTGCCACTTCTATCTCGGAGGTCGATGCGTACACACAAGAGTTGGAGTTCATGCTTCGCGACAAGCAGTACGCACGCATCCCCAGTATCTTCGAGTCTATGCTGTACGCTGGTGTCAGACAACCTCCAGCCTCCGCTTACCATGCTCTCATGATCTCGGCTATCGAGCTTACAAATGGCAAGCACCAAAAGGTTCCCAAGGCCTTGGAGGTTTACTCGGATATGCTTCGTCGTAGAGTGGTTCCGGATGCTGAGACCTATGCTGCTCTCGTCAACCTTCTTGCTAATAGAGCTCTGGAAGCCTCGGCCACCAAGAAGGTTCTCGAGGAGAAGCGCACCCGTTATGGCGGTATGGAGACTGAAGACAGTTTCCTGTTCCAATCTGATGCGCTGGAATACGCCATCTTTGCAGAGGATCAATCTTTGAGTATTGCAATGGCCATGTTCAACTCCGCATCCTCCAAGGTTGAATTCTCAACTATGTCTTACGGTCTTCTCATTCATGCATGCGCCAAGCAAGGTCGCATCTCCGACATGATGCGTTTGTTCGAACACATGTCTAGCAAGGATGTCGTGCCTAATGCAAACATCTTTCCGGCCATGATCAACGCGTACGCAACCGCAGGAGACTTGCGAAATGCCGTAGACTGCTACGACAACTACAAGAAGCTTGCCATCGACAACGACGCTGGCTTGAACAGCATGTCAAGAATGGATGAGACTGTCTATTCTTCTCTGATCAAGGCATATGCTGCGTGCGAACACTCTACTGGCGGTCAGAAGTTCTTGCGTGACATCGAGTCTCAGGAGCAAAACGCTTTCAAGCGCCAAGCTATCCGTGACACCGTTTACGTTGAGTCCTTCCTTCCTCTGTCGCTCAAGGCTGGTGATTTTAAGGAAGCTTCCGCCGTCCTCGCCAACATCTCGAGTGCCGCTTCAATCAATGCACTCAACTCAATCATTGTCGCTGCCGCTGACGCCGACAACTCGATCGAGGGCACCAAGGCGTTCAAAGCTCTTGCCGACGTCGGTGCCGATCTGGCTCCTTCTTCAATGGCGATGCTCGCCATGCATGTCCGCAATGCAAACCTCGAGGCAGCTGAGCCATACTGGCGTGTGATTGAGAGCTCTCTGGCCGTTCCCGCTTTCATCGAGCCGGCCACCATGCGTGCTCTTGCGCTCATCAGTGTTGGCCTTACCACTCGTGGCATATCGCAGACCCGCCGCATGCTGAGCCGTATAAGAGACGCTCAGAACTCGGCTTCTCCCAACCACGAAATCACTGACAAGATCGAGGAAGTCATCGAAGTCCTTGGTAGCTTTGCTCTCAAGAACAACAACTCTCTCGAGATTGGTGCAAGCATTGAGCTTCTTCGTATGATGGTAGACAATGGTGCTCTCGTCAACCCCATTGCCGAACATTTGGTTGCTTCCTTTGGCTCTCAGGAAATCTCGCAGCTCAACGCAAGTGATATTGGTCTTCTGACTAAGATTCAGTCGCGCATGATCCTTGATGAGTCTGCTCCCGGGATTGCTGGGGACGCCAGATTCGCTTGCCTTCTGGAGAACATCGTGTCTCGCGCCGTCCTGCCTGACGTCTCGACCGAGAACTTGATCGAAAAGACTTTGATCAACCTGGACCGCAGTGATCTCAGCCGTCTCTGGAACAATTACCGTTACCCCGTTCTTCCTTCTCCCGTCTATCCGCCCGCTGTAAACTTCAACGCTTTCCCTCCTGCCCCTCTGGTACCGGTCTCGCCTGTATTTGATGATGCATTCGATCCTTATGCCAGTCGTACCGACAACAAGGCTTCGGTCGCCATCACTGACCTTCTTGAGAAGTCTCATGGAAAGTCTGCCGCTCATCTGAACGAGGCATTAGCAAAGTTCCGCAACGTCCGCCGCGCTGGTCGCGTACCCAGATTCTTTGCCTACTCGAAGTTGATCATGGCTGCTGCCAAGGAGAACCAGTTTAGCCTTTGCCGCGACATCTTGGAGATGGCAAAGCAAGACGTTCCTTTCCTTCCTCAGTACCGTGTCGTCAGATTTGGATGGGTTTCCATCCTCGACTCTATGCTCTCAGCTTGCCTGAATGTTGGCCGCCGCGACCTCGCTGCTCAATATCACCAGGACTTGCTTGACATGGGAGCTTCACCATCGGCTAACACCTACGGCTTGTACATCACTACTCTCAAGGAGAACACCAAGACATTCGACGAAGCTACTGAAGCAGTCAAGATCTTCCTGCGCGCTAAGGCTGAGGGTGTTGAGCCTACTTCCTTCCTCTACAATGCGCTGATTGGCAAGCTTGGCAAGGCCCGCCGAATTGATGACTGTCTTTTCTACTTCGCTGAGATGCGCAACCTTGGGATTCGCCCTACCTCTGTTACCTACGGTACTATCGTCAACGCTCTTTGCCGTGTAAGCGACGAGAAGTTTGCCGAGGAGATCTTCGAAGAGATGGAGGCCTGCGCCAACTACAAGCCTCGTCCCGCACCTTACCACAGCTTGATGCAGTACTTCTTGACCACCAAGCGTGACCGCAGCAAGGTGTTGAGCTACTACGAGCGCATGCGCTCAAAGGGCATTCAACCTACCATGCACACTTACAAGCTCCTGATCGACACTCATGCCACTCTTGAGCCTCTGGACATGGCTGGTGCCGAGACTGTTCTTGCCGAGATGCGTGCTGCTGGTGAGAAACCTGAGGCTGTTCACTACGCTGCACTCATCCACGCCAAGGGTTGTGTTCAACATGACATGTCTGGTGCACGCTCTCTGTTCGATACTGTTGCTTCCGACTCAAAGGTCAAGCTTCAGGCTTGTGTCTACCAAGCCATGTTCGAGTCACTCGTTGCTAACCGTCAAGTCGCTGATGCCGAGTCTTTGCTCGCTCACATGTCTTCTCGTAGAGTTGAGATGACTCCTTACATTGCCAATGCACTGATCCACGGTTGGGCACTGGAAAAGGACATTGTTCGTGCTCGCCATGCTTTCGATCGTGTCAGCTTTGCAGACCGCGAGCCCAGCACATACGAGGCCATGGTTCGTGCTCACCTTGCCGTCGAGGATCATGAGGGTGCTCAGGCTGTCACCTCTGAGGCACTCAGCAGAGGATACCCTGCTGCTGTTGCCAACAAGATTGCTGAGCTCATCAGCGGTGGCAGACAATAGTCTGTCCTTCCTTCTGTTACATTTTTCACTTCAATCATTTCCTTTAGCGTTTTGAAGCGAACTGTTATGAGAAACACGAATAACAGGAACGGCGTCTTGGGTTTCGTGATCAAAGCATGGCGTCAAAAGCAGGGTGGCTTTCTATCTTTTTTGGTGTTGACATGTACAAAGATATCCGGGAGAGTAAGGAAGGCAGAAAAAGCTGCGTTACCACTCTCCCATGCGTTTTACTGGTTGGATTGCTCTTCGTTTTCTCTATATATACATCTCCTCTCTGCTGGGTCATTGATATCATATACTCTGAAAGAATTGGGTATGTGATTAGATCTGGGGTGCCCTTCAATGAGCAAATTTCAACAAGAAGATTAATTTTCCCAAAGCTTCTCATCATCGCCTATGTTCTCATTGGTATGTGCCATGTGTGTCTGCTAGAAAGTCCCGTGTGTTACTTGTTCTGCTCGTCACAACACTCGTTACAACGGAGACATACACTTGGTTCCATCATTCGTTATATACTTTCTGACCGCTCGTCAATCTTTTTATATCGCACAGACTGCGTCTTGTTTCCTCTACAGATCTCATATAGTTCTTTCGCGCTCATCTCGTCTGAGCTGTAGCTCTCAACAAGACTTGCAAGACACAACCGGTCACATTATTATCAACTCGTCCTCACAGATCAGATTTGCTGACAGCGCAAGATAGTTAACAGGAGATCAAGCAAAAAGATAAAGCGGTGAGCAGGATCCGAACCTGCGATCTCTGCAGCTTCTTCCCATCGAATGCAGAAACTGTTGACTCGATGGCGAAGCGCTTGTGTTTGCAAGACACAGGGATGCAGCGTCTTGACCACTAGACCATCGCCGCTTTGTTGAAGTGATGGAAAAATATGATCGAATATGACTTGTCTAGACATTGTGCAGGCTACAAGCATGAAGGCTTTGCAGAGGGCACACTCCACGCGACAGATACGGCGATGGGGAAAGAGCTGACAGAGCTGTGCCTCCCTAACTTGCACTCGCCATATACTCATCTACTCCTGCGTCAGAAATCTCAAGAATGCCTTTGCGATCACAGCACCACCATGCGTATCCCCCACCCTCTTGATTCCATCCTCATAAATCTCATCTGCAAAGACACCAGCATCATGTCTAGCAGACAGGATATGCGTCACCATCTCCCTGTTGAACTCGGGATGTCCTTGCACAGTGATCAAGCGACCTTTGGCATACATGCCCTGGTTCTCGCACCTCGTGGTATGTGCCAAAGGTAATACGCCTTCCGGATACGTGTATACCATATCCTGATGCATTTGGTGAATACTCTGTTTGCCTTATTAGTACCTTCCCTTCACATTTCAAACATGACAAGGGGATACTTACCAAATCATCAACGCCGAAAATATCCTTTCCCAGAGAAGTGAGCTCGAGAGGTGTCACACTGACTTCCCAGCCGTGGGTGCCGCGTGCTACCTTGGCTCCTAGAGCACGGCCGACGATTTGATGACCAAAGCAAATACCCAAGACGCGGATACGTGATTGAGATTCCAAGATCTTGCGGGTGTAGTCTACTAATTTGATGATCCAAGGGTCGTTGTCAAAGGAATTGTATTCTGAAAGATTGCACAAAACGTCAGCATGTCTCTTCTTGACATCTCCTTACCCATCACCCAATCGTGTGTTGTCCATCATCTCGCACCTCGGAACCATATAAAGTGGAAAGAACGAAAATACTTACTACTCCCAGTCATCAAAACTGCATCCACTTTTTCCAAATCCTCTGGGTATTCTTGCTTGCCAACGACATCATAACTCGTGCATTCCACCCTCACATCTTCGCCTTCACTCGTCAACTCCTGACTTGCGTGTTTGAGAAGTGCTGTGAATATGTCTCCATAGCTGCCGTATTTATCAAGCACTTTGTCTAGCGGTGTGTCGCATTCGAGGATGGCGATGCGGAGAGTTGGCATTTTTTTCTGTGATTTCAACAGTTGATGAAGAATAGAAAGGTGATCGGTAGTTGCAGTATCACTTATTGAGACCAGTGGGTGAGAAAAGGGGGGGGGGGGAGGGGGGGGGAAAGAGTGTAAATGCTAAAGTGATTGATTTGGTCATGTGTGGTATGTATGTCGTCGTTTGGAGGGTTGGTCAATGCACATCATTGGATCCACCTCCGACGTCGCTGAACATGTCTAGATAGATGTGTGTTCCTTATCTCTCGCATTGAGCTTCTCAAAATAGGCATGTAGAATGCAAAGAGCCAACTTGCATGCTCTAAAGCTAAACCATACGACTCGAGTATAACATGAGATTTCCTCAAACGAGTACACCCTCATCTACAGACAAAATTGCTCGTGCGTCCTTGTGATGACCGCATCGGTATGGGGTAAGGTGGGGTCACTTCTTATTCTTCACCAGGATCTGAAAGTCATCGTGTCTTCTCCATCTCATAAATTTTTGCAAACAGCCGTATGCATTTGTAAAAGCGACACCCAGAGAATATCTCAACACCTGTTCCACACAACCAAAGGACCTTTTTCCCTATCTACTGGAGGTCGACAGAAAAGAGGAAAACAAGGTCTCCATGGTCGCTCAACAAACAAAGACCGTCCTGTGAAAATCCATCGAATGTCGAAATGACATGAGTTCTGGTACATCATCCGTTCGATTCTTCCAAGCATCTGTTTCCCCATGAGAAGAAAAAAACTCCCCTTTCCACCACAAAACCAGGATTCTACCGATGAATCCTACAAGAAATGAAAATAGGCAAAAAAGCAAAAAGTGATAAAGAGAAGGAAAGAGAAAAAATCTGAGCCATTCTAGGCATTGCAAAAGGACAAAAAGAGTAGAGTAAAGACTCTGAATAATGGTCATCGTCGTCGTCTCGTTAAGTATGCGTTTCTCGTAATGACTGTGGTTGGAGGCCGTGGCATCCTATTGCCGTGAGTAGGGCCGGTTCATGGCTGCAATCTCGCGGGCTATGGTGCCCCATTCGAGTTCTCTGCGGACTGGCTTGCCACGCTTGGAACACTGGTGCTCCTCCCACTTTAGAAGCTCGTATCTGGACCAGGTCAGCTGGTTTTGTCTGAATGACGGGCTCTCCGGACTTACGAAAATCGTAAATGAGGTTGGATGATGACGTTGAGGCGACGAGCCCGAACGAAGCAGTATGCTCGAGGGAACGAAATGCCGAATTCATTCATCACCTCGGCGATACAAATTGTCGCAGATCTGGAAACACCCACTCTACAATGGACAAGAGTGGCAACACCTGCTTCCCTTCCCTTTCCTGTGGAGCAATTGATTAGCCTTGAGCTGACGTGGAGTGTTCGAATATCTTACTGATAAAATCTAAGCATCTATCAAAGGACGATGTCAGCGGATCGACTCCATTGTCCTGGACTCCATCTACATAGAGGATGCTGTCTTTTGTACGAGCATCATCCTTCCATCTCTTGGTCTCACCACTTGTCCAGTTGATTGTTTCGCCAATGCTAAGGACTTGCCCAATATTGAGTTCACGCAGCAGATCAGGGTTGTTGGCATGCCCAAGGTTTCCTAGGTACATGTAATTCATGACTCTAGAGGGGAAGGAACCATCCATCTTGCTGAACCACGCCGGAGAAGGCCGACAAAGCGCTGCCATGGAATTGGTTGAGTTAGGAGATGACTGCAAGATTCTTGGCTGGATCGAGCTCAAAAGGGAAACATCGGTGGGGTACGAAAAGAGATTACGATGGTGCTTGGTGTGCAGCTCCACGTACGCCCTGTCTACCGTCGCACAATTGGCGTACATGTAGTAGGCGAGTGCTAACATTGACGTCTCGGTGTATCCGTCAGTGCAGTGGATGAGGATTTTCCTGCCTTGGCGATCAGCACCAAGATCGAGGTCGATCATGCCGATGTCTCCGTCGGCATCGTGGTGATATTTGGGAGGTGTCATCTGCTGGCTGTCTTTACGATGCATTGGTTCCTCGTGTTCCGGATTTGCTTGCTTGTATAGCCAGGCTACTGTGTCCATCAGAGCATCTACCTCTGTCTGAGACCAGGTAGGTGGCATGATGGCGCCAGAGCCTGGAAACTCAAGTTGTGGAATGGCGTTGTTGGATACCTTTGGGTTCGACAAGAGACTCTCCATCAGCTGGAATGCCTTGTAATCTGGTAGTTGCGCTGGGTCGGTTGCTTCCACGAACAAATCATAAGCTTGCGCTGCGGATGGTAGTGCTGCATCTGGGTCCGACGGTGTTGTCAGAGATGCATCAGGGGTAGGACCAAGCCAAACGTTGTTGGCAATTTCAGTCGCTGAGGACATGGTATGCATCTCGTATCTTTCGGAGTGGACTTTTGCGCCTGTCAGCTTTGCCATCTGTTATGCGAACGACGAGTTAACTCACAAAAGTCCATGACTTCACCAGTCATATTGCCACTGTCATCGACAGCTACGATTTCTGGATGCTCGGCTTGCAACTTGGCGAATGTTTCTGTGACAGTCAGGACTTGGTCACTTATCAGACGCTGGATTGATTTTTACCTGTCACCACATACGTGTGGTACTGCGGTACTTCGACATCAGTGCCTCTATCCTTTTCTCTCCACACTTTCTGAGCTCTCGCAATGATGGATGCCAACTTGTCAAGCACAGCGTTGGACGTCTTATCGTCGGCGTAGACAACAATGTCGCTCATGGTCGCCATCTTGACTGCCTGGATCTGGAAATTACGGATGGAGAAGCCATCTCTGGGGTCGACGTCTAGGAAAGTCGAGATCTGATCACCGGCCTTTGTAGCGAGTAGCAGTTCATCAGGGGCAATGGCGCCCTTGAGCTTGGAGTGTGTAAGGTCACCTCCTGCCTTGACCAAAGTTATGCCACGCAAGGTGCGAGGGGATCGTCGGAATTGCTTCTTGTTGCGCGCCGAGAAGTATGTCAATTGGATGCTGTTTTCTGGGTGGAGACCATGAAGCCAAGGGAAGACGGTCTTTGTGTCTGGTAGGGGGCGTGAGGCTGTGTGGTCCAATGCTTCGTGCAGCTCTTGAGCAGTCAATGCATAGATGGGCGGGCTGTCGCTGACTCTTTGGTAGTTGGTGGCTTCGACCAGCAATGAAGGTATGTCGACCACTTGTTGGTTATTGGGTGTTCTTGGCGATCCCGGCGGAGTTTCAAGCTGCTGCTGCTGTTGCAGCTTGGTTGGGGTTGGACCAGGAGAACACGTATCAGGCAGGTGCTTGTTTGGGACAGCTGTAGGTTTTCCTCGGACAGACGTGTTGATGCTTTGTTGCGCACTGGATGCACGGGTAGCCACTAGCGCTGGTCTTGCACAGACTGTAGCCATAAGAGCGTTGCTAAGAGCTTCGGCGCCGGTCGATGAGAAGGGCAGCCTGCGCTACACTTGTAGTTTGACGTCGTGTGCTGAGTCGTCAGAGGCCGCTAGAGACCAGGAGATGCCGTGTCTGAAGAGCTGACGTTTTGTGTAGGGCTATGGGAAGATCGCCTTTGTTTACTTGGAACTGATAAGGAAGTGGAGATAAGGTGATCCGCGAACCGAAAATGCAGAAGATTGACAGACGAATGCTTCAAGAGGCACAGAGGGGACAAGATGGAATATGTCAATCGTTTCTTCTCGACATATGTGATGATGAAGAAGGAGCAAATTGGTTGAGGACCTGCAAGCAATACTTTCAGGACGGCGGCACTCCCACATGTGATTGATTCGCAGGAGGATCGTCCGAGCGCCAAAGGCGGGGTGGACGGGCGTTAGTAGAACGGGGGAACTTCCACACCACTATTGGCGCGAACCCTTGGCAGATAGACATGGCTAAACTGCTTCGTGCAGTGCTTTCATCAAGTCAATAATCATCTTTTGTCTTCTCGGAGGCAGGACGTGTTGCTTGTGGAAATCCTTGTGCGAGAAGTGGCAGATTTTGGGTCACCATGCTTGCGCAATTGACACGATGCGGGATGTGTCGCTATCGCTGGCTGGTTGGCTCAGGGTCTCAAGAGGTCCCGAACAAATTTGAATTTGTGATGCACCGCCTCGCCGATCCCTCCGTCTTATCGAGTGAGAGCCCCAGACGGCCAGAGCGTGCCAGCAAACAAGTGGTACGCCTTGCCGTTTTTTCCATTCCTACTTTCATCATGCTGCAGCAAAATAGATTGCCAATGAGACGTACTCTCATCGATCGGAGCGGCCACGAGAACATGTTGAGCATGTGTGTGTAGCGACAAGGCGAGTTTCTTTTCTTTTGTCTCTCTCCTGCTCACCAGGTTCCTTGGGCGCGCAGGCAGAAACCCTTGACAAGTCAGCCCAGCTCGCGTGCTCCGCGTCCCCACATGTCGGATGATGGCACAATCCGAGCGAAGGAGCCACGGGATGGCGTCCTCTACAAATTATGGCGTACCTCGACTCTCAATGGAACACTCCAAATTTGGTTCACAGCGAGCCTCATCCTTTGTTGAAGGTTCCCTGGCAAGTTTGAAGCGGATTCTCGAGGTCCACAAGATGGCTAACCATGACCATCCAGTCGTATATGCAGACTTGAACTAGTCAAGAGCACTACTCCGAGTGGTAGATACTCTGTACAAGGGTTCCCCAAAGTCGATCTCTCGATGTACTCTAACCCAACTCGCCAAAGGAGGGAGGAACCCGCGGGGTTGCACCCAGGACCACGGGCGAGCTACAGCCTTGCTCAATCGTCGATAGGCCACGACCGATGCATCCCTCCGATTACTGCTGTTTTGGTTGTCCGGAACGTCCTTGGGTTTTTCCAGAGGATGAATTCTGTGGGACGTGTACAAGATCATTGTGTTGCATGCTACCGAACCATGGCCACATGAAGGCTTACATCAGGGCTTAGGACATGCCGTGTGAGGATGGTACGTACTGTGCAACGTTCACGGCAGCCAGCCGCTAGATCGTGACATCGTGTCTAGATCGTTCTGATGGGAAGATAGCCCAAATCAGCACTTTATAGACGACATCTGTTCTCAGTCCTCATCACTTCTAGGCGAATTGTTCGACTCTTAGAAGCGACACATGCAAGTGACGCTCTCCAAGCTGTGAGGACACACTGCAATTGCCTATTGCCCTTGTCCAAGGACACATCCGTGTGTATAACGTAAACTTCAAAAAGCGTACAGTGACTCCAAGGGTCATCAACCTCTCGCCATAACCACCAAAAACAGCCTCTCCCCAACTCCATCCATGCAAAACTCCAACATCAATGCTCCATGACCAGCTCAACCATTTGCACATGGTAAACGACGTCAAGCAGCATAGCTCAAGCACCCTCATCATCCCTAATCTCCTGCTGCAAAACAATAGAATAAACACTAGCCTTCAACAACGTAAACACCGTCGAAGTCTTCCTCTCCAATCCTCTCAATGCATCGAGAATTTCAGCACTAGGACGAGAAGCAAGATCATTTAGAAGAGAAGAGAGCTGTGCGATTTTTAGTATTGTGATTGTTGCCTTGTTCGAAAGTGACAGAAAATGGAGAGGTGGTGCGAAAGATATGGCAAACTCACATCTCCAAGATTTCCTGCTAGGCGTACGTATTCATCTAGCACTTCTTGTTCGAGTGGTGAAAGGGATTCTTCGCCTGTCGCTCCAGGGCTGCTCTCGAGAGCTGACATTGTTGATTTGTAGTGATTCTGTCCGCTGACTTTGGAACTGGTTTGATGGTCTCTAGAACGCCGTCTTATTTTGGATGTATCGTAGTGTTGCAGTAAATTCGAGATGAAATGAGTGTTGGGTGTTGTGGTTCGCTGATGGTTGAAAGACCATCGGTGTTTTGTGTCGAGGATGCCAAGACAGCTTCGCGTCAGGGTGGCCCTGCTGACTACAATCTCGAAGGCACGAATGTCGATAGAGCCGCCAGGAGCTTTGGAAAATGTATCAGATCTGGTAAGAGTATTGAGACATGATATCTTGTCATGATTTAGATTATATTAAGGACCATAAAGTGAAGTGTGGTGGTGTTTGGATTAAATATCATACCAACACATGTCTATACCACAAGCGTCTTCTGGACTCCGTGCAGATTGAGCCCGTCATCTTCTCTAGCAATTTCACGTTTATCCTTCGAACAAAGTACGTCACAGTATGTCAAAGACCGGACTTTATCACCTATTCGCATCACAGATAGAAACCGTGCACTAAGAATATTGGTTCAGAGGAGAATCTCAAAAGTATCATTCATCGAATTCAAACACATCAAGCGCTAGGATCTGAAGACCTCCATTTGAGAAGCGAGAGAAAAAAAAAGACAGGTAAAACATCCGCTTTGCCGTGTTGAGCCTCGAGGGTCAGAAAAAGAACAGGAACTCCCCCAAAAGAACTCCCACCCAATTGCATGCGTTAAGAATAATGGCATAGATATACAAGCTGCCCTGACACGCCTCAGCATGAAGATTGCTTTTGTGGATTGTCGTCTCCCGTATACGGCAAGTTTTGCTGTCAGCACAAGGTGACACCTTTCGAGCACGGAAGAGGAGGAGCAGTGTCCTATCGATGCGCCTCGTGATATTGGTGATCGTGATGTTGGTCGTCTCCATCGTGATGCAGCGTGACGGAGTTGAACTCCTCGAAGGGATCGGCAATCTCGCCGCCGGGCGTCGCAAGGTTGCTGTCGAGTGGTACACCCTTCATCTTACTCGAGTCAACACCAAAGCCATTGTTCACCTTGGCGCCGTTAAGGTCGACACTGTGACTCTCCCTGACATTTCTGAAGTTGACAGTGTCGACACCACGGCCCTGGTTGGGTATAATCGGAGGCTTGGAGTGGCGTAGTAGAGCCCATTGTGTGGTACGGAAGAAGGGGTGACCCTTGACGTCTGAGGCGCCGGCGCGAGAGCCCAGTCGACGGAGTTCGTCCTTGATGAGAAGCTTGCGAATCAGAGACTTGCATAGACTGGAGGATGATTAGTATTGTACTCATGACTCGGGGCAATCGCACAACTTACTTGCTGACATTGGGGTAGCCACTGCCCTCGGGGAAGGGCACCTCATCTCGCAGAATGTTGGCAAATGTGGCATTTCTGTTCTTTCCCTTGAATGGTGTAGTGCCGTAAAGCATCTCGTATATCAGGATTCCCAAGGTCCACCAATCGACTGCACTGGTGTGTCCACAGCCCTTGATGACCTCTGGTGCGATGTATTCTTCTGTGCCGACGAATGAGTTTGTACGGAAATTGTTGATGCATGACTTGGTGTCAATCGCGGGCATGTTGTTGGGGTTGTTCGAGACACCGTTGCGACCAGACATGATCATTGTGGGAACACCGCCAGGGTCGGACTGTTTGGAAAGATCGAAGTCTGAAAGCATAATGTGGCCGGACTGGTGGAGAAGAATATCTAAGAGGTGGATGTTAGTATATCAAAACCAAGACGACTCTATGCTGAACGTACTTTCAGGTTTGAGATCTCTATAGATGAAGCCCATGAGATGCAGATACTCGAGAGCGGCCGTCACCTCTGCAGCGTAGAAGCGAGCGGCGTCTTCGTCTACGCACTTGTTTGGACGAGTCTGGAGAGCTCGGAAGAACTCTCCTCCACTGCAGTATTCCATGCAGAGGTATAAATGGTCTTCTGACTGGAATGAATGATATAGCGTGACAATGAATGGATGGTTGCTGGTGGCTAGAATCTCCTGCTCGGCCAGGGCGCGCTTGATCTTGTTGCGCTTGATCATTTCCTTCTTGCTGAGCACTGCGGATCGTCAATGTGTGCTTCAAGTTGTAGACACTGTGTATGCTTACCCTTCATAGCGTAGAGCCTCGAGCTCTTCTTCTCGCGCACCAAGTATACCTTGCCCACATCACCCTTGCCAATCATTTTGATCTTGTCGAAACTTCCAGGACCAACCTCGACATCGCGTACTTTGATACTATTACTGCTGTACGTCCTGCGGAAGGCGGCTGCAGCTCTAATCTTGCCAGGGCTGGGGATACCGGGTACAGGGAGCATGTCAGGGGAACTGCTCATGGGTACTGTCTCGACCATGGACTGTATTGAGATGTTCGACTGCTGCTGGGCGAGTGGAGAGGCTTTGGTCATCATGTCGGAAGTCTGTGGCCGGCTGTCGTTGGAGTTTGTCTTTGTGAACAGACCCTGAGCATTGGGAGCACTGGCGACACGACGCAGTTTCCGAGCCAGCTCTTCCTTGCCAGCAACAGCGGCAGCTTCGTCTTCGGCCTCTTGTCCCTTTTTGATAGGTGTGTCCGGAGGGCTTGGAGGTACGCTGTCGGCGTTGTGATGACGGAGGGCAGGTGGACCTTGGTGTGCAAAGTAGGGGTTGGCGTTCGCTGTAGGGCTCATTTCGTCAAGAGTATTGCCCTCGCTGGCGACGGTCTGACTTCTATTTCGACCGATGTGTGGCAGAAAGCGACTGTTGCGGAGTTTGTGCTCAGAGCGCGGGGTCGAGGGGCCTTCAGAACTGGTCTTGCCCTGGCCAATCAGCTCATCCTTTGAGGAGGACGAAGTGATGCGGAAAAAGTTCTTGATCTTCTGGCCAACCTGCGAGTTTGAGCCGTTGACCGACTTATTGGTCGACATAGACACGCCCGAGAAGGTGCGCCGCTCGCCAGGCATGATGGTTGGAGTAGGTGTACGCTGGCGGATAGAGGGTGGAAGGTAGGGGATACGCGACGACGGAGGATTGTGGGCACCGTCGCAGCAGGCGATGCAGCACTGCGGTCGAGGAGGGTGGAGAGGGTCAGTAAGGAGAGCCCAAGTCTGGTGTAGCGGCTGTCAACTGGGCCAGAACGCGCGAACGAGCGAGGACAGCGGGTCAGGGTTATGCTTCGGCGTGGCGGAGGATATTCCTGGGGAGTTAAGCCATTCGACGGTCGGCGATTAGAGCCGCGGTGGGGTTGCTTCAGCTATTGTCTGTTTGGAGAGAAGCAAGCGTCTGTTGTTTGTGAGACTGCAAGTTGGTTGTACGAGTCAAAGATCAGGGTCAGGGACAATGTTGGAAGACGAAACGAGGATGAGTTGGTTGTTCTTTGCTGGGCGGTTGGCATGCTCCTCGTCTGTTGACTCGGCCATACAATGCCGTGGATGCGTCAGCGTGGAGTCGTCTCGTTTCCTGGCATCGGCCTGAACCGGGGGGGTTGCTTGCTAAGCCGCCGGAGGGCTGTGCCTGAGCTTGCCGAATCTTCTGGCTAATCCCTCGTCGTCGCTAATTATTACCACTATTTATCACCAATCGCAAACCCACTTGCCTATTACACCATTAGCCAAGCCCATAAACCACCTGCCTACTCGGAGTACTAGAAACCAAATAGCTCTCGTTTGGTAGAATGAACAATATCAATTATCTTGCTGCCAACACAGTGACGCGTTCGTCTTTCTCCATGACATTCCTATTTCCTCTCCAACTCGCCGCTCAATCAACAATTGTCCTGGCAACAATATTGACCCTTACTGTCCACGAGTTGGAGCGTGCGTGTGATGATCGCTGCCTGTACGGAGTCTCGGTTGTCCGTCCTACTTCCTGCCACCAATTTGTTGTCCTGCTTTTTACCAACCACCTAATAAAGCGCCAGCCACTTCCTGCAACACATCGCGGAAGTTGGCCTCGCTCTGTGTACATCAATAAACCATTGGTAAGCTCTAAAAGTCGGACTTCTTGTTCCAAGACAGCCTGAGAATCGCAACAGCTCGTCCTCCGATGAATAGGTATGACGCTGAACTGCATTGAAGCCTCAATGTCTCGAGGCAAAAGGTAATTGGGCTTGTGAAGAGTCGCGCTCAACCCCGCACAAGGTAACTCCATCTCCGTCTTCATCACGATCTTGATGCACACTACGCTGCACTCCTCATGCGTCAATCGCCAAAGCTCGTGACAGAGGTCGTACAAGTGGTGTGAAAACTCATCAGGAACAGGGTTGCATCGAGTGGTGATCGCTCTATTCAGCCGAATCAACGTGATCGGAAGTGGGGTCTCCGCATGACGTTTTCCATCCTGTACCTGCACATCTTCACCATCCGTGACTTTCCTACCGATCTATTTCCTTTTGGAGGGATATGAGGTGCATTTTTCTCCGGGATTTAGTCTCACAAGAGGGGTCGATGCACTTTGACAGACATGAAATAGAGTTGATCTCGGGTGAATACATAACGATGGCATGCCATAAAGCTTCAGTGTATTCCGCAGACCTTCTCGTGTCTTGCTTCCAAGCCGACAAGACTTTGCAAGATGCTTGGTAATACTCTTCTCAAGGCTGCTGCCCTGGTGGCAGCATTGGCCACCTCATCTGATGCTCTCGCTCTCAAGAAGCCTAATTACAATGAATTGATCAAGCCGTACAAGAGAGAACTTCTTCAGGATCTGGTGTCCTGGGATGAGCATTCTCTATATGTACGCGGAGAGAGGATCATGATCTACTCTGGAGAGGTCCATCCTTTCAGGTATGTTATCTGATTGCCATATCCGCGTTTGATGTTAGTGATGAAGCTGACATGCCAAAAGATTGCCCGTACCCAGTCTTTGGCTAGATGTCCTTCAAAAGATCAAGGCATTAGGCTACAATGCTGTCTCGTTCTACGTCAACTGGGCTCTGCACGAAGGCAAACAGGGCGAGTTCAATGCCGAAGGTGTCTTCGCTTGGGAACCCTTCTTCGAAGCCGCCCAGGAGGCCGGTATATACCTGATCGCTGTAAGTCAATCACATACCTATTCATGAAGCCATGCTGACCGGACATCAGCGTCCTGGACCCTACATTAATGCTGAGGTCACCGGCGGTGGCTTCCCCGGATGGTTGGCTCGTAATCCAGGTATCCCCAGAACTCGCGATCCAAACTTCCTCAACGCCACCGACTACTACTCCCGCGCTATTGGAGAGATCATTGCGAAGGCTCAGATCACTGAAGGGGGACCTATCATCCTGTACCAGCCTGAAAATGAGTACTCGCAGGCCGTGCCAAGTGATCCTGAATTTCCGGATCCGGTCTATTTTGGAGCTGTCGAACAAAAGTTCAGAGATGCTGGAATCGTTGTACCCTCTATCAGTAACGATGCCTATCCTCATGGGTAAGCTAACAGTGTGAAGGCGGATGGCTTCTCTAAGCACATAGGCTCTGGTGGCGATCACCACACATCGATCACACCTGAACCGACGCCTCCAAGTACAACCTCATGGCTAACGTTTATAATAGATACTTCGCACCAGGACAAGCTGCTGCCGTGGACATATACGGCCATGACGCAAGTGATAACTCGACCCATGTAAGCTAGAACGAAGTGCTGATCTTTCTCCAGGGCTACCCGCTAGGCTTCGATTGCGCCAACCCAACTACCTGGCCCGACAACGCCCTTCCCACGTACTATGGCGAGTGAGTCTAGCTCCAGACATCGTGCATTCGTGCAATACTAATCTACACTTTTCAAGTCTTCATGCTGAACAAAGTCCCTCGACCCCCTACTCCATCCTCGAATTTCAGGGGGGTTCCTTCGACCCCTGGGGCGGACTCGGCTTCGCTCAGTGCGCTGAACTGCTCAACACCGAATTCCAGAGAGTCTTCTACAAGAATGACTACTCCTTCGGAGTAACCATCTTCAACATCTATATGACTTATGGTGGTACTAATTGGGGTGGCTTGAGTCATCCTGGTGGCTACACATCCTACGACTACGGAGCTGTTATCACCGAGGACCGTCTCGTGTCCCGCGAGAAGTACAGCGAAGCTAAGCTTGAAGCCAACTTCCTGCAAGCTTCACCAGCATACTTGACTGCTATCCCCCAGAACAACACTCACGCCAACGGCTCATACACTAACAATGCTGACATTGCTGTCACTGCATTGCTCGGAAACAGGACCAACTTCTTCGTCATCAGACACGCTGCATACAACTCTCGTGCTTCGACCGAATTCAAGCTACACCTTCCTACCAGTCAAGGCAATATCACCATTCCTCAATTGAACGGCTCGCTCGTCTTGAACGGCCGCGACTCCAAGTTCGCTGTCACCGACTATGATGCTGCTGGTACCAACCTTCTTTACTCATCTGCTGAGATTTTTACCCAAAAATCTTATGGTGACAAGCAAGTTTTGATCGTCTACGCGGGTCCCAATGAGAACCATGAGCTTGCATTGACCCTGTCCTGTAGCAGCGAAGTCATTGAGGGCTCTGGTGTCAACATCGTGAAGAAGAAGGGCACCACCATTCTTGGTTTCAAGAGCAGCTCTGAGAGACGTATCGTCAAGATTGGGGACCTCTACATCTATATCCTCGACCGTAACGACGCCTACAACTACTGGGTTCTTGACTTGCCTTCGAGCACAGTCTCTGGCAACTACACTAACGCCACTCTTGAGAGTTCTGCCGCCATCATCAAAGCTGGCTATCTCCTTCGTACTGTCGAGATCAGCGGCAACTCTATGCATCTTACTGGTGATCTCAATGCCACCACTGATGTTGAGATCGTTGGCGGTGCACCTTCCAAGCTTACTGAGCTTACTTTCAACAGTAAGAGCATCAAGTTCGCACAGGATAGCTGCTCTGGTGTGGTTACTGGTTCGGTCGCTTACGTGGAGCCTTCCTTCTCCATCCCTGATTTGTCAACTGTAGGCTGGCAGGTGATCGACAGTCTTCCCGAGATCGCTGCTGGATACGACGACAGTCTCTGGACCAGTGCCGACCTGACCTACAGCAACAACACCCAGCGTAATTTGACTACGTCTGTTTCACTCTACGCTCAGGACTATGGATATCTCACTGGCAACCTTCTATACCGTGGTCACTTTGTTGCTGCCGGTAACGAGAGCTCCATCTATCTCCAAACTCAAGGTGGGTCTGCTTTTGGCATGTCTGCCTGGTTGAACAGTACCTTCTTGGGCTCAGCTCGTGGTATCGACGCTGCCTCGAACGCCAACTCGACCTTTACTCTGCCTAATGTTGCTGCCGGTAGCTCCTACGTCCTGACTATCCTTCTCGACCACATGGGTCTGCAAGAGAACGGCCAAGGTGGTTCCAGTGAGATGAAGACCCCTCGTGGTATCCTCAACTACTCTCTCAGCGGTCGCGACGCTTCTGCAATTACCTGGAAGCTGACAGGTAACCTTGGTGGTGAAAGCTACAAGGATCGCACTAGAGGACCTCTCAACGAAGGAGGTCTTTACGTAGAGCGTCAAGGCTACCATCTCCCTGGCGCACCTACCTCCAGCTGGGCCAACAGCACTGGTCCCATGACTGGTATCTCATACCCCGGTGTCGCCTTCTACGCTACCACCTTCGACCTCGACATGCCAGCCGGCTACGACATCCCCATCGCCATCTCCTTCTCCAACGCCACATCCAGCAGCAATGGCTCCACCCCTGTGGCGTACAGAAGTCAAATCTACGTCAATGGCTACCAATTCGGCAAGTACGTCTCCAACATCGGACCTCAGGATGTCTTCCCTGTTCCTCAAGGTATTTTCAACTACAATGGACCCAACTACTTTGGTGTCTCGCTGTGGGCTCTTGATGAGGGTGGTGCTAAGATCTCCAACTTGAGCTTGGTTGCTGGGCCAGTCATCCAGAGTGGTTATGGACCTATTGAGTTGAGTCCTATGACTGGCTGGTCGAAGAGAGAGGGCGCTTACTAGAATGTCTAAGTCTAATGAGCGTGGATATGTCTTTTCAAAGCTAGCTAGTCATCGTCTATGTATCATGGCTATCAACTGTCACATAATCAGAGTATAATGTTAATTGAGAGCTTCACAATGTCTGAACGAACACTGAATCCGACTATGTTTGACCCTAACAAGGAGGCAGCTTCATGGCCGGACTTTGACCGAGGTTATGCCGATGGACCGCTGGTCAAATTTGGAGCGCTGTTCACTGTTCAGGCCATTGTCCTCCAAGACACGACATTAGGGAGCACACAGACGATGTGTGAGAATGACTGAAAGGATTCCAGATCAATAGCTGGAGTTCCACGCTGTAGAGCTGTAGAACGATCAGCTTGAACATCTTTGGCAGACCAAAGCTGTACCGGTAAGACATCAACCGCTTACTCCTTCGACTTGCCAAGCTTGTAGTCCTTGTTGTAGACGGTGGAGCACCGTCTCGGTCGAGCGGGCGGGCCGATATCTGACATGGATCCAGAGTCTGCTGCCTCGCGATCTCTCTGCTCGACATCGGTCTCCTCGCCAGCCTGCCTCTCTTGTTGTTCGCCAGCCTCGTCAGCTTCAGGCGACGCCTTATCGTTGATCTCGTCCGCTTCGTCGGCATCAGCTTTCTTTTCTGGCGACGGACGTATTAGCTGCATAGCTGATCAAGACGCCGGGTGTGGGAATAGATACCGGGTATGCCGCCATACATGAGCTTCTCAGCCTTTTTCTTCTTCAGTATTCCTGCCTTGAGTCTTGCTCGAATGTCTGTCAGCTCTGCCAAGTCGCGTTCGGCGCGGCGCAGTGTCTTGTGTACCTTCTACAACAAGCCAATAACAGCGGCCTCGGCCTCAGCGATCTTACCGGGACCAAGAATCTCGCGTCCCTTCTCAGCAAAGCGTACAGCCTCTTGCGCATGTATCAAGTAATCAGTCTGGTCGCCTGCAAACACGATGTGTGCACGAACGCGAATCACCAAGAAAGGCTCTACGTGCTGGAGCAGCTTGGGTGCAATGTCTCTTGCTTGTTTAGCGCTCGTCATTGTGTTCTCTCGGGTCAGTCCCATCATGTGGTCGTGGAACCCAGCTATGACTCTTCCGCCGTTTTCTTGAGCGGATGCTGATGCATGTGAGCCTTCGTATTCGTGGGTGGTGTACTCGTGCGCGTTGTGGTGGTTGTTTGCTGGTCCTCGTCATGGTGGTCGCCTTGGGAGAGTAGAACTGCTACTTCAGAAGGAACAGCTGATTGCTGTGCAGTAGGGGATATGTGATCGCTCATATTTACTGTCAGGCAGGCACTGATACTTCGTTGAGGTTTTGAATCAATCGAGTTGCGCTTTGAGGGAGGAATCCGGCGCCTCTTTGGCGTTTGAATATTCCGCCAGCAAGTTTGGTGATGGCTGCATCGGTTTGATCTAGGCAACAAGTCCTTTGGAGCTCACTGTCAAACATCTCCTTATACCCATCCCCGGCCAAGAATGCAGCCGTATCGGAGCACAGTACTTTACGAGTCTGTACCACCTCTCGTTGGAGTGCATCGCTTCGACACACTTCAGCAGATACTCGAATCATCGAAGAGCTGTGCGTTCTTGAAGTCCTCACAGCTCTTATGCGCGTTGGATAGAAGGATAGAGGTGACACGACTGGAGATAGGATTACTGCACGGGGTTGCTGATCATCCGCACCAAGCACTGACATCCCTTCTGCTGGTTATTCACTGCAGCTTCCGTCGATCGCTTCGCACTGTTACGCGTTGCGGAACTGCTTCGCATTATACCTCATCTGGTTGGCATACTTTGCTTCTTTCCCACCTTAAGTTTCCCTGCGACAAGAACTGCTTCCTTTCCTGCTTCGTTCTGGAAGAGATGCCGAACGTGGAGATCTTCGAGCGGTCTCTGCGCAGGTGTCTCCAGCCTAGACGATCTGAGCCCTGTCATAGGGTTCCTGCTATCTCGACACTGACTGTTCATCTCTGAACTGATTATTACCTTTCTTGGACAACGCGACAGCTCACAGTATCTCATATACCGACACCGATGAAAGCCCAGACGCCGTGATTGATAGTATGATCGGCGAGTACGGGCCAAAGAACTTCTGCGGCTTCTGCTGGTCACACTACTAACTCTGACTGCGATCGGTCCAGATCTGACTAGCATCCACGGGCTGAGGATACTATAGATAAATTCTGGCCCAGTTGTCCGAACCACATAATGTCGGTACGACGATATCTCGCGACTGCACATGTTCCCTGACTCTTTTGACTTCCTAACGACTACCGCAAGTGTCTTTCAATGGCTCTATGTGCTTCATATTCTCGCTCGCTCTCACTCCCACGACAAATGTAGAGTAGCAACGGACTGTAGAAAAGTAGAGTCCTTTCTCGGACCCAAGGAGCCCCTGTAGAGAGTCGACAACATGATAACTCTCGGCGGGTGTTGCTGTAGCCCTAGAAGTACCATGTCTTGATACAGCTACACGTGCGACAAAGTTCACTGTACCAGGAGGACGCGATCGGATAGAATGTGCCTTCGGTAGTGATACCCCACAAAGGCACAAAGGCGGGGATGACCTGGGGAAGTCGATCTGGGGTCAGAAATCCGCGTCCAGACATGGTGCAACGGTCCGAATTTTGCCCTACTTTGAATGCTTTCAGCAACAAATCCCGAAACTTTCAGCCACATCGCTCAACTCCGTTGAAGGCCTAACAATGATGTCTCTACAAGAAGAGGTTTGATATATAAGTGCTCAGGATGATCCAACATTACTCCGCATTCCATCCCCACAGTTCACCTTCACATCAAGACCTCATCCACCGACCTACCCTATACCTTTTGTTCCAACAAACACAACTACAGAGCCATCGACATGGCTCCTCGACAGTCTCTCGACAAACCTCACCTCGACATGGCTCTCCCTGACAAGAGCCACATCGAGCAAATCGAAAGTGTCGAAAATTTCGAAGATGATTCAATCGAAACCCTCGATGTCTCTTGGTTCGTCTGGCTCGTTGCAATCACAGCCTCGATCGCAGGTGGATTGTTTGGCTACGACACAGGAATTATTAGTGCTATCCTGGTATCGCTAGGCACTAGTCTTGATGGTCGCGAAACAACTTCCAACGAGAAGGAGTTGATCACAAGTCTCTGCTCGGGCGGAGCATTTTTTGGGTGTATAATTTCAGGATTGACTGCCGATAAGTTCGGGCGCAAAGGAGCCATATATGCTGCATGCGTACTGTTCTTCGCCGGCTCAATTCTCCAGGCTTCTTCATACAGTATCGCTCAGATGGCCGTCGGTCGTTTGGTGGTTGGCTTTGGTGTTGGCAGTGCCAGTGCTGTCGTACCCATGTACCTTGCTGAAATTGCTCCCACTAAGGTCAGAGGGCGACTTATGGGTCTCAACAACATGTCCATTACTGGTGGACAAGTCCTCTCGTACGGGATCGGAGCTGCGTTCAATCACGTCTCCCACGGTTGGAGGTACATGGCTGGCTTGGGTGCATTGCCCCCACTCATACTTGTGTGCCTTCTTCCTTACTGCCCAGAATCACCTCGTCAGCTCATTTACCACAACAAGCTTGAAGAGGCAGAGGTTGTTATCAGAAACATATACAAGGGCGCTTCAGAGCTGCAGATTCGCAACAAGGTCGCACTCATCAACCAGTCGTGCGAGCTCTCCAAGGAGATCAACGAGTTCGAGACCCGCTGGGCCAAGATCAAGCGACTTCACCAAGGCTCCAACTTTCGCGCACTGCTTGTTGCCTGTGGTCTCGCTTTCATCGCTCAAATGAGTGGCTTTAACACGTCAGTGGTTGAACGCATGTTGAGCCTCGAAACATACACTAACACTCTCGCAGATTGATGGTAAGCGCGAAAAGGCACTTATTCCGTGCTCCAGTCACGAAACTATGAGTATAGATTCACCTGTCGGGTTGCAGATACCAATCTGCTGATTGACAGGACCACGTGAGAGCTCGGCTTCCGAGGGTACCTGCTCGGTCTCAGATACAACTCTGCAATGCGACAGTGAACTGTTTGCTCATCACGATCTCGTGGTAGAGAGCCGCTATACGTACGGAGTGTGCTAACTGCTTCATCACAGTACTACTCATCGACTCTTTTTGCTCTGGTCGGATTTTCCAATCCCGTTGCTGTTGGTCTCGTTGTCGCCGGCACCAACTTCGTTATGACCTGGGTTAACATGATGATCGTCGATCCATTTGGTCGCCGTAAGCTTCTGGTCTACACTGCCTGGGGAATGTCTGCTGGTCTCGTGGCTGTCGCTATCGCCTTCTCCTTCATACCCATTGACCACAAGACCCTTGAACTCGAGAATACAACCGTCACGCCTCCCGCCATCGTCGTGCTTGTGTTCATCATCTGGTTCGTATTCTTCTACGGAGTCTCCGTTGGAAATACTGCCTGGATGTCGACCGATTTCTTCCCAATGGATGTTAGAGCTATGGGAACCATGTAAGTTTATTATGCAATCCATTAGCATGTTTACAGATACTAATTACGCTTGTAGGTGGTCTAGTTGTACCACCTGGGGCAGCAATGTGGTGGTATCAAGTACCTTCTTGTCGATGATGAAAGCTTTTACACCATCCGGAGCTTTTGGATTTTATGCTGGAATTTGCTTCTTCGGCTGGATCTTAATCATTCTCTGCTACCCCGAGGTTTCCGGACTCACACTGGAGGAGGTTCAAGATGTCTTCTCCCATGGCTTTGGTGTCAGATATGCCAGTAAACTCAGAAGGGAAAGGAAGCTTGCTGCCCAACAGCCTGACAACGAGAAGATTTGAATATAGCAAGTTGCCACAAACAAGCAGGAAATCCAGCCAACAGAAGCAAGAGCGACCAGTTGCTTCCATCATGTATACAGAGAACACAGACCCTGGCAGGATCCAAGTGGTGGCTTTGATGATGATGATGATGATGATGAGGAGATATGTAAAGGCATGATTAAGTGGTCGCGTTTAGGGAATTATCTTCATTTGTCAGGAGCAGTTGTGTATGGTGCCTTTGATGTGACATCTGCGTGTTCTCCTCATGACACGTACAGCTGCATGGATCCAGAGTGGAATTCAGACTTCTGCAGAGAGTTGGGATGAAACCGACTCTCGATGGAAGCTGCTCTGGCTTTCGAAGCTGCCTTGATACAGCTCAATGACACGCATCAATCTCTAGCAATCAAGACATGACTACCACTCTTCAGCTCTTGCAAGTCTGTGCTCGAGATTCCTCAGTTGGTTTTCTCGCAAAACTTGTTCCAGTTATCGGCATCCCGCTTACTGAGAAATTCAGCGGAGACAGATTTCCAGGCAATTGCGACCCCACACAGCTAGCCGCAAGCCACCTAAATCCTTCATCTCAAACTCTTTCCAGTCGACACTGGAACTCAATGAACGGTCAGTTTGCCAACTCCAAAACGTATTCGATAAACTTGCAGCTGAATTCGGGCCGATTTCCAACATTCGATAGGTCAGTCGCTCCAGGATCGCTACAGATAGCCCGAATCACAACCTTGCCGTTGTGCATTACCTGAGTAGCTCTATGCGATGGCCCCTGCACTCCCGTTCTCCTCGCATGCCAACCTGGGGCCCCGGGCTGTCCGGTTCGTCGGTATGGACTTGGCCGTCTATCTGCCGTGCTATTGCTCCACTGGTCACGCGGACATCGACATCTGAGTAGAGTGTGTCCATCACCCTCTCAATTCCAGCCACGCCAGGCTAAGGACAGCATGTGCTTCCCGAATGCTTTTCGTTCATGTCTACGAACATACTATCGGCCTTTGGTGTGACACCGAGGTTACCTGGCAATTCCGCGAGCTATGTCGCCACTTGGGTCTTCTGTATGCTCGCCGGGCTGCCACAGCACTGCTATCATAGACACGACCATGCCGACCGGAGTCAAGAGTACAACTCCTCATTGTCGTTTACTATTTGGACACAGCATTGAACACACCAATAGTGGTGCATAAGTACGAGTGCGGAGAACCATTGGCACAACATCAAGCTCGTACAGAGACAAGCAGAGCGACAAGATACTTGTTATGCTTGTGTGCGTGCCACCGCCGTGATCTTACTAGGACCGCCGTTGCAGCTTTCTGTCCGTGCTCTTTTCTACACCCCTTGCCTAAAGACTGGAACAACCATAAGCCGATAACCAATCAAAACAACGCACTAGTAAAGTCAATATGCTCTTCCCCAGTACCCCGCGGTCGATCGCCGTACGGAAGAAAAGTTTAGGCTTCGCGACAGGAAGGCCTCGGGGGCAGTTGATCCGTATAAGAATCTCGAGCAAGGACATGCAATTTCCCAACAGTTCATCTTCAAAAGCCCCTTCTCTTCTGGAGACACCTTCTCTTCCTTCTCATCAACACCAACCCGAAAATAATTGACCATGGCGGATATTCGAAGTGAACCGCTCACCTTCCCCGAGAAGGACGATCTCGCCCATACCAAAGCCATGAACACGACCATCGCGAATGCCAAACTTGCCACCGAGAAGGAACACAACATGACCCTCTTGCAGGGTATCAAGTTGTATCCTAAGGCAGTCTTCTGGAGCGTCCTGATTTCGACCTGTATCGCCATGGAGGGCTACGACGTCTGCCTTCTCGGAGCCTTCTACGCCCATCCTAAATTCAATGAGAAATACGGTGTTTTACTCGCTGATGGAACATACCAAGTCCCTGCGCGCTGGCAAGCAGGTCTCAGCAATGGTGCCAATGTTGGAGAAATCATCGGTCTCTTCATCAACGGTTTCGTCTCTGAGCGCTTCGGCTACCGTTACACCGTCATGACTTGCCTTGTCATGATCGCGGCTGTCACTGCCGTCTTCTTCACTGCACAGAACGTCCAGACTCTTTTGGTCGCTGAGATTCTCTGCGGGTAGGTTACTCATGGACGTAGAAGCATTGTACACATCTGACAACCTCGACAGTATCCCATGGGGAATTTTCCAGACCCTCACCGTCACCTACGCCTCCGAAGTCTGCCCCGTCGCCCTCCGTGGATATCTTACTACATATGTCAACTTCTGCTGGGGTATGGGTCAGGCCATCGGCATCGGTGTTGTGAAGTCTCTTTTGCACCGCAATGATCAATGGGCATACCGCATTCCCTACGCCCTGCAATGGATGTGGCCTGTCCCTCTCATCATTGGTATCACCTTCGCCCCTGAGAGCCCCTGGTGGTTGGTCAGAAAGGGTAGAGTCGAGGATGCTAAGAAGGCCCTCCTCCGGTTGACCAGCCTGAACCGCGAGACCGAGTTTGACGCTGATGAGACCATTGACATGATGGTCCACACTACCAAGCTTGAGGAGAAGATAACTACTGGCTCCAGCTACTGGGACTGCTTCAAGGGAACCGACCTCCGCCGTACCGAGATTGTCTGCATGGTCTGGGCCATTCAAAACCTTAGCGGCAACTCCTTCTCAGGTTATTCCACTTACTTCCTTGAGCAGGCTGGCCTCGATCCCGGCAAGGCCATGGACTTCGCAATTGGACAATACGGTATCAACATGGCTGGTGTGTTCGGCGCTTGGTTCCTTATGAGTGTCGGCATTGGTCGCAGAACCCTCTACCTTGTTGGTCTTTGCGGTCTCTTCACTATGCTTCTCATCATGGGTTTCCTTGGACTCGTTCCTGAAGCTCACAAGGACGCTGGGTCTCTTGCTACCGGCTCTATGATGTTGATCTGGGCCCTCTGCTACCAGCTGTCCGTTGGTACCGTCTGCTACTCCCTCGTCTCCGAGATCTCGACCCGTCGCCTTCAAATCAAGACTATCGTCCTCGGACGTAACCTTTACAACATTGTCGGCATTGTCTGCAGTGTCCTTACCCCATACATGCTCAACCCCAGCGCTTGGGACTGGGGCAACTATGCTGGTTTCTTCTGGGCTGGCAGTTGCTTCTTGTGCATCATTTACACTTACTTCCGTGTACCTGAGCCCAGTGGTCGTACTTTCGCTGAGCTTGATCTGCTCTTCGAGAAGAAGATCAGCGCAAGAAAGTTCGCCAAAACTCAAGTCGATGTTTTTGCCGACAGTGTCGAGAAGGTTGAGGTTCACCACAACGAAAAAGTTGATGTTTGAGTTGCGAGCCGAGTTGCTAACCTGCATTTCAGGTCGGCGTGTTTTGACGTCTTTCCCTTCTGCTTGACTGCTGTCGTTTTTCACGATGTTTCACGAGTTTCATTGTTTATTATGCCGTCCACGATTTTGTACATAGCGTTTTACTGTAGATACCACATAGCCTTGATGGAGAGATACCCTTTTTATAATCATTTCTTGACTGCTATTACTTGCAAGCATTGAATTGCCTCGACCATTCAGTGGTGTGATCCATACCTATGCCTGTGTGTTTGAGGCGCTGTTAGGACCTCTTACATCTGCTTGCCGCGTCTTTCCGGTTCTGTTGGGACATGAAGGCGACATGCGTTCATAGCTTCGGCGAAACGATGTTCCAGCGAGGAGTGCTAGACGGGCGCGTCGCGCTCCTGAATTGGACACATCCTAAAGAATTGTAGTCACCCGAGGATACCTTTGACACACCCAGACCGATTGATGCAAACGGAATCGCAGAATATTCGTGAGAGCTCAGTTCATATATTGGAAACGCTTCATAAGAATCAAACCTGAGGTGGTCGAGAAATTTCGCTCCAAATCTCGAGCAGAGAGACGCATCCTAGCGGGTTCTGGTTCATAGAATTGCCCGAGCGCTTGAGGAATCGTCGCTTCATTGAGTGTCGGCCTTCCGCCCAAAAATACTGTCTATTACAACAACCGACTGGAATGTTGCATGCTACAAGACGAGAATTTTCATGACATGATTCGCATCATACCGCACACTGTTCAGAAAAAACGAATACTCTCTCGCTTAGGACGATAGCGCAAAGTGAAGCGCTAGCGTGGCCTGTGCTTTCTCTCGTGTGATAGGTGCAAACGCGCATGCCCGATCACCCTTGTGGTATCTCTCGACTTAAGCACCTTTAGCCTTCATCGCGTTAAGGGAAACCCGACGCTCTTTCACTAGGAGCTTTCGTTAGCACACCTTGCTTTCTCACATCCACCACTCTGTTTCTCAACACGATCACGCATTCCTCTCACAATCGTTTCGCATCTGGAATCCAACCACTTCATTCGCTGCTGACCGAACAATCATTCGTCAGTGGTGACTTGCATTACGCGTCACTTAAGCAGAAAATGGCGCCGAAAGTTGGAGATTATTTGAAGCGCTTAGGCTTGCGAGGCGCTGAAATCCGAAAAGGCGAAGGATGGAGAACTCAAGAAATCAAGGATCTGGAAGCAGACATCAGAGCCTTTTATCAAAAGTATGAGCCATACTTGAAAAGAGGTGAGGACTACCCTGTTGAATTCGATACCGACATCGATACCGTTCTCGCGAAACACGGCCCCATCTTATGGCCCGATGGTCCGCGCGACGAGACAACCACAAAGTGGCTGTGGGCAGCGGGAGAGATTGACGAATATCCTGAAGACCTCTTCTATTCTCGTCATATCCACAAGTAAGTGTTGATTCACCTAAAATCTGACTTGTCGATCGCTGACCAAACAAAAAGGATCCAACCAGTCTTGCGAGCACTGCTCATCTTCAGAGTGTCGATATATCGCAGCAACCAAAGACACGCTGAAAACAGAAGGCGCGAGGCGGCAGCTGCTGCTGCAGCCGGCGTCACCTCAGGAAGCCCGCCTCCCCCGGGCGATGATTTGACCGACTTCGACAACTCGACCGTCGCGCCTTCTCTGGTTCACACGATCAAAGTCGAAAGCGATGAAGGTAAAGCTAGACTGCAGGACATTCTCAAGAACGAAGAATTCAATCTGCGAAAGAGAAAAGAGCAGACCAACTCGCCACTGGGCTCGATCAAGCGACTGAAGCAAGCCAAGTCAACACCTATCAAGGATCGCTACGTTCATCACATGCCTACCTGGACCACGACCAACCGTGAAACCATACATGTTGCCAACCCGCAGCATCTGGAGAGTGGACATAATTTGCTTTTCGCAGCAGCATCGGGTCCCGCGAATGGCTTCGTACCTGTCAACCACACTCAGCAAAACGAGCAGCCAATGCAAGCCCATCAACAACAAGCTTTGGAAAGCGACGATGATGGATCTGTAATTGGCAGAGCTGCCTTCAGCTTGCATTCGAGTGAAGCTAGTTCCCCAACCAACGCAGAGAACCTCCCTCTACCTGATACCCCTGGAGAAGGCGCCCTGCCCTCGCAGTATTCGCTGCCTCAAGACACCACTTCGAGAGCGGAAGAAGGCGCGATCACGACGGGACCAAATGCTCAGAAAGTCCCGCATTGTCCTGCAGGCATGCCTTTGGAAGAATCAGCACCGCAGACATCTCGTGAATCGATCCCTTGGTCGCAAGTAAAGAAGCGACGAGCCAAGAGGTCAAAGATTGCCCTCCGACCAATGCTGGACAACGAAGACACAAACAACACGCCCGAACTCTCAGCTCGTGGTAGCCATGCCATGGACGGTCTGTCTAAGCGACTTTCGATCGCTGACTCAGAGTCGCCCATGCCTACTGATGAAAATGCTAGCACAGAGAGCCGAAGACTTGTGAGAAGAACTCATGTTCATACTCCTGCATCTGAACCATCTAAGCACGTGGCGACTACTGCCTCGGTGGGCGCCAGTCCAAGCGTCCAGCTACCGAACACTCAGCAAGAGAAGCCTCTCACACCGCTCCTGACTCAGCCGCGCACATACCAAACACCTTACGCAGACGTGCAGCCTCTCGAGCCTACTCAACAGCCTGCTGCGACGCCAAACAGCCTTGCTACGCCCAGTCTGCACCCGGCGCCAGTCGACTCGCCTTTCACAAACCTCGCTCCAGCCACCATCAACCAACAATCGTCCACCGGCGATACGCCCCTCTCGGCGAAGCTCATCACCAGGCACTTTGGAAGAACATTCGTTAAATTCAACCTGACTGTCAACAATCGCTCGTCTCTCAAGATGATCAAGCTCACCGATTGTCTCGATGCCGTCATCCTCCACGAGACTATCAACAATCGTTTCAAGCATACGCTTGCCGGTCTGGTCCCTTCGGAGATCATCTTCACTTCCAATGATACCGACTATGATATTGGTGCTGACGAGGGCGGACAAATCTTGTGGGAAGAGTTTCTGCAGACTCTCGTCGACACTGCTCCTCAAGGTACCTGCCCTATCGTCGCCGAAGTCAGAATCTGAGCTTCGACAAGACATTCATCCCCACTCCAGCAAGGCCGAAAGTGGCTTTGCTTTTTCACTTTTTCTTTTTGCGATTCTCTGATTTACTTTTTTTTCTTGCGGTCGATGCACCAACAACAGCATAGACTCCAGATCACACGATTATGGTACTATTGGCGCTAATCACAGACCTTTGCCACCCCTGACCTCCAGTCATTCTTGAAGTACAGGCAGGAAGCGGACAAAGGAGTCATATCTTTCAAGGAGTTTCGGGATCATTGCTTTTGACTTGCTAGCATAATTACATACAGCACACGGGCATAGGCTTAACATGAGCTTATAATGACGATACTCTTTTTGAATTAACACGTTCGCTATAATTGACAATCGTGATATATACAGACAACGCATTACGAAGTGGCAGCAGTAGAAACAGGCTCCTCCTTTTTCTCCTTGATGCCCGTTTTCGTCTCTGTATGCTCCTTGCTCAAATGACTTCTGATAATGAAGGCACTAGCCACGAATCCGAACGCGCTGATTGCCGTCATAAGAATCCAAGTCCTCTGCAGACTAAATGCAAAAGCCTCCTTGACCGCATTTCTCTGTCCCATATCAACGATATCCTTGATCATCTCCACGTTGGCCGCTGCATCTCCTCCTGTGAATTCGGAGAGAAGTTTGGGTGATAGACCAGCGGCGCGGAGGTTGGCTCCTCGTGCGGCCATGGAGTTTTGGATCACGACACCTGCGATCACTATGGACATTGAGGTGGCGAGGTTGCGGATGAAGCCTAGTGTTGCCGTTGCGGTGGCTACATCGTCTTGTGCGACCAGTGCTTGCATGGCGATTAATGGGGGCTCAAACAGCATTCCTGCACCGAGTCCTTCCACAACTTCCAAGCCGAGAATGGTGGCCAGAGGTGTAGAGGCGTCGATGTAGATGTAGAGGCCCATGCCGAGGGTGCAGAGAGCCATGCCTACCCAGATCAATTCTTGATAGCGGCCGGTCGTGTGAATTATGACGCCGGACATGATGCCCATGAATGCTTCGCAGAGAGTCAAGGGCAGAATGTAGATTCCTGAGTGGATTGGGGAGGCTTGTTTGACGGATTGGAAGTACAAGGGTAGGTAGTATTCAGCTGCGATGAAGATCTGTGAATCTCGTCAATGAGGATGTGGTACAATGGTGGCGGTGAATAAACTTACGAAGCCATGACAGAAGGTTACTACGAGGACCGCAACGTTCGAGGGATGGCTGAACACTCCCAGTGGCATAAGTGGATGACGGGCAAACCTTTTCTCACTCAGGATGAACAGACCGCCCATCACAATACCGAATACAATCAAGCAAATGACCTTTGGAGATGACCATGGAAAGATGACACCACCAAAGTCGAGACCGAGCAGAAGCATTAGAGTCAACCCGAGAATGCACAGACTACCCAAGAAGTCGATGGCCTTGAGACCTTCAACGACCTTTGTTCTCGGGTTATGGACGTCGAGGAAGAAAAGAAGGAGGAAGAAGGTAGTGCCTGAGACTGGCAAATTGATCCAGAAGCACCCTGACATTCATTAGTGACATGATCTCGACAGGAATTTCAGCCAACTCACATCTCCACGAAACAGTTTCGGAAAAGACACCTCCAAGGATGGGACCAATGCCACCAGCAAGGGCCCACATGAATTCCATGAGTCCGATGAATAGAGTACGCTGTCTCATGGAAAACAGATCCGAGGTTGTAATGATGGTAAGCTGGATCAGAGCTCCACCAGCGATACCTTGCAGAGCACGTCCGGCGATGAGAACAAACATACTGGGCGCTGTAGCACATATGATCGAGCTCACAAAGAACCATGCTACGGATACCAAAAGAATTGGTTTTCTGCCCCAAATGTCTGATAGTTTAGCCCTGGAGATGTTAGGTCGTAGCGGTGTCTAGAAAGCATGATGCATACCAGATAGGAGCCGCAGCTGCGTTGGCCAACAAGTACGCAGAGCCTATCCATGTGTAACCACTTGCAGAGTGTAATTCAGAGGCAATGGTTGGCAATGCTGTCGACACAATTGTTTGGTCCAAAGCTGCGACAAAGAGAGCAAGCTTCACAGTTATCAGTAAGTCGATCTCGATGCAATGGTAATAACGCGACCTACGTTCAAAGCCACCAAGATGGCAGCAATTTGAAGCTTACTCCTCGGTACATCTGCTGGCGAAACAAAGTCCATTTCCTCAGGCTTGGGACGCTCAGGTGTGGAGTGCGAAGGCGTTTCTCCAACCAATTCATCTCTCGACATTGAAATTGGATCAGCCATCGTGATAGCGAGTCAAATCTACAGATCACGATCGCTCAGTACAAGAAAGAACGAAGAATACAGCGGTATATACAAAATTGGCTGCCTTGTCGTCAAGAAAAGGGCGCCTCAAAAGTCGAGGAGTCATCGTCGTGATTTCGGCAATTCCAAGAAAATGTTGTTTTTGCATGACCATTTTCTCCGCAATCTGCATCATGATTTCCTGATTGGGGCAACGCCGATGTGCTTAGCCGGCCGACGGCCTCTTTAGCCACTGCTTCTGAGCCAACGTCTATACAAGCTTAACTTCTTCGACTGTGTGCACATGGCATGTAGTCCACAGGGAATGTGGAAGGTCTTGAAGATCCGGTACACTAAGAGCTTCTGTCAACTCTTACTTGGCCTGATACAGATCACGGTGCTATTTGATGCCTCACATGGGTCACGAAGCAGCTCGTTACTCAATCAAATATGAGACTGATGTCTGACTGGGGAACCATCTTTCACAATGTTCAATTCAAAGCTCGATATATGCTGTGAGTAGGACGTATCACGATTACAAGACATAGACAGTCTACTATGCTTAATGGAGGATATGGTATGGTTGAGACCATTTTCATTGGAAGCGAGACAACTTTAAAGAAGTGTGGCAATATAGGTGCTAGCCATGTCTTTCGTGGCAGCTACCAGCCAAGAACAGCATCGCAGCTTCTTCTCCTGCGACATTCACGTTTTGCTTAGGCGTTCGTTTGTTTCGGCCCTCGTTTGTTTGCACGCTTCTGTCCCTCCAGCCTCACGCATTTTCCCAATTCACACCACCAAGCACCGCACATCTTATTATCCCATCACCAGATCATCATCATTGGAAGACAGCAGGCGCATTCTCCACATCATCAACCGCCGCGATGGATACGATCAACGACGAAAATGCCCCCCCTGACTGCAACATCAATACCAAAAACACCACCACTTCCAATGCTGGTCATGAAGTGAAGTCTTTAAAGAGGCTGAGTGACCCTCTGTCTGTCCGCACTGACAACAGGCTCACCTCGACTACCAACGAAACCCAGCAGCCTTCTGAGATCATCAAGCAAGAAGAGCACGAATCTCTTTCGAGCCCCGCGAAGAGCGACAACGACGTGATTGGAGACGATGACGCCAATTTGACTGAGATGTACTCGATTGACGGAGACTTCGACGACGAGCAAGGGGACGGCTTTGACGATGACTTTACGTACGACGAGGACGACGACATTCCACTCGAGGAGGACCCCTTCTTCGGCAATGTTCAAGCCGAGACTTGCCCCGGTCAGCCTACTCAGGAGCGACTGGATTTCATCGCCAGAGCTGTGGAGGAAGATAAGGCTAAGGAAGCTGCTTGCGGAATCCCCCTTCCCGAGTCTCCTGGCGATCTTCTCGCTCTGGAGTCTCCCGGCGAGCATGCGCAGTCGTCGCGTGATGCCCCTCTTGTACCCTTCCAACCACCTCACCCCCTTCTCAACGAGCAGATTCACAACGCAATCGAGATGGTTCTCGAAGTCAGATCATCTTATGGTGGCGATGTCTTCTTGGTCATCCAGCCAATTGAGCCCCTGTACGAGATGAAGTTGAAGTTCATCCAGGCCGTGGGCTTAGATGTCCAGCCCGGAGCTCTACAATTCTTCTACAATGATCTTCTCATCGAGGACGACCACACTGCCAAGAAGGTCCGTAGTCCTTTGGGTCATCACTCCAGGCAACTTGCTGACGTGATACAGATTGGGCTTACTTCCGAGTCACTCATTCACTGTCAGAAGGTCGGAGCGATGCGCTACGACGTTCTCATGCCGAAGACCTTGTGGTAGACTCCCTAAGTCGGGCATGTCAAGGCTTGTATACTCTCGGCGCCGGTTGGGTGGACTACAGGTGTTGGAGAGGTCGACGTGTGGTTCCGTACGCCACGCTCACCACAAGCTGTCATGTTGACATGCAGATCTGGTTGGCGTTTGTCCGCAAGTGTCAACCTTCGATTTTGTCAATGCTCTGCAGTGGCTCGTTGAAGAGTTGATCTTGAAAGTGTTGGAAAACTGTAGTATCAAGTCGGTTGTTGGAGAAGAATTGGACAGAGGTGGCAGATGAGAAATGAACAGTAAAATTGGGGTATCAAAAGGCGTTTATACATTCTCAGAAAACAGCATCATCAAGTTAGATGGACCAGCCGGCAGCCTTTTTCTTTTTCTTCTGCTGCTCTACCGTGGCGTTGTATTCGTCTTGTTGATCTTGTAGGTTGAGGGGCTCAAGGTGTTTGGCAAGGTTTGCAGCGGTGAGAGCAGGTGCAGAGTCTTGGGGTCCTAGGCTTCCGAGCTCTTCTGCCAGCTTGGGGTCGTCGACTTGAGGGTTCTCGAAGGAGTCGGCGTGTGTTTGCTCAGCGAGCTCTTCCTCTGTCTGATCTTCCTTTGCGGCTCGTGAATTCGATTCTTCGTCCTCCTCTTCCTCAGACTCCTCCTCTGAGTCGTCCTCGTCGTAGTCTTGATCAACCTCGTGACCGTCTTCCTCGTTATCAACGGTAGGGTCCTCGTCCTCTTCTGCTTCGTTGCGGAAGCCTACAGCCTCGACGAACCTGTCCAAGTCCTTTGCCATCTTTCTGCTGAAACCGGTGGCTTCAACCTCGATATCCAGACGCTTGCTTTGGTCTACGTCCTTGATTGCGTCGGCGAAGAAGGGTCCAGGCTCGTCGGAGGTGAAGCCGAAGCGACGGGAGAAGAAACGCTTGATACAGTCGACATCACGGTTGAAGTACCATTCGGCGTTCTCGTGTGTTGTAGAAAGCATTTGAGGGAAGTCGATGAGGATGGGTGTGGACTTTTTGGTGACGGGATCCTCCTTGATGAGCAAGTTGAACTCGTTGAAATCACCGTGGATCAAGCCGACTTTGGCGAGACGGACAATCAACTCCATGAGTTCGCCGTAGAGTTTGAGAGGGTTGGAGACATTGTCGATGGAGCGGAGAGGGAAGGAGTCGATGAGTTCCATGACGAGAGTGTGTCTGGTTTGAGCGATGGGTTCGGGGACGGGGAAGCCTTCGCGCTTGAGGACTTGCATAAAGGCGTATTCCTTCGTGGCTGCCAGGCGACTCAGGTACATCCATGATCCACTGGAGCGGTTGCGCAGGTAATCGCGGTTTGCCTTTACGGTACGGAAGGAGATACGACCCAGTCTGTGGAGCTTGAGGACGAGTTGTTTGCCGGTAGGATCTGCGACGACGAAAATATCCGACTCTTTACCGACACCGATTTGGTTTCCTAGACTGAAGACGGCGTCTGATTTGCGAAGGGTGTTGAGGGAGAGGTAGTCGAGACCACCGTAGGTCAGGCGGTACCCGTCGTATTTGGCGTTCTTGATCTTTGCGACGAGTCCAGATTTGGCGAGAGTCGCGATACTCTTGTGTACACCACTGCCTCCTCTCAGACCGGCGATTTGAGCAATAAGTACAGTAGGAACAAGTTCGTGGTTCTTGCTGCCCATTTCAACCTTGATGCCTTGTCAGTGCTAACTCTGCGTGGTGGACACAATGCAGACATACCGCCGTGAGGACACGCCAGTCCTCGGCTGTCAGGTAACGTAACTGTCTCGAATCCAACTTCATCTTGTCGTTTGTCTCTCTTCTAATTCGTGCAACAGGAAATAATTGCCTTTGGCTTCAAGAAAATCGCAGCGGGGATTCGACTTCTGCCAGCGTCAAGTCCGAGGGCGGTGAGATGGCCAACGCACGGGCCCTGATGGTTGTTTCGCTACCTATCGGCGTCATTCTAGCTTGAGAGCTGCTCGCCGCATCGCCGCCATCAACCACACTCAACTCCCACCCTCTCTACCGGGAGATCCATCTAACACTTCTCTGGACCTACTTTCCACGGCCATCAGAGGCTAAATCCACGCCGTAACTTCTTCTTTCTTCTCCACCGATCTCTCTCCACCGACAACCGGTCCAGCACCATCATGGCCCAGGACGACAAGCCTGTCGCCGACAAAGGCAAGGCTCCTGCTGATAAACAGACTACCGAAGTCCCCGGTGCAAAGGAGCCGCAAGAGCAGTCGACCAAGGATGGCAAGAAGCCTGGCGACCTTCCACCTGGTATGCATCAAACACATGTCGGGTGCTATGCACATTCTGACCAAGTTTAGATGATTTGAACGAGGAGGACCAGAAGCTCAAGGATGAGCTCGACATGCTTGTCGAGAGGTTACTAGTACGTTCACTTGCAAAAGACACACACGCGCGCATCTATTAACATGCACCCAGGAGTCGGACAAGTCGCTGTACAAGCCTGCCCTCGAAGCCATCAAGACGTCCATCAAGACGGCCACATCGTCCATGACCGCTGTACCCAAGCCTCTCAAATTCCTCCGTCCACACTACGAGAAGCTCGAGCAAACATACGAATCATGGCCTGCAGGCGACGAGAAGAACTCGCTGGCCGACACTCTGTCTGTGTTGGGCATGACCTACGCTGAGGGAGACCGTACCGACACACTCAAGTACCGCTTGTTAGCACCATCAGGCGATTTGGGCTCATGGGGCCACGAATACATGCGCCATCTGGCCCTCGAGATAGGTTCCGACTACCAGAAGCGCTTGACCGAGGAGCGCGATGCTGACGAGCTCATCACCTTGTGTCTGACCCTCGTGCCCTTCTTCCTGAAGCACAATGCAGAGGCCGATGCCGTTGACATCCTGAGCGAGCTTGAGATGATCGAATCCATTGCCGACCACGTTGATGAGAACACTTACGCCAGAGTCTGCCTGTACATGGTCACCATGGTACCGCTACTCACCTATCCCGACAACGACCGCTTCCTCCACACCGCACATGACATCTACAGAAAACACAACAAACTTCCTCAGGCCCTCACCCTGGCCATTCGTCTGAATGACTTTGACCTTATCAAGGCCGACTTCAACTCAACCAAGGACAAGAACATGCGTAGACAGCTCGCCTTCGTACTCGCCCGCCAAAAGATTCCTCTTGAGCTTGACGACGACGAGAAAGAGGAGGACCCTGAGCTCCAGGAGTGCTTGAACAACACCAGAATGCCCGATCATTTCAAGGCCCTGGCCAAGGAGCTCAACATCCTCGACCCCAAGGTTCCTGAGGACATCTACAAGTCACATCTCGAATCGAGCAGAACCGTTGGCTTGACCAACAACGACTCGGCAAGACACAACTTGGCCGGTGCTTTCGTCAACGCCTTCGTCAATGCCGGTTTCGGTACCGACAAGATGATGCTCGTTGAGGGCGGTATCAAGTCAAGTTGGGTGTGGAAGACAAAGGATGATGGTATGCTCTCTACCGCCGCCTCTCTTGGTGCCCTCATGCTCTGGGACGTGGAAAACGGTGTCGATAAGATTGATACATACACATACGTCCAGGAGGAGTCCATCAAGGCTGGTGCTGCCCTGGCTACTGGTATTGTCAACTCCGGTGTGCGCCTCGAGGCTGATCCTGCCTTTGCTCTGCTCGGCGACAACCTCGACAGCTCAAAGTCAACGCAGGTCAGAGTCGCATCTCTGATGGGTCTGGGTCTGGCTTACGCTGGCTCCAATCGTGAGGATCTCCTCGAGCTACTTCTTCCCTTCGTCACCGACACTTCTCTCGACATGCAGCTTTCTGCCATGGCCGCTCTTTCGCTCGGTCTGATCTTTGTTGGCTCTGCCCAATCAGATGTCAGTGAGGCCATCATCCAGACCTTCCTCGACGATGACCGTAACAAGCAGCTCAAGGACAAGTGGACTCGCTTCATGGCTCTCGGTCTTGCTCTGCTTTACTTTGGTCAGCAAGAAGAGGTCGACGTGATTCTCGAGACTCTCAAGGCCATTGACCACCCCATGTCCAAGCCTACCTCTGTTCTTGCCGAGATTTGCGCCTGGGCCGGCACCGGTGCTGTTCTGAAGCTGCAAGAGCTGCTCTACACCTGCAACGAGTATATCGATGAGGAGGATGAAGAGAGAAATGGCGACAAGCTGGTCCAGACCTACGCTGTTCTTGGTCTGTCGCTCGTTGCCATGGGTGAGGAGGTCGGCCAAGAGATGGTTCTCCGCCAGTTTGGCCACTTGATGCACTACGGCGGGCCCAACGTTCGCAAGGCTGTCCCTCTTGCGATGGGCTTGATTTCTCCCTCGAACCCTCAAATGAAGGTTTACGACACCTTGTCGCGTTACACTCACGACAACGACCAAGAAGTTGCTATCAATGCAATCTTCTCTATGGGCCTGCTCGGTGCTGGTACCAACAACGCTCGTCTGGCTCAATTGCTCCGCCAGCTTGCTTCATACTACCACCGCGAGCCCAATGCTCTGTTCATGGTCCGCATTGCCCAGGGTATGCTGCACATGGGCAAGGGTACTCTTTCACTCTCACCCTTCCACACCGACCGCAGTGTCCTTTCCAGAGTGTCAGCCGCCGGTCTCCTTACCACCCTCATCTCCCTTATTGACGCCAAGGAGTTCATCCTCGGCGACTCACACTACCTCCTGTACTTCCTCGTTACCGCCATTAACCCTAGATTCCTCATTACTTTGGACGAGGATCTCAAGCCTCTCACAGTCAACGTTCGTGTTGGTCAAGCAGTCGACGTTGTCGGTCAAGCTGGTCGTCCCAAGACTATCACTGGTTGGCAAACACAAAGCACACCTGTGCTGTTGAGCTACGGTGAGAGAGCCGAGCTTGAAGACGAGGAGTACCTCCCTGTTACAAATGTCATGGAGGGATTGGTTATCCTGAAGAAGGTATACTGTTCTCAAATTCCCAACACCTGAACAAATCACTGACTTTAATACAGAACCCTGAGTGGGAAGGAGCACAAGCATAGACGGTAGCATGGAAATGATATGGTTTTGTCAAAGCAAAAAGTTCACAAGTTTGAGACTTTTCGACATTTGACACATGAATGAACATCAGACACAGCGCGAGTGGGCGCTGGGGATGGAAATGTAATATAGAGAATACGGCGGTAGCATATTTCTCATTGAATGCACCTTTTTCACGACCCAACCACTTTAATGGGCTTGATTGACATGGCGACTTGTCGGATGCGCGATTTTGAAGCCGACCAAGGCGAACGGCATCTCGGCCCTTGTTCAGCGCCAAGGAGGAGGGTCTACTTTCCCAACTCCGCAATCTCCGCCTTCGATGGGATTCTGGGTCCAAACAAATCATTTCCTTTTGACTCTTTTGACATCTTCTTTCTCTGGAGACACGTCGCAATATTGCGTAGTTTGATACTCTGACGACAGCTCACACATACTCATCTCTACACGTCGCACCCGCTATCTGTAAAGTCGACTTCGATTCAACCCCCAAACTATCCATATCGGCACCTCCGTATCACATCTATCACATTACCGCAGGACCTGAAAGAGAGGCTTGTAAACAGCCAAAGGAAAGACTAGAAACAAGTCAGCCAGTCAGAGAAGGAGCAGGTCGCAATGGCAACTCCCAACATCAAATTCGGTAGCCCCGTCATCTTCTTCGATTCACATCCCGAGCAACAAGCCGGCTATATCGCATCCTGGGCATATGCTTTCCGCGACCACTTGAAGATTGCCTGGACTGGTGATGTGCCCAAGAGGTTGTTCCCCGGTACTCTGCGACTAGTCTGGTGGACCGTAAGCTCTCTCCCTCTTCCTCCGCTCTTTCTGATCAGTCATGCTGACAAACATCACAACAGACCGACGGCGTCAAAGGCATCCGCGACTTTGAACTCCATCAATCCGAACTCATCAAATCGCTCTGGGACTCTCTCCTCGACAATCCTGACGTATCTCGCGCCCTCGTAACTGGCTACTCTGGTCAAAATCCCTACATCCTCAGCTACGGCGACAACCCATGGCTCACAAAAGAGCAAAAAGAAAAGCTTGTCCGCCGTCAAAATGACGAGATGTGGGCAAAGAAGTCTGCTAGAAGAGTCGAGACAAGAAGCAAACAAGACAGATTCGAGGATGAAAAGGAGGCTGTCAGGAGGAAGGAGCAGATTCTGGAGCACATTGATGAGGTTATTCAGAGTAATGAGGATGCGGAGAAGCAGAGGCTTTTGGACGTGGATAGAGAGGATGTTTGAGCATCTTGCCTTTTCTCCTTCGGGCCATTTTGGACGTTGTCCGCTGATCTGGACACACGACCGTTCGAGACTGGCGACACTCTCTGGACATTCGAGTACACATCACCTTGCTCTGATATCCGCTTCTTGGGCTCTGCGCGATTGTTCTCTTCTAGCATAGTAAGCAGGCGCAAGTGGAGTAGCATTCCTTTCCCGCAAATCTTCTGTATATAACCATTCTTGTAATCACATTTTCAGCTTTATCCCACCATCATCGGCTGAAAGACGAGCTGCTTCCGGGTTCGGAAGGAGAGCACTGGGCCTCTGATAGCCACGTTTGCAAAAGGGACGAGAGGGAAGACTTACGCAGCACTCAAAGCCCGGATGCCATATCCGGAGACAAACCCCAGAACTCCGGCAACGCTTGCACGATGAGATGGGATCTTCAAACTGGCAGAATCGACGGAAACAAGCATGCTTTGAAACTATGGGATGCGAGAAACCCAGACCGGGAGCCGTTCTTATTGTACTGCGATCATATCGCTGCTAGAGGACAGGGAGTCCGAAACGGCCAGGCAACACAAGTGGAAGCTTATCTGGAAAGTACACGAGCAATGTCAGGACGCCTTGGTCATTCTGCATCACTTTGCGCAGGAGTCGGATGTCAAATGGCTCTTGGACTTTTGTTGGTGTAATCCGCATGTTGTCATCAATGGATGGAGATCAGATGTCGCCATCGAAGCCTTCTCTCACGACAGAGCTATCTTGCCAAGATATGCAACCACCCTTCTCGAACCCCACTACATCGAATAGAGCTGTAGTTGTTGACCTATAGTTTTTTCAGGGAGTATCATTCCTTTGAAGGAGTTGATCCACAATAGGCACTGCTCAAGGTGTCATGGTGAGGGGTAATGGTATCTTCAGTCAGGTCATGCTTGACAATAGCAATGGTGTGCTTTCTATCCACTCTAGACACATACTCTCAATCAGTGGATTTATAATCCACAGTATCTGCAAACAGGCATAGATCCTTTTGTATAAAAGCTACAAGGTTTCAGTAAGAAGTGCTGTTACTCGTTACCTCCACCGTTTTTCCCATAGCTTTTTTTGCAACTTTCCATCAAACCACCAACCTTTTCCTTCCAAAACAGCATACCTAACCCCATCATGGCACCCAGTGCAATCGATCCCACCATCCAAGACGTAATCCAACCCCAAAAAGACACCCTCGATCTCCCCAAAGAAACCCGCACACGTTTGGAAAAAGCAAACATCGACCTCTCGAACGGATACCCTTACCGTCCCGCCCGACCTCTCTACCTCCAAGATGCGTACAGCATTAGAAACGCCCCCTGGCACCACGATGACGCTGGAGCTAGAGCCAAAGTCACTGATGCAAGCAAGAAATCTCTGCTTGAAGCTGCTACCAAAGTCGAGGATTTGACTGCGCATATTGGGACCGAGGTTTATGGGTTGCAGCTCAAGGATCTTACGGGGAGGCAGAGGGATGAGTTGGCGCTGTTGATTGCGGAGAGGAGCGTGGTGTTTTTCCGTGATCAGGATTTGTCTCCTCAGCAGCAGAAGGAGCTTGGTGAGCATTATGGCAAGATTGAAGTTCATGTGAGTAGAGAGTTGTGTGTGCTTCATCGATGTCGGGGATTCGATCGCTGACTTTCATCGTGTTAAAGCCTCAAGTCCCTCAAGTCCCAGGTGTAGAGGGCGTTACCGTCATCTGGCCCGCCCTCATGGCGACCGAGCGAGCCGCCAACTTCAGAAACCCTGGTGGTGCTTCCCGTTGGCACACTGATCTCGTTCACGAGCGCCAACCAGCAGGAATCACTCACCTCCACAATGATGTCGTGCCCCCTGTTGGAGGTGACACTCTGTGGGCATCCGGCTACGCAGCTTACGAGAAACTCAGTCCAGGTTTCCGCAAGATTATTGATGGCAAGACTGCTTACTACAAGTCTGCGCACACTTATCTTGATCGTGATGATCCCAATGCTGGACCTAAGCATATTGAGCGTGTTCATCCTATTGTTCGCGTTCATCCTGCTACTGGGTGGAAGTCGCTGTTCGTCAACAGAGCATTTACAACAAGAATTGTTGGTCTTGATAAGGCTGAGAGCGATGTCATTCTGAACTACCTCTTTGATGTATATGAGAGGGTGAGTCTGCTCCTGTTCAGCATTTGGTGCTTTCTGACAATGATACTAATATTTGATCAGAATGTCGATATCCAGCTCCGATTTAAGTGGACTCCTAGAACTAGCGCTCTGTGGGATAACCGCATCACAATCCACAATGCTTCATGGGATTACGAAGGTGGTCACCCTCGCCATGGTACCAGAGTGACATCTCTGGCTGAGGAACCTTACTTCAAGGAGGATGCACCAACGAGGAGACAGGCACTGGGTCTTGATGCTGAAGATGAATTGGTAGCTACTGGTTAAACGCATAGCGTCTCCGACAACGGCTAGAGAAAAATAACAGCATTCTGTGCAACGACTGAATCCCTGAACAGTTTGACGGTCTTAGGGTAATGAGATTGGACATGCCGGTACCCGACAACGGCTAGACAATTCGACGAAGTTCTGTGCAATGACTCAAATCCTTTTGCGGCCACGAATGCGAGCTGGAATTTCGTCATCCGATTGTGACATCACGGCAAATGGAATGACTCAAGGGACCCAACTCGTGTCCGATGATAAGACAAACGTCGACGCCGGGTCTCAGTACGGAGCCAAGATCTAACTTGGCAATATACAGTAAACTGCGCAGCAACGCAACCATATGAAGGCCATTGAAATAGGCCGGTGTGCTTGTCGGTAGTTGAGGAAGGAAGGACGCGTATCGTAGAGCAATTGCGGGTCTGATGAGTACAGCGGGCTGCATAGCTATCGGTACTAGGGAGGGTGCCACAGTTGGTAGGTCGAAATAAATCCTTATATGCGCACGCTGCAGATTGGGAAAGTGATCGCCAAAGAGCCTGATGATCTGCCTTCGATGACGTGAAGTCCCAATCTGTCTCGTTCCTCCAGCGATCTTCAGTGTGAAAGACCGGGCGGCACGGGTCATCCTAGACGAGCGAGGCGCGAGGCGAGCCATCCGATTGAAGGAAAGGTGCAATTCGTTCAGGCAGCCCACGACAGTGAGATCCACACGCGGCCAAACGTATGCCATGACTTCCTCATTGTATGCGTGGCTGGTGCATGCAAGAGCGAGCAACGTTTCAAACTTGATAAAATACATGACAGGCAGGTGACCGGCTGAGGGTATCGATTGCAGTGCGGAGCGACCTTCGTGGTGGCGGTGGGATCGAAAGTGAGAATGGCGACTTGCGACTGCGCGTGCCTCTCCACGAGCCTATCTGGGAGCTGTTGGTGTGGTATAATCAAGGCTATGGACCAAGCGTACTTCGTCCTGCACGTCCAAAGCTTGTAAGCAGTCGTAGATGGCCAGTCTTATTTCGCCAGGGAAATCCGAAAATCTCATGGTTGACCAAGCTGGTGATTTTCACTTTCCGGTAATGATACGGTACGTGTGATTGTTGTCGTGGAAAGGCATGAAGAACTCACGCTTCGAAGCCTCGTTCCTAGAGAACTCCTTTTGGATGATCGTGCCTTCCTCACGCAGCTGCATGACGACAGCGAGCCATATCATTCGCAGCTGACTGAATAATGTGTTCTCTTCCTTCATCATCGCAAACAACCATGGATCTTTCTCTGCGTTGTAATTCGCTGAAGTGTCGTCAACGTCTTGTCGACAGAGCCGTCGTTACAACTTGCAGGTAAGTAGAGCTGGTTACGTGGAGAAGTCGACATCTGACTAGTCCTGCAGTCACATCTTTTGTGTGCCATGTTCGGATGCTCTCGGTCTTTCCAGCTCTGCGAATGGTGTCCGCATGTGCCCTGCCTGCGATGCCCAACTTGCAAACCCAGATGACGCCGTCGTCACACAACTCAACCCCACCGAAGACTACAAGACGAGCGTTCTTAGTGGACTCAGCCCGACCATCATAATGGAGTGTTGTGGCCGCGGCATATCGTTCTACCAATACCAGGTGACACAGGAGATGTAAGTCTTCCTCTCAGCTACCATCAACCAGCTCTGACCAAGGTAGCATGTATCACGACTACATGGCAAAGAATCTGGCCGACAGATATGCTAGTCTCAACTCTCAGATGGACAATGTCATCAAGGATGCCAACTCTGAGATCGGCGGTCTGAGAGCAAAGCTGGAGAGTAAGGCTACCTACAAATCTGGAAGAGAAGCAGACTGACTGGCTTGGCGCAGGAATGCACATGGAGAAGAAGACGCTCGAACAGAAGAACCAAGAGCTGATCAACGCCTTCAGCGAGAAAAGCAAGGCGCACCAGCGCTTGTCCAAGCTATACAACCGAGCCAGGGGCGAGCAGGACGCTCGGCAGATCCGACACACAGCGGCAGACGAAGTGGACCATGTGATACAGTCGATGCAGGCACCTGGCTTTGTCGAAGGGCCCCATGACAGGACACCTCGAAGACCATCTACAACTTCAGGAAGAGGAAATCAAGATTTGCCCGAAGTGTACAGTCATGCCAGAATTGGAAGCCTCAACGGCAACAAGCATCAGACTTGGGATAGCCAGGGCTCTCGGGCAGGTCCACAATCATCGCGTAAGTGAGCATTTCTAGCCAAAGTGAAGTAGCTGACTTGTGACTCTGCAGAGTTCTCGCAGAACACAGGCTCACCAACTCTTGGGGCCAGCATGCCTGGTTATGGCCTCAGACCACCCACATCCGGCCAGAGACAAGCAACGCCAAATCGTCAACCTCTTGGTGAGATGAGTCGCAACGCGACAAGCAGTCAAGGATACGGCAACTACAGCGGTGGTGGAGGTGGTGTCAAGGTTGGCGCAAACACGGAGAGACGGCCGTCTCAGATGATCAATCGCAATCTCGCGCGAGTGGTGCACAGATGATGAGGCATGGTGATTGCGGCACTCAGAGATGAGTGCATGTTCGGTGACATGGAGAAGCTGAGAGGAAAGACGCGCCGGGCGGGGCATGTCGAAGCGAGGCAGCGGGGCTCCAGGAACAAATGCATGATGCATGATGCACGTGAAGCATAGAAAGCAGCAGATATATCAAACATCTTGCTTTGTGGTCCACGACTACATAATCTCCACCATTCTCCTGACAGACTCCTACTTGCAACCACATCGGACATCATGTCGCAAGCAACGAGCCAGTATGTGCACCCACAATGCCGTCATGGTATCCAGCTAACACCAAGTCCAGACTGCCACCTATTCGAGCATGTCTCTTCGACATGGACGGTCTGTTGATCGACTCTGAAGACCTGTACACTGTATGCACAAACGAGACTCTGCGCAAATACGACAAGCCCGATCTACCCTGGAACATCAAGGCCCAGCTGCAAGGCCGTCCTGGCCCTGAGGTATACACCCTCCGTCCAGCATCAATTGGACACAAACTAACCCATCCTCCACAGGCCGGCAAGATCTTCCACGACTGGGCCCAACTCCCCATCACACGCGAAGACTTCCTCCAACAAACCTCCGCCCTCCAACAAAAATACTTCCCCTCCACCCAACCACTCCCCGGCGTCCGCGACCTCCTCAAAACCCTCGACGCAAACCCAAACGTTCACATAGCCCTCGCAACCTCGTCCAACAAGAACAATTTTGGCCTCAAGACCAAGCATTTGGAGGATGTGTTTTCGGTCTTTGAGCAACAACACCGTATCCTCGGCGATGATCCTCGTATCCCCTCTGGCAAGGGTAAGCCAGCACCGGATATCTATCTCCTCGCTCTATCGACTATAAACGAACGTATCCGCAAAGAAGGCAAGGAGAAGGAAATTACACCTGCCGAATGCCTTGTATTCGAGGACAGTGTGCCCGGCGTGGAAAGTGGCAGAAGAGCTGGTATGCAAGTGGTTTGGTGCCCGCATCCTGGCCTCTTGAATGAATACAAGGGTAGAGAAGAGGAGGTCTTGTCAGGAACGAGTATTATGAAGCAGTATGGGGTTAGCAGCGGTGGAAGCGAGGTTCCTGGAAAGGTGGGAGATGGATGGGCGAGATTGCACATGACGCTGGAGGATTTCCCTTACAAGAGTTATGGTATGGAGGCATAGCAGGTGAAGAGGAGCGGAGGATCGAGGTCTTCGCTATGATTACACTGGGTAAGGGGATGAAGGCCGCAAGAGGATAACATTGCTACACCAAGAGGAGCATACTACGGGCCTCTGATTTGGGCAGATACATAGAGCATCACGACACGTATAGATTTATTCACGTGCCAACTTTTGTGGTTCTCTTGCCTATTAAAGCATCGCGACGTGATAAAGTAGTTGGCCCATCGTGTTCTGGGAATACACTGTACACCGGCTGGACGAAGGGTGAATGCCAGAGCAGTGCTCTTGAAGTCTGCCCTTGCTAGCGTCCGCCCACCTTTTGACACGGTATTAGAGTGAACATCAATGCATTCTGTGCACACGATAGACAAGTATCTCGGTAAAAAATTAGACCCAATGATAAGCAGATTGCAAAGAAAAAGCGAGCTGAGCTCCCCACCCACACAACGACACGAAAAACCCGCAAAAAGAGAAGCTCCCTGCCAAAAAGAAGGTCACCATCCCACAACTCCTCCCTCACACCCCACCAAACAATCAATGTAGTCCGGACTCGCCACCTCATGGGCTTAGTCGCTCTGCCCGATTGCTCGGCTGAAGCGGTGTCCAAGCGGTCTTAGGGCCACACGCAGCAATTCGCAAGTTACCTGTGCGAGTGGGTGGCCACCACGAGATTCGAACCGGGCACCGATGGTTGAGTTGTTGCCAACAGAAGGGGTGGGCGGGAGGATTGGAATGGTTTCTTCCGTTGAGCCATTACAGCTGAAAGTTTGACGTTTGGGGGAGAATATATACTCGCAACCGAGATGTGATGAGATGGTCACGATGGCGGCGACTTACTGCCAATCTACCTGGAAGGGAGCTGCAAGTGTCGTGTTGTCATTGTTTCATATTGTATAGTCATTGAGATGGGTTCTCTAATGTTTGTAGCCGAAGCAGTCCCCCACCACCGTGAACCAAGGTTCTCATACACTCTTCTTGACATAGTATACCGCAAAACACACCACCACGCTCTACAGCGCCACAACGCCATTCAACAACAGGCGTACACTAAGAAAGCTAATCACGAAGACAGTCAGACATGTTCAGACAGATCTCAGGCCATCGAATATGAGGCACGTTGCCGTGACAGCAGTTTGAGTACTTCGAGAAAGTCGTCGAGAACCCGACCCTGGCTTGACCTCAATGACAATGGAGTTGTGGAAAGCAAGGTACGTCACCACCAATCATGACGTACTGTTCTTCTTGAAATATGATGGCTGGTTCAAAGGTGCGGGTTGGAGAAGCACCGTACCTCTTGGGATTCGCTCGTCATCGACAGCGGTCAAGGTGTTCAGTGGTGATCATGGTATCGTCCAAGTCGTGATTCTGATATGGACGCGACTCCTGTTACAGCCATTCAGTCACTTCACAAAACTACGACCTAAGTTGCTTGAGCAGCACAATTGAAGCAATCGCAAAGATCTGGAAACTCGTCATCTCGTGACTGTCGGATTGAAAAACACACCTAATAAAGTGATATAGATAATATGAAACCAAACCAGAACGCCAATTAAACAACCAACAACCAGGTCTAAGACTCCTACACTCTGTTCATCCCCCAATGCAATAGTTTTCGTACAAGTCGTCAAGTGGGACCATCATATGCTGTCTTCTTCCGGCTTTTCAACAAGCTCCTAGCTCATCGACACCTCTGTTGCTTCTCCCTTATCGCCGGATTTTCTCACAACGCCCAGTTTGAGTAGTCTTTCCCAAACGCCATCTCTGATCAGCGCTCGGTCTTTTGCGAAAGCCAAACCATCGAGTGTAGAAAGGCTCTTGCAACCATTGCTGAGAAGAATTTCATAGACACGTCGTCGAAGCTTGGTATCCTCGTCCAAACGAGCCAGGTGCTCGGTATCAGTGGCGTAATTCGCATTTGGCAAACGATGTGACATGGCAATCTGCAACTGCAATTCTGCCTCCGACAATGGTTCCTCGTCGTTGGAGACGGTGCTGACGGCATTCTTGGACACAGAGATAGGAGCATAGAAGCCCTGTGTGATAGGATTGTCTCTGAGATCCGTTTTGCGCAAATGTGGCATACGTGCCAGCACAGCGACAGTCTTACGGAGACGGGCGATGCGATTTCCTGACACATGCAACTTCTCCAAGCGTGTGATGTTGAGGAGTGGGCGAATATCTGTAATCGCGTTGAAAGACATGTTCAAGGTTCTCAGGTTCGGGAACTTGAGACCAAAGTCGTCTGGCAGATCTTGTAGGCCGCAAGATGCCATCTCCAGATTTCGCACGCTATGGTAAGAGTTGGGCAAGTCGAGGGTGGGGATGATGTTCGAGGAGAGGAACAAGGAGCGTGCGGATAATCGCTGGTTGAAGATGGTCAAATGCTGAACATCTGAGTGGCTAAAGTCTTGCTTGCGCATAGACAGCATGTCCACATTATGCAATGTTTCGATGCCCTGGATGGTTGACAGGCGGTTCTCGTCAACGTTCAGGTAGCGCAAGCTAGTGTAGTCCTCTACACTCAGAGCGGTCATCTTGTTCTTCTGCAACGACAGACAATGAAGTCTCGAGCCCATCGATTGTTCCCTGGTTGTCGGGAATGTTACGAGTTGGTTGTCGTCTAGTATCAGTCGCTCCAATGACGGCAGTGCATGGATGCCAGAGATGCTGGACAGCTTGTTGCTACTCAGATCCAATTCCTCGAGACGGGCCAACTGGCAACCTTCAAAGTCGACACGCGAGAGCTGATTGCGACGGACAGAGAATTTGAGCAGACCATCCATGTTCATAACACCATCCAGAGTGGAGATTTGGTTGTCGTCAGCGCGCAACTCTCGGAGATGGACAAGCATGCACAGTCCACCCAAGTTGTCGATTTGATTGTTGGAAACGTCCAGATACTGCAAATTCATCATATGACTCCAAGCTGTCAGACTGCTCAAAGCGTTGGAGCGAAGATTGAGCTTGCGAACAGACGCGGGCGCGCCTTCCAGATGAGCAACATTGTTATTCGAGAGGTCGAGGTCTTCGAGACGTGTGCAGAAGTCTTCCAGGTTATGCACAGAATCGAGACCTCTGTCACCAAGGTTGAGCTGCTTGATGTCTTCCCAGTATGGCTCATCCGGCTCAACGTCAGTAAGTGTCTTCACGAGACTCTGAACAGCCATTGCATATCTGTCTCCACTGTTTGTGCGAGCCACTCGTCTGGCCAATGCCTTTTCAGATGGTCGCTCCTCATCGACATCGTTGACGGTAAAGTCGGGCAAGTCGCTGAGGTAGAAGGTGCCATCCATTCGGGCAGGTGATGACAACCCATATTCCTGGTTTGGTGCCGACATTATGGGTGCAGGCTGAGCAACCACAGAAACGCTCATTGTTCGCTTGTCAGGGAAGGTAGCCACGAATGACACTTCTCTCTGGTCTTGTCCAGAGGTAAAACCTCGCCGGAACGTCTGCCTTCTGAGTGAAGAGTTTCTAAGGCCGCCGCGGCGCGCTGGTTGAGGCGAACGTAAGGGCCATGATGGCAGCGGAATTCCACTGCCGCGCTGCTTAGGTGCTGGCAGTTCTTCCGTCTCCGATTCTTCATCCAGAATTTCATCATCCTCACTAAGAAGATCGTCCAAGAGAGAATCGTCTTGGGACATGAGTGAAACCTGCGAGTCATCTTGAGCCGTCACAGAATCATCAAGAACGATCTCGGTCTCTTCTGAGATGTTTTGAGGGATGTTGACTGTGGCGAGGTCGCGGATACCATCGCCTGTCTGCGCCTGAGCCTGTTTAGCCCGAGCGATGCTAGCAAGCTCTTCATTGCTCCAAGATGTGGCGCGAGTATCGAACTGCTGCTGCTGACTCGAGGCAAAGCCAGAGTACTTCGATGGTGCCGTGCTCGACGTGAAAGGGTGGGGTGCATTACTATCGCGAGTCGTGGGCCTCGAGCCGGTTGCTTCTTGTCTCTGTGGGGGCGGACGATCCGGTACCTGCTGTGGAAGCTCGGTGTACCGTTCGGACATATCACACTCGGACTGTTCATTCTGCGCGAGATCGTGACGACGTGCTTGAATTCGTTGAATCTCCTTGATCTCATCGACAGTCAAGTCAGGGATGTATGCGAATGGATCATCCTCGCTGCTGACATTACTGGGTTGGTGATAGTAATCGAAGGTTGGAGGCTTGAGATGTTTTGCCTTGACCCAGATTTGCTTCTCCTTATCATAGGTCATTCCAGCGATCTGTTCAGGGATAAGGTGAGCGACCTTTTCGGGAGATAGATTTGCTACACAGTCTCTTGAAGAGGTAGAACCCATAGTACGGGCCCCACTCGAGGAGTCTAGTGATGGATGCGAACCATGCTGTGACTTGGTCGGGCTGACTTGCGCTCCTTGCTGTGAAGCGTTCGAGTATGCTCGCGTGTGCATACCTGCCCAACCGGGCCCAGCTATTGACGAACCGTCAAGATCCCGAGCTGATACATTTTCGCAGCCAAAGGAGATTGCGGAAGAATCGTCAAAATTCAGTGATCTGAGAGAAGACTCTACAAGATTGGATTGGTTCTGTTCGCGGAACTGCTCCAATCGACTAGCAACCATCGGGTCGTGCTTGACTTGACTTCTCGGCCTCCAGTTGCACTCGCCACCCTCACGAGAGGCTGGTCTGGAGATGCGTAAGGACCCAACTTGACGCGCAAGATCATCAGGATGTAGGTGAGAGCTGAAGTTCATCTCTGCGTTGGACTCTTCCACGTCGTCTAAGCCACTATGTGGTCGTCCCTTAGCTCGGATTATCGACATGATATGCATGGCCTCGTCGAGGAAATCTTGAGTGGTGAACGAGCGCTTGCGTATGCTTTCGGGCTCATCCCTCGAATGCTCGAAGGTGAATGCTGCAATATCAGCTGCAACTGCCTTTGCTTTCTCGGCATCGACAGACTCTGCACCTAGTTCTGAGAGCTCTTCGATAGTTTCTTTGATAGCTTCGAGGCGTGGCGAGTTTGAGAGATATTCGAAAGTCGCTTCACTGATCTCAGCTTGAATCTGCTCGCGACGTCTCTGGCTGGGTGTGGGATTTCTAGGCCTGGTGACGTCTCTTCTGCTTGCTACACTGACAGAGCCAGATGCCGCGACCGTAGGAGCTCGTGCGTCATCTGAGAGAGGCGCATCGACCTTGATGTGAATCTCAGAGCCTTCGCCGAGCTCCGGGAGTTTGCCGTCCATGGTTATCAGGGTACGACGGCGTTTGGCAGTTGGGGCCTTCGCAGGGGAGCTCTGAGGGCGCTTCCCTTCCCTGATGTCGAACTCATTGTTGTAGGGATCAATCACAGGGAATTGCTCTAGCGCTTGCTCATCGTCTGAGTGTCTCGACCTGACTGTGTTGCTTCTCTTTGAGAGTTTTCTCTTCAGCTTAAAGGGTCTAACTTCGGGTGACGATTCAATCGGTGGAGCAGTCTCGACGTGGAAGCGGAAGGGATGCGTGCTGCCCGGTGGAACAGCTTCAGGAAGGGGTGAGCCATCGAGGAAGTCGGATGTCGCATCGAGGTCCAGGCCAGAGGGAATAGAGATGTCTGCATCGAAGTTATGCTCATCCAGATCTCCTTGGCCAAAGCCACTCAAGTTCGAAACGACACGTTGTGACGCCCGACGTCTATTTGTGTTGGTCGTAGCCGAGCTAGGGACTCTACCACCACTCGAGCGAGTCTCGTCGAACGGATCGTCACATGGGTGCGCCGGAGACACCAAAGGATGATCAGGATCCAGGCCTTCCAACTGGCTCATTCTCCTGAACAACTTGTTGTTGGTGAAGGTGTCGTAATTGCCAAACAGCTTCAACGGACTCTGCGAGGGCCTGCTCTTTGGTGGGCTTAGAAGGGAGGACTCTTCTACATCTCCTAGTCTTGGGGTTGCAGGTGCTCTGACCGGGCTAGACGGAGCTGGCGAAATTGAAGGCTGGTCGTAAATGGAGGACGGCTCGATCTTTGTGGGACTGGAAGGATCGGGCCTGTTCATAGTCATGAAGCTTTGGATTGGAGGGGTGCCGGTCGGCAGATCGTCTGGAAGAGAGACCTCTGGAACACTGGGCATGTTGTCTGCAGCATCGCTAGTCTCTCTGCGGAAGCCAGGCGTAGATGGGAGTTCCGAGTCCAAAGCGTTGATGGAGGCATCTGCACTGACGGGCGCAGAGCGCGAGTCGAGCGGAGCGTAGCTGACGGCGCCAGTGGAGCTTGTGTGTTTTGACAAGAAGACGGGACTGAAGCCCTCGCCTGACAGATCGGTATTAGCGCTGATAGTGCGATTGCCTTGATGTTTCGAAGCCGAGCGGCCAAGGTGTAGTTGACTGGGAGAGTTGATGGAGCGCATGAGGCTGTCGTCTTGTGCTTCATCGTAGTTTGTGTTGTTGGCTTCTCGTTGGCATGTGCCCTGTGCGTCGGGAGAGTCTAGTTGAGAGGGATCAATTTGCGAGGGCCATGGTGGGGGACTGGAAGGAGGCATCAGAGTGTTCTGCAGGAGCCTCGAGGGGCTGTTGGACGAGGTCGGGCGGTTGTTGGACGAAGTCGGACGAGCTGGGGAGAAGATGTTCTCGAGACCGGATGGGCCAAAGAGGTCGGTCTGGTCGCCGTAGCCGACCTCACCGCGGACAAGACGCTTCTTCCACTCGAGAGTCTGGTGTTTGGCGGGAGAGCGCTTGACCGAGTCGTGGTGGACTATCGACGAGTCTGATGGTTGGCGTTGGACATTGGACTGAGAGTCGGGAAGGTCCTTGAGCGGGTTCCGTTGTTGTTTGAGCGAGCTGGATGTGACGGAGAATTGACCGCTACTCCTTCGCGGGATGCGACTAGACGACGACGAAGTTTGGTTCTTGGGAACCCAAGTGGCAGATTGGTGGTCTGTGGTGGGCTTTGACAGCGACGGCGGCTCGACCCAATCTTCGTCTAGGTCCTCGAGCCATGGCGCAATCTGCGACGACATGTTTGGTGTTTGATCTTGTCCGCGAATGTATACAATATGGCCAAAGAATACAAGGGGCCGTCTGTCAATGGGCCAGCATGGTATATGACAAAAGTGGACTAGGCCGTCATTTCACAACAGATGCAAAGACGATGCAATAATATGATGAGGCAGATGCGATCGAGATAGCTCGACCTTTAACACGAGGCCGAAAAGTTGGTTGGCACATGTTTGCGATGAACGGGACGCCAAAGCTTCGGTTGCGCAAAACACCATTCCCATAGCAACCAGCCTGTCCACAAGCCACCGGCCAATCACAGCTGCCCTACCGCCAATTCAAGCAGAGACGATCGACAGCCGGCCTGTTTCTAGTCGCCAGCATTTCCTACAAGCAGTCAAAGCATCGGTCTGTTAGTCGCAGTCGCAGTGCCAGTCACTTGTCAAGCTCCAGCTGTCAGTGCTCTGCCGGCGGACAAGGCCAACACGCTCGCGTGGGCACATACCACCCATCCCGCTTCTTGCCATGCGCCAACAAGAAATCCACCATCGTCCCTTCCGCAAACGCCTTCTCGCTTCTCGCTCATGGCTCCACGCCGCTGGCTGTGGCCCTGCTCCGATTCACACGTCCTCCGACTGCCTGCATACCAGAAGCCCACTCTACACGCCTGTCTCGTCCACCCCGAACACCCTGACCATGTCCTGGTCCACGACTCCGACGATGATCTGGACGACGACTACCACACCGCCAAACGCCGCCGTATCGAAGCCATCGCCCATTCCTTTCTCAATGGCCAACCCATCTACATCCCGTCAGCCAGCCTGAAGGGCCCCTTCCCTGCAGATAGAGACTTGTCTCTCTGCCACGATCCTTTCTCAGCCTCCGACGCAGAACCGGAGCCTGTCTCCCCTCCACCTGCTCCCACCGCCGACTCCTTCATTCGCAGAAGACCTGAGCATCGCCCACAACAGAAGTCTCCAAGCCCTGAGCCCATATTTTCGCCCGACAAGTCGCACTTTTCTTCCCCATCTGGCTCAGAGAGACCTGCTAGACGCCCGAAGTCTTCTCATGACTCGCCTCGCTCCTCCAAGACCAAGTCTCTAAGATTCGACCTTCCGTCTTCTGCACCCGTGCCTCCGACCCCTGTGCTGCCGCCGTTGCCCAAGTTCCTTGCTATCAACAAACTTCCTGCCCAGCCCGACAAGCCGACTACTTCTACAGCCTCGTCCCGCCCTCCACCTCGCGTTCTGATACCCGACTCAAGCTTCATCTCCCCCAGTCCCCCGCCTTCCGAATCTCCAAGCAAAGCCGTCGGCGTCTTGAGGCAGAGGCCCGCCTCGTCACTGAATGAGGCCGAGAAAGCACCCTCATCAATTCATAAACTCTCGAGCGTGAAGAAGAACAAGAGACCGATCAAGCGAGTATACCAAGCTGCTGTCACTTCCGGGACCACTTCACCTTTCATCTACAGGAAAAATGCAATCCAGGCCAAGAAGACGACTGCCCCGGCTAAAGAGGAGAGGGCTAGAGCCGATGGTGTTGATGTTGGACCTAGCCCGGTGAACTTGCAGTCCAAGACTCCACTCTCAACCAGCAAACGTCAACATGTTCTTTTCCAATCTTCAATCGACATTTCCGAAACAAAATCCTCGCACCCTCTGCCGACTGCTATTGAGCCTGCGCGCTCCCCCGAACCTCTTCAGGATCTTGTACCCGCAATCAACATGTCGTTTGGACAGGAGTCCTTCGGCATGGACTTCAACATGATCAACCATTACAATAACTCAATGACAGCTGCTTCAATGAAAGAACGAGGCTTCGAGGAGCACCAGCACGACCAAGAGGCACCAGCCAAGAGCACTGTGCCTGCAACAAATACCAACACTACGAACCTGGAAACCGAAAGAGCACAATCCGGAGAGAAAGAACCACAAGCAGAAGCCTGGGAAGGATACAACGAGAAAGAACCTGTAGCTAAGACATTGCATAAAAGTGATGAAGAGGAGAAGAACTGTGATTCTAGAGAGAGCTTACTGCCACACGACGAGGCCAAGGTGGCCGATTACCCCATGGCTGATACAATTGTCGACGAGGCAAGAGAATTCGAGGCTGAGGTTGTGGATGAGCTGCCGTACCTCAGCACTCAAGCGGCGATGCAGGACGCCCATCGCGCGCTATTTGATGCATCTTCACCGCTGCAGCAGGAAGAAGAGGCTATTCAGCTGCCTTTCGAGACTCCAGCCAAACAGGTCACCAGTCTCCCTTCGAGCCCGGTGCACGCCATTACGCCGTTTCATAAATTTAACGCCGAGTTGACGACCGACACACAGGCTCCGCTGCCTAACACGCAGGCTTTGTTTGACGGTTTTTACTCTCCGATCAAGTTGAGTACCAAGAAACCGAGAATTGCGAATCGAGCAAGTTTTGCTCCTTCTGTCATTCCTGAGGATCCAGACGATACCGTTGCAAGTGCTTTCGACCTTCGAGATGACACCGTTGCGCAGGAGCACAGCCAAGATCGAATGTCGTCCAACTCAGACGAAGTGGTTGCAGCCCATTCGCCAGTGCCCACTGTGCCCAGTCCGGTGATGCTTGAAGGTCGGACAAGTCCCTCGTTCCCTCAAGACCTTGCTCGTAACTCTCCGTCGCCGAGTCCGGCAAGCCGTAGCGATTCTTCCGATTTTATACTTTCTCAGAAGACTCCAGCTTCTCCCAGAGATTCGACTGGTCACATCATACCTGCGTTACAACAAGACTCGGTTAGTCTGTCGGAAATGCTCAACTTCATCAGTAGCCGGAGAGGTATAGACGTTGAGACTCTACTTTCACAAACCACGCCAGTCTCCTCTGCCAGGAGTGTGAACAAGAAACAAACATCCGCTCGCTCGTCTCAACGGAAACCTCGTTCATCTCTGTCAAAGTCACGCTCGTCTCAACCTACGCGTCCACGATCGTCTTTGTCTAAATCCGTCCCTGAGCAGAAAACTGGTCAACGTCGTTCCACACGTCTTTCACTCTCACAACCAAATCCTCGAACGGACGATGCCGACGACGACTTTGATACTGATATCGACATAGACGGACCCCCAGCTACTCAACCTCATCTGAACTTTGGTGATCTAGGCCGTTCCTTCGGCTCGTTGTCCTCTACCGTCCTTGACGTGTCTTCCACAATCCCTGACCCCAGTCTAGCAGTCAATTATGCGCAGCAAAATGGAACCCCCCTTTCTCGAAAGGCCGCTCCAACACCCGGAAGTGCACTACAAAGCACAGGTCTGATTTCGAGTTTCCAACATGCTCAGAAGCAGTACAGCAGCTTGACCGACCTTGATAGTACGATGCCGGATTTGCCACAAACTTTTTTGCCTCCAGTACATTGATGCTGTGGAGCAGTTATCAAAAGGCCGCATGGACATTGATTCGAGAACAATGTAGGTCTAATTGGTACGCTCGGTTTGAGCGGCATACTTTTGGCGTTTTTAATGAGGCATGATAGCATAAAGATACCCTCTGTTGTTTTCTTATTTTCATAATCTTGATATATTGTTTGATCGTTCACCTATCACTTATCGCGTATGACTTTATGATCTCGCGGCACGGGAAGTCTGTTTTCTGAAACATGCACGACAAACTCCACGCCACATGAGATGCTTCGTGGCAGGCAAGGTTGGGCTGGGGCTGGGATACGATCGCGCCAAGCCCAAATGGGAAGGCACAAACGTCGACATAAAAAATACTTAATGTCCGTTCCTCAACCATCCCGGCTATTCGTGATATATCAACTTCTGATGTGGTTCAAGATAGAATTTGTACCCTTGCCTTTTGTAGCAGGTCAAGTTCTCAGCAGCAGCTCACCGCTTGTCAACATCAAACGTAGTGCCAACGATGTCTGTTGCGACCATGTGCTTCGTGGGACCTGCAGGCACGAACGACGATCACAGACGCCTATTCTTTCCGCCGCCCCCGTAACAATGTCGATCTGTTTTTCGGCCCTTTTTAAAATGCTTTAATCCCACTTCCTTTTGCTTCGCATACACCACGCTCGTTGCTTGTCTTGACAATTCGTTCGTTATGCGTGTCTCATCCTCGGCCTTATTGGCCTCTCTACTCGCATTGGCTGCTGCTAAGCCTGTGCCCGAGACTCACGTGGTTCATGAGAAGCGTGATATTGCGCATCGCTTCACCACTTCCAAATGGGTCAAGAGGGATAGATTGGAGAAAAACACTGTCTTGCCTGTTCGTGTTGGCTTGAAGCAGCAGAATCTGCAGAACGGTGTCGAATGGCTTATGGATGTGTAAGTGTGTCGATTGGATGTTGTACCTTGAAAGACCAAGTGATACAATGCTTGATTGCTTCTCAAATTCGTTGTGACTGTGAAGCTAACCAATCCTAGGTCCAATCCCCAATCTCCCAACTTTGGAAAACATTGGACGTCGGATGAGGTCATCGACAAATTTGCACCATCCAACGACACTTTGACTACCGTTCGCGACTGGCTCGTAAAGAACGGTATCTCCGACCGCAGAATCACACACTCTGACAACAAGGCATGGTTCGCCTTTGACGCCACCACCAAGGAAGTCGAGGATCTACTACACACTCAGTACCATGAATTTGAGCACAGTTCTACTGGAAACTACGTCGCAGCTTGTGACGAATATCACGTTCCCAAGCATATTCAGGATCACATAGACTTCATCTCGCCTGGTGTTAAGGGTGCCAACCTTCGCAAGCGCACCTCCAAGAAAGCCAAGCGAGGACTCAGAGGTGCTCCAGCTCGTAAGCAGGCACCTTTCATGCCGAAGAACATATCTTCTCTCAGCACTTGTGATCAAGTGGTGACACCAGCATGTATCCAAGCATTATACAAGATTGCTCCCAACGATCCTCATGCCAAAGTCAATTCTAATAACTCTCTCGGTATCTTTGAGGAGGGCGATTACTACGCCCAGGGAGACTTGGACCGCTTCTTCGGAAACTTCACACCTTACATTCCTAATGGCACTCATCCCATTCCTAACTTTATTGATGGTGCAAAGGCACCTGTTAGTCTGAGTCTTGCTGGCGGTGAGAGTGACCTGGACTTCCAGCTCGCCTACCCCTTGATCTACCCTCAGACCACCACTCTGTACCAGACTGATGACCTCTACTACGCGTTTGGTAACGACCCCAATGCCACCGGACTTTTCAACACTTTCTTCGATGCCATCGATGGCTCATACTGCACGTACTCTGCCTACGGTGAGACTGGAAACGACCCTATCCTTGACCCCAAGTACCCAAACACCGCCGCAAGCAATGGCTACAGAGGTCCACTACAGTGTGGTGTCTATAAGCCTACGAATGTCATCTCCATCTCATACGGCGAGCAGGAGCAAGACCTACCTGCCTACTATCAGCAGCGTCAATGCAATGAATGGCTCAAGCTTGGTCTGCAAGGTGTATCCATCTTCGTCGCTTCTGGCGATACCGGTGTCGGTGGCATTAGAGGTGACGGCTCAGCAAACGGATGCCTAGGTTCCAACGCCACAGTCTTCTCGCCCACTCACCCCAACTCTTGCCCCTGGCTCACTAACGTCGGTGGTACTAAGATCTACCCTGGACGCAGTGTTTACGAGCCCGAGTCCGCAGTCAACGATCCCGAGTCTGGCTACTCATCCGGCGGCGGTTTCTCCAATCTCTTCGACATCCCTGAGTATCAAGCTTCTGCTGTCAAGACTTATTTCGAGGAGCATGAGCCTCCGTACAAGTACTACCGTAATGGCCAGTACAATGGCACTGGTGGTGGACTCTACAACCGCAATGGCCGTGGTATCCCCGACGTCGCTGCCAATGGTGATAACTTTGCCGTCTTTAACGGTGGCCGCTTCATCCTCGAGGGCGGTACTTCTGGCTCTGCACCCATATTTGCTTCCATTATCAACCGCATTGTAGAAGAGCGTATCGCCATCGGCAAAGGACCTTTGGGCTTCGTCAATCCTACTCTCTACCAGCACCCTGAAGTGTTGAATGACATTGACAATGGCACAAACCCTGGCTGTGGCACACAGGGGTTCAGTTCAGTCAAAGATTGGGATCCTGTTACTGGGCTAGGTACGCCTGATTATCCCAAGATGTTGAGTTTGTTCTTGAGCTTGCCTTGATCGGTCAGCCTTCATGAAGGACCTTTGGTAGCGTTTTTTTCCTTCTTTTCTTTTTTGCGAAAGAGCATTTTCATAGCATGTGGATCATAGATAGCGATGTGTATTTACTGTTTGAGCAGGTCTCATTCATCATTGACGGTTCTGTTCTCGACTCGTGGGTGTTTATAGAGTTGTGAAATGAATCAATAGGCTCATTGATATCAAGAGGCAAGGCAAGGGTGACTATGCCATGGTCAAACGAGTTTCCATTGATTGGAAGAAGAGTAAAAGCCAATGTCAGAGAAGAAGGAAACGCCAATCCTATGCATTTCCCATCCTCCGCTAGTTCTGTTTGTGGCCATAGCAATATTTTGGAATGTCGTGAATAAAAAGAATTAGAAATAGGAGATAAGACAACAAAGGAAAGCCATAAAATCTGTCATTGTCTCGTGAGGGTCGTCAGTCTATTATGTCGTGATTGTTTCACATCAACACGTTGCGCGAGTTGTTCTCAGCAAAGAAAAGACAGAACTCAGTAAGCAATCCATCCGGCATCACGAAGACAATACGAGCAACGAGGATAATGCTGCACAACAGGAGCGCGACGACAAGCACAAGCAGTCTGCCTAGCATGAGCCTTCCCAGCACTAGTATGCACAGAAGATCTCATACCCGCAACAGCAGAATCCACACTCCTGGGGCTCGAGCCACCAGAAGTCCAACTGCTGTTTTCGTCTTCATCTTCCTCCTTTAGCTCGCCCAATCGTCTTCTTTGATCGTTGGGTGTGTTTGTGGTGACGGTGACGGGTTTGCGACCTGAGCCGATGGCTACGGGGAGGCCTTGGACTGTGCCGGAGCCGGGCTTTTGGCCGGGGTACATACCGTCGTTGACGGAGAAGTTGCGGCAGATCATGTATGCGCGCGTTGCGGCGGCGTCGCGAGCGAGTGCTTCGCTTGTATAGTGTTGGCCGTCCGTGCTGTATTCCCGATTGTTGACGCGAACGACGCAGGTATAGCCGTGGCGAGTAACGGAAGGTTGGAACATGGGCTGAGGCCAGTGTCGGCGTTTGCAGAGGCCTATTTACAAGTATCAGCACGGAGAAATCAACGGTAAGGTGCGCCGCAGAGGGAACGATGTAGCGATGTCAGGCATCGAAGGTTGCCTCAGGCTACTGTCATGACGGTGCGCCGATCCGCCATGTGCAGCTGTCAAATATGTCTTCGGGAGGCGACCTTCGACTACACGTGGAGAATGCACACGTCTGACGGGTAGCCCGGAACGACATGCTGCAACGGCAGCAAAATAGCGACTGGTACTCACCATCAAGATACATTGTGTAGAACATGATGAGATGTGCGATCCTCAAAAGAGATGAATGTGCTTAGTGTGGCTTGAAGTCTCAGGCGGGATATGTCGGTTTTGGTAAGAGAGGCGTGCTGTCAAAATATGTGTGCCGAATGTGTCACACCACAGAAGGGTCCTTTGGCTGTATGTTGACAGACACAGGTACAGTAAATGTTCAAAAGATGAATGCAGGTGGAAGGAAATGTGAGATGTACTGATGCCCAAGAAGAGAATTGGATCGACGAATATATCTCTAAGTATGCATAGGACATAAATAGGTCGAAGAAGCAGGCAGTTCTTGAAACAAGATGCGGCCCCTAAGAGATAGATGGGGAACAATCGAAAAAAGAAGGGACTCGAAGAAGTGACGTTGAATAACACAGCAGCCAGACTCGGCGGGAGGTCCAGAGGTACGGTAACAAGGGCGAGCCACTCACACGCGTGCACGACGGACATACCGTCGTGCATGCAGATGCGTTCATTGTGTGGGAATGACAACACAAGAGAAAAGCCTGGCGAGGAGGAGGACAAGTTGGCTCGTCGAACCCCTCCCTAATCTTGTTCGATGTGTTGGCGCTGCATACCACGCATTGGGGTATCTGACGAAGATCCGAGAAGGGGGAAATGAGATGCGTAGCGGTGCGCGCCTACGTGCTGCTGGGAGATGTGCTCGAGCGTCTGCTCCTGTGCGACAGCGAGCGTGGTGCATGCCGATGGCGAGGCCCGACTTGCTTCATACACACCACGTCAATGCGCGACATGTTCGCCCGAGAGCTTCTAGCACCAGGTACGTGGTCGAGGTTTGTGGCCCCTTGATTAGACGCAGGTGTCGTGCAGTAGGGATAAAAGGTGCCCAATTCTAGCTTTCGGTAACGAGCCGGACCAAGATCATGTGAAGAGTTGCTGCCGTCAGTCAATGGGAGAAAGGAACCGTAAGCTCACCGGTTCAAAGTAGCTAGCAGCCGGAGCGGGTCCCATGCGGGGCTACTGCAGCACACGGTGATTACTCGATAAGAATGTTTTTCTGGATCAGCAGTTCCTCACATTCGAGCTTTGTAACGTAGTTAGGTGAAAGACTCGGATGTCATTAAGGCAAAGGAGACAGCCTTCCGGGTCCCTTTATTGGCCAGAACAGCGTACCATGGATCAGAGGCGGTGACTCTGGGAAATGCTGCTGGTTCGTCCTCTAGATCATCAAAAGTCTGGTTGTGTGCTACCCATAGATCCAATGGGTCGAGAGAGGAGCATCGGAAGCATGAGTGCGCTGGCCGTCACATTGGACGTCGCTGAGCACGATGTACCCTGCTTCCGTCTTCTCTCAGTATGGTGGGGACTGAAGGCGAGGAGGGGTTGAGGCACCAAGGGTCCGAGGACTTGTTCCTTCAGGCTGCAAATCTTGGAAAGACCCATACGTGCCGCAGGATCGTGATGGTAGATGCCGAAAGGCCAGTCCTGGCACAAACGAGAATGCTGGCGGGGTGAACACCTTGACGACCTACTACTATACGGCGGACAACGGTAGAAACTTGTCAAATCGTCTATCGTTGTGGCAGAAGCTGATTTGCTCCGACACATAACTCATCCGACAAAAAGAACAGATGTGATTGACGGGCGAAAAGGCCTCTCGAGTTTGACGCCAGCCTTGCAGATAAGGTGAACAGCTGATTCCTTCATGCGTGGAGAATACGCTGCACCGACGATCGGGCGTGCATGATTGCGGGCACTACTTTGTTGCTTTGTTCCGACGTGCAAAGAAATTGGATGCCTCGGTGATGCGATGCTTCATGAAGCAGAAGCGGTCAACAGGCGGTGAAGACGAGACGGTTGGCCGATCTTGCATTGACGACTCCCGGTCGCTCGTGCCTTCCATCCCAGCTTCAATCTTCGCGTGATGTTGAACCCATCTTTTAACTTTTGCAAAAGACGCCTCCAGTTTCCAGAGCCGTCACAAAAGTGACATGTCGCGATGTAGTCGTTGACAAGCTCGAGGACAGCAGGCAGTTGCGGTCGTTTGGCTGACTGCCGCGCAGATGCGTGGCGCCAGTCGTCGTCCACAGCCACGTTTTGACCACTCCATGACTTCTGTGAAACCAACAAGAGTTACACGCCACGGGTTACCAGCATATCTGCAATACTGAAATATCTGCTGCTTTCTCTCGTGGACGAAATGAAATGTTTCACTTCTTGAACTAATTCGGGATATGTTATGCATGCAAATATGGAAAGCCGCTTCCTCCTCTCTCTCTGTCTCTCTCTTTCTCCCTTGGGTATCATTCCGTGTCGAACGCCGTGTCATAAAAAAAACCTTTCCGACGAACCAAAGATGAGCGCACTCACCGCTACTTGTTCTTTCCCTTGCCTTTCTTCCTGCCTTGCTGCGGCTGTCGCTCCGGTGCGAAAGCAGAACCATCGACAACTTCTTCTCCCTGAGCTTGCAATTCCTTGACCTTTTCTTGGCTGCTGATGAACATGGTTAGATCGTGATTCATCTCTTCCAAATCGGCCTTCTCTAGCTTCGTCTTCTCTGTCTCCTGTTGGCTCTCTTTGGCCTTTGCTTCAGCAGCATGAATGCGCTGAAGCAAACCTTCGTTCATTGTCTTTTCTTCGCGCAGCTGTGAAGACATATCCCGGGCCATCTTCTCAAACTTCTCAGCCCCGAATGTGGCCTTCTCGATGCTCTTCTCCATACGAGTAACGCTGGCAAAGTGGTTATGGTTTTCCAGGCGCAAAACAGCCATCTCTGCGGCAAGCGCAGTACATGCCCTGGCAGCGTCTTCGGCCTTTGCCGACGCGGTGCTGGCCTTGTCAACAGCACGCTCAAGCTGATCCTCGTAGTAGCGACGCTGACTATCGAGTTGACTAGTCAGAAGATATGTGTACTCATTAGCCATGTTCTCCATCTTCTCCCGCGGCACGTTGTCCTCAGCTTCAACACGGAAGGCGGCATTTGGGTGGCGTCGAGCAGGCAGATCTATGAGCTTGCTATCGGGCTTGTTCTGGATCAGTCTATGAACGTACCCGTCTCCAGCATAGTCCCAGACGTGTTGAGAGTTGATGTCCATAGCATAGCAGTGACTTGTGGCTTCCCAATGTGCAAATGCGTGAGCTGAGTCGTAACGACCACATCCTGTGTTTCCGCAGATGAGGCAAATCCACAAGTTTGTTGTGGCCGCGCAGACTGTGCAGGCAGGCTCAGCTTCAGCCTCAACATCAGGATGGCCTGGCCGAGGATAGGGAAAAGTAAACGAGGGCGACTGAGTGTAACGACACACAGGACACCCCGAACCTCGCCACTTCTCAAGACATGCGCAGTGAAACACATGTTGGCAGAGAATAGTCAACAAGCCTGTAGTCTCGTCCATGCGTTCGAGACACACCGGACATGTAGGAAGCTCGACCAGAGATGGTGTAGGTGGAGCATGTGGCTTGACGGACAGTGTAGTCGAGGACTTGGTGAATGGGTCCTGATTGTTTTGTGGGAAAGTGGCAGGATCGGAGATAGCAGACTCGGGAGTCAGGAACTCGACTGACTTGATGAACACGACATGGCAGTTTTCAGGCTAACAGGTGTTAGTATGTGGTATACCACTGTTTGATCTCGGGAAACATCTCACCTCCATAGCACTGAATAACTTCCCGTTCCACAGCTTCTGCCACTCTCTAGCTTTCTTTGCTTGTCGGAACTTCATGAGGACCATGTATTTGTTTGCGCGACCAGTCCTGATAAGCCTGAAGTGACTAACTTCTTCTCTTGCCTGGTCTCCAACGAAGCCCAACAGATCCGAGGGCATCATCCACGACGGGACAGCCAAGATACACAGGGTGGTGCATTGGTGAGGGTCAAAGGTTGGATCGTCTTTGACTTGCTTGTTCTCCAAAGCTGCCGTCTCTTGTGAATCTCGGTACAGATGTACAACTCCCCAGCCTACGTCTGTAGCTTTAGGAGCCGAGGGCACGTACACGGCCTTGGTGTGTAGCCCGGTTGAGGGGGCCTTGGTAGGGGATGCTTCCATGTCGATGCTTTCAATAGTGACCGGACCGTAGCGCCAATCCCGAGTAGCGACCTCGTTGGAGGCTTTGTTTGGTGGGATGGTGGGTGAGGCCGGCTCTTTCAGGGCGATGTTCCTCTCGGGTAGTAGTAGAGCATCGCCGTGGACTGAAGCTGGTCGGCTCTTGGCCGCGGCGCTGTTGTCTACTGAGGGCGCCGGCGAATGTCTGGTTGACAAAGTCTGCGGGATGGTCTTTGAGGTTCGATGGGCTGGAAAGGCTGATTTGAATATGTCTGTACTGGGGTCTGGTCGAAAGAGGTGGGGTGATGTCGTGGCAGGCGACGCTGTAGATGACCGTGCTGAGGGGTAGAGCTCAAGCTTGAGGTGGAAGAAATATCCTGCCATTATTCATCGTAACGTCGTCGTTGTCTCAGCACTGCAATGCTATGTCACACTGTTGATCAGGATCAATCAAAAAGAGTCGACTTCTTGTCGCAGTTGAGTCTCACAACATGCCAGCTTCACACGTGCCATGCATGAGTCATGTAAGAAGAAGAAGCCATCCGACTTGCAGACATGGGGAGGGGAGCTCGAAGAAAGTTTCCATACCACCTCCATAACGTGTCTGAACAGCAGATGTACGGCTTCACGGCATAGTTCTTAGCACCGCGACATGTGTTGGAATTCATGGCTTCGGGATCTTCTTCAGCCTAAATTAGTCAAGACCGCACCAGAATTTTCGACGACAACTAAACAACATCACGCGGCAGAAGTATTTCACATAGGATCAGAGTCCAGGAGAGCAGAAGGAAGGTGAAGAGTGATATTCAGAGCATCAAGTGCTCTATGAAGAGTTGATTGTCAGGCTACGCTAGTCGTAGCAGCCACTGTCTCGTGGGCAGAGAGGTAAAAGGTAATAGAGAATCATAAGAACGCCGACCCGTCATCATCAAGAGTAAGAACACTGATCGTCTACTGGCCGCCACGAAGTCTGAGCACCAGGTGCAGAGTAGACTCCTTCTGAATGTTGTAGTCAGAGAGCGTGCGACCATCCTCCAACTGCTTTCCGGCGAAGATCAAGCGCTGCTGGTCTGGGGGAATACCCTCCTTGTCTTGGATCTTTGACTTGACGTTGTCGATGGTGTCTGATGACTCGACTTCGAGTGTGATGGTCTTTCCTGTGAGAGTCTTGACGAAGATCTGCATACCACCACGAAGGCGGAGGACGAGATGGAGCGTTGACTCCTTCTGGATGTTGTAGTCGGACAGAGTACGGCCATCCTCAAGCTGCTTGCCGGCAAAGATCAAGCGCTGCTGGTCTGGGGGAATGCCCTCCTTATCCTGGATCTTGGACTTGACATTGTCGATGGTGTCGGACGACTCAACCTCAAGAGTGATGGTCTTGCCAGTGAGGGTCTTGACGAAGATCTGCATACCACCACGGAGACGGAGGACAAGGTGAAGAGTCGACTCCTTCTGGATGTTGTAGTCGCTCAAAGTGCGACCGTCTTCGAGCTGCTTTCCGGCGAAGATAAGACGCTGCTGATCCGGAGGAATGCCCTCCTTGTCCTGGATCTTGGACTTGACGTTGTCGATGGTGTCAGAAGACTCGACCTCGAGGGTAATGGTCTTGCCCGTAACTGTGATGATGTTAGAAACTGAAAGCGCGCAGTGGCGGTAAAGCGGGGTCGATCGCTACTTACGGGTCTTAACGAAGATCTGCATGTTGGATGATTTGTTTGGTGTGTGGTGTGGATGTAGTTGTGTGTGATGATAAGCCTTGATGAGAAGAGGCGAGTTGGAGGAGGAAGATGGTTGGTGACGAAGGAAAGGTGGTTTGAGAGGGCAGGCGAGCTTAAGTAGGAGGAGGGAAGGCGCGCAACGTCGACGAGTGAGAGCGGGAGTGAGTGTGGCTGATTGGATGACGCCCAGAGCGGCGGTGTTGTCGCAACCACGCAACCAGTGAGGCAGCAACGGAACTTCGGAACGTGCCAGAACCTTCCCAACGTGGCAACCAAGTCGATGTTTCTTCACTGTTTCCGCCGGTTTATTCTCTTATTTGCTTCGCCTCCGTCCAAATTGTTAAGCAAGCAGTCTTTCGGTCTTGTTCCTTCACTTATCCTGAGGGTGGGTGGCAAGACAGCCTCACCCCGACTTTGCCCATTCGGGTGCCATTCTTATCGGCGCTTACCTCCGAACGGCATCGCGGGGAAGCCACAACCGTGACTTCATAGCCTCCATCCTCGCCTTCCTCAAATCATCTCACGCCAAGCGTTTCTACAGTTACTATCAAATCCAAAAGTCAAGCAAGTCACGCTTTGGACACGGCTTCTGTTACAAAACGGCTGTAGTGATTTCGTGCCAACAGCCGGTATAACAAGGAGTTGGAACTTGGGTATCTGATGCTGAGGCAGAATGAGTATTTGCCTGACTCGGTGTCTGTTTCAATTCTTATCATGAGGCTGGTCTTTGCGCCTCCTTTTCCTGTTTTCTGACCTGTCTTTCGACCCATGTCCATTCCTCGTAAAGTATAAGTGCCGTACTCGCCAGAACGACATACCCTTAATATATAGTCATTCTTCGATCAGTTTGCTGTCAGAGGCTTTCTTCCCCAGACGACCGGCATCGGGTAATAGGCGTGTATGCCTCTGTTTTTGACGTCAGATGAGACTTTGGCGACGAACACGTCGACTTCTTCTTTTTTCCAGCCGAGACCCCTGGTCATCAGCGCTAGACAGAATCCCTCGAGGCCTTCCAGAATGTTGATCATGTTCCAATTGCCCAGTTCCTTCATGTACTTGTCCTTTGGCCATGGATTTGAAGGCCACATAAAGTGTTGCTCCTCAATCTCCACGAAACCAACCGCTTCCATCCATCCTCGATACTTTTCAGACACTTCGGTGCCCATGGGACGGCCAAGCTTACGCGCAGCTTCGCACATCAGGATTCCCCATTTCTCTAGTGAAGTGCCATCAAGCGTGTCGTCAACACTTCTGCAGGGTAGTCCATAATCTTGAAACTCGAGGTAGCCACCAGGTTCTAGATTGCTGTAGGAGTGGTCAGGCTGTGTATTGATAGTACGGTCTCTTGCAGATCTACTCACTCGAATGCTTGCTGTATGAGCTTTTCTGGGTCTGCGAAACAGCCGGCCATTAATCTACAGTGGACGTAATCGAATCTATGATCGTAGACCCAAAGCTCTTCGGCGTCATCTATGATGTATTTTAGGTTGGGTGGCACGCTTGCACAAGATGTGAGCATGATTCGGCTACCAGACAGCGTTTGACACTCACAAGGAAGGCTGTCCAGGGCTGAGATCGATGCCAGTCACTTCACAGTTTGGGTATTGGTCCGCTAGGTTGAGTCAGAAAAAGTTGAAGTCTAGCAAGTCGAAACATTTGCTCACCAAAGTCCATGGCCCAGATTCCGGTTCCAGTACCGATGTCGAGTGCGTGCCTCGGGCTCCTGAGAGGTGCCAGATGTAGTCTTCTATACGTCAAATTGCACATGTGATGCTGCAGATCTATGCATTAAGGTCAGAACTTGTGTCTTCGATCTGGCCGTCCAACATCCTTACCCAATCGATCTTGTTCACGCTGCAATTAACAAGACGTCAGCAGGTATTCATCGTGCAGCATTGGGCTGTCCTTACTTCGTCATTTGGGAAGACATATTGTCCATCCTTGTAGGCTGGCCTAAGTCAGTTTGAGACAACACAGCTGTTACATCGAGACGGCTCACCGTGATATGTGCGACCATGTTCCTGGCGATAACTGTATATTGATTCACTCAATGAGGTAGTTGTACTTTGACTGTGCATATTCTTAGTCTTCCGGTTTTGCATTGAACGTTTTTCTACAGAGTCAAACTCACGTATCATCACCGAGTGCTGAATCATTATCGCTCCACGACTAGTTGGCACAGCCATCATCAGCGAGTTCTTCAAAGTACAAAGACTTCTATTCGCACTCACGTCGGCCTCGAGAGTTTGTTCTCTGGCATGATTGAGACTGATGCTCTCGGTCTCTGCAGCTCCGTCGGACATGACTGAATGTCGTTTAGGCGCGTGCACCCCACGTGTGCTGAAGTCGAAACCCTTGCAGAACAAAAGGCTGCAGACGCTACTATTCTAGTCGACCAAATCACGCGATGGTAGGTGTTTGAACTTGTCGATTTTGGCGTGCATCCAGATCAGAGGAGAGTTCGGAGAAGAGTACGCAGCCGTTGACGACCGGAGTTAATATCTAAGAAAAAGAGAAGAAGGGAAAGAAGGAGCAGAACTGCCGACGCTATCACGATTGTTTGACCTTAACGACAAAAGGCTCGCAATGCGCAGACCGTCCCCTGACTCGTCGGAATCCGTGGAGTGCGGGAGCTTTTGCTCGTCCGGCGCGAGCCTTTTGAGACGTGCCGCGCCGCCAAAACGAATCCTTCCGCGCTTGGACTTCAGCCCACCATCAATTGACAGGCAACACGATCCGGTCTCACTTCTTGATTGCTGTGGAGCTGCCGAACTTGAGACCCCGGACACCCATGTGCTTTCTTTCGCTGATCCTCTCGCGTGTCTGCCATCCTGCAAGTGACCGTTATCACGCTCCGACTCGACAGGAGCCTCGCATTTTCTGTCCAAGCGAGAGTCAAAACGGCCACATTCCTCAGCTCACGATACAATGAGACAGCAGACCGCCTGGCCCTGCAGCATCGAGACATGGAGGCCACACGTTTTGCGAAGCCAAACGGACCCTCAGACCAGTGACAGGGACGATCGCCCGCTTACCATACTAGAGCATGCATTGGTGTATGCACTGGCAGCGCCACGGCAGCTGATGGTCGGCTCGCCGCGGGCATCGCTTCGCGTGTCATAAAGATCCCTATAGTCTTCAAGCCACCAGACATCATCTAAACAAGCCTAGCAGCAAAACCTGAAGTGCAATGCTCGGCTGGCTCAACTATTCTTCCGAGGTTCCATTCTTTGCTGGGTCCTATATAATTGACATCGGTCTGGTAATGTATTCTGTGCTCCCCTTTTCGCTGAGGTGCTTCAATCCTATTGACTCGACCGCTTTTTGATTCCCACCTTTATTTTCGCATCCCTGTCCATTTTCCAAGAGAACGCCGACCGCCTGATCTACGCCTTTAGGATCGAATCCTGCAAGGTAAGAGGAAGCGTCATTGCTTTGACTTCTCACTGGTCGAGAGAAATCCCAGCACTGCGGGTCCTCTAACACAGTAGCTGAAATCACTTTCGTCTGCACCACCAGACGTTCGGGTTTCTGCAGTAGTCTCGAAGGGCATACCAGCCCTTGATCGTGAAACGAGCATTGCCCCGCTGGTAGTAATCAATCATGCTGCCTGTCGCCTTGATTGTAGGATTGGGTCTCTTGCTCTTATATACACTTCGTACTCTCCAACAGTATTGGGCGTTGAAAGAATTCAAGGGACCATGGGTAGCAGGATTCTCAAGGCTATGGCTCCTGAGAGCCAATGGCTCTGGAAAGATGAATTTGGCATTTACAGAAGTCAATGATAAATATGGTTAGTAGGCGTGCTTTCGCCAGAAACATTTCTTTCGTATCTCGTCGTCGCCCTTGCAATTCCCAGAAAGAACGTGGCAATAAGTTGTTGTTGTGCAAAAAGGTTTCTGCATGTCGTCTTGCCCAACCAATTGCAAAAGCGCTTCGCAAAACTTGTGTTCATGCCTTGTACCATCATCATGCTGACAGTAGGACAGGATCAACCGCTCGCGTGTCGCCCAACATGCTTATTACCACTGATCCGGAGCTATATAAACGCATGCACGCTGTGCGAAGTCCTTTTGTTCGGAGCGAATGGTACACAGCTTTACGACTGCATCCCACGAGGGACAACATCACATCTGTGATTGATGAGGGAGTCCACGCGGATCTTCGCAACCGCATGTCAACGGGATACTCGGGGAAAGAAAACTTGCACATGGAAGATGATGTCGATCACCGCCTGTTACAGCTGTTCGACCTCATTGACTCGAAATATGTCTCGTCGGAGAAGGATTATCGCCCAGTCGACATCTCTCGCCTCTATTCCTACTTTACTCTGGACGTGATCTCTAGCATCGCTTTCGGTCAGGAGTTTGGCTTCCTCAAGAACGATGACGACCCATTCGGCTACATTGACAATCTTCAAGAGTTCCTCCCCGCCATCATTGTCTTCGGCGCATATCCAGAACTGCAAAAGATCCTTCGTCTACCTCTACTCAAACACGTCATGCCAAAATCGACGGATAAACGTGGTCTCGGTCGCGTAATGGGCTTCGCCAAAGAACGAGTCGACGAACGATTTGGCGAAAAGCCAGTAGTACGCCACGACATGCTAGGCTCCTTTATCAAACGCGGACTTACACAAGAACAATTGGAATCGGAGACTCTCACGCAAATCACAGCTGGAAGCGACAGTACAGCATCAGCCATTAGGATGACATTACACTTCATCTCCACCACACCACATGTACATTCTCGTCTTGTGGAGGAATTCAAGACTGCTTTGGCTGCAGGCAAGGTTACCAGACCGGTTATCCGTGATGCTGAAGCTCGTGCTTTACCTTACTTGCAAGCTTGTATCAAGGAAGGTCTGCGGATGTATCCTCCGGTCACTGGTTTACTTGCCAAAGCTGTGCCGCCAGAGGGTGCAACTATCGACGGCAAATTCGTCAAGGGTGGCACACAGATTGCCTGGAACTCGTGGGGCATGCAGCGTGATAAGGAGATCTACGGTGTTGATCCCGAGATCTTCAGACCTGAACGCTGGCTCCTACGCGACGCTTCAGAAGCCGAGCAAAAGCGCGTGGAGAGAATGACCGAGACTGTAACTCTGGTGTTTGGTTATGGCCGCTTTGGGTGTCTTGGAAGAGGTGTTGCGACCATGGAGTTGAACAAGGGTATCATCGAGGTGAGTGCTCTTTTCATCGGATAAGATCGGGCTCATTTACTAATCTTCGTCACAGTCGCTTGTTCGATACGAGCTCCAACCCGCTAGTCTTTCGAAGCCCTTTGTCGAAAGATGCGTAGGCTTCTTCCTGCACACTGAAATGATGTTCCGCATAACTCGTCGTCCAGATGCCGAGTCCGCGGAAGCGAATGGGGTGCATACTACTTACGGTGACGTAGCTGCGCTGCCTGGTGCCTATGACTCCTGAGCCGAAATCTTATAATTATATATATTCGCAGGTTCGGTCTTTCTATGCAGATACTGTTTACTAGGCTGGTCTAGATCGTTTTTTCCGGTAGGGGCAAGTTGACCATAACACGAAGGGTTCGATGATCAATTCAGACAGTCGTGGATGTGATTCTGCCGCTGGACGCACTGATTCAACAAAGATGAAGGATCAAACTCAGGTGACAAGATTGATTCATAATATTCATGCTATCTATTTCACAGTTCTAAATGACCATGTAGACGAACCCTGCGTCTTTTGCATGCTATATGAGATCCAGCCTACATTATTGATTAAAGGAAAGCGACCAGGCTTTCTAGAACAACTGGTGTCGAATCCTCACAACAAAGTCATCAACGCAGCAAGGAGAACGGAGAGACTGACGCCAGTCTTGCTGGCAGTACCGGTGAATGGTATCACAGTCTCGTTCCATGGTGGATAGTGAGCTGAAGTCGAGGTCGAAGCCGGAGCGACAGCAACCGGTGCTGAAGTGCCTACAACGACCAAGGTGGTGGCGTTGCTCCAAGTCTCATTTGCCCAGACATATGGAGCAGCAGCGACTTCCGTGACAACAGGAGCATACTGGCTAGCCGCCGCAGACATACTGGAGGTATCGAAGGCGAATACTGGCGAGTGGAAGGACACGATGGCCGTGGCAGTGATTGTACTGCGAGTTGTGGTCGTCACGGTAATGGTCGAACGAGTTGCCAGTACTGATTCTGAGCCTGCAGAATTCGTGATCGTGGCGCCCGCGGGACATATGGTCGTGTAGCTAGTGATCATGTCGGTAGTGTACTGAGTGGATGTTGGGATGACTGGAGCCGGGAAGTATGGCAGGTATGGCATCGTCGTCGCGGAGACTGCTGCAGCCGCCTCTGTGAGGCTGTCGTCCAAGGTCGCATTATTGTAGTATGGAGACGACGAGTTCGAGTATGCGCCTTGAATGACGGCAGAGAGGTAGACAAGCGTAGTGTGTGTGTTCGTGGTTGTAGATGTTGTGGTTGTTGTTGTAAAGTTGGCGACATACGGCCATTTGGTAGCTTCAGTAGTCGCTGTGGCAGCACTAGAGATGCTAGCACTGATGGTCTGGTAGTTCGGGACCGGGTAAGGTGTTGTGTTGTTGCCATCAGGGTAGATCATGCCATTCTTGGAGCATTGAGCATTACCGGATCTGGCTGACGTTTGCCAACAAGGGGCGTATTGTGAGCCGAGGGGGGCCTTGTCGGCGAGGCGTTCATCACAGCTACTGGCATAGCCGATACCGCCGTTGCAGCGAATGATCATGTTGCTCTCAAGCGATGTAGAAGTACAATATGTGCCCGATGATAAGGCACAAGTGTAGGTGCCATTGCCATTCTTGATGACCTGAGCAGTGCTCAGTCCTGCTGTTGCCAGAAGGATACCGACTGTTGCCTTCATGTTGTGGCTGCGCGCTGTGAGATGAGCTATTGTGTGATCGGATATTGACTAGAAGACCCAACAGCAAGTATTAATGAGGCGGATGTTTGTAGTGTGCCGGAAGGATATCACAAGAAGATAAGGACAAACGATCTTGCATGCCATGATCCTGACCTTATATACATGTCGCATCGGACGGACCCTGCTTACAATATTTTCTATCGTCAGTGACCGTTATAGAGGCTGCGACCGCTGTTCATGCAGGCTGGGAGACGTTAATGCGGCCGTTGAGTGGCATAACGGTGTGGTGCCCATGGCATCACACTGTGTCGAGAGCCGGCAGCGGTCGTGGTCATGAGGGTAAGGTGGAATGCTTCGATTGTTCGAAAAGATGGTTCAAACTCGTGAGATATGTGTAGCCTGTCGTTCGAGATGCGAGGTGGTAAGAACCACCGCAAGGTCCATGCTTCCACTCATCCATGATGATGACGCCAAGGCCGAATTGTTCGAAGGTGCCGATGGCGGGGTCGTTGGAGGGGCTGGCATCCATATCTAAACGGCTGTTCGCTCACCTGTCCTATCTATACTCTTTCGGCTTCTGTAAGACTGTCGAAAGATACAACACGAGTCAGCACCGTGCGAGACACACCAGCCTTGTATAATCGTCGCCATCATGGTATACGAATCTCAGATATCGTTCACACTAGACACTATCTGTCCATGGTGGGTTAAACTGCTCTACCAAATTCTCGACACACCTCTGACCTGTAAGCAGGACCTATCTCGCTAGGCGCCGGCTCTCTAAAGCTTTGACGCAAGTCCGGTCCACGGACCCAGGAGTGACCTTTACGGTCAAGTACCTCCCATACCAGCTCTATCCTAAAGCACCACAAGAAGGCGAGGATAAATACTCGTGGTACCGTGATGCCAGATTCAATGACGACGAAGAGCATATGCGCAAATACGTGGTCCTCATGACAGCATATGGCAAAGCAGAAGGCATTGCGTACAAATTTGGCGGAAGAGTAGGCAACACGCTCCAAGCACATCGAGTGATTCAAGTTGTGCAAGAGACAAAGGGCTACGATGCGGCCGAGAAAGTGGTTGACAGTCTGTACAAGCAGTACTTTGAGGAAGAGCGACATCCCAGTTCTGAGGAGACTCTGCTCAGAGCATTGACAGAGGCAGGGCTGGGAGATACAGAAGCAAAGAAGATTGCCGAAGACCAGGATGAAGGCTTGATGGATGTCAAGATGCTCATTCGGGAGCAGGCGAGTAACGGAGTGGATGCAGTGCCATACGTCGTCTTTGAGGGCAAAAGGCGCGATTTTACGCTCGAAGGCTGCAAAGAGGTGGACGAGTATGTCAAGGTGCTGCAGCAGGTGATCAAGGAGAGCACGTGAAGACGACTCGGCTGAGCTCAACCCAACATGCTCTTCTTTCTTCCTCTCATGCGCACATCTTCCAATCTCTTGAGTACTGTCTTGCCGCCCTTGTAGCTGTCGCCGTAGGCTTGCAGCAGATTGCCAAAGTCTTGCTCCACCTCGGGATGTGTCGAGGCAAAGGCTCTTTCCAGCACGTATAGATCGACAGCTTTGTCCTCCTCTTGTACTGTCTGCTGAGCAAGACCGAAGTCGATGAGGACGACCTCACCATCCGTGCTTGTTATACTGACTGCTTTCCCAATCTGTCTGTCGTCTTCGCTGATGGTGCTCTCTTCGGGTCGGATCATCAAGTTGCTGGTGGTGAGGTCACCATGAACCAGACCTCTCTCGTGTAGACGGCCAAGAGCGCTGCCAATCCTTCGCAACAGGTCGTGCACCTGTTGCTTCTTGTCCGTGTCGCTGAGGCCGCTCTCTCTGTGCACCCAGTCCAGGACTCTGCGAACAGTGTTACCAAAGATCCACTCTTGTGCCAGCCATCCGCGCTCCCAATCGAGGCCTAGTACAGCAGGTACAGCCACACCCTCACGTCGGCACCGGGTCAAGACTCTGGCTTCGGCGAGAATGCGCTGGCGGGTCAATCGAAGATCCAGTGTACGGTGTCTCCATGGCTTTGCCGGTCGATACTTGAGTGCGCAAGCTGTAGAAGATGTGAGGAAGGTGGTGCGGTACACGAGAGCTTCAGCGCCTTGAGTAAGCAGAAGGGGAGCTGGCGTAGAGTCGTCCTGGTTCGAGAAGGGGAAGGGCAGCTGATGGTGCGCTTGACCCGTCGAGGGACTATCTGTCGATGTCATTGTTGAACTATGTCTTGTTCTGTTTCGACAAGGATAAATTTATCATCTCGTCGAAGAGCAAGAGCGTTGCTTCGGAACCAAAACCCAAAGACGAGCCCTGGCCTTGGCGTTTAGCCTCCCTCACATCCCCAGGCACCACCTCCAAAACGCTCCGTATCTGACCGTATCCGAGCTCGTATCTACGACAAACTGCCACATCTCTCAATTGAAGCCTTTCCGATTCTTGTTGTGGTCTGCTGCCCGTTCCTTACGACCTCAGTTCCACCGTACACATCCCAGCTGTCTGTGGTGTACGTCCGTCTCTCTCTGAACACGCGACGAAGCCGGTACGCCGTACTCATCATCCAATCTGGATACGAAATCTACTTCGATGAGGAGGTCTCATCGCAAATCTCGCAATGGCTGCACTCAATGCAAGGCTCGGCATATCAAGGTAAGCTTCTCACAAGAGTGTCTAATCACAAGTCATGAGTGCTCATATACCAAGTGCAACGAAGTCAGACCTCAATGTGGAAACTGCCAACGCTTGGACATAACCTGCAGTCTTGCTCCCCAGGCCGCCGATCCACGTCCACCTCTCACATCGCACTTGCCAACTCCTCTCGGCACTCCGCCAATCATCCAGCCTGCCACCCAACCACTGTCGCTGCTAGATCTGGAGCTATACCACCATTTTGTTTACCACTACAGTGCGTCGTTGATCCCTGATGTCGACCTCCGAAATGATGTCTTCGAGAAAATTCTGGAGCATAGTCTGTCCTATGAATTCCTGATGCACAACTTCATGGCTCTTTCGGCTCTGCATCTTTACTCAAAGAATCGCTCAAGATCCGAGCTCTTCGATCGAGCTTGCTATCTGCAAGGTGTTGCCATTCAGCAGGTCCAACCAATCATTGCCAATTTGAGCGAGCAAGACTCTTTAGCCGCTTTGTTGTTTTCAAGTCACACGTCTGCATTCGGTTTGGCCGAGTTCATGCTGAATCCCCACCACGATGATACCGATCCAATCGATAAGATTGTCGAATGCTTCCAGCTGAGTCGAGGCATCAAAGTCGTGGTGTCGCCCTTCTGGCCTTACCTGAGTCAGACGTGGCTCAAACAACTCCTTTCCCAAAGAGACAACAAGGAGGACAGCGTTCGTGCCACACTCGCATCCGAGTTTCCCACGTACTCGATGGTGCGCTCGTTGGCGTTCGGTCAGGAAGCCACGGAGCGACGTAAGTGCTGCCTGGAAACGATCGAAGACATCTTCACATCCATAGGAGCTGTGTTGCAGCATCCAGAGGATTACCCGACTAGCGCACATCTCATCGATCAGTGGGTCGTGAAACTGCCTAACGAGATCAAAGACATGTTGGTCGAACGGAGGCCTGTCGCGCTGATAATCTTGGCATACTGGGCCGTGTTGACGACTATCAATCCCAGGCCATGGCATTTACGGGGCCTGGCTGAAGTCCTGATCACGAGAATAGAAAACATTCTTGGTGGAGAATGGGCAGAGTTCCTCCGTTGGCCGCGAGAGAAGATTGCAGAACACGCTCGAGCAGCACAAGAAACACCAGCTCAGACACCTCGTTTCGATAACCGAAACGTCGACAGTCAGTTAGGTGGTATGCATCTATCACGTGAGTCATCTTTTGGTCACTCCAATGCCGGAGCGCAACATCCTCAACCTTCGCCATACAATGTGCCGAGTAATCACGTCAGCCCGTATAGTGCAAGTAACCACCCGAGCCCGTATCCTCCGCCGAGCAATCAACCTAGCCCCTACAACACGGGGAGCAACCACGCCAGTCCTTACAGCCAGGGACCACCGACAGGATGATGCGTTGAGTATCAGCCAGCAGACATCATATTTGCCCAAGAGATTGCCTTCAGAATGTGTGTACGGATGACTGGTACGTTAGCATAGCTAGCGAGACGTTGACAAGATTCACGTACCAGTATTTCCCTGACGAATCGATTCTGCTTGCACTTCTCAGAAGTCTTCATCCGTCCGATATAGATCCAAATGTCCTGCTATGACATATCTCGTATCCGTCTCAACACCTTTGGCCCCAAAAGTCTGCGCGATTCCGTCTAGCAGCCAATTCAATAGCCTCTCCTCATCCTCATCCCACGAGCACCACACAATAGACAAACACCGAACAACTAACCCCTTCCTCCCTGCAACCTTCCTGAATCTCTCGCACTTATCAAGAAGACCCGATGGAAGCCATAACTCGCAAGAACCTCTTTTTAGTGCTGGCTCTCCGAATGCAGTATAGCAACCAAACCATGACAGACTGTGCTGCGTGATGACAAAAGGAATCATGAATTTGCGGTAGGAGTAAAGTTCTTGCGTGAGGTTCAGCTTCGTCTTGTAGAGGGATGGGAGGCCGTGGGTTATGAAGTCATGGTCGTAGAGAATGTAGTCGTAGATTTTGTTTCGGAGCTCTAGAGGGAGAGACGGGAAGATTGATGTCATGGTCCGTATATTGTTGATCGTACTTGCGCGTTTTTTGTGATGCTGGGAGTATTTTGGACATATGATGGATGCGCAGAGGAGGATGAAGTGGCGCTAATTGTTCGAAATTCGAAAAGTCGGTGTTGTGCACGCTTGTGAGTAAATTAGAGGCTGTCAAACCATGGACTGAAGAGCGTTCTTGTCATGTGGAGAAGCCAAAAATCGACATTGCTATATCAACACCAAGAAACCAGAGAACCCAAAAACTCAAGCGATCGAATATGTATATATATATATATATATATACATACAATCCAAGCGCATCTCCCACTCAAAAGTCAAGCAATGGCTTTGTTGAAAGATTCCGAGGAGCAAGCCTGTAAGAACTTCGGGCACCACTGACCACCCGCCTGATCAGATCTATGCCACTCAAACATCGCATACGCCAACAGCACCAGTAACATCAACAGCACCAACCCGACAGTCTCCATTCTCCTACCCGCCGTACCACCTCTCCTCTTCATCGGCACCACAAAATTTGCTTCTATAACAGTCTTGACAAGATCAGAACTCGGCTGCTCCACGAAATCCATGACCACAACACCAAATCTCTGTGGCTCGTCTACATCTCCAAGTCTTTGCTTGAGAAAGTTACAGAGCCTTAGATTAATGCCTTCTACCCATCTGAAGACCGAGTATCCACCTATTGCGATGTCCTTTGGTGGGATTTGGTGGTAGACGTTGAATTCAAAGGCTGAGCTGAAATTGATGTACCAATGCCAGGGCTCTGTATCTCGAGAGGCGCGCATGAGCATGGAAGCTACATCGCCGCCTTTCTTGGCTACTAGGCCGGGTAGAGCTTCTGGTGCCGAGGGAGAGTAATGGTCTTGGATTGTGAGATGGACGCCAAACCAGGTGCGGATGGTGAAGGGTAGAGGTGGGTTGTCTTGCCATCTGCTGACATCAATGCCTGAAGTGCGTTGTTGGTGTTGGAAGACCGTAAAGCGGCGGAGCAATTGTATGCGTCCTCGTAGCTCTCCCAAAGTGGGCGTCGTAGTCTCCAAGCGCCAAAACTTTTCATGTTCACGGATGAGGTTGAGTACCAACTGCGAGAATGGTCGTGTGGAAGCTTCGTCTTTGCGATCTTGCTTCAGCTGTATGACAATTCCCTCCTTTGGATGTTTTGCAAGGAACGTATACATCGAGATGAGGACTTCAGAGAACTTGAGGCCAAGCACTGCTCTGCCGTGTACCATCACGACTTCATCTTTGACAATGCCGCAGCGCAGGTCGAAGTATCGAATGCCGGCATCGAGTTGTTGGGCGGTGGTTAGTGTTTGAGTTGCGACGAACGGCCAAGTACTCATGAACGCTGCACTATCGTGTGTGCCAGGAATCGATAGACCAGAGATTGGTACATCGTCCGGAAGGAAACACATCCAATCTGCCAAGTGTGGAAGCGGTCCTGCTTTACGAGTCGGAGGTGCAAGATAGATCTCCCCTTTCTCGGCAATACTGCCATAGTTCGTCGTGGCATCCATAATTCAAGATTGTGGTACCTCACACCTGGCTGGGCAAAGGATTATTGGGCTCTGCTGACTCCGAGCGATGGCCCTGTGTGATATATCTCGATTCTGTGTGGGCGATCAGGCTCAATGGACACCTAGTGGCAATCGTCTGTTCGATATCATATATGTGTGATCTGAATGGCTGCACTTGCTACGCTTGTGATATCATGTCACTATCGCGAGCATGAGTCAGTGCCACATGGTCGGTCTCGATTGACAGGCGTCGTAGTGAGGCAATTTGAGTCGGTATGGATAGTATAATTATCGAGACGCAGACCTATATTTCGTTCAGATCTGCGAATTAGGGTCTGTCTGCTTGTTGGGTATATGGTAACACAAGGTGAGGTTGTGTGCCTGCCGAGGGAATCATGACATGTTGACTCCAGCCGCACTGTCTCCGAGTGGCGCGGGGTCGTCCTCGAACGGCAACCCTGTCCGCACATCTGGGCATGCCACACGTCTCGGACCTCAATGTTCATGCCATCACATATGAACTTACGTGGCAACCATGACAGACACAGCTAACCTTTGCCAAATTTGCGATGGATAGACGTAAGCACAATCACTCGAGACGCTCTCCTGCATGGCCAGTAATTTGTGTCCATACATCACCCATGACGACAGCAGGTTTCACAACTCGGTCAGTTGTGACTTTCGCAGTCGCGGTGGCCGCCTAGCATGACACTCATCGAGTTTTCTCGCTACATCGACTCTGCTATTTGCATCTCTACCTGATCTCGAACGGTTACGATATGCGCGAGCCGACCACTTGGATACGGAGCTGCTATTTCCGATGTTCAAACCTTATGCATCACACGGAATCGGTGAATTGGCAGCTCATGCAGAATTTCGGTATGGTGATTCTGTCATAGGGGAGATGCCATGCACAGAAGTCTGCATGTTCCATCTGTATTTTCGCTGGCAGAACACGGTATTCGACAGCCGCATGGAACACTCATGTCTGACATGTTCTTGCCACCTGACGTCCGATGTTGGGTTGGACTGGTGAACCAGCTGAAGGAATTGACAGACATCATCAAAGCCTGAACGATATCTTCACGGAGCTGATACCATCGGTCTCGGAGAGGGCATTGCTCGTTGCTATCAATTGCCGCTCCTCGGTCTGTTTCCACGTGTTATAGATGGCAGCCTATAGGTAGGTTACGACGTCGTGGGTTGTGTAAGCAGTGTCAATCCCGACAGCACATATTTGCGTTGATTTGCGCTCCAACTGTCTACACACGCATTCTAAAAGAGTCAGGAAACAGTTTTCCTACAGCTTCTCCTTGTTTCCTCATCCCAATCATCTAACCAAATTCCACACCACGAAATCATACCAAAATCTCCCGATTTCGCAAAGCAACCACGATCAAACTGGTACAAACAATCCTCTCCAAAAACTCACATCCAAGTCATATCATTCTCAACAATATGGCAACAGGCTTCAGATCCCTCGCTCTCGAGATTCGCAACATGATTTACGAGTACGCCCTCGAAGAAGATCACGATATCTTCGTTCATGGAGTCCCAGCACTACTAAAAGTATGTCCTCAGATCACCAGAGAGGTCTACTCATATCGCAAGATTGTCACAACCCTCTGCATCATCAACAATCACCCTCGTCCTATCTACCGACAACCCTTTCCTACCGAAATTCTATCGACGCGAGGCTTCAACATGATTACCAAATTCAACCAAACCGAGGACAAGAAAAGTCTCATCGTCAAGTTCAAGCCCCTTGTGCTCTCTTGCTCAAAAGACGTTAATGGACTGTTAGATGCGACTTCATCGGCAGAACATGAGCATAACAGAGCTGTCTTTGACTACTTTCAAAATCGAATGACGTTGGCGAGAGCACGTGCTTTGGCATATGCGCTTGGAGTCGCTGCAAAACCTGTCGAGACAATGGTTGACGAGCATTGCGAATGTGCTACTCAGGTCAATCCAGATGAAAAGGGCCAAGATGTCAAAGACGTTACTGCTGCTAAGCTGTGACAGAAGGGGGAGGGCATCTCTCCATGCACCGCTATCGTCATCATCATCAACATCGACATCATCACCATCGCAAGCATCATCACCATCATCGCCGCCATCAAGGTCGGCCACAACCATCAACACCGGCCTCAACATCAACACCGGCCTCAACATCAACATCGCCCTCCCGACCACCCTTCCTCTCCATCTGCACAACTGCTTAATTTCAACATCACAAATACCGCCTACTTACACGACAAACCTCGACTCACGCACACAGAACATAAGTCCCCCTCTCTTCCTTGCCTCCACAAACCAGGTACCATGAAGGGCTAATTCAACTTCAAGGCAAAAGCCACACACTACTTGCGTCAAATCCTGCTACTCTTTTTTTTTTACTCACGAAGGTCTTTTAACGAGAGCAGGAATTTGAGATCACAAATCATGGTTTAGAGATATGAGATTAGTGTACAAATGACGTTCCAGACCAATGAAAATACCTCGACCAATTTTTGCCCCTTCAAATGCAAGAAAAAAGGGGTAGTTTCAAGGTAAAATGTTGGAAATGTGCATCTAGCGAAATGATGGCATTGAAGACTTGCGGTGACGGATCAAAGTTGGAAATATATGTGAGGTCGAACTTGAGTAAGATGTTGTCTTTCCAAAGATAAGCTATCTTGCATGCTTTGGATTACGCACATGTTTGATGTAAGGTGTGGGCGAGTCATTCGAATCAATGCCTTGCTTCCTAGGCTATTCTCATGCATTTCGGATGTTTCGCGTGCGTATGTATTAATTCACGGTGATTGTCAAAGCAGACAGAGACGTGATTTGGAGAAGAGGATATCAAAAAAGTGTGTATCTGCCATTGTGGTAAAAGTGGAAAAGGGGTTGGTTGGTGAGTTGGTAGAGGGTGCATCAAGTTGTAAGTGTCAAACTCAAACGCCGATGGTATGCAGAGAGAAACGAGAAAGGAAAAGAGTCGGAACAAAAGAGGCGTCTAGTTTCTATCCAACCTGCGTCTCAAGTTTCTCGTGCGCTTCATCAGCTTCTTGTACTTGTGCTTCTTCATCTTCAGCTTGCGCTGTCTCTTTACGGAAATGGCGTGCATATCTCCCTTGCTGTCCTCGCCTTCCAAGATGGAAATGTCGCTTCTGTGTTGTTCGAGCTCTTTCTCCATAAAGTCCAGCTGGCGGTTTCGCAGACGGTCCTTGAAGGGAGTGGGCGACTGAGATGAAGGTGCATCCTTGATGGCAGCAGGTTCCGGGGGAGTGGCCGAGGCAGTGTAGAAAGTGACACCGTCGGAGCGCTTGTTCTCTGTGACGGTGATGGTGGTTTTGAAGTGCTTCTGGCTGACGGTGGGAGCAGGAGCAGCACGTGCTTTGCGCTGTTGCTGCTCAATGTTGACAGGAGCGGGCGGCGGAGGCGCGGTGAAAGGCTTCAGCTGTGCTACCAGTTCCTCCAGTGATGTCGAGCGAGGTGCGCCGTCCAAGTGCTTGACGTCTGAGTTGGATGGTGATTCTTGGATAATCTCCCAACGCAAGTCAGCGTCCTTCTGCTGACCCTCGATACCGTTGATGGCGTTGGAAAGAGTGAAGATGACGTCCTGGTTGGCCTTTTGCTGTTTCGACTTGGGCTCAAAGATTGTGTTGAAAGCATTCATGTCGGCGGCTGGCGGGATGGCGGTCCCCAAGCTGAGAGGGCGGTGGAGACTGAAGAAGGACGAGAGGGTGATGTCTGTGAGAGGGCGTCAGTCTTCTATCTCGAGTGCTTTCGGAGGCGCGGGCGACATACCTTGAGGGAGGATGTGGTTGGTCGAAGGCACGCTGGGCAGGTTGCCGAAAGACTCATCCTTGGTGGCCTTCGCATTGCGAGTGGACGAGTTTGCTTTCGCGTTTGAGCCAGAGCGCGACTTTGCCGGGCGTGTTGACGGTAGGTCTGGCTTTGTTGCGGCGGCAGGTTGGCGCGAGCGGTTCGAGTCACCGTTGGGCGGGCATGAAGCCTTGCTAGACGAGAGTCGGCGTTGGCGAGAGAGAAGAGTCGGGCATACAGCCGACGACGAGCGGTTGGCGGCGGCAGAGGTTGAGATGCCGGCCGACTGGGTGCCGACACGGGCGGCGCGCCCCAGTTGCGATGAGAACATGCTTGTGCTTGTGTTTGCGCTATGCAGCTGTACGGCGCTTGTCTTGTGATAAGACTTCGATTCCAGTGTCATGGGTGCAAACAAAGCAAACTTCGCCCTGCCCTTGGGCCTTGGCCTGTTGACCGCCATCTCCGCACCGCCTCGCTCCTTCTCTCCCGAACCACGTTCGCTCCCTTGCTTTGTTCCCTGCATCTCTCCCCCATGACCAACTTGCTATCTTGTCCGCTCGAGGTCCTCGTGATAATAGCCTCTGCCATCGACCCCGATGATCTGCCCAGCTTTCGTCTAGCAAATAGCCGCCTATGCGAATGCTCAATAGACTTCTTCGCTGAACAACTGATCGATCGCCGCTTCGTTCTTTCACCTTATAGTCTGCAGGGTCTTGTCGATCTCACTGCTCATCCAGTTTTTGGTCCCCGTGTTCGATCCGTCGCTCTTGCAGCTCATCAACTAAAGCCTGAACATGATACCTGCCATGACGGACACTCCAGAGAAGCCGCTGCCAAGCAATCCCGCTTTATAGATACCGGCCACCACGTTCGCATGCTATCAGATGCCCTCTCAAATCTCGACCGATATCATGTGATCCCTACGCTTGGTGTCTTCCAGGACATCTCTGATACTCCGGCAACCGGCGGGACCATACAATGGAGGCACATGGGCTATGGTTACGACGAGCTCTACACCACAGAACCTGTCAGGTTCCGGGTCCAGTCCGTACCTGAAGATGTCATTGATGCCTGGCTCTCTGCAAGTGATCACGCTGGTATACCCATCAAACGTTTCCTTGTTCACCTGGGCTGGTACAAGGAGACGGAAACTGCCCCACGCTGGAACATAACGAAGCAAGACAAGTTGGATCATCAGATTCGCAAACTCTTACTCAACGAGTCTGACAGCGAGCTTGGTCGTCCCATAATTAACATCAAACCGGGCATTGATCTCACTATCGCGTTCGAGACAGGTCACACGGCTCCATTGTCCGTCCTCGACATCAAGGATGCCGATCGTAGCTTACGTCTTCTCGCTGTGTCCGTATCCAGCCACGAAGGAGGCAAGCCAGCATTGGATGATCATACATTCGGCACCTTGGCCGAGGCCGTGTACCAAGAACACTTTCGAAGCATCACGATCGAGCACTGTTTCGTTGATTCTACCCTTATTGGTCTACTCCGAGCTCACGCAAGGACACTCCGTCATCTTGACCTTGACTGTAACAATTACATCGAGGGTCCTGCCTCTCGTGGTATTGACTTACTCACGTTCATGTATAACGAACTCACACTTGACTCTCTGCGCATCAAATGCATAGCCTTCATAGATGGGGATGCTCGTACCATCGAACGTCGTGTCGAGTACGGCTTCTTATGGCATGGTTCTGACATCAATCATGGTTTAGTGGGTCTTATATCGAGCCTATTAGAACGGCCGCCAGATCCTTCAGATGATCTGACCATGATATACTCTTGACAAAGCAAGTCGCAACGTCAAAATATACTAGTGAAGTCCTTAAGAGCCTCTCGCTCAGCACCAATCTTGAATGAAATATCTTGTATCTATGTCTATGTGTTGACCACATCTGTGGCAACGCCGGAAATGCACCACCTACCCCAAAATCTTCCATCTCATCACAACTTGGCAATCTGCACAGCACCAGGCATCTGCATACCCTTTCCACTCAACCCTGTCTTGACCCTCACAGGCACCGGACTCGACGTCCAAACATCAGGGTGATTCTTCCTCGCATCCTCCACCACAGCAACAAACGCATTCCTCAACCTCTCAATATCCGCAAAGTCCACCTCTCTTCCCGCTCTAGCATCCCAATACAGTTCTTCAGTCTCAAACACCACTCTGCGGAGGGCGTCACGTTCCATACGAAGGCGATTTGGTAAGCCTTGTCCTCTCATTAGTGCCAGCATTCCAGCCACCAGAGTGCCGATGGCACCGAGCGACGCCACGGCAACATGATGAGAGTCCAGATTTGGGAGAGAGCCGAGAACGACAAAGACGGCTGAGATGCAGAGTTGGACTATCATGAGGAAGATGATGGCGATATCGTAGACACGGTATTGACGTGCTGCACGACGTTCCGACTTCAGTAGCTGGGCGTAAAAGCCATGAGCAGACTCTAAGTGGCGGGGGGTCGTGTTGTCTTCGCTGGGAGGAGCCATGCCGAGTAGAGTGTAGATTTCCTGGCGTGAGAGAGGTTCGATATCCCCATCGTCGGTGCCGTTGTTTGGAGTGGGTTGAGGTGAGATGGGAATGTCATTTGGCGGTGTGTCGAAAGGACGTCGAGATGTTATGGGACGCTTTGGTAGCAGAGGATCAGTCTCGGTTTGCGATTCTTCGTCCATGATTGACTTGATCTGGTGTCGGAATATGACTTGACTGGTGATGGCAAAGTTTGAAAAACAGATGGGAAACATACCAATATAAGAGAAGAAAATGTCTGTCGCAACTCCCAAGAGTCATTTGGTCTCGAGGATGAATGATGTAGTCGTGCCTGATCAGAGTCATCGCCTCGTGATAAGCGGACACTGCCTCTCCAGGAGTGCAGACTGGTTTGCAGCTCAGTAGGCAGCTCATGCATTTTTTATGGTTCTCCACAGGTCAGCTGTCAAACGAGCACCCCTAATCTCTGTTCTAGGCAGCTATTGTCGCAAGCCTTGACTCATCACCGAAACAAACTCGGCTCAGTGCCTAATGGAGAAAGGAAGTTTACGACATTGGTGAGAAAAGACGAAATGAAGTTTTTGGTTATAATCGTAAATCCAAGACTTGCCTATCCTTACTCTGACAAGTCTACTCCAGGCTGACGCTCATCTCTTTCATCGTGTTGATGCTTCTTGGGCGAACCGGTCAGTTGTCGTGTTGTGGGTGTGGGCTATGATTGGTCATGTGGACTTGAGCAAACGCCTCGTCTACACCGTGTGATCATCGTGCTTGCCTACACGGAACTACGCTCTGTTGCGCCGTTTCAAGAAAGAGCTTCTGAAGACTCGGGATGTGATGTGGTGGAAGGGAGGATGGAGTGCTCGGCAAGATAAGGGTAGCGATAAGGTTGTCCTTGTCGCGCTAGAGACGCGCACAATCGCGTCGCTCGAAGCGTCTCTTGCCATCACCATTCTCAATCCGGCCTCATCATTATCATAGCATTCAACTCGGACATAGTGACTCGAGAATGCAGGACCTTCCGAAGCTCTGATAATGGCATCATGACTGCGTTCGGAGCTGTGACCGATGGAGTAGCACAGCATTTCGGGGACCAGCAAAAACGAGTTGATAAATTGCTCTTCGCCAACACCATCTTGGGGAGCAATGGCAATAGCAGGGAGCCCACGATTCAAGAGTCGGTCAACAGGTCCACCAATTTTGCCCCTACCACAGACGGAAGATGATTGTCAGAGGCTCGATTAGTGGATGAAACAATCGGATGACTCTATAGTACGAAGGCTGTTGAAGGAGGCCGCTACTTTGCATTATGATATGTGCACTGCGGTCTGGACAGAGAAACGTATGGTAAAATTGGCGAAGAATGCTGCTAACGATCATTTAAAACGAGAATAGCAAGCCAAAGTTCTTGATTCCTCAAAGCATATCCAGGGAATCGATTATACGATTAACCGACAGTACCGCGGCCTCCGTGCTTCCAAGCAATACGAGCTGGCCGGCCAAGCTGAGAGTAGTGTACGATATCATATCGAGCAAGTCTTCGCTTAAATCTGCCCTGCAAGCCCTCGGTCCAACAAAGTCAAGGCCTTGCGTGCAGTGTGTCGTGTTGGGTCATGCATAGCCAATGGAAAGGGTTCTGTCGGCGAGGAAACCAGGAAGGGCATGGACCAAGATTCCGACTTCAACTCGAACATTTGGAACATTATCGAGACGATGGACTCTCAAGACAAGAAATACGTGGGTCAACGTCAGGATCTAGTGAATACTTTGGAGCGCTTCGACTCAAATAGCCAGAGCTACGACAACTTCCAAGAATCCGAAAACCCCATCGCTTGTTTCAGACGAGCTGCAGGCCAGTTTGTAGATTCGGAGAGTGATGATTACTACAACCTCGATAAGTACGGTAACCTCGAAATTCGTCCGACTGGCGTTGACCGACCCTTAATTTTCCACCCAACCACGAACAATGACAGCAGGGCACAGGTACAAACTGAAGACATGCATTGCGGAAAACAACTTGATGTTGACGCTGAATAACAATGAGTCCAAATATTGGCTTTCCAATCAAAACAAGCTCATACCTACGCACATACCCACACACACTGAGCCAAAACACGTGCAGTCTGATCTCAACATTGTTTTCATCCAAGCGCTGCCTAGTTATAACAACGGCCGTCTCCTTTGTTTCCTGGTCTCTTTTTTGATCTACTCAACATGGCAGGGAAACCTGATTACTACGGACCGCCCATTCCCGGAAACCAAGGTGCTAAACGCAGTTTCCCAGAAGACATACCTCAAACTTCACAGAAGACACCCAAGGCAAACAGCGGAGGGTACCAGGATGAAGCATCTCAGAGCACATCAGATGAGTCTGTTACTCCCGAAATACAGGTCCAGACACAAAACACTGAGGTAGCCCTATGCGGTCAGTCAATCCGTATTCCGGACTCTTCCAGCCATCATTCGAATCTGGAGCATCGACCTCAGCGGTATCTGTCTGATGTGCCAGGTCCGACGAAAACGAAGTTACTTGATCACCAGGCTTCCTCTGCGCCCCCTCCCACGACTACTCCAGCCACCGGACTTGCTTCTCCGCCAGAACAGCTAGACGTCCAAGCAGCTACGGCTCGGGCTCCTACTTTGTACGCTCAGCATGCTTACCCTTGGGGACCCGCTCACCCAGGCTCTAATCAACACGCTCAAAGCTTCCCCCCCTACGTACAGCATGTGTACTACCCCACCGATCGTCTGCACGCGAACCCGCCGGCCAATGTCACTCTTGCAACCCTCCTCCGCTACATATCCCATATCGACGACTTGAAGGTCCGCGATCTCCTTGCCATATCAGTTGTGCGACACAAGGATATCCATGATATGGTTCAGTACGAGTACGAGAGGACAACTCTAGAAAGACAAAGTCAAGAAAACGAAGATGCCAGTGTCTTGTCATTCTACAAAGAACACCTGGAGGTTCAAAGAATACTATATGGAGAATACGACGACTTTTTGAATCCAGTGAAGCAAGAGATAGTGCATCGAGCGTTCGGATCCATCAATGAAACAATCATGACCATTCCCTCGCGTGTGCGACCAAGAAGTAACTGGAGAACAAAATTCAACGCCTTTCTCATCCTCGTGTGGATTGGCAGGGGCATTGTAGATGGCATCGGCATGCTTCCAAACGAAATCAGGATCCAGATGGCGGTTGACTCTAGGCTGGTGGAAGCTATCGAACACGTCTATGAGACGATGAGCGAGGAAGAGATTCTGGATGATGGTGTTCGTTTGATGGAAGCTCTCGTCGACCTGAACAATGATCGGGGCGCTTGTTTTGATGGCATGGACAGTGTTGTGAAAATGTTTAAAGAGGTCATGAGACAAGGACGAAATGTGGTTGTGTGAGTGGACAAAATAAGGGGAGCAGGAGTGACTAACCACGGCAATTTTTAAGTATGTAATTTAATGTTTTAAAAGTCGAATCATGCCAAAAGGCTCCTCATTGGAGGTTTGAAATGCTATTTCCCTCGAATATCACGCGAAAAAGTCGGGTTTATTGAATATAACGCGTGGATCAATCACGTCGTTCCGAGACGCGAGTGTGTTCGCAAGATATCCAAGACACGTCCAGATGACGAGGAACGTGGACCTAGAGACAACGAAAGCGGTAGTCTTGAAACGAGTGATGCAAGTGATGGAAGAGATAATGTGGTGGCTAACTAGCTCTTGTAATCGTGATGGGCAAAGAAACGCGGGATGCTGCCGTGGCCGTCGTCAACGTAAGGGTTCTTACGCGTATCGAAGAGTGAAGTGTTGAATCGCAGGAACGAGGAGAGGGCGTTGATGTACAAAGGACGAGAGTCTGTGACAGTGACTCGAAGGTCGTGTACGTGAGACGTGTAACTTGTGAGTCAATTCGAGCACAAGGAGATGCCACCAGAGACGAGGAGCCACTTAGTGATTCGATATTGGGCGGAGAGGCATTAGAGTATCGCGCGCGTGTCCTGGCAGACCAGGGGCTAAACGGAGCATTTCTGCCACATCATCGAGTCTCGGACTTCTAGGACAGCCCGGTCTTGGGCAACGTTGTTGTCATCGTCTGTCGAGACGGAGAGTCAGGCTGAGGATAACGAGTTCAGGAATCGCCAGTCGTCGAAGGCCGGGACGACGGGGTAGTCAGGGTCATCTGGTACGTGGAAGTAGTAGTCGGTCGGCTGGCAGGGGACGAGGTCGTCGTGGTTTAGAGCAATGCGTTCGGCATTGGGATTTCTGGATGCACTTAGATAGCCATCGTGACGATTGTCGGCGATCATTGCGCATGCCGTGTGGAGTAAGCCGTAGTGAAGAGCACCGTATTTATGGTCCCAAGCGAACAAGGTGAAGAGCACATCGTTGTTATGTGGGTGACGCACGCTAATCTTGTGATTGAGCGGCTGTCCACTCTCGAAAAAAGAGATTTGGTTGGTGATGGAGGCGGGAATAAACCGCTGATCTCGCGGAGCACGACCCGACCCCTTGGACCCCGTCGCGTCCGTGGTGCTGTCAAGTCTTGCTTCGATTTGAACCGCTACTAGAATGTCATAGAGCCAGCACGACTCGGCCCTTGATTCGCTCCAAAGTTTGCACTGTTTGTTACTGGCGGCAGGTACATTCTGCCGTGTCCCGCCCCCACACCCCACGGCTAACGTGTAATGAGTCGGAACTCCGAATATCCGTACTATGTTCTAGGAGAAAATTTGGCTATATGAAAGGCAAAAAAGAAGCTACCTTATGCCATAACGCTTACAAACCAGCAAGCATGGAATAATACTCAGCGCACTGACACATAAATTTAATGCCAATTTTAGGTCTGCATCATGGAGGTGATAGAGAGCTGTGGACACTACTGTCAGTGCGCTCGCTACCTGACACCACTCTTCGACCGCTGGCGTCCTGTGTTGCTGATTGATTTCGAAGCGTTGACCTTCCGGAAATGGCTAGTATTGGTGCGGGGAATCTTCCGCTTGTGGCTCTCTAAGTTGCGCAAATGCTGTCGTGTCACTTACCAGACCAATATTTTCCGATATTCTACACATGTGTCTACTTCTTCGACGAAAAGGCTGTCCTCGTCGAGCAATTTAGGTGCAAACCCTCGCGCGGTTCTTGAAAGCTCAGTAAGCGGACCAAAGAGAATATGCTGGCACTGCTCAACCTCAATTTGACAGGCCCAGCAGATCCCGCAAGGCTCAAGGGTCTCGCGCCGGACGTATGGTGTAATATATTTTCGTACCTGGACACAGCTCAAAGTATAGCCAGGCTTGAATCCACTTGTAAAAGTCTTCACGACGTGGTTAGGACTCACGGATGGCCGACTTTCGTGAGGAGCCAGTTTGGGACTCTGACTATCCCCCAGGATGTCAAAATCGACAAATCGAAAGAGTTAGCAAAGAAGTTGACATGGCAATCGCGTTCATGGGATCGACGAGCTTTTTCTTTGGTGTCGTTGGGACCGGGTGTCGGAGTGCCGGTCGCAAGACGGGGAGGCCGCGGCCGCGGAGGACACGGTCGCGGCCGCAACGCATATGGAGGCCGTCACAATCACAGAACCCGATCAAACCAGCAAACCTTACCTGCGCATGTCGTTGTGGATGCGTGCTCAAGCTTCGACGGGGACATGGAAGCGGAAATCGTGGCGTGGGGTCTTGGTGAGGATATCGTGGTACGTTGGCGGGAGACAGAACGCTTGCGTCTGACGGTGGATTCGTGGATGACCTTAGAAGGGGCTCAATCGAGTTTCAGGAGTGGGACGGATGATGTGACGGCCATCTCGATTTTGAGAAACGTCGATACCGATCCACCCCTGCTTGTTGGTAGAGCTAGTGGTGATCTACGACTTGTATCGACAAGTCAAAGCGACTTTGGTCGCGTCATCGCATCCTACCAGCCTTTCCGGTCAGACGGTGGAGAATCTCGTATGAAACAAGACCAGATACAATACTTCGACACCAATGCCTCCTCTAGCGCCGCGGCCGTTGTCACGAAGGATAGCATGTTCATATATCCCTTGATTGGCACAACATCAAATCCGGACCAGATCAGCAACGCCTCAGAACCTGTCATCCGACCGGTGGAAGCCCTGGACTTAGGTACCTTGAAAGATGCTCCTTCGTTCGGATCCTTGCGCGCTATCAAGTTTATGGCAGATGGGGACTTGGCTCTCTGCGCGGTGAGATCTACGGAGCCTGTGCGATATCTCACGAGAACACCTACGGGTGTGGTGCTCACTAATCTGGGCAAGCGCTGTCCTTCAAGTCGATGTACTGAGTCCTTCGTTCATGATGGAAGCGTCCTACAGAGCGCGCGGGATCTTTTGCCTGTAAACATGGCATCTGCCGCTGGAGCTTCTGGGAAGGTCATTCTGAGCTCATATGACGATGGTACTGTTCGACTACAAGATTTACGAAGCCACGCAGCGTTCGACACTATCTATCAAGACCATTTTGAGCTAGTCACACCGATGGGCCCTCTTGTCTCTCACGGGTTGGAAAGATTTGTTGCCGGCAGTGCCCGTAACTCTATCCTCAAAATCTTCGACTTTCGATGGAACAGAACCTATTCCTATATAGACGCGCATCCCTGTAGTGGAAAGCCGATGATCCCAACTCCAAAATCCCTCACACTCGCTCCATTACCAGATGTGGCGAAGCGAGACGCTTGTTGTCATTTATCTGGCTATCCATGCTACCTTCATGCTCTCGCCAGGACGGATTTTTACAGGCCGAACTGTAATGTCTACCTGCCTACCATCAACCATACAGTGTCTCCTGTCTACTCCCTGGCTAAGTCTTCTGATCTATCCTCATCTGTGTATGCAGGGCTATCTGGAGAGCTGTCAAGGATGAGCCTTAGAGATCCAGTGGCAGATCTGGCAGAGAAGTCATGGATGCAGCAGTCAGACTGCAAGACGCGCTGTGGTTATGTCTTTTGCGAAGGCTCGGTTAGCATAGTTGAGACTGGAGACGGAATCGCTTTGAGTGACATAAGCAAAAGCAAGAGACTTCCTGCCCTATATAAGCAGAACCTCCAGCGCTCGGGTACCGTCCCACGGTCGTATCAGCGGCTTGACGAATCGCTATACTAGGAATCGGTATAAGCTATAGGAAAGAAACGAATCAAGTACCAAAGTCCCTACCGCGTGATAAGTACAAGTGCAAGTATGAATTTTATAATGTCAATTCGTGTTTGCTAGCCAATCTCTCGATCATGTTTTTTGGTACCCTTGGTCGACAGCAGCGTTCACTTCGTGAGGCTGGGAGACTGATCTGTCAAGGTGTATGATGAGGTGTTATTTTTAGGCTGCTCGGGTTTACCGCGTGTAGGCGTAATCTTTAGCATATCAATCCAATTGCACACAGAACCAACTAATACTTTCCTGGTTTCGAGCGGAATAGCATGGCTCGTTGATTAGAATGTTTGTTGATCCTAACACTTAATACAACCAATTTGATTTGATTTTGATTTGATTTGATTATCTTAAGCTATTTACCCCGTAAGGGGTATGAGCTATCGCTAATTACTTCCCATCATAACTAATAGCATACTTCAATTTCAGTAGTAAAGAGGGTAATAGTCGTAGCAGACCGTGTAAAAACATTAACGCTAGAAACCCCTGTAAACCTATGTAATGAGTGTTATGTACTTCCTTTCTTAGTGTTAGGGGGCTGCAGCCTCCTCTATAAGGGCTTTTCCCTATGTTGCGTACATCCTTATCGGCCGGACGCTATCTAGAGGCAATGTTAGTGAGATTAGATGTATCGTAGTGAGTTCCCGGGCATTTATTATTAATCGGTTTTTCCTTAGCTTTATAGGTGCAACCTGCCTGTTGCTTTTGCAAACTCGATAGTAGCTTTCACTACATTCCAGTCTAGTCTCTACTTATCTTTCTCTCTATCTATAATCTTGCCGTTTTCTCTATAGTCTAAGTATCCTCCTAAAGCGTAGGAAATGTTGCAGTATCTACTGCTATATGCTGCTCTTATACCTTGTCTTTGTTACCTCTACCGTAGGTAGAGGAATAAGAAGTGTTAGACAGTTTCTAGTACTCTATAGTCGCATCTGTCCGTCTCTACTACCTTAATCCTATACAGATAGGTGTTTAGTCTTAAGATGTTTGTCCTTAGCTGGGTAAGGATGGCCGCATCCGCCCTATTAAGCGAGTTGTACAGCTTCTTTATATGCTTTCCTAGGAGTGCTTTGTCGATTCTCTAGAGGAACTTTCCAGTTTTAGCTCCGTAAAACCCCTCTTGCTCAGGTGTGTACCTCGCTGCTTTTCCTCTCGTATAAATGACTGATATAGGTACCATTTTAGCCGGTAACGGCATAGGTTGTTCGTTTGCTATAGCTATGTAGGCCAGTTCATTTGCTCTCTCGTTGCCTATGATTCCCTCGTGTCCTAGCACCTAGTAGAGAGAGATTGTTACGTTCCTAATCTTCTTCCTAATCCTTAGCACTAAGTTAATGCTGTCGTTAATCTTCGCGCTCTAGATGCTTTATAACGCTGCTTAACTGTCGGAAAACACCCGAATTCTTACCTGGCTACTCCTATCGTCTAGGATGCCTTTAATTGCCGTCTATATTACTAGCAATTCCGTATAGTGGACGTTAGTGTCTTCTTCCCTTCCGACAGGTTTCGCCATTTCCTATATTGACGTCCAGATGCCGATAGGCTGGATGAGATTACTTAAGACAGCGCGCTTGCTAGGAGAGCTACGGTTAGACTAGTGACTCCGCTTAGTGGCGCCGCTGTCACTTGTCGTAGTTATAGACGCGGACGAGACCGGAGAGCTAGCAGTTAATAAGATGTTAAGGCTCGTTAGTCGAGGAGCGCGCGGTGTCTGTTCTGTATTCGCTTCGTCTACGACTTCCGTATCTACTATAAGGGCTGTACTAGTCGCCTTCCTGGCTACAGTCGCTAGCGGTTAGGTGTAATGTAACTCCTACTCCTACTCTTTCTCTTAGATGTCTTCTCGCTAGCGCGTCTGTTCTTGCTCTTCCTAGCTGTCGAGTTTAAGTGTCGGATAATTGTGTCTGGGTCGCTTAGGCTCGGGCGCAATGCTGTCGTCGTTATCGTCGTCGTAGTCGAGGAGGTGTTTCGGTTTCGTTCTAGATTGCTGTTGCTAAATGACCTTGTCCCTCTAGGCTTCAATCCCTTCAATCCTCATGTTATAATTGTCGGTCGCCACGAGAGTCGAAGACTATGAAGAAGGCAGGTAAGTCTTGTTGTGTTACAAGTTGGTTTAAATGTTCGTTGCTCTTTCTGTTTTGCTTTCTGTTTTGGCGTCGGTGTCCACCCCGCACTCGAACATTCGTCACGGATAATTATAGCCGGCTATAAGCTCGTTGTCAATGTCACCTGTCTTTGTCATGGTCATGCACATTGCACAAGGTCGTATCGAAAGACACACTACTCCCATGCTAGACGCTAGGGTCTTGGACAGTGTGACGACAAAGAATCGCAGGACTGCGCAACCTGTCCTACTCTCACGTCATGCTCGTTTCTCGACAAAACCCATGGTTTACAGCTCGTATTGTCACCACTCGCGTGTCCAGACTTCGACCTTTGTTGGCTCTGACGCTTCCTCATTTCTGCATCATCTCAACTGATGTTACTCGCTTGCTGAGCGACTAGACATGTCATCATCTCACGCTCCTACAGTGGTGCCTAATATCATTAGAGGCGTCAAGCGTAGTCTGGTGGAAGAAGCTCCTTAGACATCGCGAAAAGCCGCAAGACAGGACTCGAATATCGACAAAAATAACACAGATGCTAGGAGCCAAGTCGCGGATGTCGATGGACACACTTCCTGGGAAAGCAACCACGGAAACACTCTTCCCTCGATGCAGAGTTTTCTTCCGGATGTGTTGGCATCGCATCATAGTGGCTCGCTCTGGAATAGTCTAACTTCAGGCGTCGCGTCTGGTCCTCTCGAAGCCGGTAGAGACGTGCAAACCCAAGGCGATATTGATCTCCGGGACTCAAGTGTGACGGCAGCCAGATATGTGCAGCCTGGTTCAAACCTTGGTCTGCATAACCAGAGCACCTCTCATACAAACTTCCCCGTATCCCATGTCATGCGTCAAGGTCAAGAGCCAGTATACAATTGCGCTCGGACATCTACCAATTTTTTACAGAGCGAGACTCACCAACCGCTATCCTCTCTTTCTCTTGTTGCAGACCCCATGTTGCATCATCCATAATTGATCCTTGATATAGCCAAGGCAGTATCAGCGTTGAGCAGCAAGAAAGTACTTGACATTCTCGCAGCCGCCGCGTTGAGTCATCAGGATGTCTGGTCAGAGATCCGAGGAGCCCATGTCCAGGAAGTGGATGGCGAACTCACGAGACAAGCCAGGATAATCGAGCACCTGGAAGCCCGATCTCGACGCGATTACAAAGCAACCCACGGCGTAAGGGGTACCTTTCAATTGGCGTCGACGACACAGATCCGTCAGAGAAATCAGCCGGGGTCTGTTGAATCTGCGTATGGCAAGGATGAGTACAGTGATGAAGATGAGGTAGAGGATGGCGAAGACGAAGAAGAAGAAGAGCAGGAGGAGGAGGAGGAGGACCACGACGACAACGACGACGACAAACCTGAGACAGACATCTTCGGCTTTGCAGCCAACTCTGATAAGGTCCACTATGTCCTCCATACTCGATATGCTGGCCTCCGAGACTCGCAACAGTCAATGATCATTTACGAGGCTGCAGGGCGCTCGCGGTGGAAAACACGATTTTGCGGTTCTCAAAGCTCTGCGTTTTTTGACCAAGAGCTTAGCTGATAGTGGAGCACTTGTCTTGCAGTACGCGCCCAAAGAAGGATAACACATGCTTGCTGCTGAACAGTGATGGGGATAAGAGATGATAGGTGTTTCAAGGACCAATCTGCAGAAGGACCAAATCTGTGAGCCAATAGTTCTTACCGAGAAGGCAAGCAAAGTTCAGCAATCGAAGATCTGAGGCCTACATTGGTCGCTATATGCGACGCCGTTTTAGGGGGCGAGGTGCTTATACAGACTGCTTTGCATATAGGACAGGTAAAGTTTAGCGACTGGGATGCCCTCAAGGATATGCACATAGCTACCAGTCAATCGGATACTAATTCCTCCAATCATCAACAATGTTCAGGTGCGGACGAGCATGCCGGTGAAGCAGATGTGGTTAGTGCCGGGAGAGCTGAGGAACAAGAGCCGCCGGAGAGTTTCTTATGCAGGGACTTTGACTTGACAGTCGCAGCAGCTACAAGCTCAAGAGCAAGCCTTGCAGCCATTCTGCACGCAAGGTCGCCGATTCACCACAAGGCCAGAGAGCATGACTCATATCTCGCCTTGCGCCAGAATTGGTCACAAACATGACCTGTTCGAGGCGCAGCACTTCTCGGGACTGCATGGATGATGTGAAGAAACAGAATCCAGCTTGGAATGAAGCATGTGAAGGACAAGCTTGCAGCTGCCCAGGCAGGCTTTTTGGCTTCGACCAATGGGATGAAGAGCCGACGTTAGCCCTAGTTTCTGCATATGGTTAGCGCCAGTAACATGAGCACTTCATGGCATTCCAGGGCAGCTACGAATAATAACATCCTGCATCGAACACGAGCGAGGTTCTCTTCGACGCGTGGAAGAATTGACATGTAGCGCATGAGACACGCGAGCTGCGAGACTAAGCAGTAGTGACTAGCAATCATGTCGACAAGGCCGGCGCCTGTAACGCGCAAGTCCACAAAGTCGGAATACATTGAGACGGTAAGTGCTTTCAATGACAACAAAATAAGCGCGACAAACAAGTCATTTCTCTCCAAGTCATGAAGAAATCAAAAACCATAAACTCAGCCCTCGAGGATTGGTAAGACTAATTCGACGTGACGTCTAGGATACCGGAAACAAAATTTCTCGCAAGGCCAAAATCGAGGGCAAGCCAAACATTATGCTGGGCGGCAGGACCGTCATCATGGCAGATGTCTATATGCGAGGTGACCTGCATCGCTTCTCAAGTTCTGGAGAAGGTGGAGCAGCACAGCTCACCACAGCAATCAGTATAGGACGGTAACATGCCACCACACTTGCCTCGATCTTCATGATCATGTCTGACACCGATATAGATACACAGTAGTTGCGACTGGCTGTACGTTGAAGCCACCGTCAAGAATCAGCCGCGGTCAAATGGCATACTACCCCATGCGCATCGGCGATAATGTCTTCATTGGTAAGAAGAAACACGCCTTGCTCCTTTTGGCAAGAGCACATTAGATTGACCATGACACACAGGTCCTAATTGTCACATCTCGGCCATTGCAATAAGTTCTCATGTTTACATCGGCGCCAATGCCGTACTCAGCCCTTTCTGCATCATCAAAGACAATTGCAAGATCCTTCCCAATACAGTGGTACCACCCAATATGGTGGTCCCGGTGGGTAGCATAGTCGGCGGTAAACCTGGCAGGATTGTCGGAGAGGTCGGAGAGGGATGGGGTGTTGGAAGCGGTGCTTCAGGGGAGAGCTGGGTCGAGGGAGGCGAACTACGTGATCTGGTCAAAAGCATCAGATAGCAGTATGAGGACGACATGAATTCAAAAGAGCAGTTCAATTGGTCAAAAAAAAAAGCACGAGTATTTGATCGTGATGACATTCCTTCTGGAAAGCCTTTTGAGACGCTTCAAGGGGAAATCCAAGGCGTCAGTAGCGACTGTGTGTGCAATGTCCGCACTTGTACGCAAAAACCAACTACCCAGCATGATGACCCGTCTGTTCGCCTATCCCGAACGAGTCTCATGGTAAATGACTGTGCATAATCCATCAGGTCCTACCTGACTTATTTCACGTCAAGCCTTCGACAAAAGCACCTTACTCAAGCTTCGCATAAATCGCCAGCCTGGAAGGCGGCAAGACAGATAGGGTTGTCAAGGCCATGACCACGTAGCAGAACCTTGAGACCCTCCGACTGAAGCTGGCGAGCTTCTTCGCGACGATCAAGAATAAGGCAACATCTCGCTGCCCCAAAACAGCTAGGAGTAATGTTAGCGGATGGTAAGCATAATCAGCTCCTAGGACGTGATTCCGTGATGAGAATGGGCAATGGGAGCGAGGACGATCAACAGTGCAGACGGTACGGAAACGGAACAGGTGCAGAAACTGTGCTGTGGGATGAATTGGTCACCACTTACACGTCAGCTAGGTCGGGACCGAAAAGAGACTCTTCCTCCATTAGGGTAGCCTGATCTAGTAGATCTCCAACTGTTTGTTCAAGCTGTGCGGCGGGTATGGCTGTAAGATCTTCCATCATTGCCATCTTCACCACCCCAACTCGGGTCTTGATTTCCTTGATCTTCCGGCGGCGGGACTCGTCGCGGCCGTCGGCACAGGCAACACAACCGCACTCGAAGCCCCATGCACTCAGTAGGGCGCGTCGCTCGGTACGTTGCATGTCCGTGACATTGATATAGGCAGTGCACAGCTCATCTCCAGCAGCAACCGGCATGACGGTCTGCACGGTCATGTATCCGGACGTGCTGTTGAAGGCGACATAGACGTTCGGCGAGCATGAATGGTTCAGGCGGGATGGGGCCATGCCAACTCCAGCATGATCCAGATTGATACCGTCGTCGAGCATATAGGAGTTGGTGCGCCAGATGTTGACAACACGAGCTGCGAGTGATGCGGTCATCTCGACAGCACTCACATCCTGGTATTGGTCGTCGTCGCTCGAGTCATGCACACTGCTTCCCATATCCGGGTCAGTTGTTGTTGTTGTTGCTTCGAGAGCATCTTTCAGACCATTGACCTTCCAGATTCTGGCTTCGAAGGGGTTATCGACAATCGAACGATCAAACCCGGATTGTTTGGTCAATGGACTGGGTGTTGTGGCTTCAGGGCCTGGTAGCTCGAGCTTGTATGTCTGTCTAAAGCTTGGATCGCCGCCACAGCTGTCCGCATTGGGAGACTTGCAGATTGAACCACCATCAGAGCCGCTGTCAAGACCCTTTGGTGGAAAAGACTGCATGTCAGAAGCACAACTGCGACGATCAATCTGTTCCTCCGAAAGTCCAGTCCCGTCACCTGGGTTTTCAGGGGTGTGCACTTCTGTTGAATTTGATACGCTACCTTCAGCCACACACGTCTTTTCCACCTCGGTTTCGTCTCTCGGGATGCATGTGGTATGGGCACACAGTTCCAAGTAAGCCACTTGCTGGTCCGGCTGTAGGTTGATGAAGCTCTCAATGATCAAACTGTTCGTAATATCCGATTTGGGAAGAATGAACAGCGGTGCCTCCTGTATGATGCGTTCACCAACTTCGATATCCCGGGTCGCGAACAGGCCCAGACCTTTGGCCTCCACACTGCGAAGCTCAAAGGCAGGCGTCTCAATGGACTCTGAGTCGTCGTCGATCATAGTTTGAGAGAGGGCTTCACGCTCTTGCCGACGATGTCTCTTTGATTGATCCTTCTTGCCTGCACGATGTCTCTTTTTCTTGCCAGTCTGCGAGGGGGTTGTGTCTGAAGTTGGCAGGTTAGTAGATGAGTGATCGTTCTCATCAGTGCGAACCATATTTGCTGGAAGGTGCTCGACGAAGGAGCAGTGATGGACAGATGGTGAGGTACACTCAGTGACTACGGAAGCTTCTGTTTACTTGTGCTACCACAAATGCAGGGCTACCGTGTGAAAGCTTAGACACGTGAATGGTTATTAGATTAGCTTCAGTTCAATGAACTCCGTTTGTGAAGATCTCATAGACGAAATAATAGATTTCATGCACGTGTGATAGCCCACACAGATATACTGAATTGGACTTATGTTGGGAAATGCAGGCGGGTCGGCAATAGCACAGGCTTGCGACATAATTCGCGTCTCGACCTCTGGAGAGCTCATGGTGAGAATATAGAGCAAGCTGTGGGAATGTTGTAAAGACAGTAAGCTGTAGATCGTGTTATACTGTCGTGAATATAATCAGGCAGGGTCGCCCGCACAACGTCGAAGGACATGAACATTGGACACTGACGACCTTTGCGATTGATTTTCCAGATTGTCGAGCTTTTCTGTTGGGTGGTTCGAAGACTCTGGCTAGATCACATTCGAAAGCCATGCGAATTATGTTGTGGTCGTAGCTGTGGACGACATCGGAACTCGAATTCGTGGCGTTGCCGAAGCCTCTTCGCTACACCACAAGGCGCAATCTACGTCGCGTGGTCCGCGGTGAGAGATTGAGACAACGCTGTTAGAAGCTCTCGCGTCCACAATTTGTCTGAACCGACTCGCTTCCCAAGGAAAGTCATTGACGTCGCTCGAGCCACAAAACGTGGCGGAGCGGCTTTTCAAAATCGTTCTACCAGGTACGAGTTTGTCTATCATGATTCAGGACAAGTTGGTTCAGGGCGCCTGTCGGCAAAGCTTCAAGGATGTCCAGCAGTGTCAAAGCACGGAATCGATCTTTAGTCGATCAAGATGTGCAATATATCTTGCGGAGTTAAGTGTCGCACAGAGCAGGCCCAACCATATCAGCAAGGGTTCTATCGTGTTCGCGTTAGGGAACCCACACTCTATTGTGTTCAAAGACTCGAGATATGAAATCGGCTGAAAGGGGCTTCCAGATGAACTTTCCCTGGCGAATTTCTCTGTGTCAGCCTCACCGCTAAGGGCTCGTCGGGTTAGGCATTGGTGATGAGTCAGTCGCACCACGGCAATGGAACCTGATTGCGCTGAAGTCCAACGGTACACCAGTGCGTTGTTGTCATGACCAAGGCATTTTCGCCATGACTTTTGCTTTCGCCATCGGAATAAGTGTTGGTCTTGTAGACACAAAGACCATGCATACTGCGAGAGGCCCTGATGTACGTTGGCCATGTTCGTGCCGATTTTCAGGCGGTCAGCATATGCAGGCACAGGAGCTACATGCCGATGGTGGCTTGACTACGTGCCACGCGCCAACGGCCAAGAAGCAGATTCAGAGATCCAAAGACGTTCCATAGAACTTGTGTCACCGGACGGCTTTCGAACCATAAGATTGGCGTTGCAGCAGAGGCGTCGTCCATTCAGCGGCTCCCCACACGCCATGGACCCTCTCGTGTTTCGCCTACGTTGCACTGTGGGTTACTCGATTCGAGTCACGCGACGAAGGAGTTGTTCAATTTGCGCTTCGATGCGATGTTGAATCCAGGCTCGTGAGAATTGCAGCTGAAGATTAGATTTTGTCCACAACCGCCGCCGGCCCTCAAAACATACAGTACGGAGCAGTGTTGGTTTCGGAAACCAAAGTGGCGGCCGCACGCACGCAGTTCAGACCAAGACACAACGTCCCGCCGCGCGTGTGGAACGGCACTCGATCTCGAGGCGCGCATGATCTGTCTATAGATCGCGCCCAAACACGAGACCGTCGTTGTGCTAGCTTGATCGGTGAACCACAAAAATCTCCGACTGGACGAACCTTTAGTGGAAGTAGCTGACTAAACTCGCTTGGGTATAAGCTGATGACGATCTCGACAAAGACATCGTATCTGGACGTTGGTCATTAAAACCCGACAGACAAGTCCTTCAGAGACGTCATGAGTAACAGCTGCGGCCAGGGAAAGGAATCTGAGTGAGACAATCGCGGTCGCTAAGCCGATCAATCAATTTAGTTGCACTCGCTTGCTGAGGTCAGGTATGGAAAGCGAATTTCAAAATTGTCTGCAGCGACACAGCCTGGCGAGGTTATCCACGTATCATCTATGATCTATGTGAGTTTTGCGTTCAGATAGCGTACGATCGGAGCGAGCAGAGGAGATAGAATTTCAGGCACGAGTTCGATCTGTTTATGAATCGTTTTTTCGGAAGGCGAATCTGCATAAGATATGGGGGAGATTAATTTAGGAAGATCCCCTCCTTGCGCGTGTTGATAGAAGCCGGTTGGTCCGTGATCAGAAGCTTGGGAGGAGAAGATCACCGATGCATCGTAGCACACTTTCGGTGCCAATTCCGTCAGCGTATCCGTCCTAAAAGATCAATGACAGGCACGAGCAAGAATTCTTCTACAATAGCTGGCACGGCCTATTAAGATTGCCTCGGCACACATTGTCACCGTCAATCCTGATCTCACAATTTACAGCACCAAGGAAATGGGACGCGACGGCCTGAATTCCAAGGTTTACGGTCGTTCACAATGGCGCATAGGCAGGGTCCACGCACTGATGCAGACGGCGAGTTCGGGCAAGCCATAATAGGCAGATCGAGGCGAAAGTAAGCGACCGAAGCTCCTGACACGTGTGGTCCGCCGGCGACACTTCTCTCAAAACAGACTGACGTGCCCCAAGCCAAGGATCTCTCTCCTATCCCCGCCTTGCAAGGTGTTAGATTGTCTTTGGACCGTCGCTTGAGTTAGCCATCCGGGCTTATGGTCTGGTAAGCAGACTTGAGGAGACTAGTAGAATAGGGAGCTGCAGCGAAGCGCAGCCGGGCACAAATGCACGGAGCGTATCTGAGACAGCTGGCCGGATGTGCCAGTGGATGACTGGTCGTTCTGAGGCTGTGGTGACGTTGACCAAATGGCCAGCTGGGACAGACAGCAGGTGCTGCATGTAATATATCATCATCCATTGCTGTATTAGCGTGCTGCAGCTGCCGGCAACAAGGTGAGGCTTGTCAAAAGTGGACTTCGCCTGCGAGCCGGGGCGCGCCCGCAGAGGCACAAAAGCGAGTATAGCGGCAGCGAACAGTGATTGGCCAAAGGCGAGGGAGGGGGATCTGGCAGCAAGATGCAGAGCGATTGGAACTCGATCCAAGAGCAGAGATTCGATCGACTCCACGGCCCATGGGACTTGTCGTCGACTGGACCGAGAGAGGGCCGCTAACCGAAGCGGGCCTGAGACCATCGCGATCTAGGGCAGCTAAAGTTTAGGGCCTGCGGGCTGGCTGCACGCACGCGCGCAGCGAGAGCGGGCATTGGCTGTCTTGTCGACCACAGGCCGGCGACGAGGCTTGTCGCTGTGGTGCGATGGCCGTCGCGGGCTTGCAACCCACGTCCCCTCTGGTTGGAAGAGGTTCCTAGATTGCACTACTCAGGTGGCCATGGTACAAGATACATGATAGCTTCAGGCGGACGGCACACCAGATCACGCAGCTAAGCAAGGACGATAGGGTTTGAGATCTGCTCGTTGGAGGAACGTGATGTGCATGCTCAGAGTTGTGATGGTGTGGCAGGAAGCGAACGGAAAGACGCATGCTGATGCAACGGCAGGGACCATGTCATAGCTGAGTTTTGGCATGTCTGAGTCGCAGGTTATGCGTTATTCCACTGGCCATGGGGCCCACAGGCGGCGGCAAAAACCCTGACGAGCAGCAAGACACGAGCGGACGCAGAGTGGAAGAGGCCGTGGGCAGTTGGCACTGGTGGTGGCGGCCATCCCTGTCACTTTATGCCTACGTGATCGTCGGCGAACCGTGCACGCCCGTCGAGTGGTGCTAACTCAACTCTCTCGTTGTTCGCTCGCATGAGGCTTAGGCACGTCCAAGTCTCTTTTGCACCTAAGAGTCCACAGCCCTCACGCAGTCCTTGTCCCTTGTCCCTCTTTCGCCCACACATCGTCGACTCTTGCCGTAAACTTAACTTTTGACGTCGAAACCCACCATCTCACGGCGCCCCATCCGCTCCCTCGACTTTGTTCTCTTCCTCAACCTGTACCACTTCCATCCCGTCATCCACAACCTCCGACCCGACATCTTCTCCCTCGGCCAGATCTGCACACGCCGACGGAATTGTTACTGAACGCATGGAATTGGCCTCGTCGAAATCGCTTTCCCGTCAGACTCGTACCACGACGAGCAAAGGAATGAAAATCGGCCTTTAAACCCATAAACCCACTCATAACTCGACCGGCCCGCCACACACGACATTAATCGTCACCGCTGCCGAACCATGAATGTCGAATCTAGCGACAGACAAAGGCAAGACTGGCCTCAGCGACAACACAGTCCTGTCGAGCGTCTGACTAACAAGCAATGCAGAGCTGCGCTGCCGCCCATCAAGCTGCTCGACATTGATAAAATAAAGCGCGAAGAAGCAGAATATCAGGCCCGTGGCACAACCTTTAACATGGCGCCTTCTTCTGTAAACAGCCCGACCATTGCCTACCCCTCGGGTCCCCCACCTCCTTACAGTCGTCCCTCTTACCCAGATGCTCGCACTTCCCCGGAAGCCCGTCGTCACTCGGTCGAGGACTCGTCCAAACAAGGAAACAAACAGTCTCTGCCCTCGATCCACGAGGCTCTCGGCGTAGAACAGCGCGCTTCCTACCCTCCTACCGCTCACAGACCCTACTCGTCAGCCCCTCAGTCTGCATACCGCGCTCCCGCCACTGCATCTGCACCCGCGCCTGCCTCGCCTGTCTCTGCCAGAAGGTCTTTTGCTGCCATGGATCCCCCTCCCCCACCGCAACCCGTTGTCTTCACCCACGGACCTCGTAGCCCTTATGCACAGCCTCAGCACGAGATTAGCCCTCGCCAGATGCCCGAGCAGCAAGAGCGACAACGTTCGGCCTACGCGCCTCAGCCACCCGTATCACGCCCTGGACAGTCTCCTCTGGCTCATCAATCGCAATACCCGCGCTCCTACCCCGCTACTGGACCCTCGCCCTCCCACGAGAGGACTGCCTCTCACCCTCTGAGTATGCCACCCGTTGCTCCTCCACCAGCAATTCAACACCCTCTTCCATACGGATATGCTCCTGCCCCTGCACCTGTTCAGGCTCCTTACCCGTCTCATTACGCCTACCCCGCGTCGGCCTCTCACTCAGCAGCGACTACTTCGTCCATCTACCAGCCATCGATCGTGCAACCCGCTCCCCCTCAACACAGTGAACCAGGAAGAGGTCCATTTGGAGAATCGGTAAAACGCCATCTGGACATGTGGGACTTTGGTGAAGCGCTTAACGAGGTTTGTTGATTTCGCACAATTCGGTAGTTTCGTGTTACTGACCAATCATAGATTGCCGAATCCAGTAACTACATGCTGGACTTTAGTAGACAATGTGGCGCTCGTCTCCACCAGTCACAAAGATCTGAACCTGCTCCTGGTACTCTACCCCAGTTACAAGAAATTGATCATCTGATGGAAAAGTCGCGTCGTCAACTCGACTGCTATGCCAAGATGAGAGAATTCATCATCGCACAACAAACGGCCTACTTCCAACAAGCTCAAGAACAACAATTTAGAGCACAAGATGGCATCAAACGCGACTCTGTTCACCAGTCAGAAGAGTCGAAGGCTGGCGGGTTCGCTGGTGCCGAAGCCAAGAAGCGTAGAGGAGTAAGTGTATTCCCACAGAAGGGTAGTAGAACCACGGCTAATCGACGAAATAGCGCGCTGCTCCTCCTGGCAGATGTCACAGCTGTAACAGAGCCGAAACGCCCGAATGGCGTAGAGGTCCCGACGGTGCTCGTACCTTGTGCAATGCATGCGGTCTTCACTACGCCAAGCTGACAAGAAAAGCCGGAAAGAACGCAGCAGCAATTTCCAGCTCCAATCTTCGCCCCAAGACCTCTGAGGACGCGCAAAACTGAATTGAACAGGTCGTAACACCTGATCGCGGCCTACGGACCGTCGCCCTTAACTCATCGCACAACTGCATGTCTCCAGTGACATGGGGGCAACGGCTCGTCGACAGAATCTTTTCTTATTTTCGATATGCTTTTGGTTAAAATGTTAGCAACAAAAAGCGAAAACATGTGCCGGCGTCACATGCGTGTGGGCCTTATTAGAGGCCATAATCTTTCCGGACCAATACCACAAGGCCGGATAGTGCATCAACAAGTTTCTGCAAAGGGTTTTTAGACCCATTGACTGCATATTTCCTACACGAGAGGATCACGGGACACGCATACGATGGCTATTAGGCCATCTTCACGACATCAGCATTGGGAACCGGAGTTTTGTAGGATATCCTTGTTGCTTTGATCATTTTCTTTTCTTGGACCCTTATTTTCCAGTTTTTGCGACATGGCTCAATCGGCCATGTTAGTGGTTCCGAGAGCAATAGAGCTATTAGGCTCTCCACGGTGTTTGGCTACCATGTTGCCGGGATCAAGGCAGGTGGTGTTTGGGAATATTGATTTATTTTTGATTGGGTCGTTAGATAGTTGAGGATAGGCGAGTGGTCGTTCGATGGCAACACCATGTCGCACGTCAATAGAAGTCGATTGTTCATACAGGCTTGTTGCATCCCAACGTGTTTCTTGACAGATGTTGCTTGCCTGGTTGCAGAAGAGACAGGTATTAGCGCCGAGGGCAAGGGCTGGCAGGAACTAGCAACAGTGAAGATAAAGCAAGCAGTTCACATGCAGATACGACGATGCAGAGAGGACTCATCGGAGGGCAGATTGTCTCTGATGCATGTACACTTGGATGGGTACCGTTCGGTGGACATGTGTTGCAGGTATGGTAGCTCTGTAGCACGTGGGGTCACATTGGTGCAGCGGCAAGGCGCGTCTCTGACAGGTGTAAGTCGAGAATGAGGCATCTGTCGGGTCCTGTCGAGGTATGCCCTAAGACCGTCACAGACGTCGCCTCGACCTCTCTTGTCGACAGCTTGGTCATCCATGGTCATGTAGCAGGCAGCATGTTGATGCTTGTGTATAAGTTGTACTGATTAGGCAAGACCCCGCGATCGGGAGCGGGCGCGGCTTCCTCTCCAATGGCGTGCTCGGACGGGCGTCAGTCTGGCGTGGGAGCATTTGTAATGCACATTTCACATGTCGCCGACTTTGGCTTGAGCTCTGATATTGTTTTCTTCCTGTCTCTACCCGCTATTCACTATCCACACGACCTGCCCTCTTCTGCTCTCCAACGCACTATGTGCTAACGGCCCAGACGACAGCCTATCGCGGCCTGAGAGCATATCGACACAGCAACACAAATCTCGCATGCCATCTGCAGCGCAATCGCCATTACTCGTTCCAGCAATTCAATCAAAGAGCGCGTACAACGTAGCGCAGACTACCGAGCATGGGTCTTTTGTAGGAGAAACCGCCGCCCGCCAACCAATTGGCACACAGCAGCTAATTGATTCGATTCGCAGAGCGCTGGGAACGCCGCTCGCCTGGCCGGAAGCGCAGAAGGTCGCCGGACAAGTCAGAGAGTGGGGCATTGAGGTACGTGTGTCGATGGGTATGCACGAGCACAAGCACAAGCACAAGAGCTGAGATGCGGCCACAGCAACTATTGGCGACATGGAGACGAACCAAGGGCAAGGAACGCGATGCCCTCCTCTGGGGAGATGAGATCGAGTACCTTGTCGTGACTTATGATGACGACAAGCGTCAGGTCCGACTCTCGCTACGCCAAGCAGATATTCTCGAGGCTTTGGCTAGCGATGAGAAGCTCCTCGCCCAGGGTGGCGGCGTGGATGAGATCCAGCGTGGCTCAGTCAGGTACTATTTCACCTCCGTGTGGACAAGTCGTAGGGACTGACTGTGTGGCAGATCTGGCAAGACGGCGCCTGTTTTCCACCCCGAGTTTGGCCGTTTCATGCTCGAGACTACACCCGGACGACCATGGGGAATTGACCTCAAAGATCTACTTGACGTCGAGCCAGACATGAAGTGGAGGTATGCACGCCCCTACAATACCGCTATCCAACACCAACGTCGCTGACAAGCTTCTCAGACGCACAATCGCAAAGGAGCACATGGAAGCTAGCGAATTCCCCATCACCCTGACCACCTTCCCGAGATTGGGTGCCAAAGAGCGCTCCATCACTCCCGAATACCCCCTGAACGGCGACAAGTTGAGATCGCAATTCTTGCCCGACGAGATTGCAAACCCCCATATTCGTTTCCCAACTCTGGCTGCGAACATCCGCGCGCGCAGGGGTCGCAAGGTTGAGATCAACGTGCCTGTTTACAAAGACGAGAAGACCACCTGGCCCTTCAACGACCCTACTGTCGATTACGATCTACACACTTGGCCCGAAGACGACGACGTTCGTAACGGAGCTGCAAAGGAGAACCACATCTACATGGACGCAATGGCTTTCGGTATGGGCAGCTGTTGTCTGCAGATCACATTCCAGGCAAAGAACATTGACGAGGGTCGCAAGATGTACGACCAACTCAGCCCCATCGGTCCCATTTTGCTCGCCTTGACCGCTGCCACTCCCATCTACAAGGGTTTCTTGGCCGACACCGATGTGAGATGGAACCAGATCAGCAGAGCTGTCGACGACAGGACACCCGAGGAGCTGGGCGAAAAGGTTTGTGATTTGCTCCAGATCATGGAAAATCAGACTAACAATTCCCAGCCATTGAGAAACTCGAGGTGGCAGATTCCTAAATCTCGATACGCCTCCAACTCCACATACATCGCTCAAGATCCACGCCTACGCAAGGAGTATTTCGATCCTAACCTTGTAGTTGATCAGGACTTGAAGCGGAAACTCGTAGACGGTGGCATGGACGACCTGTTGGCCACCCACTTTGCCCATCTCTTCATTCGCGATCCTATTGTCGTCTTCAACGAGGATCTAAAGGAGCTGGATCTGAACAAGGTCGACCATTTCGAGAACTTGCAATCCACCAACTGGCAGCACATGCGCTTCAAACCGCCGCCACCGGGCAATGACATTGGCTGGCGTGTCGAAGTCAGACCGATGGAGATCCAGATCACCGATTTTGAGAATGCTGCATTCTCGGTCTTTGTCGTTCTTATTACCCGCGCAATTCTCAGTTTCGACCTCAACTTCTATATCCCTATCGAAAAGACGACCGAAAATATGGAAACGGCACATGCGCGTAACGCAGTTTTGGAAAAGAAATTCTGGTTCCGTAAGAATCCCTTCCCGGCAACGAGACAGCCTCGATCAGGTACTTCGACACCGACACAATTTTCACGTCCTCCCAGCCCGACCTCACCGGTCGAAGACGAGTACGAGCTCATGACTGTCAATGGAGTCATGAACGGCAAAGCAGATGGTTTCCCAGGCTTGATTCCTCTGGTTGAACGCTACCTCTCCAGTATCAATGTAGACGTCGAGATCCGCTGCGAAATGGCCAAATATCTAAAACTCATCCGCCAACGTGCAACAGGTGAGCTTTGGACCGCTGCCAAATGGATCAGACATTTCGTTGCCGAGCACAAGGAATATCAGAAAGATAGTGTGGTTGGCGAAGGCATTACATATGATCTTGTCAAGGCTGTTGAGCAGATGACTGTCAATGAAGGTAAAGATGGACTGGGTGTGGAGATGTTGGGGGATAGGAAGTGAGGGACCTGAAGAAGGAGGGGGGGGGGGGGGGGCCAAAAGTCACATCATTGGAGAGGAAGGCCTAACATCCTGGGGTTCTTGCATAACATCACATATCCCTAACGGCGTCATTGGACATAACGAAATCTAGAAAGGGATACCCAAAGTATATATCACAACTTCCTATGCATTCTTTGTCCATTTAACATGATTTCCATATCTGAAGATGAGACAAACTCCACGGAGCAGCAGTAACATCTCGTATTACTACGAGGGTCGGGATCATTCTATCTTGACCATTAAAACATGTCCAGCTAATCATGGCAACGCAATGCAACGCGTTATTTCCCGAATAGTCCATCTGAACTCAAAAGAGACCTCCTCCTCCGCTTTGAGATCCTCAATCCTACCCTTACTCCCAACTCACAATACCCAAAAGCACCTCGATTCTCCAAAATCCCGATACTCCCCATATCTTCTTGTTTTCCTCGCTTTACTCAACACCACTCAAAGCATCATTGACAATATCCATCAAAACAGGCCTCTTACCACTCTCCTGCTCTTTCTCAAATAACCTCCCTTTATTTCCAATCTTTTCTGGGACTTTGAAGGGTTTGTTGTTGGTCTTTGAGTTGGCAGAGCGATTGTAAATACTCTTCTCCGCCGTAAGATCCAAAAAGTCTTCAATGCCTTTTCGTTGAGCCAGAGGGTTATTGTTGCCATTACGTCTCTTTTTCCTTCCAGAAGCGGCGTCGTTTTCATCAAAAGCTTCTCTTTTAGCAGGTGTTTTGGCTGGAGTCTTTTGAGTTGCCAGACTCCCTCCAATCCCATCTTGGAAACAATGTCCTCGTTCAGCAAGTTTAGGGAAATTGTAAATCCACTTTTTGCCCTCCACAAGCTTGAGGAATTTCTCCAGTAATTCGTTGTGGGAAAGTGTTTCTTTACTTCCCAAAACCACCATTTTGGATCGGGCACGGGTAAAGGCAACATTTATACGTCGCCAGTCCTTGAGTAAATCGCCTACGTTTCCAGTGTCATTGCTGCGAACGCAAGAGATGAAGACTACTTCTTTGTCTCTGCCTTGGAATTTGTCGGCTGTGTGCATTTCTACGCCTGCGGCTTCTGGGTGGGATTTTAGGAGCTGGCGGAGGAGGGCGAGTTGGGAGCGGTAGAAGGCTATGACGCCGATATCTGTGGGTGAGATGCCTTGGGCGATTAGGGAGAGGACGAGTTGGACGAGTAATTGCGCTTCTGTGGCGTTGACGATGCGGGAGCCTACTGCTGTTTCTTTTGGGATGGGACAGAGGGTATCCGTGTTTGCAAAGACTACTTTACGGGAAGGGGAGAGGATGTCGGAGATCCAGCAGTGGTCTTGTGAAGGACTTAGGCAGAGGTTGCGATCAATGGACCAGGAGCCCGAGGGCTCGGAGTGGTATTTCATGAGGCCATCTGGAGTGGGGACTTTGAGTGTTCGATTGGCGACGGCTTCGTTGCCGCATTTTAGACGGCCGGAGTAGATCAGAGTCTTCGATAGCAGTTGCACTTCTTCGCACATGCGGTACTGATGTTCCAGATTCACCACACTCTCTGGGTGTCTATCAGACAAGAGCTTGAAGAGACTGATGTCGAGACCACCCTCTTGAGCTTCGCGGTTCTGCACAAGAGGAGGGAGTTGATAGTGGTCTCCAACAAGGATGAATGTCTTTGCCATGCGAATTGGTCCAAGACAGACTGGCAGAGTGATCTGAGAAGCCTCATCAACGATACAATAGTCAAAAGCTCTGCGCTGGAATAGCTGATGGTTGACACCGAGACAAGTCGTTGCAACGACTTGAGGCTTCATGTAGGTATCTTCCAGTTCTTCCATGCTTTGCTTGGGCGTCGCGGCTAGATGAGCAAACTCCTGCACTTCTGGGTGTATCTTTGCCAGAGTGCCCAGACGTAAGATGGATGCGCCCGAGTCTCGCAGTTTGAGCAGAATATTGTCAACAGCTGTGTGTGTATAAGAAGTCAGGAGCACACTCTTGCCACGAGCTACCAGAGCTCTGATGATGTGAGCGATCGTAGTCGTCTTGCCTGTACCTGGCATACCCAGGACAAGAGCATAATCCTGAGCAGACATCACTTTATCAATCGCAGCACGCTGGTCCTTGTTGATCTGGAGCTGGCTAGCAGGTCCAGACAACGCGTAAGCGGCGGGCTCGGGCTTGAAGCCAGGGTCTGTGTTTTCGACAATGAGTTTGCGCAAGTCTGCTGAGCGGAAAACATTGTCGTCCATCAAAGCCAAGAGATTGTTTCGAACAGTCGCCATGCCATTGCTGAACTCATCTTTATCAAGACGGTAGATGATGGGGGTCTCTTCGACACCTTGAGCATCCTGACTGGGTTCATCTTCTCTTCCGACCTCCATTATACCTGAGAATGTCTGATTTGTATTGGTGTCAAAGTCGGCTTGCTTCTGACGTGCGTTGTGTAGTCTTCTGTCAACAGCGACCGTGATGCGACCTTTCGATACTTTGGTCACGTAACCATTGGCAAGTGCGAAATGGCCCTTTTCACTCGATATGACAATCGGCTCTCCGGTGGTGATCTGAGACTCGGTGAAAGAGAAGCCAGCAGGTGGCTCTTTCTTGATGAGTGTGTAGCGGTATCGGTTGATCTTGGTCATGTCGTTCAGTTCCCTCATGGAGCCTTTCTCAATGACGACCTCTGAAAAGCAGCGACCGAGCTTCTCACGCTCCGTACTCAACATAGTCCAGAGCTCACGACGGAACTTCATCAGCTCAGACTCTTCCTTGGTCAGGAGATTGTCCCACTTCTTGAAAAAGTCCTGATGTATAGGCTGTAGCTTCCCGACGAGTTCGTTGAACTTCTCCTTGACACCCGCACTTTCTGGTGTACCATCTTCAGCAAGTTTGTGGTAGAGGAAGCATTCTGTCTTTGCATAACACCTCCCACACTTGCGCTCATCTTGGATCATCAGAGGCAGCTGGAGTCGCTCACGAACATAGCAGGCAAGCTCATTGCGCTGCATAATCATGTGTCGAAGTTCGTGACGTATCGCTGGAATTCGTGTGACGCTGGAATCCTCCATGTAGTATAGCAAACCATAGATGACGTCTAGGTCGTATCGATCGGATAGCAAGAGTGTGTACAGAGCTGTTTGAGCGCGATGCGAGGTGCTCGTAGTGTTACGTCCAGTCTTGACTTCGAAAGGCACTGTCAACGCTCGGCTACCTTGTTCATCTTCCATGAGGACTTGAACAGTAGCATCTATATTGCCTTTCAGACCATATGTGGGCGACCACACATGCTCTTCGACATCGAGAAGTTTAGTGATGCTGACCCTGATCTTTTTGCCGCCTCTGTCTTCTGCAAGAGCATCGGGACCAGGCTTAGCTTTCACAAAGACCTTGGCCCATGAGCTCATCTCTGGCATCTTGCTCCTGAGGTGCTCGAAGGCCTTGTTCGTATCCTCATGCCCTAGTTCGAACAAGCTCTCCAAATACTTACCTACAGTTTTTCCGACAAGCTCGTTCAGTGAGTCTTGGTCCCAGTCGTTCGTCCTCATTGCCTCCTGGAAGATCTCGTGGAGCATATTGCCGTAAACAGAGGGCTCGCTTGAACGACTGGTTGCCTTGACCCTGTCCTGTAGGACGGCTCTGCGAATACATTCGAATGAATCAGCAACTACCGTGGCCGAGATCAAATGATCAGGGTGGACAATGATCAGATTCTGGGCGTCGTCGATAGTGATCTGTCCAGATCTGCTGAAGTGACCGACAACATGCACATAGGAGCCAGGGGCGCAGTGTGTTTCGAGCCATGTCTGTCTCAAAGTGATGGTTTTGTTGCGTTTCTGCACTTCATCTTCAACGAACAAAACCTGCGCGTCATTGTCAATTCACAAGAATCCCGTCAAGAAGGAGCAATGGCACGACTCGTGACTTACCTTTTCTGCCTGTTGACGACCACGGGGATCGATGTACTGGCCGTCTATGACTTGTTTCACCAAGTATCGTTGGATGGCTCGCGACTTTTGAGTAGTCTTGGATAACACTTAGCTATCTATAACCTGGGAAGATTCGAGATACGTACAGAGCTAGCACTTGTGCTTGCCTCCAACGCTTGAGTAGCAGCCATTTCAGCCTGTACAAGATGCTCTTCATCAAATTCGGAGCCACCAAACTCGTCATCATCCTCATCGTCGTCATCTGAAAAGCCAGTAAGATCAAAAGTTTGTGGCTGATTTTGTACTTGTAGCGGTGGTGCTGATATCTGTAGCGGCGGTGTGTTATGTTGCGCAATAGTACATGTATTCGGTTGAGACTCGAACTGGCCGTTGGAGGTGCCAGGCCTGCTTTCGAAAAAGGAGACAGCGTTCTCTATCTCATCGACGTCAAGATCGTCGCCAAACTCGTCGTCGTCGAATTCGTCATCATCTTCGTCAATAGTATTCATTATCGTTGTGGTGGCCATCGAGTCCTCTTGAGCAAGGCCTGTCTGCTGGATTTCGGCAATATCGTCCAACGTGATTTCAGTATCGTCAAATTCAGTATCATCATTCTGGTATGAGTACTGTTGTGATGAACGTGCTGAGCGAGGTTGTGACCTTTGATGATCCGACATAGCCATGTGAATTTTTGGGAACTCACCTTTGTCCGGCAAAGGTGAAGAGCTCGAAGGAATGTCTTTATGAGCAAGAGATTCCTGGACCTTTTCGACTAGCATGCCCACTCGTGACAAGGGCTTTGCGACAGATGGGTCCTGGGGATTGCTGTTGTTATTGTCGCGGAAGATTCCATTGACGCGACGCCGCTTGACTCGAGAAGAAGGGAATTCTAGGCCACAGCTCGCCCATCTCCTCAGCCCACCAACGCTGCCTCCCGGCGTTCTAGGAGCCGATCTAGGTGATGAGTCGTTCATGAGGTGGGCGAAAGAGGGTATCCGTTTCTCGATCGGGGTGTCGTCAGGGTTTCTGCCGGTAGCGTATCGTGTCCACAGATCAGCAGCAGGGTCGGCCCTCGGGGTCTTGAAGGCAGATTGTGGGAGATTGGCGTCGGGAAGATCGGAGGGATCGTTTTGGGACGAATTGACAGGCGAGGAACTCTGTGGACGTTGCCTCCTTTGACGAGGAGTCAGATCTGGGTGTGAGCTATTTGCTATCCAGCCGATCTCCTCAACAGGGGACTCTTCTTGTGGCGTGGGTCTTCGTAAAGCGTCCTCGGCGTTTCCGATGAGGTCAGCGAGAGGCAGGCGCATAGCCGGTGTCGAGGGTAAAGGTTTGTCCTGGACAGTCTTGATGGGCGAGGACGGTGCGTGGGCTTGCTTGTCCTGCGACAATGGAGCAGAGGCAAGGATGGTGGTGTTGCCGTTCTCCTTGTCGGGGTGGCGGGCGAATTCGAAGGCTTTCAATTTGGACTTCGTCTCTGTAGAGGGCTGAATCGGAGGTTTCGTCGGAAGAGCAGCAGGTTTGTTGGTGGCCTCGTTCATGTTCGACTTCTTGTCAAAGCTGCGATTGCCTTGCCATCGCGCTCTCGACTATGGCGAATTAGACTTCGGCGGACGCGTCGCAAGATATTTGACAATTCACCTTGGAGCTATGATCCTGATCGAAGAACGACTTTTGTCTAGACGACATGAAGTAAATAGGCAGGAGAATGTGTATCAGACGTGTGAATAGACAACAGCACCTAGGGTGCAACGATACTTCCTGTCGCCGGAACCATCTTCGTGCTCCGTTCGTGACAAGGAAGTCGCGTCGCCAGAACGCGCCTTCCCCACATCTTGGCAGTTTTGACGGCGCTAAGAATCGTCATCTCCTGCTGCCCAGGATCCGTCATGAGCTCTGGTGCAAAGCCCAATGCTAGACTATGTATTTGGGTTGGTCGTTCATGCGGAATCTCTACTTGTCATGAACTCCTCAGAGATCATCATGAACAGGATCATCGCCTCGATACAGCTCAACAGCTATCTACACAGACACGTTTCATTCGAGTGCTGAGCATGTGCAGCCATCACCTCCATCACTATCGTTATCGCTATCGCTATCACTGTCTACAGTTTGTCCCTATCGACAACAACAACAACAGCATACTACCAATATCACTATCCAAGTTCGACGGTGTCCCCTATCATAATGCCTGAGGCTATCAGAACTGGCTTGGACTCGTTGCCTGATGAACTAAAGGCTCAAATATTGAATCATCTGACTAATCCACCACCATCGTGGAGTTGGCAGAAGACTGCGCTCGATACTTCTATAACCAGCTCATGTACCCTACAAGACACTCCACTGAAAAGTCTGGTACTTGTGTCAAGAGCCTGGTATTCACTTGTCTCGCCATTGTTATACTCACACCTACAACTTCGGCTTGAAAGTCCTACAGCCCAAACCGAATCAGCCTTGCTCTCGGCCAAGATCAAGAAAATAACCACAAACTTTAGAGAATGGTTGTTCCGTGACGCTGGATATCCACACGACATCCGCTTGCCGTATAGACATGTTTGGCAGAGCACGGCGACAGAAAAGGCTGCAGAATGGACAGCTACAGTGGATCATTCACTAGCAAGACTATTCTCATTCCTCGAGTCACCAGACAATGGCAGTTTTTGCGATAGCGTACAGTCATTGACGCTTGTCGCTACTGGTGAGCTAAACGACAACAATCTTGACTATATTCGAGACGAGGTACATTGCTTGATTGCAACAGATGCATTTTGGAATCTGCTATTCGAAAAGATCGATCCTGCGCGGATCACGGTACTAGCGCCTCCTAGTAAGCTTGCCTGTCTGCTTGGATGTAGCATGAACATGAGGGATGCATGGGCTTTCCCCGGCATGGCTATGCAGCTCGTCTCGGTTTGGAGAGAGTCCAGGCCATTAGAAGTCGTCGACAATGGTTCCCCACCATCAGAAAGCGACTACGATATGATGCAACCTGTGGAGCTTGTTATGGACCCGGATGAGTACGGCAGACCAGCCTTCTCAAGCATCATCTACATCAAGCCCTGGACACACCTTGCTGTGAACGAAGGTTCTTTCCTTGAAGCCTACTCAACCTACGAATATTTCCACAAGAATCCGCCAGGTATACTAGCAGCAGTTGGAAGAGCATTCCGCCTCGAGACAAGCATATGGTCAGTGGCATATAAGGCCATCTTCCCCTTTAACAACCACATCAGCTCGCCGCTCGATCAAATAACATACAAAGGCAACCCTTCAAACGTACGAAAACTCTACGTCAAGATAGCACCAGATCCAGACGACACGATTCTCGACGATCCAAGGAAAATAGCAAAAGCCGACATCACCGACTGTTGGCGTGAGGTTGAGTCGACATACAGATTTCTGACAGACCCTGCTCTTCGGGGGGAGCCGGAGTTTGAGTCATCTGGTGTGGTCAGAGAGCTCGAAATGTTTAGCTTCGGCGACAGCAGCATATCTTCAATCAGGGACACTGTCACAAGTTCGCTGGAGAGTGCGGGTTGGCAAGAAGTGGCTTTAAGCGAGTGGCACAGCTCCAGACTTGTTTCTCTCCTTCAGATGTCTACACTTGGTGAGGATAGTGTATTGCAGTAGATTGAGCGATGCGCAAGTCGCGCAAGTTGATTCGTGAGTATCAGCTTAGCCTGGTTATGTACACCGAGTCAAACTCTCTACCCTCGTTCAAAGTATCCACTGCTTGTGGAAGGCACGAGATTTGTCTCCGGATTCCACTGTGCATCGCGACAGCCTGTCGTGGGATGTTTGAGAAGCAGTCGGGAAGACCATGAGGTCGCTCTTTCCTCGTACGGACGCCACAGCAAGACCTAACTGCACGCGCAACTTTCCTGAACATTTTCCTACCACTACGCACCACCATCACCGCTCCGCATCAACAACAAGATGCAGCCATCAGAAAGACGTAACTGGGGCAATCTCCAAAAGAAGAACGGCTTAGACGACGCGGTCATGACTTTGATCAGGGCTCGTGTAACAGAGAGTAACCCAGATACTGCGGAGCTTCCTGAAACTTATCGTCAACGAGCTTACGAAAGACTGGTCGACAGCATCTTTGTCGACCTCGACGCGGCAATGACGTCGACGCAACATATCTGGTCTCAATCTTGCCTGATGCACCTCGTGAGAAGCTCTTCCCTCGGCTACCAACGCAAGCTTGAGAGGCATCAACAACGTAAGTCTGGTGGTGTCGACGACGAAGCCGAGGACGACGACAACGACAGGGAAGATGACGAAGGCGATATGGAAGATCAAGACACCGTTGATGAAGTCATTCGTCGACCTCGCAAGCGATCTTCACCATACGTCGACACCAACTACTCAAAGAATGTTCAGCACCCGGTCTCCACCTCCGCTCGTCGCCCTCTAGGCCTTTCTTCTCGCAATCGCCCGGCCTCTACTCCTCAAGTACCGGTGGCTCCATCAGTCTCCAAGTTCAGCGCCATCCAGCTACAGCAGTACACCATACGACTTCGTCGTCCGTCAGGCTTGGACACCTCGACTCACAAATCTATCCCTCTCTGGAATTGCGTGCGACTTACCAGCAACGAAGGAACCAAGCAATCCTCATTCATCGACATCGGTGAATTGTCCTTCGACAGGCTCAAGCGACTTGCCAAGGCCTTTGATGGTGAAGCCATTGTCTACGAGGATATCCAGCCAGATGGTCGTGTGCTGTCGAAGATCGAAGATGACGACGAACTGCAGGCGGCTATGCATGTCTTGATCATGGCTTTGAAGGGGGACGACTTCTTCCTGCCATTGGGAGTCATGAGATTTTAGGACGCGGTTTGGTGTGTAGTCTACAGCTCGCTGGGCTCAATCGCCAAAGGTTTGACTCGCCGTGACCACGGTGGTATCTTGAAAACCCAGCATACTTCGAATTGAAAGCATACTTGTGGGGTATTGTCTTAGAAGTGTATGGTGGCTCAAGGATTGCTCTTGCATTTTACATAATCGCTCGCTCCACACGAAGATTGTCTCTGAGATGATGAGACAGGTGAAGCATGCATTGCTAAAGTATCGAGAAGGATCAGAGTCCATTCCATCCAATCAATACAAGCTTCATCTTCCCTGCTCTCCAACACCCAATACCATTGCACTAAACATCTTCCCACCACAACAAAGTGCATCACTCCAGCTCATGAAACCCTGCCGAGAAACGAGGAGCAGGAACAGGAGCACCCTGACAATTAACACAAGCACAATCCTTGACCTCCTTCTTCATGATCATAAGGACATGTTCAGCAAAAGCAACCAGCGAAGCAAAAGACAAGCCACTGGGGTGACCGTAAACAAATCTATCAACTCTCTGACCATCTTCATAGACTTCTGGGCGTAGGAAAGAGGCATAGCCCACAGGAAGCTGGTTGATGAATTCGACTCTGCCACCTGATCATTCGTAACAATGTCAGCTATCTTTTCCTGATAGCAGATGAGGGGGAGGGATGGCAATAGACGTACCGATAGCGAGGACAAGGCGAGGGCTTGCGTTGAAAGCATCGCTCAAACGAGCAAGAAATTTGATGTTGTCTTCTCTAGCAAGGTGTTTGGGGAAGAAGTTGGAGTCGCCATCACTGCCTGCGAATGTGCTGAGATCGATAGTCTTGGTGGCATTCAAGCTGGATTGATTGAGAAGCATTTTTTTTGTTTTGGAAGATATGATGTGTCTTTTCAGATGAATGCTTGGGATGGAGAGGCTGCGGTCAGGAGCATGTATAGCATGTCTTGTTTGCTCATAGTAAGATGTAGATGGTGTCGGATTGTCAGGATCGGGCAAGCCTTCTTTCGTGTGACGTTTGTTTCGCTTTGGCATCGAAAGACATGCAGCGATTGCTGCTTGAAATGAATTGCATGGAGCAATAGGGAGAACCCAAGAATTTGGCTGGAGCATGGTGCCAGAAGCACATTCAGTCACCTATCGCGAGTACGAATGTTTATGTGCTTGCCAACTGCAAGACTTCTCGGTCTTGGAGTGACTGCGTGTAGTGAAAGGTACGAGACATTTTCGAGAGATGGGGTAGCTTCATCACCGATTCAATACGGGCGGGATCAGTAGCATAGGTATTATAGTGTGTAGTTTTAATGCTGTGATTAGGATAACAGAGCCGCTCCGACCTAAAGTGCAGAGCAGACGTAAGGCTATACAGATCCAACTCTTTTCATCGGATGGCCAACAAGCTTTTTTTACCACCTTTTGATTCGTAGCGATGTACTGAGAACAAGGCTCTAATAGTAACTCGCCTCGGTCGGCGCATCGAGCGATGAGGTGCTCCGAGCCGGCGATCGCAAATTGCTAAGGGACTCGCGTATCAGTGCAGTCCACGGATTGGTATGCATAATGTTCATTGGGCGTCGTAGTAATATGCAAATCGCAAGGAAGGTGATGGTAAATTTACCTGTCCTTGATACGAACGCCTTCGACCAGCTCCGGCATAGCGTTGGCGAACGAAGACCCTACCGACCAGTTGCTGAGGTTGCGCATATGAGACTCGAATACAGGGTTGATCATGAACTCTTCGTCGTCATCCAGAACAGCAGCTGACGTAGCTTCCGCACCTTGGACGCTATTTGCGCGTGGCAAGAGACATTGCTGAGGGTCGTATGGCCAATTCAAAGACAAAGTCTGGCAGTACACAGGACCGAAACGCTCATTAGGGTATGCTGCGCAATTCTTGATCATGCGGTCACGCATCCAGGGCCTGAAGGCTGTATTAGTGGTTGTCTCAAAGTAGCGTATGTGTGACTGACCATGGCACGTTGTCAAACCAGATGGGATGGCTGACTTCAAGCTGGCACCGGATGGGCCGGATCCATTCGGGCAAACGTTCAAAGTTCTCCTGAGTGGGAGCGATGCGCCAGCGCATAACGAGAAACATAATATACAAGCAAGCGACCTGTTCAGGGATCTGATCAATTTCAGGAAGATTGGCCAAAACATCAGTAAAAAGCTTGCTGAGAGGGTGCGATTTGGGGGCACGCGCAGGATTGAGAAGGGACGAGATGGAAGGATAGGCAGGGCCAACTAGTGAAGAGGACGGAGTGCCCTGCGCTGCAGCTCTACGCCGCTCCGTCATGAAATCCAGCATGACACTGTCTAGCGCATTTGTGGCCTCCTGATTGCGAGGCAGACGCATGTGTACCGGCACATCGGCAGTTGGTGTCGGTATCAGATCGCGCTGTGACGGTGAGGTGAGTCGCACTTTGCGGTCCTCGACCAAGAAGTTGCCAAAGCTCTGGTTAGGCATGTCTGGTACGAGCTGTTGCTGTTGTGGTACACCGGCAGGAGCGATGGCGGTTTGAAAGTGTTGATGTGGCGAGAAGCGTTGCTGCTGTTGTGGATGTGCATGTGCGTGTGGATGTTGTTGTTGGTGTTGCTGCTGCTGCAGTTGAGCGGCCTGAGCTGCCTGAGCATACTGACGGGCAGCGCTAGCTGGAGATTGATTTGGACGAGGTGGTTGAGGTTGCTGTGCAGGCTGGATGTTGCGAAGGTCTGGGTGAAGATGGTGCTGAGCAAATGGAGGTTGGTCGTAGAGGGTGGTTGGCTGGGAGGGGTACATGAGGGCCTGAGGCTGAGGCTGAGGCTGATGCTGTGGCATGGGGAGAGGGCTCTGCTGGGCGGTAGCAGCAGCAAGGTCTGTGTGGTTGTGTCAGCGGCAGCCGGGCTAGTTGGGCATGACAGAGCTACTGCTACCATTCAGACCTTGCGAGGCAGCAACCGGCTGCAGCAACGAGAAGATGGTCTGCATGCGTCGTTTGAGGTCGTCGTTCTCGGCCTGGACCTGTTCGCGCTGGCGGAGGGCATTTTGCAGTTCTTGGAAGGGCTGTTGGCTCTCGAGTTCCTTGATGCGACGTTCCAGCGTCTCGATCTGGTTGCGCGTTCGCTCGCGGATAGCGCGCTGGGCTTCCCGGTCGTTCGCTCTTTTCTTAGCCAGCTGCTCCGGAGTCAGGTTGGCTACGCCGCGCGAAGAGGTGCCATCGGCCTTGCGTTTCCTGCCGTTGGTGGCCGCCGAGAATCCTCCTGACTGTCCTGTCGCGTCGTCCGGTGTTGTCTGCGTCATTGGGGTACCGTTGGTCGGCGGCATTGACATGGCGCCATCGCGCTGCGGCGTGCCGTAGCCTGACGAGCCATTCGTCGTCGCCATCATTGACGAAGCGCTTTCCGCTTTTGTGACACGCTGCTATGCTAAGACAGATATATCCGAGTCATGCACGATGGTGTATTCAGGGCGCACGGTCGGGGGCTGGAGGCTGAGAGCTGGCGTGTTGAGATGACCAGTTGGTAGGGACGGCTGCGCGCACGGGATGGGGGATGATGATAATGGCGGGTCGAGGTTTGAATAGCCAGACGGGCGCACAGAAGACGGGGACTTTTGCGAAGGGGGTCTTCCGGAGGGGATATAAGAAAATAGAGACAAGAGTCGCGCTTTCTTGGTCGAGCGTCGGAGCCAAAAGCCAATGCTTTGACGAGTCAGTCAAATCAACACTAGTCGCCCAGCCTTGGCAACTCTGCTCTTTGCGACTTTGACCTGCTTGTGCTCCTATCGTTCGCCAGTCCGTCACAAAGGAACCTTTTTGTCAGTGGCGCTTCCCTCACATCGCCGGGGATCGTCGCTGCAGATCGCCCTCCTGATCCCGAGACTTCTCTTTGCATCGCCAGACTGACCAACCGCTGGGCTGTGTCTATCGAGTATTCCCTATTCCCGTTTTCCTCCTGCCCCACAGCACCGCCGAAGTCGCCATGGCTCAAATCCAAATCCACGTCGCCATGCTTTTTGCTCCTTCGCTGCTGAAGACGACACCCCCCGCACAGAGCCTCTGCCAGCTGCATACTTGACCGTTGGTTTCACGCCCCGTTTAAACTGGCCTGTCTGCCCACTGTCCCTTTGTGTATTGGTCATTTCCTCGAGATACGTCCGAATTGGCGCTCTTTTCACGGCTCGAACATTGTTAGGGATTGCCCACTATATGCCCCACCTTGTTGCACCACTGCTGTATCGCAACCCCCGCCAGATCATCTGCTTCTCAGCCTTCCCTGCTCACGGCGCTTTTCTCAAGGCACTGTGCTGCGCAATCTCTGCCAAACCTTTACTACTCATCTGTCCTCATGGTGTTAAGTATCATCTCAAGACAGTCCTTCTAGCTCCTGTCTTGCTTGTTTCTGTGCCTCACATAGTTTGCTTGCACACTATCGGCAATTCTCAGACATCAGAGCGGCACTCCTTCGCCCGTTATGCCGTCGCTTTCCCTGTCGAGTTGCTACACTAGTCAACAAACTTGGCTTCGTCACAAACTACTCCCCTGCTAGAAGTCGTCCGTTGCTCGACACGATTCATGGGCACCATCTTATACATGCTTGACGTCTGGTTACGCACACCCGTCGCTTCGTTTTGCCCGCACAACCTACTTTCTTACCCAAAAGGCACACCCGCTTCACTGCTGCGCTGTAAGCTCGTTCCCTAAGCGAGCCCGCTACCCTACAGTCGCCCACAAGTAGTTCGATCTCGGTACTTTTTTCATGTCAAAGATACGTTACCGCAGAGAAGACCGTGCCGACAGATGATGATTGATCGTGTGGTCGTTCCCCTCTTTGAAACCAAATATTGAGTCATGCCCATCTTCAAGATTCAGCCATGACTCGGTTAGCCATTCCTCGAAGTCTGCTTCGTTTCTGGAAAGGATCTTGCGCTCAGCATGACCACGCGTTGCAGACTATGAACTAGTCTTGTGAGACTTGACTCGCCTAGCACAATTGCTACCACGTGGATTAAGCATCTTCAACGAATCTTGCTGTCGCTTTTTGGCGCAACGTGTTACCACGGCTTCAGGGTTGAACACGAGCAAGATTGATGGACTCATCGTCTTAGGAAGCTAATGCATAGGGCTTATAGGGAACCGCTAAGACGTGCATGTGCTTGACACTTCCAATAAAATGCAATCGCTATGTTCGGCACGCGATGAAAGCTCCGATCCGTTCTTGCCAGGATTGAGGAAAGCAAAGAACTGAATATGTGTTCGAAATACTACCAAGGGGTGAGCACACTTCCCTCTGCTGAAACAAGAATAGTCTGGCAAATAATTATAGCACATATGCTGGGAAGTACCTGCCAGATTTCTCAAACCTCGCCTCGGAGCTTCCGGAGGGTTGCACGGTCATCTCAGCTCTCGCTTCTTTCATTCTGGAGAGTTAGCAGCACTCCATGCTGTGAACAAAGATCACGTACGAGAATGGGAGCTAATGGCATACATTACTTGCGGGGTTTGCACGCTCAAATACCTCGGAACAGGTTCCTGACGTCTCCCCTGACGGTGAACAAATGGCGCAGTCAGCTTTACCAGTCAGTGGCGCTTGTCTGGCGTACTAAGCCGTCGATTTTTGCGCTTGACTAACGTCAGTGAACCAAGCTGCTGTCTCTCGGTGATCTCCGCTGAACATAATACAGAGGAGCCTCACTGAACTCTCTATCGACGCCCATCTGTGTCAATCGAACAAGTTTGACATTCGCAGCAGGTCGGAGGCCTTGAGAAAAGCCTTCGGAAGTCTGCGGGAATTGAGGCGTTCGATCCAATATCTGTCGTCGAGGGCCACCATCAAATCATCCATCTACCTCATACTGACGTTACGATCAATCCCAGCAGACCCGTTTGAGATACGCCCTCACTGTTGTGTCCTGGAGTTCATCGCATGGAACTGTCGAGCTGTGCTTCGACATACGAGTCCGAGGCTTGACTCAGATATATCTCAACATCTCGCTAGATTCGTGTTCGACTCGTATATGCAAACTATGTTACAGACGCGCGGCTGAACGCTGTACGTTGAGTTCATGGCCTCACGAGTCTGTCATTCTTAAGATTTGGACAAAAATGGAGAATGCATTGTTGCTGTACCGCAACATGAACGTAGCCCTGCTCCGGTTCAGCGGAAGCAGCTAGTCAGTGGAAATGTTGAAGAAAGCTCACTCGAGATGAGACCTTCTGCGCATCTTGACTACTTCTTGGGGTTTATGTTACGTTTCAAAGATGTGCAGCCCGGGCATATTTCATTGATTAACTTCGGACCCCTTTCGGGACTATATGCAGAATGCTTACAGAAGCTGGGTCAATTTCGTCGAGAACTTTACGTGGTGCGCAAAGGAGCATTAACCACGCCCGACAAGCAGGCAACATTCACCGCTTCAAGCATTAAGTTTGGCTTAGTCTGCATTGCCTCCTTTGGAATGCTGTTCACACCATGTGGCTAGACCAATGCTCTTACATCGCACCGCAAGTTATCCGCGTTCAAGTACTAGCCTTGCATCTGTTCTTCCTGGCATAAGTCGATATTATATAATGGCCGCTTTGCTCGCTCATACTCATCCGCTGCTTTGACAGGCCTCGCATAGCCGCACCTTCCAGACAGCAAGGATATGTCATGGTTGCTGTCAGAACACAACAAGTAATAGCTTACTGGCATCTGGACCAGAGCCTGAAAAGGCGTCATCCCCATGGCTTACCTTCCACAGTCCAATCTGAAACAGTCTCTATCGGAATATACCATCGCTCTACAAGGTTTTAGTATGGCGTTCGCATTATGCCTACGTCGCTCTTCGCCTTCCCTTGTAGAGCAATAGACGAAGAAAAACCGTTTGGCCTCAGCATGACCGGTACCATAATTATATCTCCGTTGCGCCGGCGATCTGGGTCGTGCTTGAGACCCGAATTTTTAAAGGTCGTCCCCGCATCCAACCCTCGAGCCCGCACGTGGGCAGACCACATCTCGCAAGCCACCACCATGCCACGAATCTGTCGGGCCGAGTGGAACTACTTCCGCGGTGGCTTCCAGAATATCGTTATCGGACGTGGCTTGGAAAGCTGTTGAGCCTCACACCCTGGTTCCACACACGGACAGCCACGCCGAGGAATATCTAGCTCGCTCCACAACCGACCGCCAATCTTTGAACGTAGTGTTATAGGGTGAAAAAGTCAGAAGTCAGTGGTGCCGGACACGAGCGTGGAATTGGAAGCTTCGTGTATATACTTCGGGATCTACCGTATAATGGCTGCAAGCCGAGATGGATTTTTGAACTTTGAGCAAGCCAAACTGCTGACGACCAAGAAGCGTCAAAACTATCTGTCAACTTCTTTTATTGGCCAACCGGTAGTGACATGCTAGGTACATCGGAGACGATCTCCTACTCACCAAGAGTAGACATTGTAAGCGGCCCTGAGAGATACATACATGGTCGTCCCCAGTGGCTGATTGCGCGACAGGTTTCGGACATCTGAATCCTCGAAAATGAGAGTATATACATCGATCTATCGGTTGTGCTTCCATCAAGTCAGCAGCCAGTTCACACAGTGAACTAGATCATCAGACCTGCCGGGGTAGCTCAATCGGTAGAGCGTGTGGCTCTTATCTTCTCAGATATTCCAAACCTCAAGGTCGCGGGTTCGAGCCCCGCCTTCGGCTATTCCTAATTCCAAGTTGACTTGACCATTCTTTTGCACGTCTTTTGACCTCAAGAGGTTGGTGGAAGCGGAGATGCTCTTTTGTCTGATGGCGGTAGGTTATCAAATGGCGGGCAGGGTGAGATTTGGACGACGGGCTGTCCGAAGATGGGGCTTGGATCTGGTAAACACAGATCATGGGTATAAGACCCGCCATCGGCTGCGATGACCTTGAGAATGGACAAAGGATTTCCTGTATGAGTGTTGTATGTATCTGGGCAGCTGGTTATCGACCTGTGATGGCGGGTGGGTACGAGACGCTTCGAATTGTTCAGCAACAGCTGTGCCATTAGCCGTTACTACTAAACCTACTAAGAAGGGACTACATCAGAGACAGAAGCAACATCACCGCTCTCAAGACGCGAAGCTTTGCATTGTGGTTACTCCTTGATGTAGTCCAAGATGCAGCTTTGTCTTAGATTTATCGTTGTTTGTGGTCTACTTTAGCATATATCAGAGGCATCTGTATCTCTCCAGCTGATACATCTTGCCAGCTTTTTGTTCTCCTGGGGTCCCGTCTCCCTGTCTGACTGACTTCCCATCAATCACAAGCTGTGAAACTTGACCTTGAACTTCTCCACGTGAAACGGCTCGACCGCCCTTCTTACCTCCTTCCACCCTCTAAATATCAACCCATGAAATTACTCCATCATCTCGATCACTACATATACCATAGCTCACCACTAGCATAGACCAGAGGTCAATGACCCACAACTTACCTGCACGGGACCTCCCATCGAGAACAAGCATAACGGCGGTCTTCAAAGCAAAAGCAACACTACACGTGAACGAGAACGAGCAGCAGCAAAGAGCACAAGTTTACTTCACCGTTACAGCACATACCAAGACCGAGATAACCAAGAGGTACCAAGACCAAAAGACCCAATTCTAGAATGAATCCAGTCGATGGATCAATGCGTTGACGCATCAAGAGGTGGGAAGAAGAAACGACAATGCTTGGAAAGATTAAAAAGTTGTTACGTGATAGATATGAAAGGGATGGTTGGTAATCAAGCATTTAGGCGTTTTGGCGAGTCAATGGGACAGAGATACTGAATTCAGAGAGACATTGAAGTAATTGATCTTCGTTCTGATGCGGAAGCATAGACTCTTAGTCCGCTTCCAAGGAATGGCGACAAGTGCAAAGGATGTTACAGCATAACATTGACCGCTGTCGTGATAGGAGCATGGTCAAACATCTAAACCTCATTATAGCTCACATAGTCGACCACAGGCTCCTCGAGACTAGACCCACTATGACATAGAGGTATTGACGTTTTGAAGGAACCGATACCGTACCAAGATCTGACCGATCACAATCTTGTCGCGAGAGCTAAGATGTAGAGCAGGGCTACACCTCGCTTAGACCTCTTCTGCTTTGCACAGCAAAACACTTGTCTCCCGAAGACATCTTCAAGAAAGAGACATAGATGTTACAGAGCACAGAGATTTCTCTGGAGTAGGGGCTTCTCGATAATGGATATAAGCAACCAGGTCAAAGACTCTCGATGGGTCGGGCTCCATATAGCTGCATGGTCAATAGAGCTCATGTCTCAACCACGGTGCAAGACTCTATCCACGACATCTGCAGAAGTCACGGAGTTAGTCGACTCCGGAGCAAGATGTCCTAAATGCATACAGTACCCGCTACCTGCCGGTACTAGTCGACTACGAGCGAAGTTACCCTGACAAACCTATATCAAACCGGCCCCTCCTATATCACACGTGCCTGAATCGAAGATGAACAGTCAAAGTGGCTCGAAGTATGCACAAGACCTACGAGGATCTTTCGATTGGCCTCGGTACGTGCAAGAGTCATGGAGCATTGAACGGGGGCTTTGGATGTTTAGACTGGTCGTGTCCACGTTATGATTTCTCGGAGTTGCTCGGAGCTACTTTCTGCTGTGCAAAAGATTCGGTCCGGTGCTGGGGCCCGAGCCGGTAGGGCGTCGCTGGCTAGCATGGTTTCACTGCAGTCCCCTGTGACGTGTCAGTGTCTATATGTGAACAGTGGAAGTGGTGGCTGGGATTCATAAACAAGGGGGCTGTAACAATCGACTGTGCTTGGACAGGGACCGAAGAGAGACTGGAGATCTTATCTTGTCAGTACGGCATATCAATATGCCGCACGGCTAGATATTCTCACCGATCAATGCGGCAGGGTGAGGAAGGGACGAGCAACTACCGACTGGACAGAGTCATGTCTGTGCAGCGGCAACTCAAGGGAAGGCACGACTGCATAGATGAATGTCACCACGTCAACAAAGAACAAGGCAACTCCGTTGTCGCAGGAAAAACATAATTGTATTTTAGTAAAGCAAGAATAAAGGAGGTAAAACTAGCACATCCGTTTGATGGTTGATAACCACGTCGCCGATTAGCATGAAACATCCCCCTTTATCCTCAGAAGAAGGAAATATGGATAGCCAATGTTTGGATAGATACGCCACGCCACTGTTGATGATGATCGGGACTCAAAAGCGTAAGAGGTGTTACTTGAAAGAGGCCGAGCACCAGGACGGGCCCATAGAAGGCGGCACCATTCCTTTTGACGTGCAACGAGCGAAGGTACTGCTTCTTATCGCGCCCAAAGAGGGGACGTACGGGACAGATATGCAGAGCAATCTCTCGTCCGCGTATCAGAGCGGATTCTCAGATTGGTGAATTATCGACCTCCCGAGAATCCTTTCTGAGCCAGAAACACCCACGGCTTGTCCGGAGGGTATGGCAGCAAGCAAGACTGACGTCGACCGTGTCTTTGGCTTAACATCAAGTGAGCGAGATGTGAAGGTTGGCATGACTCTTTCCAAAGAAAGAATATTTGTCCATGAAGTCTCATTCTCGCATCAATCAATCGTAGCCTCCAAGACCAACTTGACTGGCGAAAGCGGTGCTAACACTGCGCACGTCGTCATCGTCAAGTCTGCTAGTACCACGAAGACCGATGGAGGGCATGGTACCGCCTTCGACATAACGCTTGAGGCGGTCAGACTGAGACAAGCTTGCTTGCTTGCCAATGTCGTTGATGCTCAAGCCAGCAAGACTGACACCACCCTGTCCAACACCAGTTCCGTTTTTGCCAGCGACACCATTGGTAGTGGTGGTGATGTCGGTAATCTCGCTAGCGGCGACACTCTCGCCAGCAACGCTTTCCGCGACATTGTCCCTCTTGAGAGGTGCCGAAGACCCATTGCGTCCAGGAAGAGTAGGCCAGGCCTCGGTGAAGTTCTTGAACATGGGTGGGTAGTTGGATGGCAGAGAAGCACCTCCCAGAGCCGAAGAATGAACCGAAGAGACATCATCAGGGATGTATCCCACGACGGAGCCGTTGTCGTTGTAGCCATTCTTGCGACCGGTAGCACGTCCATCGCCGTTAGGACCAGACGCAGCCATGTTAGTGGCATGCTGGTAAGCCATTTGGTAGCGCTGAGGTCCACGGTAAGTGGTCTTAGGTCTGCTGAACTGAAGAAGCGAGACCTGCAAGTTGGTGAGAGGACCCTCGACCAAGCAGTTACGCTCCTTGAAGTGAAGAAGGAGGTAGTGCCACAAGGGGTGCTTGCTGAGAACCTTGGGGTTACCCAAGACAACCAGACCGTACTTGGCACGAGTCAGAGCAACGTTGAGACGGCGAGGGTCTGAAAGGAAACCAATGCCCTGGTGGTCGTTGGAACGGACACAGGATAGGATGATAAAGTCCTTCTCACGACCTTGGAAAGCGTCGACGGAGGCGACTTCAATTTCCTTGTAGTACTCCTTTTTGAAAGTACCGGTGGCCTGCATAGAAGAGACAACGTAGGAGCGCTGACCTTCGTACGGAGTGATAATACCGATATCTTGAGGTTGGACACCGGCCTTGAAGAAACGGGTGACCAGCTTCTCGACGTTCTGAGCCTCAGTGCGGTTGAGGTAGGAGGTACCGGAGGCTGAAATCTCTTCGTTGCCCAAGTTGGACCAGAACATCATGGGTGAATCAGCGACAGGCCAAGGGAAGTCGACATCGCGACGGAGACGCTGGTGCATGGTGACACCATTCTGAAGCGAACCCTCGTAGAACATGTTTGAAGGAAACTCGGACAAGCAAGGGTGCATACGGTATTGGACCTGCAGACGAATGGGAGCACATCCAAGGATGACCAAACGCTCGAACAGAGACTGGTTAAGACCAGCCTTGGCAGCTTGCTTGTTCATGATCACTGGACCCAGCTGTTGGTGATCACCAACCAAGACGACCTGCTTGCAACCCAAGACCAGAGGGATCATACACTCGGGCTCGGCAGATTGAGTGGACTCGTCGATGAGGACAGTTCGGAACTTGAGCTTAGCAAGACGAGGGTCACCAGCACCAACACAAGTGCAGCAAATGACGTCGGCGTTGGTCAGAATCTCACGCTCGGCATTACGAACGAGCTGCTTGTACTTCTTCTCATCCTGACTGGACAGTTCACCCAACTCAGCCTTGAGCTGGTTGAGCTTGTTGAGTTCGACATTGGTGTCGTTCATGCGGACCTGTTCATGGAGAGACAAGAAGCCCACAGGCGACTCGACATCCTCTCTTGACTTTGCAGTGACACGAACAGTCTTAAGGCCAGTACGATGGATACGCTCACACAACTGATCGACGGCAACGTTAGATGGGGCACAGACAAGTACCTGGCCACCGTTGAGCTTAGCCAGATGGAAGATGATTGTGGCCGAAGTAACAGTTTTACCAGTTCCAGGGGGACCTTGGATCAAGCTCAGCGGCTTCTGTAGAACGCTCTTGACGGCGTTGATCTGACTGCTGTTGAGCTCGGGCAGACCTGGCACGCTAAACTTGCGAGGGAGCTGAGTCTTCATGGGAGCAGCGGCAACCTCGTGTCCAAGCAGACGATGGAAAATGTAGCCCGAAACACTCATCTCGTCAATAGCGAACGTCTTCATGGCGTGCTGCATGCGATCGAAAGAGGTGGCCTTCCAGACGTAGTCGGCGCTGAAGTTGTGGGTGCACTCTGTAGGTACAGACTTATGGTCGCCTTTTGAGCGCAATTCTATTGTGACTTCATCAGACTGGTTGTTGGGGATCTTGATGACATATCCGACACCCTCCCAGTGGGGTCGCAACTCTCCAGTGTAACGTAGGCGCATTTCGTCTCCAACGGCCAACTTGACGTCGCCCATCTCGAGCTTAGGAAGAACAAAGCTAGCCAGGTGCTTGTTGTTGAGTGCAAAGTCCCAGCGCACAATCAGACCATCTTGCGACTGTGATTCCTTGAGCTTACGATCGTAGTCGGCTTCAATCTTGACCAGAGGACCGAAGACGTTCTGGTATTGGTAGGCATCGTCATAGCGCAAGAGCACAGGAGCAGGCTCATCATCAACACCGACGCCCTTCTCGAGGTCGGCAATCGTGGCCTGTTGGTTGTCCTTCCACAGCTCTTCCAACTTTGCGATCATCTGAGGGGGCAGGTGTCGGGCGCGCATCTGCTCCTGATCGGTAGGAGGGCCAACGAGCCAGGGGAGGAACGAACGGTCCTCGATCAAAGGCTGCCAGCGCGAGGTATCCCAGTTCATGTCCTTGGACGAGGGCATGGCGGCGCATGGCTGACGGCAGAGGAGGACGACGACGGTATCAGACTTTGCAGGGATGAAACCGAGGAGGAAGACATTCTTTGTACCGCAGTTGTAGCATTCTAGGACGGTGTCGCCCAGGGCGGAGGCAGGGTGGAGCTGGACTTCCTTGTGTCGGGCGCGCACGAGGTGATTGATGATGTGCGAGGACGAGGTGTTACCACGAGCGCTACAGAACCACTTGTTGCAGGACAGACACTTGGCGACACTGCTTTCGTTGTGAATGCCGCAGTAGCTGAAGATGTTAGTTTGCTTGCATCGGTGTCTGAGGACAATCAAGAGACATACGCGCAAGCGTGTGTGGGAAGCTCAATGTCGTGCTCTTCGTGCTGGTGATTGTGACCATTCTGGCCGTTGATCTGGTGGCTGGCTAGACTGTCAAGATCGTCGTCCTCATCGGGGAAGATGTCAGATTCGTCGTCGTTGTCGCGGGCTCTGCGTCGGCGAGGGCGGGCCTGGGGAGGCTGGTTCAGGTTCCTGTTCTGATATTCGCGGTCCAGGGCAGCCTCGTCGGCATCGATAGTGGAAAGATCATCGCCGGCATTGATGGCCGAGGCGGAGTCGGAAATCAAATGGTTCCCGAGATGAGTAAAGGCGCCTTCCATGGCGACGATGGGTGTTTAAAGGAAGCCGAAAGACATCAATCTTCAAATGTGCCCCGAAGCAAGAGTGGCGGGGCTCAGGTATAGTCTTGGCACCACTGTTGATTGCTCAAGGTCAAACAGAACTTGGATGTGTTTTGTCGGGGGAAGATTAGTTTTTAGTGGAAGGAGTGAGAGACAGGATGGAAGCTAGATTGACGAGATTCACTCAATCAAGCTTGTCGAGGAAGGAACTATCGTCTTCTGGAATGAGTTCAAATGGCAGCAGCCGGCGCATGGCAAGCAGGAGCAGCAGCGGTTTGGCCTGTCAGGAAAATCCATCTCCGCATTTGACAGAATAATTTATTTCCATCTCCGACATCACCAGCTTTTTATCCCAGCGGCGACTTCTTGTTCTACTCTTTGATTCGTTCCAGTCAAAGACTCCGACAGGAACTCACACAACATGCTGGTATGCATACCGATTCTTCTCAATCGCCTTCGCAGACACTAACACGTTCCAGCGCCGTCAAGCCCGCGAACGCCGCGACTACCTCTACCGCAGAGCCCTCACACTACGCGATGCCGAGATTGCAGAGAAGAGAGCTAAGCTGAAGTCTTCGCTGGCTTCTGGCAAGCCTCTAGATCCCACCATCGCCAACGACAAGTCTCTGCGCGCAGACTACCGCTACGATGAATCTCGCCCGGACCGCTCTACACAGGAAGAACTCGATCTGGACGACGAATACTCGCACCTGTCAGGTGTCGTCGACCCGCGCATTCTGGTCACCACATCCCGCGACCCTAGTAGTCGTCTCGGCACTTTCGCAAAGGAAATCCGCCTTCTGCTGCCCACAGCCGTCCGTCTGAACCGCGGTAATCTCATTCTGAACAACCTGGTCGGCTCAGCCAAGGGCTCTGGTTTGACCGACATGATCCTGGTTCACGAACACCGTGGTACTCCCACCGCCATGACCATCAGCCATTTCCCACACGGTCCTACTGCCAGTTTCTCCCTGCACAACGTCGTTCTTCGCGCCGATATTCCCAATGCCGAGCGTGGCACCGTCAGCGAGAGCTACCCTCACCTCATCTTCGAAGGCTTCACAACCGTTCTCGGTCGCCGTATTGTCAAGATCCTACAACACTTGTTCCCTCCTCGCGAGCCCTCCGCCAAACTCGGTTCCCGTGTTGTCACATTCAAGAACATTGACGACAGCATTGAAGTCCGCCACCACGTTTTCGTCAAGACCGGATACCAAAAGGTCGAGTTGGCAGAAGTCGGTCCTCGCATGACGATGCGTTTGTTCGAGATCAGAGCCGGTACTCTCGAGAACAAGGATGGCGATGTCGAATGGCACATGAACCAATACACCCGCACTGCTCGCAAGAAGGACTACCTTTGAGCAACCAAAGACAACTCCAGCCAAGTCATGGCATTCGCATGGCTTCTGCAGGACAGCGCCCGGCTCGCTTCTTGGTCTCAGGGCCTCGAAAGGCGATCAGCCGGCCATTTGGTACTTGGCTAAAGAGTGTGCTTCCACGGCATCTAGTCCTAGGCTTCTGGGGAGGCAGTCTCCGAGGCATGAAAGGCTTCCATATATGATGCCTCGGACCAAGGCCCGGTGACCTGTGATGAAGTAACAATACATCTGGTTGAGGCGACAAAAGCAGCAACTGTCGCGAGGATTGAGCGATATCGGCAGACAGCACTGCGAGCCTAACTCCTTCCTGTTCTTATGTTAGAAAGCAAGTTGCAAACAGGCGCAAGGAATGGAACCACTATAAACAGCTGGTTAATGGAGAGAAGAGTTATTGTATTCTCCGTAGTTGATACATTGATAAGGGGAAACATTTATACACATGTCCTGCATGGCCATCCCATTTCCCACCATGCCTTTTCGTAAGCGTGAGCCACAAGCCCTTGATATCTTCCCAGAACGCCAAAAATACTCCATCGCTTTTCCGGCAAGAACAACAGCAGAAAAAAACATCTTGAAAAGAAGTCGTGGAAGTATTCTTCACCAATGGCAGATTCCACCATCAGAGTCATCGACACTCCACACACCAGCCAATCCCACCACAGCGGTCTCTCCAGAAGCATGCTCACCCAGCTTTCCCATCCTTGCACCACCCAGCTCCGCAGCACCAGGTCCATTGTTCAACAGACGTCTAGCCCAAGCATCAATGGCAGGCTCTCCAGTCTCATCTCTACACTGCTTGAGAAACGGAATTAATGCCGTTCCTCCCGTGCCTCTCAAGTTCTTCTTGTCTTTGCTGTCTGAACTCGCTGCTGCGATATTCAAAGGCGCGGCAGAATCTTTACGGTGGGTAGGGGACGCAGAGCGATTGTTGCTGCTGCGTGATTCGCGGGAGGGCACGATGATGTAGCGTGAGACCATTTGAATGTGCTTGTCGCGGAAGTTGCGTAGCATGGCGAGGCAAGCGTCAAAGGCAGTTGCCAAAGCGCGATCGTGGCGGTTCGTGGTGACGAAAGAGCGGATATTGGAGACTGTGCCTACGTGCTCTAGGAAGCGGGCGTGAGGGCCGGGCATATACGTGCGCATGTCGTGGATGAAGTTTGCAGAAGGTCCTTGTTGGACTGTTGCTGTGGGTGTGTCGCCGGGTTTGCTGCCCGTAGGACGGTGCTCGACTCCGAGAATCAGATCGAAGAACTGGATGATGGAGGATTGAGCATTGCTGCCGCCGCTATACTGGACGTAGGCATCATCTTTGCTGTTTGTGTCGAAGATTACGCCGTCGGGGAGTCCGGCTTCGTGCATGTTTTTGCTGCCGGCGAGGAAGGGGCGGATGCGGTGGTAGAAGACGTGTGGGTCGCAGTTCTCATACATGCGGACCAGCATGGAGGAAAGCTCGTCCAGGCGCTCGGCAAATGAGCGCAAACATTCAGTGACTCTTGACTTGTCGCCACGACGAGCGGCTTCGATGGCATGGAGCATTAGGGGGATTATAGGGGCGCCACGAGCCTCGATGGCGACTGAGACAAGATAGAACCACGACTCGTCCAGCGAGCCTGTGAAAGTCATGAGAGTGGAGAGATTGTCCAGTGAGTCGATACCTTCGTCGTCAAAGAGTGGTCGGTAATTCCATAGCACGACTCCGGCGTATGTGGCGACAGTAGGCAACTCAAGATGCTTGCAAGCAGCTGTGAAGGGGACCGAGATGCTGGGAGGAATGCGATCCTTTGGTCGGTCTCCGTTCCAGACATAGGCGTGTGAGATGAAAGCCAGCAGCATGTAAGCGCGACGCCATTCAGCATCCGAGCGAAGGTAGTCTGTGGACAAGACAGGAAGGCCGTCGACAACACCGCGCAGCCTCTTACCCAGGATCAGACCCTGGAGATTTCTCACGATGGCCTCCCATGGTCTATAGTATGTGTCAGGTAACACCTCCAGCGGGTATTCTGAAGGAAGGAAACCATAATGCTCAGAGACATCGTAGTCCTCGAGGCGGGGGATGGAAGGAATCATGGTTAGTCGAAAAGGCGAGTGTATCGGCTTGCAGCGCCGTACAACAAGCAAATTCTGGTTCTTTGTTCTGATTGTCGGGTTGTGACTCGATTATAAATCGGCTGCTTCGGACTTTGTCGCGTGCCCAGAAGATCTAGAAAAAGAGTGTCGATCGGAGCGGCGGGGTTGGCGGGGTATAGAAATTCAATGGCGAGGACGGACAGGCGGGAGGCGTCGAAAGGGTCGCTCGAGGTCAATTGAGTTGTGTGTTGTGAATGTAGAGAAAAGGTCCAAGTCAAGATGAGAAGTGGCGCAGATGGGGTTTATTTGTTCTTGGACAAAAAGTGGTTGAGAGTTTAAGTGATGCCAAAGCGGTGGTGGGGCAAAACTGAGCGTCTTCTGTAGATTTGACAGGGCTTCCGCTTCAAACACTTGAAGGGTCTCGAGGATTTTGATGGATACGCGAGAGCGACGGGACGTTCCTTGTCTTTAAACCACAGCGACACCACTCTCTAGGGCAATACCGGAGACGGAGGCCTCGGAGATTGTCATGATGAGCAAGCAAACGAGCGGGAGCAGCGGCTTGCTCATACAAGAGTATTGGTACACAGGCGTTCCAGGCAGCTCCGGTCGCGGACCTCTGCAGTCGCCGGTCTGTTCGGCACTCTGTTCACCCGTTCCAGACCCGGAACTTTGCTTTGAAACCTGTCGGACTCGAACACATCAGGAGAGACGCCCTTTAGGACGCGGTTAATATCATGCAGATGACCAACCACTTGAACGACGCTATGCTAGCATATCTACCGGCGGGATGTATGACAGCTATAATATGCCAGGGACGGCAATCTGCAGACTCAAATGACACAACAAGCATTTAATGCAGCATCAAACATGCGCTATTTTGCCTGCAACCTCGAGGGACGTTGCCTGTAATTCGCTCCCCCGCGATTGTCGAGATCTCTAGAAGTGTCGATCATTTGTTCCATAGTACCAAGATCCGCCGTGCATGATGCCTCGACGTCAACGACTGTGAAGTGCCATCGTATGTTTTATGCCGCGAGGCAAATTTAAACATGCGGTTTTGGTCTCAATTCTAGATTATGAGTAGTCGGGGACCCAGGAAAACGTTTACTTGATGCTAAGCCGACGGTCCATGCGAGATATAGTATTGGTATGCGACTGATCGTGCCTCCAGCAGATTCACCCCTTCTCCTTCTCCTCAACTCTTCGCTCACGATAATTGAGCGGGAGCAGGAGCGTTGCCTTTCTTCGAGATGCATTTGTCTCTCTTGTTGGACTTCTTTGTGCCGACTCTTTGTTGTTCAGGTCGGGTTTTGCTGGGCAATCTACTTGCGATGAGCAAAACCGAGTGCCTGATCGGCATCTGGACACAAGCAGCACATTTCTACTATGGCAGATTGTATGAGTCTCTTCTCAACATGCTCTTTGTTTATGCAATCTTGATTTTCGACCCCTTGAGCAGCAAACCACCTACAACCTTGCCAACAGCATAACCGATATAGGCACCAGCCAGAATAGTGACTGGCCACTTTTGCCACTCGCGGTCCCAGTCCAATGGGATGGGTATAGCACCAACCCAAGCACCAATCAGTGTCCCAACAGTAGCACCAAAGACCTCATCGATGGGAGCAGCCAACGCGCCCACCTCGGTCCACTTGGCACCGTCGACACCGTGGACGTAGAATAGAGGGTACGCGGCGAGCAGTGCGATGTGGAGACCGCAGTAGATGGTATGGGCTTGGTGAGAGGTGAGCGGAGCACCGAACAGGATGAGGATAATAGCGATAAGGGGAGCTCCGAGGGTGACGGCGAGGATGAGCGAAAGAATTCCGGGCTGTGTAGCATGATCAGTACTATCCTTCTTGAGCCTGCCTGGGGTTTGCGACACTTACAACCAGCTTGGCTCCGAAGCCGCTGTCTCCCTGGTGGTTCTGGGTAACCTTTCCCTTTTTCTTTCCGCGCTGAGGCAGTTGAGCCTGGTTGCTACCAGGGATGCAGATGCAGAGGTACAACAGTTGCAGCGCTGCGACTCCCAAGGCCGTCTGGGGCAATGTTTCGATGGGCTTCTCGACCAGCGAGGGAAATTGGTAGTAGAAGAGACCGAGCAGCAGTAGCGGATGCAGATGCGTGTAGATGGGCGAAAGGCCGTCGTCCCAGCTCTCTATCGGATACGACTTGAAAGATTTCGTTTTCGTCTCTGTAGCCGCCATTGTGTGTATGTGTTGACTACCTCGAGAGAAAGTATTCGTGATTGGACATTTGTTTGGAGACAGAGACGCCTCGGCATCCAGGAGCTTCGGCCTCTCTCCGAACAAAGCCCGATATACCATTAATATCACTCGACCCTTCAAACATTCCATCGAAGCCACTTTATACAGGAAAGGACGGGTTTATCTACATGCCTGACCGCAGAGCACCTTCGAGCCATGCAACACCAGCAACAACGCCGTCAACGATGCGGACTTTCGATCCCTGGCTATGACCCAGTGTTTCGATAGCTGCCTCTCTGACCATGTCATCAAATCCTGCCATACCTGCACATCCTAGACACACCGCTCCGACCGGACCTCCCGCATCATCAACCAATAACCTTGCGACTGCCTTCTTCATGCGGCTACGAACTTCAGTAGGAGGTGTCTCGTGCAACTCTGTGGCATTGAGACCTGTGGTTTGCACTCCCGCGAATGCTGCGCTGCCCTCAGTATTGTCCTCGACACCAAGATAGTTGTCTACAGCTTCGCGCAAAGTTGCTTCCCACACCCTACCCGTGCTCACAATACCGAATCGTTCGCCGGGTCCGATGGCTTGTAGACTGCTACTGACTGACGCTTCAAAGATACCAGTGACCGGTTTGCGACGACCAGCAATTTCAGGTCTTGCTTTGAGCTGCCCAACAAGCGGATGTGCCGAGTAGCAGCAGACAAGGAAAGCGTCGTGCGTTTCGAGTAGCGGAAGAAGAGGTTCTAGGCAATGTCTTGCTGATTCGGCTGCGTCGTCTTCATTGTTGATAGATTCCGGTCCTGAAGGTGCCGTGAAGTAGGTATGTTGTGTCTGTTCGGATACGAATACTCAGACGATGCTATTGTTTCTCAATGAGCTTGTGATAAATACCGATGAGTAGCCTAGAGAGTCAACCAACGGCTTGAGCGCATTCGTCATGGCTCTTGTTGAGTTTGGGTTTATGATTAGGATCTTTCGCAATGCAGGAACCATCTTGTCGTTTGTGCGCTTTGTCTGTTCTTGCAAATGAAGATGATTTCAGGTTGACGTGGAAGAAAATTTCCTGCAAGAACGTCCACTATCGACTCTGCATGCGCCTGTATTCGCGTTACTCGATATAAATGACCAAAAAGGCTTCAAGGGACCGCAAGCTTCGGCTGAGACGGACGACTCCGTTCTTTCCGCTCCCAATCTTGTTGTCTTCTTTTCGGGCGACGGAAATGTACGAATAAAGAGCGTTCGCGTACAGAGGGAGCTGCTGTGATGATGATCGCACCGCTCAGAGGGTCAAGAAGATGTGGCCGGGTTCGCTGGTCACCCACCATCAGCCATCGGCCGCGCTTTGAGCCTCAAAAGTCAAAAACTCTCGACAGCACTTCGCATCTGTCCCCCTCCTCTTGGCGACACATCAACAACGACAACATTGAATTTCTTCGCGATCGACCTGCGAAACTTGTGTACTCCTTGTCCTGACTGATGGCTGTCTTGTGTCGCGGATCGTCCAATGTACTGCGACTCCATGGTTTCAGACATGCCATCTCGAACACTTGGGATCCATGCAGTTGTGTTTCCTCCTGCATCAGAATCAGCTTTGTGGACTACCATGCTGCGTCTGTTTACTGACCTGGCATTCTTTGGGTTACCGATCATGTCTGTAGGTTGATTATTTCCGTTGTATGGCTCCCAAACCGCCACAAAGTCCGATATGCTCATATTCTCAAACATCTTGACATCTCCCATGCCGGTGCCCTTGTAGGCGAGGTACATGCCAACAGGCGAGATGCGAGTGTTGCGGACGGCGCGGAAGACTCGTATCCAGATGATTCGTTTGAAGGTTGCTATTACCATAGTAAGGTGATCAGGTTCGTAGGTATAGATGTAGAGGCTGCTTAGGCATCGGACGATGGAGACTGTGATTGAGTGAGGGCAAGCGTGGAGAGGTAATGCGAAGGTAGGAAATATCTGGAGAGTGGTGATGCACACCTAAGCAGAGAAAGGGCATGAGTGGGAGGCTTCCTGAAAGGCAGTCGTGGCATGATCGCGACTGCCTCCGATAAATGGATGTCGTTGACTAGTGAGTTTGACAGTCAGCCCATCCCACGATGGCTCGAATTTGTCGCATACCGATCACGCTCTGATATTCACAAAAAGATATTATGTTCGAGAGGCTGACCCTAACTCTCATGGGGTAGAGACCATACGAGATCCTCCCTCTATTCAAAGAAGATCCTTGCTTGCGCCATGTTGTTCATCGTCGCAGCATACAATGATATCAATAGTAGCCTGCGAAAGGAGTGTCAAAGTTGAGGAAAGCAACGAAGGTATTGTGTGTTCCAGAATCGACTTAGTCTTGTTTGCCTACAAGAACTACCCACCTAACAATAACAAGTATAAGACCCTTACTGGTTGACCGATCATCGACCCTGTATAGTTCGTCCTAGAATACAGTCCGGTCTGAACTCTCTCCTCCGCATCTCTGTTGACGAACAAAGCTGCTGAAACGCTTGGTAACAAGTAAGGACCACATGCTACATGAGAATTATTGACCTCTCACATTTCATTCTCATAGGTGGCCCGAACTGGACCCTTATCTCTACCTCCATCACCAGCGGGACCTGTCATAATGTACAAAGACAATCGACGAATAAGAAGGTAGGCAGGGAGTCGGCGACCCGTGAGTTTTGTCCGAGATCTCGGCCTCGATAACCCTTTCTCCCCCTGCATCTCCATCGTTGATGGGACCCACCGAATTGCACAGCGATTCGCGGGAGACGGTTGATCGCCAGGGAGTCATCGACCTAGTACGTTTCGACTGTGGTCTCAGCATCAGATCCGTGTTTCCAAAACTCATACTGCCTTCGCAAAACCCAGAAGTAAGGTGAGAAGATGGTCTCGTATACGCGAAGTGTGTGTTGAGATAGTAATAAAGAGATATAGATATGTGGCGGGTTATCGATTCTCATACTAACTTGATTTATGTGCTGAAGGGAGCGGGTTTGGCTGTGTCTCGGTTCTTTGAGTTGGGAGGAAGTGAGATGTTTTCCGTTGGACAGAGAGAAAGCGGAGGTAATGTCGGGATATTTTACGGCTGCCCGGTGGTCAGGGGATCTCCCACTGTGCCATTGGTCTTATCAAGCTGGAATGTGAGAGGAGTGGAAATTCTAGAGTATATAAGGGTTTGTGGAAGTGAATGGGGAGGTTTGTTGTGATTTGTGATTCGATCAATTGCTTTTACCAGCAATAAGATCTCTTATATGTCTTCTAGGGTAGTATCCCCTTTATGTGATGGACTCGTCATTCCGCAATACAGCCTCGTGCATGTACGAATCACATATTCCAGGAGTAACAAGAATGAAAAGCATCGACAATGACTATCGTCTTACATGGCAAGATCATGCTTTTCTCTACAATTGATTGTCCCAGCTCAGCAGTAGCAATGCGCTGTCACCACCAGCAAAGACATCGTAAACTGCACCAAGAGCAAAAGATCAACCTACAACTTTGTACCGAGCGACAACAGGGTGGTTTCTGCCACTACGCGATCATCAGGAACGAAGGACTCCTGGGGAGCACAGGTTGAGGTAAAAAGAATGAAGAGGTCCATGATACCCTGATACCGGACCAGTCCCTCGACGTCCACTACTACACAAGAATAGCCAGTGACCTTATTTTGAGACAGAGGGGAGCATAGTGGAGAGTCATTGACCCAATGATTTGCTCTACCTTCTCACGCATTGTTGTCCATTAAAAAGGCATCAAGACTAGACACATAGTACGAATACAAGCCGCACACCACAGTTGTATTTTTGATGCTCGACATGAGCAAATCGAGCGAAGATGACCGACTTATCATTCCATGCATCTGTGTGCATCTCTTTATACTGGCCGATCTGGCCATGAGCTTGTGGTCTGAGAGCTCCAGAAGAACGATGACTCAATGTCGATGGGAAACATGCTTCTCCAATGTTAAAGTGTATTGTTGCTCTTTCGAGAACGCCAAGAAGATGGTGTACTCTGTTCTTGATCCTTCTCTTTCTTCCCAGCTTCCACAGTGTTTACTCTAGAAACCAATCTTGTCTGCGAATTTCATCCTTGTTGCTTCGACGATGTCGAATGGCAAGACAAAGACGGGATGAACAGCTTCCACCAAGTCGCTCTCGTCGAAACACCACTGTTTCCTCTGCTCTGCACTGGGCTTCTCGTAACTCCAGTTGAATGCCGCACTCATTGCCTCCTCTTCCCCTCTTTCCTTCTCTTGCTTACTTTCATACTGGTACACATACTGTGCAGCAGAAAGCCCAGCAAGTGAGTAATTAGTATGATAGCCATCAGGTCTCGTACTCGGTTTATCCCTAAGGCCACCCTTCTTCGCCTGAGAGCAAGATAACGTATACCTGACCAGCGCCTCTCTATCCCAAAGATATGTGTCTTTTGGCAAGCCAAGAGCAGATTCAAGGAGGGAGAAACACCCACCCACCCAGTGACTGTAACAAGCATCCACTAGCTTATTGGTGCGACCGCTGAATCCTGCTTCTGGTGCACATTGGCGTGAAGTCAACCAATGCGTTAAGCGCTTGACGTCGAGGTATTTGGGGATCGAGATGCTAGGGGAGTCGAGCAGACAGAGGCAGGCGAGGACGCAAAAGGCGTAGGCGCCGTGGGCTTCATTGTCTGGAGCACCACCTAGACCTCCTTCGAAAGTTTGGCATTTACTGATCCAGGAGCCAAGTTCTGATGTGAAAGTCTCGAGACCCGCGCGGCGAGCGGGAGAGGCAGGTGGTAAAGTGAGAGGAAGGCGGAGGAGGGTGTGAATTGTCATGCAGCAGTATGCGCCGCGGACGTCTTGTTCGCCATTGACAGCCATGTTGAAGCCGCCGGAGGGGCTCTTAACTTGACCGAGCCAATGCCACCTGGTAATTTTCATAAGCATGTTTTTTCGGCATGAGAGGAGAAGGAAAAGGCAAAACTCACATGGCTCTTCGATCAATCATATCCAAGCCACCAACTAACGCCAAACTCAGAGTAGCAGCATAACTCGCTGCTGCATGAGAAATATGACCGTGTCCACCACCAAAGCCACCTTCTGGATTCTGCAAAGGTGTAAATGTGTCGATGCATCTTTGCTTGTACTCGCTGACATCCACTCCCAAAGTCCTTAGTCCATTCAGAGCCCAGTACAACAGCCAAGGTCGACTAGCATCCATGACCTGAAATGGCGGCGGGTACTTTCCTAGAATAGTGCGCAGGAAAGCAGTATGCTTGTTCTTCAGCAGATGTGGCAGACCATGTGTGTTTACGTCGAAGATTGTCTGATCTTTTCCCGTCATGAGAGCTATGACTTCTCTCATTGTCTTTTCCTGAGCAACAGATGTTGATGTTTCCAAGTCGTCTACCAGAGAGCCAGGAGACGCAAAGTAAAAGGGTAGGTTTGGCGCAAGTTTCGAGGCCATCCAGCCGTGTACATTCTGTCCGTCGTCGTCGCTGTCGGAGGAGGTCTCGTAGTCTGAGTCGTCGTCTGCTTCTTGTATTTCTTCTTCCTGCGCAGAGGATAGTTCCTCGACACGGGCTGAGGAGTCGAGCATTTCGGACAAACGGTCTGAGGGTGTTGTGGTCGGTTGTGTGAGAGGTGTAGCTGAAGACATGGTTCTTGTTTTGGTGGTAGGGTCACGATTTGAGAAGCGGATATTTCGTTTGTATGGCATGTGTCGTGATTCCGTCGTGAGTGAAGAATTTCTTTATGGTTGGCTTAATATTGTTGTCGAGGCATGCGGCTGTGCCATGGAGTGAGTCGGCAAATTCTGTTTGCGACCGGGGTATTCGATAGTATGATAGTAAATATTCTGAAGCAATAGAAACGCTAAACCAGTGCTGCCACGCTCGCTGTAATGTCAATGTGAATGCTGATGGTGTTGGATAATATTCTTTGAATTTGTGACGTGCTGCATGTTTGAGATGCACATTAAGCTTGGACCATCTCCCATCATGTCCGTCTAAACTCCGCACCTTATATCATTGACCATTCTTGACCATTTCCAAACCCCGTCTCGACCAGGCCAAACTGCCATGACCATATTTCTTGTAGAGACGAGTCTTTCCCCACCATCGGATCCTCAAGAGGATTCACCAACGGCACTGTCAAAGTACACTACTAATGGTGGGGGCTCAACCTTGCCCTTAGCCACTGCCTTCAACGCCGCATGTGCCTCGCATTCAATATCATAAAACTTCATGTCATCCAGACTAGCAAATGTCGTTTGAGCTGCGAGGGTATAGCCTTGACTTCTTGCATCGTTGACTGCTGGTCCTGCTACGCATCGAAGAATATATGGTTTGCCGTCCTGTGTTGTGCACCATGTCAGCCAGGGGAATCAGTGAGAACGCAACCTGGAGCCATACCTTCTTTGCCTCTTGTGCCAATGTGGTATATTTGTCCAGGATAGGTTGGATGTTGCTCGAGTCTGGAACCTTGAACATTGTGACGCGGTGCACCTGCGTTGAAGCTGCTGAAGCCATTGTGTAAATTGAGCTGGTCGTACGATTGGAAGAGATGAGCCGATGTGTGTTCAACACAGGAAGCAAAATGCTGTTCTTACGCAGCGGCATCATGGTGGTTTTATCCTCCGTGACTGCACTCTGTTTCACCCGACGGCCTCGTCTTACACTTTCCCCTCTTCCGAACCCGGAAGCACTAGGGAGCGTGCGCCGTTCATGCCCGTCAAGTGTAACATCACTCTCATGAGTACGAGCGCTTAGGAAATATGTTCATGAAAGAAAGTCATCAAATGTATTTACGTGTCTACGGGTATCGTGTATAAGGTATAATCTAAACTTTTTGGAAAAATCGTTTCTCTCTAGGCAGAGGGGCCACCGTAAGGCAGGGCAGTGGAGCTGGTCAGGTCGATGTAACCGTAGTTCTGCATCTTGCTGTCCTGCGACATCTTTTGCGCCCACTCGCCCATGTCCTTCATGAAGTCCTGCTCGTTCTTCTCGTCGCTCATGTCGATAGGCTCTTGGTCCTTTGCGATCTGGCGGATCTGGGTACCGGCAACAACATTGGTGATGCCGAAATTGTTGTCGTCGGGACGCTGCTTGATGGCACCTTTGACCTTGCCAGCAATGATGTCCTTGCAGAGACGAGGCTCCTGGCAGAGAGGGCGAGCAAGACCAACACCGTCAATTGACTTGAGCGAGTTGGCCATGGCACCGACACTCTTGAAGCCACCAGTGACGTAGACCTTGGTCTTGGTCAGGGCAGGGGCGATTGCGTCCGAGAACTCCATGAAGAAACCTTCACGCTTCTTTGTGCTCTCGCGCTTGTGACCAAATGCGAGGTGCTCGTATGTACCACCGGAAAGCTCGACGAAATCGAACTTGTTGTCCTCGAGCATCTTGCAAAGCTCCTTCGCTTCTTCAGTGTTGAAACCCTTGTCCTGGAACTCAACCGAGTTGAGCTTGATACCGAGGATGAAGTTGGGTGATGTGCGCTTGCGGACTTCGTTGGCGATCTCGATGATGAGACGGGCGCGGTTCTCGAGGCTACCACCGTACTTGTCGGTGCGTTGGTTCGTTGTAGGCGAGAGGAATTGTGCGAGCAAATAACCGTGGGCTCCGTGCAGTTCGGCACCGTCCCATCCACCCTTCTCGAGATATTCGCAAGCGTGGGCAAAGCCCTCAATGATACGGGAGATGTCTTGCTCGGTAGCAGCACGGGGCTCCTCGAAGGTCATGCCCATAACATCGCCCTTGAGCTGAACGGCACTAGCGGAGATGGGGTTCTTCTGGATGCGGCTCTCAACTTGACGACCTGTATATACGGTAAGCATTGAGCCTTGGGAAAGATGTGTCCGCTGTTACTTACCAGGATGTGAAACTTGACCGACCATGAGCATGCCGTTCTTCTTGCCCTCAGTGGCCATACGCTTGAAGTTCTCGAAACGCTCGCCCTCGTAAGGAGCATCGACGGGGATGATAGGGTTGCCGGCAGCCTCGAGGTGGTCGTACTCAATCATGATGTTTCCAGACAAGATCAGACCAATCTCGCCCTCACCCCATCTCTTGTACAGGTTGATGAGTCTGTCCGAAGGGATACCACGAGCAGGCAGGTTCTCGGGATCCCAAGAGGACAGGCGCTCTGTCATAGCTCCCTTGAGGAATCTGTTGGGTGCCGAACGGTTGGAGAACGCAAACTCCAGAGGCTGGGCCAGAGGGGCAGCGGAGACATCGTCTGATTCGTAGCGAGGTGCCATGTTGAAGATGTGTATGTGTAGGAGAAAGGCAAGGATTGGGATAGATACGGATATGAGATTTTAAGAAGGGAAGAGGAGTATTTGTATACTTATGGCTTCAATCGACTAGTCAAAACGTCACACCGTATGAACGGCCACTCGATGCTTACAAAACATCCTCGCCTGGGTTGCCTCGGTGCCCTTACTAAGTACGCACTTACTAAGTTGGCAGCCAAACATGAGCGAGCTTCAAAAAATGATTGACCGTGCACGTCATTTGCCTTCGATAGCCTTCGAGAACTTCCGGGGCACTCTCGGCAAATGTGGAGTGGAGATCATCAACAGATGCTGACAAACTCATGATCGGATAGAATCGTTGTCGCTTGCATAATTGTAGTTGGTTCAATACCGCCGGTTTTGATGCAAGTCGTAAGGCTCGTCAACGATAGCTATATGTGTTATTCGGTTAATGGCAAATTAAGCCCTGTCAGCATCTCTGTCATCAAGACTCGTTCATGCATGTCTCGGCGTTTAGCGGAGGTACGTCACAATTGCTCGGTAGATTTGTTAGCGAGAGAAAGTGGTGGGAACACCAGCAACGAGACTTTAAGAGACAATGCAGTCTACAGGGAAATAACCCGGGTCCAAAAAGTATTTTGTTTGTGTCATAGACTCCCAGAAGAAGCCATATAGCAAAAAGGTATCTACAAGTGTTGCGCGTACAGCCTCCACCGTCAAATCAGACTTGCTCTTTTCATTCGAACCAAGCAACATTAGCTCCAAGCATTATCGTTATATCGTTTGATTGATTCCATCTTGCTCTTGGTCGCTCGCTTACTCGCGCATGTTGACGACGCAGCGAATGCAGTCACCAGCCTTCATGTCCTGGAAGGCGGCGTTGATCTTGTCGAGGGGTTGTCTGTGGGTGATAAACTCATCGACCTTAAGTTTGCCGTTAAGGTAGTCGTCGACGAGGTCAGGGAGTTGGGAACGGCCCTTGACACCACCGAAAGCACAGCCCTTCCAGACGCGACCAGTCACAAGTTGGAAAGCTAGAGATGATGGTCAGCCATTTTCTGGAGTGGTAAATCGATCGATAGACTTACGTCTGGTAGAAATCTCTTGTCCAGCAGCAGCAACACCAATGACAATACTCTCACCCCAACCCTTGTGGCAAGCCTCGAGAGCCGATCTCATGACGTGAACGTTGCCAGTGCAGTCGAAGGTGTAGTCGCAACCACCATCAGTCATCTCAATGAGCTTCTCCTGGATAGTCTGATCCTTGAGCTCCATGGGGTTGACGAAGTCAGTGGCACCGAACTTCTCAGCCCACTCCTTCTTGCTGTTGTTGACGTCGACGACGATGATCTTGGAAGAGCCGTTCTTGACGCAACCTTGGATGACCGAAAGACCGACACAGCCGGCACCGAAGACAGCAACGTTGGAGCCCTTCTCGACACCGCCCTTTCCGGCGGTGATGACAGCAGCACCGTAACCAGTGGTGATACCACAGCCAAGCAAGCAGGTGCGGTCCATGGGGGCCTTGTCGGTGATCTTGACGACCGAGATGTCGGCAACGACGGTGTATTGGGAGAAGGTTGAGGTACCCATGAAGTGGAGGAGGTCCTTACCCTTGCACTTGAAGCGCGAGGTTCCGTCGGGCATGACACCCTTGCCCTGGGTGGCTCTAATCTTGCCGCAGAGGTTAGTCTTGCCGGACTTGCAGAACTTGCACTCCTTGCACTCGGGTGTGCTGAAATGAAATGTCAGTACACTCACTAGCACTAAGACTAATTCAGGCGAGACTTACTAAAGAGCAACAACATTATCACCAGCCTTCACGTTGGTGACGCCCTCACCAACGGACTCGACGATACCAGCACCCTCGTGTCCAAGAACAATGGGGAAGGCACCTTCGGGATCCTTGCCGGAGAGAGTGTAGGCATCTGTGTGGCAGACACCAGTGTAGTAGATCTGGATTCTGACCTCACCGGCCTTGGGGGCCTCAACCTCAATGTCCTCAATGGACAGGTCCTTGCCAGCCTCCCAGGCGACGGCAGCCTTGCAAGTAATGGTCTTTCCAACAGTATCAGAAGACATGGTGGCGTATGAATGTTTAGATGTTTGGGAAAGAAGTTGAGAAGGGGAAGGAAGAAATTGGGCGGGAACGATGGCGGCCGATGATGTCGATTTATTATGGACGCGGGGTAGCTTGGAGGGGCCTGTCACTCTTGTCCCGATGCCTGGAGATAGTTCGGACTTATTTCTCCGGCAGATGCTTGCTCGCTCGAAGATTGCGGAAGATGCAGGGATGCCTAGAAGTGGAGGAGCCGATGAGAGGAAGGTGGTGAGACGAAATGAGGAAGAAGAGAAGGGGACGAGAGTATTCTTGAACATTGGAAGAGCGAGAAAGCAGAGCGCTCGGCTTTTGAGAAGCTACGAGCTGCAGGAGCTGCTTTATACGTGATTTCCCCAAACAGGCAACCTTTCCCGCGTTTCCCATCCTTCCGGCATCGATAACCACATCAAGAGGGGTCGGAACGACCAGCCAGAACTTTATGACTGGCCAAGCGCTTAACATTTACCAATTGGATCAGGTTATCGTCGGGCAGACTTCCAACTGGTGCGGTCTGATACCCCGGGATTGTTCGAAGTGTGAGATGCCGGAGATGATACCTATGACTCTCCGTTGCGTAAGTCCTGATTACCATGATACCCGTCATACTGAGTACGTATGGCACGGTAGGAGACGTGATGCTTTCAGAGTGAGAGTCCTCAATTTATTGCTCAGACAAGATGACTGGCAATTCTTGGTGAGCGCGATATTGATATACAACAGCACGCTGGTCAATGACATTGCTAAAAACTTGTTGAATCTCGGATAAATATCACAACACCTGCATTGTCACTACCTCAGCCAAGAGGGGTGTCTCTCACATCACAATCACCATGCCCCATGCCTCCCTACAGTCGCCTTCCAACCAGACAGTCCCCTTCCCACTAGAAAGTCCAACAAGAGCGAGCTGGGTGGGCTGTACCAGACTTGCAACTGAGATGTGCGAGAGGATGTCAATCGCAAAAGGCGCAAAATAAAATTGGACGAAGAGCCCGCAGACTGACAACAAGATGAACGCGGCAGATGAGCCACGAATGAGTACGACGGATGAACATTTGATGAATCTAGAAGTATATCAAGTGATCGACAAGGTAGCTGACTTGAAGGATGTAAGATGGAAGAACATTAGATGGCATGATGAGGAGGAGAAGTTGAGCCTAGGAGTATCATGCTGTCGATGACTTATGCGTAGATGGGTGATCCTATGCCCAGGGACGACGAACAGGGGAAAGACACGGCTTGCTCAAGAGAAACTGCATGTGCTGGCTCATTACTTCTAGATAGGTACAGTGAGCCGACCGTCCCGCTCAACGGTACAGAGATGCTCCTCAAAACACAAGACAATGTTACAGGGTAAAGAAAAGTTGTTGCGGTGGCCCTCTGCCACCATGATACCTCCCACGACTCCATCTTCCAGCGTTCATTCTTTTATCCTATCGTTCCCTCCAGTTACTGCTGATAGCCCATCATGGCAGGGAATCTCGCGTTATCGAATGCAACATGCGCGCATGAGTTTGTCGATGAGCTACGCATGTCAAGATCGATTGTGCATTTAGCACTCGGCGGGAGAAGCTCTCGAGTTCATGAGGAGAGCAACAATCAGACCGTAAAGACCTGCAGAACTTGTCAGCTTTGCGACGACAGTACGAATCCATAGTTGACTTACCCAAGACTTCGGCGAAAATGAGAATAAGAATCATTCCGACGAAGAGTCTGGGTTGTTGTGCGGTACCACGGACACCAGCATCACCAACGATACCGATAGCGAAACCGGCAGCAAGACCGGCGAGACCGACGGAGAGACCAGCACCGAGCTGAATGAAACCAGAGTAGAGGGCCATGTTCTGAGAAAGATCGTTGGAGATCAGGACAGCAACGACCAGTCCGTAAATGGCAATGATACCAGCCATAATGACGGGAATGATGTCTGCGCCGGATTAACATGTATGCCATGATTGTATGTGATCCGGAAACTGACTCTTGACGATCAGGTCAGGGCGGAGGACACCCATGGCCGAGATACCAACACCAGCCTTGGCGGTACCGTAGGCAGCACCAAAGCAGGTAAAGACAATGGCGGAGGTGCAGCCCATGGCACCAAAGAAGGGCTATAGAAGTGTGAGTGCATGTTCGTGGTAGATGAGCGTTCATGAGGCAATTGTCGCGAAGACAGCGCGGGTCGTGCATATTGATATAATGATCGAAGCAGGGGGCGGAGGCGGGTCATGACATGTTGGGTTGAGATGGACGAAGAAGACAGCGCGCGAGACTTACGGCGTAGACGGGGCTAGGAAGATATCATGTTAGCATACTGGACGACATGCAATAGCGTGTGAGAGCTGGCCGGAAGGTCTGCGGGTATTCAACAGCCATTTCAGGCAAGTTGACAATGACCTTTGGCGCGGGCCTTCCTGCTCAACAAGCTCCAGAATGTAACGTACCAGAGATCGGTAGGCATCTTGACGGTATATGTGATGGTTCTGCTTGGGTGTGAGGGGTTGTAGAGGCGGGGGCGATGGAGTAGAGAGTACAGCGGATGTAGTAGCCAAGAGAGCGCGCGTGTAGCAGGTATCGGTGACGATTTGAGGTTGTCTCTGAGGCGTTAGCCGACGGAGACAGCCAGGCTTGGCGCACGTGATGTCCCGCTCCACGCTTCCTACTCCATGAGGCCGTCGCAATTTGCATTTCCCTCTCTACCATCGACAACATGTGTACCGGTGCCGTCTCTTGGAGCAAGTCTAAAACTGTTTGATATGACATCAGCGAAGCAGCCATATCAGGGAATCAAGACACGCAAGCTTGTCGCTAGGACGACCCTGTCGGCTTCTTTGCTCTACACTCATCGGTACGTATAATCTGATTAAGTCTTTTTTGTGTGAGTGTGTGCAACTGAAAGATCGAAGGAGTATTGTGTAGCAAATCTGCCATGTTTCTAACGGTCGGTGGTGACTCGCGACCATCTGGACACATAAAGTCATGGATTCGCTCACCTTGCGTCTGGCACTCACTATCGGAGCCGACAAACTCGATTCAAGTCACTTAATAAATGTCCCTCAAGAGGCGGAGTAGTACATTCGTATAGACATATATTTCTATTGGAAGCATTTTCAACAATGCTCGCGGTTTTGCAGTTGATGACCAGAATGCACGCAAGCTTCTGCATTACTACACCCTGTCTCCGGAGCTTCTAGCGGTCTTTGTGACCCCCCATACATCTAGTCTACCCTATGGTCCCTCTTCTCTTGGCCTCATCCATCAGCAGCGGCATCAGCAGCAGCATCAGTAGCAGCAGAAACCATCGACTTTCTGAACTCCTTCTTCTCCAGGAAGGCTATTAGACATGATTCTTTACATGGTTATAAGACGAGATACCATGTCCGACAACTTGTTGTACTGTTTGTACTTGCCACAGACCCGCGACTGGTATCCCTTGAGACCCTTATCGAACTCTTTAGGTGTAGCCTTGGCGAGCTTAACCTTGGTGACGTCGTAAATAGGAGCCTGGCTTTCATCAGTATATTTCTACACAATCTCATTTGACAGCGCGAGATGAACAGTAGCCTGGATCTCTGTGATGACTCCCACATCTTTTCCCATCTTCGCGTGCCATTTCTTGCTTCTCTCCGTCACAATAGCTCGTAGAGTGGTTACTTGCACGCCGGGATCCACACTGAAGTCAGGAGCGGGAAGAGAAGGGAACTCCAGAGAAGGTGCCAGGAAAGAGGCGTCTGGATAGTCATGATATATGGTATAGAGGTCGTATTGTCCCTTAGCAAGGTGCGTCAAATACATCTGGTCGAAGAAAGCCCGCTTCTCGTCGGGTGACAGACCCGAATCTGTAGTGGGTGTCGACATGGTGTCGGTATATGGTGTTGATGATGGTCACATTACCCTGATCAGAGATCACGGTATACTGCTGGGACCAGATTGTAGCTCTAGCCGGAGACCTCTACGGGGTCCCGGTTCAAGTCAACGCCATCATCAGGTCGATGGTGAGGCCAAGCATTCCGCCTACCTAGGATGTCTTTGACAGTCAACACTTCTTCGAGGGGTCATAGCCTCGTACCTGATCTTGCAGGTGAAGAGTAGGGTATTCGCAAACGATGCTGGAGCATGATTCTGCATGTTCGACCCGAATATCTGTATACAGCTGTTGCAATACAGAATCATCTCCACGCGCCGGTATGCTTCACGAGATCTCACGTTTGTCCGTATCAGGGCCTTAGATAAGTAGTCCTCTATCTATCAAGCGTTTTTGATGCATATTGAGGGCTACTTCTGCCTTGCCAGCAATTGTGGGAGACTCCATGCTATCTATTTGTCTCTTTGCATCCTTGTCTGGCTTGTGATGAGTTTGGCCAACGACTATGCTCGAGCGTCAGAGCTCATATAGAGAACTCATGTATGGAAAGTCCACGGAAAGTCCGCACGATACAAATAAACAAAGAAAATAACAAGAAAGACGAGCTTTGCCTATCTTGCTGGCCTGCATCGTGCCGAGTCACCATTTCAGCATCGAGCCCAATAGCAAGAGTTTATATATGGTAGCCTGCTATTGTTTCCTGTGCGTAGTACAAAACAAATGCACGAATCGAGGGAGCGAGTTGTGGTCGGTGCCCGGCGTCGCCTACCGCCGACGTGGCTGACACCACGAGTCGAAGGAGTCAGCCGTAACCAGCGTCTTTATCCTCGTTTCACCCACATCCCACCTTTGCGACCAGTAGGCAAAATGTACTAGAGTAGGAACGATGAGCTACGTCCCGCCTGAGACGGATGCGGGGACATTAGACTTGCCATTCACCGGAGGATAGTAAGTTCCATGGGTAGTCGGTCCCGTCACTCATGCTCGGTCCCGATCGAAGGATTGCAACGCCCGCGCATTCCAAAATCCAGCTGCCTTGTTGCCCCGGAGGGCTTTTGAATTAACCACCGACTTCCTGTTTGTATCGTCCGAGAAATCGAATCAAGTCGTATCACACAAATATATGAGTGACCTTGGCCCTCCTGATTTCTGTTCCTTGTACACAGGCTCGAAGCAACTTTGATCTCCGCCATTAGGATCTACTGCTTGAGCAACATTCACAGCATACTCACAGCCTTCACCAAAATGTCTCAAAAAAGTATGGAGAAAGAACCCGATACCACCTCGTCACCACCAGCCAGAGATGACGAAGAGACATCGTACCTCAGCGGCCTCACTTTACTGAGTGTCGTGGTCGCGTTGGTCCTGGTCATCTTCTTGATGATGCTTGACACCTCAATCGTTGCAACAGCCATCCCGCGCATCACGACACAATTCCACTCTCTTGAGGATGTCGGTTGGTATGGCAGTTCATATTTACTCGCCAGCTGTGCTCTGCAGCCCCTTGCTGGCAAAATCTACAAGGAGTTCAGCTACAAATGGACCTTCCTCTGGTTCTTTGCCCTGTTCGAACTTGGCTCCCTCATCTGCGGTGTCGCCACATCTTCCAACATGTTCATCATCGGCAGAGCTGTAGCAGGTCTTGGGTGTTCCGGACTGCTGAACGGTGCGCTATCGATCATTGCGGCGTCTGTGCCTCTGACCAAAAGACCCCTGTACATGGGCTTCATGATGGCTCTTTCACAATTTGGCGTTCTATTCGGTCCTCTTATTGGTGGAGCCCTTACGGAGTACACCACTTGGTAAGTCAGATACCGACTTGTCGATATATCACGATTGCTAACAGGCTGTTAGGAGATGGTGCTTCTACATCAACTTGCCCATCGGTGGTGTCGTTGCTGTGATCCTATTCTTCGCACCTGTCCCTGCTGGACCCGAGAAGACGGAACCAAAGAAGTTCGAGCTGGGTGTGTTCCTCCGCAGCCTCGATCTGATCGGCTTCGCGCTCTTCGCCCCTGCCATTATTCAACTATTGCTTGCCCTTCAGTGGGGCGGTACCGAATACCCATGGAATAGCTCAACCATCATCGGCCTCTTCTGTGGCGGAGGAGCTACGATCTTAGTATTCCTGACCTGGGAATACTTCAAAGGCGACGATGCCATGATACCTCTATCCATGGTCCGGAACCGCATCTTCGCCTCCAGCTGCATGACCGTCTTCTTCACCTTCTCGAGTATGCTGTGCGTGAATTACTACCTACCTATCTATTTCCAGGCTGTTCGTGGTGCCTCACCGACGATGAGTGGTGTTGATCTCCTGCCCAGCATCATCAGTCAAATGATTTTTGCCATTCTCTCAGGGGTAGGTGTTACGAAAATTGGCTACTACCTTCCCTTCTCTGTCACCTGCGGTGTCCTCACTGCCATCTCATGCGGCCTGTTGAGTATGCTTGGCCCTCACACATCTATGGCTAAGTGGATCGGCTACCAAATTCTCGGCGGTGTCGGACGCGGTCTGGGTATTCAGATGCCTATCGTCGCTGTCCAGAACCTCTTGCCGAAATCACAAGCTTCGGTCGCCATGTCGATACTCATCTTCTCCCAGACTTTTGGTGGAGCCTTGTTCCTCGCATTTGCCCAGACAGTCTTCAACACTGGTCTTTCATCAGCTCTTAAGGAATACGCACCCGAAGTCGCTGCAGAGACCATTCTCGCTGCCGGCGCTACTGGCGTGAGGGGCGTAGTCTCTGGCGCTGTATTGCCTCATGTGCTTCAAGCTTACAGTGTGGCCGTCAACCACGTCTTTTACCTCGCTGCTGGAGCAGCAGCTGGAGCTACTTTTGCGTGTCTTGGTATGGGTCTGCACAGTATCAAGAAGATCAAGGCCAAGGCAGAGGCGGAAACTTCTGCGCCTGAGAAAGAAGCCGTCTGAGCCACCATGCCGCTTGCCTACTTCGATACTCTTACGGCTTCACGATACGATCTTACTGCACACAACACACTGGCCGATCAAAGAGCCGACCATGGATGATGTTGGGATCACTTTGGTTCGTACAAATAGCTTACTCACTCCTCACTCACGATTATGATTCTATACCCCCCAACAGAGAAGTACATAGAAGAAACAGTTCTTATAATGCACCAAAAGTTTGATTACCCACAGATCGTCCAACCAATCAGCTTTTGTGATGATTGTGATGTAGATAAGCGCCGACGTGCAACACCAAAGATGCGGTAATTTCTCTTGAAGCATCGTTTTTCCGATTACTCGTTTGCAACCTTGAAATTCGAGTTTGTCTTCCATTACAGCGCCTACTGAGAATACATTGTGACGCTTTCGCAAGCCAAGCGGTGGGAAATTCACAAGTCTTGCCAAACAGCACTCTGAGGTGCCACGGCTTTGCTACAGAAAGCACACAACATGTCCAAAAAACATGACTATTCCGTTTTCCTAATCATCTTTTTCCTTTCTTTTTTTTCTTTTTTCTTTTGCAAGAGTGAAGGAGAATACCAAAGTATATAATCAGGGCCAAAAGACTGCTGCACGAGACATGCAATCATCGCGAAAACATGTGATATGCGCATTTCGTGGCTGGGTCCTTGGATTATGCTATTGCTGTATGCTGGGCCGTGTAGCGAATGTGTATGGCGTATATGTGTGCATACCAGAATTGCCAAAAGAAACGATAGTATGAGATGGGGGGTATATGATGTAAAAAAAACTGTATGAGCACAATATATCTTTCTTTCTTTCCGTACATGCGATGTCGTGAGTGTAAACCATGTTGGAGCGGCTCAGGAAGGGCTGAACATGTGCTTGAACTTTTCAATCTGCAAACCAAACGTGTTAGCACTCTTCTTGTTGCGAATGGCAGAAATACGCTTACCTTTGTTCCAATGTATTTTTCCAATTCAGGCCCTTGCACGCCTTCTTTGCCGCCAGATGACCATGCCAATGGAATCATAGGCACCCTCTGCTTGACCACGACTTCTTTATTAGGCCCCTCTACCGCACGAACCTTTTCAGGATTATTTGTCAAAAGTCTGATTCCTCTATCACCACCCAAACCCAGATCCATCAGCATAGCTGTTGCTAGGCCGTAGCTTCTTGCGTCTGCGGGATGTCTGAGCAGGAGATTCGCTTGCATGGTATCGTGGCCCAGATCTTGAAGATTGTAAGCCTTGAGTTTCGAGAGTAGACCTATGCCGCGGCCTTCTTGGCGGAGATAGATGATTACGCCACCGAGGGAGGGGATGGAGGCGTCGGTGGGGTCGAAGGGAAGAGACATGAGACGAGCGGCTTCGTCGAGCTGCTCGCCGCAGTCGCAACGAGCACTCCATACCGTTTCGCCAGTGTAGCACTCGCTGTGGATGCGCACAAGAGGCGCCAGTGGTAGAGGCATGTTTTGAGCTTCCGCGACTTGAATGGCTTTGTCTTGTCTTTCCTCTGTCGTCACAGCTTCGGGAGTCGGACTCCGTGATACTTGTGCAGCAGGAACACCAGATTCCTGTTTGATCTGATCCAAGCGACTGGATGTACGGCCAGGATACAGCTTCCCTACGTAGGCGCCTCTGATCATACGGTCTTTCTCCGTTTCGCCCTCTCTCGGAGCATCGAGACTTCGGCTGCGGATGTGCGGTCCAAAGACAATGGCCAAGTGCTCCTTGTTATCCGCGCTGTTGTGGTAGAGGTGCAAGAACATTTCTTGGCCAGCAGTGGTGGGGATGCGCGCGCGGACCTCGCAATTCACCTCTGGCAACTCTTCAAGTATGGCCGGAGGGGCCTCGGGTTCGGCTTCGTGAGACTCGGCATTCAGGGCAGCGGGGTCGAGTGAGGACTTGGAGGGGTCGGGGGTCAAGGACGGTGATACCAATGGCGGCGCGGCAGAGGTGGTTTCAGAGACCGACTTGACGGACGAGGTCGAGGGGTGGTGTTCGTCCTCGTGCTCGAGGTCGTAGGCGGACATAGTCGACATGTGTGACATTGAACGCTGTGCATTCTGCGGCCGAGTGAGTGGCGGCATTGCCGGTGACGCGTGTGCGGGATATGTCATGACGGCTAGAGCTGGATGCAAGAACAAGAAGCAGAACGAGAAGGTGCTAGATTGGAGCTGACGAGATAGATAGACAAGATCAAAAGTCTCGCGCTGTCATCATCCAGGGTAAATGTGCCCTCATTACTCAATCGTTCTCGCTGGAGCCGACATGGCCGAATTGGCCGACTTGCCCGCCTCGGGCCCCTCACTGCCCGATACCGCCCGCCTCCCGGATCACCCTCTGATTGGTCAGAATCTCCTCCTAATTTGGGCACAATTCCCAATCTCAATGACTTTGTAAGCAGCTCCTTCCATCCTTCCATGTCCATTTGTCACTTTCCACAAGCACGACATCACTAAAGAGAGAAAATTGTTCAATTAATCTAGCCTTGGCCAGCGCTGAAATACCGCTTGATCATGTTTCCTGCCGGAACAAAAGACGTTTCGTCTAGATCGACAGAAGCTCAAAAACACAATGCGCAAGAATATCCTTCCCAGAAGAAAAACGCCATTCGGCCAAAATACCCAGAACAAATCGCTCAACATGCGGCGTACGAGAATCAGAAGAACCATAACGCCTCGAATCAATCCCTCCAGTCGAGCGGCTTTTCTCGGCCGCGCTCTTTGTATTGTTTTTAGGTACTGTCGTAATCAGAATGAGCTTGCTGTTTGTGTATAGAAGAGAGAGCCAGAGTGAGAAGTAGTGTGAGCGCGAAGTGAAGAATCAAAGGGCAATGGATCCACCCGGTTGGTCCGATAGACAAGATCCGGGATGTGGTCTTTTTCTTTTTTTCTTTTGTGCTTTTGATTGTATCGCAAGGGTCGAAAAGGCGTCCACTCACAACATCAATGAGTGCAGGTTGCGTTGTACGATCATGTCCTGCACGCTCTTCATCGTCTTTTCCAAGAGATTGGTGTCCGTGGCTGTCGTGCCGTGCACATAGACCTCCTTTGACGGATCGCGTACCAGGTTACGGAACTTGTCGGCAAAGAACTTCTGGCCGGCTGCCACGTCGGTGTTGCTGCCTTGGAAATCTGGGAAGTGGTCGCGAATGCGTCCGCGTCCTGTTGAGACCTTCTCCGTGAACAAATCAAGCTTGTTGAGGAAAAGCACCAGGCCTGATTTCTCAAAGTAACGACTGTTTGCGATTGACTCGAAGAGCATGAGTGCCTCGTGCATTTGGTTCTAGATTAGTGTCAGCATGTGCAGCCTCCTCTAGATGTGTGGTCGAAGCTTACTCCGTTCTTGTCTTCGACCAGGACGTGATCGAAACCGCTAATGGCCACAAGAAACAAGACGACTTGGACGTTGTCAAAGACGTGGATCCACTTCTTTCTCTCTGAGCGTTGACCACCGACATCGAACATTTTGAAGGTAAGATTGCCAGTATCAAAGACTGTCTCGCTGATACCTGTCGTCCTAAGGCGTGCACGCAGAATGTCCTGGTCTCCTGGAACATAGTTCTTCTCGAACAGTCTGCTTAGGTCGCTCATATAGCTGCAATACGTATTAGCAGAGAGCTTGTTGTCGGGGAGTAGGAAGGCTGACTATTCAAGGTTGTCGTGTAACGCGTATTCGTGACCCTTTGCGATAGCGCCCTGTACACCATCATCGTCCCACAAGTTCTTGAATGCGTGCATGCAATCCAGCGGCATGGGGTCGTCTGTTCCAATCTCTGGCTCTGAGCAGACGAGTTCCATGGACTTGATGTTCTTGGGATCTTCGAACGCGACCTCGTGCTCTTCCATTGCACCTTGGATACATTGGAAGGCGTGAATCAGGTTGTTGAAGATGGTCACCTTCCATTGTCTACGCTCGCCCTGTGAGAAGCCTTTTGTGTGAATCAGGCGCATCTGCTTCAACACAGTTGACTTGCCGCTCTCTCCCGCACCTAGAGTCGCATGTCAGCATTCCTGCTTGTCACCCGTGGTTTATGTATTCAACGCACCCAATAGTAGGATCTTGACCTCTTTCGATTGCTTCTTCTGATCCGCCTTCAACTGCTTCTCAATGTCGGCATTTTTCCTCGCCTGGGGGTCATCCTGCTTGGAGCTTCCGAAACACATGAAGCCCATTCGATCGGTGGAAACGTTGTAGTGGTATTCTCGTCGTGGCCTAGGCAGGCGGGGGCGGTATTCGGACGTCGAGTTATGGCAAACGGGAGGCTGATTGTTGGATTGTACGGAGCGGAAATTTGACACAAAGCCAAGAGATGAGTATTGGGACGACAGAAGTAGCGGGGTCTGTGTCTGAGAGCTATGATCCTTCGCCGAGCCGGTGGTCGTATAGAGCAATCTCCAATGCGACGGTGAAGCAACGAGCGAGTGGAGGTGCCGGGCGTGATAACAAGGCGATGAGTGCGGGCACAGATGTCGGGTAGGACAAGGCGGGAAGGTCGGTCAGGCAAGAAACGTGGAATCGGCAAGGGGAGAGAGAGTAAGAAATGAAGAGCGTGGTATTCCTTCGTTCTTGCGCAGCGCGCATATCAAACAGTGGGGTCTTTGCTTTGACTCAACTTGGTCCTAGCCGGCCACCATCTGTGCACTGCGGCGCCTGCCCGTTGCGTTCCATGCAAAGACCACCTGAAACGTGCTACAAAGGAAACCTTCGGCCGTCGGTCGCTGCATCGTCGACTACCTGTGCATTCGACAGTCCTATCATTGACAGCCTGTACCCAATGCCAGGCTCGTCACAGAGCTGTGGATACTGGTACCTATGTAGATGAGGTTGAATGGCGTTCCACAGTCTTCTGACTTGTCCTGAAACCCGCGTCCGAATCGGAGAAATCAATCCTACACTTTCTGCCGCGTGCAGCGTCGCACCTGCCTCGAAAGAACACCCTCCTTCCCTCCCGTCTTACACACGCCCTCTGCGTGCCTTCCACATGTGTGAGGGCTTCATTTCACTCGGCTCATGATCCTCCCGGCTCACGCGAGATTGCTCACACAGCCCTCTATTGTTCTATTGATGAACTCTGCCGACTATTGCCGTTGGACTCGCGCATAGTTCACCCGCGTGCGTTGCCTGTATTGTGGTCATCAAACCCTATATTCAAACCCTGGCCGACTCTGACAGCGGCGGCGGAACTTTCTTGGTCGAGCGCTGCGGCCATGTGCTCTTCAATAATTGCTTTTCAATGCTGCGTTCACTCCTCAGGCATGTATGCAGCCTGCAGGGAAGCAAGGGTTCCATGCATGAGCTGCACTGTAGAACGCCAAGCTCAGCCACAACAGGATCACGCAGTATTCTAGCAGTGTCGAATGCCTTCAGCAACTGCCGCTCGTGTGTTCTTACTTGATCATGCTCGACCTTGCTTGGTTGAGAGGCACACCAGAGTGTTACCTGAGCGGTCCGGCGTTTGTTCACGTTATGCTGGTCCCTGAGTCCGGCAAGCCGCCGGACTGTCGCCCCGCTACGGCGCGCCGTTCGGACCAAAGCCATCATCCTGTTCACCCGAACTGAGCCGAGGGCCCAGCTTAGAATGTTCTTCAAGGCTTCCTTTTCCCTCACCATTGCTGCAATGCACAAACGAGTCTCCACTCCCATGTGCGGTCCTCGATTACCGACGCTATCAAGCCTCAAGCCTCCGCGATTTACCGTTTACGTTAAAACAATAGCCTGAGATGATGAGTTGCTATGCATAACGGTTTCGATCCCATTGACTCGGCAAGCCTGAGTAATAGCTACTCCCGAGGTACCTGGAAAAGATACATACACATGCCAGTGTCTCAAAGGATTCAGTACGATACTCAGGGACATTGCGATTCATGAATATCCTTATACTTGACGGGCGATCATATGCCGCACTAGACGGGACAAGTAGTTGCGCAATCTATAGCCTTTGGGGATGTCTTCCTGCCACAGCATCATCGCATGCTAACATGCAAGCCACTCGATCCGGGTGTTACCAGCTCGCTAAATAGCAATATATCGTGCGTGGTCACGCCTGTCACTTCTACATGCGGTGCGTAACTCTCGACAGGCACGCTTCCCATCGGAACTTGAGCTCGGTTGCAGAAACACGTTGTTGCACCTTGAAGGAGATCAACACTATCCTGAAAGCTTTCGTTACGTGATGCTGTCTCCAAAGGTGCAAATGACTCTTGCCCATTGGGTCTAGACGGCTGTCGCGTTTCAGGTATCGCAAAAACTACGGTATTTCTGAATCGAGGAGCTCATCTTCCCACTCGGTGATACCTCGATCAGCAAGCTCGCGATTACGCTCATACCAAGAGTTGAAGTCCAGCTCCGGCATCTCCCCACCATGAAGCAGGTACCTGAGAATCGCACGATCATGAGGGTGTGCACCTTGCCCGACATCCAAGCCGTCTTCAAACAAAGCTTCGTCTCCCGAGTCTCTCGGGTAGTCTTCGTCGTGCAGTCCTTCCAGGTATATGCGTTGCAGACCGGCTTCGAAAATTTCTGGTACCTGACGCAAGACTGAGTTCCAACTGCCGGCGCTCATGTCACAATCCACAATCTCAAGACTGCGCAATGTTTTCGATTGCGTCCGCAGGAAGTTGGTCAAACTGCGTTCAGTCGCGGTACAACTCAGACGTAAAAACTCCAAGTGTGGCAACGTGGGGATTTCCAGACGGCCTATCGTGTCGTCTCCAGCATCCATGGGATGTTCTTCTAGAGCCCAGCTGCCTTCATCGTCACGACAATGGAGCTTCAGAACCTTCAAGGTCTTCGTTGCTGCTATCAGGATTGCGTGAATCTCTTGGAAGAGTTGCTTAGTTTGCCATGTCTGCGTGACGCCAGTGAGTCTGGAGGTTGAGGGTACACAGTAGCTAACATCCAACTCTAGACTTTCGAGATGCGAAAGGCCCTGGATATTGTCGTCGATAATCCTTTGAGGCAGTGTGTCTCTCGTTTCGTGTATGATTGGACTAGAGTTTGGCTCACTCGGCAGAGCATAATGCTCGCTCATGTCGAGGAATGGTTGTCCGCCCACGTTGACAAGACGCAAGTTTCCGAGAGGTGACCCATTTGTGGTTGTCGCCCGGTGCTTGACCGCAGCCAGAAGACAATCCGCGTGCTTCATATGAATGGGATACTTGAGCACATCCACAACCTGTACTTCTTCCTCGTCATCGACCTCAACAGCGTGAAGTTGCATCCAATTGTTGGGGTTAATGACGATGTCCTTCTCGATCCTACTCCAAGGAAAATGAAGATGATTGTCAGCGAATCCGTGCTTCGCATTCTCAGCGGAGACAAGATTCGGAAGACGTGACAAGGCGTCTAGAAACAAACCATTGGGGCCCCAATCGAGCTGTTGCTGCCGATACTCCTGATACTGGTTGAAGTGGTATTGTACTTGTTCGGGACCGAGAGTGTGCTTGGGCATATTGTCATACTCCTTGTACGCCGCCTGACGTAGATCCTGCCTTTCAGTCAAGATCCGCATGCGATAGTCGTACTCGTCATCCGAGGACAGCCGACTTTCCGTACGTGATGTGTCCTCAGATATGCGCTCCTACAGATCCCATCAGTATTTGGCTCTCGTGTGCCAGTGCTCGCCTAGTTTTACCTCGATATAATTCTTCGAATAAGACGACCAAGGTTCACGCATATCGATCAGACCCTCAAATGTGCCTACCCAGTCAATCTGTGGTATCACATCGCCCACAAAGACTAGACGCTTGATGCATCTTGCGATTTCTGGTTTCGATGACAACTCCACAAATCTGTCGAGGTGCGATTGGAAGAAAGCAATGCGATAAGTTCGGAATATTCGTGGATTGGTGAGACCACTGAGATATTTGCAGGTCGCTCGCAAGTTCTTGCAATCATCAAATTGGCAGTATTCGAGTATCAGGTATACAAGTTCTCGAGGCAGGGAGTCCAGCTGACCCATGACTGGAGGAATGACAATGGGGCTAGCCACGATCTTCAAGTGTGCAGCCGGAGAATCACCAGAAAGTCGTTTGAACCAATAGAAAGTGTCGTTGTCACATCCATCGTGATACGACAGCTTTGATCGTCAAGTTTGCGGTCCATGTGGAGGAGAAAGACGCGACCCCGGATTGTGTTTCTTGTTTTCTGCCAAGCAAACAGTTGGACCGACGACTAGTCAAGCCAGTAACTTTGATGGCGGCCGATCTGGACTCTGGCAGCGCCTTTTGGTGTGCTGTCTTTCATTTCCCGTCTTTGTCCTGTCTTTCTGCTTGACGCGAATACCCATATCTGCAATATCAGTAACTTATAATCATGTCGTATCCATCATCGACGCGCATCGGTGGCAGCGGTGAGTACTCGTATAGCAACTCGTCGCAAACAAGCGGAGTACTGAATTGAAGCCTCAGCTTTCAACCACCAGCAATCTGGCGACTCCGAAGCCGAGTACGATAGGTTGAGAGACCTGGCACGAAAGGAACACGGCAAACGTCAACATGCTTCAGCCGAATCTCAGAAGGCATACGCGCGTGGAGATGGAGGTGCTGCTCACGACTTGTCGCAAGAAGCCAAGACCCATGGACAAAAGGCGGACGACTACAATAGACAGGCATCTGAATACATCTTCCGCGAAAACAATGCTGTAGGCCGAGTGGATGGCGATACAATCGACCTTCATGGTAGGGATCATGTATAACCTGCATACCTAAGGCTCTCTCACTGACTTGACATGTAGGTCAGTTTGTCGAAGAGGCTGAGGAGATCTTGGAACAAAGAATCAAGTATGCAAAGAGCACCGGTCAGAACCATCTGCATGTGTAAGTAGCTCTCCAGATTCGCCGCCTTTGAGTGTCTCTAATGTTGAGTGCAGCATTGTCGGCAAAGGTAACCACTCTGTCAACCATGTTCAGAAGATCAAGCCGCGTGTAGAGCAGATCTGCCAGGAGCAAGGTCTTCAGTACCATACCGAGCAGAATGAAGGCAGAATCTACATCAACCTCACTGGTGGAGCTGCAGTTCCTCCTGCTGGATATGGTCAACCCCAGCAGTACGACCAGTCTCACCATGGAAAGCCTCAATACCAGACTGCCTACCCGCTCAGCAACCAGGGCCAGCACAGTCAGCAGGGATACCCATCTCAACAGCAGGGTTACCAGCAGAATCACCAACAGCAACAACAAGGAACCCAGCAGATGGACTACGAAGAGGAGATCAAGAAGAACCTTCCCAAGGTCATCCGCTTCCTCAAGAAGAACTGTTGTACAGTCATGTAATGCCGTCGAGCAGTTTCTGGACGTCGCATTTGCTGTGTCTCTTTTATCGTTATTTGCCTTTGCTTTCTTTTCTTCGTCGATACCCAAGGGCAGTGAGCTGAGACATGTTGGAGCTGTCGAGCTAGTCAAACCCTGAGATGGAGGCGTGGCCCCGTACCGACCGAACGAGGTTAGAACTCGGCGGCGAGGGGTAGTGATGAAGACCCGCAAGGTGCTGGTAGTTTAGGTTAATGGTTTGTAACTTTCTTTCCTCGACATCGAGCCAATTTTATCAGAAAAAATACTTGTTCGTTCCAACGCAGTCAGGATCATATCACGTGCATAGCTGACCCTATAAACGACATATAGCTGCTATGGTTATGGGTGATTCCGAGATCCCTCGTCGCCCACATACACTGTCCGATCGCGGTCACCGTCGCATCGGTCAAGAGACCACTTTCTCGGCCAACGTCGCGCGCCCTGACGCTGCATCGCATCAAGGACCTGTCAGAACACAGCAGTCTCCCCATCGCACTGTAAGCAAAGATGGAAGCTTGACCTGATAGTGTACTGACCTGGTCAGTCTATCGGTGGCTCGATCAATTCGAGCGAGTACTCGGGTGTGTCCCGCCACGTAGAAAGGGCCACTATATCTCTCTCGCGCTCTATTGAGGTACCTGCAACCCTCAGAGAACACTTGGCCCTTGTAGGGTACCCTGTCTCCCAGCATGAACAGCTTCGACTGACCTTGCTAGACCACAAGCGCGCCGGAGAAGACCACGAGGGTTACCAAGGTCTATAGGGGACTGTCTCGTATCGCTACAAAGAGTAGCACAAACCTTGCCGATCTCTCCTCGGCTACTAAGGAGAAGTTTAAGGACTTCAAGCTCACAAAGTCTAAGAGCACCTTCAATCTCCCTGGTCTGCTCCCCTCCTCTGCCCCCGACGGCAACACTCCGCCACTACCGCCCCTTCCTTCGAATATCGCTCCGCCTTCAGACAGGCGTGTTGTGTCCGCCTCTCCTGCTGAGAGTGCAAGTGCAATTCCTACCAGTGTGGAACCCCCAGCTCCCAAATCACCTTCGAGATGGACCAAGGCTCGCCGCAGTCTGGGCAAGCGAGTATCAATGTGTAAGTGTCCTCCAAAATGTGTTAGGCATGCATGTTCTGACACATATCTAAGCACACCTCAAGGGCCAGAAGCAGTGAGCCTCGACAAACCTCGTCAGGGTCCGTCACGACCTCCCGGTCGACTGGTTACCAATGCTCTTGGCAGCCCGGTAGCTCCACGCAAACGCTCCTCTCTTTCACACACACTCTCGTCTCCTCACATAACGGAGCCTGTCGTTTCCACTACTTCGTCTTACACCCAATATTCTCTTCTATACACGCTGACCATGGCCGCGTCTTCGCACCCAGACGAGGCTGGTCACAACTTCAAGCCCATCATCATTGACGCCTCTGGGACTCCCAGGTCTCCGCACACCTTTGAACCCCTCGGTCGTGCCAATTCGCCTTCGCAAAAGTCTCCTTACAACTTCAAGCCGGTCACCGTCGCCGAGTCACTTTGGCCGAGATCCCCTCGTGATCTCACACGTATGCTCAACGACGATGTTCCTTCACACAAGGCTGCTCGCGATCACATGTCTGCCGTGGTCGCTTCGTCACCCTCGATCACATCTCCTCAAGACTTCGGACGTAACATGTGGTCGGGTTCGCCCGCTCGGACTGGCCGCCCACTCACCCGGCTCGCTTCATTGCCCGCTGTCGTTCCATCTTCACCCTCTGGACGTAGACATGAGGCACTTCTGATCGGACCCGAGCGCATCTTTTCGACCGGCTCACCCGCCCAAACAGGTCGCACACTGACCCGAATCGCTTCGTGGCCTGCTGTGACCGGACCTGAGCGTGCCGGAGGTGTACCCGAGCGAAGCATGACCAAGGCCGAGTGGGTCGCTGCATTGAATCCTTATGCCAAACCATTCGATCCTCGTTCCGGCCCTATCGATCAGCGTACCGTACCTCCGACTGTCGAAGTAGCCATGCCTAACGGACTGAATGGCGACAACCCTTTCCCGCGCCCCTATGGCGGAGGCTGGCGTAACGACCCTTATCATCTCTACGATCGTGTGCCACCTTCCGTTCTCTTGATCGACCCGTACGCTCCATCCGACCTCTCGAAGCAGCCAAAGAAGAAGAAGAGCAGCCGTAACTACTATGGAGGCCGCTCGGCAGCCCAGAGAGAGTCCACCAGATATGTGCACAGCATGATCAGTGGTGCAACGCAGGAGGTCTATGAGATGACCGAGTTCTCAACTCCAGACTTCGCCACGCCGACAGTCCCTGCTGACACAGACACGAGACGCATCGTGGGCACTGCTGTCACTAGCTTGCAATCGGTCAGAAAGGATCTCAAGGTCAGGAATGTCAAAGCCCGCGATCCTGGTGGCAACACTTACCTCTACGAGCAATCTTATGTGCCTCGCTTCACCAAGCATTCTCTCCGTCCATCAAAGCGCACAGTCAGCGTTCGCAACTTCTTCAGTCGCCGTCTCTATGGTAGACCAGGCGATGGTTCCAACCTGCTCATGCCGCATGTTCCATACCCACCTGAAATTGTTATTCCTGGCGTTGACGACGTCAAGTCGCCCGAGAAGATCAAGAGTGGTAAAAAGTCGAAGGAGCATCTTTCCGACGAGGGCGAAGACAAGGATGACCGCACAAAGAGAGTTATCGCACATCTCGACAAGCAGACAAAAAAGGCCGAGAAGGCTCGCAAGGAAGTAGCAAAGGGTAAAAAGAAGGCGGTCGACAAAACCCCAACCAAAGCCGATCCCAACTACAACCACGAGTCTGCCGGTCTTGGTATTTACATGCCTCCTTCGTCCCTTACTGGTCTCGGCCCATCCATTCCCCCGGGATTTAAGCAGCACGCTCCCGCTGCTTGCGATCGCATCAAGCAGCGTGAAAAGACTGAACGCATCCAGAGAGCCGACGACGCCAAGAAGAAGCGCGAAGAAGACGAAAACAATCAACGCGTCCGCGACTGGAGCATCAAACTAGGAGCCGACAAGAAGCAAGCACGCGAAGAGCAGAAGAAGGTTGACCGTGAAAACAGAAAGGAAGAACAGCTTGCGACCGCAAAGCAAAAGACAGCGGAGTTCACACCTCCGACCGGATTGCAGAGCTGTGGAAACGAGCGCTCGGAGGTCTCAAAGGAGGAGGATGATGATGATCTGTACAGTGTCTCGCCACCTCGCATCCGCACCCCCAAGCGCTACAGGGACTACCAGTTCGAGGAAGCTGAACAGCTCGTCACGCCCAAGTCTCCTCAACAAATGCAATACGAAGCCGACAGAGCCGCTGGTCTGATCACTCCCAAGACTCCCAGAACGCCTACCATGCCATGTGTAAAGGAGGAACACGGTGATGAAGATGAGGACCATGCTGCCGACTTGCCTCACAGCATCAAGGGCTACCTTTGAGCAATGAGCTGCTCTGCTTTGACGATGTGGCACGACTGTGTCGCTCCTTCTTCCATCACACTTTTTAATTTTGGGTATTTTTGGCGTTGGTGGTGTTTACATCGGAGTGCTTTAGATTCATTTGCTCTTTGGGAAAGGTCTTGTTTTTGCTTTCGTCTCTAGTTAATGCATAAAATCACAAAAAGGAAAACTGTATTGAGTAAAAGTTGTTTCCAGAACTACGTGCATGCGTAGCATCACTACATCACTATCAACGTCCATCGATCGACTGCTATAAGAAAGTGAGCGTGAAGATCACCACCACCAACCACACCGCAAAAGCATGAGCCACACAACAAATCACTATACTCTTCACCCACCAAAAAGAGCAAAAAACCAGAGCCTCGCTCCCATGGAAAAACCCCTCACTCAAATTCCTTGATCAAAGTCACCAAGATATCGGTCGTCTGGCTGCCATTCAGCTACTTAGGACGTACACAGCGGAATCCTGTGAGGGAGTTTTATTGAACGCCCGAATCGTGAGTGGTTAAGCCGCTTCTTTCCAACTTAACGATGTTCTTCCCTTCTTCTGCCATTGTGGCCCCCTTGCTCTTTGTCACTCCCATGGCTACCCTCGTTGACACAACTTACTCAACTGTCCTCTCGTTCGACATGATGGACATAGACCACAGCTTTACGCCTCATGGTATCAAACACAAGCTCAACGACCTCTACATGAGCGTCGACACTGCTCCTTCAAAGTGCGCCAAACTTGAACCCGTCACACTCAACACTGCCGATCAAGCTACCTCCAAGACGTACGAAAAGCACATCATGCGCGACTGGCTCGATCTGCTTCACCTGACTCCTGCAAACCATGTCCACCTCGTCGACTCATGCAGAGAGTTCGCCATGGAGAGCATCTTCTACCGCTCCAACCACAATTCCTACTCTTTCGATTTTGCTCTGCTACAACACAGCGCTGGAACTGCCGTCACCGCCGTCAGCAAGTCACCATCGCAAGATCAAAACATACACATCTTCCAAAGAGTGGACTGTCAGATCATCCATAACACCTTCGGACTGCGCCACAAGAAGACTATGCCTCGAGCCATATCCAGAATCAATGCCGTCGACATGGACTTCCACATCACACAAGCAGCACCGGCCCCTGCTGCCTCCCTCGACCACGACATCAATATGATTGTCATTGCTCCCGCCCCTGAGTCCATCCCCCCAGCAAATGGACCTTGCTACCCCATAAGCCTCTCTAGTCTATGAGCAAGAGAACAGCCCTGTCATGCCTGCTTCGTCGACCCTCCATACTACTCACCTCGGACCTGCCATGAGCACTCCCACAACTGCCACTCAATCACCTACCTGCAGCGCTACTTCATCGTCAGCTTCGGCATTCATCGACAGCATCTGGTCGGAGATGTCAACAGAATCTTCTTCTCCCTCTTCAACAAGCACTATCCCTGTGCCTCCATCTCCTTCTGCCCCAATCATATGCAGCTCGGTGCCCTAGTCGAGCCCTGCCACCACAGAATTCGTCAGCAACTTCAATCACTCTCCTACACCGTCCTATCTTTCGGAGCGCATAGACAGCTTCGAAGGCCTCATGAACCTCTCTGGTGACCTGAACGAGACACCAGCACTCAGATACCTCGATGAGGCCATGAAATACCGCAACAAGCGCCGCAGAGCCATCAACAAACTCTACAAGCTTGATTCCGTGACTCTGAGAGTCATCAAAGCTGATGGATTCCTCAAGGCTCGTCATGAGAGCAAGCTCAAGGCCAGAAACATTCCCGAGTTTACAGCCGAGGAGGTCAACGATTTTCACGACGATATGATCTCCATCATCAGATACGACAAAAACCAGAACAAAGGCGATGATATCGTGAGGGCTTTCAATAAGGCCATTGTCGATGACCCAATCGCTGAGGGAGAAGCGTTCATTGCTTTTGCTGAGGAAGAAGGCCTCGTCGCTTTCGAAGCCGAAGACGAGCAGAGCGATACCGAGGTCGACGACGGCGATGATGAAGCCGAGGCCAGCGCTGAGGAGGCCACTGTGACCCCTGACGGTATGGAGTAGACTGAGGCTCTCGCTCATGTCGACGGAGACTTGCTCTTCGTTCTCGACACCGTGCCAAATCTGGCTACTACGCAGCAATTCACTAAACTGCCGATCTCCTCGATCATTGAGAGTCGCACCGATAAAACTGCCGCTTAGGAGCCCCCAATGCAAGATTCCAGCAAGACCCTTGACAAAGAGATCCTTTCCTTCAATTTCAATCTCTACGAAGGCTTTGACATTGCTGCCAGCGTTCAGCTCCGCGCAGAGCGTCTCGCAGCAAAGAAGGTCACCCTACCCGCCAATGTCGCTGCCCTGTTCAGTGTCTCGGCTGAACCTGCATCAGAATCGACCAACGCAACTCCCTCTTCCCCTGAGCCCAGCGTCGAAGACCTGCCAGACTTCGAGGAGTAGTCTGTCAACAACAGCTCCACTCAGGAAACAAGGACGCTGCTTCCTCTGGACTATTCCAGTCTCGACGACACCACACACGCCGGAAACAATCAAACGACAAAAACGACAAAAACAACAAGAAAATCACAAACAACAAACACCAAAGAAAATGGAAAGCCAAAGCCACCAGAAGATCGAGATGCAACAAACAAACGACACAACGACACAACGACATCAATGATGAGAAGAAGTTTGAGATGAAGGAACGCATGCATGGCAAGGAGTTTTGGGAGTCATGAGAGGGGTTTTTCTTCAGGTGGATCGGGGGAATTCATTGTGTTTTCTGTTTCTGGTTCTGTCCCTGGGACCATGAATGAGGTGGAAGAAAGTAAAGCAAGGCAACCAGGAGTATGAAAGAACGAGAGGGAACGCACTTTCGGGCTGTCTGGTAAGCTGATCAAGGACTCGCTGATGGACGTCTTCATTGCATCAAAATTGGGGACAGCAAAATTACAAACAACGACCGCACAATCAACATGATTTCTCTTGAATGTGAATGCGAATGTGATGATTGTGATGACTGTAACAAAGGAATGTGAGATATCTCTGTAGTCTCTGCCATTTTTCACCATCCTTGTTGCAAAGACGCCAAGCAATCGGCGTTCACCAACGTCAGTTCCTTCATCTCTTGACATTATCCCTTCTCTACCTCTGAACCAAACCTCCTCTGCTACAACAATTAACTGTGTGTTTCTACAGCCTTTCTCGCCCTAAATTAGTGCTCAAGAGGTATAATCGTTCACACCAATTCCACATCTCCTTTTCCTCAATCCATAAGCCCGATAACATCAGGTCAACTACTACAGGAAAAACATGACATGTCTTTCATCCTCGATGCAACTATCCCCATATACATGATTCAATGTAGTGACTTTTGTATATTATCTGAATTTCGCTCTGGGAGTGTACATCTAGAAAACACTGGTCATGGACGCGAGGTACGTCTTGGGGTCACTTGTCGTAGATGCTCAAGCAGTAGCAGAGGCATGGGGTCGAAATGCTGGGTCTGGTGGTCCTAGATGGGTGGGGGAGAGGTTGCTGGGAAGGGGAAGGTGAGATTTCCGACAACGAGTTTATAGGAGCAATCTCATTCGAGTGGGCTGTGTGTCCTTGATATGTAGAGGTTATTGTGTGTCTATAAACAGGCTATGAAGGCATAGGGGTGAGAAGAAGTCTCTTGAAAGCCATTGCTCATGATGCTCAAAGCATTGTGTGTTTTGACAGCTCTTCCTAACACGCTTTCATTGCTGATGAAGAATAGTACTTGAGAGACGAGATTCGCCTTGCCCATACCCTGAATTTGAAAAGATTGCAAAAGTAGAAGAAAAACAAAACGTATATCGTACACCAAGGGAGAAGATGAACCCCTTGATCTTTGGGAAAATGCATGAGAGAAAAAAGCTGTTTTTCAGAAAAACCTCACCTTCTTCCCCAGAATATGCTGGCCACCATTCGAATGATTCGTTAAACGTCGCATGATGGTAAAAAAAAAGAAGCCTCCCAACGCCCCACAAGGCCAAATGAGCCCTCGACTTAAAGTTCCCACATGATACCTCGATTCCTAATGCGCCTGAAAAAATGGACAAAACACGAAGTCTAGCAGGGAAGTTCGCTGTGACAAAAGTCTAGACACGAAAAGACTTTGAATGCATGGTGCTTACAAAAAGTACTCTCCTGTCCTTCCTCTGCCTGCGGGGACGGCACGTTTGTGGTCCGGCACAGCGGAGAAGATTGTAAAGTCTGGCTCGAGATCCTCGCCTAACGTCATGATACTGGCAACATTACCACAACGGTAGCAGTAATTTGGTGCCGACCAGACGGTCACGACATCTTGGTTCTTGAAGTGGTATTTGTAGCCTTCGTTAACCAGTTGATGCGCACGAGCAATAAGTTGTAGGCCATTGACGTGATTAAACTGTGATGAATGTCAGCAAATTGGCCAGTGTCAAGGATAAACCTGTATGAGAAAATGGACATACCTCTGTTGCAACCTTGTCACCAAATAGCCAGCCAGCACCTCTGGGACTGACGGCCCATGTGTCGACTTCTTCCGGATCACTCCATACCAAGTCACAGAAAGCGCCCTCGTGTGGGATCTCCTGTGCTCTTGCGACAACACGAATCTGATCCAGAGTACGAATCTCAGGACTCAAGCCGCCGTGAACGCACAGCACTTTGCCGTCTACGATGGCGGCAAGTGCAAGAAAGTCAAAAACCTGACAGCAGGACTTCCACACCGAAGCGTTTCCATATTTGGTCTGACACTCTTCGTAGAAACCATAAACCTGGGTGATTTGTCTAGACTCGTGGTTTCCGCGTACCAAAGTGATGCGATCGGGGAACTTTGCTTTCAAACACATGAGCAAGGTAAAAGTTTCCAGGGAGAAGTATCCGCGGTCCACGAAGTCGCCCAGGAAGATGAAATTCTGCTTTCCGTTGTTGTTACTGCTGGAGCCAGGTTGCTTTTTCCGGGATGCTCCAGGACTACCGCCTAAACCGCTATCGCTGTCGTCGTCGTAATCTTCTTGGTCTGATTCGTCGACGTCACCGCCTCCAGCAGGGCCTCTGTGGTCTGAGCCGCTGCTGCGACTCCTCACGCGACCTCTTAGTTCGCTTCCTTCTTGGCCGTCATCTCCCTCAAAGTCGTCGCCAGCATCATCGGACGCATTCGAAGCAGAAGAAGTGTATGCACTGTCCTTTTGGAAGCGTCGCTTCATCTTGCGCTTGACGCGGGGGTCATTGATCTGGGATGGGGGCTCGATATCGGCGGCGGAGAAGCCCTTGGGTAGTGGTGATTTGGCAGGTTCAGGCTTCGGAGCTTCTGATTGAGGTTCATTGGGGTTGTTGTCGCATGGCATGCCGCCGGCAACGGCAAAGAGCTCCAGCAGGTCGTAGAATTGGCCGTGAATGTCACCACACACCGTGACGGGAGTGTTGACTGGTTGGATGTTGGACTCCTCCATCAGACACTCTTTGACTATCTCGCACAAGCGCTTCATGTCTGCTTCGGGCAGGTATTTACACTGCTTGGCCTGTTCGAGCCATTCGTCGGGGCCGGCACCAGGCGATAGGCGGGCAGGGCCTGGTTGGGGGACTTGACTTTCTCTTGCCATGTTCTGTAGGTAGTTCCACGGCAGGGAAGAGGTGTGGCAGGTGTGGCAGGTGTGGCAGGTGTGGCAGGTGTTGCAGGTCTTGTAGGTGGTCGGTGGAAACAAAAAATGACATGGATCCGTGGACAGCGGCGGCGTCAGCGTGTCACACAGCGGGAGCGAGGGAGCGAGGGAGCGAGGGTCGGGTGGTCAGTGCGAGGCTTCCCGGAGGCCGACTATCTCGCATCCCCACAGGCGCACATGACGGACAAGTGGATAGACTCTCAGGATTCCTCATGACAAGCGACGTCGACCTAGTCCGCACCTAATGCCGCCCAAGCCCATGGTCCTCCTGGCCAAAAAGGGCGCCAACCACCACGCCGACTCGTCTGCTCACCCGCCGCAGCATTCACAGCACTCGGCCAAGCAGAACCACCAGCCCAAGAACGCTCCCCGTCTGAAGCTCCTCGTGCGCCGACTGCCTCCTGCTCTGACCAAGGACGAGTTCTTGGCCACGCTCGGTGAAGAGTGGAAGATTCCTAGCAACAAGATCGACTGGCTGGACTATCGTTGCGGAAAGACAAAGGCTCCCGGAAAGCTGTCTCTACAGTCCCGCGCATACCTTCGCTTGACCAACGAGCAACACATCAAGCCTTTCGAAGCTCACTTTTTGCAGCTCGCCTTCCACGATGCAAAGGGCTCGCACAAGGACCCTCAGCTCAAGCAGCTCTTGCCCTCGTTGACTTTCGCTCCTAATCAGCGCATCCCTACCGTGAAGCAACGCCAGGACGCTCGCCAAGGCACAATCGACCAGGATCCAGAGTTCATTGCCTTCCTCGAGCGCGAGACTCAGCCCGTCACCAAGCCTCTTTCCCTCGATCAGGCTCTAGCCCAGGAAAAGCCAAAGGACAAGGTCTCTTCCACCCCTCTACTGGACGACTTGCGTGAGAAGAAGCAGAACAAGGCAAGGGCGAACCAGAAGCACAAGGAAGAGAAGCAGTCGGACAAGCCTTCGGCTAGAGGCCGTGACCACAAGTCTGACGCCAAACTGCCCGTCAAGGTGCTCGCAAAGGACAAGAAGAACCAGCCTGCTCAGCCTGCCGCTCCGACTCCACCAGCTGCTGCCGCTCCTGCTTCTGGTCGTAAACGCGATCGCGCCGCTCCCAACAACACCATCAAGTCTATGCTGCAGAGGGATCTTGGTCTCAATCCTTCTACCAAACGTGGCGGAAAGGACGCTTCGCCGGCAAATGCTTCCAAGACCGCATCTCCTGCTCCTGCCGCAGAGCCTGCTACCAATCCTGCTACTACTCCGGCTAAGCCAGCCAAGACAAGAGCTAGTCGTAACAAAGAAAAGGCAGCCGCCCAACCCACAGCCCAGGAGAACGCAAAGCCCGCAGCACCTGCTCCAACCGGTATCCTGAAGAAACCAGCTCAGCAAGCAACTCCCAAAGCCCCAAAAGCCGCCAAAGGAAACAACGCTCCCACTCCCACTACCCCAGCACCAACCTCAACTCCCGCTTCTGCCCCTAAGCAACCTAAGAACTCAAACACAAACAATCCCAGCACCACAAAAGCCTACCTCAAACACGCAAACGCCTCTCAAGGCGTCACCGAACCCCTCCTCCTCGCCGCTTTGTCTTCATTTGGCACCGTCGTGAAAGTCGAGATTGACAAGCGTAAAGGCACCGCCCTCGCCGAATTCAAGGATAACGAAGGCTTGAAGGCTGCAATGGCAAAGAAAAGCGTTGCTGTTGCCCAGGGTGCTGTTGAGGTGCTAGAGTATAGGGACAAGCAGGCTCAGGGTGGTAGGAACGCGCAAAGCAGCAATGGAGGCAGAGGTGCACAGGGCAATGCATCTAACAGAGGCAGAGGAGGACGTGCTAGAGGAGGCGGCGCTGCCGCCGCCGCTGCTGGTAACGCCACCCCTGCTGCGACTGCTACCAATGGTAATGGACAAGCTGTCGCTGCAAATGGCAACAAAGGCGATGCTACATGAGTGCCCTCGACAAGGAGCGGAAACGCAACATGCGTACGCTCCTCGATAACATCAGCAGACTCACACCACTCGCCAGAGTCGCGACAGCATTTCTTCCACTGTGAGATGATTCTGGCCAAGGTGCTCCTCCCGGCACACTCAATTTAGCACCCCAGGCAACCTTTGCTACTGGCAGAGGCAGACGAATGGGCTCCACCATAGCTCTTGATATTGCTCCCCAATGGTCTCGAGTTGCTTGGGCCAGCAGGGATGAAAAGTTGGCAGTCCGAGGTGAAGAACGTGCCCCCCTTGTCAGCTCTCGTAGGTGCTCTGCCTCCAAGAACCGCAGGTAGCTCTATGGTCAAGGCCAAAGTCTTCAAAGGCCAAGTAGATCTTGCTTGCATCTTACTTGATGTGACACGACCTTCAGGGGACGATCACGTCTCTACCGAGTCAAGAAGCTATGTAGCAGGAGCGACTTCTGAGAATTGCAAAAGAAATAAAAACATACCTTTCTGAACATCTTTGCTCACGCCTCAAGACACTCAAATGAGTGTTTGGACAAATGCGGTGAATTCATCACTAAACCTGCCTGAACCAGGCGTCACAAATCAAGTCGCAATTGAGCAAGGTGATTGGGTTTAAAGATGTTTGAGTTTCTTCGACGTCGTGCCAAGCCATGAAATCACCCAAGGACCTTCCTCCCAGCCCTCCCTTTGTACTTCATGCTTCATGCTACTCCTCCCCCAGAAAGAATCCAGTCTGCAAAAAGTAGACTGCCATCACCATCCACGAGACAATTTGTTTGTGATTTCGAAAAAGTGGAGAGGGAAAAAAGTTATACGAGAAAGTGCGTTCGAAGAGGATACTCAGAAGATCTGTCTTTACATGATCTCGTCCTCCATGGTGGCATCGCCGACGGCAGGGGCGGCAGTGGGTGCAGGTGCACCGTTGTTGTTGGCGGCAGGTGCAGCGGCGTTAGGGTCAAAGTACTCGCTCATCTCAGCGTCAAGCTCCTCGACAGTCTTGGGCTTGGGGCGGCCAGCGCGAGCCTTGCGGGCACCACGGCCAGCGGCCTTGGTGGCACCACCAGCAGTAGCGGCGGGCTTGGGTGCAGCGGCAGCTGACTTGGGCTTGTTGTTGTCCTTCTTTGCCTTGGGTGCCCTAGAGCGATGGTTAGATAACCTTTTGCAATGCGACAAGGCGATGGACTTACTGGATACGGTCGCCGAGAGACTTGGGTGCTGAGGGGGCAGGGACAAAACTGGCGCCCAGAATGACCTCGACCTAACCGGGTGTGTCAGCAAACGTTAGGCCCAGATACCTATATTCGATTGAGCATACCTTGATGGGCTTTCCGTCGACCTTGACAGAGTTAAGCTCCTTCGCGGCACGTGCTGCGCTTTGTGGCTGAGAGAAGATGATGGTGACGACGCCGACGCTACGGCCGTTCTTGTTGTAGTTGAGAAGGACCTTTTTGACGGGTCCGACTTGTTTTGAGAAGTAGTCCTGAAGGCGAGGTGTTAGTCCACATCTGGAGGCAATCGTTAATCGCGACAAAACTCCAAGATCCGGCAGATGAGAGAGCGAGCTGAGAATCGAATCCAGCAAGCACGTCAATTCTGACGCATGAGCACCAATGAGCAAGCAGCAGATGTTAGTCTTCAACGCCCACTGCCATGAAAATACCGGTTCCCACTTGGGCCTTTCAGGAACGCCCAACCGCATGAAAGCCCGACCTTCGACAGCCATCTCTATCAGTCTGCCCAGAGAACCATGGCCAAATTGACTTTGTCGATCGATACAGGCACACCATGATACCGTACGCAACTCTGCAGACGGTCCCAGTCTGTGAAGTATACCGTAGACAATGCATCTTTGAAGTAAATAGCCCCTGGGGATAGCTGTGTCTGCTGCTGTGCTCACTGATGCTCAATGGGAACTTGTTCAGAACACGATGGTGTGTTCAACCAAGAACGAACCGTGGCGTTTCTGGACATATGTTCGGCCTCATGACCTTTGACGCTTGCACCTAGCTGGATGGATCTGCTTGCCAAGCAGTACATTGCCAGGTATAGGTTTCTCGCAAAGCGCGTGTGCTGCTTCTGTTCCATCTTCGCACTACGTCGAGCCTTTTCGAGCGAGCAAGGTGCTAGGAAGGAGTGCATCAGGTCTGGCAGTACTCAAGAAGAGTATGTGGGTGCTCTCGCCAATCCAAGGAGGGGAAAATGTCGCAACGCAGGTACGATCGAAAGAAAGAGTCGTGCAAAATGGGCCATATCCGCTCGGCCTTGTTCGGTCAACGTACCTTAATCATCTGCTCCGTAACATCGGAAGGCTGATTGTGTTAGCGGATGCCAATCGACAGAGGAGGCGCGTCGACATACCAGGTTGCTGACAATACACTTGCTTTCTCCGTTGGCGGGAAGAGCGGGAGTGGGGGCTGCAGCGGTGTTTGCCTTGGGTTGACGGCCGCCCTTAGGCTTGGGGGCAGCGGTGTTCTTGGTGATACCTCCAGTGGACACTCTGGGCTTGCGGTCGCGACGAGCGGCCTTGCTGCGGGTGCCGGCAATCTCCTCAAGGGACTGGTCAAGCTTGGAAGACATGGTGTATGTTTGTTTGCGAGGAAGAGATGTGTGAGTTATGGATGAGTTTGCGCGGAAACTGGCTACCGTGTTATGACAAGGAAGCTGGAGAAGAGTCGAGAAGTGGCGACGAGGAGGTTATGGGAGAGCAAAGCTGTTGGCTGGCAAAGCGCAGATGCGATGTCTCTGATGGCGTTGAAGTGCAAGACGTGGAGTCGAGCTGGCTGACAGTAGTCTGTGGCTTGTCGCAAAGTCGGCGCGTGAGTGGTGATGAAGCGCGCAAGAGGATAAGACTTGACGCAAAAGTATAAGACGATTTGCGGCAAAGAGATTGGATGAAGAAACACGAGTGAAGGTGTCTCTCGAAAGTTGGTTGGTCTTGATGAAAGTGAGAGGGGAAGGGGGGAGTCTCGTACTGTGAAGGGACGGAGGGAAGCTGTGCCAGCTAGCGCGGAATCAGTCGGCGCTTACTAAACCCGGCTTGGTCTATCATCATCCAACGTGTCAACGCGCTTGCATCTATTGTCTCTTCAATGGACTGAATTGGAAGCAGCTATTGCGTTGTCCGTATCGAACGTCGCGTTGTTTGCATGCACTTCTGCAAACATCGCTCTCTGCTCACTCTCCGCTCGTCTAGTACCAAGGAATAGATTGAGCATCACTACTCGTAAGATATCGTAGTATTGTAATAGTAGGTTCGTTCGGGAATATGCGCAGTAGAAGGAGAATATCAAGCCAGTCCATGCCGTCCACCGCGCCCAACGCCATCTGATCATCGCTCATGTCTAGCTCTTCAGAGCTTCCAGGCGCCCTCTCATCTGAGCGAGCAGCTCCTCCTGGTCTTCTTCCTCTTCGGGCTCATTTGATTGTACAGGTGGAAGATCCAAAGGCTGTGCGTTCGCAGGCAATTTGTCCTTGAGCACCTCGCTGAGGACCTTGTCAACCTCGCTCTCTGCCTCTTCCTCGTCGTCTTCTAAGAGTTCATTGTCGGGAAGACTGTCTCCAATCATCTCCTCGATGATGCCCGCCTTCATCAACTCTTGACTGAGTTCTCGCATAGTGCCTGTCAACTCGGGTAACCGTACCAGTGTGTTGACGTCTTTCATGATGCCAACGCTCGCCTTGATGCTTCCTTCGATCTTCCGCACCGAGAAGGCCTCGTTGATTTGCATGCCTACGCTCTGCAGTTGTGCCTGGCTAGTAGCCAATCTCGCGCTCTGTTTGCGTACTCTGATGAGCTCACGTGCAAAGGTCCGGGTTTCTTGAGCGGCTTGTTTCGCTTGCGACGGGTTACGCTGGGCGCGTTTGGCGGCTTGAGTGATGAAGGTCTTGGTCTTGCCTTCCAGCTGCTTTAGCTTCATGATTTCGCGATCGAGTTGTCGAGTCTGTTGGCGCATCAAGGTATTGCATTTTCTTTTCTGTGATCGTGAGATGGTTTGCGCCAGGGCTATTAGAGGACGAGTGCTGGCTCACCTGCTCCTCGGGGGTAGGGCCCCAGAGGAAGCTCTTCACCGACTGCATGCTTGCGGATGGTATAGATTATGGCACTTGCTCATAGCATGCCGGGTTTGCTTGAGATACGGACGCACGAGGACTGACACGCGAGCGAGGTTAAGTGAGTGAGTTGGGCATTGAGTCGACGGTGCCTTGGCTACTATCGCTATCGGCCAAAGGCTTGGCATACGTGTGTTCCCCGCCATCTCGTCAAAGCTCCTGTAAGAGCTCCCAGCGCCCTTGACAAGACGCCGTCACGATTGGATTATATACAAAACATTAGAGTGATCGACTCTTCCAAGAAAAAGGTCACCAAGCGACATCTATTCAGTGAGTACAGATAATCATGCGGGTCGGCTGTTTGTTGTCTGTTTGCGCGGAGCATGGGCGGGTTCCATATGCTTCGCGTGTATTCTAGACTGGCGACCCCACAGAAACGAGCGACTGACGACTTGCAAAGGTCTTTTCTGGCCAACGCACCCAACCACCAAACACCTTTGTCGCATTTCTCTCAAAACATACAAATCCAACATACACATCATGGAGCAGCCTACCAACACCACCGATGTCAAGGGCTTGAAGCAGATCGTCCCTGAGGGTGAGTCGCCGCCTCGTCAACAATCCAGTGTCGGCGAAACATGCTAACTCCTTTGCGCAGTCACCTGGGCCCAGCGTTCGTCCACCACCGAGCCCGAGAAGAACCACATCTACATGACCATCGTTGTCCCCGATGTCGACAAGAAGAACCTGAAGCTCGACCTGCAGCCCCAGTCGCTCGAATTCACTGGTTACTCGGAGAGCAAGAAGGCCACATACCACGTCAAGATGGATCTTTTCGCCGAGATCGACCCCGCTGAGAGCAAGATCAACCACTCTACCCGCTGGATCGAGCTGGTTATGCAAAAGAAGGACCTCAACGAGGAGTACTGGCCCCGCCTTCTCAAGGACAAGCAAAAGGTCCACTACCTCAAGACAAACTTCGACAAGGTACGCTTTGAACCACCACACACTCGCGATGAAACAATCAATCATACTAACGTAATTTCTAGTGGGTCGATGAGGATGAACAGGATGCCGTTCCCGAGGACGATGACTACATGTCCCGTATGGGTGGCATGGGTGGTGCCGGCGGCATGGGCGGTGCTGGCGGTATGGAGGGCATGGGTGGAGACGGCGGCTTCGGAGGTATCGACTTCTCCAAGCTCGGCGGCGGTGCCGGCGGCGCCGGCGGCATGCCTGATCTCAGCGCCCTTCAGGGTATGATGGGTGGCATGGGCGGTATGCCTGGTATGGGCGGTATGGGTGGCGACGAGGGAGAGGACGATGATGACGATGACATGCCCGAGCTCGAGGAGACCGAGGAGGCCAACGCTGGCGCCTCCAAGTCCAAGATTGAGGAGGTCGAGTAAAGAAGTGGCCCTTTGATACCCGCTGCCACTTAGAAAAAGTAATTATGAACCGCCAATGACGAAGAAGCGCTCCAGCAGCTTTCGCCCATAGACCCGGACGATAATCACCACGAAGGTCAATGAGATACCAAACTAGTTTCTTACATTAAGAATTATTGTTCTTGTACATGATTCTCGCTCTCGAGATTTTACGTATTCTGGTTGAAGTTCATGCTGTATCCACCACTGTTCTCATCTTTGACAAATTGGAAGTTGTTCGTGCTCAGGCCGAAAGGCTTCAGCATAGTGTTTCCAAGGCCCTTCAGTTTACTCATCATCTCTGCCATCTCTTTCGATTTGGCGTCGTCTAGCTTCGGACCAATTTCTCTCATCGATCGCTGCACTGTTTTCTTGTCCAAAGGCGACAACGTCGGAATAGTCGACAGAAACGCATAGTCTGCATGTGTGAGATGCGTATCATGATATAGTTTACGAAGTTCTTACCTTCGTAGGCCCCTTGCAGAGCAGCCCACCCTCCAGTCTCTGATCTAGCCTTGGCTCGTCTCAAGAATGCCTTGACACGGATCTTTTGTACATCGTCTCGTGTTCTGCCACTTTTCTCCAAGGCTTCGATCTTCTCTGCCGTCTCATCGTCAATCTCTTCGACAGCCGATTGTGCCTGCAATTTGCCTCGACTAGCATCTTGTGCCACTTTTGGCTTGGGCAGAGGATCGATTCGCTCCAGGGATTCTATGCTTTTCGTAGCACTGTCGGTTGCTTCTTTCCATTGTTCGGCTTTGATATGGCACGCAGAGATGTTGGAGTGCAAGACGGCAATCTCATACTCGAGGTAGTTGGGGCATGACGAAAGGGCACGATCGTAAGTCTGTACTGCTTCCTCGAAAGATCCGTGAGCGAACAGGGAGTTGGCGTCTGATTTGAGCTTGTTCGACTCTGCTAACAGTGACTTTGGCAATTAGGATGTGATATACCAAGAGACAGTACTGACGACTTACAGCTTCCTCTTCCGGTGAGAAGCGGGAGCCTGTGTGGACATCATGTGATGACTTTGCCGAGACAAAACTTCTGTCGTCGTCTGACGGATAGTCTTCTCCTGACATGGCGGATCTATAACAAGCACCACAAGCAGATTGTCAACAACAAAAAATGACGTATCATTCGCTGCGCATGTGAAGGTCTTGGCACCCTCTATCGCTCCCTCCTGCGACTTTATCGACCAGCGAATCATTCATCTCCAACTTATCGAACGATAGTATCTCTGTCATGGCATCTGAAGGAGAATCGGGTACATCTACTCCCAACTCGCGCTTCACCACTCAGGCGAAATCGGCCGACGACATTCTTTCGGCGCAGACTGTGGGACTTGTCCATCTCGACGACTTTAGGAAACGACGAGCAGATGCCATAGATGCAAAGGAACGAGAAGCACTCGAGTCGGGACGTGCCACTCCTGGTAGTGCAACCGACAGCCCGTACGTATCCCTCCACTTTGTCAAGAAACATCGGCTAACAGAACAAGTGCAGTGACCCGACGTTCAAGCCTTCCAAGAAGAAACGCAAGACAGTCAAGAAGGGCGCCCTGTCGTTCGGCGATGACGGCGACCATGACAGCCAGGATCAGAGCACATCGCTAAAGTCTCGTTCCATCACACCTGCAGCCACGAAAGAGGAAAGCACACAAGACGATGAACACATGGCACCCATCAAGAAGCGCCTTGCTGCCAACGACAATGTCGGCTTCATGGCCAAGTCCATGTCCAAGTCAGCCCTCCTGCGTGAGGCACAGACACGGGAACAGCTTCGCAAAGAGTTTCTCGTCATGCAGGAAGCAGTCAAGCAGACGGAATTCCTGCTGCCGTTCGTCTTCTACGACGGCACGAACATCCCTGGTGGTCAATGCCGCATGAAGAAAGGGGACATGGTCTGGCTCTTCCTCGATCGCGCGAGAAAGGTTGGTGCCGAAGTTGGTGGCAGCGACAAGGCTCGACGTGAATGGGCCCGTGTTGGCGTCGATGACTTGATGCTTGTCAAGGGCGACATCATCGTCCCTCATGTATGTTTCCGCCCTCTCTCGCAATATACGGCTTACTAACGCCTCTCCAGCATTATGAGTTCTACTATTTCATGGTCAACAAGACCGACGGCTACAGTGGACCCCTGTTTCCTCACTCTGCCGAACCAACGGCAACGACTCCCGTCGACACGACGGCTCTAACCACTACAGGCGGTCTCTCCGTACCGACGGCACCATCTAAGATGCCTAAGGTACACACGCTGTCACCCGTCGTTCCTGATGCAGACCTCGAAGGTTTCGGCACGGACCCAAACTCGACAAAGGTCGTCGATCGACGTTGGTACGAGAAGAACAAGCACATCTTTCCCGCCAGTACATGGGAGGACTTCGACCCGACGAAGGACTATACCAATCATGTGCGCAAGGATGTGAACGGTAACGCTTTCTTCTTTTCGTCATGAGCCCGACACCACCATCTTTTGATCTCCAATCTCTTTTGATTGGCTTATTCCTAGTGACGGCATTTGATCGCACTTGGTATTTGCTCAATCACCTTGCAGCCTCCTGCGCGTGGTTTACTGCTTGCAGGAGAGATGAGATCTAGGACCAACTGAAAGTCGTCGCGCTTCGTCTCCACCCTCATGGGAATGACGGCCCCGCATCCGCTGCATGGGACATCGCCTGCCGATTCCTAAGCAGATCGGTAAACATGCAGCTTTCAGAACCCACAGTGGCCATGTTGTGGATGTGAGTAGCCATGATTCGTTCTCGTCGGCACCCAGGAAGAAAACCAACAAGTTTACCCAGTTTCATCGGTCTTTGTCTTCGAGGTACCGCCCTGTCCGTGAGCTTGTGACACCCGAGTACTCGGTCCACCTCTAGTCTCAGCCTATTTTCGCTGCCCTCCCCTGCACGTGCTGGAGCGGAACTTATGCAGCATCCCGCCCGTGTCAGATCCAATCGTGCCATGTACAGCCTTGCACGGGACTTCCAAGATATTTTAATATTCACAAGTCTAGGGCACGACTACGATACTTCCAAGTGTCAAGTAGACTGACATGCTACATCATTCGATGTCCATGTCAAAGCTTCTTCGTCTGCATTCAATCTGGATCGTTGTTGACCAGCGCTTCTGCGGGTGAGAATAGTCATCAACGCACCTTCGCTGCAGCATTCGTGATTTGATCGCCTTCATGGCACAAAAGTCTATCCTTGGATCTCGTCGTCGCACTGCGCTGCTTACTTGAACTTTCAGAAACTCCCGAGTGGAAGATCTCTAAAGTCCGATGCCAGGCACAGAAATATAGTTCTTTGTGCCTGGCAGTCTGATCAGCCCGCTGAGTTGCACAGCGCTTCCGATTTCCGTCGTATGAGTATCTCGACATTATCTTGTAAGCTATTGAAAGCATCGTCTTTCTCATGTTCCGGTGATGTAAGAGTCATTGGGCCAATGTTCGGATGTCATCAGGATTTGAGATTGCAGTACAGCAAATCATTGTCTACACGCGGGTACTTCTCTCTGAATTGCCAATACAGCTTGCATCTTGCATACTGCATTACATTTGTAGCTTGCACGGGAGTTACCTCTGAGCAACTCAGTAGTCGGGTCCATCGAGACTGTATGACCACCACGCGCTAGAGAATGGTAAGCGATAATACGTGCTGCACTGAGGTCATGAGCGGACTGGCATTCACGACCGAAAAGAACTTGAGGTCAAGATATAAAGGCAGCATCTGCCCGCTATTGAAAAAGACCATCCTCAGCATCTCCAGACAAAGCAGTAACAGCCGCAACATCACCAGCCTCTCGCTCATACACTATCGTTCCAATCGCCATCATCAACCTCAAGATGTTCTTCAAGACCCAAGTCGCAGTTGTTGCATTGCTTGCATCGAGGTATGAACCTCGAACAGATATGCAGTCTACACTGAGCTGACATTGAATAGCTTTGCAATTGCTCTTCCCTACGACACTCTCCCTGCGCCCAGCAGCACAAAGGAGATCGAGACCACCTCGTCCTCTGCTGGCTACGGTGCCTTCCCTACTCCTTCTTCCAGTACCTGGGTCGATACCACCACCAAGAAGACTTCCGAGACCAAGAAAACGGAAACCAAAACTTCCGAAACCAAGACTTACCCCGTCACGACATCGAAGTCCTCCGAGACCAAGACTTACCCCGTCACGACCTCCAAGTCTTCAAAGACCAGCGAGACCAAGACTTACCCAGTCACCACAAGCAAGTCCTCCAGCTCCAGCTACTCGAAGAGTTCTTCCAAGTCCTCCAGCTCGAGCTACTCCAAGAGTAGCTCAAAGTCGTCTTCCAAGTCTTCCTCCAGCACCAAAAAGACCTCGGCCACCACGTCTTGCAAGACCGAATACGTGACTTCGACCTCCACCGGCTACATCACCACAGTCACCTACTCGGCCACTACAATCTACGTCCCTTACCCCACAACATCCACCTATCTCTCGACCTCCACCTACGTGTCCACCGGCTACACCACCGTCACAAAGCCAACCACAAAGACCGAAACCAAGCCCGTGGTCACCGAGAAGACTTCTTACTCCACCTACGTAATCACGACTTCCAAGCCTATCGTGGTCACAGAAACCGGCTACACCACAAAGACTGAGACTGGAGTTGTTACCGAGACCAACCCCGTGGAGAGCACAGAGACAAAGACCGTGACTGAAGTCAAGACCATCACTGTCACCAAACCAGAGGTCGAGAGCAAGACCATCACCGTCACGAAGCCAGAGACCAAGACTTTCACGACTGGCAAGCAGGTCTGCAGCACTGTTCCTGCTGTCCCTACCTATGGTGGCGGTGGTTATTAGAGACTGCTGATCTCTCAGTTGCGAGTCCATGAGATGAGAAGTTGAAGAACTTTCTTTTGTTATTGTTATGGTTTGCTCACACACACACACCACACTCACTCTCTTTTATAACTTTGTTTATGACTGGCTTGAAGACTTTTTGCCTTTGGCACACCTTTCTTCGGTAAACCTTTTTCGATTCTTGATTTGATGGACTTTTGATATTCTAACCTTTTTTGACTCGGTAAGAGTCTATTATCTATACTGGCAATGAAAATTACTACCTTATCTATACACTGGTACAGAGATGGGATTCCGATGCACTGCATCTTCTCTTCCTCGTCTTAGTAGTGAAGAATTCGGGACAGTCTTGACGTGAAGGGCAGAGTTTTAGAGATTTGTCTAGTAGAGCCTTGAATCTTGGATTTGAAAGCAAAGACCTTGAGGCACCGCAGTCGTTGTACTTGTCTGACCACACCAGCAATCATCGCCCAAACTCGAGATATTCCGTTTCTTGTCTCTTTCCCACATCCGGAACACAGACCCGGTCGCTTCATTCTCATCGTAAGGGCAAAGCTTAACGCCGGTAAACAAGATATCCTGGAGAACTTTCACATTTAGCCATGATGTAATAACTCACTACGACCCACACTCTCCTCGCGAATGGAGGGCCGAGACAAACTGTGATCCGAGAGAGATCAGAAGTGAGATTTTGTGTCGTTCTTCTTTCAAACAGAATGACCATGCAAAGCGCTTGGGATATGTAATTCTCTTGGGTTCTTTCTGATGGAGACGAGTAACTATGGCCGATGATAGCCTGGGGAAGTCAGAGACAAAAGATCTCTCAAACTTCTCACAATATCGACGTCTATATCTAGATGGAAGAAGCCCTTCCACTCTTCGACTCAAGCTATGCCAGGCTTGTACATCTGGTGGCTGGGAAAGCTCTCGTTTGGATGTAACATTGATATGAAACGATCCGAAGGTATTTCGTATGAATAATGGAGAACAAGTCTCTGGAAAGTGTCTGATAGAGCTACCCTCTAGTTTCATGTTTTGCATCCCTTCTTCGACTTTGGCTTTGTTTCAACTTCTCTAGTATACTCTATTTCCTCCTTCTTGTCCTCAAAATTACCGTCCTCTCAGTTCTTCTTACTCTCGCGAATCACCAATGTGAAAGTTTTCTGCTCTGTAAAAGCTTCGTGCTCCTCCTTCTCGGTGTGTCCAGCGGAACCAGCATCTCCCGTCTCCTCATCTCGGTCTTCCTTTGTAGCAGCAGACATCATCGTCATCTTCTGCATTCTCATCGATATGGTCCATTCCTTCATCTTTCTGCGTTCCTTCTTGTGTGAGATGTGTCCCTGGACGCTTGATCGGAGATGATATGCAATCGTCACAAGATGTTGGACAGAAAGAGCTATCGACGGATGATCGCGGAGCATCGCGTCTCCAGGAAGGAGCGATCACATCGAGATCATTGATCAGAAGCACGTGAGCAGTAGTCCACTTGCGCATACAAATACAAGAGGAAAGAGCTAACGAACATGTAATGTGGCAGTCGCCTGATTGTGACTACCTGTCGTTACTGCCGATAATATCTCGCTTGCCGATTCACTCGATGATTGATTCAGGGTCTCCTCTGTACACTCTCTCCCTGAAATCTTCTATCGCCTCCCTTTCCCTGACGCAGATCATACAAGAGCAGTTATTGATATCATCGAGTAGAATTTGGTTATGCCCGACGAACGGGCTTATTCATCGAGATCTACTGGTAGGATGGTCAAGGACATAGAGATCGCTATTGGCAGAGTTGACTGGAGGGCGATATCACGTATAGGGTCGTCGAAACTGCTGCGTCGACAAAGGGATGGCGTGCTCGCACTTGAGCATAGCACATGTGTGAGACCAGCAAAGATGCATCTGGAAGTGAGGTACCGGAGGAAGCGATCGATCTGTGGGAGGGTCAGCGACCTTCTCCGACGCATCACCAAAGCCATCATAAACGAAATACCGTCCTATTACAATATCAATCACATCTGGTCTGGCGTTTATCATACCATCAAAAGCTAATCAGTCTTGGCAGTCACTTCCTACAAATCAATCATCAACAACAACCAACACCAACATCAACATCCTCGAGTTCGAATCCCTGAACCAGCTGAAACTTTCACCAGTCAACCTTGACAAATGGTCTCTTGATAGACGCGCCCTGTGGAAAGGTGGTCTGGTCACTATCAGAGGCTGGAGGAGTGAAGTCTTTGGGAACATTGGTAGGACAGTGACGAGCGAGACATCGCAACAGGTAAGCATCAAACTCCCCATCCCGTCAGACGTGTGATTCTTTTTTGCTTGAGATGGTCAGTATGAGTCCTGGTACAGAGGTCTGGAAGTATTCCGTATTCGCAAGCTTGCCATATACCAAATATGATATGACCATCAAGAAGTAACGCTATATCCTGTATCAGAAATTCGGAGCTCGCGTGGGCGGTCTTCTAGCTTTAGTGGCCAAGGATAAAATAATGTCCTCTTTCGATTTATCAAGCGACGATCCAGTGCGAGAGACAAATGCACATCTTGTGTGCGTTCTGTACCCAAGCAGCCATGTGCCCATCGGCCATGTTCTCAATAACACTGCCACATCGCCTACACTGTCTGACCCTCGCGTTGGGTGGAATGGCGCACTTGCGTAGCACATCGTATTGTTGCCTTGCCGCTCTTTTATTTGCTTCTTCGTCCTCGCCCAGACCTAGCCATGCGGTGTCTGCAGTGTAGATAGCTACGCCGTCAATCTGGCTCTCGAGCCGAGGTATTGTCTCACTGAATAGTTTTTGTAGAACAGGACTAAGTACCTCAGGAAGGCCAGCATCAACCAGCATGCCCTGCTCCCAGAAACTACGTTGCGGAGGCGAGGACTGTGCAGCTTGATATGTGGCGCGCACATTGCCGTCAACTTCGGCGACGAGTTGCTCGAACTGTCTGAGGTCAAAAGGCAAATCTTGACCTAGCATTGCCTCTATGTTTTTTAATTCGACGCCGTCTCGAATTTCGCCAGAGCGGCTGCTGACCGCCACCTTCTCATGAATCTTGGCGATGCGGCTGGCGAAACTCTTGATGAGGCTCGCCAACATGCCCAACAGTGCACGAGATGTGCTGTTGAGTAACAGATGCAGAGTAGCAGTATTCCTCTCGTGCACGTATGCCAAGATTCTCTCTTTGTCAAAGTTTCCTTTACAAAATCTCATGAGTTCAATCATGTCATCAAAGATCAACGTCATCAAGTCTAGCGACCATTTGACGAGTCCTTTTAGCGAGACAAACAAACCTGGCTCCATAGAGGCCATTCCTCTGATTTGCTGAGTCATGGTCAAGGTCTGTGCGATGTTCGTGCACACTGAGCGAAGATTGAGCAGCACCCAAGCCACTTTGGCAGGGACATCTCGTCGTGAAGGATCGGTGTGATAGCTTATTATTAACTGTGCACTGGCAATTCGGTACAAAAGGCTGTCTTTCATGACCCTGCCTGACTGCACCTTGGGATCGTCGAGTGAGAAGTCGAGATTGCGATTGATCGTACGGAAGATCTCGCTGATGAATCTTCGTCGAAGACTTCTATCCAAGTCTGTCGGAATCATAGAGAGCAGATCGTCGAACCCGATCTGGTAGCAGGTTACAGTTCCAAGTTCGCGGGCTAGCGATACGATAGCGGCTTGCGCGAGATCTATAATGGTCAGTCCTCATGTTGAGAAATGATTAATTCGTGAGCGTACCATTATCTTCTGTAGCATCCTTCCAGCCGTGCAAGTACTCCGCATTATGTAGTTGAATGGTACCATCTGGCTTGGTTATGACGGAGGTTGCTAGACTAGGCGATAGGGAGATATCGACACAATCGGAAGCCAGAAATGAGAATCCATTCTGTGATAGACTTGTGGCTTTGTTCGTGTCTCCATCCGCTGCTATGATTTGCATAGTTTCGCGTGAACGAAACTCGACTGTGCCATCGCTTGCTGCAAAGGCAAATGTATTGTGATAGACATTACTTTGGAGTGTCAGTATAGCCTTTTGTGTAAATACATCGTCCAATCGATGCAGCTTCTGTACGGGCTTAGCAGCAACAGGCTGAGCAGCTGTCGGCTTCAGGTCTTTGAAGCTGTTATGCAATGTGGTATCGGCTTGTTGAAGTTCCCATCTCGATATGATACTGTATTTGCCGCCGTGGTCTTGCGCAGCACTGGTGAAGACGGCTATGACAGTGAAAGTAGTATTATCGATAGCCTGTGACTGTGGCTCGATATGTAATGATGATAGTTGAGCACTTGCTGCTCGGTCTGATGATTGAGGCACACATCGATCCAGTAGTTCAACGTGCAGGATAGCCATTTGAGGACTTATTGTAGCTTTGTGGTTGTTTCCCTCACCAGCGTTGGCATTCCAATTGATCATAATCTTGTATAGACGCAATTGTTTAGATGAGTCGTATGTGACCATCACGAGGTGTTCTGCTAGCATCAGTTCTTTCCTATGGATCTCAGAGGCGGGGATTACTGACGATTGGCCTGGCAGAAGGCAGCATGGGTAAGAATGTCTCCAGAATCCGTGATGTCGTCTAGAGTCATGACGAACTGTGACCACGGCTGGCTGGGTTGTTCGTAGATCAGCTTAAGCTGGCATCTGCGAGTGACACACAGGAACGCTGCTTTGTTATCGATGGGATTCGAGACACCATGAATGTCGTGAAGCCTCATCGTGTTGCTCCATCGACTACCGTCCTTGACGGCAGGGTGAATCAGGGCAGTCTATCGCTCCGGGTCAGACAACTCGCCGGAGGTCCATACTTGAACGACTTACCCGTGTTTGGCCAGCGAGATTCAGTGGAAGCCAGTGAAGGCCAACAACTTGGTTCAGATCGTCGACTGCACTGGTCAGATTGCAAGGACGACGCTCCAGGCTGTTCAATGCATGGGTCAAAGTGAAGAGAGTGAAACGACCGTATTGATCTGCAACTACAAGATCAAGACCCGAGCTGCTCCATTCTACGTGGGTAAAAAAGGCATCTTCTGAAGCATTAACTTCGGTCTCGCCGGACAGAGCCCATTTGGTGGTCTTTCTGTCGCGGTGAAGAGCACGCACAAAGACTTTGCGACAGTCTGCAGATATCTGTGCAATGCAACTTGTCCTGGACCATGCTAGCCTCCTGAAGAGGGTTACTGAATATCCTGGTTGACCGGGGGATAAAGAAAGAAGACTTACTGGCAGCAGCCTACGATGTGAGAACGTTCGATTCGTTGGAAAAGAGCATCAGTATCGAGCGAGGCAGCGATAGCAGCGTTGATGCCATCTGCATCGGCATCGCCAAACAAGTCGTCAAGACTGTCCATGCATGCGACAACGACTTTGTGTAAGTGTACAGGCTGAGCACCCGAACGAAGTACGGAAGCTTCTCGGAAGAAGCAGGCTTCAGATCAAAATGAAGCAAAATGAGTAGAAGGCGGTACTAGCGGCTTCTCCGTGAGGAAAGCGGCCTCCCTAAGAAAGAACGACTTTTGTGATGCAGAAGCAACGACTTACAACCGACAAGGTGGTACGGCGGCGTGTGCTGGCTATAGACGGTTGACAACGAGTATGGAAGGAATGCGGAAGGTGGACTGTAAGAAACGCCAAGGATGAAGTCACTCGGTCACTCTGTCACTCTCAGCGACGGCCAAAACAAACAGGCGTTTTGGAGAAGTCGAGCGGGAGATGCGACTTCCCGCGGCGTTGCCGATGCGATGCGTCTTTGGCTTCGACTGTCTCACGACTTCTCCGCTTCTGCTCTTTGCACGATTCCTTCTCTCACCTTTCTCCAGCGTCTTCTTCCACCATTCGCATTGTTCTTTCTCGAAGGCACGTGTCGCGCTGCCATTCTGTTTCCTGTTATTGTGTCGCTCCATTCAACCAATGGACGCTATTGTCGGGTGATTCCACAATCGACAGCGGCCTTCCTGACCGCGCGCCCGACTTCTTGACGCAGCTCCCTCGTCGTCGACAATAGCTGCTATGGACGGCTACGACTCGGACGGCAGCTCGTTATTGAGCTCGCCAAAGTCCCCTACTCCTCCTCCTGAGCTGCAAAAGAATCCCTATCCCTCTCCGCCCCGTTCGAAGCACTCGTCGCAATCTGCCTCTCCCTCTCCCGACGACCGAATGGACGCTTCCGACAGTCAACCCCCAGCCAAACGACGCCGAATTAGCGAAAAGCCTACACGCTCCACCGAGTACCTCGACTTGAGCAAAGGTTTACGACCCGACGAGAAGACCCAACTAGATCGTGTCTTGAACGTCTTGCACAAGCGTCAGAAGATTGTTGTCGTCGCCGGTGCCGGTATTTCCGTCTCGGCTGGCAGTAAGCCCACACTCCTTTTCGACTTCGCGTCGGAACGTCACTAATGCCCCACAGTCCCCGACTTCCGCTCCTCCACTGGTCTCTTCAATTCTCTCCGCGCCCAGCACAATCTCAAAGGTTCTGGAAAGGATCTCTTCGACGCGTCGCATGTTTACAAAGATGCTTCCTCCACCGCGTCATTCCACCAGATGGTCCGAGAAATGTCCCACATGACCAAGTCCGCCCAGCCTACTCTGTTCCATCAGATGCTGGCCACGCTGGCACAGCAAGATCGCCTGTTACGACTCTACTCCCAGAACGTCGATGGAATTGACACGTCGTTAGAGCCTTTAGCGACGCGTATACCTTTGCAGAAAGAGGAGGGGAAATGGCCAAAGACCATTCAATTACACGGCGGACTCGACAAGATGGTCTGCTCAAAGTGTCACGAGCTGTCTGATTTCCATGCGGACCTTTTTGACGGTCCTGTACCACCTGTCTGTACCAACTGTGAGGAGCTTAACAGGGTTCGCACGGAAGTAGCCGGAAAACGCAGCCACGGTGTCGGTATGCTGCGCCCTCGTATGGTCCTCTACAACGAGCACAACCCGGATGACGAGGCCATTGGTACTGTGACGCGTGAGGATCTTCGCAAACGTCCAGATGCCATTATCGTGGTTGGCACGACTCTAAAGGTGCCTGGTGTCAAGAGAATTGTACGCGAAATGTGCGCGACTGTACGCGACAGGAAAGACGGTGTAGCAATCTGGATCAACGCAGGCTCTGAACCTTCTGGCAAGGAATTCGAGGACTGCTGGGATATTGTGGTGAAAGGTACCTGCGACGAGATTGCCAGACATGCTGCCCTGAGGCAGTGGGACCAGCCAGATATTGGCATTCCTGTGACTGAAGAGGTGTTGGAAAGAGCCCGCCAAAACCAACCTCAGATTCCGATAGTACGGACATTCAAGGCTCCACCAAAGGACTATACTCCTATGCCTTCTCCGCAAGCGCCAGCGAGTACTCCTCTCACTGGACGCCGTCACGCCAACATGGTCGACAACTCATTTACCGAGGAAGAAGATCTTGTCGATGTCGAAACACCTTCCAAACGCGCAGAGAAGAAGCCCACAGCCTTCAATCTGCTGGGCAAGCCAAAACCACTCACCAAAACAAAGCTTGCGTCGAAAGCTTCTGGCACAAAGAGGAAAGCCACTACGAAGAAAAACACGTCAAAGAATGTGCTCCCGGAACCACAGATCAGGATCGATCAGACGCTCAGGACGACAAAAACATCTGCAGCTGCAGTCAAGGCCGAAAAGAATGCCAAAAATGGTGCAGCTTTCGACGATGTACCGACAAAAGACATCCGCCTCAATTCACCACGATCCAGGTCATCAGACAGACTTGCCAAGGCCTAAGCATCAGTGGACATAACGCGTTTCATGAACTGGTAATATTTTTCCTTGGACCCGCCCTCTGCTGTACTTCTAGCGGTCTGCATGGCTCGAGAGTTTTGGCGTTTTCGTTGCCTGTACGTGGCACAATCTGGCTCGGTGGAAAGGATGCATCACAATCCTGCATATGCATGGAGTCGAGGAGTAGGTGACTCTAGCCGTCTTTGGGGGCCTGGCTTTTTTGTTTTTCTTCGCTTTTTTACTCAAGACATTAAGATGGTGTCTTTTTACAATTTTCGCTAGACGCTACATTTGTGTCTCTATTCTTACTGGTACCATAAAGCTACTCACGAATTTTCAGAACTTCTTCGAACCAGATCGTTCTTCGCAGGTCGAGTCCGTGAGCTGATGTAAAGAGTAGGCACGTAAACTGCGGGGAATCTTGACGCCATCGAACTCGAGCTCCCAAAGGTCAAGTCATCTTACCTACCTAATTTACCTACCTTCCTGCTCTGATAGCTGACACCAGATTCAAGCAACTGATCTGAAGTCCGATAGGCTTCTCTCCCACAGACTAACCGGCTCTTGTCTTTCCAATTCAACATGTCCAATAACAACGACATCAAAGCATTCGCAGATGCGGACGGCCACTTTAGACGTCAGAAGTCCACATTTCGCGACCACATTTCCAGAGAACCAGGAGCTGAATTTCCACCCGAAAAGGATCGTTATGTAAGCTTTTGCTCAGCTATTTCGCATTGACATCGACATCACCGGGCTTGGTGTCGAGAGACCAAGTAATAAACACACACCTAACAAAAGTTCCATAAACAGGTCCTATACATAAACTGGGGCTGCCCTTGGGCCAACCGCACGGCCATCGTCCGCATGCTCAAGGGTCTCGAATTCATCATCGAATTGGTAGTCATGGACTATGAAATGTTTCCCGATGGCTGGGGATACACAGGAGCTCACGGAACCATGCCTAAGGATCCTCTCTACGGTTTCACCCGTCACCGCCAACTCTACGAAAAGGCATCGCCAGGCTATACGGGCCGTGTCCTGGTACCGACACTTTGGGATAGGAAAACAGAAACGATTGTCAATAACGAGAGTTCGGAGATTATCAGGATGTTCTTCACAGAGTTTGATGGCTTGGTGGAGGAGAAGTATAGAGAAGCTGCTCATCCTCAAGGTGGATATCTTCCCGAGAGCTCGAAAGAAAAGATTGAGGTTTTCAATGCATGGGTGTACGACGACATCAATAATGGGGTATACAAGACTGGCTTTGCGACATCTCAGGAAGCCTACGACGAAAACGTCGAGAAGCTATTCGCAGCTCTCGATCGCGTGGAGGCTCACCTTGAGAAATCAGAGGGAAAGTTTTTATTCGGGAATCATGTTACAGAAGCTGATATCAGATTGTTTCCGAGTATTGCGAGGTTTGATGTTGCGTATTATACACTGTTCAAGTGTAATCTCAAGATGATCAGGCATGATTATCCGAAGATAGAGAGGTGGTATAGAAATCTTTACTATGATGATAACGAGTATACAAGAGGTGGTGCGTTTCGGAGAGCGACGTATTTTGATCATGTAAGTTTTCTCCGTGGTCAGTCTGGGCTCTTACTGATGCTTGATAGATCAAATGTGGATGTGCTGGGGCGAAAAAGGTGCAGGTGGTGCCAAAAGGGCCGGTGCCAGATATTCTACCTCAGGACACTTGAGAACATTCGACCGCTACGCAGAAGGGTAACCTGGGCAAACGATGGCATACAGAATGGCAGTACACGAAGCGAAGATATATGAACCAGATTGCAAGGTTTTCGATAATCAAGAGTCTCAGGCCAGATGCGTGGCCGCCTGGATCTACATGCTGTCAAGAAAAGGTTGCACAGTCGCGTCCTGCGGCAAAATCGTCGTCCTCACGTCAATGTTGGCATCTTCACAAAATCCAGTCATATCTCACTCTCCTGTAAACATACGCACGCACTATGGCTCGACCGAATGTGGTTTTCGGTCCGGTGGTCTTCCTTGGCTTATCCGTATCCGTCGCAAGTATGAGCCGTCGGACTCACACACGACCAAACTATCGAGAAGCATATTCAACTCGTCGGCAGGCCCATTGCGATCGAGGAGCGAAGGCCCGAGATCAACGAATATACTGCTTCAGAAGATCTCGGATGATGACAGGGAACCCTTCAAAGCAACCCGCGGCGACAAAAAGCGTCGGCTTTGTAGTCAAGATTCCCGCAGACTATTTTCGCAAAATTGAGAGGTTTGTAGAGGATGGGTGGGAAGATGACGATCGCGATCTCTATGAGCACATGACAGTACCTGCCCACCACTGGCGTGACCTTCAGGGCAGAGATCCTGAGATCCTGGTTACTGATGACGGAGGGCAGTGAGTCTCGCTTTCGGGATCTCTACGACACGGTGGTGACAAATGGGAATAGTAAGGCCCATCTCGAATGGTGGGTCCGACTTGAGGACGACTGCAATTCTAATGAACACGTTGATCGCATCACAAAGCGCAACCGACTATCTTTTGAAGCTGTGCCGTAATAGCCACTCCGCGTATTTCGACGACGAAGAGCAAGAAAGAATCATGTACTCTCTGATCCGCGACGACTTCTGCGTTCGTTCTATCGAGCCTAGTCGTAGGTACATGTTAGTGGACGAGGCAGATGGGTCTCACAATGTGTGTTTTTAAGAACGTCTAAGCTAGCCACCATCGCGCTAACATCTGCCCACAAAGGAGCTTTAGTTCACGACGGAACGATGCGAACAAGATGATGAGGCTACAGCTGTGCTAACCAATATGTCAATGTAGGAACCCAGGTTCTGAGCGTCCGTGACGACCTCGCCAGCAGATAGCATAAATACGACTAGGGTTGTACCCACGACGAGAATGTCGAAGGGTAGATCCGTAGGCACGGCGATAAGATAACGAGATGCCGCAAAACTCCACAAAATTTCCCTTCTGCCTTTCGCAACATTTTGTTGGCCGCGCTTGTCGAGTGAATTTTCGCCTCGACCAGTCCCTACCAACCACATACACATACAAGATGCCAAAAGCCCCTGGAGGAGACGCGCGTCAGATGAGACGTCACAACCCATTGTCAGAAGACTACGCACCTTCAAACCCGCACAAGCAAAAAGCACCAAAGAGAAAAGGACGCTCCAATGCCGGCGACGAGGATGATGAACAACAAGCATATATTGACTCCAAGTCATCGAGGAAGATCATCGCGCTGGGTCAGGATTTGACTGCTGAGGAGGATGCCGAGCTCGAGGCGCGCAGACCGCAAAAGGGAAGCGCGTCGGCGTTTGAGTTTGAGAGGGGACTGCGCGACGAGGAAGAGTCTGATGAAGAGGCTGGAATGCCGGAAGATGAGGAGGCTTGGGGAGACGAGGATGATGAGGAGGTCGAGGAAGTCGAGGTTGATCCTGAAGACTTGGCCATGTTTAACAAGTTCAATCCAGAATTCGACCCGGCCACTTTGCTGGCACCGCAAGCGGATGACGAGCAAGGAGACAGCACCAATCTCGCAGACTTGATCTTGGAGAAGATTGCTCAGCACGAGGCTAGTCAGGCTCAAGGACACATTATCCGTGGTGGTGGCGCCCCCGAGGATGCCATCGAGTTGCCTGCAAAGGTCGTCGAAGTCTACACCCAGTACGTTCGGACACTGGACTCCACAATGTACCAAGCCTCGAACTAATATACGAACCACAGAATCGGCATGATGCTCTCACGCTTCCGCTCCGGCAAACTCCCCAAGCCCTTCAAGATCCTCCCCACCCTCCCCCAATGGGACACCCTCCTCTCCATCACCCGCCCGGACTCATGGACGCCCAACGCAACCTACGAAGCCACCCGACTCTTCACCTCCTCCCGCCCCGCCGTCGCCCAAGCCTTCATCCACGACATCCTCCTCGACCGCGTCCGCGACGACATCCGCGAGACCAAAAAACTAAACGTCCACCTCTACAAAGCCCTCAAGAAATCCCTCTACAAGCCCGCCTGCTTCTTCAAGGGTCTCCTCTTCCCTCTCCTCGCATCTGGAACTTGCACATTGCGCGAGGCACACATCATCAGCTCCGTGCTCGTCCGCGTCAGTATCCCCGTCCTGCACTCGGCAGCAGCAATCCACCGTCTCTGCGAACTCGCCGCCGAGCAAATGACAGACAACCTCGAAGCCGGCGGCGCCACAAACATCTTCATCCGCGTGCTTCTCGAAAAGAAATACGCTCTCCCCTACAAAGTCGTCGATGCCTTGGTCTTCCACTTTTTACGTTTCCGCGCCGTCGACGAAGATGCAATGACTGATGCTCCCTCTCACATCAAGAGTGGGGAGAAGTTGCCAGTGTTGTGGCATCAGTGTTTCTTGGCCTTTTCGCAGAGGTATAGGAATGATATCACAGAGGATCAGAGAGAGGCATTGTTGGATTTGCTGTTGAACAAGGGACATAGAAGTATTGGACCAGAGATTCGCAGGGAGCTTTTGCAGGGTAGAGGGAGAGGTGTTTTGGCGCCAGAGGTCGTCATGGCTGGCGTGGATGGTGATGATACTATGGTTGATATCCAGTAGATGTGTTACGTTTCTCGTCGCTACATATTTTTTTTTTCCGTCCGTGTTACAAAAAGGGAAAATCAAGGGCGTCTTTGGGCGTGATGTTTTGATCCCTGGCGTTCTGCTTGTTCTCATGTGCTCGTTTCCAGTCAAGCTTTTATTGTGTATCCTTTGTCATCTTGCAGCCTCCCATCGAGCTGTCTTTGAAGGCCTGGAAGGTGTAGTGCAGATTGATCATGCAGTCTTATTGATCTGTCACGCATGTGCAACGTCGAATATCAGCCTAGTGCAACAAACACTCTCGCTGTCTGTCTAGAATCACATGAGCTGAAGAGTACATGCAAGTGTAGTGCAGATTGCTTGAATCAAATCATGTCATTTATTCTTTTCCCATCTCCTTATCTAGAGAGTGATAGAGCTCAAAGCGAATCCTTAGCTAACACCATTTTTCCGTCATGCAGAAAAGAAAACTAAAGTTACAAAAAATCGTGGGGGTATAGGCGTAAGTCTTTTGTGTAGGTGGTTTACATTTTCTTGCCAGCCTCCTCCATCATGCGGCCGTACTTCTTCAGGCGGATGGCGTTGACGGAGATGAAGCCGGTGGTGTCTTCAGGGCGGAAGTCGCCAATGACATCCATGGAGGACTCGTCCATGTCGTACAGCTTCTCGGTGTCGGACCAGCGGCCGAGGACGCTGAAGGAACCCTTGTAGACGCGGCAGCGGACGGCACCGTTGACGTTGTCCTGCGAGGCGGCAACACACTGGAGGAGGAACTTGCACTCGGGGGAGAAGTAGAGACCATTGTAGAGGATCTGTGAGGTGGTACTGTCAGTCATGTATCTTGGGAGTAGATGGAAGAGGGTGTGTGGAAGCATACCTTGGCATAGTTGAAGGTCAAGAACTGGTCACGGAGAGCGCGAACCTCACGGTCCATGGTGAGACCCTCGAGATCGATGTGAGCGGCGCGGAGGCAGGTAAGACCGGGGGTCTCGTAGCAGCCACGAGACTTGAGACCGATGAAGCGGTTCTCGACAATGTCGATACGGCCAACACCGTGCTTGCGGGCAATGGCGTTGACGGCGAGGAAGAGCTCGGTGGCATCGGTGACGGTCTTGCCGCCGGGAAGCTCGGCCTTGACGGGCAGACCCTTCTCGAAGTGCAGGACAAAGTCCTCGGGCTGCTCGGGAGCCTTGGTGGGGTCGACGGTCAACTTCCACATGTCCTCGGGAGGAGTGACGTTGGGGTCCTCGAGGATACCGGCCTCGTAACTGCAGTGGGCCAAGTTCTCGTCCATGCTCCAAGGCTTGCTCTTTGTGCTGGTGACGGGAATACCGGACTGCTCGGCGTAGTCGAGGAGATCCTGGCGACCCTTGAAGCGGTTGTAGAAGACGGGATCGCGCCATGGGGCAAGGACCTCGATGGTGGGCTGGAGGGCGTAGAAGGCCAGCTCGAAGCGGACCTGGTCGTTACCCTTACCGGTGCAGCCGTGAGAGACGGCGAAGCAGCCTTCCTTCTGAGCGACGGCGATTTGGGCGCGGGCAATGACGGGACGGGCGAGCGAAGTACCTAGTTTACAGTTAGAAGATGCTCATACGAGAGTCAATTGGCACAGGCTTCACATACCCAGAAGGTAGACGTTCTCGTAGATGGCGTTGCACTGCACGGCGGGCCAGCAGAGCTCCTCGACGAACTCCTTCTTGAGATCCTCGATGTAGCACTTCAAGGCACCAATCTTGAGGGCCTTCTCACGAGCAGCCTCGAAGTCCTCCTCCTGACCAACATCGGCCATGAAGCAGATAACATCGTAGCCCTGGTCCAGAAGATACTTGAGGATACATGAGGTATCAAGACCGCCAGAGTAGGCGAGACAGACCTGTGTACATGGATCAATTGAACGCTACAGATAAGGAATCATGCGCACTTGCTTACCTTTTGCTTGACCATTTTGATAGATGTGATGTGAGTGTGAATGAAGAAAGTGAATAGAGGAAGGGAAGGAGGATTGATTCAGAAGAAACAGTTATAAGAGGAAATGGGGAAGTGATGGTGAGTCAATGGGGATTAGGAAAAAAGTGAGGTCCGCCGTCCACGTCGGCGCGCCAGCTAGTCAGCTATCGCAGCGCTGATCACTGCTCCCTGTTTGACTTTTGGTTGCTGTGACTGTTTGTTGGCTCTAATCGCTCGACAGCTCCGTCACCGGCGCAGCTTCCTCGCCGTTTCCCCCGACACTCTCCGCGCTTGGCGCTGTAAAGCCGTCGAAAAGCACGAGTCAAACTCATCGCTCAACCACAATCTTCACCAACAAATTAAGCCGTTGACTTGGAGAAAAGTCGACTGCATGAGGCTTGCTTCCGATGCCTCACCCGAGAGTTGAACATATGCAGCGCTTCAGGCTGACCTGACACAAAATATCGACATGTTGAAAATTGTTCTCATCTTGTCCCATTACTGTCCTATACATTTGGACACTTGACTGCTACATATGACTGGCATCATCTTCTCCCGCAACGGCTTTCGTGAAGCAAAATCATTCCGGCCCGTACATAGGGACACACTGTACATCTCTACTTGACCGTGTCTTGTTAATCTTTCAAAACTTATACTTGGAGCCCGATGCTTCAATCTGCGAACCATGTTCAATCTCTTGATCCGAAGGTGGATGTTGGTCGAAGCTGTACTTGATACCACCGCGTTCGAGATCAGACGCAGCATCGAAACTCGATTGCGAGCTATCGCTGGGCCGACGCTTCTTTTGCAGCTTGCGGCTTTGACGCTTCTCGTTGCTGTCGAAGCTTGCTGAACGCCCTCGTGCGTGTTGGCTCGCTACTCCGTGTGCAGATTCTTTGGCCGCAGCTTCCGCTTCCAGCGTCCCTGGCTTGAGCACTGCAAAGCCTGAATTCACTGTGCGCAGCACGGTTGGGTCTGGACGTGTGTACGAGACGCTTGAACCTCGACGAGACTTGGGCTCCGAGGCGGGCATCTTAGGCTCGGGGAAGTCGACGTCTGGGTGCTTCTCTGACACAGGAGTAGTGAAGGGGTTGAGCGTATTGTTAGAGCTGGAAGAACTAGGAGGCGGAGGTGTCTGTGAACGTGGAAGCGAAAAGTTGTGCACATCGCATGTTGCGAGAGGAGACGAGGTCCAATCGCCTGAGGCACCTGCGCGGCGACTTCTGGGTACCAAACGTCCTGTCTCAGCAACCTGTGACATACGGTGAGTTTGAAGTGCGTCATCAAAAGCTGGGCTACCAGTTTGATGGATGGGAGGAGGCCGTGCGAAGTCCAGATATGGCAATTCGTTGCTTCCGTTGCTACCACCTCTAGATGAACCGGAAGATGAACTATGGTGGCTCACGATCCTGGCAGGATCTGTAACAACGAATTAGTGACAACTCTGCGTGAATGGGAGACTTTGTACATACCAGTGGGCATACCCGTTGGGACTCTGGTTTCGAGTGTGTGAGCATTGCGGAAATGTTTGGAGCTACTGCCTTCGTATCTTTGGTAGGAATGTGGAGGGTAGCGGCGAGAGACAGATGCGACAGGCTCGGGAGAGGACGGTGGGTTGCTGCCAATGCTACCGCCGGATGTTGAGCGGTCCATGGAGAGTGTCTGACTAGGCTCTCTCGACGACGAGGCGATGTGGGTGCTGAACGGAGAAGTCTCGGTACCATCGTTCGTGAGAGTCATACCGACGTCTGTTAATGAGCCTTGTCGACTTTGTTGTGTAATGGATTTATAGGCTGTCAAAGAACTTGACGAAGGCTCACGTATGCTTCCAGCCGGAGTGTTATTGCGAGAGATCCACACTCCGTCGACCTCGATGCCGCTTTCAATGGCTCTGATACCGAAGGGTACGCTTGGTCTATCATCCATGGGACGTCTCTTCTGGACCATGACCTCCTTGGCGGGCTTTTGCTTCTGTTTTTGTTTTTTCGGACCTTTGCGCAAACTGAGACTGCGGATGATACTCTTTTCTCGGTTGATCGGTTGAGGACCAGCCTTCTCATATTGGCGTAGTTTACGGTGTGTATACCACAACTTGAGCAAGCCAGCAAGGACAGTGAGGACCTATCATTCGTGTAAGTAAATGTTATTGGGCGACCACGGGCTTTTTTGAACGTACGATGAGGCAGGCAAGGACCTATCACATGTTAGCACACGACTCGTTCTGGAGCTTTAAATACATACAAAAGTCATCTTTTGCCAAAGCGCCCAGTCTACAAAGAAGACTTTGCCCATCTTGAAGGTGATCGGATTCTGAGACAAAATAGGTAAAAGCGAGGGGTGTAGAAAAAGAGGGGAAGGAAATCGTAGGATGATTAGGAGTGAGTGTTGTGAATAGTTATTCCAGTCGAGTCTTTTCAATTGTCGAGCGATCTGATAGGAAGGCGCGAGAATATTGAGGATGGTGACTTCTTCTTTTGTGAGATCCGGATCTTTAGGGTTGCGGCCAGCCACAAATAGCGAAAAGAAAGAAGAAAATAAGATCAGGTAAACGAAAGACGGCGGTGAATTAGTTGATAGGTGCGAGGCACGTCACTCCACGGCTACACACAGCAGGGTCAAGGCCTGCTTTTAAAGGCAAGGAAAGAACAGTACATGCAGAGCCAGTCGGAAGGAGGAGAGGGAATGCTGCTCCATGAATATACACTCTTGCTACCGCTGTCCATCTTGTGCCGCTCACCTGGGAAAAATTGATCCGTCTCTCCTAAGAATAGAGGGAAAATCAATAGGGCCAAGAAGCCATCCGTTCCATACCACACACTGGAGGTTTCCATGCGGCGCCTGTGCGAGGATGCACGTTTTTTTTGGGTCACTGCGACGGATACGCAGTCATGCATGGGGTTGCATCTGAGTAGGCGCTTCGGAGAGTCGTAGCAAATGGATGGAGGTACAACCAATGTCACTCGTCACCGCCTGCTGGGATCGACTCTTTGTCCTCACATGTCCGCCAACGCAGGCGATATTGACCTCAGGATGATCGTCTCTGTACAAAATACCTAGCGGAGCAGGTCGCAAGATGGACGGTTGGAGATGCATCGCAACAGACGTGAAACGTCGGATCTTGGAGGGTTTTGGTAAACCCGTTGTTCCGCGTTTGAGTTAGACGGCACAGACGCGATCGATACGCTTTAAGAGGGCCATTGCCCGTCCGGGATCGTACCTCATCGATTGAACGGCAAAAACGTGCGCATCGGGTGCGGATGCTGGAACCCTTTGCAGGGTGAGCAGGGTTCAAAAAAGGGATGGTTGCTAGATTCTGTTCGCGGAGGCTTGACGCGAGCTTGCACAGACCATGTCTACATCTAACCGCAGTATGATCTTCTATACCAAGGATGCACCTCTTTTTGCGACTAGACAAGCGATGGTGACGCGTATGCAAGTGTGAAGAAGCAGGCATTACTGTGGGCAGATCTGGGCGCTATTCGAGTTCTGTCTGGATGACGCGATGCTCTACTTGGACTAAGTGTGATGCAAGTATTGAGTGATCTTCGTATCCGTGTGATGTTCTCGCTTTGCATATACCAAGGCTACCTCTAGCACAGATACCAAGGCCACCAGACAATTTCACGTTGCACATTCCAGTCCGATGAAAAAATCCTTCTGATGTTGTGTTCAAGAGACTGATTATGCCATTGTTCACGTGGTCGCATCTGGCGGTTAAACTTCTCTCGCAAGACGCGCCCTGCGACGCCCTCGGGCCTAGTACCCTTCCCCTCACTTTAGGTGCCGATGTACCTGGCATCATGTATGTAGGTTCGCGACTTTCTCGACCAATAACCCCGGCATACTCATCTTCAAAATGGCTTCTTCAAATACTGCCAGACTATTTTTCCGACAAACACCACGGTTCAGCAATCGTCGTCTCTTCCACACTACGCGCAGACAAGATGTAATCAAACCATTCCTCTTGGCAGATATCGGCGAAGGAACTCGAGAATGCCAGATCATCCAATGGTTTGTGCAGCCAGGTGCTCGCGTAGAGCAATTCGACAAACTCTGCGAAGTACAGTCGGACAAGACGGCATCTGATGTATGTTGTCGACAACGAGTTCTATGCTGATCATTGAAACTCACATGTGACAGATCACATCACCCTTCGATGGAGTTATCAAGAAGCTCTACTATGAAGCAGATGACATGGCTCTTGTGGGCAAGGTGGGTTCACAAAGATCTCGTCGTATGTACTTATGTTAACCCTAGACAGCCCTTACTGGATATCGATATTCAAAGTGACATCTCACCCGAGGATGAAGCTTTGATAGAAGGTTCTGGCGGTAAGAATGTGGATGTTCCACAAAAGGAAGCACAACAACCCAAGTCTCCAGAGCAAGAAGCCCCAAGCACCGAACGAGAGGAAGTCAGAGGTCCTCTCAGTAAGACTAAGTACCACGACAAAGGATTGGCGACACCTGCTGTGCGACATCTTGTCAAGGAATTAAACGTCAAAGTTGAGGATATAGAGGGGAGCGGCAAAGATGGTAGAGTGCTGAAAGAAGATGTGCATCGTCACGTCTCGCAAGGTAGTCAGCTGTCGGTCCAAGAGCAGGTCGCGAAGGATGTCAAGAAGTCTTTGACGCCAGTCCAAACCGGCATGTTCAAGGCCATGACCCGATCACTCACAATACCGCACTTCCTGTACTCGAGTACGGTCGACACCGGTAACCTCAACAGATTCAGAGTGAAGATCAACGGCACACGAGAGGCGAGTCACAAGTTGACCCCACTGCCATTCATTTTAAAGGCGATCTCACTAGCAATGGCGCATCATCCGTTGCTTAATGCCTGGTTGGACACGTCGGATCCTAAAAAGCCCGAGCTGAGCTACAAGGCAGCGCATGACTTTGGTATTGCGGTGGACACACCCTCCGGTCTATTGGTTCCAGTCATCAGGAATGTCGAGTCGCAAAGTGTGGCATCCATTGCAGAGCAAATCAAGGTTATATCAGGCAAAGCACGTGAAGGGAAGCTGGGCGCAAAAGACCTCCAGGGACCGACATTCTCAGTGTCGAATATCGGATCAATCGGCGGCGGAGTTGTGGCACCGATCATCGTAGAGCCTCAAGTAGCCATTGTAGGAGTTGGAAGAGCCAGAGCAGTGCCAGGATTCGACGAGCAAGGAAATGTCGTCAGAAAGGAAGAGATGGTATTGAGTTGGAGTGCAGATCACAGGGTGGTCGATGGAGCAGAGTGTGCCAGATGTGCCGAGAGGGTGAATTGGTATCTGCAGAACATGGAGGCGTGGGTGCTGGAGATGAAATAAGTCGAAGAAAAGTACTCGACATCGCAAATCTTATTGCTGAAACAGAGAAGTGACGTGTGGCGGTGCTCGTCTGAGTTGAGGCTGCGAAACAGGGTTTGATGCTTTTTATAGCGCTTCGGAGACGCGAGCCGGTGGCTGTTCTGGCGTCCCTGGCAAGACGAAACGAGAGTGGGAAAGGGACGCGCATGTGGATTCGGGGTTGCGTACTGTCGTTCTTGGAACTTGACCCTCGTCGATAATTGTTATTCTTCTCGCTTCAAACACGCACCTCCCAACCCGTCTACGTGTCACGGCCACCCTACCTATTGTTTTACTCTGACGACTCTTTCGCTCAATCGCCCGTCACATCTAAAAAGCCGAACACAGACAGCTGTCGCCGCGAAGCCCATTGAGATAGCAACCTAAAATACCAGGAAAGAGTCGGACAAACAGGACAATCAATGCAGAAGGAGCAGCTCTCGAGATAGCGCTGAGGCAATGGCCGACGAATCGCCCACAGTCAACAGTCGGCGACACCGACGCAATCAGTCGACGCCTCTAAACTCGATTCCACTACAGGACCTGGGCCCCTCTCAACATGCCCCCATCTCTCCGGACCCGCCCTCTCCTTCGGCGCAAGCTTCACATCGCCGGACACTGAGCGACCGCGGACGTAGCTTGTTCCGGCGCAACAGAGACTCGCTGCTGTCACATAGTCCTGCTGGAAATCCTCCACCTCCCAATACGCGCGCTTACTCGCCCATCTCCGAGGATCCTCCCAGTCCACCACAGATTGATCGCAAACTGTCGCCTCTTGCCTATGTAACCTCGCCTACTGGCCACCGGACACGAGTCGACGATGGTCAAGATGAAGACGAGCGCACACCGTTATCTCCACACGAAGGAAGTAGTTTTCAGCAGGCTATGGGCTTTGCTGGCATCAGCTTGGGTGCTCCTGCACGTCCCTCATTACACTCGGCTCATGGTCGCATGGGCAGTGTGCCTAGTCTTCGTACTGTTGATACATCACCCTACGACGAGGAGCCTGATGACCCAACTGGCTTTTTTCCGCATGAGGAGGATATGGACACAGTGCCCTTGACCGACATGAATCGTCGTCTCGAGGCCCATTCACCGCAGCGTAATGACCGTGGGAGTTTCCAGAGCATTCGCTTCCTGTCCCCTTCCGTCTCACACTCAAACAACCCTGATGTTGAATCTGGTAACCTTACTCCTTCAGGACGATGGAGCCGCTCGCCTGATGGCCATAGTCGCTCTCCTGCAAATAGCCGCCGCTCCCTGTCTCCCATGGGTGACTCTCCCTTCCACCGTGCGGGTGACATGATGCGGAAGATGTCGATGCGTGTAGTCAACATCAGTAACGAGCCCGAAGTCGCAGAACGTATGATAAGACGCAAGTCGTCTGTAGGCCGCTCACCTCGCATTCCCGAGTCTGGATTTTCTGGTGATGGTGCTCCCCATTCGCCCGTCAGCGAAAAGATGCCGTCACCCATGCTGCGTCCGGCTGATCAGCTTGAACCGCTTGCGCCTGAGCCGAATCCCTTCCGTGGCAAGTCTTTGGGCATCTTTCCGCCTGACAGCAAGTTGCGGCTGAAGCTTGCCGACCTTCTACTTCACCCTATGACGGAGCCGTTCATCCTCGTACTTATCGTTTTCCAGACCACATTGCTTGCAGTTGAGGCTCGCAATAATGTCAATGATGAGCCACGATCTAAGCGATTCGGGACTACCTGGATTGATATTGCACTGCTCGTATTGTTCATCATCTACACTATCGAGATCATGATCCGCGTAATTGTTTCTGGCTTTGTTGTCAACCCGATCGAGTACAGTACCATTGATCGCAAGGTTGGTCTGCGAACAGCTGTTATGAGGAAGGCCAATGATATGTTCGCTCTACATCGCAAGCCCTCGGTCAGGAATCTGAATCCTCTTCCGCCACTGACACCCGGTCCTCAGCCTGGCATCTTACGCAGCCTCACTACAAACACCATGATGGAAGTACCTGGTGGTTCGAAACAGGCACAGCTACAACGACTGGCCTTCCGAGCCTTTCTGCGTCATTCTTTCAACAGACTGGACTTCCTTGCAGTTTGTTCTTTCTGGATAAGTTTTATTATTGGCATCTTTGGCGTCGAGTCGCAAAAGCATGTCTTTGTATTTCGAATGCTCAGCTGTCTCCGAATTGTGCGTCTCTTGGGTATCACCAGTGGCACTTTGGTCATTCTAAGAAGTTTGAAAAAGGCTGCGCCGACACTACTCAATGTTGCGTTCTTGACTGGTTTCTTCTGGCTGTTATTTGCGATCATAGGGGTTCAAAGCTTCAAGTCCAGTCTCCGACGCACCTGTGTTTGGACTAACCCCAACGATGCTTCGGAAACTTTCACAAATGCTTTCCAGTTTTGTGGTGGCTATCTCTTACCCAATGGCACTGCAAGACCTTGGATACATGCAGATGGATCGCCAGGTGCGGACGATGCCAAAGGATTCTACTGTCCCATCAATTCTGTCTGCATAGAAGGCGACAATCCCTACAATGGGACAGTCAGCTACGACAATATCTTTCAATCTCTCGAAATGGTCTTCGTCGTCATGTCTTCCAACACTTTCTCCGATCAGCTCTACTATCTGGCCGATAGCGACTATCTATCTGCCGGTATCTTCTTTGCCGCTGGAATCATTATCTTTCCCCTGTGGCTCGTCAACTTACTTATCGCTGTCATCACATCCTCGTTTCAAGTCATTCGAGATGAGAGCAAAGCTAGCGCTTTTACCGCTCAGGAACAAGTCAAGCATCTCGATACTGAAGAGGGTAGCGATGGCTTCAAGCAGAAGACTAGTACACTCAAACACTTCGTTGGCAATACTCGCTGGATCTGGATTGCTGTCATTACATACGGCCTCATTGTACAATGTCTGCGCAGTGCTTACATGAGTCCGAGCCGTGATGCATTCCTCAGTAAGTCAACCGCTTCAATCTCGTAATAACACATGCTTACCATACCAAAGATTCCTCTGAAATAGGAGTGACGATAGCCTTGGACATAGAGATCATTCTCAGATTCATAGCTGACTGGCGAAAATTTCACAAAAGCAAACGCAATCTCGTCGACCTCGCACTGGCCGTAATAACCACAGTCATCCAAATCCCAGTCATTAAGCATTCCGGGCAACCATATGCATGGTTGACGTTCTTCCAGATAATCAGAATCTACCGAGTCGTTCTTGCAGTGGAGATGACGCGCACACTGATTGTACGTATCATCCAGAGTCTTCATCAGGTCTAACTAACTAACATCTCTCGTAGCTCACTGTGTTGGGCGACTTCTCTGGTTTTGCCAATCTGATCATGTTCGTGATGCTGCTGTGTTTCCTCGCGGCGATCTTCGCAACACAGATATTCCGTGGTCAGATTCCTCAAGAGAACGATGAGGGCGAAGCAATTCGTGTTCCCTTCTTCGACATATACAATGCCTTCCTGGGAATGTATCAAATCTTTTCGAGCGAGAATTGGACAGATATCATGTACGACGTAACCTCGTACAACGTCGCCTTTAACAACGGTTGGATTGGCGCAGCATTCTGCATTATGTGGTTCATCCTGGCAAATTGTAAGTTTTGATTGCATAGATTGACTTCCCGGAAAGTCTGCTGACCTATTTAGTCATTGTTTTGAATATGTTTATTGCTGTCATCCAAGAGAACTTCGATGTTTCCGAGGATGAAAAGCGGTTGCAGCAAGTCAAAGCATTTCTCGCGAAGAGACAAATCAACGCTACATCTGGCAGTCAAGGCACATTGTCTCTGTCAACGATCTTCAAGTTTGGTCAAGTTCGTCGACAAGATCCTCTTGACTACGGTTCAGCACAAACAGAGATGCTCCTCAAAGATGCAGTTGTTCGAGATTTCCTCGACGATCACGAGATCGATTCCGATACGAGTCCACCCAGTACATCTGACGGTATGCCGACCAACAATCAACCTGTCAAGTCTGGAACATTGTCTCAGCGATGGGAGCAACTGCTGAATCGTCTCTTCAACCGTGAACCGAATCCATTCTACTCCAATGTAGAGCTTCAGAAGGCCCATGAAGAGGTGGATACTCGACAAATGGTCAAGGAGGTCGTCGCAGCAAATGAGAGAGTCAAGAGAGCTCAGCGCGAATACTTAAGAAAATACCCTAACTACAACGTCTCGATGTTCATCTTCAGGATCAACAATCCCATCAGAAAAGTGTGTCAAAGGATTGTGGGCCCAGGCCGAGGCGGTGACCGCATAGAAGGTGTTGCGCCTTCGAGGCCTATCTGGTATGGGTTCTCAGCATTCATTTACGCTGCCATCGTGGCCATGGTGCTTCTGGCCTGCGTTACGACGCCTTTGTACCAGAAAGAGTACTTCCGAACCCACGACTTTGAGGCTCGAAACTGGTTCGTCTACAGTGACATGGGTTTCGCAACACTGTTCACCGTCGAGTCTATCATTCGAGTAATTGCAGATGGCTTCTATTGGACGCCCAACGCATACTATCGCAGCTCCTGGGGTATTATTGATGGCATCGTCCTGGTCACGTTGTGGACTGACATCTTCACCACAATCTATAATCCAGGCGGTGGTTCAAGAGCTGTGGGTGCTTTCAAGGCTCTGAGAGCTTTGAGGTTACTCAACGTCAGTGACAACGCGAGAGACACCTTCCACTCTGTTATTGTCATGGGTGGTTGGAAAGTCATCTCGGCGGCATTCGTGTCGATGAGTTTGCTCATCCCATTCGCCATCTATGGCTTGAACATATTCAATGGCAGATTTATGGAGTGTAACGACGGCAACGGAATTTCGCTCCTTACGGACTGTACTGGAGAATACCTCAGTTCACCATTTGAGTGGGACGTGCTCGCGCCACGTCAAGTTGCCAACCCTTACTACGACTTCGATAATTTCGGATCTTCGTTGTTCATTCTCTTCCAGATCGTCTCGCAAGAAGGCTGGATTGATGTCATGTGGACTGGTCAGTCCATCACTGGTGTCTTTACTCAGCCTGATGCATTTGCATCTCAGTGGAATGCTCTTTTCTTCGTCGCCTTCAATTTGCTTGGTGCCGTTTTCGTCTTGACGCTTTTCGTTAGTGTCTTCATGCGCAACTACACGGAACAAACTGGAGTTGCTTTCCTGACAACTGAGCAACGATCATGGCTTGAATTGAGAAAACTCCTACGTCAAATTTCACCTTCCAAAAGACCCTCATCTAAGGAGGTGCGGGAGACTTGGAAAGAGTGGTGTTATCGCAGAGCAGTCACGAAGAATGGTAGATGGCAGCGAAGTGTCACTGCTGTGCTCGTCTTGCATCTACTGTTGTTGTGTCTTGAGTGGTACCCGGATAATGACCGTTGGGACAGAGCAAGAGACTACATTTTCTTGGTTCTGACGCTCTTCTACATCGTCAACATCATCATCCGCATCATTGGTCTGTCTTGGACACGATTCCGACGTAGCGCGTGGGATGTATACTCGATCTTTGCAGTCTCCGGAACGTTCGTCACGTTGATCTTGCTCCTAACCAATTTCAAGAACAGAGACTACGTTCAAGTGCACAAGCTATTCCTCGTCTCCATCGCACTGCTTCTCATACCGAGGAATAACCAGTTGGATCAACTCTTCAAGACCGCAGCTGCCAGTCTGACATCCATCGCTAATCTTCTAGCCACGTGGTTCGTCCTCTTCTTGGTATTCGCAATTGCGTTTACGCAGACATTCGGATTGACCAGATTCGCTGACGGCGAGACGGACAATCAAAACTTCCGAACAGTACCCAAAGCCTTGGTTATGTTGTTCCGGATGAGTTCTGGAGAAGGCTGGAATGAGGTCATGGCGGACTTCACCTCAGTAGTCCCTCCTTATTGTACGATCGGTGAGCACTACTACGATGGCGATTGCGGTAGCGACGGATGGGCCATGGCTTTGTTCATTTCTTGGAACATTCTCAGCATGTACGTCTTCATGAACCTGTTCATCTCATTGATCTACGAGAGTTTCTCGTATGTCTATCAGAGGAGTAGCGGATTGTCTGTCATCAGCAGAGAAGAGATTCGACGTTTCAAGCAGGCTTGGGCAGAGTTTGATCCAAGCGGTTCGGGGTACATATCCAAGGAGAAGTTCCCTCGCCTACTAGGAGTAAGTTGACAGTCATACTTGCCTCCTAGATTTCACGCTGACTCTGACAGGAACTCTCTGGTGTTTTCGAAATGCGCATCTATGATGGCGACTTCACTGTCAGCAACATCATCGCAGACTGTACTTCCCGACCTCAGCGTGCCCATCCTCTAGGATTAGATGGCCCCAAGGATAGTCCGCAGGTCGATCTTGATAAGCTCAACGAACGACTTTCTGAAATTCCGGTCACCGAAATCCAACGTCGCAGAAGAAGGATGAATATCTTTTATGAGGAAGTCCTGGTCTCGGCTGATCCTGATCGAGGTGTGGAATTCAATTCGCTACTGATGATCTTGGCACATTACAAGGTCATCAACGACAACAAGAGTTTGCGACTGGAAGAATTCTTGCGCCGCCGTGCTCGCATTCAACGTGTTGAGGAAGCTGTACGCCGTAATGTTGTCGTTGGCTTTTTCGACACTTTATACTGGGCCCGACGATTCAGAAAGGCTCTGGAAGCCAAGAAGTCTGCACGTATGACAATGGTGCCACAATTAGACGTCCCTGAAATTTTCATCCAGGATGACAGTGAAGATGTCACAAACGCTGGACGAAAGACGCCTTCGGCTCCCTCGACACCTATTGATCACCAGACTCCTAGCTGGACTACTGGGAGCGACAACGGCACGCCGCTGTTCACAACTGGACCCTCGGCATCCCGACCTAACCTCAGAAACCGCAGTGACTCTATCCAAGTGTCACCGTCAGCCTCTCCAACACGTCCACGGGCAATTTCTCAATCATCGCCGTCTGAGTTGCGCGACATTCCTGAAGATTGGCATTTCGCAGAAGCTTTGATCGAAGGGCATAACCGGTCTAGATCACCGTCGCCATCCCCGCAACATCTGGATCCCGACGCTACGTCAGACGCTTATGGTGGTCTGGGAGTCGGCGCAGGGCCTAGGAGTCGTGCTCAGACATTGTCTGCGACAAGTCCAGACTCTCGACCTCGAGCAGGGACTCTATCCGTCGCTGGCGCATCTTCAACCGGCGCTCGTTCGCGCGCCACTAGTTCTGTCAACGCGCAAAATGTCCTTGATGTCTTGGATACATCAGCATGGGGCGAAAGTATCAGACGTAGCTTCACAACTCGCGGATCGACATTTGAGCCGCGTGGCTCTGCTTCGAGGGATGCAAGTGCGGAGCCTATGCCTCCTCTCCCTGATACTCGACCTTCCAGTTCTTCGAATGCAGAAGGGAATGATCACGAACACCCACATGAGCTATAATCTGTTAGCTACAGTGTAAATAGATGGGTGGATCCCTGAGATGGAAATTTGTCTGTACCTGCATTAGCGAAGGCGTTTGTTTGTTCTTACACGATTTGCATAGACAGGCTACATTGCCACATGATAAACCGAGATTATTCCTACCCATAACTGCCTTCTATCGTAATATGTGCCATGGCGTTAAGTAAGTCTTGACTTCGTCGTTGTCGTAGTACTGCAAAATAAAAATCTTCCATGCACAGGATCGAACCACCGCCCCTCCACTGCTGTAATTCACTTCCCACTGCTTCCTACGCGACGAATACCAAAAGATTTATGTCTAGCAAAAGACAAAAAGATAAGAATAGCTAAGCTCGGTTTCGATCCGAGGTCCTCCGGGTTGCATTGGGATATGAGCCCGGCGCGCTGCACGTTGTTAGTACGGGTGGTAACATATGACGAGTGAGTTATGTTACGAACCTTCCGCTGCGCCACTCAGCTTTGAGTTGTAGTGATTGTTGAGTAACTAAAATATATTAATCAAAATATTGCGACGCATGACATTGGATACAGCGCCACAGATCCCCGCGTGCGAAACACTGTCACACTCAATGCTGCCTCAATGCACAATACTTTCTTAACTTGTAACGACATCATCGAGATACTTCGTATCATCCACTCCCTGCGCCATGATTTGCCGACACGAGATATGACTGTGCCTTTCTACAGCTCGTCGTTGCCCTGTTGGTCGTCAAGGAGAAAGGTCGTGACATTATTTCGCACACGCGGAGGTTGTACATAGAATTGATTGACATGTGATGACCCGAAAGCAGCAGTGTGACATTGTGACCATTATGTAGCTTGTTAGTTGTTCGGAAGCTACGCGCGCGCCTTCCTCACGAGTTGCCCGCGACTTTCCTAACTCATCCAATCGCACAACATCCGACAAAACACCTTCTCGCTTTTAACAGACATGCATGCGAGTTCTATTGACGAGAAGTAATATATTCTCGACGTTTGCCTTGGAAATATTCTGTTGTGGACAGTCGTGTTCCCAGCCTCCAACTTTTTCAAGCGCGTTTCTCACACGCTGTGCCTCCAGAATGATGTCACGACTGTGAAACGATAAACCGTGAATAGCTACCCAGAGCTCCCACCTGATTAATTCCACCACCTCATCACAAAAATCCAACATGGAGCACTACAAGCCTCATGCAGGCTCGACCTTCGAAGGATACTATTCAAAGTTCCGTTTGCCATCTGGTGCTTTTGTGGCATTGATTATCTGCACGGTACCAAACGCCAACACACGACCTCACAATATCACCTTCACGTATGTGCCCGAAGATGTGACCAAGTCATTCCAACGCGAGGTCTTTGTCGACAAGCTGGAGATGATAGATGGAGAGGGTGATGTAGCATTTGAACAGCATTGGAAGGGCGGTCATGTCAAGGTCTACAACGACTCAACGACTGAATACTGCATCGATCATCTCGAAGACGAGGGCTTCAGCTTCAAGGGCAAGACCACAAGCCGCACACCATGGATGCCCGACATGGACACACCAGAAGGCGCACTCGTCTACCTCCCACTGCCCCTACACTGGCACGTCCACTCCCTCGCCTCAGACTGCGACTTTGAAATGCAAATCAAAAACTACGACCTCCCCGAAGAAGACAAAAAGGGTGTTTCTTCAGTCCATCAAGAGAAGAACTGGGCCAACAGTTTCCCCTCCGCTCACCATTGGGTACAAGCCCGCGAAGGCAACGCAGGCATATGTATCGCCGGCGGCGAAATCCTCGGCATGGAAGCCTACCTCCTCGGCTACCACGCCTCTGACCCTAAGTACAACATGACCTTTCGTCCGCCCTACGCCGTGAAAGCCGCAGGAATAGCTCCCTTCATGTCTGTATCTCACGACTGGGACACTCGCACTTTCGAACTCAGTATCCAGAGCTTCACGCAGAAAATTGTGGTTTCGGCCAGAGCGCCGATAGGACAGTTTTTCACTCTAAGCTCACCGTTCCCTGATGGCCATCGTTTGAACTTCTTGGCTGAGAGTTTCAGGGCGGTGATTAATGTCAAGGTGTATCATGCTGGTGTTTTGGGCCCGTGGGAGTTTGTGCATGAGGATACTTTTGAGAATGGTAGTTTGGAATTTGGTGCTGGGTACTATCCTCCCGCTGGCAAGGAGGATCGCTTCTATTAGAGGGGTCGGGACCGATGGGAATGTTTTGACGTATGCAGAAAATACGATCTGTGAAACACATCTGCTCATGGACGAGAGAGCAGATACGGATCGTCGGATTAAGAGATTGTCTTCGATGAGCATGTCCCCACAAGCTTAGGACATCGAGACTTAGGGTATCGGTTCTCTGCCTGAACGCGTCACTTTTCGACCAAGAAACGTCATGGATGTGAGACGCGTCTGTATGTACTGAACGAAACGATACTTTCCCAGCCTCTTTTTATCAGTGCCAAGACCAGTTTTCCATGCCAGGGTTCTACCCTCATCTATGGATGCAAGCATCAAATCGCTTGTCACACAAACACCTCTGGCTATAGTAAAGCTAAGGGTGACTTCAAAGACGTATCGATATCGCATGAGTATTTAGTGGCTTATTTGAATCCATTGAGTACTTGTGTGGAGTGTGATCCTCGATTTCGTGTTTCCGGATCTCCATTTTCAGAAAGCTTTGGAGCGTCGCGCGGAAAACACCCTGCTCTTCCACTCAGAGGAAGATCCGAAAAGTCTGATCAACAAATAGACATATGACCATGTAATAGCTGTAAGTGTATGTTCATCATACACTAATGTCGAATAACACATTATTAGGAGTGTTGTTTGAGGAAATACTGATATCAAGCACACCTAACAGAGCCGCTCCCCGTACTTCTGGCTAAGCCTGCCCCACCACCCCACTTTCCGAATGTGGAGCGGTATAAGAATAACCAACCTCCTGCTTTGTGTGACCAAGAACCAACAATAATCTCGAAATGCCAGAGGTCAAACACCGGAACTTGAACGCGACATTCGTCGGCGTTGACATAGCAACTTGTTCACAATACCGAGGACTTCAATACGGCACCATCAACAAAAGATTCGAGCAACCGACTCTAAAGTCTGATTGGAAGGGAGAAAGAGTAGACTGTCAGAAATGGGGACCAAGATGTCCTCAAAACAAATATGATGTCGGTCATCTACTACGAGCTCCAGAGGGAGCTATTTTCTATGACGAGACTGAGGACGAGTTCGCATGTCTAAATCTGGATGTCACTGTGCCTGCCGATACGCCAAGGGATGCAAAACTGCCGGTCATGATCTGGATCCATGGAGGCTCGCAAATCATCAGTTTTGGCAATGGAGCAAGCAAAGCTGGAGACGCGACTAGAATCGTGGCAGAGTCTGTTCAGCACTCGAAGCCTATGGTTGTAGTATCTGTGCAATACAGATTAAACATGTTCCATGTTGGCGACGGCAAGGACAGCAAGAATCTTGGCTTCAAGGATCAACAACTGGCTATACGATGGGTGCAGACGTACATTGCTGGGTTTGGCGGTGATCCTGACGAAGTGACACTGGCTGGAGAGAGTGCAGGAGCTGTTTTCGTGCATGGATTGATTGTCAGTGGAGCACCTGTCAAGCGTGGTATTCTCATGTCTGGCTCACTACATATGTCGCCTCCGCAACCAGAAGCCAGAGCGAAGAGTATGCTTGTAGATCCAGTTCTCGCCAGGCTGGAAGCAAAGGGATACATGTCTCTCGAAGAGGCTCCAGTACAAGCACTATTAGAAGCACAGGCCGAGATACCGATACCATCCGTGTTCCTTCAAGAGGACACACGTTTTGCAGACTGGCAAAATAAGACAGGCGAAATTGCAGAATTGATGATTGGAGACTGCGAGTTTGAGTCTGTCCTTTGGCGTAACGGCGTGGAAGCAATGTCAGCACAGCAAGTCGTGGAATGCTTTGACAAGGCTGGATCGTCTCGCGATCAGCTCAAAGCACTATATCACATCCACAAGTCGCGAGCACCGCAATGCAGGCATGGTGCGTTGGACTTCATGAACGACATGCGGTTCGCATTACCAGTACCACTGATGGTAGAGAAGTATAAGAGTGAGGGGAAGAAGGCATACAGGTACCTGTTTGACCAAGCAAACCCGTGGCAAGCTTCATCCCGGGCTCATCATGCGGTTGACCTGATCTACCTCTTTGGTGGGTTCGACACGACGATAAACCCGTCAGCAGAAGAGCTTGGCAAGGAGATGAGGAGAAGGTTTATCTGGTACATCAATGGAGAAGCACCTTGGACGATACACCAAACCATGGCTTTTGGACCGTTGGGAGACACCAAGGAAATTGATGATAGAGGGGTTGCAGCTCGCAGACGCACACGACAGATGGAGGAGGTGAAGAAGCTCGAGGCTAGTGACGTGGCTGCGGTCTTTGGAAGCCTTGCCGCTGGGAGGATTAGTTTGCACAACTAGAGGTGCTTGTTACGTTTTACGGTGGGGGTAGATTAGCTGCAACACGTCAGGCCATGAAGGTCGCAGTTGCAGTGCAGGATGCCCCGCTCTTGTTGCGGTGTAGCCTGAATCCATCGAGGAACGTCTGTGTTTGGTCTTGGGGTTGTTGATTCGATTCGACGAGGCCAGCTAGATGTATGATAATTCCAGGCGACACACGGCCAGATAGAAGCTGTTGGCTTTCCTACACGAATCGACAACGATGACCAACAGTTGCCAGGAACAGTGGCAATGTGGCATGAGCCTTAGCCAACCCTTGCTTCCACCATGTCCAATGACACCACAAATGCATGTGAGACGCACGTCAACGCACGTGAGTAAGACAGCCGAGCCAACTCCTGGCGGCAGACATGTCCTCTGATACTACGAGCATCATCAGGGATCCGATGGAGCAACACAGGCGATAAGTGGTGACCTAGGCACAGGAGACGGTGCGGGATAAGCGGAGTGTCGACTTGAGATCTCGTAGGCTCTCCTTCTCTCTTGTCTCCTCTTTCCCCGGTATCACGTCGAGCTGGCCATATCACTCTGCTTTCCGACAGCTTCGAAGTTCGCGTTCGCGTTCGCGTTTGCTCACGAGCCGGCAGCCTGTGCCCCTCACGATAAAGCACCGGCGTCTCGCAGTGAAGGACGCCGAGGGCCCGTGCCTATCACGACCAAAGCACGGAAGAAAACGCCTGCCTCGAAAGTTGCAAACCACTTTGACGGCCTGAAGGGTAGATTTTTCCTGCGTCAAACAAAGTGACGGAGCTGGCTCGCTGTTTGTTCGCCTTCGTCTGGAGTCTGGTTGTATTCTTCTCTCGCTCGCCCGAAAGTCTTCTCAGCTTGTTCTACTTGCCCAATTCCGACTTAGCTTTTCTACTCTTGTGCGAAGCAAAGGCTTGTGCCGCGTCGCATCTGGAGCCTGTCATCTGTCATACCACCCACGACTGACGTCCGCTTGTCAGCCTGCGCCCATCCTCGTTCAACTGAGGGTCGACCAGCCTGGTGTATATCGTGCGGGGAGGTCAATACTGAGCCTTCCCGGACAAGTTGAGACTGCGCGACAGCTCAACTAAATTCTTTGGCACTGCCTATCCAGGCCCTCAGGACTAGCTCAAGCCAGACGAGAGAAATCTCCGACGTCATAGCCATGTCTTTCTCATACGCACAAGCAGCCAAGGGCCGCTCATCAGCAAAAGCATCCGGTGCAGCCACGCCGTCTTCCAACTCAGTAGCCGAGGATATCAATGGTCTCACAGTTGACTCCAAGGCTGAAGCGCGAGCAGGAGGAGACACATCTAGTGTCACTTCTGCCAACAACAACGACGATGGCTCATCCACACCAACCGGAGCCTCCTCTGAGTCAACATGGGACACCAAGTCGCAAAACTCAGATCGCCCAGCTAGAGCAGATGGCGCCGAGTCAAAGACCGACACAGCCGAAGCCAAGGGAGAGGCACCTAGGCAAAAGAAGAAGCTCCGTGATGCTCCACCACCAACTGTCAACATCTGGCAGCAGAGAGCGTCAACTATGACCATCACCAAGCCAGCGTCGCCGGCACACACAAATGCTAGCAGCAAGCAAGAGAGAAAGGCTGAAAAGGCAAAGAACACAGATGCGAAGAAGCCTGCTGCTAACGGCACCAGGAATCGCGACCAGCGTCAGACCGTAGAGTCGCCTGCCAAAGTTCGCGGAAATGCTTCAGCTCCCCCACCGACGAGCGAGGTTGCTTGGCCTAGCATGGAGACCGCTCGCGAAGAAGAGCGCAAAAAGTCGCAAGTGCAGGACGAGAAGGTCGCGAAAGAGACCAGCACAGTACCGGCAACCAAGAAGACCGAGTGGGTCAACTACAACTATGTGCCCAATCCCGTCTTTGAGACCACTCTACCGCAAAGGAGTGCACCCCGTCCAGCTCGTGGAGGCGTTCGTGGTGGAAGTAATCTGGCTGGTCGCACACCTTTCCAGAACGGAGACAAGTCCTCACCGAAATCTGTAGACGCGGCCCAAGGACATATCGCCGCTGCGAATGCCGAGGCAGATCGCGAGTCTATGCCACCTCCGCCCAAGCCCGTCAGAGCCGAAGAGCCCAAGGATACTGCCGTGACCAATGGTGTGTCCCACGAAGCTCCTGTCACAAACGGAGCCCCCAAGCGTAATCTGTCTATCCGCAACAAGTCCCCTCGCAAGTTTGAGACAAGTGCCCGCCGCCCTTCCGCTGCTTCGGTAAGCATTGACGCGCTCAATGGTTTTCATCCTGAAGCCTCAAAGATTGCCAACAAGGAGCGTGTTTTCGACCAAGGTCCCTCGTTCCGTGAGCCCAAACCAGCCAAGCGCGGAAGAGGCGGTCACCGCGGCGGCCTGGCTAACAGCCATTTCCCTTCTCAAAACTTCACCAACGGTTTCCCTGGTGACTTCACTCCTGCAGCGCCCTCCTTTCCTCCACGCGGTGGCCACTACTCTCAGCAGAGCCGTGGTGGTTTCCGTGGAGGCATGCGTTCGCAGTCCATTCCTTTCGATTATGGCCGTGGCCCTTACCCCGCCTATCCTATGATGATGCCACAAGGATACATGCCCGAGTATTACGGTGGCTACGCCCCTCCAGTTCCTGCCTACCAACCGGGTGTGGAGCAAATGTACCTCGTTCCCATGATCTCGCAGCAAATCGAGTATTACTTCTCCCTGGACAACCTTGTCAAGGACACTTTCTTCCGCAAGCACATGGATTCTCAGGGTTTCGTCTTCCTGACGTTCGTTGCCGACTTCAACAGACTGAAGTCTCTGACCACTGACTACGAGTTGTTGAAGTACGTCTGCCTCAACTCACCCAACATTGAGCTTCGCACTGGCCAGGATGGAAAGGATCGTCTACGAAAGGCAGGTGACTGGGAGATGTGGATTCTGCCGATGGCCGAGCGCGACGCCTCCGCGCAGAACGAAGGCCCTGCTTCTTTCGAGCGCCCTTCTGTCCCTCATATCGGAATGGCTGCACCATTCTACCCCGGTGGTATGGATCAATTCGCTGAAAATTCCGGATTTGAAGAGTTTCGAGGTCGTCAAGCCAAGTCTCCGCATCGAGAGAACGGCATGTCTCCTCTAGGCAATTTCTTCATTCCCGCCGAGGATATGGGTGGTGAGCAAGACAACTTCCCCAACACACAGATTGACAACTTGACTGTTGTCGTTCGCAAGCATGATGAGACCCCTCGTCGTGCTCCCTATCACACTGTAGGATCCAGAACCTTCTCCGACGGCTCGATTGACTCGAAAAACATCTACGAGGAAGTTCAGAAGACCAAAGTTCAGGAGAAGAAGCCTCAGACAAATGGCGCAGAACAACAGCCTACCGTTGACTGTGACGCTGCTGCAGTTGACGGCCCTGCAGTCACACTTTTCTGGGTCAAAGACCAGCACTCACCTGTCGATACCCTACCTAAGGACACTACCCACGAAATGTACAGCAACCTTCGCGGCAAGGCCCTGTCGCAGCGTGAAGTTGCAGCTACAGGTACCTGCCCTTATGACATGGATGTTCTTTACCAGTTCTGGTCGCACTTCCTCATTCGCAACTTCAACTCGTCCATGTACGCCGAGTTCCGCCATCTTGCTTTTGTCGATGCTGCTCAACGTCATAACTCTACTGGTATTGCCAACCTCATCAAGTACTACAGCGAGGCATTGACAAGCCAAATTCCTATCCGCGAACGTGTGGGACGTCACTTTATCGAGCTCCTACAGTCCGAAAAGGATGGTGGTGAGCGTGTTGCTTTCAACCAACTTCGCGAGTCATGGCGAAGCACAACCCTCAGTGTCGAGAATCGCAAAAGGTTCGCCGACATGATGGGTGCAGACCTCAAGACGGAACTTGAGGCTTGAGTTTCTTCTTTCCAAATCTCCGATCATTTTCTATGTTTAAAAAAGTCACATATGCAATGGGCGTTAATGGGGGCGTCATTCAAATTATGGGGACAAAAGCCTGCGATAGGTCATCTTCCAGCATGGGTGGGCAGAAAAAGGCGCATCTTTGTGCTTTACCAAAGGCAAACGTTCAGCTGCAGGGAATGGGTCGGGAGATATGGGTTTCTTGATTGCTTTTCCTCGCACACGCCGACATGGTTAATTTTTTCTTTCCCTGATTCACGGATTTTTTTTACTTTCCTTTTGCGTTACTATTCTTTTTTCCACTTCACGCCCTTCCTTCTCAAAGTTCTGTTGTCTTTTGATTGATCTCTTTTCCCAAGCTGCGATTCGCCCTGTTACATTTGGAATAAGATTGCTATTGGCAGGATAGAAGGAGGATATGGGGCAAGAAAAGCGATGTTTATGATCTGTAAATACACACGAAACCTTTGCTCCAATGATGATTTGAATGTCTAGCACGATGTTGAAGTGACACCAAACGAATGAGTGACATCGAAGTGAAGCAGATGCGAGCCTCGGCGAAAGAGAGGAAGTAGACCCTGAGACACCCGAGATAAGATCCCTAGATCCTGTTATCTCCGTAGGTCGCCACCCGTCTGCGCCACCTCTCCCCCGCAATGGTGTCAGTGACTACTTAGGCAGCCGCTTTCCATCGATCTTTCTTCCACATCTTTTGGCCTCCCTGACGAATCACATTCATCATGCCGCCCTTGGCAGGACACTGGCATAGCCTCTTGACGAGGCATGTCAAAACTTGGAAAGCCGCCGCCAAACAGGTCCAGAAAGTGTTACAGAGCAAAGTAGCTCAACCCGCCCGCGCCGAACTCCAGCCAGTTCTGGTTCGAAACTCTGCACGCCAGCCCCTTCACCCCGCCGCTCGCATCCGACAGAACCAGAGCCGCTGGTTCAGTAGCTCTTCTCGCTCTACCTTCAAGGACACCGTCCGCCGCCTCAGCTCGATCGCAGAGCAATCGTCTGGAAATCAGTACACGCGTAGCTCTCTACCAAAGTCGACTGTCGGCAATGCGGTCACTCGTCACTCAGGTCGTGCACCATTCGCATCCACTCTGCGTCCCAACCTCACCGGAGGTACACTAGGACGTACATCTGGAGGATACTCGCTTGGAGGCGGTCGTGTAGGAGGTCAAAGATACTTCTCTCATGGCCCCGCTAGCCAGGCACAAGTTGTTCAGAACGTATCGCAGGCAGTGCGTGCATTCTTCGTATCTGGGAATAAGGCTCAATTCAATGGTGTCAACCCCAGAGGCGAGAAGTCGTACAAGACTGTGACTCTCACTCAGGATGGCGCTATCAAGAAGCTTCGATCGCTTCCTAAGCAGACTCCCGGCTCCTACATCTCCTTCCCCATTAACCCAACTATCACTGCCTTGACCACTCTCGAGGCTGTCGCTGGCTACGCTGATGCCGAGCACGTCAACTCCGAAGGTCTCATTGATGGCCTCACCGTTGACTTCTCCCGTTCGCTCAAGGACCTCACCGCTGTCCTCAGCGACATCAACAAGCTTTCAAGTCTCGGCGATCTACCTATCACATACCAAGGCTCTTCACTACGCATCCATTTCCCTGGGTGCGATGCAGAGACCGTTGACAGGCTGCGTGACGAGCTACAAATTCAAAGAGGCACCACTGTCCAAGACGAGGACTTTGATGACTTTGTTGGGTCTGAAATTGCCCTGCTCTTCCCTTTCGCTCCAAGCACACCAGCTTCAGAGAGCGGCAGTGAGTTCTACGAGTCTCCATCTCACAGCCATACCAGACCCATCGAATGGCAAACAATGCTCACACCGTCCGAGAGCAGTGTCGGCCGCAAGTTCTCAATGAAGTCTGATACATTATCAGAGCTCGACTTTGAATTTGATAGCCCAGCCATGGCCTCTGACTACGAGTCATTGCACTATTCCAGCTCCGGTGAGCGCGAAGATGCACAGAGTCCTCTCGAATATCAAGGCTTTGAGGGCATCTACCGCTTTATTGAGCAATGCGATTCTCACAGACATTGATGGATTGGACTCGATCTTATCCTCGCTCCACTTCTCCCTCTCCCCTTTGGCTCAGATTGATGACACGATACCCTTGGCGTTCTTTATTCTTGCGTTTCCCAATTTTCTCAAAGCACACCTATATAGCTGGCGATCAGCGCTTCGATCGATTCACGAAAATGAATTCCTATACACTACAAATGTCGGTTTCAGCTCGAATATGTTGACGTGCTCACTCGGACAAAGAATCAGTGGGGCTGTACGTGCACCCCCGAATTGCGCAAGCACGTCAAATAGGTAATCAGCAGACTCAATTTTGATTTACGTGACAAGTTCACATTTGGGGATCCTCTTGCTGGTGATGAACCTGTTTGCTCGGACACCAGAGTATTCTTGTGTATGCGTGCAGATTCCAATCCACTCCGGCAGATCTGCAGTGCATTAAACCGATATTTGGGGGGAAGGCCGGCAAAGCAGATCAGACTTCTCAACATGGCAAGGTGGACTATTGACAATAATGATGGGCATCTTTCAGCTGAGCGATAGATGTATTTCACCACCCGATATAGTTTTGATATTCGAGTTTGTTTTCAACGGGTTCAACAAGAGGTGGTTCCCCTGCATCTTCTTGCCGATGCAAGTGCCGGCGTCTTTTGCAGGTCCCTGCCGCGGCGCAACTGCGTTCGTCTTGAATCCTGATGATTCAACCTCCCTCGTCCCTGAAACTTTCGCTCTAGCCAACCCTGAGTTTGCTGAACATGGGGCTCCATGTTGGTTCTGTAACACGCAACTCACTCTTCTAGGACGACCGCCTTGAAGAAACTTGCGAGCCCTGAAACACGAGGGCAAAAACCCACGAAACATCGACTAGGACCTTAGCAGACCCATGGGAGTGGTCCTGTACATTGAAGGGGATCTTTTGCAAAGCTGTCAATCGGCTTTCTGTCTGGACATGCGTCAATATTCTGCAGCTCTCCCAACCAACTTCACCACAGGTTCATGTCCGATGATGCTCGATCGAGGTCTTTGGCTGTCGCATCAATTAACAGTTCCCTGCATGCTAGGACAAAAGTTGTCGGCGCAATTAAGGCTCGCTGGCGGCTTACTCAATAGGCGAAGTAAAGCCCCCAGGCTGGATCGGAAACCCATCTCAGCCCATCCGCCCGCCATGCATGAATCCTTCCCATCCAGGATCTTGAGTCTAGAGGCTAGTGGATTGGACATGTTCCTCTCGAGCCCTGAAAGACATCATGTCAATTTATATACGATGTAGGTTATTCCAAAATTGACTTTTATTTCCCCTCTCCGGCCTTCCAACGCTCAATGCCTCCTCTTATGCTTTGACGTCTGGTCGTGATATAACATCTTGCCCTTTCGTCTTTCCTTTGTCTTTGTTCTCAATCTACATATCCGCCATGGAGGCTATCGTAGAAGCAGCACAGAGAGTGGCTGCACTCGGACCTCGTACCGTTGTCATGCTGGTTGTGGCCGTCGTGTTCCTCATCCTCACATGGACGTCATTCGCACTTCGAGTCTATGTGCGGGCGATTATGATTCGCTCATTCGGCAAGGATGATTGGATGATGCTTGTTACGATATGCTTGTTCACATCATGTTGTGGTCTCTTGATAACCATCGAACAAATTGAGCAAAGCGACAGACCGCACCGAGTGTTGAAGGAAGGTCCTTTGGCACAGCTGGAGCTTCTCAATTACATTATGAAGGTTTGTCTGATCTGGTACCTCTACCACCGTGCTTCATTCGTCATTCGCTAACATGACTCTAGTACATTGTATCCTTGATGGGCTTGTACATCTTAACCACCGTCGCCTTGAAAATCAGCCTTGCCATCTTCTTCCTCCGCATCGTCATTCGACGCTGGCAACGAAGAGTCATCTACGCTGTCACTGGGATCTATACGGTCTTCGGTATAGCATGGGCCTTCATCGCCGTCTTCCAGTGCGGTATCCCAACGCACTTCTTAGTCAAAGAATCCTCTGGATTATGCATCCCGGACACCATCCTCCAACCTCTGAACTACACCCACGCAGCCCTCAACGCAGCGAGTGACTGGACATTCGCCTGCCTCCCCGTCTTCGTCCTCTGGAACTCGCAGATTCCTCGCGCCGCAAAAATCTCCTCTGGCCTATTACTCTCACTTGGTGCTATTGGGAGTATCTCCTCATTAATCCGCATTGCATATATCCCAGGCTTAAAGACCGGACCAGCTTTCTTTAGCAATGCCATCAACATAGGAGTCTGGAGTTGTATCGAGCCAGGCTTGGGCATTGTAGCAGCCTCTCTAGCCACACTTCGCCCACTGTTCAAAAACATGATGGAGAAAGCTCGAAACACTACGAATTCCAGTCATAGCAGCAAGACACTCAGTCGCAACTCCAAAGTCTCATTGCAGAGAAAAGCCACTTATTCGAGTATGAAATTCAGCGAACGCGGATACCTTCAGATGGACGACCATGAGAAAAAGACATGTGCAATGGGGAACTCCATAACAGTATCTGGAAACCTCAAAACCTCACTGCCAAATCAAGTCTTTGAGTTACATCCCATCAATGAGGGAAGGAAATCGACTTCAAGTACGAGGACAGAGGAGAGAAGCTTTGATGATGCAGTGGGAGTGACACCGATGGCTATCAAGAGTTGGTTTCCTGATGACGAGGTCTTGATGACTAGACATGTCAACATCTACGATGAGGAAGCTGCAGAGTGGCCAGCACCTCCGCATAGAGACGCGTAAGCATGCAAGAAACTCTGCTTCTCATCGAGTAACAATCATTATGAATTTATGTCTTTCTATGCCAGGCTGAAATTTCATTAACATCATCACGTGCCGTCGCGTGGTCGAGTCTCACATGTGCGACACGTCGTTCTTGCCTATTGTGGCGAACCTTCCCCCACGTCAGAAGGCTACAATCGCGCTAAACACGGATTGGTCGCGTCCGCCTCCAAAGATGACTTGACCATAAATTGTTCGCCTCCTAGAAAAAACGTAGCTTGACAATCGCCCTTGCAACACTCTCGTCATCACCAAGCCCCGACAAGCAACACCATGAGTGCCGAAGGACAAGAAGTCGCATCGCAGTCTGGCTATGAAGATGGCGCTGCCGGCGGCCCTGGTGCACCTACGCCACTCTCTGCTTTGGAGGTAAGATGAATCATTCTACGTGTCTTTGCTTTGACTTGTACTAATTGTTCTGTCAGGGCATGGCTGGTTTGACCAAGCGAGACATCCAGTTGTTCATCGAAGGCGGATTCCACACTGTCGAAGCAGTGGCCTACACTCCCAAGATGGTGCTTGAACGCATCAAGGGTGTTTCTGAGCAAAAGGCAACAAAGGTTCTTCTCGAGGGTGAGTTTTCCCTGACATTGATCATCTGCACGGTGTCTGACATGGCCCGCAGCTGCCAAACTTGTGCCCATGGGCTTCACGACAGCAACCGAGATGCACGCCCGACGCAGCGAACTCATTTCTATTACGACTGGTTCTAAGCAGCTCGACACGTTACTCGCGGGAGGAATCGAAACAGGATCAATCACAGAAGTGTTTGGCGAGTTCAGAACGGGAAAGAGTCAACTGTGTCACACGCTGGCAGTGACATGTCAGCTACCCTTCGACATGGGTGGTGGTGAAGGAAAGTGTCTCTACATCGACACAGAAGGCACATTCAGACCGGTGCGTCTTCTGGCTGTCGCGCAAAGATATGGACTGTCCGGCGAAGAGGTTCTCGACAACGTTGCGTACGCACGCGCATACAATTCCGAGCACCAGCTTGATTTGCTCAACCAGGCCGCACAGATGATGACAGAAACACGCTTCTCGCTCTTGATCGTCGACTCGGCAACAGCACTCTACCGTACAGATTTCTCTGGACGTGGTGAATTGTCTTCAAGACAAACACACTTGGCCAAGTTCATGCGCACCCTGCAACGCCTGGCAGACGAGTTTGGCATCGCAGTACTCATCACCAACCAGGTTGTGGCACAAGTGGATGGTGGACCGAGCGCCATGTTCAACCCAGACCCCAAGAAGCCTATTGGTGGCAACATCATTGCGCATGCCAGTACAACACGCCTCAGTCTGAAGAAGGGTCGCGGTGAGACCAGAATCTGCAAGATCTACGACAGTCCCTGCTTGCCGGAAAGCGATGCCATGTTCGCGATCAAGGAGGACGGCATCGGCGATCCCAGTCCCAAGGACCTCGACAACAACTAGAGAATGGAGTGATGGATTTGTACATGAGGGAACGATATTGCTTTTGAGCTTGCTTTTTTGATTTCAAAGATACCTGGAGGAGGGCTGGAAGGGTTTGCACTTTTGGCTTGGCGTTGGCAGGACAAGCATGGCGGCAGCATCACAGTATGAAAACTGGACGGTGGCTTGGAGTCATGGGAATTGCTTGAGAGATATCACAGTAAAACTATCATGCTTCCGACTATTGAAGTGATCCAAAGGGTGCTATTGCAAGTGAAGGTACCTATGCAGAAATGAAAGTTGGACCTTGTTCTGTGTCGACTCTTCGGTCATCAGCAAGCAGCAAAAAGTTGGGGCAGCTCCAGATTTGGAAGTTTGGCCTTCTCTCAGTCGCAGCTCGGCGCATCAAAGCAAACGCGCATCAGCAATTCCGCATCAACGCGCGACTGTCACTACTCGACCTCCAGCCATTGCATGTCGACTGTACATGTCGATACAATGGCGCTGACCGCGACGGCTCCAATGGCGCCTTGTCTATACACCGAGGCCCGTCTGAACATTGAGCCTACCTATGCCAATTCGACCTTACACATTCCTACCGAAGGACAAAGCTCGTTCTTCTCGCGCAAACGTTCCAGGAGCGACGATGCCTTCGCCAACGCAGACGAGGAAGCTTACGCGAAGCGTCACCTGGCTACCGAGTCCTCCATCTTCTTTCGTCGCCAGAATAGAAATCCGCGATGCTTCCTCTGGCGCGTACTCGAAGAGGGAAGGCTGCTTCACATCCAGAGTGTCGACTTGATCCAGGCCCGCAGGAACACACAAGAAAGCGTCATCACCTTTGCTCTAAGCTTCAGCAATCCCATCCGGTCCAATGGTGTTGCCTTTGCTGACGCTGTCGAGCGTGACGCTCTGGAAGTCTTCGTCTTGACTACAGCCGACGAGCTCTTCACCTTCACCCTTCGCAAGGACCTCCTCCTCCGCGGCTCGCTGCCATCCGCTACCGACTTCGATCCTGCTAGCTGCTTCAAGCTCTACCAGTCGCCCTCGTTCAGCTTCCGGACCCCCTACAAGCTCGTCGCTCTTAGTTCGATGGACTTGCTTGTTTCCCTCAGCGACGGTGGTTTGCTGCGCCTTTCGAGAAATGTTGGTCAGAATCAGGGTGCATGGCACGAGACTTCGTTCAGCGAACCAGGCTGGGGCTCGTCCTTCAAGACTTTCTTCTCTATGAGAGGCCATAACACGGTCAAGTTCAATGGTCTGGATCTTGAGCCCTCGACTGCTGCTGCTATCGCCCTGTCGCCAGACGCGACTCACGTCTTCACAGTATGCCTTGATCACACTCTCAAGGCCTGGAACACACAGACTGGAAAGTCAGGAGTTCAAACAGATCTTTTGAATGATAACAACAAGGATTCACAATCTGCTTCATCCCAGTTCTTGATGAGCCCAGCTCAAGGCACCCTTCTCAAGCTTCTTCAAGTCGACGGTAGTCCCGACGGCGACATGTACTATGCTGTGACAAACTCGCCAAAGGATCATCAATTCAAGTTCTGGGCAGTCTTGGACCCCGATGATATCGAGCTGGGCATTCGTGATGTTCAACCTGACACCAAGCTGATCCCTCCTCTTGACGAGCTGATGAATACGAATGCTTGGCAACTCGTCGAGTACCACGTTCGTCCTTCCAAAGGTTGGCGCAACACTCAGCTTTGGATCAGAGTCAGATCTGGCGCTATCTGCAAGATCTTCACCCTCACCTTCGACTTGCTTGCCAGTCCTGAGGACATTGAGGAAACATGGCGCAACGAGTGGGCGTTTGTAGACGACGGATCTCTCACCATCGAGGCATTGATGAACGACCCATCGTACCCAGGAGATGCCGACATTCAACTAGCTGTTGAAGACTACTCTAGTCTCAGTGATAGATGGCTTGACTTTTTCTTCTATCCTGGCAGATTCAGCATACCTATGCTCGAAAGTGCCTTGCACATCTACAAGAAAGGATTGAAGTTGTCGACCGAGTCTTCTCGACTCAACAAGGATAATCCGCTCAAGGGAAGGATTTGCGACGCCATCGCTGCCAAGATCAGTGTGGATCAAACTGATGAAGGTCAATTGGACTTTGACAAGTATCAGTCTGAGATTGCTGCACAGTGGCATGTCTTCTTCGGCCTCGTGCGACATCTCCACACCAGACGTGGCGACTCTCTCGCTCTAGCATTCGATATGGATACGGATCTTGCATGGTCGGTCAGAGCAGACCAAGTCGGGCCCGTCAGACGATGCAGCGAGGTTGAGATCATGGATCTCAACAAAGACGTCTTCCTAACCCAAGAGGACCATGTCATTCTCAACTCCGTGCCCCTTTCAAATCATCTGACCGAGGAAATTAGTGTTCACGTCGGTCGCCTATTTGCAGGCGCGAGCGTTTTCAGAAGGGGCCTGTCTGGTGAATTCCAAACACTCTTCGAGGCGGCAAGCACAGCAGAGGCTCTCAAGATCGGCGCCAATGATACGACACCCAACGGAACACATCACAATCGCTTGGAAGACTTGCGACAACTCTACGACATATGCGCTCTTCATACGGAGGTCACTGATGATGACTTCAATCAATTAACAGACTCTATGCAAAGCCTGGGAGGTCTCGGTGACTTGGACAACGAACTCTTCTACGCAGCCATTGAACGCCTCGCACAGCCACAGCATGGTTCTGATAGTGACCAAGCCTTGACACGCTACGGAGACAAGGCAACCATCCGTGGTGCCCAAGATACTTTGTCTGTAACGAGAAACATCATCCTTGATCTTCTTGCACTGGTCGTGTTTATGGCTGGTGATCTCGAAGAAGAAGAATTATCAACCGAGTTCAGACCATCAGAGTTATATCAGCAGCTTGTTGTGAAGCTCAATGAACACAATGTTTTGCTGTGGCTTGCTAGTAATGTGCGCGAGGAGCCAGCCAAGAACGCACAAGATACTATCGACAGCCCTGTGTCCAAATCTAGCAAATCTCAGTCCCACCCAACTTTGACGGTGCTTGAGAGTATCTTCATTGGAGACTGGCACACGTTGCGATCCCCGACCACGGAGAAGCTTCCTTTCCTCATCACCTACTGGTGCCGTGCGTGGACGTATGGAGCCAATATTTCCGAAACTTACAATGGCATTGTCACTCACATTCTGGGAAATCTTGTCAAATATCAAGACTACGACCTAGCTACAGATTTCCTCAGATTCGTTCCGGAAAGTCCCTGGGCCTCCTATCTCCGGGGCAGATTGAATCTTGCTACTGGAGAGTATGCCCTGGCTGCTGAGTACTTCAAACAGGCAGCTGATTCGCTTGCTGAGAAGAGCCCCGGCATCAACACGCTAGACACGTCAAACCTGATCGACCTAGAAGCTCGCAACTTTTTCAACAACGAACTGCCTCGCTACCACCTTCATATCTCATACCTATATGAGCGCAATCGACTACACGCCTACACTGCCGATTTTGCTTCGCTGGCTCTTGAAGAGTTTGGAGTCAACTTTGAGAATTTCGATGACAATTCGTTGCTTGATCTGGACACACGCAAGCATGACATGCACGGTAGTCCCGCAAATATGAAAGCCGGTCTGGTGGTCGAGGAGATCAAGCTACTGCGTGTGCAAGAGCTGAGGGCAGAGATACTCATGCGCGTGTTCAACGCCTCGTTGCAGATCTGCCGCTACAAGACTGCCTTTGAGGCTTTGGTTATGTTCACCAACCCTGTGCACCGAAAGACTTCACTCAAAGCCCTCTTGCAGTCGCTCATTGCAAGCAACAGGATTGACACACTTCTTTCTTTGCCATTCACAGAACAATTCTTGCCTGAGGTGGATGATATACTCTTGTCATTGGCACGCAAACATCTGTCATTCTCACCAACACCGACACCGGGACGACCCCAATATCATCAAGTCATGTATACCTGGCGCATTCACAACAATGACTTCCGAGGAGCTGCCGAGATACTCTTTGAGCGTTTGCAACGTCTCAGACATAGCACAGCCAAGGTATTCGAGCCTGATGACGAGACTCTGGTTGAAGCATACTTGGTTCTTATCAATACACTTGCATGCTGCGGCAAGGATGAAGGATGGATCTTGGCAGAGAGAGTCGAGGAAGAGTACCAGCGTGGTAAGAGCGTTTCAGCCAAACACAACAAGAAGCGCAAGATTGTTACACTAGAGGATGTTCGCAAGGAATACCAGGCAGAGCTGGATCGCAGAAGTGAGATGCAGCAAGGCAGATTTGCGTTGACTGCAGGTGACGAGATGGATATGTTCTGAGGGAAAGGTTTCTGGCGGTTCTTCAATTCCCCACTCGACTGTTATTGCAGCGACAACGTTAAAGGGTATGGGAATGATTAAAAACTGGGCATAGCGCAGGAGTTTATGGCGTAGAACAAATGTAAAGATAGTCAATCGCAGCTGTACTAGGAGAAGATTGCAAAGCAGTTGCAACACAAGCATTCATGCGTCTCTCGACTTGTAACAATCTCAATTGTATGTTCATGTTCGTGATGCATGTCAGTTGTTTAGCGGTATGGTAGCTTGGAGAGCAGGAGGGAGCGCATGCTATGACGAAGCAAGCTTAGGGCCGTGCCGAAGCGACCGAGGGCGAGATTGGCGGAGGTCACATCACCGGGCAACAACGACGTGCATCTTGAAGTGTTAGCTAGAGAGGCAACCCGCAACGACAAACAATGTCGAAATCGAGCTTTTTCCTCGTGTCGCTACCGACATCCATCTCGCCATCCAATGACGGCGACGAAGCGCTGACGGCGCTGCGATCTGTCGTGTCCACCGACAACGGCACGACGTATCCATTCAGCATCCCGAGCTTCAAGATTGGCACTCTGGACGCGCTGGTGCAGCAGGCCGACGACTTGCAGAAGCTGGAGCAGGGATGCAAGGGCGTTGTGGAAAAGGTGGCCGACTCGCTGAAGAATATTCTCGAGGGTGATGAGGACAAGATTGCCGATCAGAAGAACGTCAACGACAAGCCTGTGGACCACTACCTGCAGAGCTTCCAATGGAACAAGGTCAAGTATCGCGCTGAGAAACCCATCTCGGAGCTGGTGGACATGCTACAGAAGGTTTGTATCCTGCTGTGCTGAGTGCTGAGCCAGATTGTCCGCATTGGGCTAACGTTACACCCCATAGGATATCGCCAGTATAGACAACGACGTCAAGACAAAGTTCAACCAGTACAACTCCACAAAGACGTCTTTGGCCTCGGCCCTGCGCTCGCGCACCGGTAACCTGTCCCAAAAGTCGCTCACCGCAGTCGTCAACCCAAAGAACCTGCTCGCGCCAGATGCCTCGGAATACCTGCAACAACACTTGATCGCCGTGCCCAAGAACCAAGTCAAGGATTACCTCTCTAGCTACGAGTCCTTGTGTCCCATGGTCGTACCGCGTTCGTCGCAGGAACTGGCCAAGGATGACGAGTTTAGCCTGTTCGCTGTTACTGTCTTCAAGAAGCACAGTGCAGAGTTTGTTCACAAGGTGCGCGAGAGACGCTGGACGCCTCGTGAGTGGAAGTTCAATGAGGGCGGACGTGAGGCAGAGGAGGCCGAGCAGCAGAAGCTTGAAAAAGACGAGCGCCGTGTTTGGGGTGAGGCTCTTCGTCTGGGTCGTACTGGATACAGCGACGCTGTCATGGCATGGATCCATGTTCTTGCTCTGCGCGTCTTTGTCGAGACGGTCTTGCGCTATGGTCTGCCTCTGAGCTTTGTTTGCGGTCTTGTCAAGGTAAGAAATGTTGAGACTGTTATCGAGATATGCACGAATGCTAATAAACACAACAGACGGACAAGAAGTCGGTCGAAAAGGCAAAGAAGAATCTCGACGGCGCCTACTCACACCTCGGCGGAAACGCATTCGGTCGTGACAAGAAGGGTAGGGTTACCAAGGATGATGCTCAAACGGCCAACGAGCTGCAAGTGTCTGGTCATGCTGGTGGTGAAGACTACAACGCATACGTCTTTTACCAGTTCGAGATTGCATGAGCAAAAGCGTGTTGAGCTGCCATCATCCTCCCTACCTCATGCTTTCCTGACTAGCGTTTTCCATAATCTCTTTGCCTTTTTTTGTTTTTCCTGTCCATAGACACTCTATACCCAGCCAAATTCTGCAAGGTTGTCCATACATGAGAAAAAGACATAATCTGGAGTTCGTATACTTTTTTGTGGTGATACGGTCTGCTACATGAGACGTTTTTATTTTATTTTAAATATGTACAATATTTCGCGGACAAGAATGCAAGGGTATCAAATGAAGCAAAAGATCTAACCCTGCTTCAGGAGGCCTCTCTCCTCGAGGTACTTTGTGATTTGAACAACAGCCTCCTCGACACTGGTGTTGACAGAGTCGATGTGAATCTCAGGCTTCTCAGGTGCCTCGTAGGGGGCGCTGATGCCGGTGAAGTCCTTGATCTCGCCAGCGCGGGCCTTCTTGTAGAGACCCTTGGGGTCACGCTTCTCGGCCTCTTCGACGGAGATGTCGACGTAGACTTCGATGAAGGGGAGGGGGGTGTCTGTGTTGGCGGCTTGCTCGTGGAGAGCACGGGCGGTTTGACGGTCGGCCTTGTAGGGAGAGATGAAGGAGGTCAGGGCGAGGCAGGAGGAGTCGGCGAAGAGCTTGGCGACCTGTTGTATATACTAGTCAGCTTGCATGATCTTGAATGTCTGAGACGAGACGAGACAAGCATACCTCTGCGATACGGCGGATGTTCTCGTTACGGCTCTTCTCGTCAAAGCCAAGGTCCTTGTTGAGACCGAAGCGGACATTGTCACCATCCAGACGGTAGGCAGCAAGACCCTTCTGGAGAAGATGCTGCTCAAGAGCGGTGGCAATGGTAGACTTTCCAGAGGCAGAAAGACCAGTGAACCAGATGGTAGCACCCTGCTGCTTGCGGAGCTCGCTACGCTCCTTGCGGGTAAGACCAGCGTGCCAGGTGATGTTGCTATTGTTTTAATTTAAAGTCAGCAATTGGATACGCATCTCGCAAACAGAAGCTCAAACTTACGTAGACATTTTTTGAAGATGTGAAATTGAGTATAGAGTACTTGTGGAGGAGGGAAAAAGAATGGTGCTCTGTATGCAACTGCAAGATTCGGAGGGGCAGTTTGAGAAATCGGCCGATTGCGTATGCGGCATGCCACCTCCCCACCGACACCGCCAGCACGTCAACACCAAGAGCCTCCAAGGGCTCCTCGTTCAGCACGGCTCGGTCCGAAGTCCAAGCTAACTTCCCCGTCGGGGATCTTGTCGGCAAAGGTCGGGGGAAGCTCCTTCCTATGTGGGCGCGGTTACACGATCCTATGTGGTGCTTCCTTCCGAGAGAGAGCCTCACTTTGCTTATCGATTACTTGTCAAAGTCTGTCCTCTGTGTTGACTCAATCCATACACTTTCCATAGACCACATAACTTCTTTCTTGCTGGGACCCTTCGAGCTATCAATATTGCATCCATGTCACCCCGCGTTGCACCAGTACTGCTTTCCCAATCATTTAAGATGTCTACCATCAGATCTTCTATCAAGGTCGTGACTCCGTTGCTCCGTCCGCGTGGGCTTGATACTGCCTACCGAGCATACATCCGTCCGACAGTCACAAAGTCAAGCCAAGTGCCCCTTAGTATTCAGCGACTCACTCCAGCAACAGCACGATACTATGCTTCATCCTCCGATGCTGGCAACTCTAGAACTGGTCTTTATGACCTACATGTCTCCAAGGGAGCCAAGATGGTTCCCTTTGGAGGTTACATGATGCCTGTTCAGTACAGCGATCTAGGTGTTGGTGAATCTCACAAGTGGACGAGAGAGAAGGCCAGTCTGTTCGATGTCAGCCATATGTAAGTTTTGATAATGTCGTCGGACTATCCACTCTGTATCACTGCGACCAACACAACATTTTGATCTCAGGGTACAATATCACTTCACTGGACCTGGAGCAACTGCATTCTTGGAAAAGATCACGCCTGCGGATCTGCAAGCACTACTACCTCATCAATCTACTCTCTCTGCTTTGCTACATCCCCAGACTGGAGGCATCGTAGACGACACGATCATTACTCGCCTGGGAGAGGACAAGTTCTACGTCGTTACCAATGCTGGCTGTAGAGAAAAGGACTCCGCTTTCTTGAATTCGAACCTGGATGCTTGGAACAACGCCAACCAGCCCCGTGTAGATAAGACAGAGCTCAAGAACCAAGGTCTCGTGGCTTTGCAGGGTCCCCTCTCGGCCGACATCCTCCAAGGCGTACTAGCTCCCTCATCCGAAGACATTGACCTCAAATCCATTCACTTTGGCACTTCCAAATTCCTCACCCTCAGATTCGCCTCTGGCGAGACTTCTCAGCCTGTCCTCGCTTCCCGCGGTGGCTACACAGGCGAAGACGGCTTCGAGATTTCCATCGCACCCGAAGACACAGTAGCAGTAACAGAACTCCTCCTCTCCGCCGCCGGACCGGAGAGACTACGTCTTGCAGGTTTAGGCGCCAGAGATTCGCTCAGACTGGAAGCAGGCATGTGTCTCTACGGCCACGACCTCGACGACTCCACAACACCAGTCGAAGGCGCTTTGGCTTGGATCGTAGCGAAATCTCGCCGTTCTGCTCCCCGTAACGAGTTCAACGGCGCAGAAACCATTCTACCTCAATTGGTCCCCGTCAGTAAAGGCGGCAAGGGCGTCTCTCGCCGTAGAGTGGGGCTGTTGGTTGAAGGTGCTCCTGCTCGTGAGGGAGCACAGATTGTAGATGCTGAAGGCAACGCTATTGGCATCGTTACCAGTGGCTGTCCTTCTCCTACACTGAAGAAGAACATCGCCATGGGATATGTCAAGGATGGACAACATAAATCAGGCACGGAGGTGGGCGTTGTGGTCAGAGGAAAGACGAGAAAAGCTACAGTCACAAAGATGCCATTCGTGCCTAGCAAGTACTGGAAAGGCGGTATTTCACCTGCTTAGAAAGACGTTATGCAAAGACAAGCTGAAATCGAAGAGAAGAAAAGAAGTTGAGGAGACAGGCAGCATATTTCAACACCGGTCTGATGCACGAACCGAGGACAAATTTTTAACACTGTCTAGTTCTGGCAATACCAAAGGGGGGAACAAAATAATGCAGAAAAAAACATAAATCAACCACACTCCTGTTCTATTTGATAGATCTTTTTTTTTGACTCCCCCTCAACTCGCAGCATAAACCCCCCCCTTCTACCTCACCATCCACCTCACCATAAACCCCCCCTTCTACCCGACCATCAACCCTATCAAGCTTTCAGAAATGCAAGAAAAGAACAAGATCATACACGTCTCTCTCTCTAACCTGAAAATCCCAAAGCCAAGAGACATATTGTAAAAAACAGCAAGGGAAAAAAAGCGAAATTATAAAAAGAAAAAAAAAACTTCCATAAAGAGGGCAAAGAGTTCGTTCAGAATATGTGTGTATTGGGTTTTCCCATGGAAATAAAAAAGTAAAAGAAAAAAAGGTAAAAAAAAGAACCAACCAGCGCCACGCTAGTCCATGCAATGATAGAAAAAAAAGAAGAGCAAAGGAAAATGCAGCAAACAAAAAAGCTCCCCCAGCAAGACTATTAAAAGCAAGTCTACCGGTAGAGGTATAAAACACCTCCATACAATGCAAACAGAAAGACAGCAAAAGACAGCAAAAAGACGGCAAAAGACGGCAAAAAAGAACAGCAAAAAGAAAAAAACAAGTGCAAATATCAAGCACTCATAGGCAACAACAGAGCAGCAATAAACCTCAAATCCCAATTCCTCACCTCACCCCCAAGTTCCCCCATCGCTCTATCTTTAGCCCTCAACAAATCATACGCCGACACATTCGTGCGTTCGATCCACGCAGCAGCGAGTTGTAACTGTGACTCTGCGGCAGGACCAGAAGTCTCTGACGAATAGGCTTTGTTGTGCGAACTAGGGATGACGACTAGAGTGCCTGTGTGACGGACCAGTGTAGCAGGGGGAAGGCCACGCATGCGAAGTAAAAGGTGGAGGATGTTGCTGAAGGAGGAGCCTTGGGGCCAGTAGTGGGAGGGTGGGTCTTCGAGGAGCCAGTCGACGGGGCGGTCGGAGGTTTCGCTGGGAGAAGCGACGGGTTGATTGGGATGTTGGTCTTCATTGTCGTTTGCGGTGGTGAGTTGAGCGTGAATGTCCTCCGCGGAGGAAGATCCCGTGGGGTCGAAGGAGTGATATAGCCCTGTCATGCGCTCGACGCAATTAAGAAGGATGACGGCGGCGAGGAAGGTGAGGAAGGAGGATGACTGTTGACGCTGCAAAAGGCGACGCTCGAGTTCGTTCATGACGAACTTGGCTTGCTTTTGGCAGTATCTCTCAGCGGCATGCTGCAGCTGGGCGTAGATGACGATATAGTCTGTGCTGTCTTGCGAGAAAGCTTTGCGATCCGAGTGACTCTTGTCTTGTGACGTGGAGGCATTTTCTTCGGCGTGCTCGCCATGAACGGCTTCCATTACCGGTGGATGGTTGGGCTCGTAGAAGATGGACCAGATGGGCTCATTCGAGATCAGGATATTTGTGGCGGCCCAAAGATTGATCAACTTTCCGAGAAGAACATCATTGTGATCAACACTGAGCTCAGTGGCCACTTCAAGTGTTGATCGCATGAAGGTCGAGGGCTCACGAGAGATGCACTGCATAATGACCATGTGCAAGTAGCGTTCCAAGGTAGCGGCCAGCGTGTCCGGATCACGTCTGTAGTTAAGCATGAAGATCAGGGACGGAGCGGTGGGAGGCGTCATGAGAGCAGGAAAAGTTGCGTATATGTTGGTGTCGGGAAAGAGAGTGACTTCGATTCTGCCAGGCAATTGCATAGGCTCAACGCCTTGCAAAGCGGACATGACGGTGTGGTGTTCTTTGGCGTGGAAGAGCGAGGAAGAGTAGAGAGTAAACTCTTCGGCGATGCGAGAGCGGATACAAGCATTCTTCCACAGCCTTGCGCTTTCGATGTTCTGACAAGTGCCACAGGGAGTGCCTTCAGAGCAGGGTTTCTTCAACATGCGGCAGCGAAGACATGCACCCTTCTTGCGCACCGTCTGAACCTGTTTACGTCTTTCCTCGGAGAACCTGCCACGCACCTTGTTCTTGTTTGCGCGTTGGAGCAGACCAAAACCACCGTGATTGACGGTGAAAGCTGGTGGCTCGGCGTATGATTGTGGCGTAGTGTCTTGTGCTTGTTGTTGGGGTGTCTGAGTCGAGTGGTGTGAGGTGTGTGTTAGCTGGTCGTCGGATTGAGCAGACAGTTGTGCTTGTTGCTGCATTGGATGGTGTACTGGTTGCTGGGAAGGTGGCTGTACGGGTTGGTGTGGTTGCTGATGGGTCTGGAGCTGCTGTGGCTGTTGCGAATGCTGGCGGGACTGGTGTGATTGAGACGTCGGTTGGGACTGAGGTTGAGGCGATTGGTGGGCAGACGTCTCTTCGAGAGAGTTGTTGACAAAGGTTGAATAGTCGTCGGCCTGCTGGAGTTGTGGATCAACTGGAGGATGTGCATGTGCATGTGCATGTGTATGCGGGTGCTGACGGTGTGAAGCAACATCCGACTCTGCTCGACGCTTTCTCGACTTTCTAGGATAGCCGGCAGGGTTGCTTGTGGTGTGCATCATGGGCCCGTTGTCCTTCTCTTGATCCATGTGTTGTCGCAGTTGGGCTACCAGAGCCTCTTCGTGCTGACCATTGGCTTGCAGCTGACGTGACACCTCGGCAAGCGCATCCAGTCCCGAGGGCTCGCGGCGTGGCATCAGAGGAAGGTCGGCGTCTGACTGTGGTGTTGATGTGGCAGAGGCGGTATAGTTGTCGGCGGGCTGCCACAAGGCGCGTGAGCGGTCCTCGTCGGTGATGTTGGCACATTTCTCGAACAAGTGACGTGTCAAACTGTCCGGTCTACCCTTTGGAAACTGCATTACTCTTGTCAGCGACAGTACACAACAAACAGACCGAGTCTCCGCTCACCACCTCGCCGCATCTTTTGCAGCTATGCTCGTATCTGTTACTCTGGTCGGCCAATTTGGCTCCTCTCTCGAAGAACTCGAGGATCAGCGCGTTCGGCTTGCGTCCCATGATGGCGACTGCAACTGTCACTCCACCGGGGAGGCCGCAGTTTATCGTCTGGAAATTGTTGCGACTTTGATTATAGCGATCGCGTTACCATGCAAAGGCGGTGAACCACACTGGGACTAAAGACTGCGAGGCGGTGAGTCTGTCGGCCTTTCCTCGCCAAATCTCCGTCCATACGCGTCATTGCTGTGCGACTTCCTGTTTTGGCAACTTGTTATTCTGCTGACCTATCTACTACCTATAGCTTCGACTTTGCTTTGCCAGTCTGACTCAGTGCCTGGACGAACCCATCAGACATCAGACCTCTCTTTTCTCGCCGTGTCGCTGCCCGAAGAGCCTCAATCTGTATGTACTCGTCTTTCCACCGCTTCAACTCCTGCAAGAGCCAGCCACTGCACTGGTCAGCCGTCTCACCTACGCGCTCCATCGGCATCAAATGTCCACCGCCCTGCATCGTGAACTCCTTGACTCGTTCCTTTGCAACACCTCCGCTACCTCCCACCCCGACACCTGTGACCTCCAGCTTGTCAGCTATGAGTCTCGGTGCCGAGAGGTCGGACTCGGTGCCAAAGATATAGAGTACAGAGGGTCGTAAGTACGGCAGCTGTTTGAAGATGTGGAAACTCTCAGCCCGGTAGAACGGCGTTACAGGAGGCAACACGGTATCCACATCCGGGTGCGTCAGTGGGTTGGGTGCTGTATCCGGAGCAGGATTCAACGGCGTTACAAAGTTGCCTCGCATAAATGTCATGACCTCTTGATGTTTTGTCGTCTTGAGTGTGACCGGCACCTCCGTCTTGCTGTCGGGAGAAATCGTACTGCCAGACACATCCGCACCTATTGCGGGTACTGTCGACGATACCGCGACTTCTGGGTACAGTTTAGTCGGTAGGTCACGTAGAGCATGATCCATCCAGCGATCCAGTACACGTCTGTCCCAAGACTTGAACATGGGCGATTTCTCGAATGATTTTCGTGCTTCTGATCTGCTTGGCCATCTGTCTCTTCGTTTTGCAGACATTCGGCCCAGGTTGTAAGCGTTGATGTGAGTCGCACGCAAGACCACAGGATCAATCAAGATCAAGGTACTCAGTAGACGCGGGTGCATCAGTGAAAGTTGCATCAAATGTGCTCCTCCCATACTGTGACCAAGTCCCACAAGAGGCTGCGGCATCTGGTCTCGGAAATGATTGATCATCAGAAACAGGTCTCGAGGGTGATCGAACCACGATGCTAGTCATATTAGATGGAATGACAACGATGTGCCGATGTGAACTCACGATCATTTCCGAGTTTATCCTCGTTGAGGACACTTGATTGGCCCTGATGTGCTACATCTGAAATCCAAATGCTGCGGATCTTGATACCACTGGCTCTCAATCTCGAGTACATCTCATCCCATAGAGGCTCATATAGTTCCTGCAACGACAACACGTCAGTCATACCTCAAAGCCTCACGACATGACTCTTTGCAAACCTTTGGGAAGCCATTAGCATGTGCAACAATTATTGTAACATCTCCCTTCTGCGGTGTCAAGTTATCAAGCGGCGTGTACTGCTTGATTGCGAGATAAAGCGTGTCTTCCTGATCATCCGCGGTCGCCAAAGGATATTCTCGAATATATGAGCATGGCAGAGTATGCTCCTTTATACTGAACGTTGAAAGCGACATATTTGGGTGGTTTATCGTATGGAAGGCATGCGGGAAGGGGACTCGACTTAATGACCGGGTCGTGGGGAGGTTGGCCGAGGTACCCCGGGTTTACCGAGGGGAGTTCTCTCATGCGAGGTAGACTCTCCTTTGTCGTCTTTGCTACTACTACCGTATCCTCGCTTTTGCTGTCTGATTATAAGTCGAGACGCACATAAAGCTCACGACATAATGTGCGATAAGTTCCGTATCTGGCCATGTGAAAGAAACAGAGTCGTCCGTGTTGCAATGGAGAGTAATGACGGTGGCTCGCTAAAGGAACAGGGCCCTTTTCCGGGCTAGCCAAAAGTCGCGGGCGTCGCTTTCTCGAACTCGCAGCAATCTCATCGCCGCTTACACCTCATCCTCTATCTTATCTCGACATCAGCCTCAATTTGTGGCACTCCAGCACTCTACATACCAAATGCCATTTATACGGTGTGTGATTCGCAGCTAGAATGTACTTATGAATCAGCACCTCAGATGGATTATGATTGACGTCGTATCGCATCTTGTCCTAGCTGTTGATAATTTCCATTAACTCTTGATTTAGATTGGATGGCCAATGACTAGAATCAAGCAAATCACTGCTTCTTGTGAGTTTTTTACTTTACAATAGCGTGGCAGAGCAAACGGCTGTATATCCTCGTAAAGGAGAAACAACGTTATACTTAACGTTTGACACGAGGACTTGATCTAGGGCACAATGGTCTGGCCAGATATAAATGTCCAAACACTTATTCCTCTTCTCTACTTTGTTGAAACCTCCGCCATCTAATCCAATCTTCATCATTACACATTCATCGGTCCAAACATAAGATTATGAAGCCTTTGCAACTGCCTCTCCTGCTGCTTGCAGCCGTCGAAATAACCCTTGCTTAAGACTGGCACTTCGTCGCCTTTACAACTCCAGAGGGACAAGAATTCATCAGCCAATCTGGCAATATGATAATTCCCGCAATACACGAGGCTACGACAAATTACTTGTGGCCAGGTCTCCAGTCTACCGATAATTCAGGCGTGTATCAGAACGTCCTCGATGGCAGATCTGGAGGCTGGTGGTTTGGCAATGGTTGGTGTTGTTCCAATCCAAGTGCGTAGAACACTCAACGTGATGTTACTTGAAGGGAACTGACACAATTGAAGGTCTTCCATGGGGCGGCGGGTTTGGTGCTGCCGAGGGTGATGTCTTGTTCTTCAACAATATCCGCAACGCGGACAAAAATGAATGGGTTAGCACGATTGAAAAAAACTGCGGCGAAGCGTCCGCGACGAATTCATTTCCGATCGCGGACAAAGTCATGAACGACGCACCATTCGTAGCAGAATTGTACGAAGCTTGGGACTTTGGTCCGGTCATCTTCGAAGACGTGATCTTGGTAAGTCAGGTCTTGCTTGTGGCAAAGATATGCGATGATTGACAGACAACGACAGATTGCTACCGGTGGCGACACAAATTTCTGTACTGATAGTCCTTGGAACTACAATGGCGCGACAAACGTCAGTATCACTGGTGTTACGTCGACTGTTGGTGCCGACTCGGTCACTTGCAATGTTGAGAGTATCACGCTGTGGGGTCCTATGTGATCAGGTCGTAAATGATCCAACGCGAGTTGCAAATCACTTGCCACTTCAACCAAATGCACGAATCTGCCTGGAGCTGACAGTGTCGTATGGAGAACAACTATGACCATCTATCTTGAGATACGTGTGGTACTCTGAACAAAACTCCGATCGTTCCGCTCACGTGTCTAACCATCTCTAGTCTCGAACGCGCACGTTGTCGAGATCCAAATCGAACCTCTCAGGAACGATCATTCCAGCATCAAGATGATGCTGTATAAATCTCTTACTGACCCCATCACGATACAACCAAGGATCCAACGTCTCCTCCTGCCACTCCTCCAATTTCCTCCTCATCTCCAATAGAAGCTCACGATACTCTTCCTTGCTAGCCAAATTTGAGATTTCTAGAACATCATTCTCAAGATCATAAAGCTCTTCTGGCGGCCGGAAGATGTAGTCTCGGAGCTTTCGCTGACCGACTTTTATGTCCGCTTCTTTGCCTTTTGGCTGCGAGTGCCTTATGCCGTCCCAGGCCAGGGAGCCGTACAGGTCAGCCGAGAAGGGAAAATCGAGGCGCCAGGCTACATTACGGTGGTATTTGTATCTCCTGGTGCGTAGAATTCTCGTGGGCCAGTAGTTTGTGGACTCGTGGAATGTGTGTGAGCCGAAGATGTGGTGCTTCCATATATCTTCGGGTAGGAGAGATGATTTTTCCAAAATTGGGAGAAATGATTGTCCTGCAAGTTTCTTTGGTGCATGCGGCGCGTCTAAGTTTGGTGTGTATGTTTTCCCGGCCCAGTCTTGGAATGTAGGGAAGATGTCGACGTAGGTAATCATGTTTGGATTCTCGATGCCTTTGATGCTGGCTTTTGGGTTCCGCACGATGAACAGCAGATGAATACCCGCATCGTACAGCGTTGTCTTTGAGTTCAGAAAGGGCGGACCGTTGTCGCTGAGGAAGACGACCAGAGTATCATCAGCGAGCCCCGAAGCCTGCAATTTGTCAAGGATAAGACTTATGCCCTGATCCAAACGACTGATGGCGCGATAGTACTCGGAGAATTCGAATCTAGTCTCGTCAATATTGTTGATGTACTCCGGCACCTCAATGTCCTTCGGCTCATACACAACATCCTTGATCCTAGCATCATAAGACAAGTCATTGCCAAACCCCGACCTCGTCATAGCTCGATGCGGATCAATATATCCCACCGTGAGAAAAAACGGCCTCTCCTCCTCTTTAGCCCTCTCAAACACACCACCAGCTCTATCAGCCATCCATGCTCCATCACGACTCCCGCTCTCCTCTTTGATTTCCCAAGGATACGATCTCTCATGCCCCACATGCATTTTCCCAATCAATGCAGTCAAATACCCCTGCTCGCGGAAGAATGCAGGTGAGGTCTTGATCTGGTCGAAGATGACGAAATGGTGTTGTTTGCCCGCTAGTCCAAATTGTCCGTTTTGATGCGTGTGTAGGCCTGTATAGATGACTGAGCGGCTGTTACTGCAGGATGCCGTGCTGGTGAAGGCATGGGTGAAGAGGACGCTTTGAGCTGCAAAGGCATCGATGTTTGGGGTCTTTACTGCGGCGCCATAGCAGCCTAAATTATGACCTAGGTCATCGGCGATGAGAAGCAGGATATTCTTCTGTGGCAAGGAAGGTAATTTTTCAGTCATGCTTGGTGCGAGGGAAGTGGAAGTTGCTGAAGTTGTAGGGAGGAATTCTCTGTGCAGATGTATCTTTTCATGGATACGCATACATGGCCTTATCACTGAGGCATATAATTTTTCCGTGTCAAAATGACGTGCTCCGCGAAAGGCCTCTCGCATGGACTGTTGAGGCATGTACGAACTAGCAGAATCATTGCGGAAGGCCGATCTGTTGGGATAAGGCGAGGCACACACGAGATTCGGTTGATGGCTTCCGATTGACTGTCCTGTTGACATGAACTTACCGCGTATGCGTCTGGATGCTGACATGATACAACCTCATCCGGAACGGATGGCCAATATTAAGAGGGATACTACACGAGAGTTGGGAACAATGTATATACGAAAGGCTCTCGGTTCTTTCAACCTTTGTTCTTTCGCTCGGACCAGGTTATCCCCCATCCACACATAGAATCTTATGTACTTTTTCGCTAGCCTTTCAACTCTCAAACAAAAAGTCCAGCCTTTTATTGCCCTGATCCTTACTCGTTTTCAGATACTCAGCTTGTTGCTCCTTCGACATTGCATTCCACGCCAATCTCTTCTGCTTGTTTCGATACATGTAGTACACCTTGGCCAAGATATACGTAGCCATCGAGGCAATATTAATAGCGATGAGTTGGCCATTACCACGTTTGTAGAGAGGCTTGTCATCTGTTCTATAGATGTTCGAGGACGCAATACCAGATAGCTGGATGGTGATGTTGTACATAGCAGCACTGACGGCTCTGGTCCGAACAGCATTACTCAGTCGAGAGCACCACCCGACTTGCGCTGCATGTGTGGCTGGTTGTCCGAGGAGGAAGAATAGCACGGCATATTGTGCCCAGTGAGAGATGTTGCCAGCAGATGTGTATTCGATAATCAGTAGCGGCAAGATCCAAACCTGAGCCAAGAAGCCAATGAGCGCGATTTGATGGAACTTCTCGGTGAGATATGTAACCCAGAGCATGTTGATAGCCGCGAAGACCGTAATTGGAACACCCAGCAAAGTTGTGTGGAAAGTGCCGAAGCCAAGTGCTTTGAGAGTGAGTGACAAGTATGACTTGGGTGGAGAGGCTGGGATCTCGAATAGCATGCCGATGATGTAGACGGGCCAGAGATCATAGTCCTTCAGACTAGTCCATAGCATCTTGAGCGAAATCGCCTCTCTGTTGTGCATGTCCGACTTCGACGGATCATCTCGGAGTACCTTGTTGACGATAATCTTCTCCTCGCGCTCTGTAAAGTAGCCCGTCTGCGTTGGCCCTGGGATGAGGAAGAAGAAGCTCAACACCCCAATGATGAGAGATATCAAAGCTTCAATGAGGAACAGCCATGCCCAACCAGGCTTACCCGCGACTCCGCGAAGATGCAATACACCGTAAGCGATGAAAGAAGCAACGACACCAGACATAGTGTCAACGAACCAGAAGAAAGCTAAGCGAATCGGCATCTCCTTTCGAGTATAGAAGTACGAGAGATACAAGACTGCATCTGGAATGAATCCTCCCATGCAAAGGCCGATGAAAAATCGACATAAGAAGAAGCCGGTCTTGTTATGCATGAAAAATTGCCCACCAGAGGCTAGAGACCATCCGATAAGCTGAAATGGAATCCACCTGTCTGGCCCGACTTTTTTGCCAATCATCTGCAATCATTTAGCGGTCGGATCAGAACGATGTGCAAGGAAGAAGTACCTGTGACGGAATCTCTGATATCAAGAAGCCAATTCTATACATGTTCTGCGCATTGTTGTAGTCGTTGGTGGTGATGCCCAGGTCGTCGAGTAGATTGTCAGCAGTTGCATTGCCGAGATTACCACGATCAATGTTCAGAGCGAAGAACATGACCAGGATCCATAGGAAGATTCTCAAGTCAATCTTACGACGAAGAGCGTTTTCCTCTTTGTGCGTCCACCGTTCGTTGACGTCAAAGCGATGAGTGTTCTCATACTCAGGTTTAGGCAGGTAGTATGGCGCGAGAGCAGGGTCGTCGAATACGCTACGAACAGTAGCAATACTGCCAGGATCAGGTCTTCTGCCAGTGGAACCCCAAGGCCATGAGAAGTGTGAGTCGGAGGTCTCTTCTGGCTCCGCAAGGTCCAAGCTCTTTGCAACTGAAGGAGATTCATTCTTGCCAACTCCGCCCAGCTCGTGAACAGAAACGGCCGTGTTGCTGACGCCATTGCTTTTGCCAGTCCCCTTTGCAGAAATCGTTTGCTGCGACATGTTGGTCTTGGGAGGTGTTGAAAATTGTCTTGTAAGGCTCCTCAGTCTGGAGCCGTCCGAGACTTATATCAAGACAACTCGGACCTCGATTATGTTGTGATATGGTGCCATGTTGGGTAGACCCTGGTCTACCTGTGAAGGATGCCATGCGAGACTCCCTATCGATCACTGATTTTTCCGCCAATGGAGATTATCCATGTTGGTAAGCAGAATTAACAATGGTGAAAGGAGTGTACCGATGGCTAGAATGAGTAGTATCCGTACGGAGTACTGAGCCGAGAGTGGAGTCGTGGTTCGAGTGACACCATCGTGGATCTACTGACGTGCTACGAGTGGCATTGGAGGTCTTGTCAAGAAAAAATCCGACAGCCTATCAAAGATGTAGTGAGTAGGTTACCCTCTTCCTGTACAACAATTAGCCGGATGCTAGTCAGCTCTAAGCTTCTTCTAGTACTGGACAAGTCTCCTTCAGAAGCTTGTTCGGTCTTCACCTGCCGTCACACCTAAGCCCCGACGTTCAGAAGGCTTCGAACGCAGTCGAGTATCTGGTGGCTCTTCAACTTCTCTTGTCCGAGCATTGCAAATACGGGCGCATGTCTTCAATGAGCGTTGTTGAAATCCTGGAGTATCCGCCAGGATACAGCTTCGGGACTACCTTATCTGCACCATGGTCCAAAGGCGCCGTGAGCGCGACTGGCACTACCTACGTTTGTACTGATGACATAGGTTCGGTCGTCCCGGTCCAGTTACGCGATGTTACATATTGGCCAGATGGATCAGTGAAATAGAGCACTCATTCGCTTGCCGCTTCGACCGATGTTCGAAGGACCTATCTTGTACGATCGACGGAAAAATCTTGGAAAGACGGCGAGAATGTTCAGGAAGGGCTGAGGTTTTTCGAAAGTGAAGGTACGATTAAGATAGACACCGGAAAGATCGTGGTTGAATTTGCGACAAAGGGAGATGTACTGGTGAACTATATCACGTATGGGGACGGGCGCAGACCAACATCCACTGACGGTAGATTCATTCTTCTCTGTCAGAATGGTAGCTCGGATGCTTCTTCTGCCGGACCGGAAATGATGTGATTGTATGTAGGAAGGAGAAATGATTTGTTCATCGTGCTGTTAAGACCTTGGCCGAGGTACCCCAGAGTCGACGCCAAAAAATCTGCTGACTAAGGCATCTGCTCTTATCGTGCTCAAGTCAATTCCTCCAACTGACATCACGGCCCGATATCTTTGGCTGCTTAGCTGCACAGTTCTTTACTATGCTAAACGCAGTGTAGCAAGTATGCACTTCTCCAAGTAGTAAGACGGTTGCCCCTTCTTGATGTCGAAATACGTCTGTCCCTCCAGCACGAGTTGCAGGCCTTCTCTCAGCTAGTGAAGTGCACGAAATTCTCCGACGCAGACGGCCTTGCATAGAGAGTTCTGCTCATAACACTTCCCAGTCACCGACCTGGTCTTCCGAAACAGTCCCTCGCCATCAGGAGCAGACCTCGCAGTTACAGTTCTCGAGTTCGTTGTTCAGTAGGCTCCAGACATGGTAACAGAACCGTTCAGCCGAACGGAATCTGCCCCTGAGATGGCCGTGGACATAGACGTGGCCGCCCTCCACGGCTCGCCAGACCGTATAGTTGCGTGGCAGACTCGTAAACTTGAGATTGACCTTGTAGAGCTCGGCTATAAAAAGTTATTCGATGGCCATGGCAGTATTCCTCATCGATACATACAATATTTCTTGCTTAGCGTTTCAAGGTAGCTGCTTGGGTCTTGTTTCTCGAGGTTGGCAGTCTTGGGTATTCTGTGTTCGTGACCATCGCTCCAGTAGATGCAGTGCAGAGGGACTTCAATGGGTTCTTTGTTTGCGACCTTTGTGGCGATGATTGCTGCAGCTTGGCTAAGAGGGTTTGGATCCATGGTCGCGTTTTGGGCGTAGCTTGTGGCGTGCGTGTCCGTGCGTCTGGGGGGTGTGGCGCGTGGCTGGTGTTTTTGATGACTGACTCCGACCAAACACCAACACGTTCATTCGACCGTGACCTGTTTCCGTAGCATTCTTCTTATTCTTGGAACACGAACAACACCTGAACTGCTCTTGTACATTTTCCTTGACCAGTGCATTGATCTTCCAAGACAAATTGCATCGCTCTATTATAACGCGAACTAAAGATAATTATCTCCAATATCTTCAACGAAGATCAAGGACTATCAAAGCCTCGACTCAAGATGTCTTTGTCTGAGAGACCTAAGATTGTCCCTACTCCGGAGACTGATCCAATGATGAGACCACGATCACCTCGCCCTCATCTGGAAACTTCCAAAGACCACCAACCAAGACTGCGACCCACAACAAAGATATTGCCAGTAACAGAACCTCGACTATTCAACTACTACGTCTTTGCAGACATGGCAGACCAACTTCACGAGATAATTGAAGCTGGCGGGACCCTAGACGACTCAGACTCAGAAGCTGACTCAGATTACGAATTACCACCCCAAACATACCATAGAGAAGGCAACGAGCTACCCAAAGATAGGATCCGCTGGTACAATGAAGAAGTCCAACGAGCCGCCAGAGAAATTGAATGGGGAGACTTGGATACAGTGCATGAGAATGACAATCTATTCGGTCTCATGGCATTGCCTCCTTCAGAGTCCGAGCCGGAATTGGATCCTGATCTAGACTCACCGTCGCGACAACTCAAGGAAGAGTTGTCGCAAATGTCGCAGTCAGAGGGGCCTCGGATTATCAGGGAATATGAAGAAGAACAGGAGGATTATCTTCTGCCTAATATGCCAACTCATGATGAAGTCTTGCTGTTTATCGCCAATGGTCCTGCAATCGACTCCAACAATCCGCATGTTGACGATTCAAGTACACAAAGACCAGATGCACAACTAGATGCGCAGCCAGTTGCACAACCAGGGACACGGAAACGTAAGCGTGTTGTGGCAGTGGAAATACCACCGCGGCGAAAGCGATGATTCTCGAGCGCGAGTATCTGTCAGACAGTCCGCCAGTGCGTCAGCGCTCAAGCACAATCTCATCGGAGACTGACGCGTGTTTCACATTGAGCCAGTATAGCTTTCGATGATGTAAGACAAATAGCAGAATTCTCAACCGAACCAGTTCAGAAATCACAAATCTGGAGCCTTGGAGACGAAATACAGCAATGTCGTATGGCTAAACTACCGCGATGTTTCAAAGACACTAAGAAGCGGGGGGACAAACAGGATAACGAAGTGCCTCTGATCAGTAGTCACTTGATTCCGTTGAGACAAACATCAGCATACCGAAGTCAAACAATGTATACTCATAACCTCCTCATATGCACACAAATAAGGCAATAACGTCAGGATTTGTACCCATACTTCATCAACAAGCTCTGTTCTATACACCTTACTCGTCCCCTTTCTTCTTCTTCTTCTTCTTCTTCTTCTTCTTCTCCACCCCAACGGCTTTCAACAACCTGATAAATCCCTCTTCCAAAACTTCATCCTCTTGAGAATATATGATTCTAAACCATCCCGCCTCCTCAGACTACAACAACGATCCTTGGGTTATGTAGACCCTCTCAGCTTCCATCTTGGCAACAAGTGCTTTCTCAGCCTCCCACTCATCAGAATAGGGTGATAAATCGAGACAAGGACGGAGATTGAGCTAATCACAAATCATCAGCACTCGTTTACCACATACGCAGGGCAAGATAGAGAAAGAGCAGTCTCACCCGACGGAAAACCCAGCGTTAACTCCTTTCTGATACTCGATCCCATGACCATCCAGCATAGCACTACATATTTCATACCTCTCCTTTAGTACGACTCTACTCTTATCAAGAAAGGCGTTCAGCCACTCCTCATCCTCCAACATCTCGGCAGCAAACAATTGGTTCAGACTCCCTGACCAAGCGAATTGTCCTACTGCAGAGATTGCGTTAAGCAGCTCGGTGTTTCCCGAATAGAGACATCCTAGTCTTAATCCTCCAGCTACAAAGTCTTTGCTAAGACCGTAAACCACGTATAGATATTGAGGAGAGATGTATGGAGAGCTGTCAAAGGCGAAAACGGAGGTGAAGGGAACCGCAGGCGAAGCAGCGTCAAAGACACTCAGGAAGACACTCAGGGCGTATACTTCATCTGCGAGAAGATGAAGGTAGTACTTCTGGCAGAGTTGCATGAGGGCCATCACAATGACGAGAGGGTAGCAGCGACCGAGTGGGTTATGGTTACAGAGAAGGAGGGCGCGGATCTTTGTACCATTCGCTTTTGCATCGAGGAGTGTTTTTTCGTATCGGTCGACGATCGAGAGCGAGAAGCAATCGATGCCTTTGGAGGGTACGAAGACGCATTTGATTCTGGAGGATTGTTGGCTGTTGAGCTTCGATCAGGGCAATACAGAAGAGAGCACTACTTTGCTTTTGCACCAAAATCTGCTGGAAAGGCTTGATAGGAAGATCTGGATATTAGGATACCGTCACCGAGTTCGCCGATTGCATACCCGAATAGCTCGCATAGAGATGTGATGCCATTGGCAAAAACAAGATCTCCAGGCTGAACTTTAGAGACAGGGTGGAAGTACTTGTTCATGTGTTTCGCCATGGCTGTTCGTAGTCGCTTGCTGCCCCAAGGTCCTTCCCCGTATGTGAATGTCTTCGAGGTTGTTCGAATCCTTCGGTTAGCAAAGTCTGATATGTCTCTGGTCATGATATGCTAGAAGGGTCAGTAAGATTATTGACCATTGTAGAGATCTCGACGCACATTCTCAGCAGTGCCCATACCAACGATGCCCGTGGGATTGTCCTTCGCGTCCTAGAGGTTCGATAGTAGTGGTTGGAGTCGGTTTTTGAGACTTGTTTAAGCTATGGCTCTGCCTCTATCTGAGATGGTGGAATTCGACATATTGTACACGTAGAAGCTAGTGTGTTGCACAACGAGAGGGAGAGAGTGGTGGGTCAGGTCAATTCAGAAGTAGTAGATGAAGAACATGATGGACTATCAGATGATGTTGGTAGTGGTGTTTGGGCAAGTGTATGATATAAAGTGTTTGGAGAAACTGCTTGAGAACAATTTCAAACTGTCAGAGGGCTTTACCATTTTATACACCTACGTTGAGCTTGCAAGTGGACAGCTGCCTAGCAAGATACAGGCAACAAGGTTCGCTATCGGCGTGCATGAAGCGATATGAATCATAGAGGCGTCAACGGCGGGAAGAACGGGAGCTACTGATTGGGTGTAATTCGGCTCTATGTGGAGGTATGGTTGTGAAGGTTGACTTCGCACAATGAATCGATCGAGCGACGGCAACCAGATGAAGAGGGCGCGTTAGACGGGAAGCTTCTGCCTGCGGTATCGCGAAATCTGTCCGGAGTATTGTCCAGTAGCGAATCTTTAGCAAGCGTCAAGTACGGAAAGGACAGACGACAGAGCGATGCGGACGGCAGACAATGTTGATTGGCCACAAGACACAGCTGTGAGTGATGCAAGTCGTGTATTGACAGGCAGAAGAATAAACGAAGAGCACAGCTCACCTCACTGGACCACGTCATAGGCGGTGAGCGAGGCCGAGTCAGGGCGCGCATCGGCAAGTCCAAGGGCCGACGCTACTACGCGGAGAGCATGGCATAGCAATTCCACAAAGACGCATCCTGCACCCTCTACCTTCTCCGCACTCAGTCTACTCGGAGATCTTGCTTGTCCTTAGACGACTGCCATGCCGAAGCACGCTGTTTGGCCACTTTGATCCTCCTCGACGACAGCTTTTTTCTGCCACTCCGTCTTCGCCCATCGCATTGCACCGCTCTCGCAGCCGCCATGCCGCCGACGTCTTCTGTTAGAAAGGCCTCGGTAGCCACCACCGACACAAACAACGGCCGTCGTCAATCTGCTCGTCAACCGCGCACCTCTACTGCAAGGCCAATCAACTACTACGCTCGCTCGTTTGGCCAGCACTCCAACAACCATGACAACCAAGACCCTGATCCGCCAGGCTTCTTTCCTGCCGTACAGTACTTTGCCGACTCGATTGCTGCTCTTCCACGCGAAGTCCAGCGCCATATCACTCTGATGAAAGAGGTCGAGGCAAAAGTCTATGGTCCTACTGAAGCCTTGAAGTTTCTCACCTCCAGCATCCTGAACAAGCCCGCGCCGCTGTCTCGCAATCAGCCTTCCTCCCCACGCCTGCTGAGTTTCACCGCCCCTCCCAGTGCTACCGCCAGTCTGGCAGGCTCTGTCATCAACGGAAACCAGCCCGCCACCTTCGATCAGCGCGTTCAAGACGACCTCGAGTCGCAACAAGACGAACAAGCCGACCACGCAAGGCGATCAGAGTTTCAGTCACTCCGTCATGTCATCGGCAACATGATCACGAACCTCGACGAGAAGAACGTTGTTATGGCCGAAGCCAATCGCGCTCTCGCCCAACAGCTCGCTCGTCTCGACAGCGTCATGCCCGAAATTGAGAACGAGATCAGCGAAGAGTCACGTTTGGGCAGTCTGACGCATTGGGCCTACCAAGATAACCGCGCGAAGAAGCAGACGGCAACCACACAGAACGAGCGCAACAGAAGAGACGTCGCTGCTACCAGCAGTCTAGCCGCCGCAGCTGCCGCGGTTCACGACCAAGACATTGCCGCAGCAAGAGGAGAAGCAAGACGCGAAACAAAAAAGACAAATCGTGGCCAACCTGTCGACTCGGACTTTGATGATCGTCCAACCAAAAGAGCGCAGACTGGAAAGTCGCGAAAGAATGCCGACACAGAACCAAAGGCCAGTGGCCTTGGAATCGCCAATGGTGTAGCCAACGCTGCCACGACCAAGCGACGCAAGGTTGAGAAGGTTCCCGCTGTAGCTGGCGCCCCGGCTATGGAGCGTTCTGCAAGCAACATGAGCACAGTGGCCAAAGCCGCACGAGGCGCTGCCAACACCACCCCGAGATCAACGCCAGCGGTAGAGACGATAAAGAAGAAGGGAAAGCCAGGCCCAGCCCCTGGTACTGGAGCTGGAAAGAAAAGGTATGCAAGCTCGATCATGCTAGACTCGAGACGTCGGCTAACGCAGTCTGCAGGAATCCCGCTCTTAACCAAAGTACAAACTCTCCACGACTCAACAACTCGTCACCCGTCCTCGGACATGCACAATTACAACCAGAGACCCTCTCCAGACCTGCTTCATCCCGCATGCGACAGAACTCAAACTCGACCTCCAATCTACAACACTCGCTACTCCCCGACCAACAAGTTAGTCGCCCGGCTTCAGTGGCCGACAACAGATCTGTCAATGGCAGCACGAATGGACAGTTGGAGTCGCACATGCCTCCGCTTTCGTCAAGCAAGGTTGCTAAACAGAGTGTGGAAGAGGTGGAAGAAGGCGCCATGATGGTTGACGAGCCCGAGCATAATAGACACAGGCACAGACCTGAGCCATTGAAGGACGAGGACGTGACTATGGAAGACGCCGGTCTAGACGTCCGCCCAGGTCGCGGATCGGTAACATGCACACCACGCACAGAGGCATTCCCCGATGTGGCCGTGTCACGAACTAGGGGTAGACTCCTCCACAATGGACACTCTCGTGGCAGTGGTACACCAGACCACTCGAGATCGGCGCACGACAGAGACAGAAAAAGTCGAGGAAGACGGAAGAGCGGCAGCGGAGCACACATCCTCAAGCAGATTGCTAGTTTCAATCGTAGCCCGGATGCAGACAGACGCCGCGACGACAGTAAAGGCTCAGACATGTCTGACGACGATGGACATGGCAGATCGATCAGACGAAGCCAACCTCCTCGAGTCACGACTATATCCAGAAACCGTCGTGAACGTGTGGATGGATCTCGGGGAACGACGTCGTCAAGACGGACGGAACTCTCACCCGAAGCAGAATACGAAGCACCCGAAGCCGATGCTGAAGCAGAAGTCGAAGCTGAAGCCGAGGCCGACGAGGTGGAACAAGTGGTGGACGATGAGGAGATTGAAGAAGCCGAAGACCCAGACGAGCCAAAGTACTGCTACTGTGGTCAAGGTAGTTTCGGTGAAATGATTGCATGCGACAATGACGACTGCCCGATGGAATGGTTCCATCTTGGGTGTACAGGATTGCGAGCAGTACCTGGTGATAACGGTGAGTACCCCGATAGACTTGGTCTGATGCAGAAGCTAACAAAGTTTTCAGTCAAGTGGTTCTGTGATGTTTGCAAGGAGCCAAAGGGCAAGAAGGCCAAGATGATGGCCAACAGACATTGATGGGCATGACGATGATTTGCGGACATGGCGTTTATAGACAGCACAGCATGATGGGAAGCATTGGATCGAGGGAGGGAAGGACGGTGCAAGGGATTATGCAGCACAGGGTAGACATGTATCTGGCCGAGAAGGCTCTGAAGCCGATTGCCGTGAGCGCATACAACAAAGTGACTCGTCCAAAGGCGGTGAGGCGCGATCTGGCGGAGCTATCGGGAGCATGACGCGTGCCTTCCGGGGCTTGGCTTCGGCGGGCTGTGGACTGTGGACTGTGGACACCAACTGCATCTCGCGGGGTGCTCGACCAAGGAGCTGACCAACTGCCTAAGCCCAAGCATTTCACTCACAAGACACAATCAAGATGGCTGAAGTGCCCATTGGTATGCGCACATGATACATCCATGTAGCTCATTCAATGCGCTGACACGCAGACAGTGCTCGATGGCGGAACGGGTTTCCTCAAGGCTGGCTACGCCGGTCAGGTACGCCAGCAACCAACACACGTCCATATACCTTGGAACACATACTGAGATGGCCACGCCATACAGAACTTCCCCGAACAACAGTACCCATCCATCGTCGGTCGTCCGATCCTCCGTACCGAAGAGCAGGCCGGTCTGGACATGCAGCTCAAGGACATCATGTGTGGTGACGAGGCAGCCGCCGCCAGATCCATGCTTCAGATCACCTATCCTGTACGCCGTCCTCGTCTCTCTACCACGCTCCATGCCGGTACTAACGCGACACCACTCAGATGGAAAATGGTATCGTCAAGCGCTGGGACGACATGCAACACCTGTGGGACTACACCTTCTACGAAAAGATGAAGGTCGACCCTACTGGCCGCAAGATCCTCCTCACCGAACCGCCAATGAACCCGCTGAAGAACCGCGAGATGATGGCTGAGGTCATGTTCGAACGCTACAACTTCGGTGGTGTCTATGTCGCCATTCAAGCCGTGCTCGCTCTCTACGCCCAGGGTCTGTCTTCTGGTGTCGTTGTAGACAGCGGTGATGGTGTCACTCACATTGTTCCCGTCTACGAGAGTACCGTCCTCAACCACCTCACCCGCAGACTCGATGTCGCCGGAAGAGACGTCACACGCAACCTCATTTCCCTCCTCACCCGCCGTGGTTATGCCCTGAACAGAACCGCCGACTTCGAGACCGTCCGCGCAATCAAGGAGAAGCTTTGCTATGTCTCCTACGACCTCGCACTTGACAAGCAACTCAGCGAAGACACTACCGTCCTCGTCGAATCCTACACCCTCCCCGACGGCCGCGTCATCCGCGTCGGCTCGGAGCGCTTCGAAGCCCCAGAATGTCTCTTCCAACCCCATCTCGTCGACGTCGAACAACCCGGTATCGCCGAATTCCTCTTCAACACCATTCAAGCCGCCGATGTCGACGTGAGATCAAGTCTGTACAAGGCTATCGTGCTTTCGGGTGGAAGCAGCATGTACCCCGGTCTTCCTAGCAGATTGGAAAAGGAACTCAAGCAACTCTGGCTTACCAGAGTCTTGCAAGGCAACCCCGAGAGATTGAGCGTGAGAAAAACTGAAGTCCACGTCCTCTACACAGACGCTGACACTGCGAAAACAGAAATTCAAGGTCAGGATAGAAGACCCGCCGAGAAGAAGGCACATGGTCTTTTTGGGAGGTGCCGTCCTCGCCAACATTGTAAGTGGTTCCAGCTCTAAACCCGACGTACAAAGTAAGACTAATGAGAATTATACAGATGGCCGACAAGGAAAGCATGTGGATCTCAAAGCAAGAGTGGCAAGAACAGGGTGCTCGCGCTCTGGACAAGTTGGGCGCCCGATGAACAAGTCGCCTCTCTCTCCATACAAATATTTAACGAAACACAACATCATTACATTACAAATTACAACCTTCGCCTGTACATTACCACTACTGATAATCAACGACTGTTCACAGAGTGACGCAAGAGTGGAGAAAAGCTAGATCGGCTGCAACGGTGAGTATCAAGAAAGCTCAGACATATAAACAGCTCAACTTCTGCTCGCTTATTTGCAGAGACTTCTCTATCTATGTGTGAGTTGTGCTGAGAGAAGCTCAAGTTTACAAGACCAGAACCTCTGCAGCTGCGATTCACCCAAAACGGTTCGGTATACAAGTGGTAAGGATTTGTTTCATTTCTGGAAGGCTGGCTAATTTCGTCCTACTGTAAGAACAATTACATGTTGAGACATCGGATTGCGTGTCTGCGTGGTAGAAAGAGAGAGACGTTAGCCACGATTGAATTCATTGTCCGAGCTACCCATATTCAAGTTGTACAGGACCGAGTGTTGTCCGATTCACGCAATAGTTTCTTCGACGAGCGATGCGCGAGAAATCACTGCGATTTGGCAAGAGATCACGCGAGCGCGCTGGGGAAGTACAAAGGCCTGGAACATTTGACTGATGGCGTGTCCCAATGAGTCTCGATCTGACACCATCCACAACTGTGTTCAATCCTGTTAGGATACCCTTTTCCTACATCCTTGCTGGTTAACCCTGGATACTTTGTGAACGGCCGAAATATCACCCCACGCATGACTTTGCATGAACTCGACCAGCGGAACATGTAAGCTAGAGATCCGCAGTCCTGGTCTGTCATTTCCAAGGACTCGGTCCATGTAGTACGATAACTTTACCACATGAGTGGCACTAGTGATCATACCTGACATTACTTAAAGACCTCGCTTCAGCACTTTCTGTTATATCCTCGCTGTTGTCTTCCTAAGCTTGCAAATCCGGCCTCTATTGAACCATGTCGAGTTTACAATATCTTCACCAGCTGAACGACCCGAGTCATGGCATTATCAAACATAGCAATGCGACCTTACAGACGCCCTTTTCGCCACCTCACATTACACTGGTCAACGCCTCCGACTTGTCTACCCAGAGTCACTTTGGCACTACCGCTTATACCCCAGAATGCACAACTCATTCGTCGGAAACACTAGACCAAGCGAACAAACATCCCAACTCTGACCCTAGAGCGTGCTCCGCTGGATGCAGAAGTGCATGTCACAACTACCCACGCGGTGACAATCGCACCTTTTTCATCCCGGACAAGTATCCTTGGCATTGTGTTGGAAAAGTCCGCACGCCAGGCGGATGGAGAACAGGCACAATGATAGGACCACGCCATGTGCTGACCGCCGCTCACGGCATGTTATGCCAATCCCAGGAGAAGAACGGCTCTTTGAATTCTGGCTGGATTACTTTCACACCGGCATACTATAATGGGAGGGGCAGTATGGGTGAGAGCAGAGTTGTCGAGGTGATCATGTTGGATGGTGATGACAAGCATCATCAAATGATGGATGCAGATGATGACAAGACAACAGTAGCGGCATTCGATTATGCTGTACTGATACTCGCAGACCGTGTTGGAGATACGTTGGGGTGGGTAGGGACAGGAGTCTACGGCGCCGACGTTCACGAGCATGTGCCATTCCAGTATCTAGGCTATGCGATCGAGGTGGCCATGGGAGAGCAACCGACAGTAACGAGTGGTGGAAACCTAGGCATCGTCGAAGATGTAATATCCAAGGACAGCAGACATCTCGAGGGCTACATGCTGGCCGACCTTGGAGGACTCACGCCTGGCTTCTCTGGTGGCCCTGTTTGGTACTTGCCTCAGACTGCTAGCGGACCTTGTATCGTGGGTGTGGGTGGATGGACCAAGGGCGCAGAGGTACACAGGGACGGCATCGACAGAGACTATGAGTACTACAGTGGTGGGCCCACGCTTACTAAACTCGTCAGATGGGCAACGTCTATTCGGGCTTGAGTCACTGCCCGCGCAAAATCCTGAAACATCTCTTATCTTCTTTTTGTTGAGTTTTGTGCAAAGCCTAAGACTATGAGTATTCATCTTTCTACATGATCACAAATCATGCGCCTTTAAAGACAATGAACACATATCAGTTCGTTCATATGCGCTTTGTAACTGGAAATTGTTTCTAGTCGCATGTTCTTGATTGGTAGATAATAGACCACAACGCACTATACATGAGCCGCAATCTTGTATAGAAATATTTGGCGAGGTCCCAAGTCACTCCACCTCACTCCCTATTCACCGCGTGCGAAAGCCAGTGGAGGAGAGGTCGCCCGCAGCGACGCAAACTGGGCTTTCATTTCCACGCAAGATTTTTCAAAAGTTTAGCATCACGGGACTGACGAGGAGGAATAATAATCACTTCAACAATCCAAAAGTTGTAATAAGAATGGTTCTGAACAGTTGCATAGTAAGTCGAAAAGACACCTCGGATATTTCTCTTGACAAAAAGGACAATTCAGTCTTCTCCAGCCAAAAAAAAAACCGAAATGATTTACAGCTCTGAGCTTTGTTGCACGCCACAAGCGCCACAATCTGTGCAGACATCACTCAAACAGCCTTGCCCATTCGAAACAATGATCAGGGATATACAGCTGCAGTTCGAGCAACATACGTAGCAGTGATCTGAGCTCCTCTCTGGCTTCGGGGTTAGAGACAGTTTCGAGACGTCGACATCACTGTCAATATCAGACTCCCTTTCCTGATGACCAGCTTGGTTGGTAGGCTGCCAGATGTGATTCTTGTGTTCTTCTAAGTTTGGACGTCAGTGTACACGAACTTCTCAACATGATGTTTTTTCCGCCGAGTTTACCCACCAAGCGGCTCGAGAGTTGATACCGTCGGATTTGCCTTGACCCAAGATAAAGTGTCGTCTGGTCCCGTCTCGGAGCTAGCGTCAACTCTGGTCGATATCATGGGTGAATATACCGATGTCGAGCGTAGGTGCCTTTTTGGATCAGGTAGAGGACATTCTTTGATCTCGTCCCTTATGCTCTTCAAGGCTTGACTGTGGTCGCCTGCCAGTGCAACTGGAGAGTTGGTCGAACAGTACATGTGTGAGAGATTCGACAAGTCTGTGTGTGTGGGTTATCCAAACACCAGAAGGAGAGATTGGGCAAGTCTTATGTGATTACCATTGTGCTCTCGTTACACTGTCGTCATCGGGTGGATCGAGTATCACCTTCTCGTAAATTCAAGCTGATACTCAGAGAAGTTCAGGAATCATTGGTCGACGGGAAAATGTTGCTGTACATTGTAACCACCTCAGGACACCTCGGACAGGAATCATGTGTTTACAAGGACTCGCAGTTACCCAGACAAGCATAGTCAAGCACCACCATTCAAGTATCGGATCAGCACTAGCTAGACTTGGAACTTTTTTTGTGCATCATGTCAGACCATCTGCCATCTCTGTACCTTTGACTCAGTCCCGCAAGCTTTAATCAGTAATCATCCTTGTATCTAGATCTTGGGCCCCCACAAAGTCGAGGATTCGGAGTCTTGTCCGAAGAGTCCCTGATTTCTAGTCCGAGAACGCCTGGCCTCCGAGCGATTTTGGCTCACATTCTTTGCAGGGACTCTGTACTGCAGTCCGCTTTGTAATAATATTTCCATCTGACAGAAGCCAGGATTGTCGGAGGGTAAGCACCCGCAAATTGAATCCATCAGAACTTGCGAAGGCGTGATCCACGTCGACCATGTAGAGACTATGTGAAGAAGAAGAGGTTGATCTTCCATGTTTTCTGGCCCAATCCAAAATACGTTTTCTGCATGATCTCGGTACCTTGTCGGCCAGAACGTACTCGAGGGCTTCGCGCCCTAACATCGTTAATAGCTGTGATGTCTGGAGCGTGCCGGCCGCAAGAATGACCCTCTTTTCTTGACTCCCAAGATAAGAAATGTCCAACACCCCCGGAGACGCATATACTCCCAATCGTCTTCTTGTTCGCGAGAGCCCATGTTCTCAGTCATTGGAGAAGATACCAGCCATCAAATATCTAGGTCATACACAAAAGTCGGCATAGTGGATACTATATGTGCTCTAAAGCAAGCCAGATTCTGTTCGACTACCTCTTTCTAGGCACAAGGGACAATCGTGATGCCATAATCCAACCCAGCGGTCTATGTAAGGGCTCCATATCATCGGGTTTGATAGATCATATGACCGATGTCTTTGGTACGTTTTGTTGTTCAATGTCCACAAATGGGTCTGGCGGTGGAACAAAAAGCGGGGAATGGCAAGCAGGTCAATGATTATCCCAAGAAGTCGTCTTGTAGTGAGCTCGTTCGGCAGAGATGGAGAGGCTTGGAGCAAGCAAGACACAAGCCAAAGACAGGTACAAGGTCCATGAGTTGTGCGGCTTTGAGATTTGAGAAGCTTGAATATCTGAGGAGCAGGGTCATCAGCAAGACGAGGTCTTCCGAGTGCAATCGCCAAAAAGAACTTGAATTTGAATTGCTAGCAGAGTGCCACGGCTATATGCCTTATGCTAAGAGCGACCCTAACTTGTCGGTTCACTCCGATCACGCTTCCGCAACAACACAAGGTCTGCGGTCGAGGCAAAAACAAATCGATGAAAACGACTAGAGATCTTGGCGAGTAAGAACAGTCGGGTAAGCAATGGCTAGAGCTGAATACAGTGACTGCGATCCTAGCGTATACCAGGACCAGGTAGTTGCCACGGAGAAGAATGAAGGACAACAACGGGGCGACCCTAGAGCCTGAGACGGTACCGACTAGTCGTGAAGACCACAGAAGAGGTTGAACTTGAATATCACAATGAGACTGTACGAAACAGAGTGGGTGCCAATTAGAAGGTCGTTGACAGCGATGTGTCTGCGTCTTGAAACTTCCTGAACTTCTCAGATCTTGTAACGTCTAGGCAACCTAGGTTCGCCCTCTTCGTATGGTACGCCTGCCGTTTCTCTCGCCAAGTCATTGACCCATCTTCCATTGGGCTCCAGCTTCTTTCCCTCCTCACCAGCCATCGTATTTGCCAGATAAAGCCACGACAGCATGTTTCCCACAGTGCTGACCTCATCACTGACATGACTAGCCGCATATTTGCTCATTGTAGAGTACAGCTCCTCGTCGGTAAACAGTTTGTACATATACTCAGCCACCATGCGATAGTCTCCAGAGTCAACCAAGAATCCAGATTTTCCATCTTCGACTTGCAGAGGGATACCCCCGGCGCGAGTAGTAATGACAGGGATCCCTTTGTGCAAAGCTTCAGACACTTTGACTTCAAAGCCCTCGCGAGTTGAGAGCTGTAGACATATCTTGGCATTGCTCATCAGAACATTCAGTTCTTGGTCGATGGGTCCCAATCGCATGACGGAGATGTCGTTGGCCAGATCGGGATATTCGGCATCGATGAGCTCCATCATTTCGTCGAAGATGGTGGAGGCGTCCGGGTCGTCTATACTGCTGTGGCCAGCGATACAGAGTTGAGGTGTCTGCGAGACAGTTGTGTCCTTGTATAGTCTTCTGCGAAGCTCGCCGTAGGAGCGGATGACGGTGTCGATACCCTTGCTGGGGTCAAAGCGAGCAATCTGAACGATATAGTCGCGCGTGGGGAAATCGAGCTGAGGCTGGTTTGAGGCGAGCGCATGGGCGTTGTAGTTCTCGAAGTAGTACTGTAAGTCCTCGAAGCGTAGCTCTTTGTTGAGTCCATCGAGCCAGTCTAATAGGGTCGTATTAGTTTTACTCAGTTGTGGTATTGGCTCACGATGGTAAATGAGCTTCAGATAAGCACAACGCATCTGAGACTTGGGGAACTCTTTTGTGCCCGATGGTCGGCTCTTTGTATGGTGGGTTTGTGTAAGGTAACGGGTTGTGAAGGGACTTACCAGTAGTTGCAGGTAGGTAGGCCACTTTCTTCGCTTCCACAACCTTGGGCACGAATTCGCTCACAGGGTGAGCGATGAACATATCCGCTTCTTTTACCCGCGAGTGTAGCCAATCAAATACAGCAGCAGTCGGGCTGTCAGGCTGTTCATCCACCAGATCCGCGCGAATTTGGATGTGCGAGCGGTAGAGAACAGGACGGCCAGGCTCTACTTCCTTTGCCAATGGCACGATGTCAGCCATCTGCGGATCATCGACGAAGATAATGTGAGCACCGCCATCCTCAATCTTGGAGAGGGGGCCATCCTTGTGTAGCCAGTCACGTCTGGCTGTGCTGTACAGCCAGGTTTTGATTGTGTTGACTTGATCGTCGGTCAGACATTCTTCGGGGCCAGCAACACCTTGGAGGATGTTGTGATTGGTCTTTGTAATACGGAAGACTTCGTTCTTGGGTCTCGGCACGTACCTGGGTATTCAGTATGAGCGTTGGTCCGACATGGCTGGTTCACTTACCACTTCATCTCAATGTCGAGAAGGCGAGCCAATCTAACCATAGCATGTCTCATGAGCGCAACGCCACCTCCTTGAGGTGTCGCATTCAAGAAAGCCATCCTGATTCCTCGCTTCTTCAGCCTTGTTGTATAGTACATGGTCGCATCCCATGTAGGTTTACGAACGGTCTCGCGATATTGTTCCAGAGTACACAAAAGAGCATGGCCAGCAGCATCAACATCGACTTCGTTCAGAAATCTAACCTGGATGAGTGGTTGTTTTTGAGGACCATACATGCTGAAGAACGTCAGTACAAGCGCTTCCAATGGGAACATATCTCACATACCTGACACATTTTCTGGCCATTGCATCAGCCTCCTCGTCAACATCCACGATGGGTGTTTTGTTGCGATCTCTTTCGGCCACGTTCCTCTTAAACTCCAGGGTAGGTATGTCGAGCTCAGCCCACATTCTGGCAGGGAGATCTAGCGAAAGGTTCCAAGCGGTCTTTGAGATACCAGCTCCGAGAGCCTTGTAACGATGGTCGTCTTGATATTCTTTTACCATTGTGATCACGTAGTCCGAGAGGGTCTTCGCGACATTGCCTTTGGTTTCGATGCATTGAACGGCAAAATCCATGCTATAGGTGCCGTCGTGAGCGCAGAATCCAACTTCAATCTTGTCGTCCGGTCGCTCCTTGGCTGCGATACCGAGGAAGATCTCCTACATCTTGAGGTAAGCTTCTGTCTTCAGCAGTACAGGGGTTGACCTGGTATTGCTGACTTGTAGTTGTTCAACTATTGGCCTGCCAATCTTGCGTACTGATGCGCACCGCTGGACGTGACTGTGAGGCCCTCGAGCCTGGAACTCATGGTGTGCTTCTGCAGCGTCGGTCATCGTCGCAGGTGATATCGGCGGTGATGACTCTTGTCACTGCTGCGCAATTTGCGGTTTGACGATCTGATGTTGAAGAGCGAGGAATGGAGATTATAGCGTATAATCACGAAGCTGTTCGAGAGACGGGAAATGTCTTTGGGACGAAGTGATTCAATAACGGAAAGAGCTCCTACCTTCCTGAAGACACTCCGGGTAATCACCTTCTTGGACGTACCTACCTCTGACTATTTCCTGACGCGCACCTCATGTCACACCACGTTCTTTCCAGATTCCCGGGTCCTGCACAAACAAGGATGCGGGGTCCGACTTGCGACCTTCAATAGATCCGGCTTTACATGAATGAAAACGCATTGAGAAGTGTTTGCTTGTAAGCACCTATTTGATCTGGTGATGTGCTCACTGCTCACTGTTGCCAGCGCCTTGTTGTAATCGGTCCGGGTGTCAGACAGTCTGAAGGTGTCGGTGAACGAGTGCCACTGACGAAATGATGCGCTCGTATGTCTCTCACGGTACATGCCGGGGCAAACGTCTTTACGGTTGCGCGACTCGCTTTGTTCCGCGGAAAACGAGCAGCTTGTCTCAGAAGGACTTATTTCCTCTCTATTACAAAAGCCCTAAGTCGTCGCAAAGATGGTTTGAAGAAGAGCCTCTTGCTCAGACGCGCACTTCCATCGGACAACTTCTTGCCTCAAACGTGGTTGTTGCGTGGCATCAAGGAGAGTTTCAATCCTTCCTTCTTTCCTCCCGTCCCGCGTTTCGTATCTCAGCTACTGAATGATCAAAGCCCACATGCGGAATCCTTCGAGTCTTGTAACGCATACGCGTACCTGCAAAGGAAAGCGAGTGATCTCCATTAGTATGCCCGTATTCTGCTTTTGCGCGGCCGACGGCCAGAAGCGGTAATGTTATGCACGTTCTGCTATGAAGTGGAGCTCTCCATGCATGCTGCGCCCGCATGATCTGTTTGACCTGTCAGTCGTTGCAGAATGCTTGCAGTCGATCACAAAGCTTGGTAAGGTTTAAGGAGAACCTCAAACGGTGTTATGAGATAGGGATGGATTATGGACTTGAACTTCTCCCCGATGTGTGAGGCTGATAAACCTCAGAAACGCAAGGCGAAACATGGCTGGAATGACAGGTCAAACAACGGTGGAGGAATATTGAGGATGCCGAACAGTTTCGCTCCCGGGAATTTAACCACATCTCATCCTTGATCATGCTCCTGTAGCGGCGAGTCAGCATGCACAAGGTGTTTGGGCACCAATACGAGTACGGGTGGATTGTGACTTGATAAGCTGCAGCTGTGCGATAGAACAACCCTTCAGGTGTCGCGATCAAGACGCTGCTGCAAATGGTGAGAGTTAGATTAGGCAAAAGAACAATTACTGAGACTTGTTATCAGACGGCCAAAAGATCGGTGAAAACCATTGACCCCGACGATGCTTAAATTCAACCATAACCTTAGCTTCCCACGCCACAAAACGGAGCGAAAGATGGGCGAGAGCATGGAGGCATGAATTCCACTAGCTCCAACCGTGGACAGTTGGTTATGGTTTGAAGCTTACTGCCCTGATGACCTATCCAACTCTCAAATACCCTGAATGTCCTGCTTCCTTCCGATGACTTCTTCCCTTCCCACACATAATCACAAAACACGTCGCGACATCATCTAATCAAACGCCATCTTTATCGCCAAAACGTGGCGATTCGCCGGAACTCTAGAAGGCTGTCAATCGCTCAACCTACCGAGTGGTGAAACAGCCAATACAATCTACGACACATAAACCCTGGTTGCGGATCATTTGCTCTTATTTCCACCCTTATCACAACCACTATTTCAACCTCAGGCCTCCCCACCACCCCACTCGCTTTGATTCAAAGGACAATAAACATATTCAAGACATTGCGATTGGGGCGACAAAGTCATTTATATACCCTGACACCTGTCTGTCGACATCGAACTATGGCAGGCTCCGAAGTAAATGAAGACACACCTCTACTCCGTCGCTTCTCCACTCCACCAGTCTTTACCCAGTCTGGATATTCTGAACACATGTCTGACAAGACAAATCTCGAGTCGCAATATAGCACATCTTCTTGTAAGTCTTAAATTCCCATGCCTTTTCTACCTCATTACTGGTACCATTCTCCTTCTTCTCTTCAAACTCTATTACTCTCTATCTGTCATGCTCACCAGTCCACGAACCTTTTTCAACTTCTCTGCCTTGACCAAATTCTCATCTTCTTCTCTTAATCAGACACTTCTCCCTTCTCCACCATGTCCACAAAATCTGAAGACTCCTCCCGCCCACCACGAATGCCCCAAGCAATAGCCCACCGCGGCTACAAAGCAAAATACCCCGAAAACACCCTCGCCGCCTTCGCCGGAGCAATTTCCATAGGCGCCCACGCCGTCGAGACAGACGTCCATATAACAAAAGATGGCGTGGTAGTCCTCTCCCACGACAACACACTAAACCGTTGTTTCTCCCGTCCAGAAAAGATCATAGACTGTGATTGGGAATTCATAGCTCCATTGCTCACAACAGAGGAGCCCAAGCAGCATATGCCACGTTTACAAGATTTACTCGAATTCCTGGCCGCGGAAGAGAGGAAGCATGTTTGGGTCTTGCTGGACATAAAACTGGATAATAATCCTGAAGACATCATTCGTCTCATCGCCGCCACTATAACTTCCACACCCGCTCTGCCCTCTCACCCTTGGAGTCAACGAATTGTTCTAGGTTGCTGGGCTGCAAAATATGTCCCCCTGGTTGCAGAATACTTGCCAGGGTTTTCTTGCACACATATTGGCTTTTCCCTCTCCTACGCCCGTCAATTCCTGCATCAGAAGAATGTAGGCTTCAACATGCTCCTCCCCATCCTGATGGCCCCCGGCGGCAAAAATTTCCTTCACGACGCCAAAAAAGCACAAAAACCAATATTAGCATGGACGGTCAACCAAGTGCGGAAAATGGAATGGTGCATCCGAAGAGAACTCGATGGTGTGATAACAGATGATCCGAAACTTTTCCTCGAGGTATGCAGGAATTATGATTCAAAAGCAATGGAAAGAGGATTGAGTTGGAGGGAGTGGGTGGATGTGTTGAGGTTGTGGGTGTTGGCGACGATATTTGGGTGGCTGTATAGGAATAGATTTGCAGGGAGGACGAGGAGTCAGGTGCAGGTTGTGTGACTCGGGGCTGATGGCTGGAGGGTGAGGGAGAAGATGGATTGAGATATTGGAAGGATATATTTTTCTTTTGGCACTTGCATTTGCCTGCGTTACAAGGAGCATCTTGGGGTAATGTCATTGCATTGGCGCACGAAGCTGTGTTGGTTGAGATCTAGGCGTCTGTGAAAAATTAATTTGAGCAGAAGAGAAGTGAGGGTGAGGAATTTTCCATATAGGCCAATGAGAGGGGAAATAAATGGATACACTCTTGTTATCTACAACACTCCCTTCCTTACCTAACCAGGAATCCACTGACACTTTCCTCCAACCGTCTAATCTCCTCCATTTCATGCTCAACAACCTCCTTGACTTTCTTCTTCTTACTCTCCTCTGGCCACTTCACCTCCACAACCTCTTTCAACTCCTCAACCGCAGTTTTCCAATCGAAAAACTCTTTTTTCAATTCATCCTTCTTCTGCGCCCTCTTTTCCTTTTCGATCGTCATATTCATCTCCTCGTCCAGTGGGAGACGCTCAATGTCTAACAGTTCGTAAATGCGGATGCGAGGGGAACCCGCTTCGTGTATTGTGATTAAGTTCATGATACGATGGGTTAGGAGAGCTTCGGTGACATGAAAGGTCTTGTTTGCGGAAAGGGAAGCTTTATGGACGAGAGCACGGCGTTCTTGAGAAGGTGAGAGGAGACCGCGGAAGGCTTCTTTGAGGATGCGAGCCCGGGCACGAGATTGTGCTTGAACTTTTAGTGCCGTTATCGTCGGAGGCTCCATCTCTTGGGTTTGTCCTTTCGCTGCCGATTTGATCTTGTTGGCTGTTGTTTTTCCCTGTCTTGGAGCAGTGTTTCCATCCTGAATCTCTTCTCGAGATTTGATCGTTGTAGGAGTGGTTTCCATGTCGAGCCGTCTGAAAGTGGTGACTGTGTTGTCTAGCTGTTCGCGGGTCGGGGCCAGCTGTTTGTGAAGCTTCCATCGTCGCTTCTTGAGAGTGTGAGCCTGACGAATGTCTTTATGGGACCACACGCTGTCCTGAGTCTTGGGAATAGTACCATCTTTGGTCCACTGCTCAAAAGCCTTCGGCGATATCACGTCTTGCAATGTTTGAGTGGCCCATGACTGGTGTCTGGCCCCTGTCAGACTGCTTATGTAGAGCTGGTCCATAGGCACATCTAGACTGTCCCATTTCGTGGGTTTGGAGATCTTGAAAGAAAGGTTCAAAATTTCTGTCTTGGCCTCGGAGCCCTCAGATTCTGTCTGGACCTTGGCTTGCTTGATCGTTCGGCGGGCTTCGTTGATGTCCGCTGAGGTCCAGTTCTTGTTTGGTATTTTTGGGACTCGACTAATCTTCCTAAGCTCTCGAGGAGTGAGAGCTGACTTTGTTGCACCTTGCCAGATGGTATTGTCTGAATGTTTGGGAGGCGGGTCTCTGTTCAGTGGTGCACTATCTGTTGCTAGGTTTCGCCGTGGCGTTTGATAACGCGTTCTGTATTGCCATGTACTTTGTCAGGTTGGTTGGAATGTTACGACCAGAAATACAATATGCTACCTACAGCTTCCTCCCGAAGAGGTGATGGCTAGAGGTCCAAGATTGCAAGGGGGTCGAAGGCGAAAAGCCGAAACCTGCTTGAGCCTGCTTTGCCCTTGAAGATACTGAGCTCTGTGATCGTGATCTGATTCTACCAAATGGCACATCAATCTTGGTCGCTGCGTCTTGGGCATCATGGACTTTGGATGACGATTCTTTGCTTGATTGGAGACCGAAAAACATGGCGATGCCAGTCTCTGACAAAGCACCGAAATGGTTCGGATATGTTTGCACAGTGTCTTGCCCTTGTGACGCCATTTTTTGACTGCTTGGCATATCATCGACGGTGCTCGGAACGCTGCCAAACTCTACAGTCTTGACATGTGCCGGAATGGACTCGTGAATATTGTCGCCGGTTTTGTGCTGTGCAAGTGCCTCTTCAGAGGAAGCGGATGGTGAGATGTAGAACTGGATGAAATCTCCCTTGTTGACGATGCTGGGCAGTTCTTGTGGCTCGAACCCCCAGACATTGTGCAGATCAGCTGGCACAGGGGAGAGACCTTCGATATACTCGGCATCAGTTTGTTGTGCTGGTGCAATTTCTTCCCACGGCGGGTGCTGGCCATAGCCGCTGTCGGGGTCCAACGAGAGCAGACCAGCCTTCTTGCCCCAGCCACCACCTCCCGACAGGACTTTATGAAGACGTGCACCATGTTGGAGTAGTGTCAACAGATTAGGCTGGGAAGCATCGGTGTCGTGATTTGAACCCGACTTCCACAACTCGGGCAGGTCTCTCTCGCCGAGAACCTTGGCTGCCATAGATAGACCTCCAGAAAAAGTCTTTTCCGGAATGACCAGAGCCCAGACAGAGACGGCGCGAGGAGAGAGTCCTCGAGTCTTGTGATACGACGTGACGGATTGCTCAAGTTCGTGAGAAGCTAGTATAGCCTCTTTTGTCGGATCATGTGAACCAAGTCCAGAGTCAGCAGACAGGCGACGGATGATGTTTCCCATGCATGCCACAACAGACCTGGCAGAGGTCAGAGGTACAAGTGGCGCCGACAGAGCTAGTGTAGTGGTCTGGCGAGAAGCAGATGGTTTGGGAAGCTTGACGCGATGAGAGTCGCAGACCTGCTCGTCTGTTTGAACGAGACCCTTGCCATCTTTGTGTAGAGAGTACTTGCGCCAGATTAGGGTAGAGGTTAAGCCATTGTGGAAGATGGTGTTGGCAAGCGGGAGTTGGACGATTGGAAGCATGTGCGCAGGAGTGGCGGCATCGTCCAGGTGGAAGCTCAAGAAACGGTACTTGTTGTCCGAGAGAGCAGCGCGAGGATCGTCTCTTGCGAGCTCGGGCTTCCAGATGGGGTTCTCGTTTGCTATCAAGCGTAGAGCAATACCTTCGGAGCCAATGTCGCCGACTGCAGAGGCATCCAAGTGCGAGGGTTTCGGTAGCCTGTCAACGACTGCAGCAACGAGTCTGACAGCCTCTCTGGAATCTCCACCGAGTCTGCTGTGTAGGTCCTTGTCCAGCTCTTTAACAGAGAAGATGCGCGTCAATGCTTTCTCAATGACATGTTTCTGCTTTCTCAGGTCTGCGGCGTAGGACGGAGTGACCAACAGGAGAAAGTCGGTGAACAAGCCCGTTTCGTTTCCTGCTTGGAACTGTGGTATGCGATCGAGCAGTTTTTCGAGCGGGGTGGCTTTGGGCTCCGAAGTTAGGACGGTGCAAGTGCGGATAAGATGGTCGGATGTGTCGGACGAGAAGCTCTCGGTGATGTATGAAGGGCGGGCTGTTGGCATGAATTGCTCGACGGGGGCCTTCAAGCTTTCTTTGATCTTGTCCCAGGTCGGCGCAAACCCAGAAGTCGGCGTTGCGAACCTGTTAGGCAGTGTGGTGCTAAGATAGCGCGGACGTGATAGCAGGGCCTGGCGCCGAGACAGGCATTTCGAAGTGCGGCGCAACATTGTGATATCTTGTCGTAACACTAAGAGGGAAAAAAAAGATACAGCAGGAAGGAGCGATCTGGAATGGTGACGTTGTGGGGATGCTGCAGATGCACAATTCAGAAGCACAGACGTAAAAGTGGCAGGAGCGATGAAACATTGATCTGACCAGTGACCCCCTTGGCTCTCCGCAATTTTTGGCAAGTCGCTCGCTGTTGGCTGTTGGCTGTTGGCTGTTGGCTGTTGGCTGTTGGCTGCTGGCTGGTAGGCAAGCTGGCTGTGCGTAGCGTGCGCGTCGGGAAAAGCGTTGGACCTCCGTGTCCTGTATTCGTATTATTCTCCTTGCACCCGTCTCCGTCAAAGGAGGTCACTCTGTATCTGCTGTCCCTGCTTCACGCACTGTCTCTTTTGCACTCGCAGCGTCTGGCTGCTCGAGTTATGTCCAGCGTTCGATAGCCACAGGAAAAAGTCCCCATCTGTAAGTCTTTCTAGCCCCTCTGACCGTGTACCTAGGTATACAAGCAAGCTGTGTGACTTGACAGTATGCTGATTATGCCCTCCAGCATCCAAAATGGCCGTCGCACGATCTCTTCGCCGGACCAATCCCATCACTCTGGTTTTGGCCGGCCTGTTGACTATCGGCTTCCTCATCTTCATCTTCTCCTCGACCGACGCTGTCCCGGCATTGCATGTTCCTGGTGCGCGACAACTGCTCAAGTCGAAAGATGCCGCCTCCAATGCCCTCTCCCCGCCGTCGCTCCCCTTCTTCAAGTCCAATCTCAAGCCTGGCGAGAAGGCTCCCCCTCCGCCAGTTGTCCACTACCACATGAACAATGTCACAAATACTGCCGATCCTATTGGCAACCGTGAAAGTGTTCTTATTCTTACTCCGCTCGCCCGCTTCTACGAAGAGTACTGGACGAACTTGGTCGCCCTGACCTATCCTCACGACCTGATCAGCTTGGGTTTCATCATCCCCAAGGGACGTGAGGGCAATTCAGCAACAGCTCAGCTCCAAGAACAAATCGCCAGAACACAATCGAGCAGCAAGAAATTCGCATCCATCACAATCCTTCGCCAGGAAGATGAGCCTCCACTCACGTCGCAAGCAGAGCACGATCGTCATGCCATGTCGGCCCAGAAGGAGCGCCGTGCTGCCATGTCGCGCGCGAGAAACGCCTTGCTGTTCACAACTCTCGGTCCAACCACCTCCTGGGTCCTCTGGCTCGATTCCGACATTGTCGAGACACCTCACTCGTTGATCCAAGATTTGGCCGCTTTTGATAAGCCCATTATTGTTCCCAACTGCTTTCAGCGTTTCTACGACAAGGAGAAGGGCGCCATGGATGTCAGACCCTATGACTTCAACAGCTGGATCGACAGCAACACTGCTCAGAATCTGGCCTCGAAGATGGGACCGGACGAGATTCTGCTCGAGGGTTATGCCGAAATGGCAACATACAGAAGTTTGATGGCATACATGAGCCGTAAGTTGAACCTGACACACGATCGAACATGTAGACTAATAGATGCGACAGACCCCGGTGGTAACCCCAAAGACATTGTCAACTTGGATGGTGTAGGCGGGACAGCATTGCTCGTCAAGGGCGATGTTCACAGAGATGGTGCCATGTTCCCACCATTCCCCTTCTACCACCTCATCGAGACGGAAGGATTTGCAAAGATGGCCAAACGTCTAGGATGGAGCAGTTGGGGTATTCCCAACTACTTTGTGAGTATACACTGTGTGGATATTGCCTTGATGCAATTGCTAACATGGATTCTCTCAGGTTTACCATTACAACGAGTAGATTGCATAAGTGTGGAACATATATGGGATACAGTCAAGATTTCGGAGAGTGAAATTCGCATATTCAAGGGCGCGGCGTTGAAGGCGCATGCTTGCAGGCAGGAGGTGCTACATACAAATTTAGAAGGAACGACATATTCGAGTCGGACCAAATGCAGAGACATTTGCAAACGATGTAAAAAGGTGCAAACATGTGGTTCCACAGATGGGTTGATGGTTTCAGCTGAGATGCTAAAGGGGGTCAGTCGAGTCCAGGTCTTTCGTTCGTGTCATCAGGAGAGCTAGTCGGCCGTTGGGTCGAAATTAGAAGCAAGGAGGCGGTGGCAGAGAGCATGTTCATTGCCAAGCATCGGGATTCTGAGGGTCTTTCGGAGCCGCTCATCGACCCCCTGGGCCCTGGTTGACACGCTGTTCACAGTTAAAGTGGCCAGCAGCCGTCGTCAGCCCCTCCCCTTGCCCAATTCGCATTCGCAGCCATCTTCTTGTAATTCTGCACCCTCCGTTCGCTTCTTTGCTCTCTTTGACCAACTCTGTCAATCGACACTTGCTGCCACTACTTTTAATCAACAACCCTCCCCACACTTTTAGTTCATCATGAAGGGTAAGTCGGCGCCGGTCCTCGCTCGCAATGTTGCAAAGAGCGGAAGCCGGGAGAGCAAGACTGACAATGCGGTGCAGCTCTCATTCTTGTCGGCGGTTTCGGTACCCGTCTGCGTCCTCTTGTACGTCTCTACCGCATGCTTGACAAAGCCCCTCCGGCCATACTGACTGGCCTCCAAGACGCTCACTCTCCCCAAACCGCTGGTCGAGTTTGGCAACAAGCCCATGATTGAGCACCAAGTCGCCGCGCTCGCTGCCGCCGGTGTCACCAACATTGTCCTCGCCGTCAACTACCGCCCCGAGATCATGACTGCTGCCCTCGCAAAGGTACCCAGCCTGCCCCACACCGTCTAAAGATTGCGCAACTCTGACACTATGCACACAGTACGAGGAGCAATACAATGTCAAGATCGATTTCTCCGTCGAGACCGAGCCTCTCGGCACCGCTGGACCTCTGAAGCTCGCCGAGAAGATTCTCGGCAAGGACGACACTCCCTTCTTTGTGCTGAACTCGGACGTCATCTGCGAATACCCCTTCAAGCAAATGGCCGACTTCCACAAGGCGCACGGTGATGAGGGCACCATCATTGTCACAAAGGTCGAGGAGCCCTCAAAGTACGGTGTCGTTGTCCACAAGCCCAACCACGCTTCCCGCATCGATCGCTTCGTCGAGAAGCCTATTGAGTTTGTCGGCAACCGCATCAACGCCGGTATCTACATCCTCAACCCCAGCGTTCTCCAGCGTATCGAGCTCCGCCCCACATCCATCGAGCAAGAGACTTTCCCCTCCATGACCAAGGACGGCCAATTGCACTCGATGGATCTCGAGGGCTTCTGGATGGACGTTGGTCAGCCCAAGGATTTCCTCTCCGGAACTTGCCTGTACCTTTCTTCCCTCACAAAGAAGGGCAGCAAGGACCTCACATCCACCTCCGAGTCATATGTTCACGGCGGCAACGTCTTGATCGACCCTTCAGCAAAGATCGGAAACAACTGCAAGATTGGCCCCAACGTTGTCATTGGCCCCAACTGTGTGATTGGTGATGGTGTCAGACTACAGCGCTGTGTCTTGCTCTCAAACTCAAAGATCAAGGAGCACGCCTGGGTCAAGAGCACGATCGTTGGCTGGAACAGCGTCGTCGGTCGTTGGGCTCGTCTTGAGAACATTTGCGTTCTCGGTGACGATGTCACTGTTGGCGACGAGATCTACGTCAACGGTGGAAGGTATGCAAACCTCACTCACTCTCTGCTTATTGTCCAGCAACTAACGTCCGATTTAGTGTTCTCCCTCACAAGACTATCAAGGCCAACGTCGACACTCCCTCGATTATCATGTAAAGTCGCCTCCTGCTTTGCCGACTTTGGAGTTTTGGGAATGTCAATTTCATGATGAGAAAAGAGAAAAAAGCGCGATTGCATACGAAGACAAACCATCTTCATTACTGGGACAGGGGATATATATGTGGTTGTATCTTATTCCAGGGACTCCACGACTGGCGTTGTTGTTATACTCTACCTATCTTGGTTTTCTCTTCTTCTGATACCGAGGGATTGGGGTTCAAGACGAGATTTGCGTCTTTTTGGACTTGGACTCTACAGCCTTTGTTTCGTTGCCTATATCCAATGTACATTTGCTTCTCCCTGTTTTCTTCGAGTGCGCCAGGGTCTGTTTCCGCCCACCAAGGTCATGAGAACCGTGCACTGTGTCTTGGCAGGGGTATAAGCGCTTCCGATTCAATTTGGACGCATCGATCACAACCTTTGTTGCAGCGTGTTTTCGTGCTTGAAAATTCGCTGCAAAATTGCAAGATTCGCACCGCACGAGCTGTGGACAGTAAGTACCGATCGTCTTGTGAGAAATTGGCCCTTGATCTTTACGTGCCGAAAACCGTTCACGATGAATCGCAAAAAGTCCAACGTCTCTGCCTATCCAGGAGAACCGTTGATAGTATCCGACCTTGTACGGAGAGGATGAATAGGAGAAGTGATCGATCATTTTTTGAGCAATACAAGCACTTTTCGCCTTCCAACCATTCTGTCTCTTTGCCACGTCACTCTCTTACAGTATCTAATACCACCATCATCGGTTTCGCCGTTTGAATCTCGTTGCGAGTCTATCAGCTCGTCGCTTCTTCTGCCCTTCTGGTCAAGACCTTGACTGCATTTTGAGACAAAGCAAACATGTTTTGCAACATCGTACTCACCTGGATAATATTACTTCCAACCATCTGGGCCATTTCAATATCATCACACCTAGCGACGAAGACGGTAGTTCTCTGCTCAACAACCTATGGCTCTTCTTCCGTTGCGAGTCTCCCAACTTCCACATTATCTCTCTTCCACACAACAGAACTTTTCCCTGTAATCCTACACAACAGTACGACACTCACCACGACTATAACGCCAAAGCCCTTTTCCACACTCTTCAGTGTTTTGACAACGAAGACGAAATATGTTTCTTCCGCGGCTGTGAATGGCACGTTTTACATTACAAGCACGAAATTTGGGACTAGTACGGATTGGAAGCATGAGACGAAGACGAGGACGAGCACGGTGTATCGGTACTTTACCTCTAGATCTACATATTGGATTGCTGAACCCAGTGGGTGGGTGGGTGTGAGGAACAGTACCTCCGAGCCCGCAGGGAAGGAGAAGAGGGAACTGGCTCATCCTCATGCAGCAAGAGCGAGCACCAAGATTTCCAGCAACAAGAAACCGAAACTCGTTCGTCCGACAGAGGGAGTCTTTGCAGCTGGTGTGGAGTGTGTGCAACAGGTGCAATTGCATACCACGGAGGTTCTGCTACTCACAGAGACGAAGTTGGCGACCGTGACGCTGAGGCCGGAGACTGTGTTCAGCAATCGCACAGTGTATGGTACAATCACAAGTACTGTGCTGCTTTTGCCTTCTTCATCATTGGTAAGGAGGATGAATGTAGCAGCTTGGTTTACTTCGCACGCTGCATTTCCGCATGCGTCTACTTCTGCTGCTGCTTCGACCTTGACGGCAAATTCGACATCCATCTCTGCAACTTCGAACTCAACTTATGCTCCATCGACATTCAACTCGACATCAACCACATCCTCATCGACTACAACACCTTCTCCACCACCCCTTCCCACCGGCCCAAACGGCCTAGCCACAAACCTCACCACCATCACAAAGACACCCTACACCATAACCTTCACCCACACAGAATACAAATCCTCCATTCTAACCCTCACCCGCCACGCCACCACAACATTAACCTCTCACTCTGCCTGCGCAACCCCGCACCTACTTTCGCAAAACAGTAGGAATTTGCGGGTTAATGGTTTTAGTGCTTTGGAGGGTGGGGGCTTGGAGAAAGTGCAGACAGAGGGGGCAGGGGAGTGTTGTGAGATATGTATGCAGAGGGAGGGGTGTGGGTGGGGGGTTTGGGAGGCTGAGGGACGGGAGAAGGGGGCTTGTTATTTGATACTGGTTGATATTGAGGGTGTGGAGAAGGATATGGAAGGGAAAGAGGGTGAAAGGGAAGGTAGTTGGGGGAAGCAAGATGTGCAAGGGTACTTTGGGTATAAGACGGGGAATGGAGAGGTGAGGTATGTAGTTAGTAATGGTCTTTGTGGTCGATTATTAGAAGCGTGAATGTCAATTTCTTAGTTGATCTATCCCAAAACACCCCGTTATACTTCTTCGAGCCCTTCTCGATCTCTTTGTATTATTAACGAGCGATGCTCAATCTCAGCGGAATACACTGCTGGGTCTTGCACCGAGTCCACTCTTCTCATACGCCATATCTATCATCTCCATCTGTGCAATCGAGTCTTCTCCATTCACCCAAGTCTGCACATCCCTTCTTCTGATCTTGTTCACAAAAGCCTCCAATTGATAGCGATAGGACATCCAATGCGCTTCTCCCGGCAACTCTGCAAACTCGCCTCCTGCTTCTTCAAAAGTATAGGCTTTGCGTGTCGTATTCTCCGTCCACCTTCTGATGATTCGGTGGGTTGATTTATTGCGAAGGGTAAAATTGGAGGTGTTGTCGATACGATGCCAGAAAACTCCATGAATCATTCCATTGAGTGTGAGAACCTGCGAGCGAACCTTTTCCTGATCAGAAGGTAAAGAGGCATCGGCGATAACAACCTCTTTCGTCGTAACAGTAACATGAGAAGGTTTCAAAATCGTCTCGCCCTGCAAAGTACTACTAGCTTCCCCAATCGCACCATTCGGAAAGCGGAAAGTAGCTTTGAATTCGTAATCGCAATTTGCATGCTCGCCATCTTTATAGGCTGATGCGTCACAGCTAACACATTCGAGTGGTGAAGAGCCAAAGAGGAGACGCAAGGCTGCGTAGTTGTAGGTTCCCATTGCCATCATCGTGCCTCCTGAAAGCTTGTAGTTGAAATGAATGTCTGACTTTGAAGTTGCCCACCAAGGAATCATGGAGTGGGTTTTTATGTGCAGCACCTCCTCGGGCTTTATCAGAGATGCAAAGAGGTTCCAGGAAGGGTGAAAGCGGTTGTGAAAGGCTTCTAGAAGCACAGGAGCATCAGGTCCAGATAGCTCGGGAAGATTAAACAGGATTTCCGCTTCTTTGGCATTGGAGGTCGATGGTTTTTCGAGGAGGACATGTTTTCCGGCGCGGATGGCGCGGACTGCCCATTCGAAGTGGAGGCCGTTGGGGAGGGGAATGAAAATACAGTCGATATTGGGGTCGTCGAGTATATCCTGGTATGAATCCTTGACTTCTGGTATTCCATGGGTCTTTGCAAAGGCTTCGGCCTTGGAACGATCTCGTGCGGCGACAGCTTGAACGATTACCTCGGGATGAGATCTTGCTGGGATGATCAGAGATAGGGGGCTGCGGCAGATGATCAGCAAGAGGAATAAGAACAGAAGACTCCTGGATGATGGGCTCACGCAATACTGGCAGCGCCCAGTACGCCAAATTTGAGAGCGTCCTTCTGCTTAGTGACCTGAGGAGGGCTGAATGCTGTCCACACACGATTGATCAAAGCTGCCATGTTTTCTTGAGATGTCTGAATGGTTGATATTCGAGACCTGGAGTTGTTTTCGAGACTTCTCTCTGTCAGAGCAGATTGTTAATGAACAGGACATTCTGGTGCAGAGAGACCGGTCCTTTTATGGTCGAAGCATGACAGCTTATGAAACATCCATACGGACATTTTTGACGATGAGAAAACAGCCGAAGAAGCTTCAGAGCCGAAGAGTCGTGTCCTTTTGTGTTTAAATCTGTACGTTTTGAGCCAGGAGCCAGATATAAATGACCGACATCTTTGATGGGAGGCATAAATCACCGAATCACGTGCTTGAAATCGCCGAAGGTGTTTCTGACCGCTCTCAAATTTATCCACATCAGGACTTGAGAACTTCGCATATGGAGATATCGTTTTTGAGCTGCCGCCTGAACGTCACGAGATGCACTGATAGCAAGACTGAGATCAAGAGTACCTTGCTTGCTGCTTTTCGTGATGTGCGCTTGAAGAGAGGGGGAGCTTCCGACCGACTTCATACTCTCTGCTCGCATCGTGATGGCGTGTTAAGCGTAGCCACGAGTATCACAGCGATCGTCCATTCTATAGGCAACGAAATTGAAACTCTGAGGTAGCTCAGTGTAGTCTAGAGAATGATATATTGGTGGAGAGCAGTGTTCTGGATTCTTTGCGCTCGCTGAGTCGGAATCGCAGCTTGTAGAGGTGGACCGTGCGACATCGTGGTTTCGCCCTGAACTCCTTGTTCATGACCACAATCTTTACCAACAACAACCTCCATCACACATTTGACTATCCTTTGTTGAATCGAGACCTCTATCTTCTTTGATCGTTTGGTAATGGCTCCGAACTGGCAGTAATATCCGACATGCAAACCATTCCAGCCAGTGCGGCCGGCGTACCGAAACGGCAATCGTGTGATCGATGTCATAAACAAAAGCTGCGATGTAATCGCTCGTCAGAAGATGGCGCCTGTGATCGCTGCAGTCGGTCCAAATCACAATGTGTATACAGCTCGTGCTTGCCCAAAGGCCGACCAAGCTCGAACCGACCCAGAAAGCGGAAGTTGAGCGACTTGTCCGGGCGACAACCATCGGGATTAAACGGGACCGGCAACCTCGGTGTCGACCTTGGCGCGATAGATGGTAATTCTCCATACAACAGCGCAATTCCGAGCATCATTGAAGAACAGCATGTCAACGACTATTTGGATGCCATCAACTGGGCCGATACACCGTCTGTGGATTGGACCGAGATCGAAAATTCAATCATGCATCCAGAGCCTTGGAATTTTGAGACATCAGTCAGTCAGTATATGATCCAGCATTCGTTCTCGCCGAACTCTAGAGAGAACAGCATGATGGACTTAATTCCCACACCAGCTCGAGGAACACATCTTTCAAATCACGTCGCCGAGAAGCAGACCTGTTCAGGTGATGCTCAGAAGACATCTCATCAGGCTACGAATCAGGAGAAACGCGGGCCAGAATCTCTCATCGCTCGCTTGTCGGAGCTAAGTACTCGTGCATGCTCCCTGTACAGTGCAGTCCTCGACTTGGCAAACTCGATGGAAACCCTGGAGCAAAGTAGTATTGAGCTTCATCGCAAGGGACCATTCGCCGATGACTCGGCCTTCCAGACCTTGACTAGCTGGCTCGTCAGCGCCTCTTCGGACGTCCGTCCACTCACCCGCCCACAAAGAGCAAGTGGCACAAGTTCAACGGCTGATGAGGGTTGCGATCTTCTTCACAATATCTTTGCTGCATCTCACGATCTATTGGGTACCTTACAGCTTCTCAACGACCAGTTTTCGCAGCCGTCCATGAATGCACATTCTGAGTTATTGCGATCTCATCCATCTGATACTATTACCCCGGCATCGGTATCACCGTCTGTTGGAAGCATCGCGTCGACACCGAGTTCAGGCGATAGCTTCCGAGGTCCAGGCCACCGGTCGAGCAGTATGGTACGCCATATGGTCATGGCCTGCCACATGATGCTCCTGAATGTTTACCTCGCAGTCACAATGTCACTTCAGCACGCCATAGATAGTAGAAATTTGACTGATGATAGCACCAGCATACAATCAGATCCTCTTGGCGAAGTTCGAACGATGGTTGTGGTACAGCTCTGTACCTTTCTTACTGAGCGTCAGGCGAAAGCCGTACAAACGTTTCTCACAAGGTCATCTTTGCCTGGGCCCGGATCTGAGCGTCCTGATGTCAGTACGCTCAGTGATTCTGATCAAGCGGCCACCAAAGAGCTGGAGCAGGATTTGTCGCACCGATTAGCCCGACTGAAGGCATCCACTCATGTATGACGGAAAGACCTACGTTGATCTGATGTCTGGAGTGGCAACCACGACCATCGAGGGGTGCACACCAACATGGGCATGTACAATCCGAGTTGACCACTCCTCGCGAGGCTACAAACACTGCGCTATAGCAAACTTCAATGACTCCCGTATCTGGGAACATCTGTTCCGTAGTGATCGATGATCGAAATTTGGTCGCAGATATGGAATTAGGGCTTGGAAGTGAGTCGCCGACGAAAATTAATAGTTGCAGTAGTAACCTTGTTAAGTAGTCACACTGCCAAGACTTACTGATTAATGTATGAGCACAGTTTGTGCAAACCATTAAATATATCCAAGGATAAAGCAGCAACATGGAAACGCTCATTTTGCACGCATGCGATTGCTCAATTCCAACGATCTCTCCGGACATCTCCAGGAAGTGGCAAGTCGGATCAGACGGCATAGCTGACATATGGTTTCCAATATATGGATATGCAGGCTCGCCTATCGCGCGCTATAGCTTCATTAGTGCTCTTGAGCGTGGGTGTCGACTGGCGAAACCCGGGATTTCAACTCACTTTTATAAAGTCTCACAGAATCCTACTCATCTGCTGGCCGCGTCGTAGATACTGACATCTGATTTGAAAGGTCTCTTCTCGTTCCGGGATTCACCTCTTGCTCATGTCGAATCCGCAAATATACACCGTGGGCTGGATCTGCGCCCTATCATTGGAACACACCGCAGCTCGACAATTCCTTGACAAGGAGCATGCACTACCGACTCATCTCGCTGCTCACGATAGCAATGGCCATACTTTGGGAGAAATGTCAGTCATAATGTGGTGATTGCTGTGCTCCCACGCGGCGAGTATGGCTTGAGCTCTGCAGCAAGTGTCGCAACCAACATGCTCAACAGCTTCCCTAACATCAGGGTCGGGCTAATGGTTGGTATGGTGGCGGCGCACCGACAAAGCATGATATCCGTCTCGGAGACGTTGTCGTGAGTTCTCCCATGGACCATACGGGCGGGGTGTATCAGTACGACTACGGAAAGTCTATACAAGGTCAATCTTTCCAGCAGACTGGTTTCCTGGACCAGCCGCCAGCAGTCGTACTCACTGTCATCAGTATTCTCGAAAGCGTCTACGAGAGTGACGGCCATGATATCGATGAGCGGATCATCAATATTCTCCGAACGAAGCCCAAACTCAGGGCCAAATACAGCCGTCCAGATTCGAAGGAAGACTTACTGTATCACGCCAACGTTGTCCTAATGGATACTGTATCAACCTTTGCGGAACGCAGTCATCCAATCTTGTCGAACGTATGGAAAGGTCAGACGATGTCGACAATCCAGCCGTCCATTACGGGATCATCGCATCTGCCAATCAGCTGATGAAAGATGCAAGGACAAGAGATGCTTTGGCAAGGGAGAGAAATATAATGTGTTTCGAGATGGAAGCCGCGGGTTTTATGAATCGGTTCCCTTGTCTGGTAGTTCGAGGTATTTGCGATCGCTCAGACTCACACAAGAGCAAGCGATGGCAGGGCTACGCGGCAATGGCGGCGGCTGCTTACGCAAAGGACGTGCTGACTGAGATGGTGCCGAGTCAGGTCGAGGCTACGACCAAGCTTCAAGCGTCGCTTGATTTGAGGAAGTGAGATGGCACTATCTAACGCGCCTGGCTATGACTTATTCCAAATACTCAGTGTCGAGGAACCTTGACGTATTGCACGAGACTATGGAAAAGTATGGCGAGAGGGCGGAAGACATACAGGAGCAAAAGCAGATGAGCCGGATCTTGAAATGGCTGGCGCCTTCTGACCCGTCGACAAACTACAACAAAGCGCTCCAGCTGCGACACGAGGGTACCGGCCACTGGTTCATCTACGGAGAACCCTTCAAGCAATGGAGACAGCAACCGAATTCGTTCCTCTGGCTTTATGGTATTCCTGGTTGTGGAAAAACGGTCCTTCGTTCAACGATCATAGAAAATCTCGAGCAACAAACAACTGGGCAAATACTCTTGTATTTCTTCTTCGACTTCAACGACAGTCGGAAACAATCTTTGGAAGACGCTGTACGCTCGATCATCAATCAGCTCTTCCAAATCGCTCCTATCAGCCGACGGCACCTCGTCCAATCGTGGGAGTCTCATGGCGACGGGTCTCGGCAGCCATTGACCGTCACATTGAGACAGATATTGCAAGACATGCTTCGCGAAATCGCCGACGTGACCATCATACTTGATGCCCTTGACGAATCAAACCCAAGAGCCGAGGTGCTTGCTTGGCTGGAAGCACTTGCTGGACATGAGACTGCCGCTTGTCGGATACTTGCTACTTCTCGTAAAGAAGCAGATATCAATGAGGCTCTGCATGGTTGTACGATTGCCGCAAACAGGATAGCTATTCAGCAGGAAGCCGTGAACGATGACATCTGCGCATACGTCAAGCACAAGATATTGAATGGCGACGAACTAGAGCGATGGCGCAGCCTGCCGAACCTCCAGAAAGAAATTGAAGCCAAGCTGATGCAGAAAGCAAACGGCATGTGAGCTAAAATTGACGGACATCCCCTATAGTGAACAGGAAAGCTCACAAAAACATAGGTTCCGGTGGGTTGCTTGCCAGATTGAGGCTCTCGCAGATTGCTACACCCCACTCAAATTGCGGAAAGCACTCGCAGAACTACCTAGGACTCTGGATGAGACATACGGAAGGATTTTACTCAGCATTCCTGAAAGCCATTTCGACGACGCTATCCTCATGCTTCAACTTCTTACTTGGTCCTATGATCCGATCAGCCTTGAAGAGATGGTCGACGCACTCGCAACCTCGCTACAAGGGGACTCTGGCTTCGGCATTGACAACAGGATGCCAATCCCGCAGGACGTTCTACTTATATGTGGCAGCCTTGTTGTACTTGTTCAGAACGATGTGAATGAAGCAGATTGTAAGCTCCAGCTTGCCCACTTCTCCGTGAAAGAGTATCTCGTATCAACTCGGGTTGAAAATCGCTTCCAACATCATCTCCTCGAAGCAAAAGCAAAATTCAGTTTGGCCAAGCTGTGTCTGCTCTATCTGGCAAATGTTGATCTCGACCTACCTATTCTGGTCAACGCATGTCACGTCTACCCTCTGTTTACCCACTCTGCCACTCACTGGGTGGAGTATGCCGAGGATGCAGAAGGCAAAGAAAAGGTGTGGGATTTGGCATTCGAATTTCTGGAAGACAATTACCAGATCATGTCTCTGACACTTGACGCATGGGATCGTGGGTTGCTGAGCCGGAGTTTATACGTGGGGGGCGCTGGCAGAACCCCGTCGTGTACGTTGTTGCAATACGCTAGCATGAGAGGTGCAATCCAAGGCGTGAGAATTCTATTGGACAAAGGCGCTGATATGCATGCCCACAATGATTATTATGGGAATGCACTAGTAGTAGCTTCATATTGGGGCCGCGACAAGGTCGTAGAAATGCTACTAGATCGGGGCGCAGAAGTCGACAACGGATACGGTATATGGGGTTCCCCGTTGCAAGCAGCTTCGGACAGAGGCCATGACACGATTGTGCGGATGCTGCTAGATCGAGGCGCAGACATCAATTTACATAGCGCTGACAACGGGACCGCGCTGATGGGAGCTTCGATGTACGGACACGATCGGGTCGTACAGACGCTGCTAGACGAAGGCGCCAATGTCAATATTGAGCACGACAAGATTGGTACTGTACTGATATGCGCCTCAAAATTTGGTCACGACGGGGTCACACGCATGCTAATTGATCATGGCGCCAATGTCGATGTCGAGATCATTGCCGATGTTGCTGATATATCTCGTGGTAGCGCGTTGCAGAATGCCTCAAGACGTGGTTACGACAAATTCGTCCAGTTGCTACTCGGTCGTGGGACAGATGATCCTGCCAGAGACAGACATCACGCGTCCGCGCTGAGAGAAGTTCTTGAAGGATATCGAAAAGACCTCATCTGGTCGCTATCTCGGACGGCCAATGTCACATCGGGTCTCTTCCGCGCCCTTCAATTCGAATTAGCGTTATCAGAGATCACTGAGAGAGTGGTACGGATCCCATTACCTGAAGTCCACCACTTTGGCGGAACAAACTCGATAGAAAGCTTCGCAAGGACAGCAGAAATACTGTTTGATGAGGATGCAATTCTCAATGAACAGAGTCGAGTTTCGAGTACCACAAGTAGCTGGACGATCACGCTTCGGGAGATTCTCAAACATTTCACACAGCATGAGCAAGATACCAAGACGATGTTGCACTGGGCAGCAATATCCGGAGATGTGTCAGTCGCCACAGGATGCCGTCATGTCTGGCAAGATGTCGATAGGATTGACCAACACGGAAATACCCCCCTCCACTACGCTGCAGAGGAACATAGTATTGAAATGGTAAAACTACTCATGAATTGGCGAGCAAACACTTCCGCCGTCGACAATCGCGGACGTAAGCCTCTCCTGTATGCAATAGGCAAGGGCTCAAACCAACGTCGAAGATCCCACTCGGATTTCATCGCTCATAACCTAGAGCATCGTATGTCTGAATCTATAACTATTGCACGTATCTTGAGGTTTTCGAGATCACCATCTTATTTTACGGAGATGTTTTCAGGCGGAGAGTCAGAGTCGGACTCAGACATGACTAGTACCCGCTGGTCAGACACAGATAGGAACGAATGGTTTTCTGAAGATGACGACGAAGAGTCCGGGGCGGGAACCATAGGCTCACTTCAAAGATCTGCAAGCTGTAGCTTTTGATAGTGCTTTCTAGAGATGGTCTACCTCAGCTAGATAGACTGTGCTACCGCAAATTTAGCTTCGGATTATGCGAAGTCGAAAACGTATGCTTCTGCTACTCCACACATCAGACCTCTCCTGTTTCGAAACAAATAGTCGTATGCCTACGCTACCGTCAGACTTGTAAGCAGGTATACACTGTACTCCCCAATGCGTCACGATAACGATATCCATACTACCACAGGCTGTCTATTCGGACAGGACATTGTTTGCTCGAACGAGCATGAACACTGTCGATGAAATTATGCAAAGATCACTCCGGTGTCAGGTCCTCTCTCGCCCTAGCCTCACGTCATTGGCGGTGTATGACCTAAACATGTTGATGTTGATGCCTTCACTAGGTCGTTTGCCTCTAGTCTATGCTTTGAGATAACACTGGGTATTTACATACCACCACTGTTTGATGGGCGTCCTGACAGGTTTCTGGGAGGTTTTAGTGTCTAAGCAGTAGACAAATAAGCTTCCAGATGGATTTACCTCGGCAGGATTACAGATGACCTTTTTCATCCTGTGAGACGCTGTTTGTCTACCGTCCTGTCCGATTGTTGCTACTCCTTGAGAGCTAGATGTATTGTGCCAACGTGCGCGTTTCGATTTCCTCCGCCGGATGACAATATTTTGAGTCAAACCTGAGCCTTTTTTTTGAGTGCCTTATTCGACATTCCAAAAATCATAAACCCTACTCTGGATGTATAAACACCAATGTCTCCAAACCCCCCGTCATTTCAGTGAATTTGTGTCTCGAATCGTTTCATCTAGAGAGTTCGGCAAATGATGGAAAAAAAACTCCTATTACCCAAGTTTCTTCCATCTCTACATTACACGATGCTTGACGACAGCAAAGCAGGGATCGTGTAGGGCAAAATTGTCGACTGTCGACTGCCTTTTCATCTTAGAGCCACTCTAGTAAAGGGAAGGGAGGGAGGAAAAGGGAAGGGAGGTAGACGACTAACTCCTACTTCTCCCCCCTTACTACCCCCTCTTTTTAATATATATACGGGAGCTTAAAGATGCCGAGTTAGGAAATTAAGGAAAATGTCATCTCTATAGTATAGTATAAATAGAATTAATGGTACAGGTAACTAAAGAACTGTATCGGGTTTTTAATTGTAATTTGTTTAATTTAATGGGTCAAAGGAAGTTTTTTTGATAGAGGATAACCTGTCATGCCCATTTCTTTGGCATGGTCCTTTTCATCTTTCTTCTTTTCTTGAAACTCTTGCTGCCAAAAACTCGCTCAAATCTCGCAATGCTTTGCTTCTTCCTCATCAAAAAAGAAACATAAAACCGCCCAAAAAAAACTCCTCTCTTGCATGCCTCCCATACCCCATGAAGAAACGCCCTCGTGCAACTCGACACCTTCGAGTCAGTAAACTCAATTCATCTAATCCCATCAGTCCTCCCATCCTTCTCCTCCGACTCAACCGGCCCCTGCGGTCCACTAAGATAAGTCTCCTTTTCCGCATCCTCATACTCCCGAACCAAATCCATGACAACCTCCCTCGCATCATCAAATTCGCCCAAGCCATCCCGAAAAGCATCTTCGCGTTTATATTGCTCCAAAAAGGCGTTTCGCTTGCGCAAGCGGTCGTATTGGAATACTATGCGTTTGAACAAGGTGGCGATGCCCGTGTGGTTTGCTAGCATGAGGCCGGAGACGCGCGGGGTGTAGGAGGTTGTGGTGTAGGGGGATGTTCGCGTAAGGGCTACTTGGATGGAGGCGGGGCCCCAGGGGATGAAGGTTGCGAGGCGGCGTTCGCGGATGCGGAGGAGGGATTTGTGGACCTTTGGGGGGAATGATGTGAGTATAAGTTTGTTTTTCTCTGTGCGCGGGGTGGTGGGGAGGAAGTCGGGGGATAAGAGACGAGGGAGACTTACATCGGTGGGATCGGCTTCTCCCATGATGATGTTGAGGATGCTGATGTAGCAGCTGTTCTTTGATGGGTTTGAGCTGACCATCCTGTTCTTCGGTTGCAAGAGTCTACGCATGACTTCGAGAACAGTCGTTCTGCGGACGGTCTTTGCGGCTTCGACATTCTCACCCGTAAAGGGCGTGTAGCTGGTCTGCAGGAAGTGGCAGCGTGGCGTGGGGATCAGAGAAGCGACAATGCCGACAAGATCATTGTGCATGTAGCCAGGATAGCGCAGTGTTGTCGTCGACGCACTCATGACTGTACTGACGAGTTGGTTGGTCTGCTGAAAGGAGGGTTCTTGCACGTGAAGCGTGTCGGCTGCAATGCGTGACAGCGCACCGTTGTCCAGGACAATGACACTGTCGGCTTGTTGGGTGAGTCGCTTCATCGACAGCAGAGAGTTGTACGGCTGCACAACGACATCGCCCGACTGCAAGGTATCCGGAAAGACCGAGTATGTCTGGATCAGCTTCTTGGGGAAGCGGTCGTTGAGTCGTTCCAGCAGGTACGAGCCCAGTCCTGATCCCGTGCCGCCAGCGATCGAGTGCAGCAGCATGAAGCCCTCCAGACTGTCACTGCCATCAGCCTCGCGGTCAATCATGTCCAGAACCTCCTCTTGCACCGTCTCGCCCATCGAGTAGCCCGCAGCCCAGTTGTTTCCAGCTCCGGTACCACCGCTGTGGATGTAGAAGTTTTCGGGATTGTATATGTTCTTGTACGGGCCCGTTTGGATGCCGTTGATGACCTGTGCCATCATCAGTTCTTGCTGTTCGCAGACGTGGACAAGAGTGCAAGTCAAGCATTCCGTACTCTTGGTTCGAGGTCCATCAGGATGGCGCGAGGGATGTATCGCGTATCGTCCGACTGGTAAAAGAAGACATCCTTACGGTCACCTCCTTCGGTTGCAAAGTCTTCAAGATTGCCATCGCGGTTGATGCCATGTTCCTGACACAATTGTTGCCAGAACTGTGAGCCCACTGTCGGTCGCGCAAGACGTTAGAAGCGCCGCGCATGTGAAAGCGACTTGCGAGAGGGACGAAACATACCGCTGTTGCCGCATTGGCCTGCTTGGAGTGTGATGATTTCTCTGTGCCATGGACTGGATTAGTGCGCATTCAGAGACAGAGATACAGCAGTCTTGGACATGACAAACCTCGGCATGGCTGCTGCGTTGGGGCATGGCGAGGAAAAGGTCGTGGTTTGCGGCCAAGCTGCACCGCTGGGAGACGCGCCCGACCGCGTCGACCGACAACACAAAGCTGCACACGCTCCGACTGAGTCTACCTCACTTTCTACCTCCACTCTCTCTCACATCAGTTCCATCCTTTGCACAACGCCGAGGCAAAGCATAATCTCTTGGGCTTTCGTATACATGTTGGAGAGAAGGGAAATGAAGTAATAATCGCTAATGTCTGCCGTATACTGAACACTCTAACAACCCCAACCCCATTGCCCTGTTCAAACACAGAAACACACAATACATGCGCACTTCATATCGCTGTTGCTACACATTACGGAATAGTACTGCCACGCGACCGCCTCTCAATCTATGAGTTGAGTTGCACGTAGTTGCCTGTACACATGTTAGTCAAGTTGCTTCAATGCCACCAAATCGCACATGAACATACCAGGGAATTGTCCTTGTCTTGCGCCAATCTTGCCAATCCACCATTCGTTCTCATTCGCCGTACGTTGCACAACCTCAATTACTTCGCCGGCGCTGAAACTAAGGTCGCCTTCTGCTTGTGCTTCGTAATCGTACAATGCCGTACATGTCTCTGCCTGAGGCACGCCACTGAATCTTGAAGGCTTGGGCTTTGGTGGTGGGGGCTTGCTCTTTGCGATTGATGACATCCGTGCGAGTCCAGTCGTTGCGGAGCCGGTGGCCGAGTAAGGTGGAGGGGATGTGGTGCTGCCGTCTTCGATGGATAGCTGAGCGGTGGATGCTGCGAGTCCAGGAGTTGCAGGCTTGGCCTTGCCTTCGATGGCCAGTCTGCCGTACTTGCCTCCAGCTGGACGACCCAGTCCTTTGGTCTTGAAGTGCACGATCGTCAGTGCTTCAGCCTGGGCTTGAATCTCTCCACGCTTCTCCTCAAAGGCGGCCTCGATGTCCAGAGTCAGGTTGAAGTATCCGATATCAATACTCTGCATGCGCTCGTGCAATGTGTAAAAGACGTTCAGCTGCATGTAGTAGAACGACTGGAACAGCGGAAGGATAAACTCGCGCTCCAGACGGAACAGCTCGGGCAACTCGTTCTTGAGCAGGTCGTTGAAGTAGTTGTAGTCCTGGGTCGACACCTCTACCTCGTTTTCCGCCTTGTACAGGGCCTTTTCGTCCTTGAGCGTCTTGTCCTTCTTGTCCTGCAACTTCTTAAGTGTGGCGCGATGACGGTCGTAGTCGAGTTGTTTGTGGTCGCGCTTGACGGCGGATTTGCGGACCTGCTTGATGATTTCGAGAAGCTCGTCTGCCGGTTTCACAATGCGCGTCTCGATCATCTCCAGCTCGGGCTGTAGCGAAGCCTTGAGATCCTTGACAATGGCCTCGTATTCCTCGCACGCGCGGATGCCCTCGGGGTTGCCGTCAACAACGTACGAGGAAGGATCCGAAGCACGACCAGAGATGGGCTTGTACAAGTCGGCGCAAGCTTTCGAGAACTCTATCTGGTGATCCAGCATGCCGTTGATGGACTTGAAGTACTTTTCCGACTCGTCGTGCAGGCGTTTGGTCTCGGTCTCGAGCTCGGCGAAGCGGCGTTCAGCATCGACATAGACGGGATCCTTTGTGATTTCGCCCATGTTGAACTTTTGCTTGAACTGCTGGGGAGCCTGTAGAGGAGTCAGCGCTGGACTGTGAGGCATCGCAATGGCCAACATACGCGGGTGACGCTCTTGGTGAAGCCTTTCCAACTCATTCTGGCGGTATTGGATGTTGGTCAGGCCGGACTGGCGGGTAGTAGGGAGAGGGAGTGCTTTCAGGGTGGGAGAGAGACTGCTTTCAGGGTAGGAGAGGAGAGCGAGTAGAATAGGAGGGCAGAGGTAGAGAGATTCTTCTCTCGGTGCCTAAGTCGAACTACAGCGGTAGAGCGGGATTGAGATGGGGCTGGGTCGGGCTTGGCTGGTAGATTCGGAGCGTCGATCTCTGGCGCGTGCTGTGGCTGATGGTGCGGGCTTTTGTTTATTGTACAAGATGCACGGTTCCGGTTGCTGCAGGTGCATGTGCTACCTGTTGTAAGAGATGCTGCTGCTAGATAGAAGAGTTGGTACTGAGGTGTAATCCAGGCAGAAGGTTAGAAGGAGCAACTACGTCTTCGGCCATGCCCATCCGGCCGCATCATCATCCAAAAACGTTGCGCTCTTGGTCCCATTCCTTGGCAATTACGCCGGCTACGTCAATCTTGGGCTTTTGCATTTTGGACCCCTCGATCGGCTTCCAAATTCGCCGGTCTTTCTTTGTGCCTTCCACAACTTCCATCATCTCGGCCGAGCAGCTGGAGCGGAAAGTCCGAGCAGCGTCCCGCCTTTACTCAGCAAGACGCCAAGCATTGACGACGGTCGAGCTTCCCGTGTGTCGTCGCAAAAGTCCAACCATCTGGTGTGACATCTGCTGATAGTCGGATTCAAAGTCAACCAACACAGCTGAGATCAAAATGTCGTCTTCATTCCCGTCTGTCGCGAGGCAGGCCCTCCATCAGTCTTCGAGACGCCTTTCCACAAGCTACCGTCCTCGCCTTCTCTCAACACGCATCGCCGCCACCCGTTCATATGTCTCCGAGAGCTCTCCGCGAAACGCCACTATCAATGTCGAGTCCACCATCAAGGCCGACCAGAAGGCCTTCCTCGCCGAGACTGGCATCAAGCCCAAGGATGCCACTATGCCTACCACCGGCATGAGCGCCGACGCCATGATGAGCCCCTCTGCTGGAATCCTCAAGCAAGCAACCGTCATGGACCAAGGAACCCGCCCCATCTACCTCGATGCACAAGCAACAACCCCTACCGATCCCAGAGTCCTGGACGCCATGCTTCCCTTCTTCACCGGTCTCTACGGCAACCCGCATTCAAGAACCCACGCCTACGGATGGGAGACGGATAGCGCTGTCGAGCAGGCAAGAGCAAACATTGCAGAGCTTATCGGTGCCGACCCCAAGGAAATCATCTTCACATCCGGAGCCACCGAGAGCAACAACATGAGCATCAAGGGTGTTGCCCGCTTCTTCAAGCGTGGTGGCAAGAAGAACCACATCATTACCTGCCAGACCGAGCACAAGTGTGTCCTCGACAGCTGTCGCCACTTGCAAGATGAAGGCTTCGAGGTTACATACTTGCCCGTCCAGTCAGACGGCAGAGTCGACATGAAAGAGTTGGAAGCCGCCATGCGCCCGGATACCATGCTCGTCTCGATTATGACGGTCAACAACGAGATTGGTGTCGTCCAGCCCATGGAGGAGATTGGCAAGCTCTGCAGATCAAAGAAGATCTTCTTCCACACAGACGCTGCTCAGGCTGTCGGCAAGATTCCTCTTGATGTCAACAAGCTCAACATTGACCTCATGTCCATCTCTGGTCACAAGATTTACGGCCCCAAGGGCATTGGAGCCTGCTACGTTCGCAGAAGGCCGCGTGTCAGACTTGACCCCATCATCAGTGGTGGTGGTCAGGAGAGAGGTCTGAGAAGTGGAACCATTGCTCCTCCTCTAGTTATTGGCTTTGGTGAGGCTGCAAGAATCGCAAAGGAGGAGATGGACGTAAGTTGACTGACTCACTTCTGCGCACACGACAAATGCTGATCTCCATCACAGTACGACACCAAGCGTATCGCTGCTCTCTCCAAGAAGTTAAGTGATGGTCTTCTCGCCATGGAGCACACCACCCTCAACGGCTCCCCCGAATTCCACTACCCCGGCTGCGTCAACATCTCCTTTGCCTACGTCGAGGGCGAATCCCTCCTCATGGCCCTCAAGGATATCGCCCTTTCCTCCGGCTCTGCCTGCACATCCGCCTCGCTCGAACCCTCGTACGTGCTTCGTGCTCTCGGCAGCAGTGACGAGAGCGCTCACAGTTCCATCCGTTTCGGTATCGGTCGCTTCACCACTGATGCCGAGATTGATTACGTCCTCAAGGCTGTCCAGGAGCGTGTCGCTTTCTTGCGCGAGTTGAGTCCTCTATGGGAGCTTGTGCAGGAGGGTGTTGACCTCAACACTATTGAGTGGAGTGGTCACTAAGTGGAGAGAAAGAGATGAAGTGGTTGTACAGTTTTTTTCCCAAAATTCTTCTTGATGGCGTTGGAGCGGCTCTAAGGAGATTATGTGTTGAGGAAAGAAGCATACCCCGACATGCAACACACACCTTTTGTATTTATATTTTTGACAGCGGCATTCATGACTCTTGTTTACTGCAGCCCAATGCCTCTCAACGACGGTGATCATGTTGATACTGATGAATTGACTGTCACTTGTCCTGTCCGCAAGAGGATCAAACTATGACATTGCAATTGCCCTGCATTTCCTTTCCTTTCCTTCAAAAGTGATGTCCAACCTCAACATTGGTGTCGGCAATGATGAAGACGTCGCCGACATGTTGTGTGGTGTGCTGCCATTGACTATGGCCAGCAATGGAGGTAAGGTATGTCGGAACGGGCAGCAGATACATGACCAATGACTTCTCATGCCGCATCTACTTGATACGCAGCACGATGATGCCGCCGTGGCCGCCTGAATAGTGTTGGCGAGTCAGAGTTGCGACATTCCAAAAAACTACCATCAAGGTCCGCCTTGGGTATGAGCCATCGGTCACCTTTACCCCTGACGGCAAGGCGTCTAACACGGCTGTCAACAGGAGTCATGGGTGACAGGTGTTAGGCGTACTTTTGCCTTGCCCCCCCGACCCATGGGTTTGGGGGTCAGGCAAGCCATTATAGATGGGTGAGGACGGATGGAGCTTTTTTTTGGGTATACAAACCCTTGTATCACACATTGATTAGCAAGAGCACTTTATCGACCGAGGTCTTGATCTTCTGCATCTTGCCCGCAATGCATATAGTGTAGCTATTTTCTGAGGTCGACGCAAACAACACGAGTCGAGTCGACATTGTTTGCATAATCATCCCTTGTAAAAACCCTATCTATCTGACTTCTGCATGACAAGCGAAATGGGTAACATGGTCATGCCCACGTGGCTGTCTTCGCCTTCTTTGTTTCCACACCTTTCTGTCACTTGACTTTGTGTAACCCAAAAAATGGCTCCCATTCGCGTGCGTGTCATGGGCAATCGAACATCTATCACTTCTGCCCTTTCATCGCGCGGAACATGGCACAATGCAAATACCACCAGATAGGATAACCTCGCCGAAGGAAACAAGAAGTAGCGATTCAGGTGACAAGACAAAAGGGCAGTTACCGCAATAAACTGTTTCGATGATGATCCACACAAGCGAGAAACAAATTCCACGCATGATCGTCGCTGGGAAACAACCCCAGCGCAAATCGGAGCTCCTCGGCATACTACTGCCACATGAGTCGCAGGGTCGTTTCCCGAAAAAAAGAATAGCCATCTTAAAGGTATACAGGACCGACCCGAGGAATATGCGAAATGCATTGATCGTCCTTTTTTTGCTGCTTTCGCACGTAAAGGGCTAGAAGGAAAGCTCCATCACTCAGCTTTTCCCTCGAGACTTGTTCAGGGCAGGGCAAGATTTGTGGGGTTCTTACTCTTTTCTAGGAGTACCACGTTGTTGTGAGACGTCAAAGAGGTTTAGCAAAAGCCAAGCGTGGGAAAGCATTGACAAGGTCATGAAGCCGCTCAGATACCGTGGGCAAAGGCGCAGCTTCTTTTTGGAAGAGGGAAAGTTGCTTCTTGGGAGGTTCAAAAGATGAAACGTGGATGGTTTTTGGCGGCACGCAACGCAGGACACCAGAAACGGAATGCCCTGCCAATTGTTCTTCCCACCTTCGCAACTCGAAACAAACGATTCTCGTTATGACAGCATCTTCCCTCGGGATTCTCGCCTTCGAAGTTGCCTCGGTCTCTTCTTCTTCTTCTTCGATGCGAACCTGAGTAAGTGTCATGATATCTTGACGTGCCTAAGCGAAGGGTGGTCTATGTGAATGCGGCTTACGGTTCCAGCCAATCTTCGATCAAGCGTGCACATCACTTTCCTTGCAGAGGAGTAAAATAGGAAGGATGCAACCGGTCAGGCGTAACTCAATTTTTAGTGTGACACAGGGGTCTCGACTTTTCGACTTCTTGCGCCAAACTGGGTCGATTATACCATCGATCATGCTGGGAATGATGGATGCGCGACACACTGATCTTCCGGTTGTACGGAGAGCGGGAAGACAGCGACAGATTAATTGTGGCGTTAATCGACACTCTCGCCTAAAAGCTTTGAACTGACATTCTGGAGCTTCAGCCGAGGATCAAACTTCTTTTCGTCCCAAACCTTGGCCTCACGCCTCTTCTTCGTGGCAGCACCGAAAGCCTTCGACCTGCAGAAGCTTGAAACCGAGTTTAGAGTTCCCTCAGGACACTAGTCATGGATGATCATGGTGACTACAGCACATTAGCTGCAAGACCGGTCCCAAAGCCATGACCTTCCTGTTTGTGGAGGTATGGTGGGCAGGTCTTGGACAGTTATCCACATGGAGGTATCTGAATCATGGGCTCTCGCTCCATGTGAAGCATGGTCATTTGGCTTCGAGACGATGAGCAGTAGGTGCATCACAGGTCGGTGTTGAGGCTTGTATATAAAGAAGGCCGTCCATCCTTGACTTCCATTCCATTCACACACCAAGCATCTTCTGTCTCTTCATCACCTTCGCTCCACTTCTCACAACACATCATGTTCTCCGACATTAGCCTCAAGGGTGCTCTTCTCAGCGTTGTCCTCGCTGCAGGTGCTGTCGCCAACCCCATCGAGAAGCGTGCCGCCTGCTCTCAATACACCATCATCTCCACTCGTGGTACTGGTGAAATCCAAGGCCCTTCTGCCGGATTCAGAACCATGAACTCGCAGACCCTCGCTCAGGTCCCCGGCGGTACCGTCTACAACACTGTTTACCTTGCCTCTGCCGACCAAAACTCCGCTCTCGGCACAGCAGACGTACGTTCACACTTTCAACTCTGCTCGCTTTCAAGAGTATGAAGCTAACTGTCATATTTCTAGATTGTCAACAAAGTCACCTCCTCCCTCGCCACAAACCCCAACATGTGCTTCATCCTCCAAGGCTACTCCCAAGGCGCCGCCGCAACCGTAAACGCCATGCCCCGTCTTACCGGCGCCGCCATGACCGCCGTCAAGGGAGTCTTCCTCATCGGCGACCCAGAGCACCGCTCCGGCCTCGCCTGCAACGTCGATGCCAACGGCGGCACCACCACCAAGAACGTCAATGGTCTTTCTGCCCTCCTCGGTGGCATTCCTACTGCTTGGGTGCCCAAGACTATGGATGTTTGCGCTTTTGGAGATGGTGTTTGTGATACTACTCATGGATATGGTATCAATGCTCAGCATCTGTCTTACCCTTACTCAAGCAGTGTGCAGAGTATGGGCACCAAGTACATGGTTGCTCAGCTCACTGGCTCCAGCTAGATGGCTAGCGAGAGAGAGGATTTGTCTTTTTGCAGAGAGTAGAGATACAGGAACGATGGGCTGGACCTTTTTTGTCTTCTGTATCGCATTTCTTGCTCGAAAAGAAGTATGCGAAACATGATATGTGCAAAAAAAAAAAATTAGTTATACAGAATAAAATGTCTTTTTTTATGTTTTTCCCCAAACACCTTTTTTTTTTGCATACACCACTTCTATCCTTTTCATTCTCGTCAACTTGCTCTCTTCATCCGCAAGAACGGGTTTTTGGAAATTGTCGATCATTCGGAATCAAACATGTCACGGTTTCTTCCAGTCCTGGATCCTGAAATGTGGGACACTGGGAGGCCTGAAACCAGATACTCGGGGCATGCCTTATGATTGTCTGCTGGGTTGGAAGCTGCTGCGTCATTGTATCTCTCCTTTTCCGAGGGTCAGGACCTAGAGGTTATTGTAGACGTAGGAGATATTCGTACTCTTAAGCCTTGAGTGGTTCGGTAAGGGAGGATGTTAGACTCCAAAACTCATGCTCGAGGGATTGGGAAAGACGCGTCGTCGCCTGAGACTGAGGAGAAACCGCAATCAAGATGGAGAGAGGGGATCGCGACGCGAGATACATGACGTGTTGATCGGTGACTTTTATGTCGTCATAGCCTCCTCTATCGTTGTCTGGAGATGTGGTATGCTCTTTGCTGCAGTCGTTCAAGATGTTCTTCATGAAGCACTTTTCAGAACACAAATTCGAGTATCTCACCATAACCACAAGTTGGAAAATCCTCGGACACAGGTAGGAACTAGCTTGGCTATCATTTGATCCAGTCTGTGGTACCGAAAGATAATCAGATGTCATGGTCGTCTTATAATGTCGTCGATAGTGTTTACAGCCGTTGTCTGTGGTATGACCCTGGCAGAAGCTCGCTCGATCTTCGGCGGAGGATTGAAACTCCGCGTCGAGCGCCAAGGGATGGCATCGATTGTGATGGCATCTGTTGACATCATTGATTATGACGCGTGATGATGTCGACATGTCAACTTCATTTTCGACACTTCGACGTGACGGTCTCGCTTCTGTCTTTTACCTGGTCCTGCGGCACTCACTACAGGTTGTTGATACTTCAATCCTCTATGCAAGCCTTTTTGCAGTCAACAAGGCTACCAGCAACCACCGCAAAACATCACAATTCAATTGTCATGGTCGTGTCCGGTCGACCCTACAGCTCACGCCATTGTCGGCCCCTGTCTGAGCCGCTGAGGGACCTTGTCGCTCACCGCAGTGTGCACATGGATTGGACTGGGATAACCACGAGGCAAAGGCCAGCTCATGAAAGTCTGCTTATACGGTCTACTGAGGCATCTGCGACCAGCTATCCAGTACCACCCAGCACAAAACAGCATCATTCCTGCGCGACAACCAGCCAGAACCTTAATAATTCTTTCAAGGCGAGGGGAGATCTGATACCGACGTCACCTCTGCATGTTTCCCAGACTTCATGTCGCTGCTAAGTTGCACTCCATCGTTGATAATCTCAACACCGTCTTGGAAGATGACATCCTCATAGATGGGACTTTCCAACAAGGTGTCATGCGCCGGAAACATCCAGTTGAGAGCGTAATACACGATTGCCGCGCTGCAGAATCCGTACAGATAATTCATATCGTAAATGTGCTGGATATGCTCATTGATGACAACTCTCGGATTGACAGACTTTGCCAGACCTGGCGTGTTGGGAACCACTGAGACAAGGAAGGCCGCAGCGGCACGCCAATTGATGCCGTAGTTGTACCAATAACGATCCTTCCGTCGGTAAAGCGCTGGAACGTCGAAGTTGCGGCTCTTCACAACCCAGTAATCCGTGCAGAGCAAAGCGGCAATCGGAGCAAGGAAAATGGCCAAACCAGACATGAAAGTCAAGAGGGAGCTGGCCGAGTAAACAATCTTCCAAGGCACCATAACCCAGCAGGAGGTGAATGTGGTTAGGATAACACCACGACGCATGTTGATGTACTTGGGAAAGAGACTGATCAAGTCATTGGAGCACGAAATGACACTCGCAGACAAGTTTGTACCAATCTGCGCGACCACCCAACAGAAGCCGACGAAGAAAGCTCCGCATCGACCACCTGGACCATCCCACTGCGCGGCAAGCTCGAGTGGAGACCAGATATACTCGCCATAAACCACCTTCGCACAGGAAGTACTGATGACACCAAACATTGACATCAAAAGGTTGATGACAGGCAGAAAGAGTGCCTGCCAATAGACTCCTCTGCTGTTGTGCATATAACGAGTAAAATCTGGGATATTGGTAGCCATAGTGGCCCAGCCTCCACATTGTGATGAAAAATTGTTGAGGATTATCCATGAGCGGGCTGATCCTGAAGAAGTGTAGTCTTGATTCCAGATATCGCCGACACCTCCTGCTTTACGTACCATCACAACCACGGTAGCAACACTGACCACCGGTACGATCAAAGTCTTGAAAGCAAAGAACCACTTCAGCTTGTGAGGTGGTGTCAATAAGATGGGAAACTGGATGCAGAAAAAGACAAAATGGGCGATGAGTTCATTCGATGTGATGCCAGCGCTTGCAGGCAAGCGGTTGGGTATATCGAGGAAGCTTGGCCAAATCGCTCTGATCATCTGAAAAGTGGCTGTGCTGCCGGTCCAGGATTGTATCGCATGCCAGAATAGTGCAGTCGCCATTCGCGTAACAACCGCGAAGCGAGCGAGGTAGTAGCCGAAAGACGCTCTGGCAACGATGGGGTAGGGAATATGATAATGGGCACCGATAGCGCCATTGAGCATCAGCGGGATTGCGTCGACCAGTCCTCCTGTCATTGCTGCTACCATCAGTATGAGTCGTCAACGCAAGATCACGCTCAACGTACACAGGTAAATAGCCTCCCTCCAGGTAAGACCGGCCGCGATGATGGCACTCGGCCCTTCCCAGCCCTGTGCGTTCAAAGCGTCACTGCACCAAAAACCCAAGAGTGACCATGAGCCCCAGGTCCTCCTTTCCAGAGGCGTGACGTCGGAGTCAATGTTAGACCAGGTGCCTTCCTCGTTGGCGAAAGATGTTGCTTGTCGTTCCAGAACCCAGCCTTCAAGATGCGACTTTGCCTTGACATTAGCGACCGTACGCCTCTTGGCTGCGGAGAGTGTTGTCTGGAATCTTGAGGCCATCTTTACGCCGAGTATTTGATACGATGGGATGAACCGATCGGTGCAGATGATCTATCTTGAACCCAAGGCCGAGGACCATCCATTATATCTTTGACGGCCGCCGGGGATAGGCAAAAAGGCGGGCAACGAATTGGTGCTCCTATCTGGGTAATCTTCCGCAAGCGCTATCGCTATCGAAAACGCAGCGACGATCATCTGTTGTGGGTGCAGAACCACGAAAGCTTACCAGCGGCAGTGCCTGGCTTATCGAATCCTACAGAGGCATGTCAAGACCGTATATGCAGCGGGGTCCTTTCCAGATTCATCAGCACGCAATACAGAGGTCTATCCATATGTCGTAGCTTGCTCCAGAGTCAAGTCTGGTGGACCATGTCACGCACATATCGTCACACCCATAAAGAGCAGCCATGGGGTCGCTGATTACAGAAGAATTTGGAGACATGGAGGGGGAAGGTGAAGGTGGGGCAAGGGTCGGCTTGATTAGCCATGCCCGCCCGCAGCGGCAACCGCGAGTCGTAGATCACTGACATATTCGGCTCGCCCGCGTCCCCAAAAAGCATCTCCGTCGTGCAGGAACTCTTCCTTCTCCGCCGTCGGCCTCAATGGATAATATACCTCAATGATGGCATCGGCATCCTCGTCTCGTCGACTGAATGAAGTGCCGTCAGTGTGATGGTATACCTGAAACGGCGCCTTGCATGACTGACACTGTGTCACGTAGATGCCAGAATTGTCGACAGCGCAAGATCAAGTGCGACCGCAGATTGCCTGATTGTGACTTGTTGTTCCAGGGCAAATATCGCATGCATATACGATGGCTCCAGGAAGCGCCCAGGGCTGCGCGCTGGCTATGTGCAGCAACTCGAACAACGTATTGCCACTCTAGAACACGAATTTCGAGACTTCATGCAAAGACTCCCCGATCGACAAGAGGTCGTCGCAACAGGTACGATGATTGCGCCAGTCCCTGGAAACGTGGGCTCTGAGATCGCTTCGACCATGAAGGTGGATGACATCTCGAACCCTCGGGACAAAATGATCATCACAACAGGCTGCAAAATCTGGTTTGGTCAATACCACTCCTGGCTGCCTATTCTACATCGTCCGAGCATATTGACCTTGATGATGTCGATGTCGCAAGTAAGCCCAGAGAAGCAGCCGATAGTACTGGAGGCCATTCTAGCTACGGTTGATGCGTCGCTCTTCCCGCAAGGCGTCCTTGATGCTGGAAAACACCAGTAATACCAAACTCAGCTCTGCGATGCTTTAATCCTTGAGGCCTTGTCAACACCAGCGTGCTCAAGTTTACAAGCACTGTTGATTTTGTCTGTGAACTTGTTCGGCGATGGTAATATGTACAAATTCTGGAACCTCATCTCCCTGTCGAAGCGAATTAGCATGCAGCTCGGTTTGCCAGATCTGGTGGTCCACTACTGATCCAACTACGGTACAACGTCTGCACTTCCTCCCTGGATGCTACTTGTCCCATCTTCGGACATTCAACTCGAGGAACGCGTCAGAGCATACTGGGTCACGGAGGTACTCGACTCTGCGTCCACGATTGGGTCCTCATGGAACTCTCAACTAGCACCACCAGAGATTGGTCCCTTATCTCCTTACGACGATGACTCTGACTGGTCCTCGGATCCAGAGCTCGTGCGGATGTTTCCAGAGCCATCTTCCTCATCCTAAACATGTCCATCAGCACCACTCGAGCCATCAGCACCATTTGCACATTCATTAGCAAGATATTGACTTGTTCCCGATCCTCAAAACTCTATCAACATAATCTCCACGGCCCCAACTCTTGCACAAGTGTTCGGCAAAGATGGCAAATTTGCCGACATCACCGGCATCATCCAAGACTTCGATTTCTCAAAGGTGAGAGCGTCGTAAAAACCCCAGAAAGCAACTAATAAGCGGTCATACAGATCGTTGTGAGCAAGACAAAGAGTGACAACTACCTCCATTGCGACTTGGCACCGTGCTTTGGAAGTCTCACCGTGGACGGCTTGAAAGCTCTGGACGACGGATTGAAGATTATGATCGCGGGAACTACCAAATTGATGGGGTCCATCGATCCAGCTCAGCGATCCTGGGACAAAGTCGTGGAGTGCTGCATGCCGAATTCTTTGATGGAACCTGATGGCGAAGCGATCTCTCACCATGATCAATACGTCAAAAACTCCAGCCACGACTTCAAGGTAGATGGATCACCCGATAACGCCATTGTCCAGGAGGTAGAGTGTGCCGGTCGCGCGGTACCAAACAAGCACGCTGATAGATATGCCTAGGTCACTAGCTGGTTCAATAAGCTCATCAACGACCAAGACATCTTGGATTCGACAAAGATTGACATCAAAGTACTTGGACGCATTGTTGCTCAAACCGGCGCCACGGTAGATAGCCTGGAGGCCTTCTTTAGTAAGGAACAGGTTGAAACACAGACTATGGTCGATATCGGTATTCTGCGCTACCCTGACATCGATAACCCGTACTTCAGGGTATAAGCGTCTGATCTTGATTCGGTATTCCAGACATCAGAATCTCTACTTACTATTATCTTAGATACATCGTATCCAACTGACGGCGACATCCGACTGTACTAGAACATTATTCCACGAGGATGATAAGAACGGTATCGTGGGAGGTTCATCATATCTCCAGACCCTCTAGCCTTTTGATACACAACTGACAGATAGCAGACCTCCAGTGTCGTAAATTCAAACCAAGAGAAAGTATCACCAAGAGCATGACTGCCGAAGCAAGAAAATCCGCGATCACTGCTGCAGACAACCTCTTCAGCTAGAGTCGTAATACAAATCCACTAGCTTCAGAGATGGCACCAAGGGGCATTGGAGGTTGAAAAATTGCTTACGGAAGCCTTGATACTTGTATCCAGTACTCGCCTCACTGTAGAGTCATATGGGCTTCATACCTCTGGAGAATGGTAGCGTAATCATTATACCACTCTTCCAGCCATCCTGTCGCATCAAAGAACCTTGTGGTCCAAGAACTCATAGTAGGATCAAGAATCTGCATACTGGTCGTCAAACGTCGTAGCTTTAGTGCGCACTGCTCAACTTTGAAGCTAGTTCTCGCCAGATGTTGACCGTAGGTGTTTGCTGGGCTCGTTGAAGCAGCCAAAGCAGTGACAAGAACATATAGAGAATATATCACCATGGGCGCAAAGCAGAATGTGGGAAGGCTGAGTACGAGGCCAGGTTCCATGTCCGAGACGGTTTCCACGACGGCCTGGCAATGATAGACGAGTGCTCCGAGAGCTCTTGAAAGGGGTGGGATCATGTTTGCTGGCATCGGAAAGTCTTTGACTGGAATGCGACCTGGAATAAAAGGTGCTGCGAATGAGGACTTGTTCGTACGAGTATGGAGTAGAACTTCATAGACATGTACCATGGCTACATGTCGCCAGAACTTGAGCGTCCGAGAGGCCGTGAACTGAGGGGGTAATTTTGCCGTCCACGCATCAACCTTGTTCTTCAAAGTCTCGATGGTGAGGTGTGTGCTGTAGTCATTGCCATCTACAAAGGTGTCCAGGTGATATAGATGCAACTGGGTGAATATCTCCTGTATTAGCTTTGTGACGCGCACGATTTGACAGAAGAAGATATCAGATGTGTCGCAAACACTCTCAAGACACAAGAGGCATTCTTCGTGATGGCCATTCCACGGAACTGTGTTGGGTCGTCGCATACTGACGGAAGAAGTCGAAAGCGCAACATAACAAGCAAGCCAGGTACGCCGAGCTTCGAGTGACGTCGTGTCCTCAAGTCGGCTAAAGTATGCTGCAGGAGAGGGTTGCAGTGAGAAGCCAGCGATACCAAGATCAATTGCCATGTCAACAGCTAGCTGCACAATCTGGTAGGCACTGCCTTGCTGTCCCTTTCGTGTGGACTTGTTCCAGAAAGCAGCCACGAGCAACGCCTGAACAAGCTCAAGTGATCTTTGACCCCTGCCTATCACCTCTTCGCCAAGTATGCGTATCGTATCTCGTACCAGCTCATCGTGGTTCTCTAGTTCAGTGCCTTGCATTTCTTGGGTAGTAGAATAGACCAAGATAGAAAGCAGAAGGATTGGCGATCTTACGCGAATCTGATTCAGATCCATGCTCAGACGAATGACGGGCCATGCGACAGATACGTGAGCCCTGAAGAAACATAGCAAGTCCCTTTGCTTGCGAAGCGGGATGCGTCTGTCCAAGAAGGAGAAAATGGCTGGACTGTGATCCTCCAATAGGCTGCCAGGTGAGCGACTTGGTGTCGTATCGCTACTCTGATCTAATAAAGCATTCCTGAGTTCTTGGACTTCGGCTTCGAGCTGATTGATGCGGTCGCGCTGGAGTCGTGGTGCCGCAGGAACACAATCCAGGTTGCTACGCGTACATCTTTCGCATGCGCCATGGAGTGAGGTGCTTACATCACATTTGATCTTAAGGCGATGACACTCCTCGCAGGCGCGATTCCGTTTCCCCATTCTGCGCCCAGCTCGTAGGATACTTGGAACAGGAGTGAAGTGTAACGGTAGCACGGCGCCCACCAAAGTTGGGGCGACCGGCTAAAACTGGCCGCCATGGTTGGGCGCGGGCGAGATGTCGGAGAATATTGACGGGCATTGACCACCTGCCTTTCAAGGACACCACCGGCGAGTCTTCACCGTCTGCATGCCCAGGATTGTCTTGACCGGTTGGCGAAAGTGATTGAGACCGACACCAGAAGGAGTTTGCCAAGTGAATCAACACAGCTCGCTTGCTCCTCCCACGTGCTGCTCCTGCATGCCTTCCCCGCAAGCAAAAAGAGACCGGCGAAATCTGGCCGGCCTTAGTCTCGGCCGAGACGGACATAATCGCTTCCTATCTTCAATTGGTCAACATACCATCAAAACATCTTGGCAAAGGCAGAGCTGCTTCCTTGATAACATGCATTCTATAGTCATCAATCCTTCATGCATACCACAATGATATCTTTCGCGGAGAGCCGTGAGACAAGACCCATTTTCTCGATCTTGGGCCTGTTTCTACGACAGATTGGTTCTAGTCGGATGTCACGACTGCTGCCCATCGATCTCTTGGAATCTCTAGAATGCTGCACTGCCTTCCACATTTGACATATAAAGACCATGTCGCCGGCATGGAAAACCGAAAGTCATCACTATCAGCACTACACTCACAATTGGGCTTCCAGCATCGAACATCTCTCCAGTCAACAACAGTGCGTGCAAATTTGGGCCTACATCAACATGCGTCACTCAATCCTTTCCCTCGCCTTGATGGCTGGCTCTACTATGGCTCAAGGCGATCTTGCTGGCCTTCTTTCATCGCAGCCTGATCTCAGCACCCTGCTCGAGCTCGTCAGTCTCGTTGATGGTCTTGCCGATACTCTGGCCGCAGCTTCCAACATTACCATCTTTGCTCCCACAAATGATGCATTTGCCCGAGTTCCTCGCGACGAGCCGGAAGGAGCCGCGATAGAATATCGCAATGAGACCGTCGCAGTCGCCGCTCTTCTTGCCAACCACGTCTTCAAGGGAGTCTACCCATCCGATGTCATCACCGACATCCCCACCTTCGCTCAGACGTTGTTGGACAATTCGTATATCACTGCCACTCAGCCATTCTCCAACATTACTGGAGGCGCGTACAACGGTCTTGTCAAAAATGGAGATGACGTCTGCGTCTTGTCTGGTGAACAGACCATCTCTACTGTCACTCAGGCCGACATCAAGCTCGGTGAAGGCATCACAATCCACAAGGTTGATACCGTGCTTTCCTTCGGAGCCCCTCTCCAGCTCTTCACGTACCGTGCCGGCTACTTGAACATGAACGCTGCCCTAGAAGCGGCCAATCTTGGCTTCGATGTTGGTCTCAGCGGTCCTGATCAAAAGGGTCTCAATATCTCCGACTTCACTATCTTCATTCCCACTAACGAAGCCTTTGACAACATCGGATCGATTATTGAGTCAGCCGACCTAGAGACTATTCAGGATGTCCTTCGCTACCACATCATCCCCAACAACGTCATCTTCGCTCCTTCGCTCGGTAATGTCACCATTCCTTCTTTCGAGGGAACAAACCTGACCTTCACCGTTTTCCCCGACGGCACTGCTTGGGTCAACAATGCGAAGATCACTTTCCCGAACACTATCCTCTTCAACTGTGTTGCCCACGTCATTGACACTGTCCTGGCGCCTGGGGAATTTGATCGTGCCGCCCTTGAGCCATCAGCTCGAGCAGCAGACCGTCTCTCTTTCCCCAATGCTTCGAAGGTCGTCAGGTTGCCATTTACTAGCGTCGCTTTCGAGGGTGATTTGATGACCTACTCGTCCACCCCAGCGCTGCTTCAGACCGTCGCTGCCGTTGCAACCGGGGCTTCTCGTAGCGATGCTGCTACTTCTGCCACTACCACTTCCAACGGCTCTTCTACAAGCCCACCTCTCGCTACTTACACTGGTTCTGCTATCAGTCTTGCTACCAGTGGTGTCATGCTCATGGCTGTTGCTGTCGGCGTTGCCGCTCTCCTGATGTGAAGTCTGTCAGAACCGAGTGGGTGATACTGCACCCGTTCACATCATCTGTCTTAGCCAACGAAGCGTAACTGCCGAGCGCGGCGTATACCGAATATATGGCAATGTATTGAAGTCAGCTCATTGTCGTTTGCGACTTGCTATTTGTTGTTTAATTACACTTTACTGCAATAATACTTGATGGTTTAGTCTAGATACGCGCGAGTATGGAAACTTTGCACATTGCATCAGTCTGACTCCAAACCATCGTGACTGTTATCAGATCAAGCTATCTAGAGAAGTCTACGGTTCTCGCCTCGATCGACGGCAAAAATGTCCCAAGCCATACTTGGGACGTCACCAGACTTCCTTAACAGTTTGATTTGCTTGATCGGCTTCCACTCACATGAGTCATACCTGGATTACTGAAGATCGATGCATGATGGTACAGTCGAACATTTCCGAGCAGTTCAATGTGTTATAAATACATGAGTACTGGAAAGAGTGCACGACGAGGATGAGTTTATGCTAGAACAAATGATGGATATACTGAGAGCTCCAGCTACACTACCTCGCTATGATGTTGAATCGTAGCGGACACGACAAACAGGAATCTGCAAGGAAGAGCGGCAAAGAAGAGGTAAAGACTGGTAGAGGCGGCGCAACGCAAATAAGAATATCCGAGTCCGAGAACGAGCACACAAAACTGTAAGGACAGTGCTCCGGAGTCAGCGACCACGGACAAGAGCTGATATCACCATCAGGCTCATCTAAACAGCAGTCAATACGCTGCTGTCATCACTCCTCTCGATATACTTCTGTTGCAACAGACCTCTCTGTCCGTACCTCTTGCGACGCTTGATAGCCTTCCAAGCCTCGACAAGAGAAACAAATAACACCACACTTCCATACACCAGTCCCCACTCCCAGGTCAGCGCCGTGTGTCTGAAGACCTGTTTGTTGACAACGGGGATGTAGATGAGGGGGATGGGTGTCAGTAGACCCACGCAAACAGAGTAAAACAGGAATTTATTCTTCATCAGGTTCCCGATGAATGAGGAAGAGGCGTTCATGTTGAAGAGACCGAGAGTAGAATGTTTGGCTTCCCAAGCCATGACGGAGAGGAGTACAGTAAGCACACTATACGCAGTTCCTCGAGCGCGATATGGAAGATCGCAAGAATCGTTATAGCTTTCGTTACAGTCATATCCGAGGTCGCCGTCTCCGACACCAAAGGCGACGATGACGTAGGAAGTTAGACAGAGAATTCCCATAAAGGAGCCGTAGATGAATTTATCAACAATGAGCTCTTTGGTAAAGACACCGGCTTTGAGGCTGTGAGGTGCGCGGGTCATGACATCTGCGGATGCCTCCTCCATACCCAGACCAATAGCGAGGAAGGATGAAGTAAGAAGGTTGGCCCAGAGAATCTCGATGGGACTCAATGGGAACACAGAAACGTCATGACGATCTTTGAAAGCCAGACCAATGAGAAGTAGGATGACTTGAGAGATATTTGAGATCAACAAGTGAAGCAAGAACTTCTGAATATTATCGAAGAGACGACGGCCTTCGCGGATGGCGGACACGATGGAAGCGAAATTGTCGTCAGTCAACACCATGTCGGCAGCTTCTTTGCTGACATCGCTGCCGTTGAGACCCATGGCTACACCGACATCTGCACCTTTGAGAGCGGGGGAGTCGTTGACACCATCGCCTGTCATGACACAGTAGCGACCGCGGCGATGCAGGGCTTCGAGCATGCGAAGCTTGGTAGTTGGGCTGCAACGAGCAAGGACGAATGGAAGAGGATCCATGACGTCGAGAGCATCATCAGTAAGCTTGTCAAAGTCCATGGCAGTCATAACAGCGGTCTGGGCGTTTGAGCCGTACACGTCAGGACCGAGAATACCAATTTCCTTTGCAATGGTAGTTGCAGTCTTGAGATGGTCTCCGGTAAGCATGTGCACGACAATACCAGCTGCTTGACACTGTTTGATAGCGCCAGCAGATTCGAGACGAGGAGGATCGTAGAGGCCCACAAGGCCGGCAAATATAAGAGAGTTCTCAGCCTCGATGAAGCTGCGCTCAGTAATGGACTTGGGATCAGCGTGGTCAAGGTGGCGGTAACCAAGACAGAGGACACGCAGCCCTTCACTGGCCATGGCATCAACTTGATGCAGAATCTCTCTGCGTTTATCGTCGCCGATGCTGAGGAGAGGTAAGAGTGCTTCTGTGGCACCTTTGGTGAAGGAGACGATGGTAGGGCTAGGTTCGGCAAGCTTGTATATCACAGACATGCGCTTGACCGAGGAGTCGAAAGAGTGCTCCGTAAGCAAAGACATGCCGGTATGGGACAGACTTTCATCTTTGCCCTGACCGACGCGACGAGCGAGTACCTGCAAAGCAATTTCTGTAGGTTCACCAGTTGCAGACCATAAAGTTTGGTCACCATGAGGGGCAATGACATTCGACATGTTGCACAATGCAATAGTGGAGAAGAAATAGCGAAGTTCGTCGATCTCGCCGAAAGATGCCGGCTCAAGGCGGACGTCGTCGATCAAGACATCTCCATGTGTCGGGTCGAATGGACTGAGCTCCTTGACGACAGTAAGACGCTTCCCACTAGGAAGAAGTGCCTTCCTAGCCAACATTTTACCCTGAGTAAGTGTACCAGTCTTGTCACTGCAGACATTGGTGACACCACCCACGGCTTCGAGAGCAGCCTGCTTGCGAACAATGACGTTACCAGCAGCCATGGCTTTGGAGCCGATAGCCATTGTGATTGTGAGGACGGCGATGAGAGATTCGGGAATGACGGCGACGGCAACACAGATACCGTAGATTAAAGTCTCACCGTCGATGTCCCAGAGGCTAGTGGAAAAGACGATGATGGCCAGTAGAATGGCGAGGGCGAATAAGAGCAGAGCAAAGTAAGACAGCTTGACTTGGAGGGGAGTGCCGATCAGACCAAGGGCACTCTTGATGCCGTGAAGCACACGTCTTGCAGCGCGGGAGAAGAATGTGGAGCTGCCTTCATGGCCCTTCTTGTCACGAAGAAGCTGAGCGATCTTACCAATCTCCGTATTCATACCAGTTGCGGTGACAATGCCTTGAGCTCTGCCACGTGTGACTGTTGTGGAAGAGTATGCCATGTTGACACGATCACCGAGGGCGCACTCGAGATTATCGAGTCGCTTTATTGCATCTTTGGTACAAGGCTTGGACTCGCCAGTGAGCAGGGCTTCGTCCGTAGCCATGTTGATGCTAGTGTGAAGCCGGAGGTCTGCGGGTACAATGTCACCAGTGGCAAGTTGCACAATGTCGCCGGGCACTAGGTCTTCGGCTTTAATGCTAAGCATAGTACCGCTCTCACGAAGAACTCGACAAGCTGGAGCTGCCATGGCACGCAGCGACTGTATAGTCTGTTCTGCACGATAGTCTTGGAAGAAGCCGACGACGATGTTGAGGACAATAACAGCGGTAATGACACCGCCCTCGATGAAGTCCCCAGTACCGTATGAGAGTGCCATTGCGATAGCCAGAACAAGGGTGAGACTGTTAGAGACCTGTCGAAGAAGGATCTTGTACCAGGTCACACTTCCAGAGCTCTCGAGCTTGTTGCGGCCATACTTCTCACGGCGCTGGACGCACTCGCTCTCTGTCAGACCTTTCCTACCGCATGTCAGCACCAAATATTAAATCAGCTTTCAATTCATGAGAACATACTGAAGGTCGGTCTCGAGGCGGCGAGCAAGGCCAGTGCCAGTCAACATGTGAGCACATGTTGCAATATCGATCTGGTCTAGCTCGATATCTATAGTAGGAGTTTTTTCTATGAAGCGAGTCTCGCCCCCTGACTTCTCAGTCAGGTAGTGGGGCGAGCCCGCGCTTCGTATAGGTGGTTCATCGACTGAGCCGTCGATGGTGGCAATGGTGGTGCCGCTGGCAGGCGTGGTGCCAGAGTCGCCATGGTTATGGACTTCATGAGGATTGATATAAGTTTCTCCCATCGATGTTGGTGAAGTTGATAATTGGATGATTCTGAACGGAGACTACGAAAAGTACAGTCTGATGGTGCCGTGATGTTCGGAAGTGTGGGGCGTCAGGGCAGGACACTTATAGGTGCTATCTCGCGGATGCGGCAGCTTATCGTCTGGTTGGAAGGATAAGTGACTAGTCGAACAGCGCAATGCGATGAACTTTGCTGGGGTTAGTGCTGAGCAACGAATGATCATGGAGGATCTGGTGTGGCAGTGCTCTTGGAAGCTTGGTATTTCTCTGTATTGCCGTGGCGCCAACTTGGCGGTACCTTTTTCTGTACAAGTTGGATCATGACGGTTTAACCACGACGCGGGGTAGTGGGGCAAAGCTGCAGTATAGCCGGCAGAACTCGGGCTCATTTGCAACTGATGATATGGTGATTGGACCAGAAGAAGGAACCAAGATAATAATCTACAGCCTGCTGTATCCTGAGAGACTGGATAGAGAGCTCTTTCTAAACACTTGTCGCGGCAACGAACGACTGTGTACTGTAACCACCTCAAGACTGGTGATTTTGAGTTATGCATAGAGTCAGATGTATAAGTTTTGAGCGAATTACGGCCAGTCGTGCATCGATATAGCACGGTGTCGATAGTACAACAGAAGCGCAACGCACGCCTGAAAGCCTCGGAGTGCCCGGCACATCGCTCAAGCTGTTTTCGACTGGATCTTACGGTATCTCAAAGACCCTGGGTATGATCACCTTCACGATGGGAATCGTCGAAAGAGTTGGTCGACGAAAGGGCCTCATCTGGGGCGCAGCTCTGGGGTGCGTGCCCATGCTGTATATTGGTGGGTATGTTCTAAGGGCAGATCCTCTTGCGGCCCTGGCAGCGGGCGACACATCTCATAATGGCTGAGGATATCTGGCCATGGTTTGTGTATACGTCAACGCTTTCATCATCTGTGCAACTTGGCAGGGTATCACCTGGACCTACGGTAAGTATCAAGATCTTCTGCTACAACCACCTTTTACCGATGTCATGGCAGCATCTGAGATCTTCCCCTTGGATATCCATATGCTTTGTGTCGCATTGACCACAGCAGACACCTGGCTTGGATCATTCATTATTGCTCGATCCACTCCGTACATGATTTCAGATCTTGGATATGGAGCCTACTTTTTCTTCGGCGTGATCTTGATAGCCATGGGCATCTGGTCCTTCTTTTTTGTACCCGAGACGAAAGGTGAGACGTTCTTCGGTCGTGTCGCTGCCCTTGTAACGTTTCTGACATAGCTCTAGGCATTACGCTCGAAGAGATGGACGCGCTCTTCGCGAGATCGGTGCGTAAAGCGGTATGGGCCCAGCCTCGAGGAAAGCTGATACCGCCGATGGACGAGGACTTGAACACGTCAGACGATGCAAAGAAGCACTCGACCGTCAGAATAGAAAAGGTAGAACTGTAGAGTTCTCACGTGGTCGTGTGGCGCAGGTGTCTTGACCAGCAGTCCTCAAGGGACAGCATAGATTCGCATAGGTCGAGGCCTCGCTTGCCGCTCGTGGACGTATGAACTCTCTTGTCACCACTTTGGTGACTACAAACGTACAGCGCGCATGGAATGGCTGATGATCTCTGTATCAACCCCACGACTCCTGAGTTCCTGACGTGTGGTGTATTGAGCCAAGGGCTTCTTAATCCAAGAAAGACTTGAACGGTGCGTTCGAGAGACTCCATTGCGTTTGCGTGGTGACCAGAGGATATTGATCTCCAGTCTGACAATCCGAAAGTGGACCAAAAAGAGATGACGATTCTGAATTCATTGCGACGCGTCGAGCCTTGCGCGCGCACTGTGACCATCGTGGCGCCTATTCCAGTGTTGTGTGTCGCAATTGGTGGTTCGCAACAGCAGTCGCGTAGATCATGTCACATGGAAAGCAGTGGGTTCTCCGATCATGGTTTTCCCGTCCCACAAGAGCTGATTTGCTCGCCGTCGAGACCGATCCTGACATAGACTGTGTGCACTTCAAGAGCGAAAGACAAGAAGGAGCAGGGGCGCAAATCCACTCTCCACCTGGCTTTGCGGAGCTGTTGGACTTCCGCAGAGTCATGGGAGTCAACTTGGCAGTGGGTCGTTCCTTCCAGCACGACGCGTAAGTTTTGGCACGGTGACGCGGATGATCTCTTCGGCGACTCCGAAGGGATCTGCATGCTAAGCTCATCTCTTGTTCTCTCTCTCGCAGCACATTCATCCCACATCTTGTTGCACCACCAATAAAATCTTGTCTTGAAGAAGCGACAACGGATCTCTGTCCTTTCGGTGTCCAGTACTGCATTTCAACACAGCCGCCACCAGTGCCTGACTGTCAGTCTGTGTTATGCACAATTTATGAGCAATGGGCAGTGTTACAGAGACTATGTCAACGTCTTATCTGGTTCCGGGGTCCCCCACAAGCCAAGGAGATGTGTTCGTCGGCTACAGACCCTGCAAAAGTCGGTTTGCCCAGCGACTAGAGGCTTAGCTAGCTGTTCCCAGACGAAATGACAGGGCGTTGTCTTGACAAGGCACCCATACTATGACTGATCTGGTATCGATGTGTAATTTCTGGCCATGAACCTGACCGCCTGAGTCACTTGGCCTGCAGCAATGGGAATCGTGACAGCACACGCGATTGAAGGATCAGGCAGAGTCTCAGGCAGTGAGGGTCGCCGGAGTATCTATATCTAGCTGTAGTTGCCCTTCCCAGTCTCTGCCGTCCTAACAAACCAAGCACACCAATCGTCTCTACAGACTCTGCCACGACGATCAGACTCAGATCTCACGATGAGTTCATCCGTTCCCGAACACATGATCCCGGTCTACAAATGTGTGGTGCAGGGATTTATCAGCGAATATCACGGCCAATATGACAAAGCGCTTGAAGAATACAAAACTTCCATCGATCTTCTCGTCAAAATTATGCCAACCATCAAAAAGAACAATCTCAAAGTTCATCGAAAGATGTATGAACGCCAACTCGAGGTGTTGCTTGAACGCAAAGCCGTGCTCGATCAAGCAGCCAGGGCCAATCCGCCCTTCGCTGGAGTCATCGCTCCTCCCACGATCCTGAGTGCGGATGCTGAGGTCCTAGCCGCTCAGAATGGTAATCACTTTTGTTTAAGTCTGGTGAGTTGATCCACATACGTGACACTAGCATCGGCATCATTTCTCGAGTCGTGCTCACGGTGAGGACAGGATCAAAAGTTGCTCAGTGACCACGACAAAGCGCTACCAAAGGGAATGGACCTCAAAGTGTATCGTAGCACTGCACCAGATAATATCAAGCGGCTCCTATCGGATAATGTGCCGAAATTCACGCCCACACTGGATGCGTCACTCACACCAACTGTTTACAATATCTCGATAGACTCGGAGTTAGTTAATCTTGGTCTCAGGTCCTACTGGGCCTATGTGAAAGATGCGACAAAAGCGCACACCCTCTATGCCCTGCAAATAGTCTGGAACTCGGATGCGCCAATTACCGAAGCGGTTCTGAGGCGTTCTGGGGAGTTTCTTCCAGCTGCTGGAGCAGTTCATGTTGACATCCGAAGAACGGCACCACCTGGCGGTGGAGCATACTGGCTTGCAATGAAGGATCCACAAGGAAGTGTGACGTTAGAGTTGCCTGATCGAGTCTCAAAAACAAGATCTTGGTCGCCGCGTCGATTCACTTACGGCGGTCGCAAGTTCGTGTGGAAAGCGTTCGAAGATGGAAAGTTGATTACCAAGTTCCAATGGGACACGCTCTACGAATACTCTCGAACGTGGCCGGTGGAAGGAAGTAAGACTGGAAAGCAGGAAGACGAAGTGGTGGGTGATCGTCTGTGTTGGGGTGAGACAGATTCTAGGCGTAAGCAAAATTATACTATTTACATGGCTGGTGGGCTGGATCAGCATTTTAGAGAACATCTGCTGGCCAGTCAGTTGACGAGATATTTTGGGAAGACATGGGGGTCTACGTCCAAGAACGAGAGCAGTGGGATGGCAGCAGCTGGCGGCGTTGCCAGTGTCCTTTCGGTGGCTGCCTCGTTCTTGTAGCTGGCAGATTCGACATGGTTCAGGTTCGAGTCAAGGGTTGGAGGACAGGTGTGTATACATGTGCGCACGAGTGTTCCACTGACTTCATATCTCATGCACACTGTAGCCAGGTATCATGTTGCCAGATGAGACTCTTGAAGATGCCTCCAATGTTCTCGACATTTGACCATTGTCATCACCCGATCGGGAAAGTGGGGGTGGCGCAACGAACGCGGGAGCAATTTTCCGCGGGTATTTGTTTGACCTGCACCTTGTCACAGTTTTGTTCACAATCTACAGCTTTGCTAGTTGCAACACACGTCCGAATCCGAATGCGCTATGCCCGACCCGCATGAGATGCTCGCAGAGCCGAGTTCCACGTCAAGAGTGCCGACTTCACGAACTGCGCGACCGGGTGCCAAACGAATGACCTTGAGCTGTGAAAATTGTCAAAGGCGGAAGACTAAGGTGCGACCATCTCGCAACGAGGTGACTGACTGGGAGTCTGACTCGACGACGTCTAGTGCGATGCTCGGCAGCCCGCCTGCGCTAATTGTGAAGCCTTGGGTGTACAATGCTCCACGCGGAAACCTACACGCAAGCGTGGTCGACATGCGAAAACCAATGATGATACCTGGAGTACGCCTAACGAACCACAGCAGATTTCGACTCCCCTTCGCTCCCACGAAGTGTCGCTCATCCCTGTGATTGCTGCATCGAATGAGGCAGGTCCTTTTGACTTGCATTCTCACGGCAGAGACGGATCCGTAAGTAACGAACAGGGGGAAATGCTCGACCCTTCACCTGCTGCACATCCGTTTCAGTCATATGATATTTTGTCCGCAACACCTCAGCCTGACTGGACCATCTGGAACGACATCACGCCGGGAGCTGTAATTAGCCCTTCACCGTCTTTCGCTCAGAACATTGGTGTGAAGCCGCTGTTCGAAGCATTGTCGCACGGACTCAACGCAGCTGGCATTGGAGTTGATCACGTTGGATATATAGCTTCTTGCATCGAGTTATTCTTTGGCAAGATTTATCCCACGTACCCTGTTGTATATCGACCTAGACTTGCAGAAGCGATTGAACAACTTGGACTCGGCGTTTTCGATCTTGACCACAAGACCTTCGCGCTTCTTACTGCCACATGCTCATACACGCTCGCTGTTCTACCGGTCACAACATCCTCAAACACTTGGCCAGCGGCTACAGTCTTTTATCGATCTTCGCGTGCTGCACTTGCTCAGTACACTGAAGAGGACATTGAGAATCCCGATCATACATCGCTCGTAATTCGAATGTTCCAGTCAGGATGGGCACATGTGGCTGGCAAGCGAAGGACCTCATGGAACATGTTAGGTGAGTGTATTCGTCTGGCTCAAGCGATGCGACTGCACGACGAGAGCACATATACACGGATGTCACACTTGGAAGGACAGATGTGTCGTCGCGCTTTCTGGACTCTCTACACAGGTGATAAGTCGTCTGCAGTGCTCGGTGGACATCCAGTATGTCTGAAAGAAACCATCTTTCGTGATGTTGAAACCGTGGGATATCCAGTACCTCTAGGCGATCAGGACGCGATCTACATCACCCTCGATGCAGGAAATATCCAAGAACTAAACATACTGACCGGTTTCAACGCGAACCAAGATCTTTGGCGGACTGCCGAACGTTTGCTCGATTTTGATCATTCTTGCTTGGATACGGTAGCCATTGATCAGGCACAGGCGAATAGATCACAAACATTGTTAGATGCTCTTCTTTCAGACTTCTACGCTTGTCTTGACAACTTGCCCACTTGTCTGTCCTTCTATCCCGACGTCTCTCCGATCATGGGCAAGTTCGCGTTCCAAGCAGAGACTGACAGACTCCAAATTCCCGAGGCCATGGCGATTCAGCGCACAAACCTACAGGTCTCGCACCTTTGTTTGAAATTGCTGGTCATTCGACGCCTATACGAACCAAGGCCTACGCTTGGCTTCAGGCACGATGAGAGATGCAAGACTCCGAGTCTCCACATTGCCGATTCTCTCGGTATCGCCAGGGACCTGCTATATGTTATACACACTTCAAGCATCGAGCTGATCAGACTGAATGGAGAAGCCTGTGTGGAAAAGATCCGGCTCATCGGCGCCTCAGTCTTAGAGCTAATCGCGAACAATCCCGACATACCAACGCACAGCGTTTTGAGGCAGTATCAAGAGCTGTTCCCACATATCTTGGCTTTGCTGGACAGCAAAGCTTCAGAGGCCGCGGATGGGTAGCTGGAAACGATCCAGCCGATTAGTTTGCAATTTTCCGACGCTCATCACGAACGGGCCTTGACCCAATCGAGCGTTGCGAGCATCTTCCGCCGCCTCACACTATTTTCCGGATCCGCGGCTCGTCGCTTGGAAGCTCTGCAACTCTAATTGCACAGGGCAGGAAAGCCTGTTTCTGTGATTATTTTCCGGATCCCGTCTTGCGCTGTCCCGTAGGAGATAGGAACCGTGCCTTGGCTGTTATCTGCAAGATTTTGTTCCGGATCTGCAGTCGAGCAAAATGAACTGTCGTAATATTTGTACTTAAGCATGTTTCCGCCGCCCTCACGATGATGGTGATGATATCGCCGCCTCAAACGCCACGCACGCTACAATGTTCCTCTCTGAAGAAGCTTCGAACACCGTTCAGGCATCTGTTCCAGCCTACGAAGATGATGTAGAAGGGCTAAAGCTTCCTGCTTCATTCCAGTGGGGCGCGGCGACAGCCTCATATCAGATCGAGGGCGCTGTGGACACTGACGGAAGGGGGCCCTCAATATGGGACGAGTTCGCTCATCTCCTACCCACTCGCACAAATGGCGAGAGTGGTGATGTGGCATGCGACCACTACCATCGGATGCGCCAGGATGTCACACTGTTGAAATCTTACGGTGTCGACTGCTACCGTTTCTCAATCTCATGGTCCCGACTTATCCCGCTGGGCGGCCGACAGGATGCAGTCAATCCCACTGGTATCGCATTTTACAACGATCTCATCGACTGTCTGTTAGCTCAGGGAATCAAGCCAGTAATCACCCTGTACCATTGGGATCTACCATTGGCTCTTCACAAGCGCTACCAAGGCATGCTGGACACGGCAGAATTCCAGGCTGACTTCACCCACTATGCCAAACTCTGCTTCAAGCATTTCGGCGATCGTGTGAAGCAATGGATCACATTCAACGAGCCCTTCATCATATCCATTTATGGTTATCACAGTGGCGTTCTAGCACCTGGTCGCAGCACGGAGCACGGTAATGATTCATCTGCAGAGCCCTTCAGAGTCGGTCACAGCATCATTCTGGCGCATGCTGCCACGGTCGAGCTCTACGTGAAGCACTTCAATTCTTCACAAGAGGGCTCGATCTCGATTGTGCTCAACGGCGACTTTTACGAACCCTATGATGCAAACGATCCAGGCGACATTGTAGCTGCTCAACGAAGAATTGAATTTTACATTGGCTGGTTTGCAGATCCTGTGTATCTTGGAACCGACTATCCTGCTTGCATGAGGGAACAATTAGGATCTAGGCTCCCGGTCTTCACTCCTACACAGCAGGATCTCCTGAAGCGTACGGCGCAGTTCAACACGTTTTATGGTATGAATCATTACACGTCACAATTTGCGAGAGCCCGGAAGACGGCGCCAAGTGCAGATGACTACACAGGCAATGTCGAGGAATTACCCTACAATAGCAAAGGCAAGGAAATTGGCCCTGTCTCAGGTGTAGCATGGCTTCGCGTTACTCCTGTGCAGTTTCGAAAATTGCTCAACTGGATCTGGAAGAGATATCACAGGACAATCTTCGTCACTGAGAATGGTTGTCCTTGCCCCGGTGAGCATGATATGACTCTCGACCAAGCCGTAAATGACAGCTTTCGCATACGATATTTCGGATTGTACATTGACGCTATCGCTCGCGCTATCTCAGAGGACGAAGTCGACGTTGGCGGGTACTATGCCTGGTCCTTAATGGACAACTTTGGTACGTACATGATCACTGGCTTGTACTTTCCAAGAAGAAAAAGAAGAAATGTCACTGACGTGTGCTACAGAGTGGTCGGCGGGCTACGACATTCGATTCGGAATCACACATGTCGACTTCGAGACACAAGTTCGCACACCCAAGGACTCGGCACTGTATCTGCGTCAAACATTCCGTGAGCGAAGGGTAGGATCTGAGAGAAGATCACTAGGTCATCGAAGCGAGTTGTTGAAGGCTAAAGACGTCAAGGTAGAGCTGAGACCGCGCGTCGATGTAGAGGAGATTCTTGTGCAGTGACCATTATTGGCGCGGAGATGAATACTATCTGCTCTTTGGAAAGCAGCATTGTCTGCCGAACTATCGTACTCCAGCGTATCACCAGCGTCTTCGAACTTGTGAGAGAAGGCCGGGTGTCCACATCACGCGTACACAGTCAAGCGGCTACGGGATGGAAGAAGATCGCAAATTAAGTCTATTCTTCAGAAAGTAGCGGGAATAAAACACAGGTACATCAAGGTTACTCTATCAGAATGTTGGACAATTGCCACATCTCGATGCTATCGAAGACAGACGCAGGTAGAACGTCACCGATTTGGAAACAGCTCACGCCTGTGCAGCTTGGATCATCCGAGTAGACCATGAAACTCATTGCAAACCTTTCATTCGCGAAGACCTCCACAACGTTTCCATCGCAGAAGATCCTCATCGACAGTTTCTCAAGCTCATCTCTGCCATCACTGCGGATGTTGAGCAGAGGGAGATGACCTTTCAAGATTTCCTTCCCCACTTCAGGATCGCTGTTGCTGGTCGAGCGATCGACCACGATCTCTTCGCTCGCCATGTCAAAGTATATACTTGTGTGCTGCGAACGAGAAGCGTTATGCTGAATCTGGAATCCGACCTTGGTGCTCCGGGACGCTGACAGTGTGATCCCACACCACAGCTCCCAGTGCATGCCCTGGAACAAAACGTGCGGCTCGAATCCACATCTCACGGACGACCAGCGTTGACTACCTTCGAGGCGAAGCTGATGAAAATCGCGCCAGGGACGGATACCCAGCGTATGGACCGTACTGGTGTCCTTGTCGCGGTCGCTCGCAGTAAGATGAAAAGCTTCAATCGTCTCGAGTGGCGTGGCCAGTGTACTGACGACATCTGAAATGGACAGCAGAAAGATTTCGCGCGGTAGAGAGAGCATGCCCCTCCAGCCCTTCTCCTCGCAATGTGCAAGAGTCACGTCTTCTTCCTTGATCCATCCCCAGAGGATGCGAACACCCGTGACTGGATGTTGATAGTGGCTTGGTGCGTAAAAGCAACCGTGGTCCAACAGACCTCCGAAATCGTAGCTCATATTTAGCCCGTCGGACTTCCCAAGGGTACCAGACATCCAAAGACAATAGCCCACGAAAGAGTCATCATTCTCCGAAAGAGGAGCAGGCTTCGCACCTTCGCAACCGAGTATGAAGAAGTCGCGCTCCATTGATTTGTTCGAAAGTGTCATGAACGCTGCACACTCCCAATTGATACCAAAGTCCCACTGAGTTGAAGGAGAAAGTCGCTCGGGAAGCTGTAAGATGGGTCCTAGGTATTTCCATTCGAGGATGTTGGTCGGACTAACTTCGTACAAAAATACAGCTCCTCCTTGGTTTCTTATACCGCCCGAGATGACACCATACAGACTTTCACTTTTCTGAAGTTTGTCAACATTCGACCAAGGTGCCAGATAAGGGTCTCGAAAACCTGTGACCACGACGCCCTCCGGTTCGCCAAGCAAGATGGGATTGTTCTTGCCCTTTTTCCAGGTTTGGCCACCGTCTCGCGAGGACGCATATCCTAGTCCAGCGCTATTCCGGTGATAGTTCAGAGTCCAGTTTATTGGGAGATAGCAGGCAGAAGTGTAGAACACTGTCAGCTTTCCTGGCTCGCCGTTCGATCCAGTGGGATAGAGGCAACCTGTGAAGATACCTTCCTTGTCATAAGGCTGGTCTGGTTTGAATACAGGTTCCGGGTCAGGCTGTTTCCAACGAAGTCCATCTGAGCTGATCAGGCGACCCCAAGTGATATCACCCCAGTCGCATGACTTTGGGTTCCCTACATAGATAGTCAGCAGGGTTCTGCACGTTAAGTGCACACGTATCTTCTACTCACATTGATAGAATAGATGGTAAGTGCCAGTTGACACGTCATGACCTGGCGCACAAGGATCATTAAGCCAGCCTCTGGGAGCTCTGAAGTGGAAAGTGGGCGACAAATGACATAGGGCACGGCTGGGAGGCATTGCTACGATCTAGCTGTCTGCGCAAGAACGCCAGCTGATACCATATACAAGTTCGAAGCGTCTCGCTCCGCAACCAAGCAGGCAAGCTTTTACGGAAGATAGAGTTACGAGGTGCGTGCGTCGGGAAATAGTCGAGAGGGGCAGGCGGCTGTTTTGCAAACGGCCGGAAAATTAATGAAAGTATGATGGCGGGAAATTGAAAATGTCTGCCCCGTGGGGAAGTGAGGCGATCCCATGTGAGCGACTCTTGAACGGTCTTGACACTCTACGACTCTGACCCATTGATGTAACAGTGTATAAAGACCTTTGGCTAACCCCAGGATGATCAGCAATGTTGACAGTCACATCTAGTCACTGACAACTGTCTGAACATCCACATCGATCGGACGCAATGGAATCTGCCGACCTCAAGAAGACCATCAGTCATGCGGACGAGTGCGAAGTCTCAAAGATCGACAGCAATGGGATGATTCAAGGTGGTCTGCAAGGCTTGACTATCGACAATGTTCTGCCGAAGCATGACAAGCCTTGGTATCGCGTACCCCATTTGCTTCAACTCAACATTATCATCCTCGCCGTCTTGCTCACGCCTACGACCAATGGGTTCGATGGCAGTATGATGAATGGTCTACAGACTCTTCCAGCCTGGCAAAGCGGTGAGAATCTTTTTGACATTTGTGTTCCATACCAGCTTTACTCATGAGCGTCTTCAGATTTCGATCACCCCAAAGGTGGTGTTCTTGGTCTGCTCAGCACCATCAACACTATCGGCTTCATCACCGCATTGCCCTTCACAGGCTGGATCACCGACTATCTGGGTCGCAAGCGTCCAGTTCAGATTGGAAACATTATCATGATTGTGGGCGCTGTGCTGCAGACCAGTGCGAAAAACATTGGCATGTTCTTGACTGCTCGTTTCTTGCTCGGGTTTGGTCTATCAATTGCCTGTGTCGCAGCGCCAGCAATGGTCGCAGAACTGACTTATCCTACCCATCGTGGCAAGATGACAGCCATCTACAACACCAATTGGTTTGTTGGAGCAATTATTGCTGGTGAGCTTTGTCATCCCAGACCACTCGGTGCAAAACTAACATAACAACCAGCATGGAGCACCTTTGGCACCTTCCGTATCAACAGCTCTTGGTCATGGCGCATTCCCTCGCTCTTGCAGTGTGCACCCTCGATCATCCAGCTAATTCTCAGCATATGGTTACCCGAATCCCCTCGCTGGCTTATCTCCAATGACCGCAGAGAAGAGGCCATCCAAGTCCTCGCTAAGCACCACGCTGGTGGTGATCTGAGCAGTCCGCTTGTTCTTTTCGAGATATCCGAGATCTCCGCTGCCATCAACGCAGAGAAGGCCCAGAGTCAGACCAAGTACTCGGCCTTCTTCAAATCAGCCGGAAACCGCCACCGCCTTTTCGTCATCATCGTTCTCGGTATCATGCAGCAAGCTTCCGGCAACACACTCATCTCCTATTATCTTGCTCTTATCCTCAAACAGATTGGTATCACCAGTGGAACGGCTCAAAATGGAATCAACGGAGGTCTTCAGATCTTCAACTACATCGCTGCCTTGTCTTCTGCAACTCTGGTCGACAGACTCGGTCGTCGTACACTCATACTGACTGGTCTCGGTGGCATGTTCGTATCCTACCTTTTGTGTAAGTCACTTTCAATTCTATGCAATAATCCAGAAACACTGACATCGATATCCAGGGACTGTACTCTCAGCCGTGAACGAGAACCAAGGATACAAGCACCAAAGTATCGGCGTCGGTGTTGTCGTTCTCATCTTCTCCTTCAACTTCTTCTACGCCATCAGTCTAACACCAATTCCCTTCCTCTACCTCACCGAAGTCCTCCCCTACAGTTTGCGCGCCAAGGGTATGATGATTTCATCCTTCTCCGGCATCGCTATTGGAGTTATGCTAGGATTCGTCAACCCTGTTGCTCTGGAAAACATTGGTTGGAAGTATTACATCGTCTCAGTCGTGCTTCTCATTGTCTGGATACTGTGCGCCTGGTTTTGGTTCCCTGAGACCAAGGGTCGCTCTTTGGAGAAGATCGCCCAGGTGTTTGACGGAGAGGATGCCTTGCTTGGTGAGATTGACAAAGAAGCTGCCAACGTGCAGACTGAAGTCATTATGACCAAGCACTAAGTTGACCATTCACATCCAAGTGCTGAATTAGAAAATTTACCCTCAGATCGATTGCGGATATCACAGTGGCCATGATTGACGGCTTCACCAGGGTCCTCACCTTTCAATTTCCGCTCCTCTCTTTAGTCTCGGTAGCTATGTCAATGCGATCAACGTTCGTTCCCAGGTGCATTGTACGACGGTAGTCGGCTTTCCGCCAAACTTCAGTAGATCATTGTCTTTGTCGCATACTAATTCCGGAGACAAGCAGAAAGCAGACACCTGGCAGGTGATGTCATACGGAATGGACGTCGAGACAGAACGCGTTCGTCGCTTGGGTATTCGTTAGCTTTAGTCGATTGGTCTCAGTCGGTCCTTCCTCAGGTCTACACAATTTCCACCAATCTCACAACATAGCGACAACACTCTGAACGGTAAGTCGCAGGTGCTGATGATTATATACACAGCAAGACATTCCCAATTGGTAGAGACGGCCATAAACGGACTCAATGATCGGTTGAAGCAGCCCGTCGCCCTAGATCAGACCGCATTGAGTACACTGCCCTCTTCCAGCCATCCTTTTCACGCTCTCTTTCTTGCTTGTATATACCAAGCAGACGGAACAAGCCGCCGCTCATGCTGACATGCTTAGGTCCACCTTGGCCATAGAGGGATGGGTCCATTTCAAGGTGCCGGCGAGGCATCCGGAGTTCGAAATCAGCGCAAATCCGCCGAGTGTCCCAAAACCCAAACCCTAGACGATCGAAAACATCACTACACTGGGCTTGTATCGGGCCATAAGGGGCATTTTCCATCGCACGAACGTATCTGGCGGATGGGTTCTCTCTTTGGAATTCAGCGTCAAACGGAGACCATACAACAGAATGGTGTGATGGCTCCGACACGTCTGCAGGACACCATGAAAACACTGGAGCAGTTGGTACCAATTCTTTAGAGCTTGGGATAATCGTCAAGTAAGGAGGATGAGGGATCAGATAAGGCTGCACTACAGTTAGATGGTCGAGATCAATTGGTTTCGGTGATGAGGCTCGCGCGCTAGCTGGCGGTTGCAGCCTTGTCCCTGCCACCATAGAATTGGTGATCTCTGCTATTATGTTGTCTGTCCAGCGATGGGCAAGGGGCGAAAAGTTGACCTGCGTGCGAACGACAGAATCTAAAGCGTTACCATAGGAACATGCTGCAAATTTATGTGATATGAGCCTTGCGATACTCAATCTCCACAAACCCCATAGAACACGACCTTCCTCCAGCCAGCTAGGATCTCCGAAACTTGCGGCTAGATGTAACGTGGTACCTTCAGGATTTTGTCGCATGACTAAATCGCGGTCATAGAGCATGTAATTGAACCGCGGGTCCGCCAGCTTCTGGAGCTGGAGAGTCTTAAGATAATCAAGCTTAGACCGGAGGATGAAACGTCCTATGTCGTAGAGAAGCACACCTTGAGCGACCACACGAAAAACGTTCGCAGCAGAAGTCGTGTGCCGTGAGCTCGCTAGGGCTAGTTTCACTGCTCTGAATCGATCTTGGACTTGAAAATCTCCAAAAAGATCCATTTTGAACTCGTCGGATGGTTGCTGCTGTAGATGAAGATGCATATAGATCAAATTGATCAGCTCATTGGGCATGCTCCGATGAGCGATAGTGTCAAACACATGGCGAGCGTTCAGGCGAAACGTCGCGTACAAGTGCGGTGATGACAAGATAGCGGCATATAAGGCTTTCAAATTAGGCAGCTCCAGTAGGATATAAAGCGGCAACGGCGCTGGTAATTGCGACAAGTGATTCTGCATTGTAGAGCGTTGGCTTCAGCTGTGTTCTGGACTCGACTGGTTAAGGGAACGAGCCAGCTTCCGAGCTATGGGTAAGACATGCTTACATAATCAGATCATGTCGCCCAAAGCTTTCCACGTAACTCCACTCACTTCCGGTGGCCAAGGTCCTCAGCGAAGCACTTGATTTTGCTTCCGCCCATATGCGATGCCTGATTTCTCGATCCTGCCAGCGCCATTGACTTTGTTTATCCTCCTGGAACTGCCTAGTCTCAAAGCCTTGTACGCTGCAATCTTAGCGTCGCCGCACCTCAATGCCGTGTTTCGTTCAAACGCACAACGTGTCTTCCGAACGGTCATCGCACAGAGTCTGTCTGACGAACTTGTCTCTCCAGTTCTCATATATATGCTACTGCGAGAACGTCTCGTGACAAGTGGCATCTCTCGGACCTTTACCATCGAACAGCTCCAGAATATGGCCGATGATTTGATCGCTGCCGCGACTACGGATCAGTGGCCGAAGATAGCTGTTGCAACCATCTTTCACACTGTCGCGCAAGCAGTCCGCGTCCATGACATCGCTTCCTTCATTCTCCGCTCTAAGCTTGACTGCCTCGGCACACTCAGATTCGAAAGGCTGGCCAACCCTAGATACAGGTACCGGGGACCTCATAGTCTGAACGATCCGGACCCTCAAGGTGTTCCTATAGAGATCCACTTACCACTCAGCGACCCAAGTTGGGAAGAAGAGACGCGCGCGATCCGTGTTCTGTGGCTTTTGGCTGCGTGTTGGCGAGCGATGCAGAGCACGACTACGTCCGGTAGGGATACCGTTGAACGCTTCACAGCACCCCAGCGAGCATTCTTTGGCCTTGAAGATCAAATGACATTGGATATGGCTACCGAAATGGCACAGAGCATAATTTTTGGTCCTTCATTACGGTCGCCTGATGAGCCGAATAAGAGGCTCACTTTCTCTTACGGTATTTTGCAAGCGTACCCGATTAAGGGGACTGTATACACCACTAAAGCTCTCGTCTCTGATTTACTGCCAACATCACCAAATTTCTCTTGGTGTCCAGCGGTTACCTTTGTCCGGCTTGCTAGTGACACTGCCACACGGGGAGAGGCGTACTTCCCCTTCCGACAATAGAGCACCGAGTTATCTCGCATCCGGATCTATAGATTACGTGCTGACAGTCCGTTGCGAGACTCGGACTGAGAAACATTTCATTGCCTCGGTTTTGGCTTCTGGGATTCGCACCGTGTCTGTGTTGAGCTCGGCCTACGTAACCGCGGTCACGATTCTGTAACAATGTCGTTTGGAGTAGATGGAGGCTCCCAGAAGGGCCAGCGTTCAAGTATGAGCGATAACATGTTCCGTGTCTTCAATATATACAAGCAACAGGAGCAGCGTCAAAGACAGGGTTGGTATCGTTGCTAGACGGCGGGACTCTTCATTTGATCCAGTGGGCTATACGTGCCTAAAGACATCAAGAATGCCTCCTCTGGCCACAATGGTACATTGCTTCGGTCCTGCGACACAGTGTTATGCTTGCCGATTGCACGTTCCTTTGATTGACTACCTTAAGCAGATGGCGAGGGTCTTTCTTCCGAGTTCCAGACTCTGGCCCCTTGTACAATACTTCCTGGCCATTATCGCTGACTCACACTGGTAGACCTGCTGTACTAATCACGTCAGTCGCTGTTGCAACGCCGCGACATCTTGTGCCTGTGCAGTTCTTGCGAGCGAGATGCTGTACACGTCGGCGAGCGAGGATACACGCGTGTGCAACACTCGTGCCCTGTCCCTGCGTTGAGACACCCAAGCATAGAGTGTACACGCTGCTGACGCGAAATGTTCATGATCGGTGATAGCCATTGAAGGCCCCATTTAGGTCTCTCGAGATGGCATGAGATGGACAAATGGGATTCCGCTCGGGCCTATATTAGCTGCTTCAAGTCTGCACTTGCTTATTGGAGGGATTCGCGATCGTATATCCTGGTAATCGACTGGATTGACAACCATGACTCAAAGCGATTGAGATATAGTAGCAGTTCCCATATTCCAGGAGTAACTTTGCCTGAAGTTCTAACGATCCTCGGACAATTGCGTCCGTTTATCATCATAGCTCTCTTTCTCGATCGCATGCTTAATCTCTGTCATGGAAGTGAACCGCAGACTCCAGCACCTCTCTATTACACTGCCAAGTACATCCAATACTCTTGTATTTGGAAATTCTCTGCGAGCGATTTTTCCTCGAATCTCTTCCCTGTCTTTAGGCTCCTCTAGTTCAGGCCATGGTTGCTGTCCAGAGACCATGACGTAGAGCGCTGTGCCTAAGGCGAATATTTCTGACTCTGTTGTAATGCCCATGTCTGTCGGGAGGTCGGCACCATCCAGCCTAAACAATCTATGGCTATACCTGTACGAGCAATACGACCTGGCTCCATCTATAGATGCACCTCCCCAGTCTCCAACTTTGAGGTCCAGTGTTTTCGTTAAGAAGAAGTTGAGACAATGTATATCGGCATGTAGTACCCCGAGCCCATGCGCAAACTCTAGAGCCTCTGTCACTTGATAGCCCCATTTGTATAACAGATCCTTTCCGGGTATATGTCCTTCGAGCAGCCAGTCTTGTAGGTTCCCCAGCTCTGCGAATTCAAGCACCAAACCAGCAGGTATTTCGTCGTGGATGCCATGGTAGGATAACAAGCTTGATGGCGGATTGTTCGCAGAAAACCGCTCGTAGACTTCCTGCTCGATGGGCAGAAGGACATCTGCGAACTGCGGATGTATTGATTTGCAGATGTGAGGGTCGGTGCTGTGGTTGGGAAGCAAGTAAATGGTCGATGTGTGGCCGTCACTTCTCGGCAGGGCGGTATATTTGGGTATGGGCAGTTGCGAGAATATGCAAACAACTGCCATGCAGGCCAGCAGTGGCCATACCATCAGGAACTCAAACTTGACGAGTTCGTCTGGACCGACGATTGCTTCTCAAGTAGGTGGAGCGGCGGGCGCTCATAAAAGCTGCGACCAATCGTTCGACCCTCCCAAAATCAAATCAAGTACATCCATACGGCCGAACGAGCGGGGTCGGGTACGGTCGCGTCTTCTGCTTTGATTCCAGAAGAAATCAGATTCTGGATCCGGCCATGCCACATCAAGCCTCATGGTCAGAGGATCTGTTTGTCTCTTATGTTTACCAGGTGGGTGATCACGCTTCGTGTCGCGTTCGTCGCGATATAGGGTCGACGCGTGGCCAACCCGTGCACTCGACGTACGCATTGCGCCACAAACGACAGTGAGCGCCATGGCGACAAGAGATAGTTGTTCAATGCTTCCCTGTCGCTGGTAAACGTTATGTGTGACTGTTAGTTACGCGCCAGCAGTACTGGCCCTTGCGGAGGGTGCTCGTGCTTCGCTTTATCAGAATTAGTGGCCATGCTACTGTATGAACGTGTCCACAAGCAGACGCGTGGTTGGAGTCACTGTATGACGTGTCTCAGGGTCAATGCGCCAGTGGGGCAGTTTCAGGGTGAGATCGGCCGAGCAATTGCTGTCAGAGCTACAGCCAAGCAAATGCTTGTCCAATCCTTGCATTGCTTGTCCAAACCACATTTCCGACGACTGATACTGTCAGTCATCACTGTCGGCAGCGTGTGGATGTCAAGCCCTGCCTTACACTGAGCTCGACTTTGCTGACTTGATGGAGATTCGCTGATCATGCGATGTGCGCTCCAGCATTTCGCACGCAAGAAAACTCGAACGCAGATGTGGCGTGTGCTTATACCTCCCAAGGCCGGCCCAGTCATCGATACAACGTCGATGCAGCATTGAAATTTAGACAAATGGCCTCAATCCTACGTCTTCGGAGTAGCCAGACCTTCGCCGTGTTCATACAGGTGCGGCAAGAACATGACATCCTTCGCCTGATAAGGAATCACAAGGTTATTATCATAAGGAGGTTTCGATACGACTCTCCAAGATATGGATACGGTTCCTCTACACAGCCACACCTGACACATGTCTCCATACGGAGTTGGAAGCACTTGTGGGATGCCCATCAGATGCAACGGCTTCTCGTTCATATCGAAATCTTACATGGCAACACGATAGATCGAGGGCTCAACACACTGTGATGGCATACAAAGTAATGGCCTTGCATGTCGGGTTGTAGAACTTCGAGTTGAACGCCGGACGCGAGTCAGCGGCACATCCCTGAAGTATCGTGTTCACTCCATCGCTCGGAGCGCATCTCAACTCCCGAGGCATACCATTGACAGCAGCTGACGGGAACGAGCACATCACTGCTTGTCTTACTGGAGACTGAGAAGCCGCAAGCGAAAGATCAGTATCGTAGATGTATCCTGGTCCGGAAGGCATGTTCCATCCAACGGTGGACCCATCTGCCATGAGCACAGCACCGTCTGCGCGTAGAGTCCATGTAGTTGCCCCAGCCTGGGGACCGAAGGAGACATAATCTCTGTCGCCAGTAAGGAACTGACCGACTTCATTGCTTGTCGTCGCCTGGAGAATGAAATTCGCAGTCCCAGTACAACTTGGTTGTGCAACAGTTACGGTTGAGAATGCTTGAGCAGTGGTTACGGTCGTGGTACCGATGACGCTGATCAGAGTTGAAGTTACTGCTGGAGGCGGGCTTGCTGTGACAGTCCTGATGGTGGCACCGACGCATGAACAGGCGGAGGAGTATCTCGCGGTACCAGAGCAGGCAGATGCGTACTTCGGCACAGCACTGTTGGTCTGGACATTTGGGCACATTGAAGGTTGGGAGACAGCTCTAACTATAATATCTCGATCTTCGATATCCCGAGCTGCGACTGGGGCCGCGGTAGTATAGATAATCGATGTTGCGGTATAAACGCTAGTGGCCAGGTCCGAAGTCACAAGGGCAGTGACTGTGACCGTGCTGTTTAAGACTCAGTCAGCATGCTTTCCAGACTTGAAAGATTTCACGGCAACAAACCTTGGACAAGGTGTAACAGTTCTCTCGAAGAACGAAACGCAATAAGCGCTGGCAGAAGCGGCGCCTGGCTTTCCAGCGGTAGCACGCACCTGCGCGAGTCCATGGTCAGCGAAGTCTCTATCACTAGGTTGAGCTGCCTCACCGAGCGAAGGCAGTTGTCCGCATTGCATTTTTGCAAAGCTCCGTTCACATGCGGAGCAAGACCACCCAAAACTGCCACAATCCAAGATCCTCGCATGTTGTATGTATCGCTCAACGCGGTATACAAGTGGGCGAAAGCAAAGGGATGTCTGAGTGAGTCAAAATCAGAACCATGGGATTCCGATTCTTTATACTGAGATCCACGGCGCGGAGACTCGTTGAACTTTCAAAGGTTGTGCTAGGTGCGCTGTTGCGAACACACATGAAAACTTCTCCGAGGCTCTCAATCTTTGGCCTTTGGGACGTGCAATCAGCGGAGCTGAAGAAGTTGTTACCATACAGTGATCGAAGACGTACAGGTATGTATCCAATGGGTCGAATCTCATTCACTGTGCACGTACCGAATACGCGGTTGACATAGAGCTTAAACAAGATCTTGTACCTGTACATGCAGACAAGCGGCAAGTCACCAATTACCACATCAGGCACTAGTCTACCGCGGGGTGTGAGATATGCTTTTCAGGGAGAACCATGCTGGGCTGTGATTGGACATCTTGAACTGAAAGAGGAAACCTTCCCTGGAAGCTGCGGAATTTCGTACCGGTGTTGCCCCACGTTGTCGATTCGTCGTCCGCCCCCTGGAGTCACTTGCGTTGTGAAGCTTCAGCATACGCTCGGCCAAGTCCTCCGTTCGACATCAACAAGAAAGAAGCAGTCAAGAAGGTTGGCACGTTCTTCAGTCGCACCTGATCAGACGAAAGTTGCGACCCAAACGTCCATGCTTCTGACACTCTGCCGACCAACTTTCTCTCCACCCACGCTTGCCTCACACGCATCGCGTAAGGCTTGCACAACACTTCTTTCCTTCCTGTCGTTGACACACTCTTCAATCTCCTTCCCAAAAGAGGATGAGAGACAAGCAGATACTTCCCACTGGCCATCCAACACCCCCTCTCCAGATTCAATCTGGTCCTCTCTCTCGAGTCGCCACCCAGCCTCTTGGGCCAATTCAGTCAATCGCTTTGGGCTCAGTACTGTACGGACATTTGAGTGGCTCTCAGCTTTGCGACATTCGAGCGCTGCCTGCGTGAGAGCTGCTAGTACATGTGGGTGAGCTAATGGATTCGTTGCTGTCAAGGACCATTCGGCAAGCAAGAGACGCTTGCTGTGTCTTTTGAGTGCACGGAAGGTCTGGAGAATGAGCGAGGGTGAATGAAAGTACCACAAACAGTGAGCAAGCACCGTCGCATCGAAAGTGTGACTGTCGTCAAGGGACGTTGAAGGAAGCGACGAGAGATAGTCAAGAGGTGGTTGTTGGACCCAAGTGATTTTCCCGCCCAGCTCGCTCTTGGAAATGTAGTTTTGCGCTTGGCCAAGTGTGTATGGAGCTCCTGTAAAAGGAATCAGTATGTTGCTCCTGGTACCTCGGGGCGTTTGCTGGGTCCCCACCGTAATCCAAACTGGCAGGGTCGACGGCCACTATACTTCCGAGCTGACCAACAGCAGATGCCAGTACAGCCGTACAATCACCTTGACCGCAACCTAATTCGAGAACTCTCGCCCCATCGATGGTTGACCAATGTTTCAAAAGCTCAACGCGATGAATTGTCTGTGCATGCTGGATCTTAAAATGCTTCGGGTCATGTAAAGAAAGACGGGCGATTGATGCGGCGTCAAGCTGAGCAGACATGTTGAGGTGGGAATCTATGCTTGTACCAGTAAATGGAAGTGGATCGCGAGAAGAATTCTGTGACACAATCCAACGCGATTGTGAGTGTTATAGATTAGTCGCGTCGCTCCTTCCCATCATCCAGTCGGCAAGGGGTGAGTCATGCGATTGGAGCCGCGCCAATCATATTAGCCTGAATGCCATCCTTCGAAACTGCTGCGTTGCATGTGAGATGTACACAATGCAGCAACAGTGAAATCATCGTGTCCTTGTATGGTATATCCACGCAATACGAGTGAACAAGATTGCATATCGCAACGATCTCTAACCAAGCATCAGTTCGGGAAGCTGACAGTGATGAAGCGTTCGGAGAGGCAGCCGGCAAGCGGGAAACCTCTGGACGGAAAACGTTGTGAACATGCGGCTGACCCCCACTCTTACCCCGCTCATGTGCACAGTGCACCATTCGGGTCGGAGAGACAAGAAGTATATACATGCCATAAACCTGAGAGTTCTTGTAAAATGATACGATGCGACTTCATCAGACTCCTTAGGACCACTGCAAGTGTCCAATCGGCTACCGCTAGGCTATCCTTTCCTGGGAACAAGTTTGAAGCACTACAATTTTCCCGACATGACCTGGTACGCACATATTTATTGATGGTGGAAGAGATTGGATCATGCGGCCTGTAGAAGGAGAAAGCAAAGAGAAGTCAATTCAATCTTGCAATGCGTCTATAATCGTGGTCTGTCGTTAGATTTCTGTCGCTAATATACAAGTGCATCAAACAATCGTCTGTACTTTTGAGCTACCAGCTCTTCTCTGTAAACGTGTCGCCTGAGCAGTGCATCCATCTGATCCCAAGTCCTGATGCCTGTGGATCTCATCAGACCACTCATGTGTTCGTCACCGCTCTGGCTCGGGATCGCGTGACTCTCCATGGTCATCTTTGCCCATATCGCAATATCCTGGTATTTCGTGCCCATCAGCTGGTGGGTCTTCAAGTTTCGAGCCGCTTCAGCATGAATATGAATGCCCAACTGGACGTTGAACTGCCACTCTAGGCTGTGTGCCTCGACAGCCGCCAACAAGATGAAACCGTTTGCGGATATCAAGGCTGAGCGAATGTGGTAAAGAGCGTTTAGATCTGTCTGGTCCCAAGCCTCCTCATATGAATCAACTGGCTCTGGAGAGATGGAATGGCTGGCGCTCCAGGATATTGTCTCGATGACGAGTTTCCGGTACGTTTGGACAGAGTGCAAGCCAGTATATTCGAACGTCGCGCATCGAGCAACGATACTGAGCAAGCTTAGAGCCTCTGGAACCTCGCCTGGGACAACGTGGAAGCCAGAAGGTAGACCCTCAGGAAGTACTGTGCCATAGATGAGGGACCTTGTTGCGGAAGACGTTGCTTCGGCGATGTATCTCTCTTGCGTAGCCTCTTGGAAACATGTCAACGCTACATCTGCCAAAGCAGCGATGCTCCCATCCTCCAGCGAACCGAGCGCGAGTGGTAGAGCTTTCCACGCTTGTAGGTGTACTTCGTATGACTGTTGATCCCCGAAACGGCGTTCCCAACCAGCAAGTAACGCGATCGATATCGAGTTCAGACTGTCCTTCGAGTTGTGGATGATAGCTTGCTGAACGCCCTCTAGAGACGCGCCACGGAGGAATAATTGACCACTACCGAATCCAGCGTGTAGTTCATGTCGAGTCACACCACAAGTGTTGGCGAAAGTCCCTGCGACGAACAATGCGGCTTCGAAACATGTGTTACCACCGGTGAAGGCGTTCCAGAGCAGGATGCGATCGGCTTTTTGCGCCATGGAGGCGACGGCATGGGCATCGCGGGAGCGGAGTCGTGAGAAGAGGAGGGAGATCGTGTCGTAAGCCGCTCTATCTGCCGTATCCTGTTTGTCGACTTTTCCCGATCCTTTTGTTGCTTTTCTTGATCCTGAGGCTTTCGCGATGGACACTTTCCTTGCGATGGTAGCTTTTCTTGCTCCAGAAGATGTGTGCGCGACATGAGCTCGCACGACTCGTCGCTGTTGTGTGTAGACTCCCGCGGCTCGACGTTCTTTCAATGCTCGAGGATCATATTCGACCCATGCGAAGGATAGTTGGTTTCCACTACCATCAGTCATGGTCACCGTGCGAGACACATTTGAAGTCTCTGCCGTGGACGAGGATGTTGATGCAAAGATTCACGAAGTTTTCGGTGGAATGATCGCTCGCTTGAGCCAAGAAAACAATGACGCTGTACGAAGAGCTTGAGGCTATATGATCGCCCGGACGCCGATGTCCCGAAGCTAGATAAGACATATCTCACCTGACGAGTCAACAAAACCTTGACCCTCAAACCATAATGATTCGAGATCGACAGAGCCGTGTGAACGACAAGTGACTGCCATGTGTGTCAGGTCGCTTTACAGTGTCTTAGACTTGCCAATCTGAGCTGACATTGCGACCGTTAATGAGTTGAAAAACCAGTGTCCGAATTGCTCCGGGTGAAAACGAAGATCCCTTGGCGATCGTGTGTATACCAGGGTGCCCCTAGAAGCAACAAATGTTCGACCTTTGCTCTCCTTAAAGGCTTCCTCACGGGTCGGTACACTGCTCCGTAGTCGCCCTACGATTGATCTAATTGTGTGCAGTGTAATCTAGGCTCTAATGGGCGTAAAAAGAAGAAGATGGGTAATGTGCAACAGATCTGCTGAGATGTGACTGATCAGCCCGAATTTCTAACACGACACTTAACTATAAAAGGACGGTGCACATTGTGACCCTCTGAACGACCTTCTATACATCATCTGTCGAACCTATCATCGAAAAGTAGACACCACTTCCACAGGCGATAGGAAGCACTTAATAGTAAAGCAAGTCGAAGAACATACCAGAATATGACGCTGGTTAGCCGGATTTACTCACGAAAGTGGGGAGGCTCAAAGTTCTGATCAGTGAACTCTTGGCGATTGAACCGTTCCTTCGCAAAGTCTCTTTCAAACTACAGGAGCTACTTTGCGGACTGAAAGGCTTATCGCAACCTTGCCGGAGACCTGTGACCGATCCGAAGCAGATGACTGTGCTGCGCCCCGAAGTCACGCTTATGCGATGCCCATATTCAGAGATGGGAGTCGCTCCTTCTTAAGCTCTAAGTAGGCCGTTTTAGCACCTCCTGTTTAACACCTTGACAGGAGCGTTTCTCGAGCTCTAAGTGGCTAGTCGATCAAGTGGCGAGGGTTAAGGTGTTCAAGGCGTACACCATGGTGTTAGAGCCGTACAGGAGCTCAATTCGGCTAGTCTGAGGCATAGTTCAGCTAGCTCGGCGGCTAGCTAAGCTCCGAGGTTGCAGAGGCCTCTAAGCTCTAAGTTCGTAGCGTAGCTATCTATATACACCTCGTTGTTAGCATAAATACTTAGGGCTCTTATCTACCGGCAAGCGAGTGGAGCAATAGTCAGTCCAGTTAGCAGTCGTTACCGTCGATAGATACCCTCGGCCTTACTTCGCCAACTTAATCTAGCGCCCCCTAGAGCGCTTAGAGCGCTTAGAGCCAGTAGAGCTAGCAGAGCGCTTAAAGTTCTTAAAGGTCTCGCGGAACTAGTCGTATAAGAGGTGGTAGAGGCAGCAGAGGTCCGCGTAGCGTAGCTAACTATAATCAATCCGGCCGCCACTAGACTAAGTAGCGCAACAAGGATCTTCTCGACATCCTTTAGATCTATACGCCGGCGTACAACCGCATCCCGAACTTAAACTAGTTTCGTCGTATCTAGAAGCACTAGAAGTAGAAGACTGGCTATAACTACGCGTCGATAAAGAGGAGGATCTAGAGCATAGTTAACGAGCGCCGGCGCGTATAGCGGCTAAGGACGGAGACCTCTAGAACTGAGAATGAGACTGACTATACAGTCAGCATAGATCGGTTTATAAGAGAGGTGTAGGATCGTGCTGCTAAAGAGAACTTAGCAGCAGCGCTTAGCGTAGAGGCTTAGCGACGATAGAGCCGTCGAACTAAGCGTGATCGAGAGCGTATAACTGCTCGAGGCGCTTAGCAGCGCTCACTTAATGACGAGAGCGACGAGGACGCTACTTTAGCTGCTAATGTTAACGACTTCGATACGTAGAGCGTTAACTTAGAGCTAGTAATTAATGTTAATGTCGAAGTGAGTAACAGCGCTGCGCGCAGAGGCCGAGGTATAGCAAGTTCAGTTAGTTCGCTAACGTAGCGTCGTCGCCGAGGTGGCAGCTATAGCTTAAGTAATAGCTTAGTAACGATACCTTCGTAGGAAGAGCTATTAGTTAACCTTATAGCTATCGCTAATCGCGCCTTTCTAGCAGCTGTAGCGCTAACTTAAATGGCTCCTATAGCAGAGATTATAGAGCTTAGAACTAAGGTTACTTAGCTTAAGGCATCGATATAACGACAAGAGGCTATGCTCGCTTAGCTACTGCGCCAGTAACAGCCAGTACTAGCGCTAGTACCAGCGCCAGTACCAGCGCAAGTTAAGCCGCTCTATTATACGCCTTATCAGCCGAACTAGTTCGTACCGAACGCTTAGAACTGGTAAAATTCATAGCTATCTATAGCTCTATTAAAAGGTATTGCTTAGGAGATGGCGGAGAGCATAAAAAGCGAATCGACGACTGACTCTAGCTACTAGTATAGGTATATAAGTTCGTNATTAGTATAGNAACACGGTAGAAGCTAGCTACCGCTTNATTTCTAAGGTTAAGGCCTTTAGTAAATGCTGTATATGTCTATAAGGACTNAGTTCGACTAAAGGCATGCTTAACTGCTATTCGGACCTTTAATAGACGCCTNTTAAAGGCTCTCTGTTTAGCGGTAAGGTATCGGAAGCTATACTAATGCTTATACGGCGCTATAACTCTAGGGTNGTTGCTATACGNAAGGTCTCTATATANATAATAGCGCTCGCCCTTAAGTAGCTTATTAAGCTTCGAAGGCACTATTAAGCTCTGCTATATAGACTAGTCGTTGTCGCGGCTATAATAAGGACCTANAAGCGAACTAANAAGGCNATCTAGTGTAACAATTGCCTAATACTTAAAGCTATAGCTATAGTAATGGCTAGAGAAGTAGTCTCGCTNACGGCGCTAAGGTCGATTAAAGCCTCTAAAAGTACCGTCNACAAAACCCTATATACTAACTCTACCTCCTCGCCGGCGTATACACTTAGCGTACTCTTAAATTCGCTTAAGACGTAGCCGAGGATGCCACTTAAGCAGCTGTCGGTGCTCTCTATTAAGGAATTTAATGGTATCGCTAAATACCGTGCTTAGATAGCTACGGCAGCGACTAAAGTGGTCGTAAAGCACCGTCTAGTCGTTCGGAAAGTAGAGGCGAGCGTAGGTAACTGCTATAGCGAAGTATAGCGACGGTGGATTTAGTCGGTTGTTAAACTCGAGAGTATTAAGCTTTAGGAGCTACGTTAACTTAACTACTTTATCCCTGCTAAAGCGACAGAAGAACTTAAATTTATCGGCAGGCCAGCTATTAAGCTGCTAGTCGAAGTGGTTGTATAGTAGAGGGGCTCGGTAGATAGTACGCCGAGAACGACGGCGCTAGCAGAGAATAACAGCGACTATTAGTATAAAGAGGAAGCGACGACGGAGCTTATCTATAGCTGCTGTATACTAGAGGTTAGCAGTAGTAGTGGCAGCAGTGATGACAACGACGACGAGATAGAGGGGTTGTATACGCTAGTACTACTAGCTGCTAGCGCTAGCAGAGCTGATACTATGGCTCTAAGGCCTCGGAAGTGGCGTATACTTGCTTGCTTATTCAAGCTGTATGGTGTTGAACAGGAGGTGCTAAAACGGCCTAGTGACTCGCTCCTTCCTTCCTGAAGGGAGCGCAAAGCTTAGATCTTCTGCTATTCACCATCTACCGCCCATCGTCAGTCAAAAGCCGCCGGCCAAGCCAGATCGTCAAACTTCAGCGCGCTACTTGTCGCGACGTGGGAACAGTGAAGCGACCAGAACGGAAAGAACAAGGTCATGTTACAAGCAGGAGAGGACGTTCGCGTCACAAACCCTCGACACGCGTGTATAGTCGCGCACGCCCTCTTCAAATTGTGAGGCCCTCTGCCATGGGCGCATAGTTTTCGGATCTCACATAGAGAGCGCTGGGCCTCGGTGGAGCACCCATCGTGAGGGACTTCCTGCCCGCATGAAAGAGTCGGTCGCCTGTCAAGAACGATTTCTCCACTCGGACGCCAACTCGTACGTCGTCGAATCTGGAGATCATAGCTCGCATGAGCAAGACAGGTGTATGAGCATGGCTGCCTCTCACTCCACGGCTGCGGTAGGGTTCAAAAACTTTGAACAAAGTGCACTTGGCGGTTCCCGATGTCTCCGTTCTCCATTGCTTACTGGGATCTATATGTGGCGGGCGCCCCGAAAGCCCTGTCTCCATCTCCCCTCTGAAACATCTCATCAATGAACGCGTGCCTCTTCAATGCGACCTCCCAGTCGGCGTAAGACTCCTTCTCACCCTTGGCGAATGCTTCATACAAACGCCCGACGTTCTGAGCCGGACGCTCTAGGTCTGTCAAGTCATCCTGCGGCAGCTCAATCGTCTGCGTTTCCTTTTCTCCAGCTTGTTTGTACTTGATTACGACGCCCTCGTGCTCGATGTCAAAGCAGCCTCTCGTATTGGTGATCAATATGTCTCCTTCATCACCGTTGATGAGCCAGCGGCAACCGGGCTCTCTGGGGAAGGCTTCGCCCGCTCGCAACTGATAGGTAACAAGCGTACCAGATTCAAAACGACCTTGTAGGCGAATGTTGTCGGGACACTCTTTCTTGATGCTATCAACGACTTTGCCGCCTTGAGACGGGTCCATGAGCTCGAGAGTCGGGTAGTCGATGCCCATGATGCTGTCGTAGGTCTCGAGCTCGCCAAATACCTCAAACAGACAAGTGATGCCTGCTCTGACCAGCGCCTTTCGGTGTCGTATTCTTGAAGAACTTACTGTGCAGGAACCAGATGGTTGCGAAGTTTGCACCAGCTTTGCGTTCGGCGAGAATTTGAAACGAAGTCGGCAAAGCTTTGTCTAGGGGAAGTACAGTCGTGCCGATGAGAGTCGTGCTGAGAGGTCTGCCAATCTTGCCTTCAGCTATGAGCTTCTTGACCAGGTGCACGACAGGACTGGCTTGGCCTTGAGAGCCGAACATGGTTTTGACACCTTGTTGCTCCGCCAAGGTGACGAGTTCTTTCATCTGCTCCATGTTCGATGCAAGAGGCAATTCGGTATACACGTCTTTGCCAGCTTTGATTGCAGGTAGCAGAACTTTGCAGTGGCTCTCGTTACCAACAACGCAGACAACAAGCTCGACATCTGGATCGACGGCCAAGTCCTCAGCGGAACCATAACTCCTGACCGACTCGGGAAGCTTGAAATGTTTGACTGAGTTCTTCGCACTTTCGACCGAGGAGTTGCAGACGGCCACTATCTCATAGTACCTCTTTCCCTGCTCCGATTGCAGGTAGGGTAGATGTGCAAGGGTAGCCCAGCTGGTGACCTTGGATCCGGTGCTGAGACCGACAAGCCCGACCTTGTTGGGTGCCATGGTGAGTAATCTGAAGTGGATCGAGAGGGTGACTTCTCTGTCTAGCAGACTGAGGTAGTTCAGTTACATACTGTCTCTCCGCACGAACTCGGACACGACGGACTCTGTTCGTCGCAAAGCCCGTACTGTGTTTGATCCGCGGCATGCGGCAAGTCGGAGTCGGCGCAATGATTACACCGTAAAGCATGAATTTTAGGGTGATTCTAAGCAACGCTTGTCCGAACGCGACATTCAGCTCGCACAAAGAATCCTCTGAGACGACACGTCTTGCATTCGAGTCATGATACATTTGCCAAGGAGCAGCAGCACTGGTATGTGCGGCCTGGCTGTCACCTCATCTTGACCAAACAATTCACAGTCATGATTTGGTACCTGGCTCGTTACAGAGTGACACCGTATGTCGAATGTATAAGCCCCCGATCATTATTGATCAATTGCTGTTGTGTTGCATACCCCAAGAAGAAGCGCGAGCCTCGAACAAAGGTTGAATCTCGCATCCGTGGAAGTGAGGGGAAGCGCGAGGATGGACCCTTGTCAAATGGCAACGCAATCACTACTTTTGAGGAGTCTAATTCGAACCTTGGATGCAATGCGAAAATGTTGCCCTGAGGAATTGAGGATGATGAGATGACTCGTCACCGCTCGATAGATTAATTCGCTAGTAATCCATAGCAAGTACCTCGCGCCTGCATCTGCTCATTCACATCCTTGAAGCCATCCTGAAGCGTGCCATTGACCTTGCTCTGTCCTGACAAGCTTTGAGAAAGCATGCGAACCGACCCGGCTTCTTGCTCGAGAAAGTGAACGGTGTCCTCATCGACGGGACGTTGAGCAAGCGGAACAAGCAGATCCCGCAGGATGGATTCTGCTTCGCTGTACTCTTGTTGTTGTATCCGCACGTTCGAGAGATTGTAGAGCTCTCTGGAAGCAGCTTCTGTACCTTCCTGTTGCTGCATGACGGGGATGATGTGTTGATATGATTCTTCAGCCCTTGCAAGGTCGCCCAAGGAGACATGTCTTAAAGCCTCGGAGGTCATGTCTGTCAAGTTGTTCTTGGTCGAAGTATCCATAGTTCTGCCCTTTGTCAATCGAATTCACAGTCTCTGTCCCGGAACAGACGACTTGCCAGTTTTATCAGATAGCGGAGAGTGTAACACGTTGGAAGTATAGAAGGTGTTACGATTGCTATGATACCAAGCTTGGTCATTCTGTTGCCTGAAAATCAAGCCAGCCTCAATACCTGTCTTATGCTCACGTCATCATGCATAAACACCACCCAATCAAGCAACGTTGCAACCATCCCATCCACGAGCTTCGATGGAAGGTCTCGACATTGAACCTGCACGCCTCCGATACAGGTTTCAACCATGCAGTTTAGGGTGAACTCTTCTGAAAGACTCAGGCTCAGCCACGGCCAAACGACCAGGTGCATCATGGTGGATCATCTCGCCGTACTTGACCTGCCTGTTGCCAACTTCTCGAATCAGGTCTTTGACTCCTGCATTCGCGACAGCTGGATGGTCGAGTACCGGCGCATGGAAAGCGTTTGCGATTTCGAAAGGTCCGAGAGTGACTACGCGACCAAGTTGCCAGTAGCCATAGTAGCTGGGCAGGACACACATAATGCAAACGATGATCGATGCGATCGCTCCGTACATAAAGCCACGGTTGGTCATGTAGTGAACGCTACTGCTGTACTCCAAGGCAGTGAGTTTGGTAGTGTTGGCTGTGTTGAAGTCGTCGTATCTGAGGCCCCATGGGTTCATGGTCAGAGTAAACATCAGCTAGTTGATCTGATTGACAATATAGTCAAGTGGATCATCATAAGTGTAGCCACAGCTATGATTAGCAGGAGTTGGCACCTTCCACCTGCCCTTAGCTGAGTCAGCCGGGTAAACATTGAAATTTTCCCCAGTAATGTTGTAAGAGATCTGAGAATAACCGGAAAAGTAGTGATTGAGTACCTTGGCGATGCCTATTTCCGGAGAATTCCATTGCTGTTTGCCCAGCTCAGGAGGTCCGAGGAAAACCAATCGGCATCATCGAGAGTGTAGGTATTCCCAATCTTGGGGAAGGAGCCAGTAAAAGGCATTGTACTGTTGAATACAGCCATAATGCTCGTGTTATGTCCGCGATCCGGACCGACCTCAGTAGTGGCAGCTTTTTGTAGGAGTATGCCATCGATGATCGTCAGCTTTGCCGCGAGAGCCGCAAGTGCGATGAATTGAAGTATTTGCCGTATAGCACCACGTCTTCGATGCTGGCGCCAAATGCCCACGAGCGGTGGAGATCCTGGATAGTGGCGCCTTTGAGAGCTTTCCATTGCCACACCGTTACCAATAGCTATGCCGAAACAAATGTTCGAAACACCATTGAACCCAGACAAAAGTACATTAGGGCCGATCTTATCAGCCCAATGCTTTTGTCTATGACCGTCTGAGACAAGCAGAACGATGACAGAGCTAATTGCGCAGAAGACCACCATCATGAGCGCAGTGAAGCCTGTCCAAGGAAATCTTGCTCTTTTGCCAGTCTTCCACTGAGCATCAGGGAAAGCTTGTTCGGCACAGTCGAGCGGAACAGTATGCACTTATGCTGTTTCTTTGCCAATCTGCATGATTGTAGAGAATGATGATAATAAGTTGTTAGCAGAGCATTGTCTCGGGAGCTCCAAGGTATATATTTGCTTCAGCCAGGCGCCAAAAGTGCGGCATCAGTCAGTGACTCTCAGGTACTGCGTTTTCGGATCAAACGATACCATTTTTCAGAGTCTGTTAAAGCCGTGGCTCCTGCAACGAGCGCTCGCCCATTTGGTCGACTAGCTGGAAAGGAATACATCCGCTCGCGGCTCGCTTTCGACCGTGGTGAGGGTGTGGTTAAGTACTGTGCATGAAAGTATGAGGTGGGTTTTTTGCTACAGGCATCACAGCTCGAGCCAAGTTGTGAGAACGTTGTTGTCGGATCGCCCGAATGTGGATTGCTGCCCCCATATCGTGGGTGTGGCTCGTTCAGCTGTGTCTAAGGAAGCAAGTTGAAGCTGAAACGCAAGAAGAAAAGTCTACTGGGCCTTGGCGTTGCAGGGGCCGGCGGCCTTCATAGACTCTCGGATGTCCCCAAACTCGTACGCGACACACGCGTTGCCAACTTATCCACCAATCTCTGCGCTTTGAGCGCGATCTGACTGCTGTGTCTGAGGTACAACGTTCAGCAATAGCATTCAACATTGACATTGAAATACTGCGCACTTAACGCTGCAGTCTCGTGCACGAGACACTAGGCAAGACTCCATCTGAGTGTCGCGGTTATTCTTGCCAATTTGACCATCGACCAACTTCGGCACCATCCCACTTACGCCGATCCCGTGTCCTGGGCTCGTTCTGGTACACATCTGCACTGGAAAAAGCGCGAATCGTTTTTCAACAGCTGAACAGCAGACAACCCTCACTTGCAAATTGTCTTTGACAGCTTCGTGCTGTCCCATCTCTGGAGCTCACGCCATGACTTAGAGTGTTCGTCAGCTCATCGTTGGTCACCTAAAGGACTGGCAACCTTTTCCATCTCGACCGGGTCATGTAGAATCGGAGCCGCGCCTGTAGGCACAAGGTCTGGATCACTCATTGACCATCGAAACTCACGCGTAACAACGCGTATTTGGAGTCGAAGTTTCCAGGCGCGTACGCGTTCGAAAGCATCTTCTTGGCTAGATCTCTTTGGTTTCGACCACAAGCCTGTTGACAAGAGCCCTCGGCCAAGCCGTGAGACCCTCGGAGACAGCCAAAGATGGGTCGCATTCCGGGGCATGCGCCTCGTAATCGAGCCCTCTCGACCGTCTTGTGAGCCCCAAACCCGATTGGCCTGGTACGTACCATCACGGCTCGAATACACAGACAGAATAGGAAGAAGCTAAACCTGGAATCTCTACTTTGTGAAGCGATTACCTTGCACCATGCACGGTCACCACGTGAGGTTGGCTCTAGCTGAGGTGCATGTTCACAGAGATATACTTACCACGCTTTGCGTGCATATCAAAAATACTCCTGCCATGGCGGCACCGAAGAGCATCTCGCCATTACGGTCGCTCAGCTCCGTACTGGATGATGGTCTGTAGACACACATTTGCAACCATTCTTCAATCCTAGAAAGAGCTGTCACGCGAGCTAACACGGAAAAGTCATTCGGTTTCTCCATCTCTAGGCGTCGAAGCTGCAAGCCCACTGTTCTAATCTGCATTTCCAAAAGTGATATATACCTTCGCGGCGCACTTATCGAGGGCAGTGTTCCTGCATCTGATTTCCACTATTGACTCGCTCTTGCACACGAATCATCACTTCCATAACTCTGATCGTCGTTCACACCTCGGGATTTCTTTGCAACTCAACCACGATGGCCAGCGACGAGGCAATCAGACCGATCGACATCGCATCCGAAGGGTCCGTAGACAAGTTTAAGAACGAGGTGATGGTTACCGCTACTGCTATCGAATCGTCCGACTCTCCCAAGCAGCGTCCTACCATCCAACTAAAGGGCCGCCGAAGAACATCTTCCTCTTCGGGCTCACCAGAGCAAACGAATGCATATACTGAGAACACCGATGATTCTCTCACACAGATCGGCAACCTCATCAAGAAGATCCATGGCTTTTCCATTATTACCCGTCACGCACTTTACGTGCTGCCAGTAGCGACACTTCTGGTCATACCTCTTGCACTTTTCGATACTGTGTACAAGGATGCCCGGGCAGGCAATATCCGACTCCTCGGTCTAATTATCTGGCTAGAGGTCGTCTGGGTCGGTCTCTGGGTCTGCAAGCTGCTTGCGAAAGTGCTTCCTGTGGTCTTCCAGGCCGCATGTGGACTAGTCAGTACCGGCATCAGAAAGTACTCGCTTGTACTCATGGCTCTTAAGATTCCACTGAGCTTGTTCCTCTCTTCCATTGCAAATTGGGTCACTCTCCCTGTCATCTGCTCTTTCGATCAGGGCCACTGTGGTGAGAAATGGGTGACGACACTCCACACTGTCTGTCTTGCCACCATCGCTGTCTCTGCCGTCTTCTTAGTCGAGAAATTCTTCGTACAACTCATCAGTATCAACTATCACCGCAAACAACACGACAGAAAGATCAGGGACTCCAAGAGATTGGACATTATGTACGAAGCTTCTCGTCAGCTATCACCACCATTTTCTCGCGAGTTTGCTGATCTCGACTACGACATCTTCTACCCCGACACTTCAGGGATCAAGAAGAAGCTTGGTCAAGCAGGCATTCGCACTACTGTCATCAACGACATCGGACGAGCAAGGGACAAAGTCACATCAGCATTCGGTAACATCGCGTCGGAAATCTCTGGCAAGGCCATCTTCAATCCAAATTCCGCACACTCCATTGTCATCGGAGCACTGGAGACTCGTCGCGCGTCCAAAGCATTGGCACGTCGTCTTTGGCTGAGCTTCGTACCTGAAGGTAAAGATGTGCTGCTTGTCCAAGACATTCGCGACGTCCTCGGACCTAGTCAAGCTGAAGAGGCAGACGAGATCTTTAATGCCCTCGACAAGGACTGCAATGGCGACGTTAGTCTGGACGAGATGATCATGCTTGTCATGGAAGTCGGTCTGGAACGCAAGAATCGAGCTTCTAGTATGCACGACATCAGTCAAGCGATTGGAGTCCTCGATCGTATGCTCGTTGTTGTCGTCTTCATCGCTATTGCTTTCATCTACGCCGCTTTGTTCAGCAAGACACTGGCTACAAAGACGGCTCAACTTTGGTCTGTACATACTGGCCTGGCGTTCGCAATCGGAGGTACAGTGACTGAATTCCTCAGCTGCTGCATCTATCTCTTCGTCAAGCACCCTTACGATGTCGGCGACCGCGTCGATATCGACAAGACTGAGCTCACCGTCGAGCACATCTCCCTCATGTATAGTGTCTTCCGCCGCGTTGATAACGACAAGACCGTCCAGATCTCTCACATTGTCGCAAACGGCCACTGGATCGAGAATGTGTCTCGAAGCAAGGCCATGAAGGAACGCATCACTCTGGACGTCTCCGCAGCAACGAAATCGGCAGATCTCAACGCCCTACGTGTCGAGCTGGAAGTATTTGTGAGAGCTCCTGACAATGCTCGAGATTACCAACCGGTCTTGATGCTGAAGTCGTTGGTGTCGGCAATCTCAATCATCTTGAACTTATGATCGAAATCAAACACAAGATATGTGTACTATCAAGGCTATGGGAAATGATGCTGACTTTCCTTCTCAGTCAAATTTCTCGAACGAATCGTTGCGTGCGTCGCGGAGGATCAAGTTTATGGTTGCTCTTTTGACTTCCGTGAAGAGTGCAGGTATCGAAGCACCAGCTTGATTGTCATTCGACAATTTAGTGACACATGACTTTTATTGTCAACGATATACGATGTATCTTGTCTCTTATTGCCTCGAATAAGTAACTCTCACATATGCTCGAATTTGTATTTGACCATTTCCTTTGGTCGTTCTCGAGAGCGACTAGAGAAAGAGGGTTGTGCACGTAGGAGAGAGCAGATTCGATTACGCGTGATAGATTACAGATGAGTCACAACTCCATCGCACCAAGCGAGCTGCTTCCATACCAATTTTACTACCTTCCTACTGAGGTCGAGCTGTCAGAAGGGCACCCCAAGCTCTCCATTATCGAGGACGGGACCACGTCTGAATGTCGTCGGAGAATGACCTCATGGAACTCAGTCTGCCTGCTGTTATGACTGAGAGGCCCAGTATCGCCTTGGTAAGTAGTCGGTGCTTCAATGCTTCGCGTTGTTCTGACGACCTCAAAAATCTACCGCCTTCGCAGTGGTCAGTGATCGAATCAGGCTCCGTATCCCGTCAATCTACAGAATGCTATGAGTCCGAATGCGTTGACTCTTGCAGCTTTATTGCTGTGGGTGTAAACTAGTTATACCACACAGTCTTTCGACGTCGCTAATACTGGTGGCTCCGTCTGTTGCATGCAGGGACAGCAGTATCTTTGTTGTCAGGGGATACTGTTTCAGTCAGTCGAGAGGCGTCGCGACCGAGGAAAAGACTCACTGTGCCATGGCCGAAGGTATCACTCTGACGGAAACGCGTTGCCTCCTTTTCTGTCGTCGAATATGGTGCATAAGTGCTTGGTAGATCATCTTCTCAGAATGCAAGATCATCGCTCGAACGTCTCCATTCGTCCTGGCCGGCATGAATTGACGCCTGATCATCTCGTGACCGAAAGCAGTGATTGATGACGCGTGCTAATATGTATGTTATTGAGTTCGTGTGGATACTGTCAGGAAGGCAGACTGTTTTACATATGTCAAAATGGATGTTGAGGCGGACTGTCCGCTGGCACTCAAGTGCGGCTGTAATCTCTTCCCTCAGATAGTTCCAGGCGCCCGCTTGCAGCAAGCCTGTTGTTGTCATGTCTATCTCATCCGTCGAAGAAATCGGTATGCTCCAAGGAGATGTCGCTGTTCCTGTCTTGAGTCGGCTGGAGTACGGTCAGTGAAACGACCAACGTTCGTCTCCGGCAGGACATATACTTGAGAATCTCATACGAGCGCAACAGGCAAGCAGTCACCAAATAGTCAATTGTGGGTGAGGCGCAGATCGGGTGTAAAGCACGAACTTGCGTTCCGGTTTTGGTCTGGCACAATGCTCTTGACGCTTCGCACATCTTTGGCTAATGGGAAGGGTGCCATTACCTAGTGTCTCGCTGTCAGTCGTCAATGTGAAGTTGTGTAAACGGCAATTTTGTGCTCACATTTTACCTTGCGACGACGACAGGCAAGGCTGTAAGGATGATGAACATTGTGTCCGATCTCAGATGCGACCATACTCAGCACGCTGATTCACATGTCTGCCTGGTCTTAATGATCACACTGTGTTCCAGAGTGTTTCACAGTCTGCAGGCACCGCTCGAGGCATCTTGATGCAATCAGATATCTGGCGTCAGTACATGACGAATCCTTACGAAATGCCAAAAGGGATGTAGGACCGACGAAGCGGAGATTGACGTAGAAGCTTTTGATAGTTAAAAAGTGTGTAGCTCTAACAAATTTAAGGACAAATGACGATGTAGCAGTACCTAGCTATAAACTAAGAGGAGGACATTCTAGAAGTGAAGGTGTCGGATAGAATTGACACACACGTCACTGTAGCGCAAAGCTCGCGTCCAGGCTTCCTTAGACCCTAACTATACTCGGAGGGTTACCCTACTTAATCCTTAAAATGTGCAATAACTAACGACTACTGGTTGTAATAAACCAGCATTAGCTAGCCTTAACTTAGCACGTCCTTGTTTGTGGGTGCGTACAGAATAACAGATTCTCAGCTCGATCTATCTCTAGTAACTGGCTACTAACAGCTACAAGATGACAAATGACTGATGTTCTGAGTCATGACTTTGCCTATCTTGGTGTCCAAAAGATGTTTTCCAAAATTCTGACGATACTTGAACAGAGCGCCATTATAGTGACAAAAGTCAGACCTGTATTGCCGCTCAGGAATTGCGTGCTTGTAAGAACAAAAGTTGCATAGAGATATACTCCGACTGCGAGTGTCTCAATGGTTGCCTCGTACCATTTCCAGCTGCGAATACCCGTCTCATCAGGCATACTGATCGACAGTGTAATGGTGTGCAAAGTTTGAGTGATCTTGTTGGCTGGCGTAGAGGGTGTGACAGGAGCCACAGGAGTGGCAGGTGTCGCAGACATTGTGACATGAGTTTGGGATGACGATACTGTCGTAGGTGCGGTGGCAGGCGCGCCAGAAGGAGCGGCTGGCGTGGATGTCATTCCAGCGCTACTCGGTGGTGTTATCGGTGCGGATAGCGGGACAACATGATTGGGAATTGCTGGAGGCGACGTTGCAATTGTCGCCACCGGACTGGGTATGCTACCAGTATTCGGGGTCGCGTTAAAGCTGGGGAGTATTGATTTCTTCGAAATCTCAAGTTCAGTGTAATACTCATAGTTCCGATAAGGCAATCTTGCAAGTCTTATCAGGCCAAAGTCCTCGAGTCCATCCCTGTTGTTCAATACAACCTTGATCGAATCACTCAGAAGCCAAAGAATCAACAACGATAGCAGGAGCCATACGACGCATGCACAAGGCCTATATAATGTGCCGATAAGCATGTAGTCGCAACAAACTTTACGAAATCTTTGGAGCTTACCACATAAAGATCAGAAAGCCATATTCGCAGCGCCATGTAATCATGACTCTCGAGCCCACCCGATAATTGAACCAGAGAGCGATGGCGGCCAGACCCAGAACTAGAATGTCGACCATGAATGTGACCACAGCGCTTCTCCAAGGTTTTCGTTTCTTGAGTTCCGCTGAAGAAGGCAACTGAAAACTCCATTGCCTGGTCTTGGGCGCAGCAGGGATCGCGTCGGTCAGACTAGTGTTGGTCGCTCGCAACTGACGGAATAAACCAGATGGCAAACCGATGCCGAAGCAGACAGTAGCCAGTGCACGATGCGGCGAGAGAAAGGCCAGCTGAACCAATTCCAGGGGTGATGCAGCGACGAGTGCGAGTATGGTGGGCACAAGGCCAGCGATGGCGCCACCGCTCTGAAAACCAGCAGCTGCGTCGGAAGGGAGCTCATCAAGGACGCAGCGCATCAACAGCGGACACTTGCCAAAGTCAAAGTTTTCTTGGTTGAACCCACCGCAGGTTTGCGATATGTTCTGGGTGGAGTAATCGGTCGGGTCGCCAACGTAGCGTGTCATGGCCTGACTTGTGGTGATGAGAGTCACAATGAGGAAGCCTTCGAGCAGGCACGTCTGTCGGGATGGCATGGTAATGTTCTATGGTCGCCAATTCAGCGTGAAAATGCTATTTGAGTGTATCGAGCTTGCATAGCAATCGCGACGGGTCGAAGAAGTGTCTAAAGATTGGGATTTTTGAATGAGCGCGAGAACAAGGTCAGAATCACTCGACAAAAGCCACGTGGTCACATGCGATATGCGAAATGCCGTGAAGATGTGCTTATATTGGTCGAAAATTGGAGCAATATAAGCTGCATGTTAGCCCTACGCCGCGCACGCTGGCGATCGGCTTTTGCTTCCTTCATGCGACAAGAAATAAGCGGCACACTGGAGAATAAACGTAGTTGCGACATGGGACGGTCACAAAGCCCTGTCGACACTGTCCTTAAGGAATCTTGAGAGGGCTCCTGACGGTGCTTGGGCCTGAGACGTTCTACAGGAGCTGCCTTACTTTGAGGTGCTTGGGACGTTTTCTCTAGAAGCTTGCTTACTACGATTCATCTGCGGCGAGCGACACGGGAAGTATCATCTGAATCTCGAGCTTTCCATTTTATGAGCAGGATCAGAGTCTGCGCCGCTCTGGCAGACAAGACCTGCTTGGTTAGACAAGGCAAGTATTGCCACAACGTTGATTACATAGGCCCGCGACGCAGGCAAGTTCGGTCGTCTGCATCGACAGCCAGCGAAGGACAGCGCCGTGCACAGATTGAGCGGCGCTTTCGGGCCTGGCCGAGTACTGAGCTGGGGGGAAGTGTCGCCCTCAGCAGGAGGCGGCAGCTTCTAGACAAACACGCCGAGAGACAACGAATGCCCTCCTGCTATTCTCGGCCTCATCTTGTGTCGCGTGTGTTTCTTCTCCCTCTTCCACTTTCGCTGTCGGGCTTAGGATCGCTGTCGGTTACGAGGCGCTGTCCATATCTGCAACGGTGACGCCGGAACGAGAGAGGACGAGGTCTGGCTGTCGCAAGCCGATGCTGAAGAGGTGGAGAGGGAGAAGAGCCAGACACTGTGGACAAGGGCAGAGCAGAAGGCCTGCCGTTGTTGGCGCCCGTCTTGCTAAGCACTTGTACACGACGCAGGAATCTCCAACGGTATTGGTCAGGAAGGATGGCCAGGTCGTGGTGCTCGATCGCTTTGCCGTAAGGTCGGCGTGGTAGACGACCACATGAGTTCGTCTGGCGCGCAGTGACGCGACAAGAACAAGTTGTCAACGGTGTGAGACAGATCGCGCTGTGGAGTGGAAGTTGGAAGGACAAAAGAAGCGCGGCATGGAAACGTGGACGCCAAGCTTTCGATTCAGTCCTTTCAGCAAAGTCAAGACAATTTCGTCCTGTCCTTAGCATCAGTACACAAGACCCTATAAGGGATGCTGTATAATTTGTTTCCTACCTAGCCCAAGCCATTTTCGGAGCTCAAGCTAATTTAGAGAGGGTCGCGTTACATGAGTCCCTTAAGTTTAGTGCGCCTGTCGGCTGATGTTCTAACTTTAAGGCACCGAGTTAGAATTCCACCTCCTTCGCGTTAGAAGCCTTAGACGGTAACCATCCTACAGGATTCGGATCAACCTCGCTAACACACGTTACATAGATACGGGATCCAACAATCAGCGGAGAAACTACCTCCGCAGCACTTAGTGACGTTCCGAATAGACGCTACGACCTCTTTAACGACCTCGCCTTAAACTAATTCTCGCAGAGCTTTCTTCTCTTTCTCTATTCTATCTCTATCATTAACGCAAAGTCTTATGTCAGACTACGTAAGGACTGTCGGTAGTTAGAAATACGCTTATATTTACCCTAGCTAATAGGACACCTAGGGGGTAATAGTCCCTAGGTCGGATTCGGTTAGCGTAGGGTCTAGATTAGCTAAATTAGGTATTTATTTAATAGCCCCTAGCAGTAGCCCCTAACTTCTTAAAAGTCTTTATCGCCGGCGCTTTTTACTATTACGGATTAAACCGCGATCTAACGATTAAATAGTAGCCTATAATATAAGGAGGTTTTACTAAGGAGGAAAAGGAAGAGGACGGAAAGTCTGTCCTCTTCGTACGACGCTTATATACGCTAAGTTAGGGAATTCCTAGCGTTAGCCGAGGTTAGGGTCGCTACTATAGCAAGACCCTATAATAATACCTCCCTCCTTACCGCTAAGAATACTACCGCGCGATGTCCGTTTAAGCTCTATTAAGCTCGTTATTTTCCCTCCTCCCTACTATATAAAGTAATCTAAAGTAAATTAACTCCCTTACTTTATATATTTCTGTCTCCGTATAATTAGCTGCTTCTACCGTCTTCTACTTCGCTCTACTCGATTCTCTATTACTTAATTTTCTGTTCTTTTACTTAATTCTCTAGTTTAGCGAGTACTTATTATATTATATAGTCGTACCCCTTCTTCTTCCTTTTTATAATAATACCGCTTCTATCTACCTTTCTATATAGTACTTTACCTCTCTTACTCTTTCCCCTTTCTAATATTATACGATAGGACAATTATACGACATTATTATATCGCTTATTCCCTACCTTAGTAGCGCTCCTACTACTACTAGCCCTCTCTCTATTATTACTTGCTTTCCTAGACCTAAAATCCCCTATAGCGGTAAGTCGTATAGTTAGTTTATCCTAACTACTGTTAGCGACACCTCTCTTAGTACTATCTACTATACTAATGCCTAGGTTTATTTAACGTGTTCGTACGATCTCGTTTAGTAGCTAATATTCGTAGCGCGCTATCTAGTAGCTACCTCCTTACCCTTTCTTACTATCCCTCTATACTAATAGTACCCCTACTATTACTATCGCCTAGGTTCGTTTATTTCCTCCCTTATATAACGGTCGACTTCTTACTAATAGGTACCTAGATCCGTAGCGCTCGTTAGTCGTATATTAACGCTCTACTTATCGCTTCCTATAGTACTCGCTACCTTACCGCTTACGCTTACTCTACTATCGGCACCTTCGGTAGCCTTATCGTACGTATCGCTAGTTTCTACGCTAGCGCCTATACTTCGTATAAGTAGAAGTCGTACCGTTAGTAGTACCCTTACGTTAATAATAACGAGACCTTCGTTCCTACCGCTACCTTTCGCTAGGTTCCTCTTAGTATATACCTTCTTACCCTTTAAGTTCGTTATACGATCGTCTTCTCTTAGTTTAGCTTTAAGCGCTATTCTTCTTCTACGCTAGAGCGTAGCTCGCGCCTATTTATCTAGTTAGTTATATAAAGACTTAGGTAGGCCTTCTTAGTACTACCTATTTAGTTACTTTTTAATCGAATCCTCTTCTTACTTATTCTTCTCTTCTCGTCTTCCTTATACCGCTTATCGCGTAGTTCTTCGTATAATGTCTAATTTATTAACGCTATAGCTCTAGCGTCGAGAGAGCTATTAGTGTTCTAAAAGAGCTAGGTCTTTACGAGCTAGTAGTCTAAGGTAGCAGTCTCTATTAACTGTGCTATAGATTCCTAAGTTTCTTAGATATACTCTATCTATTATACGAGGTATTTAACCTACTATCCCCGGCCTCTCTTTATATAACTCTCGTTAATAATTTCTTTAACTAGGTACTCTTCTTCTCCGTCTACTTAGATCGTAGGTAGTTATATATCGTCCGAACGTTAGAATAGTAGTAGGTCTCCGGCTACTAAGTAAATAAGGTCGATATAGAATATATCGTAGATACCTTTAAGGGTGTTAAGTCGTATAGCGTATATACTAATAACTTCTTTTATAGTGTACTTAGCGTTCTTCTAGTCTAGTTTATAGTAAGGTCTAATCGTACGAATGTTCTTTAAATAGAGCTAGACTTTATTACCTACTTAGAATTCTAGTATAAGGCTCCTTCTCTTATTAGCCTACTGTTCGGCTTCTTATTACGCGAAGGCTATTAAAGCTTTTACCTAGTCTATCGTATCTCGGAGTATTTATACGATTTACTCTCCTTTCTCTACTAGAGTTTAAGCTCTTATCTTATCCTCTCCTATCTATTCTTTAATATCTAGGTCGAAGGGCGAGTTTTTAAAGCTATATATTAAGAAGAAAGGGCTTACTTCTATTATCGCGTTTATACGGCTATTTATCGATAATTCTACTATCGGTAAAAGAGTTTTCTAATTAGTCTAGTCGAAGTAGACGTACGTACGGAGGTACGTTTCTATTAAACTATTTAGTCTTTCTATAGCACCGTCCGTTTAAGGATAGTACGCTATTAATAGTCTTTTTATAATATTTACTAATCTATAGATACTCGACTATAGTTCGCCTATAAACTAGATTCTTTAGTTAGAGGTTATCGTATAAGGGAAACTGTATCTTTAGACTACGCTCTAGATAACTATACGAGCGAGGGTCTCTACTATTATATCTATTACTCCTTCTAGGATTACTCCTCTTATTAATCTATCGGTAATAATAAGGATATTATTATATTCTTTACTCTCTAAGAGGTTAGTTATAAAGTCTATTAATATTTCCTACTAAGGTTATATAAGTATAAGGAGTAGTTTTAGGAGCCCTTTTCTCTAGTCCTTAAAAGCTTTACTTCTACTATAGATATTATAGTTTTATATAAACTGTCTAATATCCTAGCTTATATTAGGCTAGAAGAAGTTTCTTATAACGAAGGAGTATATCTATTCTCTTCTAAGGTAGCTAGCTATAGTTAAATCGTAGGCGTATTAGATAATTATCGTACGAAGGCTTTCGAAGTTTAGTACCTACCTTCTACTATAAAATAAGAGGTAGTTATCGTTACTAATTACGCATTTAGCGACTAATACTTTTAGTTATAGGTATAATAGGAACTTCCTTCCGCCTTCTTATATAACTAACTCTACTTCTTAGAATATCTTATCTTAGGCTTTTACTTCGTCCTATAGTTGTACGTTATCGTATAAAGGCGGCTAAGTACTACCCTCCTCCTTCTAAACTTAGATCGGAGCTAGGGGCTCGACTCGTCCTCGTACTAGTTAGTTTAAAAGCTATATCGTATAGCTTTTAACTCTCCCGTCTTCTTTTTATAGGTTATCCTACTCTTTTTAGGAGAGGGTATCTACTACGCTATTATCCTTTCTAGGTCTATACTTAAAGTAGAAGTTAAACCTTAATAGTAGTAGTTACTATCGTACGTACCGTTCTA